GTTTGTTTAGGAGGGTAGGGAATGACGCGGTAAATGGGGGCGGGTTTGGGGGGGTAGCCAGTATCGCGAGGTACATGTACGTATAGGTATAGGTATAGGTGTAAGGGGAGGTGTAGGTATACGCAAGGTACCTTAGGGGTAGCTTGGAGCTGTTTGTGGGGTGGTGGAGGTGCTATAGGATAGGGGAGGGCTGTTAGGGGGCTGCTAGGGGGGTTTATAGGGGGGGCGTTTAGCGGGGGTTAGAGGAGCGTATAGAGCATGCCATGATGCTTCGTACCTCTCCATGCGATTGGGAATCTGAGAATTGAGAACCTCAGCACTAGGGCGGTTACGATATGCTGACGAAGGCTGTACATGTACCTGCACGATACTCGATATGCTCCGATCCGCTACGCAAGGCCTCCCTGCTAGGCCGCTGCTCTCCTGTGCGGTGTTGTGCTGTGCTTTTGCTACCGGTAGACGCTGCGAGGGTGATCACTTCCACAGCACTGTCTTGCAAGCGCACAGGCGTTGAGGCGATACATCGTACATCATACAGGTACTGTGCTGGTACAGTACCTGGTGCGGTGCTGTGCAGGGAGCCCCGTACCCTGCGCCGAGGAGAGCCAAGCCCAAAGATGGTGGATTTGGAGGGTGCATATTGGAGTCTGGAGTCTGGAGTCTGGAGTCGGGGCTTTGACTTTTGGATGAATATCAACGTGGCCGTGGCCGTGGGTATGGATGCGATGGATGGGATGGGATGGGATGGTGATGTACGTACTGCAGCACCTATAGTTAGTGCTCGAGCAACCATAAAAGTGCTCGAGTGCTGACGAGTAAGTGGTTGATCAGTGGTGTGGGCACCGCCCTGACCGTGGGTGTGAACGGGGCTGCTCGAACACTGCTGGAGCCTGTAGCCGATAGCCTGTAGCCGGTGGTGTGGCCTGGAGCGGAGACCACGGTAGCAGCCAGCGCGAGAGAGAACAATACTCGCAGGTGTACTCCGTACACGAAGCCGTGTAGTGTGAATTAGCGGGTGTTGGGCACCAGCAGTGGAGGTGCGTGCGAAGATACCGGTGCTAATAAGTACATACTGTACCTAATGGTGTAGGTACTTTGCACAATAACGGCCTTGTTCCTCCCTGTTTATCAGTCAAGTTACGAGTACATGCGTATCGATACGGACGTGGTTAGTACGTGGTGGCATGGAGGCACACCACTAGATCGCACCTCGGGGGTTCTCTGTACTCTGCACTAAGTACTCGGTACTTCCTCGACGACGGAGTATGCGCCGTAGTACTACTTGTAATAATAATGTACCGTCCTCGAGTGCCTGACCCAGGTACTCACTCTGGTCCCCCAAAAGCAGCGAGGGTTCCAATCCTGAATCAGCCGTTACTGCTTCGTGCTTCGTACGCCCTCCGTGCTCCTTCTCCCCTAGCACCAATTCCTCCGACTCAGCATGCATCGATTGCCGACTTTCTGTGTTGCAGAGGTCCAAGCAACCCCCGATCTCCAGACCGAGCCCGACTCAGCCCCGGACATCGAGAAAAACCAAATAACGAAAACCACCATAACAATTCCTTCACCGTCTGCACACATTCTCCACGACCCACGACCCACGGCTACCGCTGCCTCCAGCTCGGATATATCCTCTGATGCTCGGCATTACATCACGGCGCGGTTTTACCAGCGAGCTATCATGTCTTGGCTCGATAGCTTGGTATACGGCCTCGATCGACGGCCGCCGGAGGAATAATACGTGTTGAAACGTTCTCAGTAATGGCTGTGTCTCCTCTTCGCGTGGTGATCCGAAGTACTACGCACTTGTGCCTTCCGTGGGGAGCTCGGAAGGATAGCGGTAGCAGCAGTAGTAGCACTCGGAATATCAAAACTCCCACTGCCGTACGAAGTGCTGCGTACGGTACCACGCATGAGTGAGTATCATAGACTTGCCATCACACCTCCGTCCCGCGCTTCCGTGTCTCGTTGCTATCCGCGACTTGTTCTCGGTGACTACTCTCCTGCGAAGAGGAGCCAGACGGAAGCATCCGACCAACCAAACAATTAAGCGCTGGGAGTGCCCACTGCCCAGTGCCTGCGGGCTCCATGTCCATGTGGCATGTACCTCCGACCTGGTGCTAATCGGTGCTAGAGGCTTGGCTCACACTTTGCTCGTACGAACTTGCGAAAGCATCCCCAATATAAAGTTCTGATAGTGGGGCTCTAGGCTCGAGCCCGCGCGCTGCTTCGTACGTGTTCGTCGCGTTGTCGTGGGCAGAAGCAGAAACGCGGCGATAATGCGATACAGTCGGGGCCGATGCCCTCTGTTTGAACCTGTCTCAACCCTTGAGTGCGCCTGTTTGGGAAATCCGAAAAGCAAACCCGACAACTGGCTCTCTATGGTAACGGAGTTGGAGCACGGCCAATATATAACACTGCGGACGAGGCATTTATCGCGGCGGCTTCGAGCCCAATAATCCATGGGGGGGTTTTGGCGTTGACCGTTGATCGCTGGCCGTTGATCGTTCACCGTTCACTTCACCGATTGATGGATCCATCCTTAGGGAGGGAAGAGTTTGATACGACGGGTACAGTACGGCATCAAGTGCCGGAGGGGGCCGAAGATCGCCATTCAACGGTCGATGGTGGCCGGCTGTGAACCCAGTGCCTGCCCAGGTAGCGAGCTTCCTACGTTACAGTAGTGCCAAACTGCCATGAGCCAGTAAGCAGTGCCAGTCGCAGTGCCAGAGCCAGAGCCAGTGGCGCCGCCAACCTAGCTCGACTAGGGAGGTAACGCGGACAAGCGGCTGTACTTCGACTCCTTCGCGTCCTTCTGGCTGGGAGTCGTAAACGCTACCAAGTAGTATCTAGGCAAGAGTTGACGTCTGAGGATTCGTGGAACTGGATCAGGCCTTGGACTAGCAAGAAAATAGTTCTCCACGAGATGCTCGTCACTGCCTAACTCCCCTACTCGCCTCGCTGTACGAGCCAGTCGTTCATGCGGCTCCCCGACCTGGCTCGAGCCTCCTTGTGTCCTGTACCACGAGTTGACACTCCATACGCCGTACGAAGTACCAGGGCTGCATTTAAATCGCCGACGCGCAGTAAAACGCCGGACCCCAGCGAGTGCCTAGCAATTGCCCAGCACTCCAGCAATGGCCCAGAATACTGCTGTCCACTGTCGAGTTGCGGTTCAAGCCCGCCTAAACAAACCTACGAGCTCCCCAAGTCAAGTTCCTGTTGATGCGGCCATGCGCACCACTGTGCACTGACTTGACCTGCAAAAAGCGCCCTGTTTCACTTTAGCCGGAGCAAACCATTGGGTCAAAGCACCAATTCCAAATTTATTCTTATTTTCATTTCCTTTTCTCCGGCAGGACTAGAGATACTTGGGAAGTACTGTAGTTCTAGTCCCGTTGATTATCCACTTTAGAATTGGCCCGTCTTGGTAACTTTAAAACTGGGCGCTTTGTAAGTCTTATTAATTCCCCAGGGACCATCGGTCCGGAGTACATGTCAAAGCTAGCCTCACAACTGGAGGTCGAACAATTTCAAACCACGGAGCAAGTCACTTTCAACACCCTCAAAAGACCATGAAGAGCTTCATGGAATGGGGCCACCATATGTATTTTCCCGATCCGGCTACGACGATGCAGAGGGATTCCTAGCCCCGTACGTTTGGATGATCGGTGGAGTGTGTGGTGGGATGGTGCAAAGTGAAACGAAACGAAGCGAAGCGAAACGAAACGAAACGAAGCATGATTAGCGATTGTATTGCATAGCGAGGTCCTATTTTTAAGTGTCCCTCTTGTTCATCAAGCCACAGAGTTTCAAAATATTATGTCGATGGAAGAAGTCCCTATTGCGTTTCCCAAAGACATCTACTCGGGGTTAGAGTCCGAGGATATAACAACCTGTAAGAGGGGGGGGGGGGGGCGACTTACACATCGGAATACTCAGTAGGCACACCACGACCTGGATACTGGAGATCCACATGAACACTCTGAAAGTCCCCCCAGGCCCGATAACCCATTGGTATGCACTAAACGTCAGCCCGAAAGAGAAGAAGTTCTTAAAGATGATGGTGCAGGTGAAGGCCTCCACGGCGATGTCACGATGGGCGTCAACCAGATAGAGTGATGCCGCCACGGCACCGATAACCATCCCTGCTACCTGCAAGCCAAAGGCAACGACCGGCACTATCCAGCCATGCTTAATAAGCCCGGCAGGTGTAGATGTCGCGCCGAAGAGGTAGAGCCCCGTACAGCCGAGTATGAGCTGGGGAATAACAAGCACTATTCTAAACTCGGGTTCGTAAATACCGCCATTTCGTCGCGTCATGACTTTGGCACTCCAGTCTGCCACGGCTCCGGCCAGCAGGAACCCCCCCACAGCTCCGATAAATGCGCCCGTGAAGGCGTACCCAGTTTGAACTTCGCCATACCACAACGGCGGCCCAATAAATATGCCCGCAATCACGACTGAAATGAATACCGTCCAGCCGACCATAGCCCCCTGAGTCAGGCATGCCCACATAATGGCAGGATGACAGAAAAGGGGGAAGGGTCGGAGGGCGAGTTTCCAGAACTTTTCGGGTGACATCCTCCCGCAGAAGAGCACGAGGAGTTCTGTGAAGCTCTTTTTAGGTGTCCCGGCGCCAGTAAAGAGGGTCGGCGGATCTTGACTTTCAGGTTGAGCCGAAGGGTTCTGAATGCTGGCTTCTGAAAGCTCCAGTGATTGGGCGTTGCTTGGGCTTAAATCTGTTGTGTGCTCATGTGTATGTGGTTTCTGGAGGTGGTGGATATCAACTGAAGAGGCTGTATCGGTGTTTAGATGGGCGGATCGGCAATATGTCGTTTCTGGCACAAAGAAGTAGACCAGAGGCAGGCTCACGCCACAAAAAATGGAGACAAAATAAAATGTCCAAGGCCAGCCAATCGTGTAAGTGATTTTGCCAACCACAATGGGCGTGAAGAAGGCACCTCCAAATACAGCAAGGTTGGTCAAAGCCATACGCTTGCCACGTTGCTGCAGAAAATAATAAGCAATCGAGCTTCTAATAAATTTGAGGGGCGGATTGAACTAGGATAAAAGGTCCAACCAATGCGATATCTCGATTGGAATCCATAGCCTGGATCGACAAGGACTCTCCTAAGGAGACTAGAGATCTTAGGACCCTGATACCCAGAAGAAACTCCGAAGCCGGGTCCTCTCCTAGACTCTGGAGAACTCCACCTAAATTATCGCACGTTGAGGGGCCTTCAATTCCGGTTCGCGCGATATGAAGAAGATCTGAATAGACTTACATGGACAAAGTACATATCTCCAACGACGGCATTAACCAGCGTCTCAAATGGTGCCGCACCGATGCCTTGAATAAATCTTGCCCCGGCCAAGCTTCCATAACTGTGACCCGCTGCCCCGGCCCACGCACTCGAGAATATCAAGGTGATGGTCCCAAGCAGGAAGAGATGCCTCTTTCCCCATATTCGCGCGGATGGAACGAACCAAATGGCAGCAATTCCCACGCCGAAAAGGAACCAGCCTGTGAGGATGGCGACTTTTGTGAATTTGACGGAGAAAAACACCGACAAGCTAATAGTGTTCGCAGCTAAGATTGGGCCGAGCGAGGTTGCGAATATGGATACGATGGACAAAAGTAGGAGAATCAAGTCGCGCTTCCACAGAGGCCAGTTCTAGTGGGTCGGTTTACATCAGCAGGATGCAAACACAAAGAGAGGACGGCCATGGCTAGAGACTCACAAGAGGATCGTTTGGATCATCACTTGGCTGGGGTACAAGGATGATACCATTATCACGTTTGACCTGGGCGGATGTCGAGGTGGATGTAGCACCTTCGAGGCCTTCGAGGTCGTCGAAATAGCGTGTGGTCCCTTGAATTGGTTGTCAGTGATGCTTTGTATATCATCTATCGCGGTGTGAGGTCTATATATTACCTGGGACCTCGGTGGGCCGCCGGGGATCTAGGATGCCCAGTCCCATGGCAATCGACGCGGGCGGTGGAGACGCGTATCTGCAATGCGATGGAATGCGGGGAATAAATATGGAGCAGGTCACGACGAGCAAGAAGGGAGCTTCGAGCGGAGAGGCGCTCTTGTATGGAAATACATCGACGACGACGGGGACGAGGCGGAGGAGGGAGATGCAGGAGAAGATGACAAAAAGGTAGTCGAGCGAGGAGATCCCAAGAGTGGTCGTCCACGCCCATGCAGATCGGTGATGGCTGGATGTACACAGTACGAGTACCTAGGTACTTGTAGGGGGCAAATAGAACGCGGGCAGCTGTCGAAGCTGCCAATGGTTGTAGCCCAGTCCCCTGTCAGCGTTCTCTTTGTCTGTCTCTAGCTCACTATCTCTCTACCTCTATAAAGTATCCAAAACACTCTACTTCGTACAGGTCGCTCAAGTCTTCTACGGGCAATAGTCTATTACCTCGCACGGAGCAAACTATACGGCCTTACTTGGCGCTGACCAAATCCCGATCAAAGAGTTAAATCGGCCATAGCAATTGGACTTCGGCGATCAGACCGAGCTTCTCAGTTTCCATCCGGCTCCTCCACTCTTCCACACCTCTCCTTCCACACTCTCCTGCTCTGGGTAAATCCAAATACTACCCGTGCCTCGACGCTGCATTGACACTAACCGACGGTGTCGCCGCCGCCGACGACCATTAAACAGTCCTCCCTTCCACAAGATCAGCAATATATATCCAGTCCCGGTCTTCATTCCAGACTTGCAAGCAAACATGAGGCTCTCTCTCCTAGCAATTGCCGCCGGATTGGCGCATCTTGTCTCCTCCCAGGTTGAGAACTTGCCGGAGTGTGCTGTAAGCTCCCCCCTCGCAACATGCTACAATTTTGCTGACTGGTTCTGATCAACTAGAGAACCTGTGTCACTCAGTTTACCACCGGAGGTAACATTGGCGGGTGCCAATCTCTCGATGCTGCCTGCATATGTTCCAGCGCCGGCTTTCTGAGCGGAATCGCATGTTGTTTGGCAGGGAAATGTAACGACGCCGACCAAGCGGCTGCTGTCACCTTTGCTCAGACATTTTGCAAGGCATCTGGTGTCACCAACCTTCCCTCCGCTGTTACGTGCGCATCAACTTCAACGACCCCCAGCGCAACGGCGAAGTCAGGGGCACAAAGACTGGCAGGCATTGGCGCTGGGCTATATGGGGGTCTGGCAGCAGGAGTCGTGCTTTTGTAATGGATGGATGAGCAGATACCAACTCGTCACCGTGCTGGACGCCGTTGAGGAGCGCATTCTGACTGAGCTTCTACTAGTGCTTCTATCTATTGCTTGCTATTGATCTCCTGGCTGAGCGCAGTAGATTAACACATGATATTTCTGCTTCCGAGATCCACTATGTATCATCTGTCGGCAAGGCACAGGCGTGTGATCGATCCCCTGGCGTGGTTAAATATTACCTGTATCTTATAATGCTCAAGGGCAATGACCCTCACTTAGCTGATCTTAGGGATGCAACCCAATTATTAATTATCTCGAGACTCGAGTCCGTTGACACAGTTAACTACACTAGCCTTCGGCACCTAACTCCTTGAACCCACTCCTCCCGAAGTAAATGCTGCATGCAGAGTTGAAATTGTTGAGTCTTAATACTTGTGCGCCCCTTTGGTTATCCTAACGACCTGGTGGGGACTACATCATTTATCTAGTTTGCAATCAACGGATATAGTAGATGGGCAAGGGGCAAAACACCATATAAGAGGCAGCATTTAAAATACTCATGCTTAATGACTGCGCTTAACTAAAAGAGCGAGTACAGTTTCTAATTCTTAAGCCGGCTAGTTTGGATACCCACTATTCGAGGCCCTATTGAGATATTGAGCGAAGATTCAGGGTTGAGTATCTAATATATCTACCTAGCTACCCAATACATCATAATTTCATTGGTAACTCGCACCCTTTGCTTATTGTGCCGTACCCCAAACCTTACCCCATGGCGCCTAGCTTTGTGCTCACATCTCAATGACGACTGTATCCGTAACCCCATCTCCCCAGATGCCGACCACACTCATAGCAAAGCCCACACCGGCTATTACTGTCCTCGCAACCTGGCTCGTCATGAACCCCTCCATCTGTTGTCGAACTTCCTCGCCATTGACATCCTCGTCCATCTCCTCTCCGCTTACCGTGGCCTCGCTTTCACGGTCGCTGGCTCCCAGGACCTCATAACTAGCATCCATCGGCCGATCTCTGCGCTTTCTATCTCGCCGTTGAGCGGCACCGCTACCGGCGACAGTCTTTGTGCGAGCAGCCCCGATAACAAGATCGCTTAGACCAGCCGAGGCGACGAAGAGCGTCGTCCATAGCAGGTACGGGTGCCTCTGGCTTCTGGGTGAGAGGAGATAGGCTAAAAGGAAAGAACTGCTAGAAATTCCAGCAAGCGCTCGAACGTGTGTAAGCGAGACGGAGGTGAGGTTCGTGAAGGCGCGGGAGGCGGTGCTGGCGGAGGGAAGGGTGAGGAGTGTCGGGAGTGTCAGCGTGCTGAGAGTATATGAGAGGCCCTAATTTACAATATCGACAGTCAGTAATCTGTACTGCATCACAGTGGAACGCGAGAGTAAGGAGGTGGTTCTCCTGCAAATGGGGATAGAATTGGGCAATGGTGGGGAGCGGGGTGCTTGTCCTTACAGTGAGCAGGCCCAAGCTGAGCGATCCCACGAACTTCAACGTAGACACGCCCCTAGACGCCATGATTTCGAAAGCAGGGACAAGGACACAATTATTTCGAGTGGGAGTGGCGGGGTTCGTGTGTTTGTGTTTTCCGCAGAATGAACATGCGCTGGTCAAGAGGAGGCGGATGGTCGAGGATGATGATCACTGCGATGCTGTCATTGAGGAGGTCGTTAAGCTCCGGAGAACGGGGCAGTTAACACGTGATTGATGGCGATCGGCTCGTATTCGTACTAGGAAATACGAGGACTTCGTACGTAAGGTCCTAGTAATCAAGCCGAGGTACAAGCTACGAAACAAGCTTATCATCAATGGTTGGTGATAAATAAGATGGGCAGCTTCGCACCGAGGGCCACGACAAGACAGATTATTTGATATTTCCTCACAGGCCTCGAACTTAAGAATTAACTTGTATTATTATCTGCTACCCATCTTCTTGACTTCCCACATCTACCATGGCTATTCCACGATCACAGTATCTCTCCTCCGTTTGGCGCGATGGCATCTTCGGTAAGACAACAAGAGTACTGGGTCGCGCCCGCATTATAGCACATTGCTAACTCTGTTGATATCTAGATGGCAAGGTCATATTCTGCACCGGCGGAGGCGGTACCATATGCTCAGCGCAGGTCCGCGCTATGGTGCACCTCGGCGCGAATGCCTGCATCATCGGTCGAAATGTTGCGAAGACGGAGGCTATGGCGAAAAGCATTGCAACGGCGAGAAAAGGGGCGAAAGTTATCGGAATCGGAGAAGTTGACGTGAGACGCATTGATACATTGGAGAAAGCAGTGGAACGAACTGTCAAAGAGTTGGGAGGCATCGACTATGTCATGTACGTTCACGTTCCCGTTCATGCATTTAACGATCCGTTGATGACCGATCCCCCTCGTACTAATATCAGTGGTTCTACAGTGCCGGTGCAGCTGGGAATTTCTTGTCCCCAATATCGGGCCTTTCAGCAAATGCTTTCAAGACCGTAATCGACATCGATACCATCGGCTCGTACAACACGCTAAAAGCCACCCTTCCTCAACTCCTCATATCTGCCGCCAAGAACCCGAATACAGCTACCAATCCGTCGACCGGTGGGCGTATCATATTTATTTCTGCCACATTTCACTATACTGGCATGCCATTGCAAACACATGCGGCTGTTGCAAAAGCCGGCGTCGACGCTTTATCTGCAAGCGTGGCTCTCGAATATGGGCCCCGAGGCATTACGTCTAATGTCTTGACCCCAGGTCCGAGTAAGTGATTTCAGAACGATTTTCGAAACGGCTTCTTGGACATGATACTCGAAATCTAACGAGTATAATCTCCCAATATCTGCTCCCTATCACCTTGACGAATTATATAGGGCCCTTAGTCCAGGGTTTCGTCAGAAAGTTCCGCCATCCCTCCATCAAGTGATGTCCGTCATGCGAAATCGTTCCAAGTTCGGGATCCTACCTACCTAATCAGCTTTCATATTCTACGCTCTCCAGCTGAACGGGCCGCCGTGGTCGGTCACTTGTCAATGACGCTTATACTAACACATTATCTAGTTGCTGGAACAGAGGGTATGGCGAGATTGGGTGGCAGTCAACCTGAAGGCGCAGGAAACCCGTTGCAGAGGTGGGGAAGCGTCAAAGAGATTGCGGATGGGACAGTGTATCTCTTCAGCGATACTGGAAGCTACGTAAATGGGGAGGTGCTGGTCGTTGATGGTGGTGGCTGGCGTGCGCCTGCTTCTATGGGTAGTCAAGAAATGGCCTACCCGGGCTTTTTGTTGGCTGATTTATCTACGAAGGCAAAATTATAGAGGAGTAGATAATAGACCGATAATACTCTAAAAATGCCTTCTAGTGCCTCTATCTCCAAGATTACAGTAGGGATCTAGTTCTGGCATTCCTACAGTATCTCATGTTGTACATAAATCTGGTGAGTTGTATGAACTGGAGGCAATTCGACTTATCCAGACTTTCTTCAATAGCGCACTAAACGTGCTGCTCTATTCTATATCATAAACCCCTCGTAAAATTTCCCAGCACCACAACGCTATAGGGTCAATGCCCTTTAAATCTCTGATCCAGTCAAGCATTAATTCCACTGACTCGTCCACCTGGGCTTCGAATAGAGTTCCACAGAGTTGCGTTCTGATGTCGCGCAACATAGGATTGTGTCGCGTTAGATGTATGATGAGGAGGATCCCAAGGAAATTTTGGGACCAGCAGAACAGGTAAGGCACCAGCCGTTTCCGCCGAGAGGTAGGCGACAGGGTAACGGGCCACAGGAGGCAGGACTATGGTTAATTCCAATCAATAAAACATTCTTAGAATTAGGGCCAAGGGTGAGCAAATACCCGTAAGCATTCCGCGACTCCCTCGGCATCATCCTGCGTCATCAGATCCGGAAAATGCAACGCCTTGTAAACAAATGGCCGGTAGATCATATATTTTGCATAGTAATACTTTGTCCTTAGGAAAGCTACCTGTATATCATAAAGATAAGGATATTGCACGGGTTCACTATCGACATCCGTTGAAAATAGGGGCCGGCGGGGTGGATGCGGTTGTGGCGCTAATTCTGGGTCAACTGCTTGGTTTGATCCAGGAAAGTTGAATGGCTGGGGAGAAGGGAAACTGGCAGGATCATCTTCCTTCCACTGAAGCTCCCGAGGGAGCATTCCATGCCACTGCGTCAACTGTGATGCGAGTTGTTTCAAAGAACCAGCAGTTAGTTCGCGAAAAGGCTCGCTTGAAGCAGGATCTGTTTGGGTATTTGTCATGGCTATATGCTATTATTAGCTACCAACTATCTTTTAGAAAGAGGGGCTTACAATCATTGATATTATCGTGAAGCTCAGCGCACAACTGCCGAAGTGCAATTTGGGAAGCATAGTGGGCGTGGAAGTGTGAGGATTGGTTGCCACGGTCGTCTGCTTCACAGAACGGGCCGTTGAAGGTAGGCAAACCTATGGACTCCTCTAACGCAATTATGCCAGTAAGTGGTAGATCGAGTTCGAGATGTAGACCCCTGCCCGCTGTTAGATTTAGTTCCATGATAGCAAGTAAAACCGTACGTTTCCATCAACACGCAGTGCCAATAAGCACGCTTGGTAAGATGGCCTCTAGGCGAATCCCAATCAATTGTATTGCTAACTTGTATTAGTAAATCCTACGGTTTGTGAGGGCGGCGTTGTAGAGTATACCACGTGATCAATATTTGACAAGCCAACGACGCCGACACGGTCAACCTCCAGAAGTCCTATTGCGAAAACAGTGAGTCCTAATGTCGCGCCGGCTGCCTAGATGCGATTTGTACATACCACATGGTGGGAACAACATTCGTAATAGAGTCTGTTGAAATATCGTGAGTCACTTTTGTCTCATGTGTTTGAGGACGAGGATTGTCGACGCACGCTGCTAGGGAAAATATCTGAACATTTTCAAGATCACACTCGGTGAGGACAAAACCAATACGTTTTCTAGCCTCATTAAAGTAAGCAAGGCCCGGTGGCCGTAATGCCGACCCGCCTCTTACTCCACTTGAACGGCCGTTGTGCCCTTCAATAGGAGCCCCACGGGATCCTTCTATGGCTAGTTCCCCCAGAGCAAATACCAGGAGCGCAATCACTGAGTCCGTATCTCCATTAAAGCCTTCTGTTTGTACTCTTGAAAGAGTATCCGATATAAAGTTCTGCCGATCCATAAATGGATATAAAAGATTAAACGTGTCGAAGTACGCTGTTGCCAAATGATGCATCATTTCACGGGTCAAGTTTGGAAAGGTGACCCTGGCGCCTCCCGCAGCCCTTGTTGCCTGGGTTTGCATGCCTACAAAAGGCCTGTCCTGCAGAGCCTCATCTAGTGGTAAATCTGATGTGCCTTTCTGCATCCGGATTATGAAGGCAGAACCCTCCTGTTCCAAACTTTTCAAGTCTGCAAGATTCGACGGCATAACTTGCAATAAGAGTTGTTGTACCGCAGGCCATGTTAACATCTTATGGGCCGCAGAAGTATGTCGATATGGTTGGCTTCTTGAACTACCACCAGGGTTTGATTGAAACGGAGGGCGGAGCAAGGAGGACGCGTATGGAGTCGAATCGACATCGGTACTGGTTGAAGGGGTTGACAGTGAACGTCCAAAACCGGAGAGACCTGAGGGCCGGAGAGGAATTCGATCAACTTTGCTCTCTAGGCTCTTAAGCCTGTCCAGAATTTCCACTAGTGTTTTATCTTTCCTAGAAAGCAGCCAGTAAGTTCCTGTACATGGTCAAGAGCTTAGCCATGGTGAGCCATCCACCGCCCTCTCCAGGAAGCAAATCCGAATTCCAGATCCGCCGTGGTACTTACTTTGTCGGCTGAGGCTCCCTATACTGACAATCTAATTTCATCCTCTGACATAGGCTGCACTTTGGTCGCTGTTCATCACACCTCTGCTTTCTCGATCGGCACGTCTCACAGGCCTTTCAAAGCTTGTCAGCCCACGAGCATAAAGACTGGGAAATTAGAAAGCCGCCGACTCCCATGGATGTGACGGTAAAAGAAATCCTGCTAAATAAATCGAGGCTTACTTGGCTTGCGATTGCTCCTCTTTGATGTCTCGTAGGAGGCGGGTTCGGTGACGTTGCGCTCGATGCCGAGTCCATGGCTCATGATCAAAATCAAAATTTCCACAAGTTGCATATAGCGATTACTAAAATTAGTCGAACTTAAATCCGGGAACTCGTGGTTGCTAGAATCGGCCGTGCGGATTAGGAGGGCGGTGTTGGGCAGCGCGTTGTTGGGCAGGTGATATATCATGCAAAGGGCGTTGCTGAAGCGTGGCGGGAGTGGGCGAGATCAATTGTCTATTCAATCATCCGCAGGAACGGCGAAGCGCATTGTTGCTTGGCTCTTTCAGTCTTTCTGTTGACACACGACCGCGAGAAGATGGCGATGCCACGGGCGTCTTCCTCGTCCAACTCCCTCCCGCAGCTAGCTTGACGGGCGTGAGGCAATTCGCGTTCGCGAGGCCGCTCGGAGCAGCGCAAAGAATGGTAGCAGCGACGGCGAGTCTGTGATGCTGAATGCGATGATGGACTTTTGAGAGGCGGGTCCCTTTTTTTCAAATGTGAAATTTAGACATGGCCCAGGTCAAATGAGGATGGCGATATTCTCGACGGAGGACAGTCCGGCTCCGTGTCATTTGTGTGGCCTAGTCGCAGCAAGCTCGATTCCAGCGTGAACATGCCGCCAGCGACCATCAACCCAAAGAATCCGCACGACGAGCCGCGATAGAAGAACATCGGCACAGCTAGAGCTAGGACTAGGGCGATAGCGATGGCCGAGGCCGCGACCAGTAGAGTGGGCCGTGGAAAGTGCTGATGGAGTTGAGTCCGGTCGATTCATCGACCGCTGATCGCGCCGTCGACGGTTGCAACTACTCGTAGACTCGAAGGCGCGGCTGAAATGGCGTGTTGGATGCGGAGATTCCCTCTAAAGCAGTGGCGAGAACCCTCGAGCAGAGACATAGCTGGAGTGGAAGGGCGCCGGGCGAGTTGACGCTCGAAGGTGCGTAAATTGGGAGTTCGTTGAGCGAGAAAAGCGCAGTGGGCGTAGTAACCTAGTCGTTGGGTTCTACAAGTATAAATGTCTACTACTAGGAGGTAGTTTGTACTTGGTACTCGTCCATCAAGCAGATATCTATATCTAGCCTTGGCAGTGCCAGCAGGAAGAGTCTTCTGCGATGAGTACCTTGTGCTACAGTAGTTCCACTTACAGCATACTCGAAGTACTGCTCAAGGGCCACTGGGAGACCTTGCAGGACCTTCTGTAGGCTGTATCCCTAGAAATAATTAACTCAGGTAGACTGCTCTACCCACAGAGACATAGAAATCCCAAGCATTTTGACACTGACACGGTACATGTCTAGAACTAGGTTGTGCCCTCTGATCTGATATCTGCAGTAGGAACAACTGTTCCCAGAAACCCAGCGGTCTCTTCTGCTTTGCGCCGTCTCGTTCCGCGTGAATTTATTTGCTTTCTGCGTTTGACCGGTCGTTGACTTAACCTTCCTAGCGGCCGAGGTTAGGTAGGATCATCAGGTACTGTCTGTGTTTCATTATTAGGTCCAGGAGACTCCGGAGAAAGCAATATCTGCAGCTTGACAATCGGCACTACTGCTTCAAGAGCATAGGCACTCGAGTACTGACGGCGTAGCGCCTATTCTCGTGCAACCCCCTATTTCGCATATTGCTATCGCGACAGCACGGGATCACGAATTGGCACGTCAATACCTCTATACAAGACTGGGACTCTTAATAGGCCCGGAAGGCGGATGTCTAGGCCTAGATACGAACATACAGAGGCTAGGTGGGTGTTCCGCTTTATCGAGTACGTATCATACGAAGTACCAGTAACATATGGTAGGAGTAGCTAGCTGCCCGCTGATGTAACGTCATTAATGATTAGAGGGGCGTGCCCTATATTGCTCATGTGAGCCGACCCCTACCAATCAGCTCTCGTGGATTGGTCGGGCGGCATCATTCCGAGAAGGTAAAGTAATGGCCTTTTGAATATCGGCAGGTCTTTTATTGTTCGTACTGAGTCTTCTGGGTGTTACCGCTCCATCCAACGGTAATCCCTCCGGCCCAATCAGATGACTTCAAAAAAGTCTTCTAAGTGGAAAGGCATCTATCAATCGGCGAAAAGTGCAGAGGTGGGATGAGCATTACTCTGAAGGCTGCACTTTCCACAGGTACATTGTACATTACCTAACGTCAGATGGGTTCTGGCATCTGGTATGGATGCTTGCAAGTCAAATCAAATATTCTCTATTCTTATAGAGGGACAACTACATGATGACTCCTGATATATACTAACTATGCCATGCGACGGGTCGAGTCATAGCTTCCCAAACGCTATCAACCAACAACAAAAGGGCTTGACCATATTGCCCGTCGAATCACCCTAAGAATAAAAGTTACTTCCAAGGTGTAGTTTTTAGCAAATCCTATCCTAGAACCCCTGCTGGCGATGCCACTTTTTCTCCCACCCGGGAAAGAAAGGACTCTCCATCAATGTAGTAACGTCCCACACGTTGTCAGCTGTATTCTCAGGCTTGACCATTCCCCTCGCAGTCTGCTCCTGGGCATACTCAGCCAGAGCGGGGATGCAAACGTGCTCGACATGCCAAGTGTTCTTATATCCCATCAAGCTCCTCTTCCCCTCCTTCAAGGCCTTGAGTAGCAATGCAGGAATATAACGTTCGTCCCGGAATTCCTGAACGGGCGTAAACAGCGCCTTGAAGTTGAAAACGATCCCGCCACTGAGGGGCAGCCGCCGTAAAGTCTGCCAGTCGACTCTCAGATTGCACTCTTCAATGGTAAGATCCGGCTTTTGAACTTCGCGCAGCTTCTCGTGCGGATGGCCCGGGGGCATAAAGAGGGGGCTGCCAACCTCGAGACCCCAACTGCCTCGCTGTATAGGGGCATTGGTCGTCATTTTGCTGAAATATCGGTCCATGCTGAAGGACATCTTCTCTTTATAATCTGGGATGGGGCTGTGAATCTCCTTAAGTTGCAAACCGAGTTTGGTGCCCACATTCCACCCCAACGAGCTACAGATAACCCCAGCACGAAAGTAATATGCACCATCATTCTCATTTCGGAGCATGACGGCGAAATCCTCTGGGACGTTGTCTAGTAGCACGCGAAGGGGATGCATGCTCTTTATATCCGAATCTGTTTGGAGGAGAGAGTTGTGGAACGTTCTCTTGTTCGCTGACAGCCGGAAATATGTCGGGTATCTGGCACAGTAAAACTGTAGGCACATCTCCATGAGCTCCTTACAAGCGAGCTCAGATCCGGGTAAAAAGTCAAGGACTTTATTACCATATTGTCTGAACAGATCTTGGCGTTCCCTGACTTTGGAGACGTAACCTTTTTCTATTTCTAACCACCAATCCGGCTCCATCTTAGTCAAGGCTTCCTAGGTATTAGCATCTACTCTCCATTGATGTTAAGGCTTACTAACCCATGGTTTGGTGATACACCCATCGAAATGGTCGATAAGGTCTGGGAAGGGCCTTCGCCGGATCAAACTTTTCGTACGGGACCGGGAGTGGAACGCCGCTTAGTACATCATAAGCTGGGAAATCTCCCATTGCTCGAATCTCTTCAGTGGAGAAACCGGTCGGGCTGTACTTCGGAGAATGGTTGTCTAAGTAGTAAGGGCGAATCATCGGTAGAATATCCCGCACAAGGAGTTCAGCTAGCGAGTCAAAAGCTATCAAGGCCCTTTTATCTATAGCAGAACCTTTCTTTGCAAGTTCGAGAAGAGCGTGTCTCCCTGACGGTGGGAATGTACGGACATAATCAGTACTGCAGCTGGCCGATGACGGCGCTCTATCAATGCTGGCGAGAGGGTCCAAGATTACCTTGCTCCGCAACGAGGGAGGCTGTGGAGGCGAGGTGGCAGGAGCACTACGTCGACTAAAAATGGATATTCCTAGGGCTGCTGCCCCTTTCCGTCTTTTGGCCACAAGAACGGCCACCGATGACAGAACAAATATGATACCAAAAGCAAGAAGATACAAATCCCCGGTAACGATGAGCGAATCCATAGCCTTGGGCTTCAGGAGGTTCAATGATTGTAGCCAAGCTTTGAAGATCGAAGCTCCGCGGATGGACTGAAAGCGATTTGAAACGCTATCCACGACGTCTTTTTGTATTCAGCTATCCATGTAACATAGAGGCAGACGTTTGATATATATATATGCTACTCACCCTCTCGTGCTTGGTGTCAGAGTGAGCATAGAGCTATCAAAGAAATGGAACGTTGGCTACTTAGCCGGACAGTAGAAGTAGCGCCTGAACCTGGGAACCTCTCCACGACACTTGCACTAAAGAGGGAAAGGGAATTTGAGAGATTGTGTCCCCGGCCTGTATGGCCCAACAGTGTCGACGAAAATGGCGGGGCTTCGAACGGAAGTGGAAAACTGAGAGCAGGAAGTAAAAATACAACTGAACTATCTCTCCTCCAAGGAGGCACGGAGAGATCTCTTGTCCATCCATTACTCGATCTGCCGGCCGCACCGCGCTGAGTTGCTCTGGCTTGCTATCAGGATCTAATCGCCTTGAGCTCCTGTTGGTTAGGTCTCTACGCCATCGACGTCCGAGTAGCACAGGTGCGGTATGGCGCATGTCCAGGACCTCAGGACCCTATCAGGCAAGCAGCAGCGGCTGCAGGCGCCAGAACAGAGGATTCGCGATCTGTCTAGTGCAGCTGATATATGGAGGATGCTTAGTGCCAGAGATATCATTGTCGTTGGGCGGCTGGCTGTGAGCGGTCGCGGATCGCATTTCCTGTTTGAGGCAAGAACCCCACGAAAAGCCAGTGGCAATTCATCACGTGAGCCGGCTTGAACGTTCACATTCACGTCTTCTTTCTTGGAGTAGATGAAAGTGCCGTAATGGAATCCTTAGGGCAAATGAGGCACAATGGAGCATTCGGCGTATGCTGCGGGCACGTGTAATTGGTTTCTATAGTACCTACCAACCTTGTAGGTGCCTAGGTAGGTATTGACCTGAGGGGATCCCCAATACAAATGGTAATGGTAATATAGGACTGATATAGCAATGAGATTGAACGCACTTCATAGGGTAGATAGATTTAGAGAAAGTTTGATATAATAACCGAAACATTAAATATGAGTTTCGGTTCAACATAAAGGCCAAAAGGGTATATAGTTAAGACTCCAAATCCCCACTGATGGCTTCTACCTATGCCTTAAGCATATTCCGAGTGGCTTCGCCATCCCTCCCTGCAAAATACACTCCGATACATAAGTACAGACCGCCCTGTGCCTCATCCACAAACCCAACAAATTAACATGTATACTGTAGCATGCTATATCCTATCCGAGGAGACCGCTTGTTGAATGCGCTGCAGTGACAAAAACTCCCTAAAAATGCTCCATGCGCTAAACTCCAGCAATCTTCTTCCATCGACTAAATAGCCCTCCAGTGGCGCTAGCACCCCTAGAAGGAGTCGTATCGACAAAGCCAGAGTCTCTACGACTAGATCGCCGCCCATCACCTTGACTACCTTCCGTGCTCTTGCCGACTTCCTTGTCCATCCGGCGCGACTCGCGTCTCCGTCTCCGTTCTTCCGGATCGTCGTCGTCATGCTTCGAACGTCGATGCGACTTCCTCGATCTTCTTGCGTTGTCATCAGTCATTCCACCATCTCCAGCTCCTTCCGCGGATGGGGTGTCCTCAGGTGGTGGCGGAGCATCAGAATGATCTTTCACCCACGAATCTGTCCCGGAATGTGGCCAGCCAGCCTTCTTGCGCTTGGAGTCCTGATAAACCGGACCGTCTGCCGCCATGAACTCATCATCCGTACGACGAGATTTGCTTCCGTTTCGAGGATCGAAATAGTCATCTACAACAGGGGCCGATTTGCGGCGACTAGTTCTTGGGCTGTCCCCAGAACGCATAGAACGTCGTTCTTGGCGCCTCCGCCGGCGTTCTTCACTATCCTCGGCTGGCGTATCAATATGTGACCTTCTCCGACTTGACTTCTTGAGTCGCCCTGGATCTTCTGCCGGAGGTTCAGCGTCGGTGTACGCAGCCTCCTTTTCGGCCCTCCTAGCCCGACGCCGCTCTTCCCGAGTCGCCTCCTTTTCTTCTGCAGCCTGCCGGGCAGCTTCCTCCTGGGCTTTCTGCTCCCGCCGGGCTGCGCGTCTTGCCTCCTTCTCCCGTTGCCGGCGAACTTCGAGCTGCTCCTCTTCTTTCTTCCGACGCTCTCGCCTTTCCTCCTCCTTTGCTCTTCGAGCATCCTCGGCTGCTTTTTCAGAAGCCTCTCGCTCGGCTCGCCTTGTCCGCCTAGCTGCTCTTCGGGCTTCCTGATCTTCCTCTGCAGCTCCGCCAGACATTGTTACGTCGCGATCCGTGACATCGCCACCTGAACGATCCACTGCAGGCCGCTTGATTTTCCGATCCTCGCGTCTGAGGCCTCGGGGACCTTCATCATCAGTGAGAGCAGTGCTGCGGCGTTTGTTATCAGGTCGTGATTTTGAGAGCAATCCACCAAACATCCCACCGAGTCCAGCACCCTTCTTCGCCCTCGAGTCAGACCTTTTCAGTCCAGTGGAGCCCAAATTCTCTGAAGGGCCTCCGGCATCAACCATAACGATATCATCTTCTTGTTTCGCCTGCTTAAATTTTCTGGTGTTAGCGCTTGACTCCACTTCAAATGGCACCCCTCTTCTTCGATATGGTAAGTCGGCGGCTCGGGGTGGCATTGGTACCGCCGGTGGCGGGGCGCTTGTGTAAATTGGGTCTGAAATTACCTTCGATTTTCTTTTCCGGTCACGGCTGGATCGTTCCGGACTGGCTTGATCTTCACTGCCTCCGACCATTACAATATCATCATCATCATCATCAAGCAGACCTAGAAACAAAATGTTAAAACCAATTTTAAGGCGGGTTAGGGGATTAATTTATGCAAGTGACATACCACGTGATTTGCTCTGTTTCTCGGATTTGCTCCTGGACAGTTTTCCGGGTTTGATACCAAGCATCTTTGCGGCTTTTGCGGATATCTCTGGCGGTGGAGATGGGATACCCGAGCCATCGATGACCACAGACTGCCGCCGGGAACTGGTTCGACCACTTGCACTCGGTCGCCTATCCGAGACAGATTTAGACCTTGAGAGGGGCGGTGCGCTGCTGAACATGCTTGAAAGTCCTCTCGACTTCGGCGGCCGATCTGCCTTGTCTGACGAAGAGTCTTTAGATGAGCTCTTTTCTTCCTTTTCTGTTGACCTTTTCGATGATTTTGCGCGCTTTACTTCTCCATCCTTAGATTTCTTCTCCTCCTTGACAGGCGTAGGTGCGCTGTCAGATTTCCGGTCTTTGGAGGGCTTCTTCTCGTCTTTGCGCGGGGCAGCGCCCCATGCACCCCAAGAAGACCCATCGCGAACAACCCGTGGCCGTTCTTTCTTAGATGACTTGGGTTCTGGAGGCGGGGTTGGGGGACTAATAGGCACAACTTTCTCCTTCGTAGGCTCCTTGGCCTTAGAGGACTTGCTCTTGCTCTTGGGCTTGGCTGCAGCAGGCATCTCCTCGTCCGCTGTGTCGTCGTCGACGATATCAGTGGGGAAACTCCCGGGTACAGCTTTAGCTGTCGCAGTCTTACTAGGCAACGCAGCTTTTTCGCTGGCAGCGCTCTTGTCTTTGGCTTTGGAGGTTTGCGATTTAGATTTCTTTTTATCCTCTTTAGGCGGGGGTGATGGAGGGGGCGGCGGCGGTGGCGGGACAGCTTCTGCCTCCTTCGGTGTCTCAAAGGCCTTCAATCGGTCAGCAATCTTTCCGCCAACGGGCTTCTTGGTCACGACCGAAGCCCTCATGGACGCTGCAGCTGCAGCAGTCGTTGCGGCGACAGCAGCAGGCTTCCAAGATGCAGTCGTGTCCTTAGAGCTGGTAGCGGCTTCTGGAAGCTTCGCTTTGTCAGCACCCGCCATCGCAATCTCGTCTCGCGCCAGCCCCTTGCTCGTCTTGGACTTGCTTGTTTTCTTCGTTGCGCCCCAGAAACTAAATGCTTCAGACGTGTCGGCGGGCGGGTCGATGTCAATTAATGGTTCCGGCTCCGGCTCGGGTTCGGGTTCCGGCTCCGGCTCCGGGGCGCCTTTAGCCCCCTTCTTCAACTTCGAGGTCTTTGAGTCCTTTTTGGACTTCTTAGAACCCAGCAGCTCCTTATCTCGCGCTGCTTGCTCTTCTGCTTCCTTTGCACGAGCCGCTTCCTCCTCCTCTGCTCTCTCTCGCTCCGCCTGTTCCTCAGCTTCTTTGGCTGCAGCAGCAGCTTCATCCGCCGCCTTCTGCTTAGCCGCCGCCTCGTCTGCCTTCTTCTGTTCCCGCTTCGTCAACTTTGGCTTTGATGCTTTGGCCTCTTTCGCCTCTTTCGCCAGTGCCTCGGCCTCCTCTCTAGCCTTAGCTTCCGCTTCTTCAGCCTGGGCTCTCTCTTCAGCCTCTTTTGCTTCGGCAGCTTTGGCATCAGCCTCCTCCTTGTCCGCCTTCTTCTTCGCCTTCTCGGCCTCCTTTTGCTCCTTCTTAGTAAGCTTCCGAGTGGGTGGGGCTTCTTCATCCTTCGACTTGGAACTTTTTGCAGTCGTTTCACAATCCCAAGGATCTGGTTCCGGTTCGGTGAGATCCATGGACGGTGGTGTCGGGGCGGGAGGAGGTAAGTCGTCAGTTTTCTTTGATTTCCCTTTCTTATCCTTTTTGGTAGACGTTGTGGGCCACGCTCCCCAATCGTCGCCGGCAGCCTTAGTATCTACAACTGGATCAGGCTCAGGAGCTGGGGTTTCATCGACTACCTCTATTACGGCATTCTTGCCTTTACCTTTCTTCTTATCCTTTTTCGAAGAGGGGGTGGCCCAAGGATCATCGGCTTTTGGCTCTTCGACCGCATCGGGTTTGATCGAGTCCACATCGAACAGGCCCTTTTTCTTTTTGTCCTTCTTCGTAGAGCCCCAGCCACCCATAAAGTCATCGTCCGCAGCAACTTCAGGAACGGTAGGTTCGGGTTCTTCCGCGCCAACATCGAACAGAGCTTTCGAGCCCTTTGTCTGTTTCTTATCCTTCTTTTGGCCCCAATCCATCCAATCGTCGTTTTCAGGTTGCTCGATCGCCTCGAATATGGGAGCCGGCTCGGTAGGCGGAGGAGACATCTCTTTAGACTTCCCACCCTTCTTCTTGTCCTTTTTAGTGGAGCCCCAGGTCCCAAAGCTCGTGTCATCTTCAAGAGGCTTATCTGGCTCCGGGGCAGGATCTTCAACAATGCCTTTGCCTTTCTTCTTTTTATCCTGCTTTGTCCCCACAGAGCCCCAACCAAAATCATCAGTTGCGGGTTCAGGTTCGGGTTCAGGTGGCGGGGGTTCCTCGACCACGTTCTTGACCTTCTTTTTTTTGTCCTTTTTCGAAGTTCCAAAACCCCATCCGTCATCAACGACCGGTTCGGGCTCGGGTTCTGGGTCCGGAATTACGACCTCTTCAATTTTGGCAGGTTCCTCGACAACATTTTTTCCCTTCTTCTTTTTGTCTTTCTTCGAGGTTCCCCACCCAAAATCGTCTACTACTGGTTGTATCTCTGGCTCGGGAGCAGGCGGTTCTTCAGGCTTAGGGGGTTCTGTACTGCTGGCTTTCCCCTTTTTCTTCTTATCTTTTTTCGAAGTTCCAAAACCCCATCCGTCATCAAGTACGGGTTCAGGTTCAGGTTCAGGTTCAGGCGGTGGTGGCGGCGGCGGTTCTTCAACCTTGGGTGGTTCCTCGATCACGTTCTTCCCTTTCTTCTTCTTATCCTTCTTCGAAGTTGAAAAAGAACCCCACCCTTCATCAACTACGGGCTCGGGTTCAGGCTCAGGCGGTGGTTCTTCAACTTTGGGTGGATCCTCAACCACGCCTTTCTTCTTCTTCTTATCTTTTTTCGAAGTTCCAATAGAACCCCATCCGCCATCAATTACGGGTTCAGGCTCAGGTGGTGGTGGCGGCGGCGGTTCTTCAACCTTAAGTGGTTCCTCGAACACGTTCTTCCCTTTCTTCTTCTTATTCTTCGAAGTTGAAAAAGAACCCCACCCTTCATCAACTACGGGTTCGGGTTCAGGCTCAGGCGGTGGTTCTTCAACTTTGGGTGGATCCTCAACCGCGCCCTTCTTCTTCTTCTTCTCCTTCTTTGAAGTTCCAAAAGAACCCCATCCGTCATCGGCTGCCGGTTCAGGTTCAGGTTCAGGCTCGGGCGGTGGCGGTGGTTCTTCAACCACGCCTTTCTTTTTCTTCTTGTCCTTCTTTGAAGTTCCAAAAGAACCCCACCCGTCATCAGCTACGGGCTCAGGCTCAGGTTCAGGTGGTGGCGGTTCCTCGACCTTGGGGAGTTCCACAGCCCCACCCTTCTTCTTCTTTTTGTCTTTCTTACCAGTCCCAAAAGTGCCCCATCCGTCGTCAGCTACGGGCTCAGGTTCGGGTTCAGGTGGCGGGGGTTCCTCGACTATGGGGAGCTCCTCGACCGCATTTTTCTTCTTCTTCTTGTCCTTCTTAGAAGACCCAAAAGCCCATTCATCGTCTACGGGGGTGGGATCTACCAATTTCGGTTCGGTATTCGGTGGATCTGGGTCAGATTTCTTTCCCTTCTTGTTCGACTTAGCAGTACCCCACCCCCCCCAGTCGTCTTCAGCTGCGCCCTCGTCGACGGCTGGCGTAGGTTCTACTTTAGTTTCTTCGGGTTCTGCAAATGCTCCCTTCTTCTTCTTCTTGTCTTTCTTGGATACAGGGGCTGTAAAGCCGAAGTCGAATGCGTCTTCTTCAGCCTTTTTGTCCACTTGGGGATCAGGTTCCGCCGGCTTTTCCTCTTCATCAAGAGCCCCAAAAGAAATACCCGAATTCTTCTTCTTCTTCGATTTCCCGCCATTGGCACTCCATGGATTGCTTTCGATCTCAGGCTCCTTTGTTTTGGAATCTGTGGCCGCTGTGGCAGAGAAGTCCCAGGTGCTAGGTTAATGTTAGTACGTCCGACATCACACGAAGAATGGAGACATCTAAATCGAATTACGCCAAAGAAAATAGGCCGGAAATGATGCGCTTTGGGTTTGGCTCAGTTGGGTTGTTTCGACATGGACAATCAGAAGCAGGAGATTGAGGTCAACCAAACCACCCAAAACGAACTAGACAAGGAAACCAAAGGAACGAAAAAACTTAGCCATCTTACTTTGTGGTTCCTGTATTCCAACTACTGCCCCACGCGCCAAAGCCTGACGTGCCAGACTTACCTGCAGGACCACTGTCGAAATTCAGGTCCAGCATCGGTGCAGTATCATCCAATTTAATTTCATGGAAAGCATCGAACTTCTCTTCCGCAGGGGGAGCGGGAGGCTCCTCCACCTTGTTGTTCTTCTTACCCTTCTTCTTTCCTTTGGCTGGCATGAAGCTATCCCAGTCATCTTCAGGCTTGGTGTCCCCCGCCCCATCGCCGTTGCCGTTTAGCTCATCCTTCTTATCGCCATCGCCATTATCACCAGCGCCAGCACCAGTGTCCCCTGAACCTTTGTCGCCCCCATCCCCTCCTTCGCCGTCCTCTTTCTTGCTTCCATTATCTTCGTCGTCATCTCCCCACTTAGACTTCGCCGCAGCTTTGGCTGCCTTCTTGCCCTTCTTTGCCGCCTGCTGGAATCCGTCCTGCGACTGGAAGTCAACGCGGGGATTCATGGCGGGGTCATTAAACCAGGATGGGGTATCTTCGTTCCTTCGGGGCTGGGCGGAGGCGCTAATAGGAATATCAGTAGGATTCGGAGGGTTACGACGGGCGAGGGTCTCGGTATCGTGCAAGTTGGGAGCGTCGTCACTCGGCTGGGAGGTATGAGGGGATTTGGACGGGCATTCTCGAACAGAAGCCGGAGCTGGAATGGGAGGCTTCAGTGGCTCGTAGGCCCGTCTGCAGCGCCACGTAGATGCCAAATCCGGATATATGCCCTATAAGTTCGTCAGAGATCTAGGTCGTGATGTTATGATGCACACCGCTGTGGTGCAGCGGGGAAGGGGTCGCGGCCGCTACTGCACTGCACGACAGCAGCGGCGGCGGCCATGCCACAGTAGAGACAGAGGCAGGTTCAGGTTCAGGTTCACGGGAAGTTTAGAAAAAAAGGCTTCTCTCATACCACTCTCGAGCATGCTGCGTCCTGTCCGTAAGACTTGGGAGCTCGCGATGCAACCCATGCGCGCGCCAGGAGCCTCAGCCTTATCCGGGTATCCTCCTCATCCCACCCAGTCGTCCAAGGCTGGGTCGTGGCCGGATGCAATCCAAAAGGGCTCCTTGGGCGGATTCCGCCATATCCTAAACCTAAAACCTCGACGGCAGCCATTGTGGGTGTTCGAGCTTGTGGTTCCGCGGATTGCCGTCAGACTCATCGAAGCTACCGTTGTGTATTGCGTACTCTACTCGGGAGGACAGAAGGGGCGCAAATAAAAAATGACCAGCAAATGGAGCACAGGGAGCCGCTGCGCAGGTGCAGATCTAGCTAGGAGTGAGCGATGGACGATTGATGGCTTCGTCCCTCGCGACGAAAATGTTCGGTTGATGGGGAAGAGAGATGGAGATAGCGAGATGCGCAGCAAAGCAAGAAATCCAAACCGGGGGGAAGATATCACCAGGCGGAGGATTTGTGGTGGATGGATTGGATGGATTGGATGTCTGGGAGAACAGATGTGGTCACACGGAGATGTTTTCACAGGCAAGGAATGGTATTGGGGGGATTGGGGATGGGAATGGAATAAGACCAGGGGACGACCTGAGACATCCCTCGATGATAATATCAATCAAGTTTCGAGTCGTCTGTACCTAGGCACGTACATAAGGTACTCTACTACTTTGCTTTAGTTTATTTAGTTTATAGGTTGCGTTTACCTGGTTAATTATGTAGTACTTCATTACTGGGTGTAGTAGTCCCGGTGACTACGAAGTACGACACTGTACTATACAAAGTACTTCATCCAGCACCATAACAAATGCTTGTGTATCCGCCCTGTACATCCTCAGCCCTTAACCTTATCGAAGGGCCTGTCCGTGCCTTGTCCGATACACGAACTTTACATTTGCCGCAGAGCGCGAAAAATAAATACTGTGACCATACCATACCGTACGGCGCAAGCAATACGCACTCTATATGAACCAGATGCCCAAGATGCCCAAGATGACGCCTGGCTAAGAGGTACGTACTGTACTGTATGCTGTATGTACTACTGCACGGTGGTCCATACTATCAGCCGTCAGTCCGTCACGGAAGAAAAACTAATAATAATATTAAAAAAATAGGGTAGCCTACAGTAGGAACTTTTCTCCTCTGGTGCGGGTACAAACAGTAACCCAACCCAACCCAAGCCCAGCCCAAGCCCAGCCTAACCAACCAACCTCAGCGCTCTCCGAGGACGCAGCCCGGGATGCGCAGCCCCCATTCCCAGTTTCATTCCATTGCTCTGTTCCGAATGGTACCGGTACGGACAGTGTGCGGACATGCGAGCGAAGTCCTTGGTGCGTCTCTCGTAGGGCGTCGTGGGCGCTCGTAGCAGCCCGGGCAAAAAGGCGTCGACGGGCCAACCACTCGAACAGAACTTGGTACGCTCTCCTGTTTCCCCCGGTCTTCGGACGCTTCACCGCAACTTGGTCGTTATTAGTCGTTATTATTTGAGAAAGGGGCGAATATCCACGGACAAATCGCCTGGCCGCAATTGGCTTTGCATAAGGGAGCCATTTCCAGCGGCGTCGTGGTTGGCTACGCGTTGCTGCCCGGGCTTCCTAATGGGAGAAAAACTGCGTGCCAGGTGGCTTTGTCGGGACAATTCATACACCAGTGACACTGTCCTGCATACTTGCATTCTTGCCGTGGTGATGATAGGGGGCCCCCAATGCGGTAGTGTGTTGCATTGCTGCCATGGTGCTGGTGATGGTCTATGGTGATGTGATTTGAGATGAGCACCAAGTAATAATACTTACAAGTACGAAGTACAGTGCCTACGAAGTACTTCGTGCTCAGTCTGCCCTTGCATCCACAACACCAACACCTCCAATAAGTCCAATTCTGAAATTCCTGCCAAATACTTTGTTAGTACGAAATACTTCCTTCGCACAAGCGCGGTTACTTAAGGACCGGACCGCGATGCGCAGATGCAGCGTGATGCATTCTTGCATATACAAGTACAAGTGTCGAGCACTTCGTAACCTCGCATTGCATGAGATAAAGGCCACGAAGTACCTTTGTACAAGTAGCAAATCCTTTAGCCGCGGCAGACAACCTCCCTTCAATCAATCGCCCGGAATACCTATTATTTGCCCCGTTATTTCCCATTTCCCCTGTATGTACGATGTGTTGGCCAAGTACGAAGTAGCAACGGCTCAGCCTCTTCTTGTTGTCGAGGCGCTGCAATCTCAGCCCATTTTTATCTAGAACTTCGCCGTATGGCGAAACTGTGTTGGGTTTCAGTATCGATTAACCCAGCAAAGCGTATCTGGGAGATGGGAGGCCTCATCGGTCCTGGGCCGTGCGCTGTGATGTTGAAGGGATCTACTCCGTAAGGCAGCAAAATACCCAAGCCATCGTAGATCAGGTCAGGTCTATTTTGTTTCATTTTTTGTTGGACCATGCAACGTGATGTTATTCCCAAACCAGCCTTCTTTTTTACAAGGGAGGGTTTTGTTCTAGAAGCTGATGAGATGATCCTCCCGCAGCCAAAATCTAAAGGCCGTACCAAGGAATCCCAGTGAGTAGAAGCATATCAGAAGACATATGCATGGACATACTCTAAGCTTATACGGCCGTGAACCAATACTCTCCAGTGATTGAGCCATTTTTACTGGCCTGCCAGAGTCTACTGGGAGCCACTTAAATTTGGGGATGCCTTTTCTGTAATAACAAAAAACTGATTGGTTCGATTCAACCATTGACAGGTGTACCTACCCGGGGAAGAAATTGAGATTCTGTCCTATAATATTGCTTACGCAGTCCCATAGGAAAAGCCAATCAGTAGCACCATCAGCCCAAAAGCATTGGTTCCTTGCATAAACCATGCGTCATAAATCTATAGAGCAGAGTCCAATCACACTAGACTTGATATGTGCAACGATATCTGCATTGCTATACAGTCTAAATATAGTCTCGAAGTAGAAAAAAAAGCTGTTCAGACAAAGGTGTATATGCTGCTGAATGTGGGAGGGCCGTGAGCAAACATAGCAAACTGTGGTATCTAAATGCGCCCATGATGAAAATACATGCATGGCCCAGTTATTGAGTCATCCTAAAACCCAAATCATTGCCCAATATCCCCCAAAAGTTAGAAAGTAAAAACATATGCTTCGTTAACGACCTCCAAGGTCACTTGAGTAATCGTTATATGTGTCGGTCATTTGGCCTTGGGGATAACCCTGCTGTGGCCCGGGACCGCTCGACACATAACCTCCTTCGTCGCCCTCATCGTAGTATTCAGATCCGCTAGCATCAAAGCTACTTCTCCCACTGGGATCGTCTTCAAGACCGACATCTCCTGGAGGCAATTCTGCCCAACTCAAAGTCGCGAGAGCAGGGTACTGCGCCAGTAATGCGGCTGGAAGAGTGTAATTTCCGCTAGCGTCCATCGGAAATCCGTTCGCATCCATAGGGATTGGCTGTTGCATGTTATGCTGCATGCGTTGCTCTTGCCATAGTCGTTGCCGCTCAATAGCCTCCTCATCAAGAAGGGGTTTGATACAGATACGCCCCGCTTCGGACCGGAAATGGCGGCCTAACGCGTCCGCGCGAGCAAAGCGACGGCCACAACCCCATTGCCCGTCTTGCTTCAACTCCCCTTTGCAAACAAATTTCTTCTCTCCCGAGTGCAACCCCTCATGCCGTTTCCGATCATGTTGGCGCGCGAAAGCTTTACCACAAACGGTGCAAACAAAGGGACGCTCATCCGTATGGGTACGCAAATGAGATCGAAGGTTGTAGGCACGAGTGAAGCGCTTAGGGCAGAGGTTGCACTGGAATGTTGCAGGATGTTTTTGGACACGCTTAGCATTACTGTCTGGCGTAGAAGCTTGGTAGTCGGGGTCCGCAAGCCCTAGAATATAGTCCCGATTTGGAAGTGAGGACGTGGATTGACGGCGTCTACTAGGTGAGCTCGCCCCGGCCCTATCATTAGGTGACAATGAGCGGTGCGGGTCGGGCGAGCGGACTGCAAGACCAGAGCCAACCCCAGCCCCTGGGGAATGTGGGCGAGAACTGCCAGAAGGGGTACTATAGGGGTCAGAAACTGCTCGACGACGGCGACCTATTTTCTATTAGCGACACTGACCCGAATAAGTCCATTTACTTTGTCCATGTACGTACCTCTATCTGGCGGCGTCAACGCATCTTGGTCAAAGGAAGAAGGTTTAGGCGGCTCAAAACTGTTCTGCCGAGAGGCTGGAGCAAATTCAACGTTGATTTCGGGAGGGACCATCTGAGGGGCCTGGCCTATATCCAGGGATCTATTCCCATGGATTTGGGGGAAGGGATCTTGGCTTTGGGATCCATACACATTCTGTGGGGGGCCGAAGCCGCTGTTCGTTCCAAGCATGAAGGAGTTTTGCTGAATAGGATTGGGAATCTGCTGGGGTGCTAGGCGCGGTGAAATAGCAGGACTATGGGCAGGGCTTAAACCCCTACCTGGGCTGGGTGCATGCTGAATCTGAGAGTCGGACAGTGAAAAACTACCAATCCCAAGAACTTCTTGGTACAGGCTTGCATCTTGTGGGTTTTGCATGGGTGAGTGATGCTGGTCTATTAGGTCAAAAGTATCGTGATGACCTAGATTGGGCGAATGGGCGGCCGAAGGAACCGATACATCCGAATACTCAGACGGTGTTCTTCGGTGAGTTGTAAATTGTGAAGGCATCATGCTCCAGTCGGTCTGGTTGTGTCCTTGGGGAAAGGCTGCGCTCTCTGGACCCAAGGACGCGTTTCGGGAGTGGCCTGGGGAAGGTTGGAATTGGCCCTGATTGAATAATGGAGATTGATGCGCTGAGGAAGGAGAGCGCGAACCAGGTTGCAGGAGCCCTGGGGGGGTTGGCGTATGGTTCGGAGGGGAAGACATGTTTAGCTCCGCGGGGTTCACCGAGGTGGTCTCTGGCTGCGAAGCAAGCTCGTTCACAAAAAAGTTCTGGTCGAATTGATCGCCCTGGCCAGGAGTCGAGAATAGCGAGAAATCGCCTTCGTTAAAACTTGAAGGGAGGTTTGCGCTAAGAAGCTCTTGTGTGAAGCTGCGTTGGGGCGGCTGACCGAATTGGGATGGTTGATCCTCCTGTTTGAATTGTGGATTGAAATCCTGGGACAGGGAATATGTAGGATCTTCCAAACTGGACTGAGAAAATGATGGGCCTTGTTGATTCAAAAACTCGTTATTCTCAGCATACGAATTGAAGTTGCTATTCAGATATTGCTGATTATTGCTAGTGTCCTGTAATGCTGGATCAAGGGCGAGTCCCAACCCAACTGATGTAGCATTCTCTTGGAAATGGGAAGGCGAGTTGCTCTGGCTTATATGAGACTGTTGATGCCCCGCGGACGGCGACCGCCCACGTTGTTGATCCATGTCGAACTTTGTTGTTGTTCTTATTCTTAGAACACGGTCGGGCTGTTTTCCAACTCGCGATGAGCCTCACAGGCACCGTGGCTGAGCCTTGGGGCTATGCGAAACGACGGGATATCCACTCGGGACGACCAAGATAGCTCGAGTACCTTGCAGATAAGCCTCGTTCGATGTGTTTGAATAGATTATCGATTAAGAACCGTCGACATGAAACGTCCAAGCCTGCAGCGCGACTTTGTTGACAATCTGGACGGTCGTGTTGCAACAAGCTGTCGTTGGAGATTGCGCAAGCGGCGACGGTCGCAACGGCAGAAATCCCACAACCCGAAGCGGCGCAAAATCTAGGATCGGTGATCTAGAGCAGAGCCCTTATGTATGTCCGCTGCCTGGAGGAGGAGTGTCTTGTGCGCGTTGTGAAGAGGAAGTGTAAGCGCCGAAGAGAGGTTGTCGGTGAAAGGCTGGGGGGGCTTTCGCGATCGCGGATACGGAGTACTCGAGTAGGGGATAGGGCGAAGCCGGCTGCAGCGCGTGCAAGCCTAGAGACGCCGATGAATGTCAGTAAAGAATTGCAGATGACGGGCGCGGGCGGGAGACAGAAGGATATGGATGTCGATGTCGATGTCGATGTCGATGCTGGGTCGAGGTCGAGGTCGAGGTCGAGGTCAGAGCGCTTGGGGCATAGATTTGGAGGGGTGGATTGGGTTTCGAGGCTTGGGGGGATGGGAATGAATGGAGGGGCCCAATCAACCGCGACTGTTGCGCTGACAGGACAGTACTTTGCTCTCTTCTCTCAGTCTCGCTTTCTGGTGGTCTCTCGGTCTGTACCTGTACCTTGGGTATGTCTCGTGTGTACGACAGTACTTTGCACCACGCAAGGTACTGCGCAGTGCCTGCCTAGGTACTCAAGTACTCAAGTACTCAGGTACTCAGGTACGCAGGTACGCAGGTACTCAAGTGCTACAGTACACACGGCCTAGAAGCTCAGGGACGGTTGACGATAGCGATTGCGATTGGATTTGGAATGATTTGGATTAGGAGGCGGCACCGAACAAAGTATGCGACGTCGACCCGGACCAGGCCAAGGGAGTGCACGGGGACAAAGCAACACCGCGCCACTCTGGCTGGTGTTGTGCTTGAATTCTACGTATGAAGCGGTACTCATATTTTAGAGCTGCTCCAGGTACAAGAGGCTGAAGTTGCTGGTAGTAAGCAGGTTACAGGTTCCTGGTTCTAGGGTTTTAATGCCTTGGTAATCGGGCACTAATGAAAGCTTAAGGGACAATGAAGTACCTCGAGAGTTATTTCCTTCGGTAGGCACTGTACTAGGTACGAAATACCCAGGAAGGTACTTCTTACTTCGTCCCTTACCTACCTTACCTAATGTTATTATTGCCCCCCTGTTGGTACCGTTTTAGCAGCGAGACAAATCGTGGCGCATGCGCATAGACTGGCCCAGGTGCCCCAACATCTCCGTACAAAGTACGAAGTACAGACTCACATTTACTTACTTCGTATTATAACAAGTTCTTTATATAGAGTACAGAGCCTTACTGCCAAGCTTCCTACGCTTTGGCCAGGCCGGCCTGCAAAGTCTATACCAAGTACAAAGTATTGTGCTGTAACAGTTCGATTTGGCTTTTTGTCTTCCGGTCAGGAACGAAAAACAGTGCGTCACGTGCCAAGGATCAACCGTGAATCGTAGATTGCAGCCCAAGCCAAGAGTAATCAGCGTGCTTGGCTCTGTTATCGGCGAATAACGGATCTAGGCAAGGTGTTTGTGGGTTCTCGGCCCTTTATATTTTATGTGGTACATGTAGGTGAGGTTTGGCGGTCCACGAAGTATTCGCACAAAACCCCGTAGGTAGGTGTGTATGATAAGGTAAGGTGCTCCGTACCTAGGTATATATATACTCCTTGCTCCTGGACGACCTTTGACGACGAGGGGCTAAGCTTAAACATGTGGCTAAGACGTGGAATAATTAAGCAACTGCTTAGCATGTCCTCGAATACTGACGATGTGCTTGGCTTTGTTGAAGGAATGCCTGCATGGACACACGTGATCATAGTAGCCTCAGGCCATCTATCTAAGCTAAGCGACCTCCTACTATACAGCGACTTCGAGCTCGCCCTAGACCTTTAGCAAATACGAGTACGGTACATCCTCGTTTTATCTAAATCTTGCACTCTCAGACTTGGCTTCTGCAATGCCAACCAACATAGAAGGTGGGGAGCTCCCGCTTATTTAAGTTATTACTTCATAGATGTAATAGGTAAAAGTACCAAGTACGAACTAGGAGGAGAAATCTTACACGGACTAGATCATTTGGTCAGCTAAAGCTAATCATAACGTGATGCTTTGGAGCTGCCGCGTGCCTGCTTATTAAAGAGTTGTCATCACAATAACAATCTACATCCTCGGTTGCGCCTGCCGTTGCCACGACGGGGACTAGCCCAACCGAGTCAATCATCACCCATCCAGCCACCGCTAGCCACAAGCCATGGCCGCTGAGTGATGGGCAGTGGGGGGTTGGGTAATGATGATCAAGTCAGTCCAGGGCGCCGTTGACCATATTGCAAGTGCCAGATACTCGGAATGCAATGTAGGTACTGTATTTACAAGTCCCGCATCACACATATAAATAGTCTCTTGGTCCCCTTCTCCCCCACCGACACTACTACTTGCATTCCACTATCTATCTACAATAACCACCGCACGTCCACCCCGACTTCCATTCCTCTGTCCCCTCACTACCCGATATCCAAGTAGTCATACCTACGTCATTCACCATGGCTCCCAAAGTTGCAATCGTCTTTGTAGGCCACCCCGCTTCCCGAGGAAACCCCAATTGCTGATAACGCTCCCAGTATTCCATGTATGGCCACATCCAGCAGCTCGCCGAAGCTGAAAAGGAAGGCCTGAAGAAGGTCGGCATCGAGGCCGACCTCTTCCAGATTCCTGAGACGCTTCCACAGGAGGTTTTGACCAAGGTAAGCCCGAGCGTCGACATCGGCTTGAATCTATCCACCTCTGGATTGTTCTGCACTGCTCTTCCAGCCATTGGAACCCAAGCTTACGTGGTACTCTCCCTTCTAGATGCACGCACCTCCCAAGTCCAAGTATCCAGTCATCGATGCTAAGACCCTTGAGAACTACGATGCTTTCCTGTTCGGCATCCCAACTCGTTATGGGAACTTTCCCGCTCAGTGGAAGACATTTTGGGATACTACCGGCGGTCAGGTAAGAATAACCAGCTTCTCTAATATCTCTTCCTGCATTTTGCACGAGAGATTTCGAATTGTGTGAGACTATAATACTAACTCCTATGTTTTAGTGGAGCACTGGGGCTTATTGGGGCAAATACGCTGGAGTGTTCGTGTCAACCGGCACCCCTGGCGGCGGACAGGAGAGCACAGTCATTGCGTCGATGTCCACTCTTGCCCACCACGGCATCATCTATGTGCCTCTAGGCTACAAGACTGCCTTCCCCATTCTTGCAAACCTCTCCGAGGTTCGAGGTGGCTCACCCTGGGGTGCAGGCACCTTTGCTGTAAGTTGCGCTTAAGACCACACTGGGGAAGTCACTAATCATATCCAGGGCGCTGACGGATCCCGCCAACCTACCCCTCTTGAGATCGAGCTTGCTACCACTCAGGGGGAATCTTTCGGCAATGCCATCTCGAAGGTTAACTTCGCTTGACTAGATGACCGGGCGGCGAATGGCCACGAAAGTGGCTCAGGAGCGGCCAAATCGAGTGGTGCGGCATCAAATGCCGAGACTCCCCAGCCCAAAGTAGGCGGAGCAAACAAACAGCCAGAGCCAGCAAAGACAGAAACCAGCAGTGGGCCTTGTGGCTTACCTTCTAAATGCAACATATTATGAGTCTATCATTCTGTTAGTAGTATTTGCGGTTTAATGAAAAAAAAGTATAATGCCAATTTTTGTACATGCCTTTGTGGTTGTTTTCGCTGTGCTAGAACCAGTGTAGTAGATCTCTAGCTCCACCACATGTGAAATCTGCTAGTGTCTATTAATGCACTAGACTCTGTAGTACACCTATGGGGAATCTAATCCACCAAGTGCGACGTCTTAAACGGATAAAAGGTTCCATTATCCAGAATAATAAAAAGCTGGCTGACAGATGTCCCCAGCCTCCTCCAGCCTATGGAGCGTTGTTACCGAGATACGGCTGCAGTCCGGGGATTACACGTGTAGAGATACCGAGCCTGCGAATTCATTGGGCATTAATACATTAAGATATTTGTTGTCCCCTTCACTCCTCCCCATCAAGGTCTTCCTGCATCTGCCGCTCTGTTGCGAGTATTAGCTTAGCGGTCTGTGCGAGGACGAAGTTGTTTTTCATACCCCAGAGTTTATTTGCGGATCGTGAGATGATCTCTACCTTCTTGTGTAATTTTTGGATATACTTCTCTTCACTGGCTGAGTCTAATAGGGGTTTCTTCGGTTGAGCCTATCCGGTAAATGAGCCTTGCACACTTGTAACTGACATAAAGCTTACTAATAAGAGAACAGAGAGAAGCTCTTTTAGGTCTGCGGCTGCCACAGCACCTACGGTCTTATATCCATTCTCCCAGAATATCCGCGCCGTCCGGCTTTTGATATAGGTGATCTCGGCCAAGGCAAGTAGATCTAATCTAGCTCCTAAAGACATGTTAGACGCCGCAATATGCATGACCGGCTAGCCTAGCTGTCATCGCAGGATGGTCGGGATTTTATCATCTGCAAGAAAACGTACCAGCTTTAAGTCTGTCTGAGTAGTGGTCAAGAATGGCAGCGAGGCCTCCCCATTCCATCCGCTGGCAGAACTTAATCATCCCAGCGGCAAATCCATGACATGCCTGGGCTAAATTTTGCACAATCCCTCGTGGCAGATCATATTTGCGGGCCACCGCATGGATAGGCATCTCATTGCAAATATCACGAAGCTGTAATGCGGAGTAGAAACGCTTGTATATCCGGGCAGTTTCTACTTCTTGCGCGGTTGTCTCCCTCATGGTACCGCCATGTGCCCTATTATAACTGTTAATGGAAGGCCATTTACAGCCACATCAACTCACGAACATCTTGTTAATCATCATAGGCTTCAGGCCCACAAAATCCAGGACCCTCATGTTGCTCTCACCAAGGCGTTCCATCTCCGTGCGGAAGACCCGCCACTGCAAGGGCCGTTAGAACTAGAAGACATATGGTAGGGTAAGAAGAGTTTGTCATCCAACCTAGGCGAAAATATAGTGAGCTCGAGGATGACTTACGTTGATATTAGACGACAGGGCATGGACAGGCGTGAAGGTGTAGAACGCATGCATTTCGCCGTCCAGAACAAACCCTCGTAAAGCTCTTGATAATTCCCTGTGGACAAATAGACCGTCTTCTGGTGTTAGGGCCGATGCCACGATAGCCTGGCCTAGGAGGGTGGCTTCGTATACAGAGTCATCGGTCCCCTTAATGAGGTCTATCTCTAAAAGATCGTCCAAAGCTAATCTAGTCATGGCTGCAAGCTCACCATGGTCTATCGAGTGGTATAAGAGCGTCTTTTTCGTATAATCGTCGATGGAATCACGGCTGGTTGCTAGTCTCGTTGCAATCACCTCCAACAACGCTCTATGAACTACGTAAGCGGGACTCAAAGGCGGTTTAAAGCACATCATTTCGGAGCAGGAGAAATACCTCTTGATCCCTCGTTTCTCGGGGAATAAACAGCTCTCGACAACCGGGATATCTGCTTCCATAAGCTCGGCAACGGCCTCGAGGTCACCTTTTTGGCAGCAAAGATATGTTTCGCCAATTTCGTCTTTTCCTTTCCGCCCAGCTCTTCCTCTCATTTGCCGCCTTTTCAGTTAGTTGGGAGGCATATGGTCCTGATAGGATAGACGTACAGCATAGAAGGCCCAACAAAATCGATTCCCATTCGCGCCCCATGAAGTATTACTCTTCTGGCTGGAAGGTTTATCCCGGCAGCCAAACTACAGGTTGCCACAATAACCTTGATCGCTCCCTCGTCATAAGCTGCTGCAATCAAGTCGCGTTCCTCGCTGGTCAAACCAGCATCTATAAAGTCAGCCAACTCATTGCAAGCTTAGTGGTGCTAGATGCCACTTACGATGAAATGCAACTCCAACCGGTATGGTTCTCTCCAACGTATAATCCAATCCAGCGCTTGTGCTTCTCAAGTCATTTACCAATTCTATCCGCTTGTCAAGAACATCTGCATCAACTTCATCTGGCCTAGGTAAAACTTGACTGATGAGTACTGCATCCTTCTCGCAACCTGATCGACTGCTGCAAAATATCAGCGCCCCATATCCCATCCTAGCTGTCTCATTTGCAAGAGAAACAACGGAATTTACTACCGGATTGCTAAACTCCTTGATTTGCGAGGCGTTGATTAACCTTAAAGGTTCAGGGCTTACCGGTGAGGCGCATTGAGTTTGTGAGTTGAGCTGTGTGGCTGTCCTGTAGAATACGCTCGAAGTCGACGCTGAATAGACAGTATTGTCGAACACGAGGTGCTCCTCAACCGGAACTGGACGATATCTGGAAACGTAGAACTTGGCATTATCTAACCATGTTGCCAGTAACTCCGTATTCTATTCAAACTAAGCAAAGCAAAGTTAAAGAGATGATGTAAAGACCTACATTTAGGGTAGCACTCATGCCAATCAGCTTCCGAATAGAGCAGTCAGCATTAGCCCCCGTGTCAATACACGGCGATATACATAGGTCTTTAGATGAGGCAATAAAAAGATAAAACCCAAAAGGCTTGGCCTGGCTTTTGGAATTTGACAAAATGAGATCTGCTTTTTCCTAGCAACTTACTTGCACGCTATGCTCCAGGCTGAGAAGTTTCGTGGCCATTAATTCCAATATATAGCCTCGGCTTTCGTCATCAAGCATATGTAGTTCATCCATGACGACGACTCCTAGTTTTCCGATAGAGCAATCTTCGATAGCGGTATTTACAAGCCCATTTGCCTGTTGTGGTATTAGTGACATCGGACTCATATTCCATTTAGTGGCCATAACCTTCTCAATAGTGCAAACTGCGATATCTATATCCGCCCACGTAGCTTTAGTCTTGCTACCCCCAAAGAAACCTACCACTCTGATTGAGTCTTCATCCCCTTGCTTTCTCCAAATGGATGGGGGCTGTTGAGTATAAGAATCGGCGGCGGCCGTCTTGGTAATACCATCCACAACCTTCCTCAACCAGCGCAACTTTTCCTGTACGAGAGACACATATGGGAGGACGAGCAACGCCTTTTCCCCAGAGGACACCTTCTTGAGCATTAAGATGTCGGCAACGAGGGATTTGCCGCCTCCGGTAGGAGCAGTGTAGATCAGGTTTTTCTCTCCGGACAGTGCTCCGCTTCGCAAAAGGCAATCAGATTGCCACGGATATATGGATTTGACACCAAGGGATGCAAGGTTTTTGGCCAACTGGCTGGGTAACCCATAAACAGGATGGGACAGATCCAACAAGGGGTTAGACGTTGGGGTTGGTGTTAAAGCCAGGCCGTGCCTTTGAGAATATACCGATGGGTCATGGTCGGTAAGATCTTGAATTTCGCTGGCTTTCAACGCCCCAAAACACTTTGCCTGAACCGGTGCACGAGGGAGACGTGCTTTATCCGTGACGTTGGCAAGGATGGCCTTTGGATTTTGCCGCTCGCCATAGAAGTCATCATAACTTCTTTTCCGGCCAATATGTGATACCGTGGTGTAGGCTCCCTTGGCGACATCGACAGTCGTCGTGTGATAGGTGCCTGCTGTTCCTTTGGTCGCCATGCCGGTAGCTAATCATAGTTAGCTTGATGATGGAACCTAAATACTGTACGTGGACATTGTACTACATACTCAGGAACTGGCTAGGAATACACCGTACGTTCATGTGTTTCCAGACGGGGACGCGAACGCGGGTGCAGTATTTACTACCGAAAGAGGTAGTCACGTGTTGCTAGCAATACTCCCTTACCGTAAGCTCTCAGGTACATAGTTCTTCGTTGGTACATTTACATATACCTTACCTATACCTCTACCTATTGTAGTTGTAGCATAAGGTATCTGGTAACTGAACATAAAGCCCCTTAGTCTTGCCTACCTCTGGTACCTAGGAGTACCGGTGCCTGGTACCTACCTTTAGGTACCTTACCGAGGTCGTTGAAAGTCGACGAGCACCTCACTACGAAGCACAGGATCAAGCTTGCCCTTCACTAGGCAGTGCTGAGCGCGGAAACAGGTCAAAGTACGGAAGAAGCATCAGAGACCCAGCAAGTGGTTAGGGCAACACCTACGCCCTATTATACGTGGAATCGGGAAGCGTGGGCCATGGAATTTGTAGTTGCGCTGGAGCGGTTTCCGGCGGGCTGGCTCTCACTCCTTTGCCTCTGGACAGGTACTGCGCCTTAGTCATCACACCTTGCGTCCTATTGTATTTCCATCCGCATCCTCGACCGCATGTCTTCACGTCCTAAAAACCCAAACACGATATCACCACTTCCCCACGGTGCCCGCTACTTATCCAACCAGCACTCGCGCCTGGATACAACGGTTTCTCCTCGGACGGCTACTATACGTGCAAATCCCTCGACGAAACTTGACCACCTTACAGTCCTCCCTCTTTGACTGGCGTATAGAAACCCAGGAACTACAGCCTCGTCTATACATTCTCGGTGCTTGTACCTCCCTTGGTCGCTTCAAATCCCGTCTCGCGCGCAACAACCACCGCCACCACCACCACGTACTAACGTGCGTAGAGTTAAGAGAAGAGCAACTGCAATTACCTCCTTAATCTGATGGGTCAGAAGCACGCAGCAATTGTCCGATAGCCTCACTGTCGCCAGCGCTTTCCGCACTACAATCCGGCGGGAAGCGCTACCTTGACCACCACCAAATAGCCACGCCCGTAGCGGAATTGTCGCCCTCAGAACACCAACACGCCCGTCATGGCCAAGGACACATCCGGCTCCTCGAGCGCCGCAGGCTCTCCCCGTGTTCCGCCGCCGTGCGAGAATGGAGATGGGGAGAGCAACGAGTTGTCGGCGTTGGAAGCGCAGCAACTGAACCCCTCCCCACCAAATGTACCGCAGGATGCTTCATCCAGGAGCAGTTCCACCAAGCCTCGAGCTGAACATATGAATACGTCGGATATACGCGCCGCCGAATCGCAACCGATGACAGCATCCAATTCGAACTCCTCAAATCCATCAGCGGGGGTTGCTACCGGTTCTGCCGCTCCGTATGGCACCCGATCGCGCAACAGGACAGGGACATCGCGCCCAAATTATGCTGAGGATAAGGAGATCGATGCGGAGCTGGAGATTGCACCGCCTGTCAAGGACATTGTAGTGCGCAAGGCGGCACGAGGCACTGAGGCAGCCGTGTCAAATGCGTCCGATGTTAGCAAGTCCTCAAATCCGGCTCGAAAGTCCCATGGTTCAGAACCAGAACAGACCACCACAGTGCAGAGCCATCACAAGGAGCCAATTCCAGGGACCTCTACTTTCTCCGCAAAACCAACTGCCACGACCGTTTCCAACACATCCTCCAAGAAAAGGAAAGCCAATAGCCAGCAAACAGCGACGGCTTTCTCGCAAGCTCTAGGACCGGCACCCCCGGTCCAGGCTATAACTCGGCGAACCAGTATGGCCGCACAAGTTTCTGGCGGCTTCCGACAGTCAAATATGCTCACCTTTGAAAAGTGCGGAGGAAGGCTACAAGACAAGAAGCTCGCGGCAGACGATGGGACATTTCTGGAGGTCAACGGTACGCAAAATGGCTTTCATTCCCCGCATACTACCAATTAATAAGGCCCGTGACTAATGCCGTGCTTAGACCACGTATATCTTGTTTGCGAGCCACCCGGAGAACCTTACTATCTAGGTCGAATTATGGAATTTCTCCATATCAATAATGACAATACACAGCCAATTGATGCCCTACGATTAAATTGGTACTATCGACCAAAGGATATCGGCCGTAGGGTTAACGATACCCGCCAAGTCTTTGCATCGATGCATTCTGACATCAATCCGCTCACTGCGCTTCGCGGAAAGTGTGTTATTAAGCATAAAAGTGAAGTAGACAAATTAGACGACTTGAGGAAAACAAAGGATAGTTTTTGGTATGAAAAGCTATACGATCGCTACATACATCGTTTCTACGATGTTATCCCCACCAAACAGGTTATCAACGTTCCAACGGAAGTCAAAAAGGTCCTCGATGAACGTTGGAAGTACATTGTCGTGGAACCGGGACGTGGCAGAGAGCTGACCAGTGCGGTCAAATCTTGTAAAAGATGTAGTAAATATTGTGCAAGGTTAGTTTGGCTTTCCTCTGGGTTTACATTAAGCTAACTCTTGGAAGCAATGATTCCGTCGATTGTGCCGTGTGCCGGAACACCTATCACATGAGCTGTGTGAATCCTCCATTGCTAAAGAAACCATCGCGCGGTTTCGCATGGGCTTGTGGCCCTTGTAGTAAAGCGCAGGAGAAGAAACTCGAGGCTCGAAATACTCCAAATGTTACGGACGCCGATGACGGCGAGAACAATGACGAGGAGTATGACTCCCCGACTGCGGCTGATGATCACCTCGACACCGGTCGAACCAGCCCAACTGCGCCCAGTAGCGTGGAATTGTCTGTTCATCCTGGAACGGCGGAACAGATCCACCAGGCAAGCTTATGGCTCTTCCGATACCTCGGGATACATTGTAAGGTGGAAGACGCACTAGATTATGATGATAGGATATATCCTAGAGCCAGCTCCCGTCTTGGTCCACGTCATCAGGCAAACGTCCCGGCCTGGCCTGGCCGGCCTGTGGTGTACGTCAAGCCTATCGAAATCAAGAAGAAGTATATGAAAGGCAGCGGTTATAAGAAGGATACGAAACTCTCGAAGGATACAATCACTGCTCTAGAGGCCGAGAAGCTTGCACGAGAAAAGCGTCCAAGATGGGTGATGGATGAACCCTTTGGTTATGTCCATCGAGGAGAGGATTACGACAATGATGATCCAAACAACACTGCTCAGCTACTGTACAAGCTGCCCGAGGCCCATGAGTTGCCGCTTTCGTCAATTAGGGGCACTGATATCGGTAACAGCAACGATCCCGAACTCCTCGGAGAGGCTGCACGTGAGCAGCTCGTGTTTAGCTACGTCTGGCGCGCGAAAGATGTTGCGCAGCCGCTCTATGGTTTACCTGAGAAGTCGACCAATGTCCTCGATGTTGCTCTTCAAACGTTACGTGCAAATGGCTATGATACCGAAAAGGCGCTCCAAAACATGTCGACACTCGATAAAAAAGTTTTCAAGGAGCCTGACTTAACCCCGGCGGAGCTCAAGAGATTCGAAGACGGAGTCGCGAAATACGGCTCTGAGTGGCATAGCATCAAGAAGCATGTTAAAACTGTGAAAGCAGCAGATATAGTCAGATTCTATTATACATGGAAGAAAACGGATAGGGGAAAACAGGTATGGCAAAATTATTCTGGCAGGAAAGGCAAGAAGGAGGCAAAGAGGGCCGAAGCAACCGCAGGGAAGTTGCAGGATGACGTTGCTGATGAATACGACGACTCTGCCTTTGACAATGACAAGGCCTTTCAGAAGAAAAGAGGATTCCAGTGCAAGTTTTGTGATACGAAGAGCTCACGGCAGTGGAGACGAGCTCCAAATACAGCACCTGGTGCCATGGCTGTCGAAAATGCGGGTGCCAAAATGGCCGGCAAGGACAAGGGGTCGCAATTGATGGTGGCTTTGTGCTGGAGGTGCGCCGAGCTATGGCGCCGGTATGCAATCCAGTGGGAAGACATTGAGGAGGTCGCCAAAAAGGTTGCTCAAGCTGGCGGCAAGGCTTGGAAGCGAAAAATTGATGAGGAGCTTCTCAAGGAACTCGCAGCCGCAAATGAAATCACCGATGTCTCAGCAACTGCTACACCCTTGGGTCCGGCATCAGGCGATGGCACGCCAGCCCCGGCATTACCAAGCACTATTCCAGCTATGGAGCCACCAAGAAAGAAAGCCAGGGGCATGCAAGAGAAAGAATCGGCCGATGTAGCCCACGAAGGTGGGAGCGGTGCATCAACACAGAAGAAAAAGGTAGCACATGAGAAGCCGGCCGGTCCGCCACCTGTTCCTGAATTGCCAAAACCGAAGCTGTTGCCTTGTGCAATATGTGGCGAAATGGACCCCATGGGTGACCAGCACCTCACATGCAAAGAGTGCCGGTTGACAGTACACCGCAATTGTTATGGCGTTGTAGGCGAAAATCGGAGCACAAATAAATGGACCTGCGATATGTGCTCGAATGATAAGAATCCTCAGGTATCAATAGTAAGCAGCTGCCTCAAAACCCTCTGTTTCCCGATACTTACCTTTTTAGCAATACAAATGCATGCTCTGCCCGGTGGAGGCCAGAGACCATGATTTTGTTGGGGCGCCTAAGGCCGTTAATAAAAAGCAAAAGGAGAAAGATCGCGAGCGAGATCGTCTCGACCGCGAAAACGCTCAGAAGGTGGCCAATCTCTTCCGCAAGAAGCAGGAAGAGCTCAACAAACCGGTCAATCCTAGAGAGCCCTTAAAACGCACTGCAAACAATAACTGGGTTCATGTTACCTGCGCCATCTTCACGCCGGAGGTCAAATTTGGCAATGCCAAGGCTCTAGAGCCTTCAGAAGGTATCCCTTCCATTCCTTCAGCTCGCTATGACGAGACCTGCAAGGTATGCAAGCAAAAAGGAGGTGCTTGTGTGGGCTGCCATTCATGTCGGGCATCAGGTAGGCCATTCCACCCTCGTGTTTCTGTCACATGCTAAAGCATTTTAGTGCATGTTGAATGTGCACACCAAGCAGGACACATTCTCGGCTTTGACATTGCACCAGTCAAAGGATCTCGACGAGATCAGTTCAACATTGTAAACATCAACGGCGAGATTGGCACCATGGCAGCTGCAATCTGGTGCAAGGAGCATGTGCCCACAAAGACAATTGTTCACCGAATGCATGACATTGTGGATAATTCGGGGCTTAATGCACTGCAGCTATATGTCCAGAATTTCAAGCAAGCTGACTTGACTTTAACTGGCACAGTACGCAAAGCAACCCTTGTTAACCAATTCGCGAAAGTCATTAATCCAGTGGCTATTGCTGCGCCAGCAAATCGCAGGGCCTCTGCAACGACGGCTCTTCAGGGACATTCTCTCAGCGAGAGCTCTTCGGGGTTAACCGCTGATCAGATCTGCGCCACTTGCGGGGTTGATGTTAGTCCTAAATGGTGGCCTTTTCCAGCCACCGCCGAAGCTTTTATCCAACCTAATGGAGACCATCTTAATCCTAACCGCTCGCCTCTAGTGGACGGCCAAACAACTAATGACCCTTCCGGGGAAGATGGCGGGGGCCATGCAGCACTTGCGGCTGCTGCTTTGCACCAAAACACCCCCCGTCCCGAACCTATCGAGGTTCAATGCCATAAATGTCATTGGAAAAAGATTCAGAAAGAGCCATCGCCTCCGCTGGAGGTTCAGCAACCAGAGTCACGCCATCCCCCAACAGCACCATCTACTATCAACGCACTCCCACCAGATGTCGACCACTCCCGCACGCTGCCTCAGTATGCCTGGCCACCGCCCCCGTCGTACCCGTCTAATACTCCTTACAATGCATGGTCCCATCATCCGACCTCAACGCAGGGTACGACGCTCGTTAATCAAGTCAATGGCGGTCAGTCACCACGAGTCACAACTGTAGCGCAACCGTTGACAGGCCAAACCTCGATCCGGCAACCCCCTCCTGCAATATCGCATTCGCCTCATCAAAATGGCCATGTTGGGCAGGTTAGCAATGGATACCCCCCTTCACCACATCGCAATTTGGGACCTGCATCCCTCCATATGCAGAATGGTGCTTATCCTTCCTATGCTTCCACCTGCCCACCCCCCCAACACCTAACGAATGGAGGCCCGCCACCGCAAGCTCCTGAGCAGCCGTTCTCGCACAATGTTATGTCGATGCATTCCCGCACACCATTTGTGCCACCACAGACCAGCCCACCAATACATCGTGAGAACCACCCGCAGTCTCGTGACGCTGGCGTTCCCCAGCCTCCTAATATTCGGCAAGCTGACGGCCGAGTTAATGGGGGGGCAAGTGCTAGCCCATCCCTGCGGAATCTACTCTCATAAGATATGTGTATAACCTGTACTATTTTTCTCTGTCAAGCTTTAGTTATTCTTCCTCGAGGCCGGGGGTGTGCAGTTCCTATTGTATGTATATAGCTTGAGATATTAGGAGTAGGCGTATCGAGTCTCTGTTATATTATAGAACTTTAAGCGTGGCGTTAGGAGACGAATATAAATAAAGTAAAAACTTAAGTCTACAATAATATCAGGCTACATATATCTACATACCTATTAAGCATTGAAATAGTCGTTTATATTATATATCTTAATATTTTACTAGGTCTAGCTTATTAGAAATATGTTTATGCAATTATAATACAGTTATAAAAACTGGACACAAGCCTACATAGAGTTATTATATAGGCTAGGCACTTAATCGTACTTAGATCATTCTAGTTATCAACTTATTACTAGTCGCTGCTACATTGCCGTCATATCCTTAACATTGTTCTGCAAGTACGAATAGGTATACGGTCTACTCTTACACTTCACAATGCTAGCAGCTGCTGTTATAACACCTAATAGCCTGGCAGGAAAACATTATATTCAACTTTCAAAACGAATAATAATAAATGATTTTCTCCGTACTCAAAACGAGTGCATAGATTCAAATTCTTAATAACAATGCAGTCCTATTCCTAGCAGGTGGCCTGCTATTTAACTACTATCTTACCAAATTACTCCATCTACATACCAGGTAGCTTAGGGAGCCCTGTAACACCGGTCATTAGCTTTGAGCTGCTGAATATGACGCATGACGACTTAGTACTTACATGCATCAATGTTCTCAGTAACTGAGGACTTGATAGCGCACTTATTCATCTCGGCCACACCCTGCGACTTAAGTGGCCTCCCATTTTCACAGGCATTGAACATACAGGAAGAGTCCATAGCGCGTTGGAGTGAGTCGCCTTTCCATCCGAAAATGTAATCGGCGTGGGTGCCATAGCCCTTGCTGTCACCGTAGCTCAAGACGAAAGGATTCGAGCCGTCCGAGGGCCACATATTGTTAAACTGAGTCGTATCCCAAAGGGTTTCATAGGCCAGCTGTGGCATGCGAACGGGATGTGAAGCGGGACAAGGGCCGGCAGCCTGGAAAGCCTCTTTTGTCGTGCTATACATATGGGATTGATGGTCGGGGCTGTCAAGGTTCTTGCCATCCCAGCATCTAGCTGTCGTTAGCAAATAGGAATGCACCTATGGAAAGGGTCACCAACGAGGGAAAGTGATGGACAGTCATAATGCCACCCTTGCATGATTTTGTAGGGAAGTCGGGAAGTTCGGGGAATCTCGTCCCCTTATTGTCTAGGCAAACGAAGCGAAGGCCTATGTGCCCCTTTGCCTCCGGTAAGGTCTCAGTTGTTGGAGCACCAACTGTCATACGGAAGCCCTAATAGAGTTAGTCAGAAGTCTCGTATAGTCGTTGGGCTAGTAGACTTACTGGCTTAAAAGCTGTAATCTTCTGGTTACCGTTTGAGTTAAAATCCTGCTGCGTATAATAAACTGTCATTCCGCCGGTAATGCCGTTGGGTAACGCAGTATTCTGCATAATCGGCACACGCTTGTAAGTGCCATTCTGGTGCTTAAAGAACAATACCGCGGTCCAGTAGTTGGAAAAGTCCTCGGAGAAGGTACATGTTGTACAAGTGCCTTGTTCGCCGATGTCACCTGTCATAGTGGCATTAAAGGCATTTCCTCCAACGATCTGGTGGACATGACTTGATGGGACCATGCCAGGTTGGACGACCGGATCGAGACGCTGGATGCTTACAGTTGAACATCCGAACCGAAGGGCGGCCTGGGAAGGCCCGGCGAGAGCAAGAGCGAGAGGAGACCACTTCATATTTTCAGGACAGAGTCACAGAATATAGTAATCTGATCTGGTGATAATAGAGATTCTCAAAAGCAGGCTGTTACGGTACCGGCTCGACTATATATAAAATTCCCAAGTTCCCAACTACTATTGTAGCTAGACCTTCTTATGCCGTAGAAAATTGCCGTAGTCTAGGATATATAGGGCTAAAATGTTTATCTATTGTTTATCCATATATACGGTTAATATAATCCTTTGAAGTTTATAACACAAAGCGCCTTTCTTAGGCCTTACCACCCTGCGCCATAGGTCAACATATTAAGCGAATATTAACCTCCCTATCCCCTTCCTAGGACAATACTATACAGAGCTCCTTCTTGGATCTTGGCACGCCTGCATGGTGGGGCGCATGCTAGGAAAGTATTGATCGTCGGATCGCCCTACCCCCTCCCTCAATATATATCCACGCTGCCCTGTGACAGATATAAGCATCGGAAATATTTTAACCCCCCTAAAACCAAGGAAATTGGCTCGCTTACTCTATCCTCACCGCATACTTCTGCCGGCAGTGCGAAAGCAGCGCCTGAGTCTACGATTATCCCCTATTTCAAACCTCGAATAAAGGCCCCTTCGCTTTAACTGGCCGCCTACAGCGTAACAACTACTAAAGTTATACCTATCTCAGCGTGATATTCCACCTTTGGGTTATGCTTCGCCACGTGCCTCGGCCTTCCCTTGCTGAGAAAATGTGGTCCAGTTTTGCAGGAGTTACCACAGGTCCACAGCGATGAGCTTGGAAAGTACTCCCCTCTGTTATTGTTGAGGACCGAGTCTTCTTGCTATTCATTACATGCTACCATCGGAAAGATGCCTGTTGGCATTTGATCTGCTAATCTGGGTTGGGTTAACTTGTGTCTCCTCCTATTTCATTTTCAACTGCCGAAGGATTGCTGAGTGGCTGTGGGAGGTTAGTAATAAAAAAGGTTGTCGATAGTGTGCAAAGATGGCGAGGTATCGATCTACACTAGAATGATATGTGGATGGTTAAGGCTAGGTTGGCACAAGGGGCATGCTGACCTATTATATCGTTTTTGATCTTGATTTTCAATATCATAAGATGTCAGAATCTCTACATAAATCGGCCCTATACCGTACTGTAGTTGGTTGCCAAGCACAGCGCAATAAAGTTTATCTAGCCAACTGCAATTGCTTAAAATCCCATCCTAGTACTGCCGGTGGCATGGTAGGCTTCCACTCGAGGTCGTGGGGAGCCAGCGCAGCGCCGAGACCAGTAGGATAGATTGCTGTGGAGAAAATATTCCAAACGGAGAGGCAGATAGGCTTCATTCATACACTGAGGCGAATTCTAGCCACTAAAGGCGCGAGAACCATAATCTTGTGACGCTACAGTCACTCCTGTTACTTAGGTCTTCAACAAACGTAGAGTGGCCAGCCGGACCAGTGTAACTGTGTAAAGGTAGCTCTATAATTAGGCTCGGCCATATCACGCGGAGGCAAGAGTAATACCAAGCCTCCAAAATGGCATTTATCGAGGGGTAATGCCGCTAAACGTTTTACGTCGTATCCTAGGCATATAACGCGGATAAAGGGGATCGCAGTCTTGGATTCTTGGCGGTCATAAGGATCGAATTTATAATAGGAGATCGAGGTTGTAGACCGGCCTAAAAATGACTTGAGTGTGTAGTTACATCAGGGCGTAGTACCTATTAAGGGGGAAATCTATTTAGAGCTACGTGCAAAGAATCGATAGCACGAGGCTAAAACGACCGACTAGGACCGAGGGAAGGCTGGCTGGGAAACGAGGATTGAATCGTGAATGGGGAAGGGAGTCTCATATATATTAAAAGCTTCTCTTTGAACTAGTTATAATCGATAGAGGGGTTTTTTTTCGCAAATAGTCAGTACATTGCTAAAGCGATGCGTTTGATTAGCTTAGTGGCTTACATAGAGGCAAGACAAAATAACTTTACAACGTAAAACGGCGCAGCTGCTCCTACCATATAGGTGCCTTCCAATAGTAACTTGAGCGTCTAGTCTAGTGGTGTCTCGTCATGACTCACAAGACCTGTAGAAATTTGAAAGAGTCGCACCGCAGTGGGGTGTAAAATTATCGAACACAGACGCTACCCTCAACAGCTACCCTTCTTATTCTACAGAATGCCAGCGAAACCCTAAGATAACAAAATTTCATTTACAGAATTTCTTGTCAGAGGTGATTTGTGATGCCGGGCCCAATGGAAGTTGAATAGCCTCAAGTTTCGATTTTCGATAGAAGCTCTTCCCAAGATTTAAACTATCAAGGCTGCGGGTGAATTCAGAGGGGGCGCCCTCTTAAAATCAAACTATTTAACACTTCTGTCATAATACTTGATTAGGAGGGAGCAAGGACCAAGAGACTTACAAATCAATCTTACAGTTACTAAAATATTTGCCAGCGATACCGGGCGGGTTTGCGAGAGTCAGCTTAGCATTTCGCGAAATCCGAAGACTTGGAGAAGTTTAGAGGTTTGGTAGCGGCGTAGGTGCATATATTAGCATTCTTAGCTCATCGGTGGTTGGTGGTTGGGTGCAAGATAAGAGCTAAATAATTGGTCATATTGGCAGACTTTGGATCATTGGGCTTCTCCAAAATATAGTGAGCCTCCAGTTGCATAAAGTTGACCCAACAATAAATATCAGAGATTCAGAGCCTACAATAGTGATAACCAGAACATTGCCATCGGCTTCAGCCGAACTTCTTAGTGCTGGTAGAGGTAAAAGATTTAGTAGGAAAATGCTAATGGCATTGAAGGGTAAGTGTTGTTCCGTTATCCTCAGTCATTTTGAACTTAGGCAAAGCAATGATTATATTACTAGCTAGTTAGCAGTTACTATTATCTAATTGTTACTAGTTAGAGTTCATTTTCCTATTAATGAATACTCGTTTTCCCACTTAAATGCCGAACCCGATGAAATGCCGAAGGTTTAAGCGAAGATCTATTCCCCTCCCACCCTACTAATAATCCTAAAAAATACATTACCCGGCATCACTTCCCACCAAAAATGGAGCGCGAATCGATGCTTCAGGATGCCCTGGCTGATCTTGAAAGTCAGGAGTATCCAAACATAAATGCCACCGTACAACGCCACAGTATTGTTGAGTCCACCCTGCGCCGACGCTTCAAAAAGCAGACCACCTCCAGGGCTGATTACTAGTCTGAAAAGTATCAAAAGCTTACCAACGAGTAAGAGAGAGTCCTAATTGATCGTATCTACTAGTTGACTAATCGTGGAATACCTCCAACTCCTAGAATAGTCAGGAATCTAGCTGAGGAGATTATCAAAGATTACGTCAATAAGAACTGGGCTAGTACTTTTATTAGGAAGTACTGCGACGAGCTCAAAAGTGTCTATTTACGTAATATAGACAATCAGAGATAGAAGGCAGAGTATCTGCTTTTATTTGAGTTCTTTTACAAGTTAGTACGTTGTATATACTTCTTGTTTTAGTATTATTACTAATAATTTACTTAGTTCTACGACAAAATAGAAGAATATAATATTACAGCGGACAACCTATATAATTAGGATGAGAAAGGATTTCTTATTGGAGTTAGCAAGATCTACTGTCGAATTATGACTAAGAAGGCGTATGAAAAAGCCCGGATCCAGTCAACTAATCAGGATAGGTGTAGAGAGTTTATTTCTCTCCTAGCTTATATCTCTACTATTAGGAAGTATCTCCTACTTTACTTCATTTATAAAAGATCCAATTTCGACTTTCAGGACTCATAGACAGACACTTTTATACTTGAGGATAAAGTCTTTTTTGGATCTTCAACTAATAAGTAGAATGATAACTCTTTTAGGATAAGTTAGTTGACTAGGGTCTTTGAGCTAGGGACTTGTCAGAGAGCTGGACAAGTTAAACGCATACTATTAGTAGATAGCTACTTTAGTTACGTCAATATAGAGTTCCTGGAGTACTGTATTCAGTACCGAATTGTTATAATAGTACTACTTCCATATACAACTTACAAGTTCCAGCTCTTTGACGTCAGTATATTTTCTCCACTTAGAATAGTATATAGGATTTTCCTCAATAATAAAGTGATAAGTTGTTTTAAATTCACGAGTATGTCAAAAAGAGACTTCTAGGAAGTCTTTTATAAAGCGTGGGTGAAGTCCTTTACCGAATCGAATATACAAGTTACCTAGAAAGATACTAGTATATTTCTATATAACTTTGAAGTTGTTTTAGGCACTTTACGACGACTAGATCAAGAGAAAGAAACCGATCAGGATCAGGATCAGGATCAGGATTAGGAGCAGGAGTAGGAGTCCTTTGCCAAGGTACTTAAAACACCAAAGTCAGCAAAGTCCCTTAGGAGGTTCTAGTACGAGTTTAATAAGAACGCTTCCACCTACTTGATCAAAAAGCTATTTAAAGCTAATATTGAGCTAGCTGCCAAAGACTCAGTTAATAACTATATAATCTATAGATTAATCGAGTCTTTAAAGAATGAAAAGAGGAAGCGCTCACGTGGGAAAAGGCTTGATTTGAGTGGTGTAGCAACTAGGGGAGCCCAATTCTTTTCCACAGAGGAGATCCTAGCTACTAAAGCACGTGCCAGGGCCAAGGAGGAACAGGAACAAGCTGAACAAGCTGAAAAGGCAGAGAATAAGAGGGCAAAAAAGGCTAGGCAGGTAGAGGAAGCCTTACAAAAAGAGATAAGTCGAAAAGAGGCAAAGGATAAGAGAGAGCGTAGACGTGCTGCTCAGGCTCAAGCCAAGGCAGTAAGTCAGGACTTCCAGCTCGGGGCCAGGGCTAAAAACACAGCTAAAAAGGCTCAAAAACCGGGATCCAAGTCCTCGGAAGCTGCTAAAGCTCAGGAAGTAGTAGAAAAAGGTGGTGATACAAGCATTGAGTCGAGTACAGAGATAGGTAGGGTAGTTGACCTCCCTGTGCGACTTGGCCGCCACAGACGACAAATCCGGCTACCACAGCGATTTGATTAATTGTATATATATACGCACTTATTATATAGACCCTTATTAACCTCTATAATTGATTTGATAATTAATTATTATATATTAGTGAAGTTATTATTGTTTATAGTAGAGGTTAAGGTGGGGGAAATTGGCGGGTAATTTTCGGCACTTCAATAGGTTCGGCATTTAAGCGGGAAAACGAGTAGTTACTATGACATTAATCCCTTCAATTTTCGAGTGTAGAACAAGAGCTGCTAAAGCACTAAGCTTGCCGAGAGCGATGGTAGACGGGCCAGCGTCGAAGGCGACCTGTTTGGCTCCTCGGCTACAACTAGCGAGCTAACATTGGAAAGAGGTCGCCCTACCTGCTAGCGCTGGCAGTGTCTCACGATACTGAGGTACGAGGGGAGAGCGCGTTCGCTTAGGCACCATTGGGCGTCCCGTATCGCAGCCTAAAACCCTTACTTCATACCTCGAAGCTTTCTAATGATATTTCTCGTACTAGCCTTTTCCAAACTAGCTCCCATGTTGACCATAGCACTTTTCCCATACGCCTTGTAAAGATATTTCCCGCTATTAATATTCCTATCGTTTACGCCTCATCGTTGAATATGACATCTGCGGACACCTCGGGATCATTATGCAATAGATGTCGTGTCCTCGAATTTGATGATTTGGCTTGGCCAGGCAGCCGCAAAATTGGTTCCACCAAAGATGGTTTCCACCTTGATATTACTGGAACCACCAAATATACGCTTGACTTCTATCTTGAAGATTCGTTCCCAGGTTTACCAAATCTCGAGAGATCGTCGCAGAACGGCTGCCACTTTTGTCGGGTTTTGAAATGCATCATACAAAAGCATGTATCGAACTCGACTAAACGCGTTCAAATTAACACGGTTTATTATAACTGGGACTACTACTTTGGGAGAGCCGATTTTGGTCGCTTTGGGCTTGTATCTTTAGTCGCTGAATTAGAAAAATGGGCAGACTCAGCTATTAGTGAGTATTTATTAAGTCCTGCGGGCTAAACTAATGGAAATCAGGCAAATCAGTCAAAATAGTTTTCGACATTGATTGCGATCCAGGTATTATTCTTATTTTCATTCAATAATACCCAGAAGTCCGTATGCATTAGCATCTCTTGCTACGGAGTGTTTTATGTCCTTGTGCCGCGAGGCCATTTTCTACGTTATATAGAAATCTAAAGTAAAATACAAACTGATCAAACGTAGGACCCTGCTCCTCATGGCTGTCACTTGAGCCAAAGCCTCAAGAAAACGCTTTGTGCAATGAGAATATACAATTAATACATGATGAAATTGCTCTGTCTGAGATTGGGCGGAATAATAATGCGTTGCTGGACATGTATTACCCTACTAGACTAGTCGACGTTGGGGACTTCAGTAGTGATCGATGCCGCTTAGTTCTCACAAATTCGACCGCCTTCTTGGAGCAGCAAGATGTTCTAGCACCTTTACAATACGTGGCTCTTAGTTACTGCTGGGGCCCACCTGACGATGCCGCAAAGCAGTTCAAAACTGAAGCATCTACACTCATTGATCGACTGGCAGGATTCTCCCCGACGGATGCTTCCCCAGTGGTCCAAGATGTGATCGCTCTTACTCGAGCCTTAGGTTTAAAATACCTTTGGGTAGATGCTCTTTGCATCATTCAAGGCAACAAAGATGACTGGGAGCGGGAATCTGCAAGCATGGGTCTTGTTTATCGCCATGCGCACCTCACCGTCGCTACGACAGGCTCGTCCTCTTGCCAGCACGGGTTTCTGGAGAGGGCTACTCCCATCGTAGCTGTGAAATTTGTTTCGAAATTTGACTCCAGCATAAGAGGACACTATTACGTGCGTTTCAGTAATATCGCGAAAATGAACAGGCCAATGGACATGGACTCAGTGAGGCGTAATTGGCAATCGAGCCCCTGGAGCGCTCGGGGATGGACTTTCCAAGAATCCGCGTTATCTCGCAGGATGCTGCTCGCTGGGAGAAACAAATTCTACTTCTTGACCGCGGACAGGACACATGCAGAAAACGACCAAGGATTTTCTGATGAATGGGACGATATAGACATGGCGAGCAGAATTTCGGAATGCGAAGAAGAAGATAAAGAATTCTTGACATACCTTCCGATCGGACTGTTCTCGCGGCGCGAGCTTACTGTTGAATCTGATAGACTCCCCGCATTTTCGGGGATGGCACATCTGGCGCAAGATAACCATAATGATCAGTACTTGGCTGGCCTCTGGAAAGCCGACTTGCATCGGGGTCTGTTTTGGAGATCTTGTCTGTCCCAGTCTGGTATTCTTCTATCTAGGACAGACGTACTTGATCATTTAGAAACCTCGTATTCCGCACCTTCGTGGAGCTGGGCGAGTCGACAACACGGCGTTGAGTTCCCCTCTGCAAACTTTGGTGCACAACAATTTCACGGCTGGCACACTTCCAAAAACGAATGTGAGGAAATAGAGGCACAGACCTCGCTAGTGGGGACAAATCCGTTTGGTGAAGTTACAGATGGAACCTTAAGAATCACTGGATATGTCGTGCCTGTTCCTTCGGAGATGACACTTCTAGCGGACACCGAATGGATAGAAAAGAGGTGGCGGTCAAGCGAAAAGGGCAAATACATTGCATATATAAGCTTCGATTGGAACAATTGGGAGCCATCCGAATCATTTAGCAACATGTCCTTGCTTCTGGTTGGGAGTTCTCTGCCAATGATAGATGCGCGATCGATATACGACGTGGATCAACTAGAACAACTAGGAGATGAAGGTACGACCATCAAATATGAGAAGATAGGAGAAGAAACAGCAAGCATCAAAGTAAATGAAGATGAACCTGAGGCTCCTCTTATGGTTGAGACAGAAGCAGAAGCCATCATTCAAGCAATGGAGACACTTAGCACTGCAAATAACAAAGATAACTCTGGCGGAAACAAAGACGTTGAGCCTGACTACAGTTTGGGATCAGAACCTAACTGTACAACGGGACCTGGGATATACGCATGGGGTATTGTTATCCATCCGGCCAAGCATCATTTTCAGAAGTACGTTCGCGTTGGCATCTTTAGCTCTTGGCCGCAAGAGCGTGGTGGCTTGGATTACTTCCAAATCGGCATGCCTCAAACGGTACAGATTATTTAAATTATGCCAATGAAATTGGGTAAACATAGACACATTATAGAGCGTCTGTCGTCTCATAGATATGTCTTAGTCATTGAAATTAGGGGCCTATAATATATTGAAGTTTGTTATATTGTTATTCCTTACTCTCCTTATAAAAAGGAAGATCTAAGAGGACTAGATATATAAGGTAGCAAGACTATAGAATAAAGAAACTGATAATATAGACCTAGCCGCTAGGTGTTACGGTCAAGCTATCCTTAGGCTCAGGAGTCACAATCAAGGATAGCAGGACGCCGGCCGTTAGCGTACCCGCAAAGTGAGTCGAGGATTGGCGCGAAATAACAGGAGTTGTTAATAAATGAAAACAACCGAAGTCTCTCCAAGAAACAGGCCGGATGGTGTAGTTGGTTATCACGTGTCCTTAACAAAGCAAGCAATTGCAAAATACGGACAAGGTCGGGAGATCGAGCCTCCCTCTGGTCATTACAATTCATTGTGATATTTTTTTGCCCTTATTTTTTAATTCCAGACTTGGTGCTTATTAACAGCTTCTTAAGCGAGCAGAATTTTATAAAAACTAAAGTAGATAAATTAAAGAGTATAACTATCTTCTTAACAAAAAAGGATGTAGCTACAGGTAATATAAGCCCTAACCTCAGTTTTATTTTTATCTTAGGATTGAATGTCCACGGGTACCTCCTTATTCTACCTTTTATCCTTGGTTGGGTAAAAAGGTAGGCTAGAGAGGATTAACTAAATGACTAATAATGTAACTTTAGAAATCGTCCTAAGCCTCTCCCCGGTAGCTGGCGGGCAGGCCTACCTACCCAAGTTAGGTACCTTTTGCTGTATTATATTATAGACGAGGAATAAATAAGCTTGACAGTGCGAAAATCCTTATCGTTATCGAACGTTGCCCCGCTGTTCAGTGGTTTTCGCTGACCACGTGGACATTCGGAGGGTTCTTAAGAGGGCACGGAGCATGTTTAATTTCTCGGCTCAATCTTATACTCTATTCCTTTGATCAAGAAAACTTTTGACCTTGTGGAATTTCTTATAGAACGCGGCGCATCTATAATTTTCCCTAAATGAGTCAAATCCGGAAATCAATTGAACGCCGTCTGTTGTGCTGGTAGGGATGTTTGAGGTGTTAAGGTTTTCCTATCAAAAGGAGCTGACCCTAATGGGCCAATGCCAACGGCGGGCCGTTTCCATATACGGTCATCGCAGCAACGGGCTATGGTACGGAACATTTGCAGTATCACGCATATATATCCATGCCAGCGGTGGCAAGGGCACTTGTATACCCCTTATAAATTCGATGGAGCTTCTCTATCTCTAGCGCGCCAGAATTCACGATTCTAATCGGATGGCCACTTGTACGATACCACTTTGTTCACAACTTCTTCTATGGAGGTACAGCTATTGTCGCCTTCGTATTGGATAGGGGCTCAGATATTTTTTAAAAAAACATTGGAATAGGGGGTGGTGCGCTGTATCGTGCCACCGATGATCAGTCCTTGGGTGCTTAAAAGTGTTATTTGAGCCTGGTATGAATGTCGACCATGAGAAGGAGCCATGCACAATTTTCCCTCCAGACTGCCGCATCGTTCGGGAATGTTGAATTGTTGATACGGCCAAGCTCCTTCTAGGACATGGCGCAAATGTCCATATTGCTAGTGCCACATATCATACGGCCCACTCAAGCTACGGCTTCCTCTACTAATTTAGAACTTGTCCAGCTGCTCTTGGATCGAGGAGAAAACATCAATGATTACCTCGGGAAGGAGGAAAGGACGGGAATCTATTTTACGCCACAGTTCTTGCAGGCTTGTTAGAGTTGATTGATCTACTACTGCTCCATGGTGTTAGTATTAACGTAGTGCACAGTTGCCGGGAGAGTTCTATCAACTGTCACCTGCCTAACTCCCACACAAATCGCGGCTCGTTTGATTCAAATAGCTCCTTGAGAGAGGCGTGGATGATATAGCTAAATCCTGATAGAAGCACTGGATGCTGTCAAGTGGCAGACCCAACTTCAAACCGAGGTGTAGTAACAGATATCATTTCCAGAACATCAATAACGTTACTACAAATACTAACCCTCAAACTCAAGCAATCTGTACTTAAACATCCAACCTATGACGAGTTCTACATACCACAACATAATTATGACACTGATGCCGACCAAAAACAACATGGATCTCTGGAGTGTCGAAGTAGGAACAGCCCCAGTTACGTCTACAATACAGCGGCGAACTGGGTACGCACTAATATCTACACCCCAAAGCCCTGATGGCGTCGTTCAGCTTGCCTGGTGGCTCCAATATCGACTATCCGACATTACACGAATCACTTTCCTTGCAACATTCCGGCACGCCGCTCCAGCTCCACCAAATGCCTCCGAAGCACCAAGATCAATACAACCTCAACCGCATCCTCCCATCTTACCTTCCCAAGTATATGGCGGGTAGCCACAGCTTATTCCGTGAATTTCCATACAAACAACAGCAGGTAGGTGCCTCGTCAAGCACTCCTCTTGCAATTCAAGGCCAAATAACGAACTCGGCTTTCTACGCTTCAAATTGCACGCTACCGAGTGTTATGGACTTCCCTGGGGCAAAGCACCGCAAGAAGTCAACCCGGCAGCTCGCCCATGCTTAGCATATAGCGTTAATACCGAAATTAGAATTCAACAATAAGCCACAAGAAATTGGGCAGGGCAGGAGATGAGACCTGTGTAGCACGGCACCAGAGGACTACTCATCGGGATGCGCTCAAGAACCCCAATTCAATAGTTCCAGAGCACCATTTAGGAGCAGAGATGCAGTAACTAATAATTACGGTGTCTCTGCCTACGCCGGATGAGGGTTTAACCCAGCTATAGTCATGGACGGCATTGAACGGCCCCAAGGATATGATCAGCGGTTGATAACGGGGCGCGAGTCCTCTAGCTCCCTAGACAGCGCGGATACAGAATTGAAGAATAACTGGAACCGGTTTATATCGTAGGAGATACGATGCTCGGATGGTGGTTCTATGGATGCTGCGCAAAGCTTCCCCGGGATTTAGGAAATAAAGGGAAAGGTGTTTACGAATCTCTCGGCATGTAGATACCTAGAATGTAATATTCCACTCTTGTGCAGAGGGCCGGAATAACCTTTGTGCCCCCTAGTAGCTGTGCCTGGCCTATTTATATAGGTATGCTTCAATGTCGTGTTCCGACGGGAGGATGTTTGCATTATTCGCCGATTTATAACGGGATAGCGCAACGAAATGGGAACTGACTATTAGGCGGGACAAGACCAGCAATTGCCAGGAAACCCACATGTAAATTTAGATCCGGGGATTTTAGTATACCCTACTCATGAGTTGGGTGTATATCCGTGAACGGGGTTCGCGAGACCGACAGGCCCTACCTACCTACCTAATGTACGGTTGATCCGCCCAGCCAACATCCCGGCCATGCCTAAATACACCCGTATATTGGATGCACATCGAATCTGGCTAATGTTACCAGCAACACCACTAAGGGTTGGTTTACTCGACTCGCAGGCAGTCGAGACCCCCCGATTTTCAATTGTTCCAAAGTGAACACGTCGTCTCACGATGCCAACCGTCCGTTCCTAATATGTGCCAAAAGCCCCCCCTCAATGTCAGTCGATATGAGGATATTCAGAACAGCACCGGTCTGAAGAAATTATAGCGGCAAGAGAGAGCATCAACTCGGTCATTTATTCATCCTTACTGCGGTTGACGGCAACACCTGAGATTCCCCCCGTGCGTTTAAGTAGTGCTCATACCGGAAATCGCCACTGAGGCACATACCACCTACCTTTAAAGCAAGTTCCTCAAATATTTGTACACATAGAAGGCTCTAACGTGCAGTAGGTTGCTACTTGATCAGCGACTAGAGGCGTGTCAATCGTCGGATCCAGCCTACGTAACTAGGAGTGCCTTTCGTTAATGCTCTCGTCACAGCAACGCGGTTTTATATGACCCTATGCAGCGATACTGCGTGTTTTGACTTCTGAGGAATTGTGAATCGGCCTTGCTCCGCCATTAAGTTGATTTCTCAACCGGAAGCAACTGGTTCGCGGTGAGGAGGCTCCGAATCAGTCATTGTTCAGGTTCCCATTGGGCCTCGTCGACCAGTCGCCATGCTTGAAGCCGCGGCCATCGCCTTGCTATGGAGCATGGTACTAAGCCTTGTTCTGGTTGCTAATGCAGGAGCGCTACCTCGTGTTCTTTTAAACGGGGATCAAAAGTTAAACACAAGTTTCACTATCACCCAAGCGAAAAGTCCAAATTGGACGCCGCAAAGAGTTCCCATAACTGCCATCTATGCTGCTCCCTTTATTAAACATAAGATGCGGATGCCAAAAAAGCTTCGAGACGCTGTCGCCGAGCTAGACTCAAATGAGACCTCCGGAATCCATCATAGGGCGAATGGGCAGACTGCGGATGGCACTAACGGGTTGTAAGTAATAGCCCAAAAACGAGAAATATCATATTATTAACGAATACATTCATCATCAGATATACCTTCCCGGTAAAGATAGGCACCCCACCACAGACCCTCCGCATTCTGTTCGACACCGGCTCAGGAGATTTCTGGGTGTGGTCATGGCTGATGCCGGGAACACTAACTGCTGGACGCAACATATACAACGGCAGCAATTCAACATCATCTGGACGGTGGGACGGCCAGTCTTTCAATATAAATTACCAGCAAGGCAATGCTTACGGCCTAGTATGGCAGGACACGGTAGTTTTAGAAGGCGACGGTGGGCAGTTAGGTGTAGCAGGGAATCCGATAGAATGTGCGCAGAATATCGGCGGTACCCATCTCCCTGCGCTCACAGGGATAGATGGAATGCTAGGTTTAAATATGTGGGTGAACGACTCTGAGTCCCCAAACCCGCAACAAACGTGGTTCAACTTCATCCTACCCAAACTATCAGGTAAGTCGAAGCAACAGCTTCGTGGATATGACAAAGCGCTAACTTTGGCAGCGCCCCTTTTTACTGCCAACTTCGTTCGAAACGGAGTAGGAACCATAGATTTTGGTTTCATCAATCCGACGAAATACACGGGCAGCATTGCGTATACCCCAGTTGTACCTCTGAATGGCTGGCCACAATCAGGCTACTGGCTCTTCAATTGGAGCGGGTTTGCTATTGGAACGCGCAATTTCAACTCCACGGAGCTCCAGGTCCTTACAGACTCAGGGTGCAATATTGTTCTGCTACCACAATCGATCAGTCATAACTATTACTCTCGAGTGCAAGGTGCCTTCCAGCAATCAAATGGGTTTTGGGCCTTTCCATGTGCAGCAACTCTCCCAAGTTTCACCTTCGGCGTCGGCAGCACCCGAATAGTTATGGGAGCAAAGCACATGATATATATAGCGCTCGATGATGGAATCAATTGTTTAGGAGCGATCCAAGATACTGCCGAGAATTCGTATGCCATCATTGGGTCGCCTTGGTTTGAGGGATTGTTTGTTGTGCACGACTACGGCGGAAACCGAATAGGTTTTGCTGCTAGGCCGTGAGAGGCTCTCGGAGCGTAGTGTCAAACTGGTTCGGAGAATCAGCTTATACGAAGAAAATATGACTACATGGAGAGAGTCCCTATATAAGTCTCTAAGGCGGGTCCCGCTGAGGACGTCTAGGGCCGCTAAAAGCAGAGAAACGCTCACAATGCGCATCTAGCAGAGTGGCGCTGTTTGGGTAGATGATGTGCATGGAGAACATCCAATTGGTGACGGAGAAAGAAAATCATAACAGGCGCTGTGTCTCTGGCTCCAGCTTGGAGACGAGGAGATTTCTTTCCTCATCAGTCACTGATCAGCCCATATCTATCTCGTCGTGCTAAGTAACATGAAATCTGGGGCAGGCTCGGTGCGGTGATGAATGAAGCAAGACGGTGTCGGGTGTTCGAGTAATCGTCGTGGACGACAATGGTGCTGTATGGACGCTTGTGTATGGATAGGTAGGGTCTTTTGTTGTGTGTAGACCGGGGGTGGTGTAGCTAAGGGATGCGATGGCATCCGCATGCTAGATAATACACCTAAATAGCATAACATTGATGGTAATGTAGATACGCAGCAGAACTTTGACACTTGGGATTGTGATTCAATTGTACTCCGTATCTGTAATTGCGAAGGGGCACTCTCGACAAACCACGTGACTTAGGAACCCAGCGGTGAGTGCCGGCAGAAAAGTTGAGTCCGGAATACGGAGCCACGAAGTCCCAAGTCCCAAGTACCTGTTGAAAGAGTCACCTACGAATTATTCGTTCTTGGCTGTTGTCCACTTCTCTTCCCTTTCAATTCTCATTCAGAATTCAGAATTCCAGCGCCCGTCCCAATTGCTGCCTCCAATATTCCCCAGTTCCCTTCCGCCCTTATGGGCACAGGTATCCTATCTACCACGATTATAAGCCTAGCATCTCACGGTCGATAATACAGTCCATAGTCCACCCTTTGCGGGCCAAGAATCTCCCACGGCCCAGCTATGAGCTCACCAACCCCTCCGCAGCCTACGCGCATTAAGATACTGGGGAATGAAAATATTGTTGTTGATTTCGACATCTGGCGCACATTTGTGGTGCAAGATCTCCTCACGAACCTCCCATCCTCGACCTATGTTCTGATTACAGACACGAACTTATCCCCTCTGTATGTGCCAGAATTCGCTCAACAATTCGCCAATGCGGCGAGCGCATTGGATGCGTCCCCACGTCTCCTCACCTACGAGATCCCTCCTGGCGAACACTCCAAAGGCCGGGAGACCAAGGCGGAAATCGAGGATTGGATGCTCTCGCAGCAATGTACCAGAGACACTGTGATAATTGCCCTGGGGGGAGGCGTCATTGGGGATATGATTGGATACGTTGCGGCGACGTTTATGAGGGGTGTACGATTTGTACAAGTTCCCACAACCCTGTTGGCGATGGTAGATTCATCAATTGGGGGGAAGACCGCAATCGATACGCCAATGGGAAAGAACCTAATCGGTGCTTTCTGGCAGCCGCAGAGGATATACATCGATTTGCGGTTTCTCGAGACATTGCCTACGCGCGAATTCATCAATGGCATGGCAGAAGTGATCAAGACTGCGGCAATCTGGGATGAGACCGAATTTGCTGCCTTGGAGGGAAATGCCGACCTAATTATGACCACAATTCGTGCAAAACCTTCTACCCAGTCGGCCAGACTTGATCCTATCCGAGAGATTCTGAAAAGGATTGTCTTGGGATCAGCACGCATTAAGGCCGGGGTGGTGTCCGCAGATGAACGAGAAGGGGGTTTAAGGAACCTCTTGAACTTCGGTCATTCCATTGGCCACGCATACGAAGCGATCTTGACACCACAGGTTTTGCACGGCGAAGCTGTGGCAATAGGGATGGTGAAGGAAGCAGAACTCGCTCGTCACCTTGGGGTGCTAAAACCTGGCGCGGTCGCACGTCTCGTGAAGTGCATTGCTAGCTATGGACTTCCCACTTCACTCCAAGACAAGCGCATCCAGAAACTTACCGCCGGGAAACGCTGTCCGGTTGATGTATTGCTACAGAAGATGGGCGTCGATAAGAAGAACGATGGAAAGAAGAAGAAGATTGTCCTTCTCTCTGCGATTGGGAAGACGTACGAGCAGAAAGCTAGTGTTGTTGATGACCGTGCGATTAGAATTGTGCTCTCGGATTCAATTGTCATGGAACCAGGTGTCCCGCCATCCCTGAATATTGAGGTCATCCCCCCAGGATCTAAGAGTGTTTCCAATCGTGCCCTTGTGCTGGCAGCGCTCGGAACCGGCCCATGCCGTATCAAGAATTTACTTCACTCGGATGATACCGAGTACATGCTTACTGCAATTGAACGACTGGGAGGTGCTACATATACCTGGGAGGATGCTGGCGAGGTGTTGCTAGTCCAAGGGAAAGGGGGTGACCTTCGAGCAAGCCCCTCAGAGATCTATATTGGCAATGCCGGGACAGCATCGCGATTCTTGACTACTGTCGTGTCTCTGTGCAAACCTTCCACCGTCTCCTCGACGGTCCTCACGGGAAATTCTCGCATGAAGGTGAGACCCATAGGGCCACTGGTCGATTCTCTTCGCGCTAATGGCGTCGGGATAAAATACCTGGAGAAGGAGCACAGCCTTCCGCTCAGCGTCGATGCTTCTGGGGGGTTTGAGGGCGGTGATATTGAGCTTGCTGCTACTGTATCGTCGCAGTATGTGTCATCCATTCTTATGTGTGCTCCATATGCCAAGAAGCCCGTGACTCTCCGCCTCGTGGGTGGGAAGCCAATCTCCCAGCCATATATTGATATGACCTCAGCTATGATGGCAACCTTTGGCATTCATGTCATTCGATCTAAGACGGAGGACCACACTTATCATATACCCCAGGGTGTGTATAAAAACCCTCCAGAGTATGTTGTTGAGAGCGACGCCAGCTCCGCAACCTACCCTCTAGCTGTAGCGGCTATCTCGGGAACCACCTGCACTGTACCGAACATAGGGTCCAAGTCGTTGCAGGGAGATGCCCGTTTTGCTATTGAGGTTCTACGGCCAATGGGTTGTACGGTGGTCCAGACGGATCGGTCAACGACAGTCACTGGGCCTCCTCCTGGGCAGCTGAAGGGTATTGATGAGGTTGACATGGAGCCTATGACAGATGCGTTCTTGACCGCGTCGGTTCTTGCTGCTGTTGCAAGGGGTACTACAAGGATCAGAGGCATCGCTAACCAGCGGGTCAAAGAATGCAATCGTATAAAGGCAATGAAGGACCAGCTCGCAAAATTCGGTGTTCAGTGCCGCGAACTTGAAGACGGCATTGAGGTTGATGGCAAACCTCACACTGCACTCGATACTCCTGTTAATGGTGTCTACTGTTACGATGATCACCGTGTAGCAATGAGCTTCAGCGTCCTTGCTGTCACAGCTCCGAAGCCAGTAGAAATTACGGAACGAGAATGTGTCGGAAAGACCTGGCCTGGATGGTGGGATATTTTATCGTTGTCATTCCAAGCTCGTCTCTCTGGGAAAGAAGCTGAGGTCACGCATACAAAGAGCTCAAGTTCGTCGGCCCTATCCGACAAATCCATTTTTATTATTGGTATGCGTGGTGCTGGGAAGACTACTGCAGGTGGTTGGGCTGCCAACATCCTCAACCGGCCTCACATAGATCTAGACATTGAGCTTGAACGAATTGCTGGTATGACTATCCCGGAGTTGATCAAGTCCAAAGGCTGGGAGGGGTTTAGAGACGCAGAGTTAGCTCTCCTGAAAAGTGTTATCAAGGAGAAACCGAAGGGCTACGTTTTTGCTTGCGGAGGCGGCGTCGTGGAAATGCCAGAGGCTCGGAAGCTCCTCTCTAGTTACCACAAGTCTGGCGGCATCGTACTTTTGGTGCATCGGGATACAGAACGTGTGATGCAATACCTCCAAATCGACAAGACTCGCCCCGCTTATGTAGAAGACATGATGGGTGTGTATCTCCGCCGGAAGCCATGGTTTCAAGAGTGCAGCAACTTCCAGTATCACAGCAAAAGTGAAGATGCCGGTGCTTTGTCGATTGCACGACAGGACTTTGCGAGGTTCCTGTCGCTCATCTCCGGCGAGAGCACGCACTTTGAGGAGATCCGGAAGAAGGAGCATTCGTTCTTCGTATCTCTGACATTGCCAGAGATCTCCACTGCGGCTGATGTTCTGCCCATTGTTGCAGTTGGATCAGATGCTGTGGAAGTCCGGGTTGACCTACTAGAAGACCCAAACTCGAGCAACGGAGTTCCAACCATTGATTTCTTGGGTGTTCAAATAGCACATCTGAGATCAATTGTTCCACTGCCCATAATATTCACAGTGCGGACTCGCAGCCAAGGGGGTCGATTCCCAGATAACGCGGAGGAGGAAGCGCTCAAGCTCTATAAAGCCGCCGTGAGGATGGGTATCGAGTACATAGATCTCGAGATCGCGTTCTCCGACGAGCTGTTGGAAACCGTTACTAGTGCAAAAGGATTCTCTAAAATCATCGCATCACATCACGATCCCCAAGGGCGACTTTCTTGGAAGAATGGCGGCTGGATGCAGTATTACAACAGGGCGCTTCAATACGGCGACATCATCAAGCTTGTTGGGTCTGCTAAGAAGATGGAGGATAACTTTGCGCTTGCACAATTTAAGACCAACATGGCCAAGGCACATGATGTTCCCATGATTGCCATCAACATGGGCGTTCATGGCAAACTGAGCCGCGTCTTGAATGGTTTCATGACCCCGGTCTCCCATCCCGCCTTGCCCTTCAAAGCAGCTCCAGGTCAACTCTCCGCAACCGAAATCCGCCAAGGCCTGTCCCTCATGGGTGAGATTGAGCCAAAGCTATTCTATCTATTTGGAACGCCCATTGAGGCATCTCGGTCTCCCGCTTTACACAACACGCTGTTCAGACAAAATGGTCTACCGCACGAGTACTTACGCTTTGAGACCGACGATGCGGACAAGCTAAAAGAAATCATCCGATCTCCAGATTTCGGGGGAGCTTCTGTTACAATTCCGCTCAAGTTGGATGTCATCCCTCTCCTGGATGACATTACCCAAGCTGCTATCGTTATCGGAGCTGTTAACACCATCATCCCAGTGCCCAGTGAATCCGGTGGCCCGCCACAGCTGGTTGGAGACAACACGGACTGGCTCGGAATGACACATTCGCTGGTTTCCAGTGCCTACGCAACGGTGTCCTCGGGTCCTCCAGGAAGCGCCTTGGTCATCGGTTCCGGTGGCACTTCTCGAGCAGCCATCTACGCACTCCGATCCTTGGGCCACAGCCCGATATACATTGTATCCCGGACGCCGTCAAAGCTCGCTGCAATGATCTCTTCCTTCCCCGTTGAATTCAGCATCATCCCGTTGAGCGATGTCGCCGAGGTGGATGATCTCCCCGAGATCCCTCGCGTTGCCGTCGGGACCATACCGGCTGATAAACCAATCGAGTCGAATGTTCGTGAGATCCTCGCCAAGATCCTCCGACATCCTAAAGCGGATACTACGCGCCAGAGGACGCTGCTGGAAATGGCATACAAGCCAAGCCAGACGGCGCTGATGCAGATGGCAAATGATGCTGGCTGGGTCACGATCCCGGGTCTGGAGGTGCTCAGTGCGCAAGGATGGTATCAGGTAAGGAACTTTTCTCGTTGCTATCGAGGACATGAAATAAATGCTAATGTCCATGTCTCTAGTTCCAAAAGTGGAGTGGTATCAAGCCGTTGTACGAGGATGCGCGAACAGCTGTAATTGGTGACGAGGACAATTAATCTCACAAATGGGAGGAAATAACCGCATAGGGATCTGTCATTCAGTTGCAACAGAGGGCGGCGCCTACAAATTCAACACCGGGTGGTATGCTTAAAAAATCATTTTGGTCTTAGAAAATCACACGCTTAAGAAGCAGATGGATAATTCAATGAGCAGAACCCAGAGCCTGGGTGATGTATTATATCTTTAGATCATGTTTTGGTATATATAAAAGTATTTATAGGCTCGTGCCTTGGTTTGTCTATCTCATCAGCTCGTCGCTTTCGTCCGTGGCCCCCATTCGTAAAAGTACACAAAATACAAAAAGCCACATATGGCTGAGGAAAATCCAAAATAGTAGGAGACAAAAATATTCAAGAAATTAAAAATGTAGTATACCCCAATAGCACATTCTAGTCTATCCTTCCTGCCCAGTCGCTTTTTTTGTTGGTGTCGTTACAACATGCTCCACCCCTAAACCCAAAAATAGAAAAATAAAAAATTATAGCGCTAATTATAGATATATGACCCGAAAATCCAAGACAAACAGGAAATTTGGAGCCTGCCAAATCGAGAGGAAACTCTGGAAAGATAGATTGGTAGCATCATGCTACCTCCCCCTGCCCCGCCGGCCCGCGAGATAGACGTCGACGTAGGAATTATGAAAATGAAAATGACCAACAATGACGCGCATGATGTAACTATCAATCAATTTTCAAACCGCAAGGGAGAAAAATGAATGTGTGCGGACAGCACATCAAGCCATGATGTCATGTCGCTGCCGTGGATGGCTGCCCCCTGCATCGCGGGGGGGACCAATGGTGAATGGGCAGATCGTCGTCATTCGCATCCACACCAGGCTTGGCGCGGGGACCTCGGAGTCCGTGGACCCCGTGACCAGTGCCCCTCATAGCACACGTGACTCGGCGATTATTATCCCTTGGGTAACGCGACCGACTCCTTGCGTCAAGTGGCTTAGAGAGGATAACGTGGAACTGGCCGGATGGATTTGGACATGACATCGCAGCGTCACAATAGTGTGCTTCGGAAGAGCCGGTGAAATTGCATCCAAATGGAACCGTTCCGTTGGTCGATTGATTTGCACTCAATTGTGGCCATGCACACCACGTCGCCGACCCTTCGATTGCTCCACGTACTCGGGGTGCACCACTCTCAGATGCCTCGTAAGAGCGTCGTTTCTGCTGAAGGTTTTCTCCTCGGTACACAGCGGGCAGTGCACCTTCTGCTTACGCGCATTGTGGATCGTGTCCTCATGCCGTGTGAGATCGTACGGCCGTGAAAAGATCGTATTGCACGGCTTGCCCGTGGAAGGATTAATCCTTTCGCACTGTTTTGAATTATAGTTAGTGTATGTTCTTAGGAGATATGACGTGGAGATAAGTCAAATAGAGTGCAAAATATCATTTTAACATACCTTATGGGGGCCAGCTTGGGAGTTCCGTTGCGCCGCTGAGGTCATACCGTCTTCTTCTGCCGCGGATGTCGCCGCTGCGGAATGTCGATGCCCTTCTCGCTTATGGCGTTGAAGTTTCGCCGGAGTGTCGAATCTCAGGGTGCAGCCATGATACGTGCATGTATACGTTCCAGTATCGGCCGATGTCCCCGATGGCTTCTTGATGTCCGATGTTTCGGGCGTATATTCGCTGTTGGTTGATTCCATCGAAGTCATGGCTATCGGGAAGTCTTCACCGACGCTCGAAATAGTTCTCGACTGTCTGTGCGACTGGGGGACGAAAGGATACTGTTGGGGTATTTGGCGGATGTTTCCTGAGAGAGCAGGAGCGGCGAAATTGAAGTTGGAGCCCTGCGCTCCCACTTGTGAAGAAGTGGAATACGCAGACGAGCTCTCCCGCCGCGTAGTTGCCATGCTGCCGTAGCTGTGTTGTGAAATATCGTCCTGCTCCGAAGGCTCATGCGACATCGCAGATAGCTGGTGGTAATTCGATGAACGTTGCTGCGTCGGCGGGAATAGGGGAGCGTTGGCATCTTCGTCGCTCTCCTGGTAGATGAGATTGACATCCTTCGGTGAGACCGTCTTTGGTGCCGCCTGGTTGGAAGATCCCCTTGTCATCTGCTCGTGCATTGCCCGCGCATCGTTCTCCGCCTTCTGCTGTTCGCGCATCTGAGTCGCGGTTCCAAAACGGACGCTTGGCGACTGCGAGCCAAAGCCATCGTGGGTTGGGGCCAGAGGAGAGCCGTGCCGGAAAGGAGAGCGCTCTCGAGTTGGCATCACCAATGGTATTTGGGTGTTTGAAGCGCTCAGATGTTGATTACTCGCAGCTTGGAGTCTTTGTGAGAAAACGTCGTGGTGTGGTGAGAGCGGTGTCGATGTGACGAGACTCGGGCCAGGACTGGCCGACGTGATCTGGAAGTTTGGATTGTATAGTTCGTCTGCGTAGACATCGGTCATGGTCCTGTTGAGTTTCGGCATGTTATTTCTGTAGCCTTCATCGAAAAGTAAGTAATCGTCCGACCACGACCCAAATGCAATGCTCGATTTCTCACCATTCTTCTGCCTCTCTCCATCATATGACTGTGGCGTGGACGGTGAGTCATGGCTTGCCACGGATGCTATGGAAGGGCGGCCTGAGTGGTTGAGCTCGGGGGCAGGCATCAGGTCTGCGTCGCCCATCTTTGGCAGCCCATCTTGACCCAAGGTGTATGCCATGTTCGAGTTCTGGTAGAAGTTGGCGTAGTTGTTGGGCGCGAGGAAGTTCTCTCGCAGCGGGGTGTGTATGGGAGTTAGTGGCTTCGACGACGTCTGGTGGTAATCCGAGAAGTCGTGGAAGTCATTATAGATGTCGCCGGCCACCTGGGGGTTGGAGATGTTGGCGGCGTATGGCGACGCCGGGCCTGCCGATCCCAGCGATGATTGGGACGACTCGCGATGGTGTGTCCTCGTCGTCGAGGTCGGGGTCAATTGGCCTTGGGTGAGCCAGCTGTTGGAGGAGTGCTCGACCTGCATCAGCTGCGGTGATTGGGATTGCGTGTCGAAGAAGGGAGGGTTCGCGGAGGCGAACGAGAAGACGGAGCTGTTGTGCGTCAAGGTGTTGCTGCTGGTGCTGAAAGGAGATTGAGGGGGGATAGTGGCGGTGGCAAGTGTGCTTGCTTGTTGTTGTTGTTGATGTTGTTGTGGATGCGGTTGTGTTTGTGTTTGTGGCGACGGAGGCCAATATTGGGGTATGTTTTGTTTTGATATAGGGATGCGTAGAGGTAGACGTTGAGGATGTTGTGGATGTGAGCGTGGATGTTGAGGATAAGGATGATGTAGGGACGGACGTAGCGCCAACATCGAGGTGGGGGTCGGGGGTTAAAGTAGTCAGTGGCGATTGCGGAAGTGGTGCTTTGTCACCGAGTTTTTCCCTTTCTCTGGATTCTCTCGGGCTCTGTCGCTGACTTTGTCCTGTGTTCTGACTCTCTGGCTCGCGCTCGGGTGACTCGAGACTGGAGCGGGTTGAGCGGATGGGCCGGGGGGGGAGGGGGGGGGAGTGGATGCGGACGCGGCAGCGGACGCGATGTGGGTGGACCGACTAATCGGGATTTCCGTTGGGTCGCTTCGAGAAGGATCTGGAATGTAGTGGCTTGGTATTGATATGAGAGCACAGGAAGCACAAAGCACTACTGTACGTATAGTAGTTATAGTAGTGTTCAATGCTACTGGACTGGTGCCAGGAATATCGTGGTGGTATTTGTGTTGGCTGTATAGCGCACGCAGGGCTGTGCAGGTCGAGTGCGTGCAGTTCCAGCTCCTGTTGCTCGGTGCCGTTTAGAGGTAGGGATAGAGATCGGGGTGGACTGTTGATACGGTTGTGGATATAGTATGGCAGGTGGATATAGAAGGTGGAGTGGAGTGTGGTGGGGAGATCAATCGGACGATAAGGGAGCAGAGACAAGCAGCTGGACAGATAAAGAGGCCGGAGAGAGTGCTGCCTTACGTAGCCGGACGCGGGGTCCGCTCGCTACAAATACAGCAGATTGCAGGACTGTTTGCATGCATGTTTTTTCGTTCATTCGTTCATCCATTAATTCATTCATTCAAGCTGCATACCTTAGCTATTGCATTACTTGATCTTGTGCATTTACCACATTCTGCATATTGGATGTTGCACCGCACGATGTTCCTTGTCCAGCGTGCGTCGCGAAGTGGGGCGATGATGCAATGGGCGCTGAGAGCGGCAGGGATGCGGGGCTGGAGGGGGTGTGTGCAGCGCGTAGTGCTCCGTACACATACAATAATATACCGAGGACAGTACTTGGGAGAGCGCAGCACCGCTCACTCGCTGCCTAGGTAACTCTACTGTACTGTACTGCACTGTACGTACGGCATCGGCCTGTGCGTACGGCATCGGACTGCGCTGCAACGGCCCTGCAGAGCTCCCAAGCCCCCAAAGCCGCTCCAAGCCACTCGAGTCGCTGGAACTTCTGCTGCTGTGACACTTGATTAGTGATGCGAAGTAACGCTCCACACCGACCAGTGGCCCGCCAGACCCCTGCAGGGCTGAGCCACATTACGCTAGCCCTCCCCCAACCAGCCCAGCTTGTCCCAAAGCCGTAGCCCGGACGGGGGTAACGGAGGTTGTCGCTTTTAAGATGCTGACACACTAGCCGAGCCCAGCATATCCTGACCTCGGATCTGTCCGCTGTCCCTGAAAATAGAAAAATCAAGTTCTGCAGCCTGCATCGGCATCCTGCACGGCCCTCCCCACCGGACGTCGCCGTGGCAAATTTTTTAATTCTCCGCGCTCCCTTCAGACCGAGCCTCTCAACGCTCAACATGGCACTCGAGCAGCTTGGAATGCTTCAACACTCGACACTATCACTCGTCCAGCAACGCAGGAAAAATATGATACTCTTTTCTGTGCACCCACACCAGCGCGCGACAAAACCCTTGCCCGGCTCGACCATCGCCCACCGCTCTCCTGAAGACGGGAGTGGCTCAGCTCAGTTCAGTGCAAATCCCAGCCGAGGTCTCCCATGATGATGAGCTTCTAAGCTTCTTACTAACCTCCCTCCCGTTACCAGTCGTCTGCTTCGTGCCTACCAAAAGGTCACCAGATAGCGACTTCGTATCGCTGCGACCGGGCCATTAACCCCTTCCGTAGAACCAGAACCAGAACCAGAACAACAACCAGGACAGCCCGGATTTAACGGGGACTCCAGTGCCGCCGCATCGCATCTCAGCGCGGTAGTCGGTCCAAGTATCGCGATTTCGTAATTGGCAATCACCATGTAGAGAATGCTTGGTCACGCTTAGCCAAAGAGAGTGCCATTCCAGGGGACCGACATATCTCCGAACCAGGAGATGCACACAATACAGTATTTTCCATGCCGCGCGCAGCAAATCTCGTCAGGATTCAGACATACCTGCATAACATGTTAAACACTTCCTGATCTCACGCCCTGAATCCCCCACGCCAACTTCCCGGGTAGTGGCAAGCCTCTCGATGCCATGTGGCCGCCAACTCCAGCATTGCGACACTTTCCACTTTTCCCATGATTACTATTCGTGATCACTATTCATGAAACACCGCTGTCTCACCGCTGTTCGCCTGCAGAATTGCTTCTTTGGATGGGTAGCTGAAACGATCTATCATGTCTGGACGGTGGCGGCCAGGTGCCATGTGGCCCCCAGGACTAGATCGCTAACCTTAAATCACCAGCTCACAAGGCGATCTGGTTGCCTTTTCGCTCCCTTGACGAGCTGACCGCTTTTCGCTTCCCCGCCGCCGATAGGGCTTGCAGATCGCCGCAAGGGCGCAAGGTCCCGAGGTACCGGGTCCCAGCGGCCGGGGAGCCAGATCTAACTGATCGGACGGGGGGAACCAGCAGCCTGGACTCAGTGATGAATGTGGCTTGGAGCGGCGCTAGAGCGACTCGAGGGGGTCTAGGTCTCGCGAATACATACCGTGCTGGAAGTCTTATTGACCACTCTGTTGGCCAGCCAAGCTTAGAGTTTAGCACCACACCCACCCGAGCACAGGAGCAGTAGTTCGTGCATATCTCTGCAAGGCGTAGAAGGATACTACGTAGCAAAGCGCAAATTTTCCCACGTCGCTTTGTCTAGCTATCGGCCAAAACTCTAATTTTTACCTGGTTGTACAGTATTTTCTCCTTTACTTTCTGTCGGCTAGTAGTTAGTAGCCTAACTGCTTGCTTGCTCTCCCCTGAAGTCGTCCACCTCGCTGAGGGCCTCGTATCTAAATCCATCCTCCTACAGCAGGCAACCTATCTCGTATCTCACTCAGGGCCTAGACGTGATAAATATATCCGCTTGCTGTAGCATGCAGTACTTCGTACATACATCTAGACCATTATAATTAATCTATAACAATTGGGACGCTATTCAAACTCAACAATTTTCCTATCTATAAATAAAATTTGCATACGAAGTGCAATTAATTGCCAATAGTGCTGCCTCCTCCAGGCAGAGATAATCTTCAACCCTAGCTCCAAGAGCGAGCGCGCGAGTCTGGACCAGCACCAACAAGAAATTTCCACCAGTCAAACCTTAATGATCGTAAGAGAAAATGGCGTGCCCGGATTCTCCTCGGGAAGATAGGGAAGTTTTTTCCATTCGTGGCTGCTTCTCGACTACATCCAAGTATGCATCCAAGACTTGAAATTTCTGCATCTGTTGGATTCGGCGACACCGTTGGTTGGGCGGTTTCGCGGCCGGCCTGGGCACTGCCACCGATGTCCGGAGTGCGGAGTGCGGAGTCATTCCGACAGCGGGACGGGGAGTCGGGGACAACGACGAACGACCCAGGAGGTCACAAGACTTGGTCACGGGATGAGTAGACTCACTCAAATGCTTGGTCAGCGCCTTAAAGCCGTGGCTGGCCGATGACAAGATCGCCGAGCATATACTCATACAGCTCGTAATACGCGTAAGACTGTACGATGTATAAGCCACATCCCCAGCCCTAGCCGAGCGGCTATCAGCTTTACGAAGTCTTACCAGTACCTAGGTATATAGGAGCAATATATCCTCTGCTTAATTTCTTATAAATCCTTTGTCACGCGCAAAAATCAATTGAGAACCTCCGCTGAGTCGCCGACTGCTGACTCTAGGCGCACGTCACATGCAACAAATTCAATATTATGGGCCTTGGCATCTCATCAATATTGTGCGAGATAACATTCGATTCAGTGCAAGCAAAACAAATTTCATTGGCATAAATGACCACATGGCCTGGTCAGCGATCGGCTCAGAGACTTCCTATTGTGGCGTATATTCTGGACAGGTTGATGAGAGCCGCATATCATCTATCCATGGAGTAGGAATTTCATCTATCGCCATGCGGACATGTCCCGGGATCTGCCAAGCATCCTGAATACCTTGTTCTGGACTCTCCAGGTTATAAAAGAGTGTCGCTGTGTGACCCTATGATGATTGCCCTGACAAGAATAACCAAAGAGTAGTATTATCGGTGCTATTTTACTACAATGTGCTCTGTAGTAGGCATTTGATACTACCCAAGATGTGCAATGTCGTCAGCAAGGGAGCACTTCAAGAATTGGCCCCTGCTGTTATGTGAGGAGTCCATGCATGCTTAGTAATTTACGCTTCGACAACACCAGCTGGACCTTCCATTAAGGCAAGTTCCGCGCAGCAATCTGAAAACCCGCTCAACCTGCTGAAAGCCAACATGTCCTCCAAAGCTGTTGGTCCAATAAGATCTTCCTGGTACAAATGGAAAGCGCAGAGATGGGTGCCATGGCGAAAGAGGTTTCTTGTTGGTGAGTTCCTGCGCTGCCCAATCCCCGTCTTGCCGGAAAAGTCCATTTCGTTCTGGTCACAAACCTAACATTCAGCTCTTTTGCAGGTCTTGATCTGCATGGTAATACCTTTTGGGAGTTCCGCGAGTCGTTGTGGTCACCGCAATACCGTATGCGACGAATTGTCCAGTATCCTCCCAACACCCACGCGAGCGATGTCGACGTCTCTCCGCAATGGCTCCAGTGGCTTCGGCACACGCGCAAAAACGCACCTTCTCTCACGGAACAGTCTCAGGACCTGGTGCGCCAGGAAAATTTGAAAATACTAGCAGCGCAGGCGGATGCGAGATGGGCAGCTAAACCGAGTGTCTTGGATGCGCCCAGACAGGCGGAACGGCAGCCATTGCCTCCGTTGAGAACTACACCTGGAGGGGAGATTGCAGAATCAGAACACAAGCTGAATCCCGGGGAGATAGGCCGAGAAAAAGTACGAACTGACTCTCCAGGAGCCAGACCTGCAGCGGACTTGTCTGAAGGATCAGCTGGCAATGTTGGCAAAACACAGGCGGAGCAAAACAGTACTGCCAAACCAGAGGGAGTGAAGGAGAAAGCAAAAGTAGATCCTTGGAAACAAGCTCCTGGCGCCTCAACTGAACAATGGCAACCCCAATCCTGGGGAGGAACCACGCCGACCCCACGACGATGATTCGAATAACCTATACCTAATGGCCCGGGGAAGCGCCCGCCCTATACGAATATCTGTACGAATCCATGACACATCTCAACACTTATCGTTAGAATAATACCAGTCTCAACAAATGGGAAATCAGACTGTCACAAGTCTCTGTATAATATAATTGCCAATAGCTGGTTTCGCAGAGGAGAGAGTTGCCACCTGCAGAGATCCCTAAAGCAAGAGCTTGCTATCTATTGCAAAAACTGGAAGGACGTCTTAGGAAATGCCTTTGTGTCTATATCGAAACCTAGGTATATTTTTGGGCATTGGATATAAACGGAGGATGGAGACAGCTACATCAAAGCACCCCGGTGCACGAGTAGGGGTGTAACCAGGCGGATTGCCGCTTGCCTGTCATCTGTGTGCTCACCTTATCTAACCGGAGCTCAGAATAAGAGCCCCTTACTCCAAGCTCTTCCATTACACAATCAGATGCATATTTTCCAACTCCGTATTCTTCTACATTATTGACAGTGCGACAGTTTTAATTAGTATTATTACCAGAGGCTATTATAGTATTATCAAAATACTATAGCGGGAAGATAGCGTCCTTTGTGTTATTTTTGCATTAATAGCTAGCCAGTTGGGTAACTACAGTGGAGGCAGAGGTCTAGGTGGTCACCGCCCGCAAGGCCACCGCTTACAGGCGGTGACAAACTACCTAGCTAAATTCCAAACACCCTCTATATAAAACCAAATAATCACTTTTGGTTTTTGAGGGGTACAAGGGCGGCCACTTGGTTGAGTGGTTCAGGACAAGCTGTACTTTCGAGGCCGACAGGGAACTTAAGGGTACGTAGGCATAGGCCCCAAAACAGGGGGACGTAAAAATACGACTCAAAATGACGACTAAAAAAACGACAAAAGAAAACGAAACAAATACGAATCGGATCTATTCGACAAGAGATGTAGGCCTTACAACGACGGGGCCGAACTCTTTTGCTATTTTAATAGGTTATTAATTTTACAATCATTTTCCGTGTTGCTTCTTTTCGTTTTGATCCTTTTATAAATGTTCCTTGGTCATATGTCGCTATTTACTGCCCGAATGCTTTCCCGCAGTGTTCCAGTCTATGGCGTTAGAATGCTTGGTTCAAAGTCGAATAGTAGCCCAGGCATATAGGTACAGTAGGATAAGAATCCCTGGATCCCGAGCTATAATAGAGCTGCAAAATAATAATGGCCGAGTGGCTCACCAGTAGTAGGCCATATCAGATTAGATAAGACGGAAAAGTCCCTGAACTGATAAGACACTTAGCATCAACTAAACAGGGTATTACGAGTGCACTTACACATTTATATCAATCAATAAACGCGCATATATCATAACTATGCAAAGCAAAGCATCATTAAGAACCCCCATATACTTAAATCTGTGGTGTTGCAATCCTACTTGGCGTGATTACTCGTATCGTGCTACGAGCGTGATTGCTAGCGTGATTTACTCGTACAGTATCGCGTGAAAAAGCCTTTGACTCACGAGACAGATGCAGGTACAAAAACCAGCCCACTCATTATATACCGGGTTCCTCATATTCCACCAGCTGTCCAGACCAAGCACTCGCTCACAACGAGGGATACCGGAATAGGAGAATCAAAATCATACGTCTTGTATCTCAGCCCGAGTTCACGCGCCAAGGAGGTCTCCCCGCCCCTGACTACTTCGTACTGTAGCCACCACGACAACTACAACGACGCATCTCTCGTTGAGGTTGCGGCTCCAGCACGATGTTATTATTAAGACCAACTCCACCGGCGAGCATGAAGATTGCTCGCCAATTTCTAGCTGTCGGGCCCATACTAAAATCTGGTCACTCGGCGGCCAATCGCCGGGGCTGCTTGAGATGTTTTTCAGGAGTGGGCAACGCCGCACTAGGCAAGAAATACAGGGCAGTAGTTGTCGGTGCTGGACCAGCTGGTACCGCCGTGGTTGGGAATCTACTAGAGCAGAAGCAGGCTCCGATATTATGGGTTGATGATGAGTTCCATGGCGGAAGGCTGGATAAGTATTATCGAGAAGTGCCCAGGCAAGTATTGGATATAGCTTTCGGCCCTGAAGCACATGGTCTGACAACTTTTGTAGTAATACTAAGGTCAAGCGCTTTGTGTCATATGCTGAAGGGGTCTCACCGTTTAGAGAGATCTTTAAGGAAACACCAGAACCGAATGCTTATTCTCATCTGAAGAGTCTGGAGCAGGAGAACACGTGCTATATTGCTCAGGCTGCGGACCTTTGTGTTATGTTGACCAAAGGTTTGGACCAGTCCAAAGGAGTGTATAAGCAACTGGGTAGAGTATCCGATGCATCATTGTCTGAGGTTAGTAAACTTGACATCTAGATTTTCATTTCATATTCCAGACTGATATTGGGTTAGACAAGTGGGTGGACAGTAAGACTAAATCCATCGGGTGATAAAAATGCTGGGCCAACTGAAGTATCATCCGATATTATGGTCCTATGCACAGGCGCAGCACCCTCATCCGGCCCTCTCCCAGTGTCTGATATTCAGGAAATCGGACTTGACCCCGCGCTCAAACCATCTCTCCTCCAAACCATAATCCCATCAGACTCGCCCATCACCGTAGCTGTAATTGGCGCATCTCACAGCGCTATTTTGGTCCTCCGGAATCTCTACAACCTTGGTCGCTCTACCCATCCTCAATTACGCATCAAATGGTTTACCCGTCACCCTCTACGTTATGCTGAGGAAAGAGATGGCTGGATATTGAGAGACAACACTGGCCTGAAAGGCGATGTTGCTATCTGGGCGAAGGAAAATCTTGAAGAAGATAGACTTCCCGCATCGGATGTGAGCCGATATCTTGAGAAAGTCCCCACGACACGGGACAAGGAGGAAGCGGTGTATAAGGAGCATCTACCGGCGTGCACACATGTTGTTCAGGCTATTGGATTCACCAGAAATGAAATTCCCGCGCTTAAGAGACAAGGTAAGGAGCTTGAAATTAAGTACGACAACACAGCAGGCGGCTTTGAGGACAAGGACGGAAAGAAGGTGAAAGGCTTATACGCTGCTGGCATCGCGTGGCCGGAGAGGGTTGTCGATCCTGAAGGGAATGTGGAATACGCCGTGGGATTGGCTAAGTTCATGAATTATTTGAAGAGGGTTGTGCCGAATTGGAATGCGAATTAGTTGTAAGAATTAGGATGAGAATACCGGATAGATAATGGCCAAGGACATATACTGACTGGGGGCGGCTGGTATTATGCTCGAATACGATGTTTCACCTGAAGTTCAAAAGAGTATCTTGATTCAGCGGCTAAAGATAATTAATTCCGGGCTGGATATAGGAGGTTCCTTGCAGGCTGATATGGGAGGCCTAGGTAATGCATATACGACGGTTTAATTTTACGAAATCTTCCACGACATAATAGAAGTATCAAATAGACCAACAGCCGTAACGGCCAGCGGAAAAACATTAGTTCATCAATGAATAGACTCTGGGTGTTGAGCAGTAGAATATACATTAATTAGTTCTATTAACCTCAACGGCCATTTTGTGCCTCCGCTACTAGATGTGTCTGCCCTGGTGCGGAATACCCAGTAATACCATATGCCACCCACGATATGATCGATAATACGGTAAGTGCAAATGGAGGGAAGGGGATTTTGCCAAGCATGATGTTGAGGATCTCGATGTGGGAAGCAAGATAATAAACAACATCGAACAAAACTAGCCCGACTGTGAAGATGAACAGTGATAGCTGTTGGCAGCTTCTCCTCCGTGATCCGAGCATTTCAGAAATTATTCTGTCAAGTCTCTCTGCCATTTTAATGTCAGAGAATTCAGTCTTGACTCTTTGAATCCCTGCTGCACCCATAATTCCAAGCTCTTTTTCTGACATTTTGTGTATTACTTTGTTCATGACAGCAGTCCAGCTCTCGATATCTTCTGGTGAGCGAAGCCAGCCGGTCTTTCCATCTACCACAGTCTCAAGAGGCCCGCCTGTATTTGCAGCTAAGACCGGAACACCAGCCAACATAGCCTCTAACGGCACAATGCCAAAGTGTTCATTCGAGGGGGTGTAGACAAGTAGGCGTGCGGATTTCAATAGCATTTCTTTTAGGGTGTTCGGTACTGATAGAAGGAACAATACATCGACATCATCCGGCACGTTCAGAGCTGTGATTATCGTTTTCGTTGTCGCGGTCTTGAGGCCTAATGATTCGGCGAGGCTCACAAGCTCCTGGTGGTAGGTTACATTTTCTTGAACTCGATTGTCGTATCCACCTATAATTCTAGGTCAGAGAAAATTAAGAGGGATCCAGAGAGTCACGACAAACCTGCTAGCACTAGCCTCACTCCTTCTCTTCCATGCTTCCCAAGACCGGCATAAGCCTTGATGGCCAACCCAATATCTTTCTTACTCTCAAATCGATTAATGCTCAATATGATTCTAGTATCAGTCCAAGCAACGCCAGGTTCATCCTTCTCCGTGATGCTATTTTCCCTAATGTCCACACAGGGGTAGACAACCTGAAGATCTTTCGTCCGTGCCAGCTCTGGCCACACGCTTCCCACTATCCCCTTTGTAAACCCCGAGTTCACCACCACCGAGTCTGCGAAGCTCATACTCCATTGTTCAAGACTGTCGAAGGGGATTCTGTAGGCTCGTTTCCACCACGATGACCTTCCTCGGGCGAGTAGCAGATCCGGGAAATGGCAATAGAACAAGATTCGCGTGGTTGGGTAAAGATATCCCAGCCACGGCAGACCTGCACTCAATTGATCCACGACAAAGGCATCGGGGTTTAAAGAGCTCAGCTCAGATGCGAGGTATGTCGCGAGGATGAGGTGTAACTGTCGCAGAATGGCGCATATTATGGAGAAACGGGACAGGATGGAGGGTGGAAATAGCCAATTGCCGCGAACGCGCACATCGAGGGTTCCTGGCGTACATATCAGAATCAGAAGACAAGCTGCTTATAAGCAGGAGCAGGATAGGCGTGAGAAATTACCATCACGGGCTTCGTCGAAGCAATGCTGTGGATCGCAATGGCTTGTGAAGATGACAACGTGGTGGCCGCGATTCTGCAGCCCCACAGCTGCATCGATGATCAGTCTCTCGGCGCCTCCAATACCTAGATCAGGATGGAAGAATAAAATTGTACGCGGCTTCGTAGACTTAGTCGTTCCGGGAGACAGTGGACTTTGAGCCATGTTGCCAGCTCGAAGCGTGACGCGGTGTGGTGTGCTTGATAACAGATTTCTGCAAGGCGCCGCAGCTGATAGAGCTCTGGCGCATAGAGAGCTGTGTCCCTGCGCCCGTATGAAGTGCAATAGAGCTATTCACACTCCCCGCGCGCGCTCCCTGCGCTATTTGATGGGCTTACAAGTTATATTACCAGCATAGGTTTTATCTCTAAATAATACGGATTATTCTATTCCTTCTTGTCTTGTGTGACTTATTTATTTTGTCCATGACCAAATAATTATACCGGTACACCAGGTGTCTTCCTAAGCACATGATAGGGACCGCGAGTGTGCTGCCTCGCACCGAGAGCCTTGCGAGCCGAGGTTGTCCCTCCCTGGGGGCATTCTAGTATTATCACAAGTAGTTGCAAGCTCAACTCTCTATTTAACACCATCTCCACGTAACTTAAACTCAATAACTCGTTATCATATTATCTCCCTAGCAAATCAAGATGGCAACCGATACCTTGTTCGAAGTTCCGGTTCTCGACACGGTCTCCCCGGAGGGCAATCCTCCAACTGGCAAAATCACCTGCACAACACCCTCCGCAGGCGTCTACCTCCTCACATTCAATGCGCCTCCTGATAATCGTCTCACCACCCAGTTCTGCCAGGCTGTTCTCCTCGCGCTCGATATCTTGGAATTCTCGCATCCCACAGGAGTGTTGATGACGACCTCCGCAATCACCAAATTCTACAGCAACGGGCTTGATCTCAACCATGCTACTTCAACACCGGGGTTCTTCTCATCCAGTCTCTATGCTATGTTCAAACGGTTCCTAACGTATGCCATGTCTTATCTTATATATATTTATATATATACCTTCCGTCAGCTTAACTTCTAACTAATTCCTGCGTCGATATAGATACCCCATGCCAACAGTAGCATTAGTAAACGGACATGCCTTCGCCGGCGGTTTTATGACGGCGATGTACCACGACTACCGTATATTCAATCCAAGCCGTGGCTTCTTATGCCTGAACGAGCTCGATCTTGGCGTGCCTCTCCGTCCCGCCATGTCCAGTATTTTCCGCCAAAAACTTACTCCCGCTGTGTATAAGGTGATGGTTATAGAAGCGAGGCGGTTTGGGGCCAAGGAAGCTCTCGATAGTGGTATCGTCGACGGCCTTGGGGGTCTTCAGGAAGCGTTGAAATTTATTGAAGAGAGGAAATTAGTAACCAAGGGATCGACCGGTGTATATGGTGATCTCAAGGCCGAGATGTTTCGGGAGACTGTGGGCTATTTGGATGGGGATGAAAGAGAGGAGGAACGGAGTCGGGGGCTTTATAAAATCGAGGACCAAAGGAGAAAGGAGGGCAACCGTCGCGTTGATGAGTGGAAGAGAAGCAAATCCGGAGCTAAGTTATAGATATCGACAAGCCCAACTTACACGAGTGTAAAATCAATAACCCAGCTGTGGCAACGGCGTGCCATTGTTGTAAATTAGAGAAACGCATTTGGAATGGGAACAAGTGTACATTGGGGGTCCTAGCGCTGATCAAAGACAATCTGGGAGGCAACAGGATTATTTTAACTGATAATCTGATTGATTGAATAAAGCAAAAGCCACCCTTGTACTCCATGGCATCGTCTAGTCATTACCGCCATTACCCATCATCGTAATATACAAAACTCCGCTCCATGCCGTTACCACCTGACTCCTGCACCATGCATCTCATAAAACAAGAGTCGAAAAGTACTCTTCGGCCATATGAATTCATGGGGAAACCGCCTGTCTATCAGGCAAAGCTGTCTTCGGTAGGCCACCGTTCCTTGGAAACCGATTCGGGCGGCTCCGGTATTCCCTTTAAGTTATCCTCCGGAGTTTTGACCCCCCCGTTAACCCCGTCGCCGCCCTCGACCTTCTCATTCTCATTTTCATTGCTAACGAGAACACCCGATGTCACCAGAGTCTCCCAAACCACATCTTTCACTTCCAATATAGACCTATCGACACCCAAACCATCCAGCATTTTCAACCGGAAACAACCACCTAGAACGAGCATCTCGAATACTCTCCTTAGCATCCTCGTAGGCATATCAAGACATGCGGCGTATTTCATATCCTTGGCTCTATCCCCCTTCCTAATTGTGAATGGCTCCACAATATCTGCCTCGCCACTGCCTTTCTGTGCAACCAAAGAAGTCTCTAACACCGGTGGATAGAATCCAAGGGTTAATGGGTTGGCTCTGAGATCAACCAAAGTGAGACTAAGGAATTGGGACAAAATGGCTGTCGTCTTCCTTAGACTAGATACCCGATTGCCGGCGAGATGGAGTTTCTTCAGACGTACGATACCGAGAAGGGGTGTGATATCTCTTAGAGCATTAAAATTTAGGTTCAACACTCGAGTATTGAGGACCATCTGACCAAACTCAGGAGAAAGTGATTCCAATCCACAATTGGCAAGCTCCAGGTACTGAAGGTTGAGGAAGTTGACCCCAGGCTCAAAATTATGGATCAGATTTCCGGAGAGGAAGAGCTTGCGAACTTCAAATGCTTCAGCGAGGAACGACATGTCAATGACCGCTCCATCCTTTTGCTCTCTCATCGAAAGGCTGTCGAGGCGCTTCGTTTTGAGCAAGCCCCTAACCGTCCCAAGACAGTTTCTGTCAAGGTAAATTAGGCGTAAGTTCGGGTACGGGGAAAGATCAATATGGTCAAGATGGTTGCCACTGAGTCGGAGATATTTCAACGACGAGATGGGTTGAGACTCGTCCACGGAAAAGTGGCAGAGCATATTATCTTCGAGGTCAAGGTCTGAAATGGACGCCAACTCGTTCAAATTTCGAACGTCACAGACACGATTGCCTCTAAGATCGAGATCCGTTAATCTTTGGAGTTTGGTGCCTTTGAAATCAATGGATTCTACTAGATTTCCTCTTAAACGCAAGCTTAGCAAGCCATCCAGTTGTCCAATGCCAGCCAAAGAACCAATCATGTTGTTATCTGCACGTAAGCCCCTCAAGTGAATCAGGTTCTTGAATGCTGATAGTGTCTCGAGTTGATTGTTTGATACATCAATGTATTGTAAGTTATTGAGATGACCCCAGGCAGTCAGGTCCGAGAGGCAGTTATGTGTGATCCGAATATCTCGAACAGTTCTTGATACGCCATCAAGCTGGCTAATTTGGTTGTGCGATACATCGAGTTCTTCGAGTTGCCCACAAAATTCGTCAAACTTGTGTAGATTATGAAGTTTCTTGTCCCTCAAATCCATTTGCTTCATATGCTCCCAGAAAGGCTCATATGGCTCTACATCGGTAATCTTTTGAACAAGCTCCTTGATTGCCAGCGACAACGCCCTTTGCGCATTATCACCATGAGAGTAACGCTGGCCGCCGGCAACGTAGCTGACATTCAGACCAAAAGATTCGTCTTCTTGGTGCATGGTGAAATCTGACAGAGGACTTAGAGTCAGAGTTCCAATTTCGTGTGATAGTCGAGGTGTGGCTACCACAACACTTGTTGATCGTTGGCGAAGCATAGGAGTCGCAACAACAACGCTAACGCTCCTCCGTTGGCCATCCATACATGCATCAAAGGAGTTTTCATCCTGCTCGTCGATTCGTGACACTGGCCTGGTTGAGAACGTATGCCCTCCTAACGAAACATGGCGGGTTGACTTTCTGCTTGCTGTACGGACTTTCGTAGATCCGGCTCTTTGATTCCTTCCATTCATGGAAACGACGAAACTATCATTAACCTCATTCTCAATCTCTTCGCTATCATAACCGTTATCATCAACTGTGTTGCGCTCAAAACTATTCTCGTGATCGTAAAGTTGCGGGTGAATGACCGAAGTTAGAGGAGAAGAGAACGATATTGTGATATTACGTCGACGCGGGGACTTTATAGGGTCAATACGACCCTCGAGAATCGAGATCTCGCGTTCAACGTCCTCAAAGGCCTCTTCTTCCATCCTGGCATCATTTGATTTCTGGATATGGGATACCGTTTCAGTCTCTCGATTGGCTTCCATCGAATGTTCCATAGAGGCTTGCTCGCTACCCGGTGATTCCCATCCATCGCTCCTATGTGCAACATGATTCGAAGCATGGCTGGTGAGCTTTGAATGGCCCAAAGAGGGCTGTTCACTTAAACCAGGTTCTATAGGTATCTTGAAGATGGGGTCCTTCATTTCCGACATTCCGATATGGTGTAGTTGTGGGAGCTGCGACTTTTGTTTGAGCTCGGCAGCAGCTGCTTTAATGCGTTGGAGCTCCTGGGTTTCATCGACAGATAAATCAGGGATATCCCCAAAAGGATCGTCCTCGGTCTCATCCATTGCTAAGAAATTCTGGCTGCCATTACCAACATCAACACTCTTCTTCCTCTTTACCCAAATATTTCGGTCGCGGTCGAACACCATGCCAGCAAGCTGCTCAGGAATTAAATGAGAGATGGTGTGAGGAGCGATAACATGACGCGAATTAGAGCCTCTTGATGAACCAGTTGGTATCGAGCGTGATGTGGACTGGTTGGATGAAGCATTAGATCCATGGGATACGAACCTGGCGTCTTCCGCATCATTACCACCGCTTGGAACCGAGGTCGATGAGGATGAATGTTTTCGTTTGCGTTGGTGTTCGAGATTCTCGGATATTCGAATGTTTGGTGGCTCACTTTCGATGAACTCGCCCGAAGTTAACGGTCGATCTGAAGATGCAATGGGGCCTTCGGCCGCGGCCCGCTCAACGCCTTCCACAGTGCTAGTTGCATCTCTGGACATGGCCATAGATTTCAGGGAAGATATAACACCATCTATGTCGCTCTTTTCCTGGTACTTGCGTAGGTGGATTAGAAGATCCGGATCCTCTTGTCTAGGAGGACGCCTTGATACTGGCCCACCATCCCGGCTCGGCGGCCTGGAAAACGGCTCTTGGGTGGACTCTTGATATGAATCATCAGATACGCCGTTTTCTGCGCTACCAACTGCAGATCGATTGCGGTCATTTTCCGACTCGGATTCTTCAAGGCTGGCGAGGCCACTTTGGGGCCTCACCTTACCTCGAATGCCTGCCATGATTTTTTTAGCTTCATCCAGGAAGTCTTGAGTTGTTACTGATCCTTTGCGGCTCTCATCAACCATGCGCTGGGCGGCACCTATCGCTGCCGGTGCGTTACGAGTCTCCACTGAATCGAGCTCAGCTTGGATCAGGGCAATCTTTTTTTGCTGTAATGACCGGGCACGCTGGACAGAAGTTGGGGGAAGTTCTGGAAGGGGTTGACTGTCTTGCTGCTGATGAATTTTTTGTTCCGAACTGAGAGTCCGGGGTCGAAGTATTTGACGCATAGCAAGAACATCTGGGTTGGCTGCTCTCTGGATATCATCATGTCTTGCATCCTTCCGTTTCTTCCCGATGACAGATTGCATTTGTTGATGCGTTTCTTTTAATGACTCTACCCCATGATCGACCTCATCTACTTCAGAATCACCAATATCGTCCTCCGGCAGAGTCCGCCGTCGTTTTGGAGTGGGGACCTTTAAGGGGGACTTTGGCAGCCGCTTTCCTTCTGAATTGCCATTTCGTTTCCTAGGCGTCTCAAGATTTTCTATTCTTTGGGACGGAGGTACCTCGGCTGCCAGTTCTGAACTATCACTACTATGCCGAATGGTTTTCTGGATATTGACTGTATGCTTTGTTGTGCTCGTAGTGTTTGTGTACCTAGTCCGATGGGAAGCCACCCTGCCGTCCTCCAGGGCTGGGGAAGGCTCCAATTGAAACCCAAATTTACTCGGAGTTGTTCGGTCAAGTACAGATGCAGAGATTTTATCCTTGTCCTCATACTGGTCGCCTAATCTACTAGAGTCGTATGAGACTCCTTCACTGAATTGGAAATCATCTAGATCTCCCTCGCCAAAACTGTTGAATTTCTTTGGGGCTTGCTTGTGAGTCGCGCGCTTCGGTTCCATCTTGTGTGGACTTGATGCCGATACAAAAGCCTCATTTAGCTCCGAGTTTGTTGGTTCCTGAGCGGAAGTAGATTGAAATTCGCCCTTATCGTTATCCTCAAGATCACCTTCAAATTGGCTTAGCCGGCGCAAAAGTGTTTGATTGGTGAAAGTGTCGTAGGTCCCAAAAAGCTTCAGTGGGCTGCCTGAGCTGTGATCATGGTGCTTTTCATTGGATTTGCCGGGGCTTTGGTGAGGCGTATGTGGAATAGAGGATGAGACTGGGCTGGGAGGAGAGCGACGATGTTCTTTGGATACCCGGGTCTTCTTAATACGAGGTAGTTGTTTGGGAGTGCTTGCTTGCATGGATTCTTCAGGCAACATGGCAGACTCATCAATAGCTGGGAGTGAGGAAGGACTCAACATCCGCCTCTGAAAAGAGCCTTCCAGCGAACGACCGCCCCTACGAAGATTGACAAATCGCCCATTGTGCGCATAATCGTCGGTATCGTTTGTCACGTCCTCCAAAATGAGATGGGAAGCCTCGTCATCTTCTTTGGTGATCTCAGGAGCATCAGTTTCCCTAAATTCCTCCAAACGTTGACGCAACTCGGCTGCTGTGACGGCTGCTGTATAGTCCATTTTGCCGTCCACGGTATTATGGCGCGATATATATATCGGGCTGAGCTCTTCGTTACGCACATCACTTTGTCCACTGACGATGCGTCCAGCGCCCTCGACCATGCCGTTTTGTTGTGCTATAGAACTCTCCAAGTTCGAGCGTGTGTCTTCGATAGTATATTCATCTTGACTAGCCGGAAGCCCTGCCATATTTGGCCGGAAGTGGCTACTCCTGCTAAGGTCGTTGGTTGAGAATCCGCTGCTGCCCTCTTCTGCGTTCAATTTATACTGGATCCCCCGGGGTTGTCTGCAACCTTGGCCATCCTCTTGGGGCATTCCTTCCCCCGAGGCTCCAGTTCCTAATTTGAGATCCCGGTTCAATTTGTAAGGGGGAGGACTAGACGGCATTATAACACTTGGTTCCTCCGCAGGTTGAGTCTCTCTCTGCAATTTGCCTGGAGCTGCCGTTTGCGCTGCAGGAGGGCGAAAAATATTTTCGAGGCCCGCGGGACTGAAGAGGTCGCGTTGCTCGCCGTATGCAACATCTCCCCTCAAGAGCCGGCTCTTCCATTCGGGGGTTTCGTTTAGGCCTTTGCTCGGCGAGACCTTGACGGAGGTATGTTGTATTGTGTCGTAATGTGCTGATCGCGTGGAAGTCTCAGAGAAACTCTGCAGCGAATCATTCCCGTGTGAGTCGGTAGATATAGGCACTTCGTCTCGCAGCTTAGAATGGTGTTTTGGAGCGCGTTGCGACAAGGGGATGTTACTATCGTTAAGGCTCCGCTCACTCAGAGGGCTATTGTTGTTTGGAGGCGCGCCCGCCGCCGTCCACACCTTCTTTTGGGGGTTGTATCGAGGTATCAGACTCGTTGTTGGGCGCACATTCGAGGAGTCGGAGACCTCGTTCGCTGTAGAAGGCAGCGACGGGGAAGGCGAGCCAGACGACCTTGGCTGTGAGATCCAATCCTCCGAGAGGGAGTCGAGCCACGCCTGCTCCATGGCGATTTGGGTCGGGATAGTGACAGTGGGAACCTATGCGGCGGTCGTCATGGGTGCTATTGCTATTGCTCTCGCGGTGTAGTTGGTATTGTTATTGTTGATGAGGAATGTGAGTTGAACTAGGGTTCGATTATGCCACGGTGTTCTGCGCAAAGATAGCTTGTGCTAGAAAAGGCAATGGTAATTTCACCCTTCGATAATCGGATAGCTGATGTTAGTATAGTCAAATGTCTCCTCAGACGCGTCGGGACTCAGTCGCATGAAGTTCCAGAGTCGGAGTCGTTCGCGTGCGGGCGCCGGTTCCACAGCTGCAGCTTGGTTGTCCCGGTAACGCTCACTTGGTTGAATTATACTTTTGCAACTCACTGCACCGCGAAATAGGGACACGCATCAACCGCATAACAGTTTATCTAATTTTAAAAACAAGACTGTAACTACTTGTATAAGTTAGGTAACAACTATATTATGTTAACATAATTGGTCTATCTAGGCTCTAGTGGTTTCCGCCTTCGTGCTCCTCACCTCTCTGTAAGGTCTTCTTCCTGTCTAAGGATTATTAAGGGCATATTAAATAGAGATTAGGTCTTTAGTTAGAATCATAACACTACTGGTATAGTTTACTAAAGGAATAGCAAGTCTACTTCCCCTGAGTCTGACTATGACTATATATCTGTGCATTAATTAAGCCTTAACATTTAGATAGCTTTATATAATAACTACCCAGATAATATACAAAATCAAGGTATTTGCAGCAGTAGTATCAGTCATAAAAGGGTAGCTATCAAATTTCTAGCTCTTGGGAGCACTAAATACAAGCAAGACATCTAACACGCCCATTCCTTATCCTTACAACGCCGTTATCAATGCAGGGTATGCGCGAGCCAGTTCTGACGCCAAACAATGCACAACTAAACAAACTCCTAATCCTTCCAGTCGGTCTTTTTGAAACCGCATTTAATAGCTTAGACTTCCCTCGTCATCCTCATATGCAGGAATACCCTTATCATCCATCAATTCCCCCCTAGCAGGCCCGACCGCTTTCCCACCATTCTCTTCTTGTATGGCCAGAAAGTAGTTCCTCAAACTTCTTAGGCCCCTCAAGAAGCCCATGTCAGGCAGATCAGGGTGCTGTGGTGGATACCGACTTGCGTTCAAACGAAGATCCTCCCTTGTAACACAGTTCGCAAAGTCCGCGATTTTGAAATCTATCTCTCTCATCCTGCTTCCATTATTCTCCGTTTCTGTGCCGTCTGCGTCATCCTCTACCTCGGTATCTCCGTCATAGTACATCAAGAGACTGGCGGCATAAAATCGATATCCGACAAGGCCGCGGATAATAACTTCCAATACTGCGAGTTTACTTAGGATGGTAGGAATATGTCGCAGAACGCTGGAGTAATCCATTCCATCATATAAGAATCGAGTGAGGGCATTCTGGAACTCCCGCCCAGGCTTAAGTGCTCGTCCGAAGTATTTGTCCTGGAAGATGTAGGTCTGGGTCTTAACATCCCAAACCTGCAATCCACACACCCTCACGCCTAGTTCTTTAGACGTAGTCGCTCCGCATTTCTTTCTTTGCGATCTTCGCTTGGTCTCATGGGCATCAATACCATACTGGCGGGTACCCATTTTCAGGTCCATTATGCAAGGCCGTTTCATTCCAGCAGTTAAATCCTCAAGCAGCAAGAAATACTCGACACGGGAACCTCGCTGGGTTTGCGCCTCCTTGGGGTTAACCGGACGAGGAAGGAGCTCCGGGTTGGTGACTCGAAGGCTAGGGCCATGCCGTGGTAATGGTCGGGGCTGGGAAGTCGGTCTTCGCTGCTTACGAACAGGAGCCGGCTCCTGTAGAAATGCCTCCCCGAATACTTCGTTTCGTAGCTTTTTATTAACAGTGGTTGCACCCCAGCTGGCTTCGCTAGCAGGTAGAGTCTGCAGAGGTTGGCCCTGCTTATCGGGAGGCTGGGAGGGTGATTTTGTGTCACTATCGCTTTTGGATCTATCTTGTGCCCCCATTGAATGACGTCGAGATTGAAGAAAGCTCGTGGGTATGATATGTCCATTGTCCGCAAAGGAAACAGTGGGAATAGGCATGGAAGATGGATTGAGAGACTGGCTAATCACTCTCGCCGGTTCTAGCAGACCAGCAGCGTAGTGGGAATTGGGCGGGGGACCATCGTCAATACTGCCATTAAGATGCACCTGTGACCCACTTACGGACAGGCTGTGCTGTTCAGCAGTTGGATCCAAAGTCACATTGAGGACGCCGATATACCTAAATGTCAACATCGTTAGCATTGCGAATACTGTGAGAGCAGAGCCCAGAGCGGCGTTGAAGGCGGTCAGTCGAGGCAAGGCGACGATCACACATACCTAGGCAGAAATTTCAGCAGTTGCGGGTGATAGCGCTCAACCCTTTCATAGAATTCATTCTCGCGGTTATGCAATTGTTTACAGACCGCGCTCTTCGAGAATCGCCACATGGTATTATGGCCGCCGACCTGGTGGCGGTAGGGGATCAACTGCAGGTCTGGGAGATGGCCACGCATATACCTCCGTGCTTGGTTCTCGTATCGGTGCTGTCTCCTGCGTATCTCATCGTCATTCTCGTCGGTATCGCTCCCCCCGCATATGGCATCTTCGGGCTGGTGGGCTGGTGAGCAGTGGAAGGGCTCTTCGCTTTGTGCAGAGTATATCATGGCCGTGAGTTTCCCATGGGAAGCAGGCGCCAGAGGGGGACTTCGCAGACAATATCGGAGGGGCGATGCTGGCGCGGGTTTTCATTTTATTAGGGGAGGTTGTGTCTGGCGTATACTCCTGTCGATGCGGGCGAACGCCTTATCATGTACAGATTGGTTTTCTCTTCCCACCGAGGGGTTCATGATCCATATCTGCGCTAGGGCCGAAGCGGGATGGCGGCCTGCTAGCCGAATTTCGCCACCTGAGCCCTAGCCGTGCGTAGTAATAAAGTCAATAAGACAGGCAAATACGGAGCAGTCAGCACTCACTGACGTGGACACTTGAAGGGTTATTAATAAAGCTTAAAGTTTAGAGGCTATGTATAAGGTGCTTATAACGTGTCTACCAATTGTCAATACTGCAATAGGTACCTAGCTACTGCGCATTTGCACGCTTCCCCAGCCATGGTCCTGTGCTATTCCCACACCCCATCACTGTCAAACCCACTCCCAAGTCTTAGGTCGAATTAATGGCCGGATTAGTAGCCCAAGCCACTTGTTTATCCAGCTAGCCTATCGTAGGGCCAGGATCATTAAGTGCATACTTCCATCGCCCTCTCTGGTTGTTTGTGTACCTAAGAGAATGAAGATAGTAATCGTGGCCAAAGATGGGCCAGTCACCTGACCGTAACTCGGCACGTGGGTGTTGGCATTTGCGGCGCCCAGGTATATTACTCAGCTTAGGCCCTTACAGTAGCAGGACTAATTAATATCTTATCTCCAATTGACCTATCTATACTTGGTGTGATCTCTAGAGTACTTCTGATTGGCCTCAGACTTTCACAGTGGTAAACAAGCAGATGAGGCTCTTACATTTAATTTAATATACATACATACAAATAATGACACACAATAATCTCCAAACCCCGTTCACACCAACCGCGTTACAAGGTAGGAGGTACCGATGTACTTCGATAGTGGTTAAGGCACGTGATATGGCGCTTTGATCGATCAACTCTGGACGCGAAATGGTCGCGGTATGTCAATATGTCAAGTACCGCAGCATCTACCTCCACTTTCCGAGGCCACCAATCCTCTGTCAGTCTCCCTCGTATGCAGATGAGGTCGCAAATGAGTCACGATGCCAATCGAAATTATCGATCTACTTTCCAGCCCAGATATACTCCGTTCAAACCCAACTCTACCTCGAGCTAAATCCTCAAAAGCTCGCAATTCGGCACCACGGGTCCTGACCTCTGTTCCTGCTCCCGAACGAATTCTTGAATACCAGGCCCCAAACCCCACTCGAAAGGATGATGACTGGTTTATACTCTCTTCTGATGGAAACAACCCAGACCTACCTGGTCCTTCACCAACAAATGCTGGCCTCATACGTACGGTGACGGGTCCGGGTTCGCAGTTGGAAAGCGCGTCAAAGCCTGGCCAATTGATGCCTAAAGCGACCGGCAAAGACGACTTCTTTTTCGTCTCGGATGATTTTGACAGCACTATCGATTTGGACAGATCGTATGCGCTAAACGAGCCGCCTCCCAAGAAACGGCGCCTTTCTTCCTCGCCCATAGCTACACTGCCGAATACGGGCTTATCAAGAGCGAGAGAATTTAAACGATCAGCTTCCAATGTAGAGCCCTCGAAAACAAAGCCAACTTCGACCAAGCACATCCCACGTTTAAGGAAATCGAATACGGCGAGTATAGTCTTGGATTCGGATCCCATAATATTTACCAGTTCTCCGGACCCGTTTGCCGATGTTTCATCGAGACGGAAACCGAAAAGTGGGAGAGATTGGGATTATGACGTTGATGAGGAGGACATATTTGGCCTTAAGGCTCCACCGACGGGTAAAGGGCGAGATTTCCGTTCGACAAAGAGCAGTGACGTTGGCATATTAGAGCCGAGTCATGGGAACAAAATGAGAGAAATCCCAATCGAAAATTCGGACGATGATCTTCCAGACATTTTCTCTCTGCCTTTGCCGGCCGCAAAGTATTCTCGAAGCTCAGATCTTGCTCTAGCAATGTATAACGAGGAGAAATCAACAAAGAAAGCTGGCGTGAAGAAGGTTGAACGGGCTAAAGAGCGGCACGCTGCCAGTGAGACGGAGAAAGAACGAAAGCGTTTGGATAAAGAGGCAGAGAAGAGGGGAAAACTCCTAGCTAAAGAGACGCAGAAAAAACAAAGTCTGTTAGCTAAAGAGGAGAAACTTCGGAATAAGGAGGTGGCTGCGGAAGTTGCCAAAGTCAACACTCTGCGTACTGATAAAAAGGTGTCGACCCCTGAGATGATATTGGAATTGCCAACCTCACTTGACCCTGAACTTGCTAGGCAAGTCCGCAGTTTCTCCGCTCCTTTACAGGTTGACACCGGGGAGTGGGAGAACTCAAAACCAATCATTAAATGGAAGAGAAAAGTCCAGGCGAAATATAATGATGGGCTGGGTTACTGGGAACCTACGCCATTGCGTATTGAACCTGAGAAGCACATCATCTGTGTAATATCTGGCCAGGAATTCGTTGACCTAGCTACGGGAGGTGAAACGAACGATCTTGATTCTCATGTTCTACAGCTCAGAGCTAAATTCCCTTCGTGTCAAATTATATACTTGATGCAAGGACTTGCCTTGTGGATGAGGAAGAACAAAACTGTGCAAAACAGGAAATTTGTCCAGGGCGTGAGAAATCAGACGAGCCAAGAGGATACCAGCTCTCGTGGTCGAGCAAAGAAGGGAAAGGAGCCAGAGCATGTAAATGAGGATATAATCGAGGATGCGCTGCTAAAGTTGCAGGTTCTGCACAACACACTGGTTCACCATACGGCTGCGATGGTTGAAACTGCCCAATGGATCATCACATTTACACAGCACATATCCACTATTCCTTATAGGTATGCCCTCATCCTCCCTTGTGCTATGCTATTAGTAGTAGCCAGCGGAACTATAAACATATATAGTTAGGGCTTTCTTGTCTGACTTTTCTCACAGAGCTCAAAAGCAATCCCTTGATACGGCCTTCTGCATGGAAACCGGCCAAGTCAAAACGGGCGACGATCCCAAGGATACGTTCACCAAAATGCTACAAGAAATCAATCTCCTTTCGTCACCTATAGCTTACAGTATCGCCTCCGAATATTCTTCAGTGCAGCGGCTAGTCAACGCTCTGGAGAACGGTGGCCCGTTGGTTCTTGAAGACCTCCGGAAGTCGGCTAACAAAGACGGTGCCTTTACCGATCGGCGGATAGGGCCAGCGATGAGTAAACGGGTTTATAAAATCCTTATGGGGAGGGATCCGTCTAGTTGGGACGTCTGAAACTTTGAACAGACGAACTTGTACAGAATGATACATATCTAACAGGGGTCTACCAAGGAGGCCTAGTTACTCCAGCCAGACTACTCAGGTAGATCCCTTCGCCGGTAGCGAAATATTTCGTTTAGGTGGTGTATCAGCAGTGTTTTGGAACAGGTCCATCTATATATGCTGCAAACGATATCAATTATAACGGCCACTATGCCCCATTCTTGCGGATCGTCTCTATGCGTACCCCCAGTTCGGTCATCCCCTTGCCCGGGTTATGTGATCTCCATTTCTAAGCATGACAAATAACGCTGATAAGGCTACGATTACTCGTTTCTTCGTACGATAATTACGCCCGGGCTCAAGAGTGTCACGGCTACTGACGTTGCGAGTTGTAGGCCCTACCGCTAAAGTTTGGAATGTACATACGAGCTTCAGCCTTTCCCAAACTATAGCTTCGGAAACGCCTACTCCGTATGTCCCTCTCAATATGCCATAGCTCGTTAGATGTATAGCAGATAAACTCCAAAGGGAATTTGACACAATTCTTCAAGGTTGCTCTGCGAGGCACACGGCTAGACTCGGCTCGGCGTCATATAGATAGTTTTTTTTTTGTTTAGGCTCGGTACTATCCTTAACATGACGGGACGTACCCTAATCATACATTTCTGCCCTCATTTTGTGAAACTTTCCATCCTCCCCAACAATAGGATAGGGGATAAGTCCGTCACGCATGTTGTAACCGAGCATCACCAAAGAAATCAACCGCCGCTATTCGTAGTCCAAAAACCCCCGTAGTACTCTCCCACAAAAATCTGCACCCTATTTCCTAGCCTGCGTCCAAGGTTTTACCTTATTACATTTCACTACTATTAGTGCCGTAGATCCAAACAGTAAATGTAAAGCGACCCCTTATTCACACACCCGTTGCAGCTCCGCTCCAGCCATGACAACATCACGGGATTCTCTACTCTCCTCCATGCGTTTAATCAATTCTCTCTCTTTGGGGCTGCGTGGGCTAGCGTCCTGCGTTTGGGCATTAGCAAAATGAAAAATCATATAAAAGGAACCACACTTACGATTCCCAAGAGTGCTGAAATGCTTGTGGCATTGTTCTTGTTCTCCTGGACAGGAGTTGGCAATTGATGCACTGGCTTGGAATTATAACCCTGGTAGCCTCCAGCGCTGACATTGTGGGCGTCAGGAGAGATGCAAGGAGTGGGAGGAGCATTGGTAGCAATTCCTCGCTTCCATGCTTCTTCGAGCAAATGTGGAGAAACGCCCCCACCATACTCAGCGGCGATGACGCCCCAGAAGGAGGATCGGTGTGCTTCGTAGACGTGACGAAGGCGGTCCTTGTCGACGTTGCCAATGTTCATTGGGCGAGACACCACATCACAGTCGAGGCGAAGTGGGGGTTGGGCAGCCGAGTCGGTAAAAGCACGGCGGGGTGGCGAGGGCTTTGGGAGGATGGCCACGGGATGCGTGAGGTTTCGAGGAGGACTGTTCGACGCAGAGCGTGGGAGCAGAGAAGACGCAGAAGGAAGTTGGACATGCCCGGCTGGAGACTGCGGCGAGTATGTATACGTCTGAGGCGAAGTAGGCTGCAAATTGACGGCTTCGGTGCTTGGGGATGGCATTGAATTCGGGATAACCGGGGAGTGCTCTGAGCCTGGGCTGGAAGAGGCAACAGAGTTGGTCCGCTTGCGACGGTTGCTTCCATGAGAAAGTTGATGGTAATGAAGACGACAAGCCAGCTCTGTTTTCTTCAGGTGTGCGGCGATATGCTTGTAAGGCATTTTCTGAAGGCGGGTCTGAAGAAGATAAACTTCCTACAACCACGTCAGCGGTGTTTGTAGCATAAAGCACAAAATATTTTATACCTCTTCCTCGCTCCAAGCTCTCCCTCCCCCGGTCGAAGCCGGTTTTCTGTTCTTCTGCACACCAAACTCATGTCGATTAACGGCATCGACTGGGGAATAGTTCGACGTAGCCACATGGGCAGAAGTGTTCATCTGGTTCGTTGCAGAAGACATGATTCGTTGATCGTTAAGAATAAAATGTTGTCGGTAAAAATATATAGTTGTAAATAAGGTCGTTGATCCAGCAAGATAAAGAATCGAAGGGCAAACGGGCAGTCCGTGGCTGCTTTAGAATGTAGTGTTTTGGTTTGAAAAGGTCGTTACGGTAAAGGGGAATATGCGAAGAAAGAAGCAAGCAAAAGTTAAACAATGTAATATACTACAGTAAAGAATGTAAGCAGCCAAGCCAGTTGGGCAATAAAAGAGAGTGATTATTAGCTGCGGGAAATGTAGTGAATATCAAGTGTAGGAAGAGAGGAAAGAGGGGAGAAGGAGCAGCCTGGGAGGTCCATATATGAAGCACTGGTCAACATGGGATCATCTAGAATCTAGGTCACCTAGCAACCCAGGGCCGTGCGGCTTTCCTCTGAAGTTGACTTCTTCTCATGCCGGGGGAACCGTGATTGGAATGGACCGGCTCATGTTCATCAGAGTTTCTGATTATGCATGATTCGATTTCACATCTGGATTGAGAAATCTCCATTGTCCGTTTTTCTGCATCACATTGGCGTTTCTTGCGGACTGGGGGGGGTGGTGGCCGGACCCGTTTGACGTTTGAGGAGTCGTCGAGTCTCAAGAGTCATAACTCGGTTTTGGCCAGAGATCCTATTCCCCACGGGGCAAGATGTGCGTAATTTCGATACAGCAGCACGCGTCATCACCTCAAAGATATAATTCTCATTGTCTCTACTGCAATTGTAGATCGTTGTGGCGAATCTTGAAGATTAGAAGATGCGCACATCTCTGCTTGCCGCCGTGCAATATTTCGATTCTGACGATGTCTGTTTACAGTGTCGTGATGTGAAACGGTCGCTTGTCTTCGCCAACCCCTGCGAAACGATGCTAAGGATTCGAGCCACTCTTCAGGGAGCTTAATTGAGAGAGATTCCAGTCCCCAACAACTTTGGCGATATGCATGCTTGATACTTTAATCAGACCCAAGCGGCCGTTGTCCCTCCGGTCCATACCTAGGGAGTCAATGGGTTCCTCGGGTGGCGGACTTCGGCGTTTGTTTCGAGGAGCCACATAAGACGGAAACATCGTGAGATATGATAAGATCGTAGCAATAAGGATCTAAAAACTTGGCTTGAAAGTGGGGGATGGAAATAACAATGACACGGACGATCCGCAGCAACTACACTACTTTACTTCCTAGGCAAGAAAGCAACTTCATCCGAAGTAAAGGCGGCCATAACATGCCGATTAATGCGCTCCTGGCCGAGTCCAGAGTGGCGAGGCTGAGTGACACCCGATGTGTTGAATCGAACAATCATCCATATTGAGGAGTCAAAGATCTCGTTTCTGAACAGCTGACCGAGCTTGGCATGGCCTCGTATCGTGCCATCAGTTAGACAGCTTAGGAGTTGGGACGAGCGCCTCTGTGCATGACGATGATGGCGCTCACCGCGATGTGGTGACGAAAGATCACCATGTTTGCTCGTCTCCGTCTCAAGGCTGGTGGAGCGCCAAATCAGCAATGAAAGAAACATCGCGAGAGATTGCAGGTTGTTCGGAAGGGGCACCGTCCGATTGCGTGCAGAGTTGATGGTTCCCCAGGTCGCGCTGGGCCCTTGCTATCACATCGCCTGGGACGAGTATTGTTCTGTGTACGTACCTCGAACTACGTAATTCGACCTCCTCGAGTCTTGGGAGGAGTGGCGCAGGGTATCTAGAGAGTATTATTAATTCATCATGGCCATAATAGACACTTCGTAGAGTGTGATCAACCACGAACTTGGCGGTCCAGGCGCGTGTGGCAGGCCAGGATGGATCGGATGAAAAATACTCGATGATAATAATAATGCTTCGATTTCCAGAACGGCTCGCAATAGGCCAAGTTGGCCAACACAAACAGCCACATCTAACACGAATCCCATCCTGCAATTCGAACCCATTGATTGCCACGGAACCGCTCACCACTCTTGGGCCGCGCCACCAGTCCGTGGCCAGTTCCCACTTAGGGACCCGATGATACTTTCTTTGGCGTGATGATACCGAGGTTGTCTCGAAGAGGCGCCCCCGACAGTTCATGCATAAAGATCCGGGCTCACTTCGTTTTAGCTTTTGGTTGCTATGCCTCGTCAAGAGATGTTTCCATGCATTTCAATTCGGCCTGGCGGCGCTTCCGTGTTCCTTTACCCCGTGGAGGGCGTGCTCAAAGCGTGGAATGAATCCTCCGCAATGGTATCTTCGACCTGATTGATCGGTACTGGGAGAAACAACCTCATGTTTCGAAACGTCCCAAGTGTCCGTGTTGATGTTCACGGATGTCATGACTTCCGAGTGCAAGGAGACGGGTGTTCCTGACGGCTGCATCACGTGCACCATCTACCTCACCATACCACGTGATATCAAAATCCAGAGGAACCGTCTTGCGAACTAGGTGCGTTGTATTCTAAATGCTCCAGGCCCGAGCGAGTTTGAGTTTTGAATCTACTGAACCCGGTTTTCGACGGATTCTAACGGTCTATGCAAATACGACTGAATTCAGTGAATATTTTGGCCAACGTGGGGAACTGCCCCTTGGAAGTATGGAGCAGTTAGCTGTTTACTATGCGATAATATGTATAACAGTTTTCGTATAGCACCTGCGTTATCTGAAGCCGGGGGCGCTGCGGGGCCCGGCCTGCGAATCTATGGGGTAGAAATATTCTCGTTTTCTCTTACGTCTTGATCCTATAAACTACACTAGGTATACGAGTAACACTTACCCAAAATGTTGCCCTAGTCTCGAGCCCTTATGTCAATCCCAAGACCATCCGATCGCTGGCCTGGGTCAAGGTCCTCAGCACGCTCCACACCGCTAGTTGTTCGGATTATTAACCTCCCTATTCCTTGCGGAGCAGACTTCCGAGCCGGCGATTATTAACCTTGGATTGTGGAGGTGTATCCAAGCGCACTTATAGATGTATAGTAGTATCAAGTACTTCCGTAGTACATTGAGTATACCACCATAGATTTGGGCAACCTGAATCCTTGTACCTACGATTACACCTAGCTTAATCAAGGCGTCTCCTTGAGGCTTTTTCTAAGGCGAGCCATACGATAGAAAAAGCACCTCATTGCGTCCCCATCTTCCGGGTTAGATGCTTTCGGGATAGAACCAACCATCCTATATATAGCTAATATACCATCCTACCCAAATATAATATCCCACCATCGACATGTCACCTGAGGCTCCATGAAAGTAGGGTTGAAGATCCCCGCGCCTTGTCACATCCGGGTCAACGACTTACAAAAGCAACTCGGCCCGGGATTGTGTGCAGTTAGAACCCTTGACACCGCTTGGCGTCAAGCTGAGAATAGAGGAGCTTTTTGGTGACGATACATGTACATGGCTCGGTCCGAAGCCTGCCGCATGCCATTCAATTACTTAGACTGGCAAACTCGGGGCAGACTCGGCAAGGCCAGCAGTAGACTGTAAGCTGCTTCAAAGCCTAGTCAGATTAAGCTTAAAATTTGTAGCATTTGCGCCAAGACAGCCGTATCCTTGACATCGCGCTGGCTGATGTACAGAGAGCAGTTAGATGTGCAGCTCTTTCATGCGGTTTTCATCCGAAAAGCATCAAATCCCAACGGAAACTCTTGCCAGGTAGCATCCGCTTGAACACCCGCGAAGCATTGATCATTGGTCCTTCATTGAGGGGGATGCCAACTGGTATCCGGGTTTGGAAGCGGAAGTATCGAACTCGTCTCTCACGGTGATCTTGACTTCTGGTAGGCTGGTACGAGTACAAAGCATGCAAGTTTGTGTTGGAACGCAACAGGCTGAAGATACCGCGTAAAGGTTGGTTCCCCAGGTAGGTAGTACTTGAGAGCGAGTGCAAGAGATTGATCGGCGGTGGGGTCCTAGCATCCTAGCATGGTCAGCTTCTGAGACAACCCGGAAATTTGCAAACTCTGACCAAGCCAAGGCCTGTTAATTGAACGCCGTGCGGTGACAGCTAGTCCCCGGACTCCCAGGAAACCGACAAGTCGTGTGTCAACAATCGCGAGGTAAAAAAGTGTACGGGTTTGGAGCCATGGCTCCGGATCAGGTAGCATATGGACTGCTTCAGCCCACTCGGGCAGAGCACGGCAAGTTGTGAACCCGGGATCTGACATGGCGTTCGGCCCATCGACCAGCGTTGGTGTTGTTGGTGTGGTTGCTTTGTAGAGCGACTTTTCCGAGAGCATTAATTTCAGAGAGCGAGGTTGCAATGGCTGACCAGCCAGCTTGCTGCACTGGTATACCCGAGCAGAAGGGAGAGAGGCGGAGTGTTATTGTACTGTAGAACGTGACGGTGAGGAAGGGTAAAGGATAAAAAGGGGGAAAGTAGCCGGGGTACAGAGGGGGCTCTTTTGGCAGAGGAGTGGCTGGTTACCCCGCGCCAATTGCTATTTCAAGTGGGCAATGATAACGAAATAACGCCCATGGGCCTGTCACGATGTCCAAGCGATGATTGACATTCCCGGGAATCCAGATGCAGATTGTAGATTGCAGATTGTGGGTTGTGGGCTGCAGACTGCAGACTGCAGTGCGTAAGGCGGAAGTACGAGGCAGGACGTATAGGTAGTATATCGTCGCCAGTGTACGGCAGCATCGTGGAGCACACGAGATAGAGTACCTGGGGAGTACATTAGCATTTTGCACAGGAGTGGCGAGCGAGTACCTACGTACATACTGTACCAAGTACCAAGGAGATACAGCTTGTGGACATTGTGGGGTACTGTACTTCGTACTGTACTCTGTACTGTGCCTGCGGTGTGTCGATTCGAAAGCCATCGTGCCGGGAACAGGTCCCTAGGTAATAGGTAGGGAGATAATAATGGCACTGCCCCCTTTCCCAAGGGCTGTTTATGCGCCAGCTGCCTGCCAACATGCCCTAAGTCACCTAACAGGCCCGCCGGCGCAGGGATACAACAAAGCAGCGGCAAGTCGCCCAAAAGTAGCGGTTCTTGCAGCAGGCCATGGTGGTACAATTGCGACTCTGTACGTAGTACCACGTCCGTTGTTGATTTGTTAGGAGACTGTCGGCTTGGACTTCGTAAGTTGTAGCGCGACCCCGCTGAAAAGTACCCGGTACCCAACACGCTGCAAAGAACCCGTTCCAGTGTCTCGTGCAGCGGATAGACCTCCGAATATTCCCACGCCGCCCTTTAAGAGCCAATCGATCCCGCAAATGCTCGATATTCCTCCGAAAGGACGAGGGGTTAGCCAGTTTGTGAGCCAGTTAGATAATTTAATTCCTGCCGAATACGTAGTAAGCCTTGTGAGATCCTATCCTACGAAGGACTCCGGGAGACGGTCTAGCGTATCATGGAGATCGAAGGGATCGGAAGGGTTGAGATTCGGGCCGCTTTGAACATAAATCTTGATTACCATAGCTTTAATACGAGTGGTGCAAGTAGGGTGGCTTTCTAAGTGCTAAGCCTAGAGATGTAGCTTACAGGCTGGATTTCCGATGTGCCTTCTGGTCTAACCTAAGGCAGTAGATGTTGGCCGGAGACTGCGGCTTCGACGAATAATTAAAGGGATATAGCGGTATAGGTAACATATATCTTGCTCTTATATTAAGTAGGTAGTTGGTGAACATGTTTGCAGGTTCAAATAGAAGCGCGAAAATAATAGCTACTGTTTTAGTAGGAATAGAGCTTTATCATAGGTACAAAGTGGATACTGTACCCTTTTGATAGTACATATAAAGCTGCTTTGCTTCCACCACCTTGCATAACTTTAATATGCGTGCGAAGTATAGCTCAAGGGACTTATTTAATACCTTGTTAACAAGTCCTCTCAACGCCATGAAATAACAAAACGGCGGCAAGCGCCGCATTTCCAAGCGCGCGTGGCTGGCGCAAAAGGTGTGGTTAGGAGTGCGAGGCCGAGCTACAGTAGCACGAAGTACATTTTCTGTACTCCGTATGAAGCTATGGAGGGACCAGCCCTGTAAGCCAACTCGGACTTGTAGGCATTAAGACGTAGTAAATATGCTAGTAAACAGGTCCCAAACAACCGGCTTCCCAGAACCCCAGGACCTGCACTGGGGGCCAGTCAGTGCTTGTCGAGCGGCCGTGCTGACCGCAAGTCAGACAGGCTCGCAGCGCAGAAAACCCATATCGCGAGGCCCTAAGAAGTACAGCACATAGCAGGTAGGGGAGAGGCTACGTACTTCGAATACGAAGTAGACTGGCTCACTGGGTGATGCTGCGCAGCCTTTTGGAGCCTTCAATCCCCGTTCCTTACATATAGGTACGGTAGCATGTACCAACCCGCACGGCGGCAGAGGCAGCTTCTCTTAGCCACGAGTCGTCTCGCTGTCCAGCCGTCGGCGCGGCGCTTTGGAGGCATAAAAAGGGGCGTGAGCAAAAAGCAAAGTCGTGGTAACACAAGCCGGTCAAGAACGGTCAAGACTGAAGGGAAGAGACCCCCGGCGGCCCCAAGCCCCGTCTGTAATCAACGTACATAGTACATGTCCAGCGTAAACGCAGGCCCGGCGTGTGCGTGCAAGCAACGGCGCCAACAACGGGGATCTCCTCTGGACGCTGGAGTCTCGACTCTGGGCTCTCGACTTCCCCCGCTCAAGGCTCAAGGCCACCCGTGTTCGCTGCTCCTTGTCTCCTTGTCTCCTTGTGTTCCTTGTCTGCTTGTGTTCCTTGTCTCCATGTCTTCCCGTGTCGTTGTGTTGTGTCCTTGTCGTCTCTTCTGGGTCTCCTTGCCCTGGGCTGCCCTGGGAAATTCCAGCCTCCAGCCCCCCTTAGCTGCTCCGCCCCCCCGACGCTCCTCCACTGCTGCAGACAAGACGACGGCATCAGATACACGCTCCTCAAGAGGTCTAGGTGCCGGGATCGTCTCAGAAACTGCTGTGCTCGGCACAGGAGGCGGTTGGCGGATGGCGGTTGGCTGGTGGCGGGCTGGGCTGGGCGGGCTGGCGTCTTTGTTTGTTGAGCTCTCACACACCGTGACTGCTACTGACTGAGCAGCCGGCTCTGCGAAAACCGAAAAGAAGGCCGCTGCTGCCCGCCCAGGACTCGTAACTGTAAGGTCGGTGCTGGACCTAGGACCTGGGTGCTCTACGAAGTACCGACCTGCCTTATCACTGTCCACTGTTCCAGTAGTCGTACGTAAGGTACTTGCAATTGCACTGTCACCGTCCCGACCACCTCCTGGCACTGGCACTGGCACTGGCACTCGCTCCTAGGCAGCTAAGGTAGCTAGTTTCCCGATCGCAGATTCGCAGCACAGTACAGCACAGGTCAAGCTCAACTCCTCCTCCTCCTCCTCCTCTTAACCCGGCTGCTGGTTATTGTCGCGCCTGCATGGAACGGACTGTACCGATGAGGTACTCTGGGTACTCTATGTACTCTATCTGCTCGACGTCCCTCCTATCCCTTCTATCCCTCGACTCTACTTAATCCAACCCCCCCGAGCGTGGCTCCCGCGTCATCAGATCACCGCTCCATTCACTGCCCATGGTCTTTGCATATTGCAGATCTGGGCTTCTCGACACGCCTCGGAGACCTTCATCATTCTTGCCCTGAGATATTGCTCCCTCCAACAACCCAGAAAAAGCCTTTTTCCCTTTCCCATTCCCATTCCCACTCCCTCCCACTCAACTTACTCACTCCCTCACTATCCCTCGCCGCCTCCCTCTCCCTCGACCTCTACCTCTACTTCTCTACCTCTCGGCCTATACTTCTCTACCTCTATACCTCTCCTCCCTCTCCCTCCCCCATCCTACCACACTTCGTCCCCCCTCCCACCCCCCGCCGCCGCGGTAGCCACCAACCCGCGCAGAGATCGGCGGCAGCAGCGCAGCGAAGCGGAAGCATGTCAGGCATGATACCAACCTTCGATCCGAAGTACATAGATTGTAAGTGCTTTGTACCTATACCCCAGCCTCAAACCCACTGCGGTGTGATCTTGGGGGCCCCCAATCCACCACGCGAAAGCCTGCAGCTCCCTCGAGCTGCTCTGCGCGCAACGACATAGATTGCCCACTCCTACCCTCCCGTCTTCTCACCTGTCAGTACCCCCCGACATTGTCGCCCAATGTCTAATCGTGGAGACCGAACAGACCTTGGCCCCTTCTCTGGAATACCCGCTACGAACATTCGTCCTGCCCCAACTGACGCCTCTATCCAGCCAGAACCTCCATCGTCAGGCGGACCCCGACACAAGAGACGCGCGCCTGGCCCAGCAACATCGTCGCTCGTCATGTCCGGCCCCATGTCAGGCCCGTCCGGCGCGGGGATGCCGTCGGGGAGCCCAGGTGAAGCCAGCATGACCTCACCGATGGGTCCCCCCGCCAAGAAGAGCCGTACAAATACCCCGTGGACGCCGGCCGAGGAGCAGAGGTTGAAGATCATGCGGGATGCCGGGAACAGCTGGGCGGACATCGCAAAGGTGAGACTTAAGCCCGCGGGGGTGTGGGCGACCGCTCGAGAAATCCAGACTAAGTGGTGTATGGCAGACATTCCCCCAAAGAACGGAAGGGAGCGTGAAGAAGCACTGGTACAAAGTAAGAATTCGTTCTCCTGGACAGGCAGAGAAATTCCCATGCTAACATGCGGCAGGATATGCACTATGCAGAATTTGCGGAAGACGAGGTATGTTGACCGTCAACACCTGTCTCAGTTGCTGATGCTCAAATAGAGTCAGGCTCTTCTCAACGCAATCAAGGAATATGAGACGAATAAGTGGAAGGTGATTGGGGCAAAGGTTGGCAAGCCAGCCAAGGTGAGGCACAATGGGGGCTTGAATATGGAAGGGAGTAGGCCATGCTGATACTATTCAACAGGCGTGCGAACAGTATGCGAAAGAGCATTTCGGCAAGTCATAGAGTTGCGGCGATTGTCATTCGTGCTGTTCGGGCAATGTCATGGTATCCGGATTGCGCATTTCCGACCAAGGCTTTCGCTCTTGAATAGCGACGAAGCCAAGCCTTGTCGCGTTATCAGCAGAGCCGTTACTTATATTGCATGCCAAGCTCTTTTTTTTTTCTCTTCCAGGGTTCTAATCATGCGGGGCCGCACGGCGCAAGCGGGGCTTCCTTTTGCTCTGGCCAGGTTTTGGCAGAGACATTTCTTCTACTTGGGGAGCCCATTGATTAGGGGGCCTTTGACTCTATTGTGTTTTTGCCAGTGGAGCATTTATTCATAATACTGCCTTTTTCTTTTCGATTTGCTATGGACGCTAGGCTGGATGGATGTCTGGAGCCCGTTGGCACGGGTTGGGCATTTCGATATGTGCTAGAAAACGGAGCAAGGAATACCCACATGGATATACAAGTATAGGAACGATCAAGTTTAGTTGATGGTTAAAATCTGGTCGCCTGCTAGGGGCTACGCAGACGGGCGAGCTTTTGTTTTTTTTTTTTTTTTTTTTGCAAATGTGAATGATTCCATGCAGGCAGATGATGTCAAATTGGGGCAAGTCAAAAGTACAGTTTTTATTTTATTTACATGGGGGCTTCCCATGCCATCGGCGTCAAGCTGCTGTGTTTCGGCGAGTGCATGCTGTCCAAGTCTGCGGCCCATATCTGCGGCCATCCGTTGCAGTCGGCCAGACCCGTTGGACCCGGCGTAGTGGGATGCGGTATTTTGTCGTTGACAATTTGAGGTTCAAGATAATGTCAATTGAGGTGTTCTATGTGCTGACATTCGAACTACTATTCGGCACGCGTTACCTTTTGATGGCCCTTCCGGAGCAGACTGCCTAATGCGCCTATAACACACCGAATATGACATTGTACGCGAGTTCGGAGTACAATCGAAAGAGGGTTAATCACCTATCTAGCTGTTTTGGTTCTCTGCGGGCCGTGGTCGAGAGCTTATCCTGGTGCGAATCACTACTGTAGAAGCGCAGGAGTAGCAGGCAGTGAGTGACAGAGTCGCCGAGCTTAGAAGTGTGCAAAACCGATGGCTGGACACGACAAACCCCTGTCACTAGGACTCGTTGCATAGACTGATAGTTATAATGAGGTGTAGTGCGAATGGAAGCTGATCTTAAAAACGTGGAAGTTCATATAACGGGAGCATCGATATCAGATTGGCTCGTGACTGTTCCAAGTACGGTACTGTGCAATACTTGGTATAAGGAGGTTATTATTTAACAAGTATATCGATAAAATAGTATGAAAATGAACTAGTCAAATAAACAAATAAATTGTATATTATGATCCGCTGGAGTGCGCAATGAGACGCACTGCTCTGTTGGTTTATAACTAAGTATAACTTCCGAGAGGGCAATAGGTGTCTCCATACCCAACCCACCTCCCTCCAACCCATCGGCCTAATTCTCGTGTGGAACAAATATAAATATATCTCCTACGAAGTACGTACTGCCAAGTATGATATTGACATAAAATAATAAGCAAAGATTAAGCTTATAAGAAGGTTTGTTTCGTATGTTTTAGGGGGGGTTTGGAACAAAGCCTAGCGGAGCGTTCTCATTGATCACTCGGGGTTGGACAGGCAGGATGGAGTTTCATAGGAATAAGTTTAAATGAAGAAAAAAAATGGTATAGAGCCTGGGCAGGGGCGTGTGTCTGTTTAACGGTAGGTGTACGTGGTACATGTTTTATGTACTTTACTTGAAGTTTGCGTTGTTTTTCTACTTATTAAGTACAGTAATAAGTATTTGAATTCTATGTATTACTTCGCTACACTACCTAGGTAGGGGACATGGCGTTCGGACACGGCCGTTTGGCGCCATGGGGAGAGAGACGGGAGACGGGTCGCATTTATTTACTTACTTACTTATTATTTATCTATTTACAGTACTTGGAACTGGAATTGAACAGTTGCCCTTTCCAGCGAAGAATTCTGCGATAGGGATTCTCGTTGCGCGTGTCAATTGGCGCAGATGGCGTGTGGAATGAATGGTATTATTATGCGGTGCTCCCACCTGGCCGACGGCACTTCGCTGCGGTGTTCAGCGTGTCGGTTGTCTCTGCTGGCCGGACCCCTGATCTATTCCTACCTCTACCCTCGACTCGACTCGACTCGACTCGACCTCCTCAGTCATCTACGGTACTTCGTATTCTTCTCCGTCCTCCCTTTTCTTCCCCTCTCCCTCTCCCTTCACCTCTCCCCCGACAACAACACCAACGACGACGACGACCACGCGGAAGTCTCGTTATCCCTTCGCTCGAACAGCTGTTCACTCACGCTCGCTACGCGTTTCTCTGCTCTACTCCTATCCTCCGATATATTACATTATTACTTTAATACTCCCTCCCTCCCATCCCCTTATTTCCGTGCGCAACCCGACCACTCGCCCACCCTTGCCTCGCTCATCCGGGCATCAATCGCATCGCATCTCTCCTGAGCTCCACGCATAACCCGTCCAGCAGGGCATTATTCTTCGGCATCGCCCATTAACATCGCCGTTATCACAGGGTGACCAGCAGAGGACACCCGTTGATTTGTGCATCCGGAGAAACTCCCCGCGTTCTGTTGCAGCTCCAGCACAGCCGCCCGTTTTTCGAGGCCCAGGCGCTCCAGGCTTGACCTCATTTCATTCAGCTTTGACTTCGACTCTTGCGTCCCACCGACACAACAGTCGCTCGATCTGCCCTTTGTACCCTTCTTAATACCCTTCTCGACAGTTTCTACTTCCTCGTATATAATAATGGTTCGCACATCCATCATTGCCGTGGCCTTGGCCGCTGCGTCGACAGTCATTGCGCAGAACTGCGGTCTCAAGAGCAAATGCCCCAAGGCCACCCCGTGCTGCTCCCGTGAGTAATCCCCCGGGATCCGATGGTATATTGGGGTTGCTGAGGTCCGTCAACTAACTTCTCCCGACACAGAATACGGAGCATGCGGTACCGGCGCGTATTGTTTGGGTGGCTGTGACCCTCTATCGTCCTTCTCCCTCGATGCCTGTGTGCCGGCTCCCGTCTGCAAGGGCCAAAAGTTCGAGTTCAAGAACATGGACGGAATCACCGACGAGACCAAATATCTAGGGGATTCGTCCAAGACGGACTGGGTCGCGTCCGGAAAGCCGACCATCTTCAACGATAATTTGTTATTGACGATGCCCCCCGATTCAGTGGGAACCCTTCTTGCAAGCTCGACATACATGTGGTATGGAAATGTAAAGGCCCGGTTCAAGACCAGCAGAGGCGTGGGTGTTGTCACTGCCTTCATTCTGCTCTCGGATGTCAAGGACGAAATCGATTACGAGTTCGTGGGCGTCGACCTAAAAACTGCCCAATCGAATTTCTATTTCCACGGCATCCCAGATTGTGGGTAATTTGGTGACCTTGCGATGGCTAAGCGCTAATTTGTTTTCTAGACCACAATTCGCAAAACATCAGTCTCACGGACACGTTCAGCACCTTCCACACCTACGAAATCCAGTGGACCCCTGATACGGTTACCTGGTTGATCGATGGGCAAGAGGGCCGTGTCTTGGAGCGAAAGAAGACTTTCAATGCGACGACGAACCAGTATATGTTTCCCCAGACTCCCGCACGTGTCCAACTTTCCCTCTGGCCCGGTGGTCTCCCAACCAATGGCAAAGGTACGATCGATTGGGCTGGTGGTCTCGTCGACTGGACGAACGCGGTCGACATCAAGAATAACGGATACTACTATGCCACCTTCGATTGGGTGGAGATTTCATGCTACGACGCGGGGTCATCGTCGCTCGGCTCCAACAAGGGCACATCTTACACTTACAACAACGAAGCCGGAACCAATAATACTGTTGTTCTTGGCGATAAGAAGACTGTGCTGAAGTCGCTTTTGGGCACAGGTCTGGATATGGATGCTGGCGACTCATCCGCGTCGTCCTCGGGCACCAAACCTGCCAACACCGCCGGACTGGTCCCTGGTCTTAACGGTGCCGACCCAAGACCGGGAGCCGATAGTCACGAATCAAGCGCGGGTTCCTCAGACCCGTCCGCGACCGCTGGTGCCTCCCCCTCTCCAACCGGCGCCAGCGATGGCCAGTTCAACCAAGGTGCCAGTTCCAGCAGCAAGAGCGGTGCAGACAAGCTTGCAGGCAGCCAAGAGAAAGTGCTAAAGGGCAGCGTATTTGCGGGTATCGTGGCAGTGGTAGCGATGATGGCTTTGTAGAAGTGGAGATAAACTACGCGTGTACAGGGGGGAATATAGGCTTGGATGCATTAACATTTGTTTTGGGATGGTTCAAGCGTTCTGTCTTTGTGTCCTTTGCTCCGCTCGCCTGAAAAGAGCTACGTGACTTTAATTGATTAATGGCGTTGGCCGTCCATTCCTTTGGCTTTTCAGTTTTCAGGGAAAAGGGGACGAAATTTGGAGACAGCTACTTCATGTATAAATTTTGTTATTATTTATGTGGATGAGCTGCGAGTGAGTCGAGGATCGCATGTGACCAGTAAGTAGTAACTTTGGATACCTATTTGTAGCGCGAGGGAATGAAGAAGCACTTGGAAGAATTAATGACTGCCCGAAGTATTACCTCTCCACGCTTCATCTATGCTCATTATGTCCTTCCATTGAAGTCGTTCAAATGCATTATTTATCACCAAGGGTACTTGATCAAGGTCAAAATATAAATTTCCGCTGGGTTGAATATTCTTGGTGCAGCAACCTGCATCTTATGCGATTGTATTCTTTGGATATCAAATCTCAAAATCTAGCAGCATACCCACGAACGCCTATATCGACCCGTCGGAGTATATACAAACCTCCATCCCAAAGCGCCGGTACCCCCTATAATACAATGCTCATTTAAATCGCCTCGGGCGCAAGTTCACAAGCTGCAAAAGCGCGCTCTGAACAATCACTTCTCGAAAACCATTACCACGCTCCCCCCAATAACACCACCAACAATAGCAACAGTCAGAAACGCGGCGGCAATCTTATCCCTCAAGCCCACCTCCATATCCGAAGCCATCATCTGTGCCGCATTCTGCGAAGTAATTCCCGCCTCTGGGTTCCCTACGCTCGTACCACCCGTGCTATTCGTCACAGCCGCTATAATTTTCTGGCCCGGGATAGCAACCATAGCGCTCTGGATCACACCAAGCGCGCTCATCTGCTGCCCGATTCCCATATTCCCATCATTCTGCGCGTCACCCGTCCATTTAGATCCACATTGCGTCTTGGTTGATCCGGCATTGCATTGGGTAGCGGCATTTTTGGCTGATGCGCTGAGGAGAGGGGCGATGACGGGGAGGGTGAAGGCTGCTAGGGAGGTGGTGCTGGCGAGCCAGCCAGAAAAATAGGTTTTGAAGGAGAGTTGATCGAGGTTGCATGTTTTTACGGGTTCGCAGGCTTGTTCGGCCATGACGTTGTTCTCGAAGAATATTTGGCTTGCATTGAGGATGCCGGCGGTGCGGTCTTTCCAGATGGGTTTGCTGCCATTTGTCTGCGGATTGTGTTAGAGGGTGTATTTCCCTTCCAATATTCAGGAATTTTGAGGGAAAGGGGGCTTACGTAGTTATACATGTTTGCAGCTCCGTGAAGAAAGACGCCTGCGTTATATGACCACTGGAACCGGGTGATCTGGGTGCAGTTTTGCGTATCAGTCGCACCATCGTATATATTGTGGCGGCTGTCGATAAGCCCGAGTGATTCCTCCCAATCCCAGATCTTTTCAGCCCACTGCGCATAAGTATCATTCCCAGTATATCGAGCCAACCTCGCACCGAGATTAAAAAAGCAGCCATTTGCGATACTATTCTTGTAGTTGAAGCCTTTGTTGAAAGCGAAGATCTGCCATCTTAATCCCCCGCCACACGTCGATGTGTCCCATCTCGAAGCCATCTCGTTAAACACCGCCTGGGCTAATGCTAGCCATTGTGGTTTATCTTTTGGTGGATTTGGGAAGTTCGTCTCTGCGGCTAGCATCGCCGCCATGGCCCAGAATCCTTGATCGTCGTTCCCTTCATTCTTCGTCTGGTTTGGTGGCATATAATCGTTGTTTGGGCCGACTTGAAATTGTAATGCCTCAGACGTTACTTCGTTATATGTCGAATCCCCAGTATATCGCCAGTAATCGATCATCGTCATGAACATCCCTCCAGCTTCCCACCAAAAATGCGGTTGTGGAAGGATGCCTGGAATGCCACCCTTTTCGTAATATCAGAATCAAAAGACATTTTAGAATACAAGTTCTGCCAAAACTTACAGTGGTGTTTCCATTGTAATATGTCATTAAGTCAAAGGCAACAGTGCTGGCAGCGCTCTTTATTGAACCTAGTTTTTGAGACAATCGGTCAGCTCATAAATCTCATTACACATAAAACATTCCCAGGCCTAGGGTTGGACATACTAGCTGAAGTCGTATCGACGGTGATCGCAGCCGCCGTCTGTAAGGAAAGTAGCCGCCATAATAACGGCGCTGGGCGCATTGCAATAGTTTCTCAGGATCGGAGGGGTATAAGATATAAGGAAATAATGCTTCTAGCAGGTAGCCAGCGCCAGCGACTCTCTCATCTACCCTTCGAATGAGATCGAGAAAATAACAAGAGATAAGGAGTGGAAGGGAATTAACGAAGGCCCTGTCAAAGGTGCCGAATAAAAACAAGTCGCCTGCGAAGGAATGAATGCAAAAACTGAAGAGAGAAAGAATGACAGTTCTTGGCTGTCCTACAGAAGGATGTTGGAAAGGAAAGTATACAGATATTGTCGGCTTGTCCCGGGGGACAAGGGGGACAGAGCACCCACAGCTTGGCAGATGAAACAAGAGTTATCTCGTGGTCTATCTTTGGGGCCAAGTCTATGTTTCCGGGCTCCTTTGGTTCGGCCATGGCCAAGGTTGAAACTCGAAAAGTCTCGTGCGGTCGATCTGATACAACCCTCAGACACTTATTGTTGGTGCACTGCGCACTAGGCGAGTTAAGCCTAGGCCAAGATCACTCCACGTGGATTCCGTAAAGCGGGTATATACCCGTTGTGGGCAGGTAGAGGTTGAAAGTCAATAAGTCAGTTGTTCCCTAAAACTTTTGAACGGAAAGTTGGAGATGCTACCATGAGAAGTGCCTCACGTATACGAAGTTGGTTGTGTAGGTTGCAAGTGCTAGAAGGCGACGCGCAAGCTCGTTTAGGGGCAGGATCAAGTCACGTGTGATTGTTTTGCCTCTCGCTCGCGAAGCAGGCGGTAGGAGGAAGGAAGCACTTCACCCTCCTGCTCTATATCATTAAATTTAAGCAGTTTTCAGTTAACAACCGGCAACCTGGCTCAAACGGGAGACCAGCTCGAACGCCAATACGGACGACTTCCCAAACACCACTTTCTGATGGCAGCTAATAATCCCCAACACCCCAGGGGTGAAGCTAAAATCGCAGCTGTGCATTAACCACCGAGGAGTACAGATTGGACAGGGGAAACGGCCTTAGACACGACTATGTCCTGTCTAGGGGGGGATGTAGAGTAATCCTGGGCGCTCAGCTCAGGTATCTCGAACCCTTTTGCCATTTGATTCCTTTTTTTATATACTTTTATGTCACTTTTTAGGAGTCTGTAGGCGAGCGCTGGAAGGCGCCCCACTTATTCCTCGGTTAACCCCCTTATATCAACACTCACCACTGGCAAGTTGCAACAGACAAGTTTGATTCGTTTTACCTTCTGTGCAAATCTGGATTTTCTGCTAAAATTTAATTGTCATTGACATTATAAACAACTATTCAGACGAGACGTGGTCATAGATTCATAGGTATAGATGGAGCAGCGTTAGCTGTCACAGGAGCCTGTGAGTTGTGGAAAAGTCCAAGGATGTTCATCCAACTGCTAAGACAACAACAAATACAATCTTAACTTTGCCGCCTAAGAGAATAATCGTAATGCCACCCCTCACTCTTAATATCCTGCCTGACTTTATAATTGTCTTCCGCATCTTCCAAGATCTGCATATCAACATCTACAATGCTCATGCCCTCCTCACCATTCATCTTCCCCAGCGCTCCCTTAAAAGGCACAGCAACCTGGCTCAACCCCGCCCAATTTCCCTTCTCAGCCTCCCCCTTTGGACCCCCAGCATTGACAAAAACCACCATACAGGTGTTCTCAAAACACCTCGAAACTAACGTGCTCTCCAAGAACAGCGCCTCGGATCCCGGATTATGCTTCAAGCCAGCATCGCTGCAGTCCGCTAGGCCCCAGAAGGTAGGTATGATGATAATTTTAGCACCAGCAGCAATAAGTTCACGGAATGCTTCTGGGAATGCCAAGTCCCAGCATATAAGCATGCCGACCTTGCCCAGCGGGGTATCGAAGGCTTGATGGGGAGTATGACGTGAGGATGTCAGGTGTGGTCGCTCTGGGTGCCAGAGATTTTTCTTCTGGTATTGGCCTAGGATAGAGCCGGTGTTGGAAATGAAGTAGGCTATGTTATGGATCTCATCCGTGTGCTTTTCGAGGATTGTTCCGGGTACGATGCAGATGTTGAGTTCTTTGGCAAGGGAACAGTATCCGTCGAGGTACTTCTTGTACTCTGAGCAAAGGGGTACTTTCAATTTGTTAGTCAAAATTACTACTATGTAGGCAATGAAAAGGAAGTATTGAACTGTGCGATGTGATTTTTGAGAGCGAATATATTGGAAAGTGATGACAGTGATGGAAAGTCCAATAGGGATGATTTACGAAACCCAGGATCGTGAGGGACCCAGCCTGTAAGATGATATTCCGGAAGGACGGCAAGATCGCAAGACTGTGCAGCGGCCTCTCGGATATAGCTTGTGGCCTTGCGAAAATTGGTCTCCATAGCAAGGGGCTAAGCCGGCATGAGTTAGAACTTATTGTAGAGTAAGAAGAAAACTGCTATGACCAGTACGAGATGGTAGATAACAACTTATAGCCTGGAGCAGTAGATATTCCATACAAGTCCAAGCAAGCATAAAAATCATTTCATACAATGTGGCGGAAATGCTCTAATACGAATCCCAACGACGGCAACAAAATACTGGAAAGCCTCCCTCCACTGCCAACAAACAGAAAGTAGATACACATATTAAAAAAGCGTAAATTAACAGACTAACCTCCGTATATAGCTGTATAACAGCTATTTTATAAACGGGCGCCATCTTGCGTCTGTGGAAGCCTAGAAGTGCGGTATCGGAGTGCTGCGAGGGTCCAGCTGGCGGGTTAGTTGATGTGAAAGCGGTCGATTCCAGAATAGTAGCGAATTAAAAACCAAGCATCCAGGTCCGACTAGCAGATCAGGCAGGATAGATGTACAGGTAGTCGTGTGGGGAGATGTTTTAATTGTCTAGAGTACCTAGGTATGTGATGTCATTGAGGGGTTGAGATAGGCGAGGAGTCATTCACGCGCCAAAGAACAACGTACCACAGACATCGCATTATCTAATCCTTTTATCTGTACACCTCACATGGGGCTAGAGAAAGCCATGGGACTTTGCACACTCCGCCACACCTCTAAGCCAAGCCTCATATCATGCAGCTCAATAGGAGCCATTTACTGATATCGGACTTTGTTGGACGGATTTTGAACAATATTTTATTTATCCTCTCATGTATTCTTCTAATTGTACACGAGAAGGTAGTGGGCGATCCATTGTGATACATGCCCAAACGTTAACTACACGCTCCCCAGGTTCTCAGTCTCATGACTACATGTACCCAGGAGTTCCAAAACTCCATGATGATGCCTCCAATGTAAATCTCAAGTCCGAACTATAGCCTACTCAAAGGGCTGCAAGCTCCATCACCTTTTCGACTCGACCATTTATAGACTTGCACAAGGACTGGGTATATTCTGACAATAAAAAATTATCCACACATTCACCTTGGGATATTTGCAGCGCTACCAGCTCATTGGATGTTGTCAGCGCCGAGAATCCCAAGATACCCATTTCGGACGACATCTTTTAACTCCTGATAGGGCTGCAGCGGCGCTCCACTCCGACCTCCAGTACTGCCCTTGTCGCCCTCGTTTCGACCATCGCTGGTCGTCGCATCCCGCCCCTCCTCCGTAGCAGTGGCAATGTCAGCGAGGCGCTGAAGGCCCTGGCTAGCTGTTAAAGCATGTTGACTTTCCGGTGTCTTCTGGATACCAGCACTGCCCGAGTGCTGCTTTGCTGAGATAATTTCCCGGATAGCCGTGTCGCAGACTAAAGGTCCAGAGCCTTCTAATAATGTCTTCAGACCTTTTTCGGCTTCCTCTCTTGTGCTATCTATAGGGGCCAGTTCAAGGAGGGAGAGCGCGGCAAGAGCCGTGCAATGGTAAGTTAAGGGAGTAACCACAGATGAGTTGTGTGTGGCCTGGGTGACAATGTGTATTGCTGGAGTTAGAAGATCCTGAGGATCCGAATCGGGAAGCCGTAGCTCCATCAAGATTCGCAGATGCCAGTAGCATAGATGGACAAGAGGGGCATTGGATGGCGGAAACATAGACGCTGGCAATGACTCTCGCCACCGTTCTAATTCGCCGCGAAGGAGCGTGTCGACTAGTTTAACAGGGGGAGTGCCGAGAGTAGGGAGGTGATTAGGTACAAGGTTCGCGATGGCAAAGTGTCCAAGTATTATGGATAAGCCTAAGCGGTTAGCTTTGTAGCCAGATGAATTGATAGTAGACTTACGAGCAATATGGTAAAGGGACTCGCCGAGGAGAGATGCGTCCTCGGGACACACAACCACGCTCCCGTCGGGAATTAACAAGGGGCTGGATGTGCTTGACGAATGCCACCTGTCCATAATAACCAAGCTCCACCATATCCTCCTCGCGAGGTTTTCTTCTGCATCCGGATCGCTTCCAATTGCCTTACTTGGTTGCTTATGTAAGTGTAGCTTTAAAGAGTATGCGAGTCCAACGGCGCTGCCGAGCCAAACAGACTGGGAAAGTCCGGTTTGGCACCTCCGGGACTGATTTTCGGCTGCAATCGCCATGAGCATCATCGTTTGAAGATATACTAAATTTGTTGTGACAGAACGGACAGAAGCATTTTCAAATTGGGAGGCTATTATGAGCTGTGTTGCCTTCTTGATGCTGTATTGATCAGAGGTCTGATTTGCAGGTGGTGCGAACGATCGAACTGCTGCGTGAAGTGCTTCATAGAATGCTTCCTTTAAAGGGCCATGGCAGTTTGCCATCCTAGTACTTAATCTAGTCTTGGACTGGCATAAGATAGGATAAGTTGGATGTATTGCATTGTAGTATCTGCTTATTATTAGCTTTTCGATCTTGAGCGTATAAAGGAACTTTTTGCTGACCCAGTGAAAATACCCTCGTCCCAATCATGGTTATGTTCAGCCTGGCCGGAGTCACTTAGTGAAACCCCTTCAAAGGAGTTGCTTTGGCGAGGGAGTTCTGGTGGCTTCCTCCACTGGGCCGCGGGCTGAAGACCGTTAGGAGAGTAATTAGGCTCCCTAAATAACTGATGTGGCCCCCCGGCGACCTGCGGGGCGGTATATGCAGGAGCAGAATTCGGGGGATGCTGCGAAGCCCAGCCGCTGGGAGGTCTTTGAGCCTGGTAAGGCGTCCCAAATTCGCCCGAAAGGGAAGAAAATGTCCTTTTTCGTGGAATGCTTTCCCCGTGAGGAGGAGGCGAAAACTCATCAGACGCCCGGCGCTGGACAGAATTGTCTGGATGGCCCATGTGTAGCGCAACGGGTATTTCGCCGGCATGCATAGCTCCCTCCAGAGTATTTAATCGATCGGCGAGCTCTTTGATATATCTTGAAATTTCCATGTCAGCTACAAGTTCCCCGTTCGCGCTCCATTGTTAACTGGACTACGTACCCTTTACTTGGACCCCTCTTCATGGGCACTCGACTAAACTGGCAGCGTGCGCCGACACGCTTGCAGCTGGAACATTGCTCGTCGCCAGGTTCGCCGGTGGCGTCGCAACGAATCTTCTTGCGCCGGCACTCATCACACGCCCTCGACACCTTCGACCGCTTCCTCGGCGCATGGGATCCATCCAGCACCGCATATTGATTGCCCATCTGATCCATTGGCCCATGATTTGCCTGTAATTGTACCTGCTCGTGCGGATTTTGGTCCTGGTCATGTTCGTACTGGCGGTTGATCGCATCTTGGGCTCTTGCTTCCTCATCTTGACCCTCGGTCATAGCTCCGCCAGGGCCGGCATTCATGACTGGCGCGAGGCCTCGCGAGAGTTGGGCAGTGAGTTGCAGGTCATCGGAGGTGGAGAGGGCGGGATGGTGCTGGGTCGAGGGCTGGGAGTAGAATTGGGGACCGCCATCCGCAGCGAGCGCGTTCGGCGATGGATAGGACTGCATTCTAGGCGCGTCGCTCAGTGAAGGAGAGGTTTTTCTTAAAGGGCCGTCATGGGGGCGGGCGAGCGGGGTTGCGTGCTGGGCCGGGAAGAGTCAGTGTTGATATTGGGGCACTGGATATTGGTAATTGGATATACAATTTATTGTTCTTCGGTAGAAAGCCGTCGCAGATGGCGCACCGTAGCAATCGCAATACCGCGAGCTCGCTCTTCACGCGCCGAATTCTGCCTCAATGAGAGTGCCTGGACTTCTGGCGGCTGCAGCAGGTGACGCAGTTCCAGGGCCGGTGGGCAACGGCACTGGGCGAAGGTTTGTTGTTGATTGTTGCGGAGGCGCGCAGAGAGGCTGGAGGAATCGCCTTGGGAATCCCTCGGGGGGCGATGTTTCTGGAGAACAAACAAATGCAAGGATGCTGGCAGGGAGCCGGGCCTGGCAGGTACTCGGTACGTGGGCGTGCGTTGGTGCTGTCCGAAGTACCTACGTCCTCGAGTACTGGTTCACGGGTTTAGTGGTCCTGGTACTGTACGAGCCCGTCCGGAGTAATGGGGTCGTGGGGTCGGCGGAACGTTATTGCGATGCGATGCGATTGCAAGGTGTTTGGAGCGGAAGGTTCGAAGGAGAATAACAAGAATGTTTTGGGTTGGATTGGATTATTGGATCATTGATCATTGGTGACTTCGGAGGCGGTGGCTGGGAGGAAAGGGAGAGTGTGGGAGTGCGAGGTGGTGGCGTGTGGCTGGTGTTTATGGCTGTGCTCCTACTGGATGGTTATGTGGCTGGTGTCGATTTGTACTACTTACCTGACATAGGAGCTGTGGCTACTCCTCCGTCCAGCGTAACCCTCAATCCTCCCTCCCCCTTCCAAGTACGAGAGTATATATGATATCGCAACCGTGTCTGACCACCGACTTTCTTCTCAATTTGGCTGTTAAAAACCCCCCGAACCAGGATTTAAGATGGACTACTGGGTGCTGAGGTACTCGCGACAACACCCAGCGATCTCCGATCAATCGTTCGCTCTGCCATGCAGGCGGTAATTGGAGAACAAGGTCCTTGTCACGAATAAATCTCTGCATACTCGATACCCTATCCACCGCCATACCAACGCCGCAAATGCAATTACCGTCCTGTTCTAGCGCAGAAGGCGCCACCGCCCTATAGCACGTCTCTCAGAGTCTCAGTTCCTGCTCTATTCACTGGCCCCCCGCCGGTGTGGGGAAACCCAGAAGATAACGACCAGAGATATACTCATGGAGCGTGCTAGCCCTTTGGATACGAGTAGTGCGGTTGCTCGTCGACTTCTAGGCGTGGGCCGGTCTGGGGAAGCTGACGTTACTCGTAGGATCACATCACGGAAAACGGCTTGTTGCGCAGCAAGTAGCCAAGGCTCGCCCCAAGCATTGTTCTCGCAGATTGTTATGTTCTGACCCGAAAACATCCCCAAGTACATACGTACCTACGTACAACAAACCACAACTGGCTCCAACAATCTCGGGAGCGTTGCCTTCGCCGGCACAACGCAGCCGGACACTCCTCGGGCAGCACCGTCAGAGTATAGGGCCAAGCCTGCGGCGTAAACACCGGATTGGGTGGCTTGCTTGAGCAATCGAGCGTCCTCTGGAGACGAGAACATCACACCTGCTTGTGCAACGTTGTCAAGAGTTCAAACGAGCGTGGGTTGTCCCAGAGGCCCCCGTGGAGGGAACAAGCATGAGCCTAAATCGAAAAATTCCCCATCCTGATTTGTCTTGCCAACCCAGTCGCTACGAATGAACTTGTATTCTGCCGCCAGCAGCAGCCTGTTCTGACGGAAGATCGCCCACACTGTTCCGTGATTGTCTAGAGGTTGGTCAGGTATCATGCGACGCAAATCTTCTTAATGGGATTCTGAGAGTCCAAGACTCCAATGTAACATCAACCCGGCCGTCGAAGTTTCCCGGCGGGGGATAAACAATCTCAATATGTGGTATCAGATGGCGGATATCTCGTTTCGGCACGAGGATGCATGGGCATAAACACCTTCAATAACTACATAAGGAGGGGGAGCTCGGGGAAATATTTTAGAAGACCCGAAGGGAGTTGGAGGGTTGAGACCTTCATAACTGGATGCAACTTCCACAACTTTTGCCAGTACAATTCGACCTTGAATTGCTTGCAAGACAGCCCCCCCCCCCCGAACCTACTCTATTACCTCGGCCGGAACATCAGCGTAAACACTATACGTTCATCAAAGCCACATCGGCTCTGTCTACGGGCTGTTCCAGATCAGGGCCTAACTGTAGTGGCTCGTGGATCGGGGAATAGCCTCACGGGTGTAGATCATTAGTCGAGATCATCATCGGCATATAGTGGTAGGTGGCCGGCAGAAGGAAGGCTAATATTTGCAAATTGTCCTCCGTTTTGGGAAGAATCACGAGCTTGAAGCGACTTAAGACTAATTGCAAACCTACGACTCACTATATCTCTCGGGTTGAGATTTGTGACTTGACCAAGTTGCAATGTATGTAGCCCTAACGAATCCTAAGCCGTAGCTTTTATCGAACAATCGCCACCAAGTCGGCAGTTTCTGACCGATATCGCATCTATCCGGAGAAGCTGTAAGTCACATGTATCCCAATATGCAATTGCAGACGAGCTGAAGCAGAGTGCTCTTAGGATGAAACAAAGACAAGTTAGCCGAGAAATAAACTTTCGAGAGACAAATAGAACGGGTGGGAAAAGGTGCGGGAAAATTGAGATGGGGGCCGCAAAGTAAGATATTGATCAGCGATAGACCATGACGCGTAACAGAATGTATGTGGATATATCATGTGCAATATGTAACAGTAAAATCTATGGACATTCATTCTCGCATACTCTGGGGGTAAGCGGTCCCAGCTCTATAATGGTGCATAAAAAACCCCTCGAGTCGTCGGTGAAGATATCCCAGTGGATGATTCGCCGAAGGCCTGGTGCCTTTCCACTCGTGTTATTGAGCCCAAACATTTTCCTCCGGTAGCTCTCCGTATCCGCTGCCATTGATTGCAATACTGCTGGATGTGAAGTCATTCATCCAGAAAGCGTCATTGTCTCCGTCAACCGAGAGCAACGGAAAACTGGTATTATCATCAAAACAAGCCATATCTTGACCCATCTTATTGCCTTCAGCCATTGAAGTAGTGACAAGCGGTTGGTTTGTATCTAAGTACATGTTTGATGTGACATTACTTTTCAAGAAGGTCTCAAGATCGAGGGCTTCGGCATTGTTGCCAGCTAGCATCTGAACCTGTGGCAAGCCGACGTACGACGATGCGGTGCTGAGACGATACCCGTCAATTTCGCCACCAATTTCGGAAGCATCAAAGTCAGACCCATATTTAGTGCTGGTCACTAAGGGTAGTTGGGTGGTAACAGGGTCCCCAAGAGATCCGAAGTCTTCTACTTCTGAGATCTCGCCTGATGTTGAGGTGGTTGTTAGAGCAGGTTGGTCGATGCTATTGAAGTCAAAGCCGGTGAACGATGGTGGTTGACTATATGATGAAGTTGCAAAGTCGTCATTATTGAAGTCAAGGCCATCGTAATGGGACCAATCAACGGAGGCTGCGCTTAGCCCTGCTGAGAACAATGGCTGCTCGTGATCCGGGATGTTCGAAAACCCGTCCATCCCCGGGATATGGTCTGGAGAGACACTTGAGATGTCTAGAGGCGGAAGGAGGTCGTTCCATTGCCCCAGGTTTGCCGTAGTGCTCAATACAGGTGATCCGTGCTCAGACTTCACCATACGCTGCTCCTGCTGTGCACTGACTATCGAATCCTTGATGTGGGATTCGCTGTGTAGTGCGTCGACCGTGTTTGTATGTGGCAGGTTATCTACAGACCGGTTCGCCAACCCTGAAGGTGATGACCCGTGGATGGTGTGTGCCCTTGGAATGACATAAGGTAGACCGCATTTATGAGCCATGTTGTTGTGCTTATGGATTGGCTTGTGATGGCCATTGACGAAAGATGTCAATGAGTTCTCCGACTGTACGGTAAGAGCGCGAGGTCTCCGCTTATCATTCCCGAGCGCCGAGGGCAATGCAGGCTCGTCAAAATCCGACTCTGGAACAGGATCAAGAAGATCTTTCTTCAGAGCACAGGAGCAACGGGCCCCGTGGCTGCAACAGCAGTTGTCTGCTATATTTATGGATCAGAAACTGCTGTTGTTAAAACACCTTAAAATCCCATGAAAGCTCACCCTGAGTATCCCCTTCGTGTGTACAAGCGGCTTTCGAGTGTGCCTTCTCGCCTCCACAGTCGCAGCGAACATGCGCCGAGCGAGACTTGCGGAGGGACCTGCAATGCGTGCATTGCGAGACTGGACGGCCCTAGAGGAGAGCATTAGCTTCGCGTTCACAGCGAAAGGTGACGAGCATACCTTTTTATTGATGTGCTGCAATCGCCTATCGGCATGCTGGCAATTGCTAACACGGTGGCCCCTCACACACGCATCGCAGGCGTACTTCTCCCCTTTGATCAACATCCTAGCTAGGCTCTCGATGTCGACGAGGCTTTTGAGATAGAGAAACCGATATCGATGGCGCCGGACGACCCAATAGGTCGACGCGGTCTACCAGGAGAAACAGTGTCAGGATATATGAAACACTTTGCTGTGGGCAGCCGCAGCGGACTGCACGTTGGAGTAGGAAATTAATTGGGTAAGAAATACGAAGAAAACGGGTATGATGCTCGCAAGAGGGTATGATGCCGCCGCCGTATATAATAGGATATGCCAATTACTCCAAATTGAGAACTCCATACGAAATGAACAGAACTGGAGTGGCGAGGGGCACAGAGGCACACCAGGCAAGCCTTGGGCCGTAACGGCGCCGGCTGCAACAGCTGGACACCAGGCCGATATGGGCGGCCAAAATGGAGGACGGCTCCCTTTGTTGGTGGACGATGAGAAGTTGGGGGTGAGAGATTGTGAGGATGGAAGTGGGCGCTGGAACCAAATTATACGGCGTCGAGGGAGCGAGTACGGTGGCCGAGGGCAGTTCCTCGAGGACGTTCGGCCAGAACGAGGCGAAGCGAGTGTGGCGGGCAGGGCGGACAGGATGGACACTGTACGTAAGGTACCTAGGTACCTAGGTACTTGGGTACTTGGTACTCCGTGGAACCACTTCGAACACGCTCCGTACTGCTACAACGACATAGCAGCTCCCCCCCACGACCATCGCCAACGGCCAACCACCCACGGCCAACCCTCCCACCGCAAGAGATCAACCAGAAGACTCCATACGAAAATAATGATCTCTCCAGCTAACACTAACAATGGACCCGGTAAAGAGTCGACTCGAGTCAAGTAGCTACTGTACATGTACCTACTCCTTCGTACGGGCCTCAAGAGACAGTTGGTCAAGCCCCAAGGCCCCACCAGTCAGTCCTGCATCCCAGCGACTGATGAGTGAACGAGGGCGGGCTGTTGGCGACTTGGTGCTCGTGCTGGGAACTGAACACCAACACGATCATTGCTATTGGCCCGGGACCCTACTTCTTACCTTTACCTTCGTCCTCATGGTCGTCCTGGAAGAATCGGCGCCGGCGCCGGTGCAGATGCAAATGCAGGTGCAGGAGCAAGGTAGCAGCTACACATGCAATGGCACAATTCGGGCGTGCTACAAACAAAGGCACAATAATGGGTGGCCCAGCCGCCAAAGCGGAAAGGAGCAGAGCAGACAGAACAGCTTGGGCTTCTGTGCAAACGGTGGAGGGCTCTTTGAGTCGAGAAGATGTCATAGCCTCTAGAGAACATAGGGTGCTGCAGACTCCTGCGCCTGGCTGGTCTTCAATTCGCGTGGTTGTGCTACGATATGCTGCGGTAATGAACCATTGGCGCCAACACCCTCGCTCTTTTATTTGATGGACGTTTTACGATACGGCGCCACCGAGGACGTTTGTGGCCGTCTTGGCTACTTTGTACGGAGCAAGGACCCACGAAGTCATGGATTACTGTGCCCAGCCTTAGGGGTTTCCCAGAAAAATGGAGCCTGCCAGATCGACCCCTAAGTCTTGGAAGGGAACAATTGCGCTTCGGCTGCTGATCATCTGCTCCTTAACTACGACTTCGCACGAAGTTCTGCTGCTCCGTGCTGTCCGCCATTCCCTTGCATGATAGGCAATACGAGTAGCGCCAGCAATTACGTAGAATCGCCCTACGGGTTGTGAACTGCATTTCCCGATCAACACTCACAGTTACCGCATCATCCGCCGCAAAACTACTGCAGAGACACAGAATCAGGTTTGGGTTTGGCAGCAGCCAGCTGACAGGATCTTCGCAGCTGAAGCTTACTACCTCCTCCATTGGCCGGCGAGTAACCGCACTTCTATCCGTCCACAGTGGAGGACGGACCCCTATTATTGACTCCGGAGACCCCCAAATCTAATGCCCATGCCTGGACGGCATCAACCTTCCCCTCAAACACTATCAGCGATGACCCGCATGTCAAACTAATGGAACTCCCTGTTGTTCCCCACGCTTGGCCTCCTTCGAATCCCTCGTTGTCTCACCGCCAACAAAGTGCAACCTGTCGTTGAGGCATTTTGGCCATTGGTGGAATCACGTGACATCGAAAATGAGTATCCATTTCCAACCTCTTGTTATTCCATGGATATTTCTATTTTCCCTCAACCGCTATGTCAGGTGAACGTTGTCATTTCCTAAATCAATCGTCAATATCTCGGAAGACTCTTTCCTAATATACCGAGTTAATAACGAATGCCATTAGTCAATAGAACACGGACTAGGGAGCGTTCTGATTCGGTAACAATCGGTAACTCAGATATTACCCATTTTCGCTACCTAGGTAGTTCCGATGGGAAAAGCCGGGACTGACGTGGTCACGTTACTTGACGGCTTTCTAGCTATCTCCCCTCTACGAGCTAGACCTAGTTGTGATGAACCCAAATCACACTGGACAAATGACGCGAGCTCCTGTAATTGATTGTCTAAGAATCCTGGAGGCGATCAAGGCGACGTCAAGTTTAAGTTTAAGTATTACATACATACCTGCATTAGTTGGCATGCTTATCTTTTCCCTGCCCTCGTCTTATTACGGAGATTCACTGTTCTCAAGACTTTGATATAGAAAGAACTTAAAAACCAATACATGGGGTTAAGCCATGCATTGTTTCAGAGATCAATTTTTTATTTGTCATTATCGAAGCGTAACCACCCAGCATAATTCCTAAAACTGCAACACACTGTGGAAACCCCTCATTACTAGATCCTCACCCGCTTTCCCACACCTTCAACCTGGAAATACATATGCCGTTACTCCTAAGCGCCTCCCATGGGTATTGAATGTATAGTGTACTTGTGCAGTTTACAGCATCTCCCAAAGTCATCAAACCAAACCTACGACAGGTGTGTCTTCTCTCAAGAGCCGTCGGAACAACCGCTCTAAGTGGTTTTCTTAGCCTTGGTTACCGATCGGCCACTGCGCTGCTTGTACGCCGAGTAGACAAAGAAGCCCGCAACTAGAGCACCAATGACAATGATGTTGCCTGGATAAATGTTAGTTTTGAACGACGCGAGCTGCGCGTTCTAGGGAATAGCATCGCTTACTCAGTAGGAATTTGACAAGTCCTTCAGAGGTTTGAGCGAGACCGGAGATAGCGTTTCCAACCATCGCAAAAGCAATGTTAATGACATGTAGGACCTCGTTGAAAATAGATTGGACGACGTCGACAAATGCCTGGAAGACGGCGAGAATGGATTGGAAGATGGAGGAGATGAGAGAACCGAGAGAGTCAATGATTGATGCCATCTCTGCAGGTATTGAGCTACCGTCAAGTGGGTTTGCGGAGTTGGAGAGTTGAAATCGAATCAAGTAGGTATTGGATTAGTTGTAGTTGTAGTTATAGTGGTTTTGTTTGACAGTTGGATGTTCTTGGCAAGTATTACAGGTGTGGCGTCGCTACATTTATATATACCTGTCAACAAAGCGGCAGGAGCGACGAAATCCAGGAATTTGGGCGCCCCTGCCTGTGGCGCATTTAGAAACGTCATTGTCATTCTAAAGAAGCCGCGATCTGCCGTGTTGCAGAACATCTTGTGGGGAACAAAGAGAAAAATGCTCCAACTGTCAATGATGCTATAACGATGACTTGAACACTTTAAACTATTGCAAGGAATTTCTTAGTTTATTTAAACATACCGAGGAGGAGTACGAAGAAACCATCCACTGAAAGCTGGGGGGTTAGTGGAGAGCCTCTAGCAAGCGTGCGATGAACTAGCTTCCTGGCCGATTCCTTAACACTTTTACGTACCTTTATCCGTACGTCATCATCTCGTGCCCCTTTACTTCGCCTGCTCTGTGTACCTTCGTACTCTCCTTGGATCTACCTATATTATATATTTTACACACTGATATAAAAATTTGATTATAAGAGGAGAATGATACATTGAGTGAGATGTCTTGGCACTTCAATGACGTAATGGACACTATTTTCACTATTTTCCTGCGCTTTCGCGCATGTTTCCGCGAGGAACACTTGATTGTGAGGGGTTTCGAGCGGCAACCCGAAACTTGTAGCAAATTTCATAGAGGATCTGTTGCCGCCCAACACAATCCTTGCGTTATGCTCCGCTACCTATTTTGTTTTGCATCCTGATATGCGCCTTGACCGCTGAGCCGCTCCCTCTCCGGCTCCAAACTATTATTGGTATCACTTCCTTGAGCCTGGGACTTGCGTACTGCTAGGAAAGAAAGATGGTGTCTCAAAATCCAGCGGGGACCAGCTCCCCAAAAAACTGGCCCCAAAACATTCGTTATATTACAGCACCTGTGTATCAGCATACGCTCACTCCGGAACAACTTGCATCTGTTCGAACCCGGAAAAAGGAGACTACAAACAGCATTCCAGCATCTGTTTCCATAGGGCCATGTTCCATCGTGAAGATCACACCAATATCTGACCCTTCTCACCCAGCGGCTGGTCAATGTGGTCTCTTCACAGCAAGTAATCTCAAGCCTGGGACATTCATACTACAATATCTGGGCAAGATCCATGCCTCTCCCGCATCTCCATCCTTACCGAATCTCACTAGCCATGTCGATCCTCATGCCGGTTCCGATTATGATCTCAGCTTAGACAGAGACCAAGGGCTTGGAATTGATGCCAACGAACTGGGGAATGAGGCGAGGTTTGTCAATGACTATAGAGGCATTGCCGAGAAGCCAAATGCTGAATTTAGGGATGTTTGGGATGAGAGGAGAAAGGAGAAAGGCATTGGAGTATTTGTTTTGCCGGAAGGGAAGAGTGGGAAAGGGAAGGGTATCAAGAAGGGCCAGGAGATATTGGTTAGTTACGGTAGAGGATTTTGGGGTGCGAGGAAAGACCCTAATTGAATGAATGATGCACTTCATCCTCATGTCTCTTCCCTTCCCATGTCGTTGTGCCCACCAATTTGGTAGTCATTTAAACCCGCAATATAACTTCCTAGATGTCAGCTCTGCCCTTGTGGAGCATACTCTATGCATATTTTACTCACATCAAGATTCGTAGTCACAAAAGGCACGTTAGTTTCATGGTTTGATAAACATGGGAAAGCTGGTGAATTTTATTTTATTGGAATAGCAGGCAACAGGTATGTGAAGTGTATATAACAGGCTTCATCTACAGTATTAATGCGTCTATAGTAGTACTGGTTTCCAGAGTATAATGCCCGCTGTTGCCGGCCACCCTCATTGGGGCCCTGGACTCTCCAAACTCAACGTATAAGTACTCCTGGGGTTCATCAATGGCCATTATTCCGCTTCAAAGTAGACATTATCGATTCCTCTCTCCTTTCCGCTTCGTCATGAGCATATTGACAACGTAGGAGGTGCTGATCTATGGGGTCACCAACAGGTGCATAGCAGAGCGGGCAGAAGTCCAAGGTTGTATTTTCTTCATTAGCACCGCCGTTAAATATTTCGTCGTTAACGTGTCCTTCAAGGGTATTGTTAAAGATGTCGGTAAGCCAGTTGTCTAAACGGATGGCAGAGGCAGGCTGTAAGGAAGGGTCGGATAGGTAAAAATGGGTTGGTGCCCTTGGTGGCGGGTTTAGGGAGCCGGGGCCTTGTGAATGTATAGGGCTATAATGTGAGTTTAGATTCCGTGCTGCTAGGTTCGAGGATCTTGGTGCCTCTGAAGATTTGAGACTTTGATATGAGACTTCACCTAGCGCCAGGTCCAGCGGTACCGATGCCAGCCACTCCTTGATGTTTCGATTTGACGATCTTGATCTTGATGGCGTCTTTTGGTTCTGGAAGCTAGCCGCCTTTGGACTTCCGCGACTTTGACTCGAGCTTTGATTCCGTGCTGCTGGAATTGAAGATCCCGACGCTTCTAGACCTATAGGTCTTCGAGTTGAGAGTTCACTCGGCTGTGATAGGTTCTGTGGTACCGATGCAGCCAGCCCCGCAGAGTTTCGATATGAATTTTGTTTCTGTGGTGCTATGATAGTCTCCCCACTGGAACCTGTATTGGAACTCTTAACGGAGGCTTCTGTGCGATTATCCTGGTCATCAAAGCCTACCGTGTCCGTTTCTCTCTGACTCCCATCAACGACGGCGGAGCCTACCTTCTGGGGCCCTACTTTCTGTTCCCAATCGCTAACGCTGGACAGGCATTCATTTGCGCATTCTTCACAGGCGGGTCCTAAGGGGAAGAGGCAATCCTCGTTAAAGCACACTCTTGGTTCTACCAGGGATACCAAGGATACGCTGGGGGATGCGTCAAGTTCTTGCCAAAGAGTTGCATTTGCCATACTGTTGACTTTTTCAGATGACGCAAGACGGAGAATGCAAGGGGAACTTGTATGCTTGAAGTATGCCAGAAGGAAGATTCCAACTAGGTATGTTTACGGCATGCTTCACTGTTTCGTTCGCTTGACAAAGGGCGGGCAGCTTTTATTTGCAAAACAGATAACATTGTTTGGGATCATTTCTTTGTGCAACTTTTATGCACCCTATATGTTCTTTGAAAAAGTGAAGGCTAAGTGCCCAAATCCCACCCCAACGAGGAGCGGCCAGTATCAGGATTCGACTCCCGAAGTTTCTTGCACCCGAGGGTAGTCCATCTCCTCTCTAAAAGAGCACATGCAAGATAAGGACGCGCAGATTAATGAGAGTATTATGAAGGTTATTCTGTTGCTTGAAGACCCTAGAAGAGAATGACTACTTGGCCCCAATAGTTTAAGAAGATGTTCTCGCGAACTTGGGCAGGATATACGAAAGCTGAATGAAACAATCGTGCTACACCGCCAGAATGAGTGCCTAATAAGGGCTAAAGCTACCGCGTTGTATGTACCTCATTCGTCCCATATAAGGACCCGCACCCCACGTCTTGATACTTTCATCCACAATAAAGTTTAATGATATTTATCCGCCGGTAAGATGCCTCTGGCCCAGAGTAAGAGTTCTAGCAATGAGGCTAGACATCAAGGTAAGAAGGAGGTGGTCGATGGCTTGAATCCATCGCACCGACCTGATTTCACACGCAACTGAATCGCGTCGTATGATTGGATGCGCAGACACCCGGATATTTTCCGTAATCCGAGGGATATCTCCCATTGTTGCTTATTATATTGATGACTCCCCCCCGATACTAACAATATCTATCACATCTATCTCTACATAGCTGGAATACTCCTTCTTCGAATCCAAGCGCTCTGCAAACTCAAATATAGGAATCCTCGAACTGCCGATCTCACAATCCCCCGAAGCCACTGTTCTTGCCCGCTCCAACCTGTTGAAACGCCGCCTACAACCATTCCCGTCCGCGACTATCGACGATTCTGTTGATAAAAGACTACCGAAGACCCCTCTTTTTCCTTTGTGCGCCGGGAGTCTTCCTACACTTTTCAACGCCTTTAAATACGCCGTGTCCCGCTGAGGCCACAGCGAGGTGTTAAAGTGCGCGGAAGACCTTCCTTCCGCTAACTTTGCGACACATGAGCTATCTTCTCTGGAAGTATTTCTACGATGACGAAATCGAACGGTTTCGAAAACTCCTGGCAAATGCGAGCCATGGACCGCAGTATACATCGAAAAGCTATGGTGGAGGGACGGGGGGACATAGCTTGGGAAGCATGACAGGAAGCCCGGGTACTGGCGCATTTTCGACCTCTCCTCGAGTAGTGAAGAATAGGAAAGTCTCAGGGAATACTGGGAATATTGGCCAAAAGGGGGCGAATCAAACCGTTCTCAACCGGTCGGACATTAATAGCAGAGACTATGCAGGCGTGCCCCTCCTCTGCCGAATAGCATCATCCAAGTCAGAGAGCGCAACAGATTTTGGCATGGCACTGATTGAACATCCTGCTATCGACTTATATGCTCAGGATATAGAGAGTGGTTGGACAGCTCTGCATCGAGCCCTATACTTTGGGAACATTGCGCTTGCCCGGGCTATAATCGAGAAAGATAGTCGGAGCCCGGGTGGCTTGGAAGGGCCCATTCAAAGAGCGTCGATGTCAGTAATCAAAGTCAAAGACCGTGAGGGAAACAGCCCTTTTGATGTGTACAATGCGACAATCGCCCGACGAAGCCTGAAACGGAGGATAGATCTACCAGAGTCAGACGATAGCTCTCAGGGAGAGGAAGAAACTATAGCCCCCGGACCTGATGATGAAGATAGTCATCCCAAGGCGGCTATTGATGGTGATGAAATTTTTGCCTGGGGAAGTAGCAAAAATTACAATCTCGGGTTCGGGGATGAAGATGATCGCCAATACCCCGAAAAAGTCCATCTGAAACGACCTGACCATTTGCTCTTCAGATTCTTCCGGGAGTATTTGGAGTCTATCAAAGAGACCGATGAGGCTCTCTATACTCACTTGTCCCAGATAAACCCAAAAGCTGTCTCTGATCTGCCTACTCTCGTGTCGAGTCGACCCATCATTGTGCAGGATGTGGTACTTTCAAAGCTTCATAGTGCTATTCTTACTAGCGATCCAGAGAGCAACCTCTTCATGTGTGGTTTTGGTCCCGGAGGAAGACTGGGGACGGGTGATGAGGTAACACGGTTCTCGTACGTCTGTGTAGAGGGAGGTCTATCTGGAAGGAAGATTGTCCAGGTTGCTCTGGGGCATAGCCACTCTTTGGCCGTCGATTCTCAGGGCGACATCTTCTCCTGGGGACAAAATCATTACGGCGTGCTTGGATATTCCTTGCCACGGACGACGCTGAAGGATGATGACCCTATCTGCTCCACCCCACGCCAGATTTTTGGCCCTCTTAAAAGGGAGACTATTATTGGTGTAGCTGCTTCAGCCATCCATTCGGTCGCCCATACTTCCACATCATTGTTTACATGGGGTCGGAACGAAGGTCAACTTGGATTGATGGACTCGGACTCACGCAGCCTCGAAGTGCAATCTGTACCTCGGAAGGTTGCGGCATCACTATTCAAGGCGCCAATAAAGATGGTAGCTGCAATTAACCGAGCTACGATTGTGTTGCTTGAGAACCACACCGTTTGCGTCTTCACTAATTACGGATACAATATCGTCAAACTGCCGGCAAACGAAGGATTCCGGAATTATCACTTGCAAACGACTGCTCTCACGACACGATATGACGCACCCTCTAGCAGTATTACGAATATCACCGCCGCTGGCGACACCATAGCTGCTTATTCAACACAAAGTTTGTTCACGATAAATGTGAGGCAGATCGATACAGGCTCCACAACCAGCACAACGAATCCTTCCAAGATCAAGGATTCGTTAACCCTTCCACAGAGGGTATGGTCCTTACGCAAAGGTCATTGGGACGGTATCAAATCGGCCTCGGTTACTGAAAATGGCTCAGTTATTATCTGCACTCAAGCAGGGGTGGTGTGGCGCCGTGTAAAGCGTACGAAGGTAAAGGATGCTTTTGCAAGCGCCGGAAGCTTTCATAGCAAAGATTTCAAGTTTCAACGAGTCCCGGGTCTCACAAAAGTCGCAGCTGTACGCAGCACAGCTTATGGTGTATACGCTGCGATTCGCAAAGATTGCGATGTCACGAAGACTCAGATTGGTGTTGACGAGCAGGGTTTGTGGGAGGATATCCAGTCCCTTCTTTGTCTGCGCGACTTCCAAGCTTCCAATCTGCCACAGGAGAGCAGTACTGAGTCACTACGGGTACCGGGCCAAGTGCAACCGGAAGTCTTGCCTAGGTCCTTGAAAGCTGGTGTACTGGGATCCACGGACCTCGAGACAGATATTAGGTGAGTGAGCCAGTCTAATGCTCTTTTTTTTTATCACTATATATCGCTGGAGTGCGATGATACTCTCGCCATGTACGTTTATGGGGCCATCCCGTTAGATCTAGTGATATCTAAAGGGGTCGAGTTTCTGATGCCCACTCAGGGGATGACAACGGATCGAGTGGTTCCCAATCTCCTGACAACCCCTGTGGCACCGTATTGCGCATAGGAATATGTTGGTCGTAGCAGAATATGGTGATGACAGAATGATGCTGGTCATATATATTCCTTACAAGCGGTTTGGAAGCCAAACCGAAGGTGTCAATTTAGGGATGAAACAGATTTCAACGTGCAACTACTGACTCGGATTCTACATAGTCGCCATTTACTTGGAGTGGAGGATGACTATGATGCCGAGATCACTAGTACCACATCTGAGGTCCAAATACCGGTGCACGGCTTCATGCTAGGCAGAAGCTCAGTTTTGAGGAGCGCTCTTAGTGAGTTTCGGCACACTGGAGCAGCACATATCCCAGATCTCCTCACCATCACGAGTGAGACGACAAGCAACGGAGCTCGGATGCGGGTTACTTTTCAAGGCCTAGACTTCTTCACCATCCTTAACCTGGCCATCTACTTGTACACTGATACGGTGGTGGATGTTTGGCACTTCACCCGACGCTCGCCCCAAATGGCCTTCAGATTTAGACAAGTGCGTGTTGAGCTTATGAAAACTGCTGCAAATCTTCAACTAGCAAAGCTAGAGTCGGCAGTACGCCTTATGACCACGTCAGACCGGCGGATGGACGTCGACATGAAACTCGCACTTCAGGATCCTTCGTTCTTCGAAGACGCAGATGTCATCATTGAGCTAGATGGATCTGAAATGGCTGCCCATAGTGCCTTATTATGTCAACGGTGCCCGTTTTTTGAGGGGCTATTTCATGGCCGCGCTGCCGGTCAATGGCTTGCCGGTAGACGCGACGACGACCCAGAGGCTATCCGGATTGACTTGAAGCATGTCCATCCTGAGGCATTTCGGCTCGTATTATTATACCTTTATGCCGACGTTGGAGTGGGGCTCTTTGATGATGTAGTTGCTGCTGATATTGATGAGTTCTCGGACCTTGTTATGGACGTTCTAGCGGTGAGCAACGAACTTATGCTCGACCGGCTATCGCAAACATGCCAGGAGGTTCTTGGTCGTTTTGGTGAGTCGGCAAATACTTTTCATCTTAAACTCAGTCCTATTCCAATTCAGTGTGTCATCCTGTCCCCTATTGGAGTGTTGATGGGAAGCTCCTGGGGACATAGCGAGAATTGCTCATTCGCGCAATCTAGAGATAAACCAGCTAACTTTTCGGCAGTCAACATCCGTAATGTCTGTCATCTTTTGAACGCTGTTGCGCCATGCTCTGTCACGGAATTCAAGAATTCAGCCCTCGAATATGTTTGTCTGCAATTGGAGTCAATGCTGGAAAATCATTGGTTAAATGACCTAGATGAGGGGCTCGTTCTAGAGTTAGAGAGCCTCGTTCGGGCAAATCAATTGGCATGCCTCCCTTTCGTCAAAAGTGGAAGAGCCGAGCTCCTTTTACATGAGCGCCATCCTAGCCTAGCAGGGGACATTGATGAAGAACGGCAACGAAGAAATCGTGATATGGCATTCCGAGCGAAGCTAAAGAGTGATGACAGCCGGTTTTCTTCACCGTTCCGAGTGCGTATTGGAACACCTGACGACGCTACCACTGGGTCGCCTAGCGAAGAGAAGGCCAGGGGTAAACCAAGACGTGCTCAAAACGAACCCTTCAGCCCGACCCTCAGACCGAAGAACTCGGCTTTGGATTTGATGTTTGATATGGAAGATGACGGGTCATTACCGTTGGCGAGCTCTAAGCATGCCACTCCAACCACGAAAGGAGACAGCGCCAACCTTTGGGAAGATACTGAGCCTAGCTATGATGGCGATGCCGGCCGGTCACTGCCCCATACTCCCGCATCGCCAGGTCTACAAGCTTTCAAGACGAATGAGAGGGATGTCACTCCAACTAAGATTTGGTCGTCGCCGGCGCTTCCATCCGCAAAGCTTGATATGCGCGACATTATGGCCCAGGCGTCTTCAGGCCGTGGCTCAAATCTCTCCATGAATCTATCATTACAGAAAGCTCGAGAGGAGAAAATCAGCCAGGCAGGATTGTCGAAACCATCGCAGAAGGAACGCAAAAAGCAGCAACAAAGAGCACTAGAGGAAGCTGCTTCTCATCCTCAGATAACCCTAGACAAGGCCGACGGAAAGCCGGCGTCGCCTTGGCTGGTAGCTCCGGTGGGACCAAAGACGTCTTTGAAAGATGTTCTTGAGGACTCCAAGTCATCACTCCCAACACATGCGCCGAAGTCTTTGGAATCTCCAGCGGCCACCCGCCCATTGTCAGTTCGACGGGCTGCATCACCAGATACACGGTTTGCAGGCCAGTCGAGGAATGTTAGCTCTGGTAGTGCTACAAAGCCATCCCGTCCTTCTGCCCATCCTTCTGGTTCGCGAGTCCCATCTGGATCCTCATCCAAGTCGAACCCTATTGCTCCTCACTCGACGGCTCACACCTCGCCGGCCACCAGAGCCGAGCCTTCGTTGCAGCTATCGATGGCGGATATTATTGGTCAACAAAGGAGAGAACAGGAAGTCATTAAAGAAGCCGTCGCCAAGAGAAGTCTGCAGGAAATACAAGAAGAACAGGCCTTCCAGGAGTGGTGGGACCAGGAAAGCAGGAGGGCTCAACAACAGGAGGCTGCAAGGACGAAAGCCGTGGCGGCTGGATCTGGATCCGGATCTGGAAGGGGTGGTAAAAGTAGTAGCGGACGCGGAAAGAGTGGTGGACGGGGAAGAGGGGGGAAGGGCAGAGGCGGAGGCGATGCCTCGCCGGGACGCGGCCGCGGAGGATAATGGTCGAGGGATTGTGACCATGATGGTTGTTTGTTGATTGTGAATATATATATATATATATTTGTATTACTTGCATGCCCCTGGGGTCTTAGTAGAACGGTTACATAGATGCTCCGCACATATGATTGCGAGCTGGCGTTCAGGGCTACATTAATAGAAGGCTGAATTCACGTTTATATTTGTACTAATTATACATTGCATAGTATAGGTATCTGCCAATGTCCGCTCCTGCCTTGCAACGAAGAGTTGCACATATAATAGCTGCTACTAAATCACTCCGCTATGGAAAACACACGTGATGCGATGGCATCACCGTTCGCTGTGGTGGATCTCAGGGGCCACAAGGTTTGATCGGTTCCCTGGGCTGGATCCGCAATACTTACTTTGGCTCGACTAGTGCCCGACGTTTTCAGGAATGGTTTTAGGGATATCGCTTCATGCATATCGAAGATGGCATATTGGGTGTCTATGATGTCGCCTTAGCGGAAGCCTAACGATAATATATCCATGCCCATGCTCATGGTCATGCTCATGCTCATGCTCATGCTCATGCTCATGCTCATGCTCATGCTTCTGGATCTGGTTGCAATAATAACGGCCAGGACGCCGGGGCTATTCCGGCTTTCCATTTCCTTTGCACCCGAGTGGAGGGGAATGCGCCTACTCCTCCGCCTATGCTATCACAATCCGGGGGAGTCAGTCCTCGTATCGCGGGGTGTTGGCTGTTGTCTGCGACTGTGACTGTGACTGTGACTGTGACTGTGACTGTGACTGTATAAGGCCTCCGGACGCCCTCCACGTCTTATGATGTTCGATGGGGCCAATGAGAAGTCCCAAGACATAAAGGTCGCCTGCAATGGCCGGGCTACACTGCAGCGATGGCGGCCTGGCCAGCGCTGCACAGGCGTTGGTTGTTGATAGGAGCTGTTCTCGTCTCCCTGTGCGTTTTGCCTACGACGGAGTAGGCAGACTATTCGGACCCCAATACGAAGTGACATAAGCTTCTTTTCTAAGGTTTAAAGGAGGTTAGAAGCTATATAGTTGTATACATTAGGAGTAAACATAGCTGTCTAAATATTACAATCTAGATTGTATAGTTTTGTCTACATTAATCAACTGTATTTTGTTTTGTTCAATTTTATTAAAGTAAGGTGTTCACCGAAAGCAGCCGAGCCTCTCTGTAGTGGAGCGCACTCGGAATGCTCGCTAGAAATTAAACGCACTTAATAGAATCAAATAACAAATTTATCTATAAATAACAGCGGCTTTAGCTCACTTGGGAGAGCGTAAGCAAAACCAGTCCAGACCTTCGAGTAACCACTCTAACTCTCATCCAGGCCAGACTGAAGTCAACTTCAGATATTGAAATCTGGAGGCACTGGTAAGGCTGACTACTACTTCGAGTAGAATTCCGCTAATTCAAATCTCAGTGTTCGATCCACAGAAGCCGCAAATCTGCGAATTGAGGTCCACTTCAATTATAGAACACCTAATTTTTTTTTCTTAACTTTTTTCTTTTCTTCGAAAGTAGGTAATCGCTATAAATATACCGTCTATTTTAATAATAACCAAAATCCTTACCAAAGGTCTACACAACCTTAAAACCCTACTTTTTTAAAAAAAGAAAATCAATCGCTTCTACTACTATATTAAATCAAGACCAAAAGGAATAGCTACTAGGTAATTTTCTACCTAAAGTATTATGAGATTACACTACTTATATTAATTTTGTTTGATAATCCATATTTTTATATAGAAAAACAAGAAAATACCCGATACTCAGGAGCGTCAGAAAAGGTTCGCCTCCGCAGGTTCCAGTTCCAGCTACCTCAAGTGGGTACGTATAGGGCTCAGAGCTCAATTCAAGTTAGAGCAGCAACTACTCCGGTCCAAATGGAATACGCTGTTGCTGGCTCGCTTTTGGAAGTTTTGGTATCTCGGCGGTAGCCCAGAGTCTCGGCACGGAGCAGCATCAAGCGAGAAATCGCATCGCGCGTGTAGAGGGTGACAGTTCGATATACGTAGATGTGGATGGCAGAATTTGGTAGACACCTACCTTTGTCTGTATATAGTGAGATAGGCTATCTGCTAACCACCTATGATGAAATAAGAGTAAACTTCCGCGAAAGTTAGACTATAATTTCATTTTGAGCAACTGCTGCATTTCCTGAGCCATATGAGCACATGATAGAGCCAGCCTGATCATGTATTTAGGGGTCCGTTTTAGTTCCCAAAGGTATTTGGCACCCCTGAGGGCTTGATACGCTTGTTTGGCCCTATCTCCAACCACTCTCGACTTCCACCTTATATAAATTGACAACCACGTGTTAGGTTTGTAAACTACCTACATTTAGGGGCTGCATCTTCAAAGTAGAGTGCCTCGCTTGTCGAGCCGCTGCTTTTAAGGGGCAGTATAAGAATCCTCCCTAGCGCTGTTGGGCCGGGAGGTGTTTACCGTAATATTATACCCGCAGCTCGTGAAATCAAAAGATACACCAGTAGATACATTTCTCGAGTTGTGACGCCTCGCTCGTCAACGACGAATGCTTCGAATTCAAACTCGCTCAATGCATGTTTTACAACTGGGTTGCCATCGAAGGCGAGCAACAAGAAGAAAAAGTGACCTTTACAAGGTGACAACGAAACTGAAGATTACATCGGCGCGGACAAACGGCTCAGGGAGACTAAGCTACAGTCGCAGGTCCCTCCGAAGGATGATTTATTCGGAAGCCCCCCAAATATAGCAACCGCGTCACGGCAGCCTCGCACGGGAAGATCTCCATCATTTCGCCAATATCCACAATAACCAATCGACCGAGTCTCCTGCGGATAAAGGTGGCACTACGATCGAGCAAAGTGGTCAATTTCTCACCACTTTGACAATGACTATGCTCGAAGAAATCAACGATGAGGATCTTCTTGAGCTCCGTAGGGACGTAATCGTTCCTCACTCTACTCCAATGATAATGAGGTCGGAGAACCAGCAGCGTTACTTTCAGAACTGTTGGTTTATTGTCGCAGGCTTGGTTGAATACTGCAGATTTGAGTTTGAAAAAGACGGACCTTTGGCGTTTAAAATGTATCGGTGGCTGCATGTTGCACCAGAAGAAATGGAGGAGACAAAGTCGGCACTAATTGGTAGACTGACCTACAACCATGTTGACTCGACCTTGCTTGTTGCCCAGACGATAATGGGTAGAGACGGCTATACACCAGAAATGATGAAGGAGCTTCCAGAGACTAGCTGGAAGGAGACCAGAGTATGGGGGAACTACGGAGGTGTTGTCCAGAACAGTACCGGAGTTGGCCCTCCTTTTGGTATCTATGCCGGGGCAGCAACTGCGAAGTTGGAAAATGGTTTAACATGGAGGACAGCTGGTGCGATGTCTAATAGGTGGTATTATCATTACCAAAACATTGAGAAAGGCCTAGTAGCGCTTGAAGAGGCGCAGAGAGAAGCCAACAAAAAGGCATCTGAGGGTGAACGCAAAACAGAGAAGAGGTCTGTTCCTTATCTGTATCGCTGGGCTGCAAGACCCGGATTTGAGCTCAACTTACGACTTCTCCGGACGTATGAAGTCAATAGGGGCAGGTCATGTGGATATATCTGCCTTAGCGAAACTATCGACACCATCTATAATCAGTGCTTGGGAACGGATACACCGACCAAAGCAAGCATATTAACAAAGAAATTAAAACCGACAATGCTCTTAGAACATAATTTTGAGCCTCTTAATAGAGAGCTCCCTGCTAGGCAGGGCTTCCGTGGCCTGAAAAGCACTGGTCCATGTGTGAAATGCATGGCCACTCAACCACACCCCCACCCGGAGAAGCTAAAGACTCCAATTACACCGTGGTATAGACATCCAGACCCTGGTCAGGCGCATCGAATCCTGTGTTATTTTTGCTACAACCAAGTAAGGCCAAAGAGGGTAGATATTCCGTATAGGATGGTTCCGGTACCCAAAATGGACAGAAATGGTCCCTGTGCGGCTTGCAAATCACCTACCACGGATGCTTCTTCTGGCTGGTCATTGGATACGAGGATTCAAGGAGGAATTGATGGTGGCCAGCTTTGCAAGACATGCCACGACATATTTATTGTCCAACATATGCTTTTGGATTCAACAGAACTTAGGGAGCGGCGGTCTATGTGCTCCTACTTTAAATGTACTGGAAAAGTGGCTAAGAAAAAAGGGCCACGCTGGTACGATCATCCAGAGAATATCGATAAGGTCCCTATTGCAGAATACAGAAACGTGTGCGCTACCTGCTTTGGCAAGATCCACAAGAAAGATCTACCGCGACGGAAGTTAGCGTTGGATATAGCTAGGAAATCGATACTTAACCTAGAAATGGGGGTTAGCTCAAAATATAATAAACAGGAGATGCGATAAAGAAGTCGATCAAAAGAGAGTTGTGTACCGCTAGGAACACTACCTAACGCTAGGTGTGCGTGTAGATCTTGGTTCTTGAGCTCTTATAAATCCTAGACATCTCGATATAAGATACTTGCTGATTGAGTACGGTATATGCTTGTCGGGTGTTTTATGTAGTTCTTAAACCTACAATAAGAAGTATAGCAAAAAGGGATATTATACTGTTGAGAATCGGCAATACTGACATCTCATAGTTTTATCAGAGTTTTCAGATGTATACCCACTGTGGCAAATATAACCCAGTTTTACTTGAATAAAAAGGACTTCTCCACCACCTCTATTACTAGAATTAATTAACTCGTTCTATCGTTTTCAATAGCTCTTCTATCCTTATCGATATCTGGCACGAACGTAACAAGGGTACCGCCTAGGTTAATACGCTATTTTTGGTGATATTTTATGGAGGTTACAATTCGTCATTCATCGACAATCATATCGGAGTGGCATAGGCTCACCAAGCCGCCACTATGGCCGCCGCCCACCCTATGCGCCACGATGATAGTTGCACCACTACTACCTATGGCTTGGACTTCAGCGGCCACCCAAAATGAAGCTATTCCCACTTTACATAGCGGTAAGCAAAGCGACGATAAGGCTGTCCCTGGCTCATAGTATAGTATTACGGGTAGGCTACGTGGATCGGTAGAGTGGAGATCTATACTTAGGACGTAGGGTACGAGTTCGAAGTGGCGAGGTGGGAATAGCTTCACTTGGGTGACGGCGACAGCCCTGGGCCACGAGGGTTGCGGAACTGGCATCGCGCCGTATAGGGTGGATGGCGGTCATAGCGGTGGCTTGGTGAGCCTATGCCACTCCGATATGATTGTCGATGAATGACGGATTGCACTCGGCGGTCCTGAGCCTACATTGCAAAGCGAAATAATTTCCTGGTCCATGAGAACTCTCCAGGCCACGAGGGTTTTCGCTTAAGACGGTGGGGTCGTTTTTGTGGTAGATATATTTAAATAAGATTTATTTTCACAAAACAAGCGGCTTTAGCTCACGTAAGTTGCTCTGAACCGTCCCTTGACGAGTCATTCACTAACAATTAATAGTTGGGAGAGCGTAAGCAAAAACCAGTACAGACATCCGAAGAACTCAACTCTAACTCTCATCCAGGCCAGACTGAAGTCAACTTCAGATATTGAAATCTGGAGGCACTGGTAAGAAAACACAGCCATCACTGTCTATCAGGCCATCCACTAACATCCTATCCAGTGTTCGATCCACAGAAGCCGCATTATCTGCGAATTGAGGCCCACCTCAATTAGAACACACTTTTTTTTTAAATTTTAATTCTTTTAATATTTTTCCTTATTCCCTACTATTTTGAAGTGGGTTCCTCGGTTAAATTATAAGCGAGATGTAGACGGTGGGAAAGTGAAAAAAAGGCATCAGCGAGTATTCAGCTGGCCTGGTGGATTTGATCTAGCAGTTTGGCTTCTATGCTCGTTTAGGATACTTGATATGACCCCGAACGTGTGGCCTTATTGCTGGCAGCCTTCTCTGCCCGTCGGGAGATCATTTGGTTTTAACGGAGCGAACTCACCTGCACCCCATTTGTAGATCCTTAATAAGTTTGGGACAACGGGGCACAGCTCGGCCGCCAACCGCGCTGAATTTCGACGGCCATCGCACTGGAAATATTGCAAACAGTGTGTCCGGTACAAAGCAGGTAATGCAACTAGGTAAATTCTGAGAACTAAACCGTGTGTGAAAACTACGTATATCCTTCGGAGTATATATATAATCTACGGGTGCGCAATTAAGTATAGTTCTTAATTTTTAGGAATAGTTACACATATTGTGCTAAAGATCATCGAGGTGCGTGCAAAGTGAGTAGGGGTCGAAGTGGATAACAGGTAGCGCAGCAGTTGACATGTGGCTTGTGGAAGCTTCCAAAGCTCTACATCCGCGTCAACGTCGACACATCGCCACGGCTTCATCTTCGTCGTAATCATGTCGGCTGTGGACTGCATCAAACAAGCTCCGCCCATCGCGAGATCCGCGCTTTGCATCGATGCTGCTGCTGATGCAGCTGAGGACCATTGCTGCCTCGGCCTTCACATTCACCCTCTCGGTCCTCGCCCACACTGGTCTGCCCAGTCATCTGGCGAGGGCCGTTTGGCTGGCGATGGCTTTGGCTCTGGAGTAAGGCTGTTTCTGCTGTGCTCTGCTGCTTTTCCGGGGGAGCCTAAGCCCAGGCACGGGGAAGGGTCCTATTGGGCGGGGCAAGGCATTCTGCGGTGTATCGAGGTAGAATAATAGAAGCAAAAGAAGAAAAAGAAGACGAAGTAAAAGAGCCGGAGGAACCAGTCGCCTGAAGCGGCGTACCTACCACACCATACTTCCCACCTACGTAAAAAGAGTGAGGCTAATCCCCCGCAAGCAGGAGAATATTGGCGCAGCGGTGCTTCCCCCCGCTGCCGACTCCCAGTCTCGCTTTTGTCATTCTGTTTCTGCTCGTACTGCTGAGTACTGTCAGTCACTACAAGCAAGTGTCATCCGGAACCTCGTTCCGAGCCAGAGCTTATTTGCTATTACATGCGTGGCGTACTACAGTACAGTACGTACTCGCAGGCTCGGAGCGCAGAGGAACCTTATCAGGACTCTCTATCAGGAGGAGTCTATCAGGACTCTAATCAACCTAGTGAAGCGGCGGCCTGAGGCAGATCGCTATCCATCCTATCCATCAATGCTTGATGCTTGATGCTTGATGCTTGCCACCATCCAACCCCAACCCCAAGCCCAAGCCTAACCCCAATCTCGACGTCCTTCGTCCTTCGTCCTCTTCTCGTCCTTCAAACATTGATATACTTCCCCCGTACTTCGTACTTCGTACCAACTAAATAGACGCTTGCTCTCCTCCGCCCATCACCTACTTTGCGCAAGGCCCCCTTTCTATTACCGCTATCTCATCAAGCTTACAGCACCAGAGCTTAGCTGTTGTACTCGGTACCAGAGACGAGAGCTTCACCCAAACATAACCGCCCACCGATCACAAGGCCCCTGCACCGCAAGCGTGACTCTGATCACCAGCATTAACTCGAAGCTCTCCATCACACAAGATCCGCTCCCACGCACGTTAACCGTCCGCCATCTCCCTCAATCTTGGGCCTTGCTTCCATAGCTTAGCATTCCGTCTCTTTATCTGCACTTTGCTGCTGCACACCACCACCCACGATAAGATAACAAACATCCAACATCCGCCGATAACATCTCTAGCACCGGAACCATGCCCGCTGCCTGAGCTGCCTCTGGAGTAGCCCCCAGCCAGCAGCTCCCTCCTCCTCCCCCCTCCCCCAGTTGCCTACCTGCTCTCCTTGCTGTGCCTGCCTACCTCCTCCCCGGCAGTGAGTCCGCAGCTGCACTTGGATAACCCTTTTCGAGCCAGCCAAGGCATCCCCCAGCATCATTCAGACCCCGACTCGAATATGATGGATGCCCAAATCCTGAGGTATCTCGGCCCTGCTTCATTCCACATTTAGTCCTACGACTGCTGCTGTGGACATGCGTATACAGACGGTTTGCATATCATATCAGTTGCATATCGTTTTGTATCACTACACCACCACGACAGCTATCTACCATACCGCCTTCCCCCTCTCCCTACACCCCGACGACCCCCAACAAGATGCATCAACATCCTCGGCCGTCCCCTGTGACAGCCTCCCCGGCTTCATCACCGCGGACAAACCCAACTAGAACGAACAATCCAAGAGACGACCCGCAGAGCACCCGCTCAAGAGCGAGTTCAGACATGCCTGGATACAGCGAGGGGGATGAGGGCAGCGAGGATAGCGGAGTCATCGCCGCAACCGGACCAAGCAGAGATGCCGTCAAGAAGCTTGACCAGATAATACAGGTAGGATGAAGCAGCTTCCACCCCAACTCCCCGGGTCTCCAAGGGGGCTAATTCGCTCTGGGTAGAACTTTCACACAAAAGCTGCCATTGTTGTGCTGCAATCACGAATGTCATTGCCAGTCATTCTTACGAAAGACGGCCCAAAGAGAGTGAATAAATGGGTAGGTTTTCTAGTTCTTGAGGACCTTGATCAACCAGATAATAACAGAAGACAATTAGTTTCAAATCGAAACCGATGACACCCCTGCCTTTCGAGACGACCTAAGCGTGTGGAGGAATTGTGGTGGCTTACAAAACCGGCCACCCCCACTGATTTTGGAAACATATCTCGATACATCTGCTCTGGAGAGCAATCATACCCTGGTTATTGTTGACGATAACGGGAAACAATCGAATGTCCTCGACGCCCTGAACGATTCGAGCGGGTCCAGTGAGGGTGACTCGCGGCGGCGGAAGCGAAACACGGAGGTGATATTGGAAAGATGGAGGATTGAGCTTAAGGAGAACTCGGGGGAAATGGCATACGACTTTGCAGCAACATTACCAACGATCTATAAGAAGTGTATTGTCTTCTTCCGCTCCTTATACTCCACCTCTAAATTCACGCCGGCTTGGAGATTTGTGAAGATTTTGGCTAAAAGCGAACCACCAACCGATTTGCTGCGTGTTAAATGCCGTATCTTGAGCGGTGATGTTCCATCTGGTCGGTTTGATGCGCTTACTCATCCTCTTTTCGAGAATGGAGGGCCCGTAACAACGGATTATTTCCTCGGGACGACGGACACTCCCGTAGGACAGATTTCCGCCGAAGTCTCCTACCGAAATGATTGTAACTTCCGCGTTGATGATGCCGACGGTGTGCTAGGTTCAAGGTATATGGGCGCAAATGATCAGTATTTCCAACCGTCCATAGGCATCAAACATGACAGCCGCCGTGGTCCTTCAAGGGCCGTTGAAGTTGGCTCCCTTCCCATTCACAGACAGCCCATCGACGACCCCGGGCCAATCCAGGCATATGGAAGCTTATCAACATTCCATGGCGATGTACCCCCAAGGGCTTCTAGTCCCATTTCAGCTCTCCGTGCTGCTAAGATCATGGGCTCAGATGCAGGCTCACCTCCGGTGAGCTCATCGCTACCTCGAACAAGGCCTATACAGACGTCACGCGCGTCATTAATGTCACTAGAGGGCACATCTACGGCAAGGAGACCATCGGTGTCCTTTCAACCATTTAAAGCAGGGTCGCTGTCATCCTCGCCTGGTCGTGGCAACCCCTTACAAACCGCGGGAGATATGCCACCACAATCGCCGCGGTCGCTCCCTCGATCATACGGAATCAGCCAGCTAACTCAAGCTCGGAACCGCTCCTCCTTAACCGCCGGGATGCCAGCTTCGTTGAGGGGTGGACCTCCAGTGTCGGACAATGTGGTTGCCTCTTCTACCTCTAGCTCACCGAAACCAGCTCCCATAAGTAGATACAGCAGCAGCTTTACCCATCGACGAGGTAAATCATCGTTTGGCGGTGCGAGCAAAATTGCGGATGATGATCAAATTAGTAGCGGTAAGCAGAGCTTGTCATCTTCCATACAACCGGGCTCGGGCATTCTTGCGGAAGGGCCTGGTGGTAGCTCAGGCTCACTGCAGACCGACGACGACAATATATCTGAATTCTTGAAGTTATTGGATAGCAAGAAGACGCTACAGAGTTTTGAGCGTTCCGGAGAAGCATCTACCAAAAGGACGAGTGCGCAGCTCTCGAAATTTCAATCAATGCGTGAATCCAACAACGCATTGACGGAGTCGATGACTTCATCAACCCTATTAAATCGATCGTCAAGTTCTTCAAGTCGACAGCTGTCAAGTGTGCCGCCGATGGTAGCAGCCACTTCAATGTCAGCATCATCATCGCCTGGAAAGCCGGTATCACCACATACGCCGCATACGCCAGCCATACCTTCAAGACTAAGCGCAAATTCAGTGGCTGAATACTCCGTACCACGTAGGCTCAGCGTTCGGAATCGACCTACACCTGAGGCCCGCCATGAGGATGTTGGGGATGCCGGCCAGATAAGTGAGGGAACCAATGCTATCGACATCCCTACATCGCCGAGGCCGTATTACCCTCATACTCGAAGATCGAGCTCTGTCGCCCAGCAGCACAGAGCTCTTCCTGTAGATGACGACCTAGGCGAGCTTCCATTCGGCGTCCACCGGTCCATAAGCCTAGGTGCTGATGATCGCGAGCCACCCAGCCTAAGCGCACTACTCAGGCTTGGACAAGAGGAAGCTGAGAACGTTGCATCACCTTCTTCTCCGTCTTCCCCTCGCCTTCTTCAGCCCGCGCCACACATTTCGGAGTCCTCCACAGCCATGTCTCGCGAACAGTCATCTTCGCTTGATGTAAACGATTCCGGAATTCCACATGGCGCTCGTGCTGTTTCTGCTGGGTCAATAACCGCTCCATACCGTCCTAGATTAGGTCGGACGGGTGGACGAGGTATGACTCCGCCGCAGTCGGGCTCTTACTCCAGCCTCATCGAACGAGCTGGCGCCAGCAGCACCAGCGAGCGAGGCAGTGGCAGATATAGCTTTACGAGAACCGCAGGAACATATGAAGCCGATGACGAGCCACTACTTTTTGATATGAGCGAGATCGGACGGGAGCAATCAAGACGAAGCATAGAGGAGCCCCGAGGAAGAGGAAGCGTCGGTGCAAGTGCTGCTGACCGCGGTGTATATGATGCAGTAAGAGGGGCTGACTCTGGATTAAGCGGCCGGAGAGGAGGCCGCCGAGGTTGGTAAGATATCGGTGTTGTATTGTATGATGGAGAGAGTCGAGCAAGCCTCGCCCTGAAAATACGTTCGCCATTGATGCATTATACGACCATTTATGATTTTCTACATACGTCCTCAACACATACCCTTGCCGTTCACGACAACTGGATAGGAGTCGGGGACTAGGAGGGCTACCCTTTCTGCATTTTCGACCGCGTTGACGAATGGGAGACGCGGTCATGAATGATGCATTCGTGGGGAAAAGCCGTCTATAAATTGAATAGGATGACTGGGTTGGAGTTGATACCTTGGAGTTTACAAGAGGCGGCTGGATAGGCGCGGGCCTTTGTTTGAGAACAATTTGATAAATTTTGAAACCAGCGAATTGCGCCACGTTGAAGCCGTTGTCCGTTGGATTCTTGATAATATGTTGCAGGTGCTTCAAAAGGGCTGGGTACTGTAGATATTATCTATAGCACCCTCTCTGACCCTGCTAGCTAGAAGAAGGCCGATACTAAGAGTTAAATATAATAATATGCTTAATATACTTCGTACAGAGGCAATTGAATGTTTTATACGCAGAGTTAACTTGAGTTAGCAGAGTGTTTTTGTACTTCTACGGGCTAACTCCGGGTACCTGGGGGCGATAGCGGAGAGCGGGGCTCCCCGCACAGTTCAAAGCACCGAGGAACCAAGAACGTGGGGCTCTAACACTACGAAGCACACTACCGGTAATAGCTACACGCTACACCACGTTGAAGCCGAGTATAAGTATTACTATGGAGCTTCAACTCCCAACTCCACCTCCTATCCTAATCTCACACGTTGATCTGCATTTCGCGGGATTGTTGTCCGTTCAACTCCATCTCACCGAAATCTAAGGAGAGGCTGCTTGAATGATAGCAATAGCACGGAAGCTTCAATTGCATTCCTAAGTAGCTGTAACTCTTCAGATCCAGAGAGCTCAGTCCCCCACTCCTCCATAATGTCCGCAATAAGAATTGCCCCGACGGTAGGTACACCAGCTATCCAGCTCTGTGCAATACAATGCTAATTAATATCGTCTCCAGAGGGCAGTGCGTGCCATGAATCTCCTCCGAACGGTCCAATACACGCATCCACCGTCTTGCCCATGCCACGGAAACCCATCTCATCATCACCACCAGCCCTCTTCCGGCCTCCTTGCGCACGCCAAGGCAAATCTGCAGCGTAATTATGCCACGCCCATGGATTCCTCGAGACAGAAGGAATATGCCTTCGAGATGGCAGCATCCTCCATTCGGTTTGGGCCCGGTGTTACAAAGGAGGTTGGCATGGACTTCAAGAATCTCGGTGCCAAGCGTGTCTGCGTCGTAACAGACAATGTGGTGAAAGACCTAAATGCAATGAAGCAAGTGATTGAGGGGTTGACAAGAGAGGGTGTCGAATTCACAGTGTTTGATGGATGTAGGATTGAGCCCAAGGACAGCTCGTAGGTGCTCATATTATCCCGCCTGACAATCCAATGGGGCTCTAACATGGAATAAACAGGATCAAGGAGGCAATCACCTTCTCGAAGAACTATCAGCCCGATGCCTTCCTCGCTGTCGGTGGTGGATCAGTCATAGATACGGCAAAATGCATGAATCTCTATACGTGCTATCCTGATGCCGACTTTCTGGATTTCGTTAATGCTCCTGTGGGGAAAGGTCGCCCAGTTGACAAGCCTCTCAAGCCTCTAATCGCCGTTCCCACCACAGCCGGTACTGGATCCGAAACAACAGGAACGGCAATATTTGACCTTGTAGCTCAACGTGCTAAGACGGGTATCGCACATCGAAATTTGAAGCCCACTTTGGGCATTTGCGATCCCCTTAACACCCGAACCATGCCCTCCGCTGTACACGCAAGTTCAGGTCTAGATGTTTTGTGCCACAGTCTCGAGAGTTGGACAGCAATCCCATATTATGAGAGGACACCCCGGCCTACGAACCCGATCAACAGACCTGCGTACCAAGGCGCCAATCCCATCAGTGACATCTTCTCATTGCAGGCTTTGAGGAGCACGGTAAAGTATCTGCCCAGAGCTGTGAAAGATCCCGAGGACCATGAGGCTCAAAGCCAGATGTTGCTAGCAGCCACGTTAGCAGGTGTTGGATTTGGAAATGCTGGGGTTCACTTGTGTCATGGTATGCTCCACTCATTGAATCTTCACTCATACCAGCCATATCTAATATCATTTAATAGGAATGTCATATCCAATCTCCGGTCAAAACCCTGGGTATAAACACGCAGGCTACCAAGTTTCGAGTCCTATTATTCCTCATGGAGTATCTGTAGCCGTGTCCGCTCCCGCTGTATTCCGTTTCACAGGCCCCTCAAACCCAGAGCGTCATCTAGCAGCCGCAGAGGCCTTTGGTGTCGACATCTCCAACATAAAGAAGGAAAGCGCAGGAGAAGTCCTGGCAGAAGCCCTAACGAAATTCTTAGCAGATCTAGGAGACCAGCCCGCTGGCTTGAAAGATCTTGGATTCACGAATGAACATATAGATGGTTTGGTGGATGGGACGATTCCCCAGGCACGTGTGTTGAAGTTGGCCCCTGGGTTGGCAGAGGAACTTGGCGAGGAGAGACAACAGTTGAGAGCATTATTTGAAGATGCTATGACGCATTAGGTTGTTAGTGAATATAACTCAAGTGATTGATTGTATTATCTCGCTAAGCGGTTGTGTGCTGTGATTTTCTGTTGTGTTGTTTACCTCGTCTTCTTCGCGCTCGCCTTCTCGTACTTTTGACAAGCTCAACCTACCTTTTCCACAACACAAATAGCTTTGAAAAGCCCATACTGCACAACAACAACGGTAAACAGAAGCTAACAGGTATGTGCTTTGAATAACCGATTCTTTGATACCCTTTTTACCTCTTAGATCGTTTGCTAATATCCGTCTTTAGAATGGATACCACATTCTCACCCTCGCGAGTCCCTCAAGCCCCTCCTCCATCCCCCGTCTCTTCGCCTCCCTCATCCCACATGTCCACACCTTATCCATCCCGCGCGTCTAGCCCTCCTCCTATAGGACTCGCTAGCTCTCGCAATACTGGATGGGGCAGGGCAGATTTGGATAACGAGTAAGTTTATCCCCAAACCACCTCCTCCTCCATCTGGCGGTGGGGAAGTCCACAACATTACAAGTAACTGCTTAGTTGCCACCTGCCGTCTTTGATAAGTATATTTACTCTACTGTTCCAAAGGCTAATACTTTTACGCTACAGTGAACTGGCTAGCTTGAAAATGAGACTGCGATCCGCTGAGAGTGTTATGCGTATTGGTATGCTATACTGGTTCTTGTTTTGTACCATCTTAGTGGGTTTAGGATATCCACACTCTATATACAAGTATATCGTTACAAGACACCTTTTACTTATAACACTTCCAAGCTGTACTAACTAAGGCAATATTACAACTACAAACGTCTCACATCAAGTGAGGCATTCACCTGGCTCCTCTCTAGTGCTTATCAACCTGCTCCCGCCATTTTAAGACAATCCCCACTTGCTAACTTCCCAATCCAGAAACACTTAAACGCAACATCGCCTATATCTTGGACCGTCATGCCTTGTCGATTTCTATGTCCGCCGTGCCGGCGTCTATGTCCGCAGGTCAATTTCTTCCTCCAAAGGATCAGTTTGTAAACTCAACCCAGCCGTCCCTCAATACTTCAGACACTATCAATATGGCCTCCACTGCAACCAATGAACAAGCCGATTTCACAAAGAGCGAGAACATGCAACCTGTTCCTGCTCAAGAGCTATCCGAAATTGGTAAGGCACAACCAGACTGTCACATTTGGCCCGACAAATCTGATGATTTCATGCTAGACGGTGCCGCAGAATATCTCAAGCAGACCGCAGCTATCGGGTTTACTTACAAGATGGACATCAACGCCGCTGAAAAGCTCAAGTTGACTACAGAGGTTGTACTGTCCCACAAGACATCTGATGCTGAGAATGGTGGAGAAAAAAACTTCATCAAGGAGGGTGACATGAAGGACAATGCCATCAAGGAAGTCGACATCAAGGATGGTAGCATCAAGGAGATCAGCACTAAGAATAACGGTGTCAAGCAAGTCAAAACCAAGATCGGCAGCGTTAAGAAAGACGATCATGTTGACGACACCTGGGTCCATGTGAATCCCCGAACCATTGTCAGGCGTCCAGGCACTCGAAACATGAACGCCCACAAGGCAAGCGGGGCCGATGATGAGTTCCCCGATTACGGTATGTCTCCGCTTTATTTCCTTCAAAGTCTCCCTTCACATAAAACCAAACAAAACATCACAAACCAACTTTCTAACCCCTTGTACAGATGAAGAACGTGCCATGGACCTGCTTCGCTACCCTCCCCCGCCATATACAATCCGTGTACGCAGTCGAGAGGTCCAGCAGGCTATCGAGGATGATTTCGTCGTTGTGGAGCATGAACAGAGTCCACACCCCGTTGGACTTCTCGATGCGATTGTGCAGCGGGCTGGACACAGCAAGCCGGCTGTTGATCAAGATGACGAACAGCCTCCTGTTGAGCAACCACAGCCTGCTTATTACTAGCAGCACTGGCCGTCATCAGCGGAGTAACGCAATAAATGGCATTGGGTTTCTGCGGCTGTCGTTGGGATTGCATTAGGGTTGTGCATTGCAAATGGCGTTTGGTGTTCATCGGAACATGAACCCCTTTCTTTTTAATGGCATGATGGGAGCTGGGTTGTCTTTTAGCGCTGGAGTTCTAGTCAAGACCGGTGATTTTATAGGGCGCTACCCGGAGGATAATTAATGAGCATAGCAAATAAGAATTCCTATGCGGATGGGGCTTGACCGGCTTTGGTGGGCTAGGCTTAGCACGTTGTATCACAGTTAGATACAATACAATACAGCAGCACCGCAGAATTACCTAACTGTGATTTCAAAGTATCCTACATTCGGGAAACCGCATTCAACTAACGAACCCCCATTCATTCACATCTACCGCTATATCGCGGCTTGCAGTGCGCTCCTTAACAAATACTTCGGTGTGTATGCACAAAAATAGCAAATAACATGTCGTTACCGCCCAGACTTGCTTGAAAAACTATCCTGACCTATGCAGCATCAATCATTTACTTCCATTACACTCTTTAATAGACCTAATATGCAGTACTTTGTCTGTAAAAGTCCGCCGGTCCCCCAGGTGGTGCACTTGGTGCCAATGGGGCTGCCTCCCCTCCAGATGAGCCTGGTCTCTGGTACGCCTTATATTGCCCCGGAGGCGCACCCTGACTTGGTAATGTCTGTCTTGCGTCACGACCCTCGCTAATAACTGGATAAGGAGCATTCACATTCAAAGGTGCTGGTACGTGGCCCGAACCTGGTGGTGGCGGAGGTGGTTCATAGCCTGGTTGTTGCTGAGCGGGAGGTTGGGATGGCTGGGGAACCCCAGGGTAAGCGTTGTATTGCTGTTGGCTTGGAGGGGGTTGCTGGTTTCCCGTAGGCTCAGCGGAGTAGGGATCCTCAGATGAATATACAGAGGCACTATAAGGAGCGTTAGGATTTTGCTGGTTTATGGGTGAGTCGTAAACAGAAGTGGCCAGTTCCTGGGGGTTGGAATAGGTATTCTGAGGGGGGTAGCCCGTTTGAGGCTGTTGAGGGGGGTATTGGCTGGCCGGCGGAGGGGAGGTGGTTTGGAGAGGGGCGGGTTTTGAGCCTGAAGGAATCCGTGGCGTCGAATCATGTGGCGGGTATTTCTGGTGTCCATGAGGCTCAGAGGGCGGTTGCTGTTGCTGCTGTTGCTGTTGTTTTTGGCCAACAACATAAAATGGAGCTGGGCCCGTGCGGTGAGGCTGTGGGGGATAGCCTTGGGGAGAAGAAGGTTGCTGAGGATATTGTTGCTCTATCAAAGTTTTAGAATGTGCCCGCTCTCTGTTAAATTCTAGCGGGTTTCAGTACCTTGAGGATTAGGAGTATAATATCTCTGGGGATCTTGCTGAGGTGGAGCGGCTTGTGGCGGATAACCTCCACCATAGCCTTGCGCTGGACGTCCATACTGGTAACTCGGTTGAGCTTGAGTCATAGAGGCATCCAACAGATTCTCATAGTCACGACAAGATTTAATAAATCTCTCGTTGAGTTGGGTAAAGTCATCTGAGATGCGTTAGTAACTATAACTCTGTGTTCGGGTACATCCATACCTTTTCTCTGGGAGTATTTCCCAATGAGCTCGATGAGCTTTGGCCGAATAGCCAGGGTAGAGTGATAGAGGGTCTGTAACTATTAGCATCGAAGTGAAATCGGGGTCATTGAGCGTACCGTAATCTCTTCATTATCTCGAACGTTCAGGTCAGAGGTTGAAGTGCTCAGCAGGGTGAGCAGCTTCTCGACGTTTTTAATCTCTGCAAACACTTCGGCCTCCATTTGGGCTTCTCTTTGCAGCTCCTCGGGTGTTGGGTCGGCCAATTTCTCAACATAATTCAAAGGGAAAATGCCAGTTTGCCCTCGTAACAAGCCTTTCCACCAATCCTTGTACACCGACTCGAGAACCGCAATAATATCCCCTTTTCGGAATGTCAACTCATCCGGGTCAGTGGCGTGGAAATCGAATAGCGCTCGCACACGGGACACAGTTGCAGCAGTTGTACCAGAAGGCACGGGTTGTTGCTGTATAACTGGTTGAGGTCCAGCGGAGGAGCCTGATGGCTGGGATGCCTTTGCCTGCGACTGGGCGCCTTTATCTTGGATGGATAGCTTTAGGGCCATCTGCAGTTCCTCCTCTTCCTTCTGCCGATCGACATCGGTAAGCCGGCTCTTCGATGGGGCGGAAGGAGGATGTAGGTTGGGGTTCTGACTCTTGAGTCTGTGATACTGGTCTTTCATGATTCCAAGGTCGGGATCGTTGAACATCTCTGCCCATTCCTGCATCCGCTCTAGTATCTTCGCTTTGACTTGCTGATGAGTATTTCGATCATTGGCTAGTCGCAGAAGGGCGTCTGTGAAAGCTCGTGACGCAAGCTCTCGGTGCATCTTTGGACCGCAGTTTTGGCTGAGCGCATTGGCAAGCTGTGAGAGCTTTAGCACGAGGAGAGACACTAATACATATCTCGCAAATATCTGACCTCCAAAGTGTATAATTGAACGTTGGCATTTCTGTGCGCCAGTCTCTTGATCATAGTTGCCACGGCATCCTTGGACCCGCTCTCTTCGGTCGTCACCTTGTCGCAGACATCCATAATATACTCCCAGTTTTCGGAAGTAAGATTCTCGTCAGTCGCCTTGGCTGTGAGATGGAGAGGTTAGCCTTCGCCTCTTCTCCTGAACGCGTCGTCGCTCGCTGTCCAAGTCTGTCTCCTGAATCAAGCTGCAGTGGGACTTACCGACGACATCATCGAAGGCATTCTGCTGTGCGCGGAACATCTCTCCTGCTCGTTCGCAACGACCTGGACAAGAGATAACCGTGGGTTCGTTCCCCTAAGAAACTGCGAACTTTAAAGCGAACGTGGGAGTCGAAGTGAGTGAAGATCGAGGCTGTCTGTGGATGTTGGATGTTCAGGTCCTAGTGTGGAATCCCCATAAGCTTGCAATGGCGACGCTGCATGGTAACTAGCTGTACGCAGGATCCCGCCCGCACTAAGCCTATTACGAATCCACTACGTACTCCTACTGACCTTAGACGTTACGTACCACGGACACGCAGGCTTTGCCTTCGGATTGGATGCAACATAGATAGACAGATATATAGATAGATAGATACATCTACTAATTTAGATATAGTATGCGTCTCATGCATGTTATGGCTCTTTTTGCGGACAACATATGCTGTGCAGCACTTGGCACCGTCTTGTGGCCATTTTCTGTGCTTCGTACAATAGAATTAGGCATCTAGTGAGGGTCAAATATCAATCTTCAAGCAGCTCAGCTCAGGAACAATGTTCATCCGTCTTCATTCTATCAGTGTGCTGGGTATCAACAACCACCAACTAGAGACTTATATTACATATAAACATCCGCGCTCCCTTTGGCTTTAGCAGCCGCAGATTTCATTACTTAGGGGCCCGGACTTAGTTAGGGACAACCAATGCGGAACAAGGCAAGACCGCCAAACGCTATGCTTCCAATAACTACCTCCTTTCGAACACCCGAACCCAGCATAGTAAAGGCCTGGGACCTCGGTCCATCCTAATAAAGCATCGCTAAACTCCACCATATATGCATTTGAAAAAAGGATAAGTGGGACGTGTCGCACGTGTGCTGAAAACAAATGAAATAAAATCACCACATCTCATCATCCCGATCTTCTTCATGCCCATGCCGGTCCGAGTGGCCGTACTGATAGTAGTCTTTGCCCTGCCGGTTGTACTGTCCTTGATCGCCGTAGCCATTTTCCGAGTTGTGCTGCGAGGCTCGCGATTGGGGCCGATTTGAATCATCCTCCTCGTGATCATAGTCATAGATCTGGGAATCATCTACATACTCGACGCCTTCACTCGGCTGACCATGCGAGGACTCGGCGTATTGTGTAATCCCCTAGACGTGTATTAGTATATATACATATTTGTGTGCGCGTGTTCGGAGATAACGATCTCTACTTACCTGGTGGTAATCGTATCGATACTGTTCTTCGCCCTGCTGTCGCTGCTGCTGCTGTTGCTCCTCTAGCTCTTTCTGCCGGCGCTCTGCTTCCTGCTTCTTCTGAAGCGCCGACTGAGGAATTTGCATTTGCGGATGCATCTCCTGCACCTTGGCCAAATACGAATACATAAAGTTACTTAGCAGAACCTGACTATATAGAGCTCTTCGAGGATTTGCCAACTTGATGTGGGCCATACGGTAGATAGCCCTTTCTTCGAGAATGGAGAATCTGGTCCAATTGTAATCAACATCAGGCTTAAGCTGTCGATGTGGAGGGTCAGGTGACAGCGCTCGCAGCGAAGAGCCCTTCTTGCTGCCTGAATCACGGTCACCCTTCTTCTTGCCGCCGCCAAAAAACGAGGAGAATAGTCCATCTTTCTCTTTTTTGTTTTCACCGCCAGACTTCCGACTGCTCTCCTTCTTCCTCTCATCTTGAAGCTTGTTCTCAATGTTGTCACGGTCGAGCAACAAGCTTTCGCGATTTCGGGGAACGGCAGTATCCATGGTAGATTGCAAAACATCCAAGCGAGCATTGTCATGAGACTTGTCGAGAATAGCTTTAGCTTTAGCCCTTTTGCTTTCTTTATGATGGTCGTCATCCTTCTTCTTATCCTTCTTGTCCTTCTCATCGCTTCCCTTGAACCAGCCCCAACTCGTCTTTCTTGGCCCAGAACCATCTGACTCATCCTTCTCTTTCTTCGACTTTTTCTCCGGTTTCTTGTCTTCGAAAGTCGGAATGAAGGTAAGACTTTCTGTCCCGCCACCGCTTCCAGGAAGAGGGGAGGGATGCTGAGCCATGTCATTTAGGGTCTGGGAAGGTGAGGTAGCTCTGGGGATTGACTGGGGGGTTGAAGAATCCTGTCTATTGAGGTTGGGTCGTCTGCTGGATTTTGCTGGGAGCTCAGGAGAAGGCTGCTTTTGCATATGTTGGGAGGCCGTTTGTGATGAGGACCTCTCGGGGAACTGGTAAGCTTGACGAGACGACGTTGTTGATTCTGCGGGTTCCTCCGGAGGTGGGGGTGTTTCAACTATTCGAGGAACTGGTGCTCCAGCTACAGGAAACGTGTTGCTCTTTGGAAGTTGGCCTGGTTGTGGTGGCTGCATGGATATATCGTTGGAATGCAAGTCTTCCTGTGCCTCGTGTGAGCTCGCCTGGGGATCCGACAATGTCGAGCTGCCTGTGGACGCGTTCTGAAGCCGCCTTGCTCCGCGGTTTGGGCGTGAGAAGTTCTCTGCTGCTGTGGGCTCCGCTTGAACCTTCGTCAGCGGGTATCCAATGGATGGGCGACTCTCGATAGGCGATGACATCGGAGACTCTTCTGCATCCGTATCTCCTCGTAGTGACCCAGCCCTCTTAGAGAAAGGCACTCTTTCCCCTTTCCTCAAACTCCCTCTCCTGTATGTCGTTCTGGTTGACCTCCTCAACCCGACTCCCGGGGCTTGTGGCAGGATTGGCTTGTCTTCGTCCATTGTCGACGGATCCCCCCCAGCAGCATTTCCATCCCCCATGTCGAGGCTCAACTTTTGCATGGCCTTTGAAGGGTCCCGAACTAGCTCATCTAGCTCTTTTAAGTCTGCAATCTTCACATCCAGCGCCTGATTTCCGGAGAGGGATTTCTTTCTCTCTAATTGTTCAGACCCATCCTTGTATCCGATCGCCCCTCGGCCGCCATCATTATCAATCTGCCGCGATAGCATGGACTTCTTCCTCCTCAGCCCTCCGCCTGATCCACTTCGTTCAATACTTTCGGGCGACAAAGATGATTGGTCTCCAGATCGCCTTTTGATGGATTGTACTCTATTCTCCAAGAATGTCTTGAATTCCATGGGAGCAAGCTCAGGATGGACTCTGGCAGGAACCCAAAAGAGCCGCGAAGGATCATCTTCATCATCGTTGCCTGTGGGCGCGGCAGTTGGCATTAATGACACCCCTTGGAAAGAAGGCAGATCGGGATCACTTGTATTTCCAACATCCATTGACATGCGCCGTAATGCTTGTAGGTTGCTAAGCTCCTGCGCAACCGCAGCTGGATTCGATTCATAGTCTATGTCATTGAGTGGGAATTGGGCATTGGCAGCGTCTGCAGAATTATTGCGATCTCGAAGTGATAACGAGGGCGACAGCGGCGCTTTGTCAGGGGGGTTGTGTCTCTGACTCTGCAATAGAGCAGGCGATGTATGTGCCTTCTTTCCAGCGTTACCATTCATAGTCGGTCGTGCCCGGTTTTTGTTGTAGTCAACATATGAATTTCCTTCATCAACGGCCTCGTTAAGCGGGGAGGACACAAAACTGAGGGGGCGCGAGTCGGGTTTCGAGTAATCATCGTCGCCATACATGTCTCCGATTGCCTCAGTGACGTGGTGGTTGGTATCGCTGATCGAGAGTTGGGCAACATGCCCCCGTCGACTGGCGAAGCTCCCACCAATCTCGCGAGGTCTAGACGAAGTCTATAGAGAGCGCAGAACTGTTAGCAACAGCACAAATCAAGGCAGAGAGAGACAAATGTTAGCACCCAAGAGCGGAGCCTGTTGGAGGTTGTGCTCGCGTGGGCCAGCTGGGGGGCTGCTCTCTAGCTCGAGGGAGTTGAAGTCGATCGCCGGGTCGACTTGACTGGCTGAGTTCGACCGGCTCAGGAGGAATAGGGTTTGCTAATTCACTATACCAGTCTTAGGTGACTGATACAGAGGGCGACATACCTTCATCGGATCTGCTGTCCAAGGAATGTTCCCCTTGCTGGTGCGATGGAACGGGCAACCGGCGCTCAAGTCGAGGCCTGCACCGTATTCTCATCGGGGGCTGCTTGTAACGTTGTTGAAAGGCGTATGCGCGGGATAAGAATAGGGTATGATAGACAGGTTAAAAGGTCGAACAGTTACTAAATGCGGTCGTCATCGTCGCATGGCTGGGTTGGACATCATCGAATGCTGGGAGTAAGTATGTTTCGTTCAAAGGAGGCTTGGGAGGTGAAGGGAAGCGGTCGGCCACGGCCATGGCCAGACCAGGATTCCGAACTGAGATAGCGAGAAAAGCCATAAAAGCGGCAGAGCACAACACTGCAACACCACAAGCAAAACCTCAATAACATCAACCAGCACGAAACGCACAACGTTAAACTCAGATAAATCACAACTACGTTAGTGAGGCTATGGAAGTGGTTGTTACTAAAACCCTTCTACAATGCTACAAGCGAAACTCTATCAAAGGGTTCAGAAGGCTACGACTACAACAAACTTGGTCTAACGAAAGCGTATTTTGGTTTTGGCTGTGCTTGCGGGGACGGCCCGCTGCTTTTAGCTTTTAAGGTACGGGGTCAGTAGGCTGGAGGATTCCTAGCAGGCGGCAATTTTCAGCAGTACAACACTCTACTCTAACGGGGCTGCACGACTGCCAGGTCGAAAGCTGCCGGCAGAATGCGATAGAGTGTGGCTACGACCATGGCGGCGGGGGGGCTTGGAAGGGCTTAAGATCTTGCTGTCTGACAGGCACGAGAGTCGTCAGCGTGACGGTAGCTTGCAGTCTTGGGCGTGCTAAGGCTGATGGTTCGCCTTCCCCTATTTCTGGACGACAATGAAATTGAATGGCTGCTTCATCTACACACTCTATGGAGTCTAGGGAGAATCACCGCCAGCAACCGTTCTCGTGGCCAAGGAAGAACGGAGAAGTGCTCCTAATCCAACCTACCACTCAAAAGCAATCCCCTATAGGCGAGTGGCCCATGGGCGCTTAAGTGCGTGCGCATGGCCATGACATTTAGGGAATGAGTTATTATTAACGTTATTTGTTATTGCCACACCTGTTTCATCAATTATCTTATATCGCTGCTCTCTGTCAAGCTCTGTGCTCTTTAGAAGACATTGAGGCTTAGCCGGCATGAAGTATGCCAAGGCCTGTTACTGTTACATTGAGAGGATGAGAAACATGTTTTTGGAGCCAGGGGGGTGTTGTGTTTATGCGCCTCTGAACACACCATCATGCGAAACCCCTTTGTTTTCAAGGCTTACGGAATACCTCCGTATGAAATTTCAACGCATCAATAGCGGCGCCCGAATTGTCCACATTCCCGAATCTAGTGGCACGAGGCCGAGTTGGGATACTGCCGGGATGTTTTGGATTTGAAGGTACATGGGGGACTTGCTGTTCTTGAGCATACTTGTGGGAAAGCCTTGTTTAAAACCACCCGATGAAGACCTAGTGGTGAAGTATTTCTACAACTTCCATATGGGCCTCCTGTTGCTCTATGTATCCACTTGTCCCTTGCCCCTTTTTCGATTATTTTATCTGCGGGAATAGCACTCCGACTACTGTTAGAGCTATCGGTATCATGTCATGAGCTCCTGGTCATATTCGGGGCTGTTCCTCTGATCGGATATTTGTTTATCGGCTGATTATTTTCCACCCAACCTACAGCTCCACAGGGTATCGGCTTGCACATTCCACACAGACATGTATAATTCATCCCTTCCCTATAGTCGGGGAAACTGTGGCTGCATATCCCCAATTGATCCAAGGCAGTGTCTACCTCCATACTTGTTCTCGTCCTCTTATCCTCATCCTCTTTCTGGGTTGTTCCGGTGGTTCTTTAGAATTTCTTAAGATTTTTTATGCAAGCTGATATTTGACTTAGTCTTTCAATTTGGCGTTTTGGACACACAAACTTCGCCCCTACGCTGTAAAAATACAGGCAGTTAAGTGCCATTTCTAACCATAGGGGCCAGCAACGGCAGGCTTGGATCTGGCCGCACAACAATTACGGTTGGTATCCCGAGGAATTGAGTAGTCCTCGTAGGGAATAATATATAAATTAACGTTTTAGGCGGAAGAATTGGGGGTCAAAATGTCCCTCAAGTCTTATGCCAAGAAAGGTCGCTCGACCTTAGCCCATAACTAACAATGATCCACCATTCTGTTGTAGAGCCTCCCAACGTATCGTATCTGGAAAAGTATGAATTTCATATATAGCAAAGATAGCCTCTAACGGCATTTTGAATGTTAAGATTAAGGCTCGGAGATTGGGCGCTGTGGTACCTGTAGACTGGATCTATTACAAGAAGAACTCGATGGAAAGTACAATTGTTGGTGGGGGTTGGAAGTCATGATGTCATCCCGTCGAGCGACAACCAAATACTAATCTGGATCTTGAGAAACCCGTCGTATGACAGAGTATATAAATTTCTCCTTGATCCCCCCTTTAAAATTGGACGTTAATTTTCTGCTTGCATCGAAAGATACCACCCACCCCAGATTGTTTCTGAACTTTGTCTGATATAAGTTATTAGATAGCGAGCTCTGAAGTAAGTATTTAATTAGGTACCTAATACTTAAGTACGTGCTTTTGTACTGCGTAGCAAGTACAATAGCCAACTCCAAAAAGGACCGTGCCCAGCCAATACAGCTCCAGTACTGCAACCTTACCCCACTAGTTGCGAAGCCCAATGCTCAACAAATCACCCCGCAAACTCCTGGCATTCCTCTGATTGTCGCATCCAATTTGCACTCTTAAGCACGCATCACCATCTTCATGTCAGCTTGCTAACCCGGGAGAAGAAGCGCAAATAATCCTCGAGAATGGCTGAAACGACCGTATCTCCGGGGTCTCACCCCGTAACGATGCCGCTTCGCCAGGCGTCTGGGGTCAGTACAGGGAGCGATCAAGCTGTGCCAACATCTGATCCGAAAGACGTGAGTCCATCCGCCACTATGATCTAGGCTATCGATCCCATGGAGCACACATACTTATACTCGTTATTATCTTTAGACTTCGGAGCTTCTAGCAGAGCGTCTACAGGCTTGGAAACATGCCGTAGGCTATCTCGAGGACTATGTATCTGCTACGGAAAAGGTGGAGAAGGCCCATGCTAAGGAGTACGAGAAGGTGTTGAAGGTAAGTTAGGAATAGCATCACTAGGCTCCTATTCCTGACGAGACCTAGTCGATCCAAAACCCACTGAGAGAAGGGCACCATTTCGATCAGAATCTTGGAGGTGTGGCGAATCTGTTTGAGAATATGAGACAGAATACTCAGGTAGGTCTATGAACGCTCGCCGCTGTGTATATTTTCTAATTTGGAGCAGGGTTTGGCAAATACCCACCTCGAAACCGAAAAGAACCTCAAGGGCTCGGTCCTGCCCATCCTCGAGCGATTGCATAAGGAAATTAAGAACAAGGCGAAAGAGCTGGCTTCTGGTGCCGCCAAATCTGCGAAGGAGGTTGAGAAGGCGCGAAATTCCACACAGAAGCACATTGAGATGCTCGGGCAGCATACCGCAAGTTTCGAGTCCACTGGCGGGAAGATGCACGCAGAGCAGGATCCATATGTCATCCGTCGAGGTGTCCTCCACAGGCTTTCGCAGCAGGTAATGTTCGAGAACAACCACCGGCATGATGTTATCTCGGTGCAGAACAACTTCGCCCAATTCGAGGCGCATATCCTCGAAGTCATCCAGCAGGCATTGATGTCCTTTAACCAATTCGTCACCGGCCAAGCACAACGACAGCAGGAGCTTTATTCTGACATGCTTGCGTCGGCTGTCAGTATCCCTCCGGATTTTGAGTGGACTCGATTTTCCGGACGGAACAGCCATATTCTCATCGATCCTTCATCGCCAGACCGCACTGTCGAAGGAACCTCTTTCGCCAACCAAGAGCACAAGAGCACCAAAGCAGTGATTGAAGGTACTCTTGAAAGAAAGTCGCGAAATAAGCTCAGTTTCTCTGGTTACTCGACTGGATATTACGTCGTGACCCCCTCGAAATTCCTCCATGAATTCAAGGACAATGATAATCTGCGACACGACGCTACCCCGGAACTTACTATCTTTCTCCCAGACGCAACAATCGGCACTCCGAGCGGCGAGAAATTCAACGTGAAGGGCAAGGACGTCAGCAAAGGCATTGGAAGCAAGCTATCCGGGTCTTCCGAAGTCCAATTCAAGGCCCATACAGCCGCGGACGCCCAAAACTGGTTTGATGTTATCAGATCCGTGGTTGGTTCTGCGCCGTCTGGATCTTACAGTGGAAGCACCCCTACATCTCCCATCTCCCCGGTTGACACGAAGACTCCCGCTCCACTGCAAACCCAGTTGTCAGGGGTGACTACTGGGCAGACTATTGCATCTCCAGCCACCGCGACCCCTGTGAGTGCTGTTGGCAAAACTGCAACAGCTCCAGTTGGTGCCGAAAAGCCAATTGGTGAGGGGAAGGTCTAGACGATGTGCCCTATATCAATGTGGGGTTAAACTCCAAGGAGGATGCCATGATCCTCGGGCAATCGAGAGGATTTGAATAATATCTAATTGGATAATTGAATTCGAGGTCTTTAAAGCGCGGTGTAGCCGAGTCATCTGAGCAATGTCCAGTGACAGATGGTCTTTCTTGCGTTCTTTCGATCCTTAGCACGTTATGATATAATATACGAAGTACACTATTGTAGTCCAGATCTCCCAATTTCTCCAACCCAGCCTTGTGAAGATATAAAACACCGGAGCACAGGTCGACAAATCAAACCTCGAAGGAAGCAACGTGGGGCCGAGGCCCGAGGGCAGATCTGAGCGGATACCACACGCGGCAGAGATATTCTATTTCCGGGCAGCATCATCCCCATTTCGGCGTCTAGAGGGCACAGGGGGTTTTGTTGCACGTAGCACCGCACGCGCATCGGCGATCTGATCGATCGGTCGATCGCGAGAATTCGCTTGGGACATCAACTGCTCCCGTGACCAGAGATGCATCAGGTGTCACGAGATACAAGACACGAGACACGGGTCTCGAGTCACGACACCACAACATCAACATCAACTGCAACTGCAACTGCAACTATAGCTATAGCTACATTCATTAGATACCACAGCAGACATTGTCTAAAATTAAAGCTATTATATTTTTTACGTTGATATTGAGGGCTTGAATCTGAGAGAGTCCGAGAACAAGTTCCTGGCAATTTAATCGCTCCTTGGTTTGCTATCCTTTTGCTCCGGCAGACCATATAAAAGAACTGGTATAGCGATAAGATGGGATCTGATAGCTCGCTTGCGATTTGAGAGACTTCACCATTGTGTAAGTGGGGGAATTGTCAAGGTTGTACTGAAGTCCGACCATAAGCATCTCGTGTATGTATCACGGGAAGATATATCAGACACATTACTACTATTGTTATTATTGTCACCTAGAGGAGCCGGCGATGTCGGACTGCCACGCCCCCCCCTGCTATCTGCTCTCTGGGCTGGAACGAACGAGCGAGACTCGAGTGCTTTCGTATTACGCTAGGGATGACCTAATCGGCGCCACGACGCTGTGTTCGTGTCGCCTTGTGCTTGCTGTACCTGGTTAGGTAGCCTAGAGGTTAGCCTGGTACGATACGACGATAGGCGTCGCGCTACATACATACGTATGTAGGGTCTACTTCAGAGGTAGTTGGCAACTTTATATAGTACGAAGTACCTGTGCCCTGATATAATAAGGGGAGACCCACTGAGGTGTTTCTTTCGTGTTCGAAACTTACTCGTACGAAACTTTGCTGCCAAAAAAGGGCTCTCTCTCCCGCCTATTTCCGAGGGTGATTTTAGCACATGTTTCAGTGGTGCTGGTAGATAATTAAAGTGGCTTTTCACGAGATCGTCCGACCGCCTCTTATCTTATCGCGCAAATCTCGTCAAATGACGCAAGATACTGTATAAAATTCTCTAATGCCTGCAAGGTACTGTACACAGAGAGTTCGTAACACCGGCTCTACTTCGTACTCTCGGGAATGAAAAAGCTAAATTGGGTGAGAAATGGAGAGTCGTTGAGTTGTAGGGAGCCAATAGGCAGCTCTATTGCAGCCATGGCTCCTGGAGTTTGCAAGCGGCAGGCTATCGGAGATCCTTTGCGTAGCACTTGTCGCCGTTAACGTATGTACAAGTACCTATTACTCGCTATCGCTGACGAAGCCGGGATTGTGAAGCCCCAAGCCCCTTCTTGCCCTTCCATTCTTCCTTCTCGACTCTCGGCTCTCCAGAAGCGAGCGGTGAAGAGCGTGGGATCGCCGCAAACCTCATTCCACATCCCACATGGCGTCTTATTACGACGCCGCTGCCAGCAGCATATCGCCACGCCACATACGAAGTAGGGGTCTCGGGCGTGTCACTATTCTGGTCTGATTTGGCATTTCATAGGGCAGGCAATGCCGCGATCCGCCCATGGGCTCCCCCCCGGCTGCCGGTGCACATGCACTGCACACTGTCTGCGGCCGGTCCCCAGGGCTGAGCGTTGCTTTTGTTGCAGCGGGAACGTGAACGTGAACGTGCGTGAACCATTGCTCTTCAAAAGTTCCCAAATCCCAAATCCCAATCCACGGGATATTTGTTGCTGGCTGTTAGCTAGGCTTGTTAGGAGTCCTCTTCAAAGCCTATTTACGATTTGGCCAGAGCGACAGAGACACGACGGAAAACCCCCCACTCGACTTGTTTAGTGCGAAGATACCAAGTACCCACCCGCTCTGTGTTCATAGTCATCGATCGCAAGAACTCTCCCTCGCCATTCCTGCTGCTGCCCTGAATACCAAACCGGTCCTAATCCCTAGACTGGGCGGTCTAGGTCGCTGCCGGCAGCTTGTGACTCGCTCTGTGCCTGCCAGCTGAACGCGTGTAATCGACCAGAAAACAACCTAGAACCTCCAGCCTACGCCTTCTATACTACGGAAGGGTCGACCACTGCCAATTATCTGGTAGCTACCAGAGATCTCGACCTCGAGCTCGAATTCAAACCTGAGACCAACCGCCAGTTACCCATATATCAATACTCAAACATCATCTTTCCTCCCGAGCTCCCATTCAACGAGAAGGACGCCTCCCATGCTCGGTGCCCCATATATTTCAACCCTTCATACAACATAAGGATCTGAGAGGCGCTCAGAGATTCAGATGCAATGCCGGTCAGGGTATCTAGCTTGTTGGGTTTAAAGTCCCTTGGAAATGCTGCCTTGGGCAAATCAAGTGCCACTCTCTTCGAGATTCGGTACGATGCCCTACTCCCATTCTATAGCGGTTGTTAACACTTCGCAGCCTCGATAACGACATTATCATTCTGCGCGGATCAGAGGACGAAGCAGCCAGCCAGATGCTCACCGGGACGGTGGTGTTATGCCTGCCAACTGCTTTGAAAATCGAAGATGTGCATCTGCGGATGACTGGTCAATTGAAACTAGGGTGAGGTCCTATACTTTTCGGGCTATGCATTATCAAAAGCTGACAATATTGCAACTAGATGGGCGGAGCAGAAAATTACACCCAGCGGCGTACACACCGAACGTGTCGGAAGGACCACGGAAATATTCAATCACAGATGGGACCCATTCGTCGGTAGAACTGGCCATGGGTCATCTTCCCGGGGCATGACTCTACAGGCTGGAAACTATGAATGGCCGTTCTCTGTTAAGATAGACGGCTCCACTCCCGAGAGCGTCGAGGGCATGACCGATAGCCACATCATATACAAGTTGAAAGCTACCGTGGCTCGTGGAAAGTTTGCATATGATCTGCATACCTGGAAGCCCGTGCGCATTATCCGGACCTTGGATCCTGCCGCCGAGGAAATAACGGAGACCTTGACTATAGACAATGTTTGGACGCACAAAGTCGAGTATCAGATTATCGTCCCCCAGAAAGCCATTATCTTTGGAACGGCCATCCCCCTTGAAATGAAGTTCACGCCACTAGTAAAAGGCTTGAAAGTTGGAAAGGTCGAAGTCGAGCTTGTGGAACATCAAGAGATTTCCATCCGCGGCATACATGCACAGAAAGTTCGCAAAAACCAGAGGCAGATTGGTAAATGGGTCTTTGACATAGGCGATGAGCACTATCATGAAGCTCTAGATGATAGCAGCCATGATGGTTACACGTTGAAAGAGATACTACCATTACCAAAAACGCTGAGTCGGTGTTTACAGAATATGGATGTTCGAGGGATAAGAGTCAGCCACAAGGTCCATTTCCACGTCGCCTTGCATAACCCGGATGGGCACATCTCTGAGGTGAGATCTTTTATTTTACTTTGGTTGCAGATATACTGACCCATCTAGCTGCGCGCCGTTATGCCGTTGACAATTTTCATTTCACCAAACATGCCACTCAATGCTGATGGATGTCTTGTGGACCAAACGCCGCTGAGCACCGAGTCGTTCAACATAGTACAGCATGCTCCACCTCTCTATGGAGAGCATGTTCTCGACCAGCTATACGCAGATATCGATCAAACGGGTTATATGACACCTATGCCTCAGTCAGGAGTTAGAACTCCGTTCTACAGTCACTCTATGACTGGTTCATTGGAAAACCTAGCATCCATCGCTGCCACCACCGAATCAGCAGATGTCCTTCCACCTGCGGAATTGGCTTCCAGGCTGCAGGATATAAACTTACGGCCACGGAATCTCGTTCGAGGGCTTCCTGGCTCCGACTCTGAAGCGACGACTCCGGACCGCCGCCATTCCGGCCAATTTAGTGATCCCCAGAGTCGCCGGGCCAGCGCAGAAGCGGAGATCGCTGCTATTCTGCCAAACAGGGCAAGTCGTTTACCTACTCCAGAGCACATCGACTACCCGGAGCTTGGAAACTTGAACCAGGTTCCGTCGTACAACACGGCTGTGAAGGCTCCGGCGGGGCGTTCAAACCATAGTGATGGCTTGCCTGATTACGATACTGCGGTGTCAGCGCCTAACACAACACCTCCTAGTCCGACGCCGCGGATGGCTGACACCAATGTCCTTGCTGTTGGGGCTAGACACAACGAGGGCAGGCATGGCACGAACCGAAGTTCTATAACTGGCCTTGGAATGACTCCTGTCCATCAAACCCCATCCCCCGTGTCAACAGATGCCGAAGATCGGAGAAGATTGCAATTATTACAGGATAGAGGGGGACATTGAATTGTGGAGTTTGGGACGGGGTAAAATGGTACTTTCGCATTGGGTGGCGTTTAGGATAGAGGATACCCACGAACTTGTTTATACGGAAAAGACCCGTGTACGAAGCGCCCCTTGGCCTATTAGGCTATTAATTGGAGGGATCCGGTCGGAAAATACCCCACTGATTCTTAATTTTCTTCTATCACTATAGACTTTCTTTCGAGTCCTCGCAACCAATCCTTAGCGTACATAAGGTTGCATAATTTAGATAATAATATCAACAGCGAGTGACAAAACCTTTTCTCATGTTGGCTCCTACGAGATTAATGAACGGAAGAGCTCGAACAATATAGAGAAGAAGATATGGCGTAGGTTTTGGTATAACTTATGAGTGTGGTTATCCTCCCGGGTGACTTTGATAACCTGTAGAGTAAAAAGGGGTCATAATAGACGATATGTAAACCGTACTGACTTTCATAGCCCATCGTGGCAACACCTATAATCTATACATAATGTAACATATCCATAACCCATACATATCTTACACATCCTCCCCTCCAACAAGCAACACAACACTCCCAAACTGTCTCCGGACATCCTCCTTATCCACATCATGCGTGTCTTCCACCTCACCCCACATCCCAGTTTGCCAATCGACCTCTAGACTTGCCGCCCTCGCCGCATCCTCAATACCAAACTTCCCCTCCGCAGACTGCTCATTTCTTAGGTGCTTAAGCTCCGGGCTCCACTCCACTAGTAACCTCACCGCAAGCAACAAGCCCTTACCCGCCAAAACCGCTCTCTCCAACCCCGCCAGTTCAAACGCAGGAAGCGCAGTAATCCAACCCCTGACTACATCCTTGGTCATCTGCGGCTGGCTTTTTGGCACGATACTGTCTGAATCCAACACCGGCACGATTTCCACACCGGGCCACACTTTTTCCGTAAGGAACGATATGATAGGCTGGGCAGTCCTCCTCTGAATCGACCGTAAGCTTTCCGTCCGGCCGACGTGGGTTTCGTATCCCGGCGGGTCAGGTACTGCTTCTGGCGCCCAGCAGAGCAGCGAGTCCGTGTCTAGATACCGCATTACGGTATCCACGATACCTGTTCGGATGGTGCCGCCCGCCCCCCCAGTGGCTTTATCCTCGTCGACGATGTCGAGGGCCCGGGAGATGAGCGAGGTTAAGGGAATGAGATGATGGCGGAGGGCTTGTTGCGCGGAGACTAGGAGGTCCCATTCGAGTGCTAATGCGGTGGCTAGATGTGGCTTGCTGGCGGGGATAGTGAGGATTTCTTTGGAGACGCGGCGGATGGGACGGGTGTCGAGGTGGACTTGGAGACCTTCTATTTAGATGCGTTAGTTTAGATACGACAATTGTAGTTTTTTAAGGGCAGGGGATTGGGATATAGGTATTTACCGTCAACATGGTGCACATGGACATGCTTCCAGAATCTTTTCGTCTTCGCGCTTCCTCCTCCCTTTCCCGCCGCCACGGATCGCAAATCTTGCCCTCTCTTTAACAACTCTGCTTGTTTCCGCCGCCGGGCAACGCGAGCATCGGCATGGTGTGCGCTGGGAGTAGGTGGGTTTGGGGGAGGACCTGTTGCGGTGATGGGGGCTACGGTTGCGTGGGGTGCTGGAGGGGCGTGGAAGTTGCGCTGCGTGAAGATAGATGCTGTTTGATGGCGTGGACAGATCCGAAGAGCGAGCCCGCTTTCGCTGATGGGTAATTGGGATATGCGCTTCATGGTGCAGGCGGTGGTCGTCGTAGTGTGTCGTTGATACTGAGTGATGGGAACTTTTTACATAGGACGAGAGACCTTCGTCATTTGCATGAGGTGGTCGGTGCGCAGCACGAGAAATCATCCAGAGAAATCATCCAGAGTACGAACGGCTCCTTTGAACTCCGGGTGGTTTTTCTTGCTAATATCTCCCTTGCGGTCTCGTGTTGTGCATTTACCTTATAAACCTACAATTAAAATTCCTCACTGGTTAATGGTAGAATCGAGGTATACCTCTTATAAATAGTTTCCGGACCCTTGACCCCACGAAATACAACACCACCACCAGTACCTTGGGTGCAATGATTGGTCTCTTTCCGGGGTCAACCATGTTATCCCAAACTTCACCCCCTCCTCTTTATCTAAGATACCTATCCTTTGCTAGCTGTATCGTTGACTTTGCCATCCTCCCTCTACTGGGTTGGGTTTCAACCCGGGGGGGGGGGGGACATTACGCGTGGGGATGAGAGCTGATCTCGGACTGGCTCTATTAATAACGTCAACAAGGGAAAAGAAAGGCAGTTCTTGGCCATTTGGGGCATCATAACTTTTGTAGAACAGGCTTTGCATCTCTAGTTGCGATAATAGCATCTCGAGCCTTTTAGTCCTGTTAAAAATGGAGTTTGTGCCCGAAGTCTTCTACGGGTGGACAAAATATTATTTGTACGCTTTTTCAGTAGCGGCAAATATTCAGTTTACAATTTTTCAAGCTACCGAATTCTATTTGCTCTCAATTTATGCCCCAGTAGGAGATAAGAGACTAGAGAGTGATTCTCTAGACATGCGAATACCTTACCTCCACTAAATTATGTCCTAAGAGCAGTATACCACCCCTTATACTTAGCAATCAGTGCTCAAGAACTAGCTCAACGTTAGTTAAAACATACCGTACTAGAAATCTATCTTACATTTAAATTACGTTATATTTGAAAGAGTACACAAAAGGACAAGACAAGCAGTACTTTTCCGTCTCGGGTGCACTTGTAGGGTGTATTATATCCAGTCGAGACGATATCGCAAATCGATGAGGGAGCCAACCTGAAGCCCAAGTCCTATACCAAGCCCATGGAGTCATACACAATCCGTAGTATCTTCAAAATTCAACCTCAACGCAGCTCTGCACGCACATCGAAGACGGGAAAGATACATTACAGAATGGATATATAGAGAAAAAATGTCTCGCCTAGAACGCTATACTCCTTAGTATTACTGTGTATATCTAAGCATGTTGTATACAGTACATAGAACGAAATGAAGATAAGCTAGCGGGCAGCGCTATATGTTTCATGAGGTGAAGTTAACTCCGCGCTTCTGCCAGTCATGAGCAGCCACGCAAAGGTCGAGGTCCATGAAGACTGTAGTATCGGGGCATCCCTTCTCAACGTGTTAGCAATCCCTCTGTGGCCAACGGAGCTTGCGCAGACGCACCTTAGTAGCCTCTTGGTCAAATAATTGATATGCCGCGTGACAAGTTACATCTGCAGGGCACAGGATGGGTTTGCAAGTGCCGGAACCGGCGCCGGGACCGGTAGGAACTGCTCTGACATTGGAAGACCTGAATGGAGCCCCCACGACGCCGCCACTGATCCCGTCGAGGTCGCTCAGGTCAAAGTAAAAATTGTCCGACACGGCATATTCGAACTGCAAAATACCGCTGATGAAATCGAAATCTAGCGATATTTTGATGCTGATACCTGTCCCATCAGCGATGGTGTTGATGGAAGCTTGGCCTCCAGGTGCGATAGTCAATGGATCACCGTCGCAGTCGCCGGTGTCAGGGTTCGCGTCACAGCCACCATTATGTGACTCTCGGATGTAGACTTTGTTGCCGCAACTGTGTATGTTATTGGATTATGTTGGTAATAAGGTATATTTGTAAACCTACTAGTTTTGAATGTCAATAGCAGCAAAGGCTAGTGATACTAAAGCAAGCAAAACACCAAAGGCACACAAGGTGCGCATTTTGAATTCTAGCGATCTAGGTGCTTGAGGTTGGCTTTGCAGGAGCTTCAGGCTCGATAGCTATTGTGGATTATGAATAGTAACGAATAGAGAGAAAAGTACGAGATAGACAAGAAGACCTCAATCAGAACATTATAGCGCAGATATTAGAAGATCAAAACGTGGGAAAAGAGAGAAATCGGGCCAGAGCAACGACGTAACCACCCATATATATAGCCAGACATTTCGTAGGAAGGTTCCACGTCCGAGGCCTCCGAGTCCCTTAATCCGAGCCTACTTGTGTCTAGTTGGGTGTTTGGAAGTCTGCCCAGCCTAGATGCGCCGCTACTCAGCGACCATAATGGCCTCGATCTCACCTGATGATGATGATAGAAGCGGTTCCGACACAGTTCAAGCTTTTTAAATCCCGGAATTTGCGGCTAAGTGTGGAGATATACCACGAAATATCGGGGGAAATAGAGTCTGCGAAGTTAAAAATGGCCTTCATTGCGCGAAATAATGCTTGACCTAAGGATAGAAACCCGTTCCTGTGGATGCATTCCTCGAGCGCTGACCCCGATAAGCCTTGGCAGGAGATACATCTTGGCAGGAGACAAAGAGAGGGCTTGGCAGGAGAGCCGAGTTTATGTGAAGCTCACGTGAGTTAAGCGATGCTTCCCCCTATTTTGCGAGTTGATTCGTAGAGCCGCTCCTAGCGTTGGGGTTTGTCTGATGATGCTGGATGATGCTAGATGATGCTGATCCGAAACAAACAGAAACCAACCGAAGCGAAAGTTACATGCAATAGTAGGGAATCCACACACTCACCATATGACCAGCACCTAGGTTCTTTTTCGGCAGCTCTCCTCAGGTCGGCCCAGGTGTGTCCACCATCTCGGAGTCCTACATATCAAACCCTCCGCCCCTCTGAGTCGAGCACATGGGCACAGAGATATAGGGTGGCCTCAGTTTGAACTTTCCATTGGTAGAAAACACCCTCCAGTTTGGTAGCTAGACCCTTCTCTTTGGAAAACTTCTCTGGATCCCCTAGTGCTTTCCGCTTTTGCTTCCGCTGGGTTTCTTCAGCAACTGCTGATGCTGATGCTGGTGTTGAATTTGAGACCTCAAGTAAGAACTCAGCAAGTGGGTCTTCGTGAATGATCCGGTTGGTAAATCCGTTCTCATGTGTTAGGTTCTGGACTCGGACCTTGTTCTCCAAGTTGTCCACAGCACTGTTGGCCAGTTCCTTGGTGATGCCGAGAGCTGCGTCCATTGACTTTAAGCTTCCTGAGCCTCCGTCGGCATTTAGTCGAAGAACTAGTCTTGTTACTGTCAAGTTCCTAAGAGATGTTAATGTAAAATCTATTGTTAACCTAGAATCTGCTGTCAAGTTATTCTTTGACATATCCCATTACCTTTTAAACTATCTACAGAAAATGTGATATAGTAAAACATCAAATAATTCCGGGATTTGGCCGCCGGATCGCCGCCAAACATATTTGCTGGGACAGTAAATTGTCGTTACTAATAGAGCAGCAGAGCGAATTAAGCCGAACTAACGACACAATCAGCTCCGGAACAGACCGCATCACTAACGGCCACCCAGGAGGAGTTGCGGTTTCCAGCAGTATTATCGCCCTCTGTATCCTTCAATACCAGCGACGGTGTTGTCAAAATGACATTGCGGACAAGAGAAGTTGACAGTTACGTATGGCAGATATGCAAGGATAATATACCAACGCATAATGGGCAGCACATTTGCTGTTAAATCGTTCACCGAGCCGTTCTCGAATCCGGACGCTTCCAGTACACCTTGCAGGACACCATTATTGAAACAAGCGTTCGGGGGCATGGCTGCCATCGCAGCATATTTGTTAATCTGTCTCCTGGATTCCCTTATATCTTTCGGTGCCTTTCCGGGATTGTCGCGATTGCACTCGTAGAGTGTTAGAGAACACCCAGGCTTTTGAGACACAGGAGACAATTCGCTGCAGGCGAGATCTGGATCCGTCACAGAACGAAGATCTCCACTGTACTCCGCGCTGTCAAGGGCATCGTCCCCGAAGCCAACAAGGTGATGATTGTCCATTCTCCGGACCATAAACGGTGCCCTCGCAGAGGGCCTTGACGTTCCCCTAGACCTTTGCGATCTAACCCAAAGCCAAGGATCCCTTCTCCAATCGTAAAGTGCTATGTAAATGGTCTTCCGTGGCGCGTAACGCTCCGCTTGTTGGACAGGGCCATAATGTGTCTTTCTCGTAGTACGCATAGCGTCGGGTTTCTCCAAAGTCAATCTGATATTCTGGTCGGGAGTCGCAGGCCCAGTGGTAGTCCTGCATCGAGCGGTTCGGGTCGATGAGTTGCTCACTGAAGTCATCCTGGGCTGAGAAAGTCGTGGGAGAGTCTGAGGGGACTAGCTGGTTGTGAAGTCTCAATGGGATGCTCTCGGTTACGAATAAGCGAAACACCCGGTACAAGAATCGAGACGACGGGGTGCCCCTAGTGTTTCTACAGACTTGGTTGGGGTTTACTCGTATAGGCGGCCCGACCCGGATCTACAAGGCTCCAGCGCGCCGTCCCCGGCGATAGCAGACTACACCTCGAACAAGACGATTAGTCCTCCAACGCCTTCTATACCCATTCCAACCTCTAATTCATTCGCCGAGTCCATTTAGTAGCCATAGTTGGTTTGCGGGGCTTTTCAGCCCCTGAACAAGATAGCCAGTCCCATCTCGACTCCCTCCTCTCGAATCTGTAGGGAATCGCCGTGGTCTTTGCACTGGTCAAATTGGATCAATATCCTTCGATGTATGGGAATAGAATTTGATATACAGATCAGCCCTGTCAACTGATTTGAAAATACACACTCCCTCGAAATTCTAGGGTGCCCCAGGTAGTTGTTACTTTGTCACGACCGTTGCTAATTGTGGGATATTTATCTTCTGGATGGAAGAACGACTTTCCTACACACGTCAAGCAGATATTAGGGAGGGAAGAATCTACGACAATATGCTCAGCGTGACTGCTTGCAGCTCTGTCGTAGACTTTACTTTTGTCTCGTGGCTTACCCTACAAAAGATATTTGAAAGTGGAATAAGACTTAAGTGATGTCGAAAATTTCGTTGCCGTCAGATCACAAAAGATAAACAAAGCCCAAGTGTGCTAGAGTTGGCCCCACACTTTTGAGCAGATCCGATTCCTTAAAATTGCAGCTCGAATCATAACCGAGCCTTAAAAGAAGCCGCTCCTACATTTGTTAAAAAGATTATATCAAAAATGAAAAGAGCAAAAATCCAGAGAGCGCCCGAAGGCGCCCGCCCTAGATAAAACCAGACGAACTGAGTTTTCTTTTTTTTGGCTGAGCCATTTTTGAGGTTTCTCAAGGTAAGACATTAACTTTCTCCAACATCGCACACACAATTTGATCCGAACCACTTCGCCAAGTGGCTAGCCCTTGTGCCGATTAAAAGCTTTTTGCTTATTTGGATTTATAAAGGGTAGGTAGCGAGGGGCCGGGCGGTGAAAGGAGGCAGTGAGCGAAGGCGGTGGCTATTGCCATGAGTCGGGTATCACTAACCTCCACAGGTACAACAATGGTTGCACCTAATGTCGAAGCTACTTGAAAGCTCAAGCGCATTGTCAAATAGTAGACAAAGAGCTCAGTAAAGGATATAGTAACCACCACGCAGTCATTCTATAATATCTGAGAGCCAATTGGCTCGACTCTGGCATGGTCTAATCGGATCTTGATCACTCAGGGCAGTGTCCCATTCGGGACAGTGCGAAAAATTCAGAAGTATCGACACGCTCAAACTCGGAATCATCTAAACCTCTAAACCAGAGGTAGATTGCTATTATTTATTTTCAACTAACAATGAATCATCTGTGGCGCCATCTATTATATCTTTGGGTAATGTACGCTTGGAGGTCTTGCAGAAGTACGGAGGCGCTGTTTGGACTTGAAATATCCACCGTCATTCATAGGGTCACCTTCCTGAGAATAAATTTTGGCAGAGGCGTATTCTTTCTATCTGATTTTGCTAGACCATTGGTGGAGCTCTTCCCGGAATCAAGATTTAAAGTTACCCTCTTGATGCCTCCCACCAACCATCCAAATCCTCAAATGAAGTTTCCCCTCAATTTGCGAGATTCCTACGCGCTCGCTGCTAAACATCTCTCTTTTTAGTTATGCCGCATCTTGTGACTCCATGTACACCACCCCAGTTCCTGCCCATCGTGTAATTCCTGGCTCTCGAAAACAAACAATCCAAGTCCTAGCCTTCATTCGTCGAGCCTTGTGTTCCAGGGTGTCTGTCGAAGGGAGACTCGCGGGCGATATGTGAATTTAGTCGGTTTTGCGATTCTTGCCGTCGGGGCGAGAAGCTGCCTCCGCCTTTGCTGCTGGTTGTTGCACTCTTGGAATTGCGCCGATGCCACATCTCCGCATCCACATAAGCCGTGCTACCAAGCGCTGGAAGAGGGTGATGGTGACCCCTTGGGCTTCAGTGAGGCGACGGTGATGCGCTGCCACTCCGTCTGCCTTTTTACTACAATCGTTGAACGTACAGTTCAGTTCATGCATCCTTCGCACCAGAGCTTCTTTCTGCTCGCAACGAGCCGGAGTCTCAAGACTATCGTAAAGGAACTTCAGATTTTTAACCTCTTGGACACAATTGTCCATCGTAGCAACCAGCTCGTGAAGCTCCTCCTCTAGTTCCTCTTTGTGGACGCGCCGAACTTCAATCACCAGGTCGTCTCTGCGTTGTTCGGCCTTCTTCAACTCAGCGACCAACAAGTTAATTTCTGCTGCTGCAGCATGGTACTGGGTTTGCAAGATCTCGAGCCGATCCGGTGCTACGGTACTCTGCTGAGCTGGTTCCAAACTCAAGATGACCTGTTGACTATTTGGAAGATTTGAGATTGTAGGTTTTCGAAGGATGGGAGCGGCTTGTGATGGTGGGAGCTCTGGATTCGCGGAGATAGAGTTCAAATCCATTGCGTTGTTGTTCGACGTGGTTGTGGATTGATGGCGTGAATTGCAAGTTCAAAAGTGGAACAACAGAGCGATATATATACTTAGAGACTTGCCATGCCAGTGATTCCGTTAATTGGCGGTGTGAGTTACAAGATCGAAAATGAGTAGGAACAGTTTAAGAAAACTTCTGCCGTTTAATAAAGCGGTAATGGTTTTGCCATAGTTGCCCTTGAGGTTAAAAGTCATAACAGTCAAATACAAAAGCAAGTAGAAAAGCATCATATTGCAAAACGGGTAGTAGTAGCCCTTCCAAGCTTATATCAGCCACCGGTGGCCACAATTCGGCTTTTGTTGAACCAACATGCTCAGGAGCAATCGCGGCCGAATCCAGCGGGCTTGTCGCTGGGTTATGCAACAACTGTCCCAACCTCAGCATCTACAAAGCGGGCGCAAGTGGGCTGGTTTTGTTATCTATCTAACTACAAAAGCCTCCCGCCTTATAATCCACTACGGAGGATGGTTAATATGCCCTCTCAAAATAGGTGTCTGAGCCTTTCCTTCCGCTCTAGAACCGTCATGGGTTGGCCATCTTCAATTTCTTTTGTCTTGACTGTTGAGTAGAACTTGACAAACCGTTCACCAAATCCATATTCCGCATTCCGAAGTAACTTGTCATCTTTCAGGGCGTCGACCAACACTCCAAGCGAGTCGGAGATATTGTGCTTGATGCCAAAGTTCTTTCTCTCATCATCTGTCAAAGTCTCCATGTCCATGCTCAGTCCATTTATAGGTTTCAGGGTCAACTCTTTCTTAGTCTCCACCCCCGTCATGCCAGACGCGATTATAGCGGCAAAGGTAAGATAGGGGTTCATGGTCCCATCCGGACACCTGATCTCCCAAAACCCCTCGCGGCGCTCATTGACCAAGCACCCTTTGTTTAGTCTGCCCCATTGGACCCATCGATTAGCGCGCGAGCCGCTTTCGATGCTGGGCATTGCGAAGGCGGAAATGGCGACCAGGGAGTCAAGCACTCCGGCAAGGAAGTGATGTGCATTGCCGTTGGATGGATCTGAAATGGATACGTTCGTATGTGCCCCTATTCTAGGTGGTCCCTTCTCGAAAGGCATCGGCATTAGAGTAGCCTCGAGTCCATGCTTCTTAGCGACAGTCTTGATGGTCTCGCGGCAAAATATCATTGCGTCTGCAGCTTCCATTGGCGGGTAAGGTGCGAGGACGATCTCAAAGACTCCATCGGTCGAGCCCTCGGGGTGGTACTTCAAAACCTTAATCCCAGCATTGCCAATGTCGAGAACTATTTCGTCCATTACTGGAGCGTATTTGCCATGAAGTGAGCTGGTGTTATAGGAACACGCGTACGTCCGTGAACGAGTAAAGTCCATTCCGCTTTCATAGAGGAGCAGTTCAAGTTCCAATCCTATCAGGATGTTTTGCCCAGACTTGGCTGCTCTTGCCACCTGTTTGAATAAAATGGTTTTTGGGCACAGGTCGAACCCATCGTAAGTAGCCATACTTACATCGCCACCGCTATCGCTGTCCTTGATTTCGGGCTCAAGAGGTTCCCGTACGGCACACATGACCATCGCATGTGCCGGGTAGAAAGTGCAAATCCTCAACGAGTCCCAGTCCGGGATTATATCGTCAAATCCGAGGCTTAGATTATCCCAGATAAGGGTATCCATGGCCGTCGAAGCGGCGGAGAACGAAGTGCCTGACGAGGCAAAGAAGCCCCGATCCGCAATGTCGAGGGCCGACTCCTTTGGCATAACCGACACTCGAATGGCAGACGCAAGGTTCATAGAGCAGAAGCGGACGAATGAGACGGTCGGGTTGGAGACGAAGAATTTGGATAGTGTAGCCCTGCTCCCAGTGCTTTTCGTCTTTGTTTGGTCCATTGTGAGGCGCTGACGGTTGGTGAAAGCGACTGCTGTGATGCCAGTCTTTGTCAGATGCCCTAGTAGACGGAGAAATATGTGAGGAGATTTATGTCCCCTAATATACTAGAGTTTTCGTAGACCCCAAAGCAGCTCCGGATGGCAATTGATGAAATTATACAAATATAAAATATATTTGGCGGAGGGGAGTGGAGGTGTCATATACTAATGATAGGTACCTAGGTAGGTAGGTACCTACCTCCGTTGCTTACCTCACCAACCTGCGGTACCTGTACGTAGTTTAGCCGGTTGACAGACAGGGGATAACTTCGTTGATCACCGCAAAAATCTAGGTGAGCTACGCCTTGTAGGTCGTAGGCTACGCCCTTCTCGTGCACATCTAGTCGTGTACTCCGTATGAAGTAGTATGGGTTGACGTTGCTCCCCCCCTGGAGTACTACGTACGTCCCTTATTTAGGGAGGTAGGCAACCTAGGTACCTACGTACCTTAGGCAGCAACTCTTGTATGATACACCTTTCTACAGTAGAAGGCGAATTGAGTGTCGCTAATTTTATAGATAACTTTTTTAAAGCAGCTGCGGGGTAAGCCTGTGGCTTAGGTGGCTTGTACATAGAGGTACTACTACTAACTTTAAAAAAAGGGTAGAAATTGGCGGACCTCACATTTCTTCTTCAATCTACTTTTCCACCCGCCAGAGTCAGCGTGTCATCCATAATTATGGCGCCGCTACTAGATGCTGCAACGCATATTTTGATCGAAACTTTACTAACATAAGGGTTTGAGAACAAGCTCATAGCTTCAAAAGCCAAGTGCTCCAAACGCGCCGTCCAAAGAATCCGTCGAAAGAGACAGCAGCCCGAAATGCCCACCCCAACTACAAAGCGCGGCCGTCGTAGCTGCATTACATCCCCTATGAAAAAAACCTTCTTTGATACACTAACTGAACAGCCCTACCTATATCGATGCGAGATGGCAGACCTCCTCTATCGTCGATATCGTAGAAAAATCTCGGAACGTTCGATCGGTCGGATTTTACGATCAACTGGGTGGACAAGAACTACGATTCATCGAATCGCTCAACAACGAGATACCGACCTTCGAGATCATTATCTACATAGGATATCGCAGTATAAGTTTTACCAACTTGTCTTTGTCGATGAGTCGGGCTGCGATAGAAGGGCTGGGTATAGGCGCTGGGGATGGTCTCCAAAGGGTTCTTCCCCAGTCCAGATTACAAAGTTCGGTCGCGGAAAACGATGGTACATTCTCCCAGTATACGCGCAAGATGGTATCATACTACGGAGGGTATACCAAGGATCAACAGACAGTGATTGTTTTGAGGATTTCATCGCCTAATTGCTACATCACTGTAGCAGATACTCAGAGCCAAAATCTGTAATTGTTATGGACAACGCTTCCTGGCACTATTCAGAAAAAGTTATACAAATGTGCCGGGACGCGGGAGTAATATTGGAGTTCCTATCACTATACTCGCCTGATTTCAACTCTATTGAGGAGTATTTTGGAGTACTCAAGAAATTCATTAAGAAAAAGTAGCACGAAAATGAGGATTTCATTTCAAGGGAGTTCAAAATGTTTCTAGAGTAGTACGTTGATATAGTAGGTCGCGATATACACATTGCAGAGAATCACTTTCGTCACGCAGGAATATCCATTACACAGCTTCCCAAATTAATCTAATAGAAATAAACAAATAGAGCCTAGAAATGTTCTCGTGTTTTAAATCTCCTTTTCTTCCTGCAAGAATTTTTTGATGTTGCTCATAAATTGCAGCGTAATACTTAGCAGTACTTTATTTTTTACTATTAGTTCCGCGACAACTTTTGGGTGTTGTAGGATAGTGTTCAGTTCTAGGAATTGATCTATTGCAACCTGATTTGCAATCTGCAGCGCATTTCTCCATCTATCGCTCTCGACTTGTGTTAGGCCCCAGTTACAATACTCCTCAAGTTTCGCTTGTCTATCCCCTTCTACGTCCCCAAGATCTTCACTAGGTAGAGTCGCTGAAGTATGGACTTTACAATGACGACAGTCAGCAGAGACATCTTCAGCCTTCCGCTTGCAGCTGTTATCCAATATATGTTTGAGAATGTGGGGTGGGATCTCAATGTCAACTTCGACATCCTCCTCTGTCTCCCTTTCCTTCATGTTGGCTCTGATGTGGCAGACAATTTCTTCCAGCTGGGCTGGTAGTAGTTTACGGTGGTTTCCTCGTTCGTCCAGCAAGCAGTGGGGTCCTTGTTTATAGTGTTTGGCTCTGTAGCGATGAAGCTCGTAGAGTCGGCTCCAGAGACTAGCATCGGCGGCTCTCTGAAGCTTTTGAGCCTCCGTAGCGCTCTTCTTCTTCTTCTTGCCCTTTGGCGTTGTAGAATTGCTAGTAATTTCTTTATAGACAAACTCTATGCTGAAGGTTATCTTCCTCCCTTTGCTAAACAAGTCACCAAGACCTTCTAGGTGCTCATCAACTATCTGCCAATTGATCTCCAGCTTCTTAAATCGTTTCGATAGGCTGCGCTGACGGCTCCGCTCGACGGATATCTCGATGATCGTTTCTTCGCACGTATAAGTATCTCCGGGAAACTTGTCCTCGTCTTGTAGAAGACTTTCAAGTCGTGCCTGGAAGTCAACTTTCCAAAAATCGCCCGGAGCTAGGACGAGATCGGGATCTGTGTCTGAACAAACATGCCTGGCTCTGATGTTTTCACGCTGGGAGATCTTCCACCGAAAGTCATAGTGGATATATACAGGGTTATTCTTGTCATATTGCTTGTCCACATTCCAACTACTAAGTCGGAGAAGCGGTAAGACATGATCGCCACGTGGTTCGTCGACTCGTTCGGCGGCTTGGCTGGCTGGTTGGGCTACTGGGCTGGCTTGTTCGGCAGCTGTGCCAGCTCTGGGGCGGTTAGAAGTCAAAAACTCTGGGGTTCCATAATCCGAGGCCCAATTGCCGTCCAGCCAGTCGTTTTCCATGTTAGCATGCCTTGTGAGTCGACAAAGGTTGAGGCAGAAAAAGGGAAAGATCGATGCCAGATTGATATCTCGCGTGTTCACGCAGAGGACAAGTGGTCAATTCCTCGGAGTTTCTACGGGTTTCTATGAGGTTCTACTGTACAGTCCTAAATTTGTGACATGACCAAAACCACAGAATATCATCTCAAACATCTGAATCGGAATGCCAATGAGAGCAGATGTACAGGACAATTGACGCGCCGTTGATCGAGTGGGGGATGGCCAATTATTTGATCCTGACTCCGCCAACGCAACGCCATCCACCGCCACCATATGCGCCCGAGTGCATGATACAAAAGCCAAGAATGGGGCTGGTTAAACCTGGCACCATCCCATCAACCACCACCAGACTCTACTACAGTACGATGGTGTCAAGCCTGGCAGTCTCGAAACCTGAGCTGATCCAGAACATGATCGAAAGTAAGTTGCAAGGTGACCAAGAACCCCACTAATGACCAGACAGCCAATATCGTATCCGACGCTGAGTCTGCTGGGGCTCTTCCTTCACCACGAATGTCATCATCCTGTAGTCCTCAATCGAGCAGGTTGTGTGTCGAACAAGAACCTAGAGCACGAGAGCTTGGATATTCCTTGCGTGATAGTCCATGGCTAATCGCACAATGCCGCCGTTACGAAAGGGGGTGCCTTTTAAGAGGAAGGACATCGCGAAAGCCTTCTTTGATCTCGATATCTCCGATAGTGAACCCTCAACCGTAAGCCAAACACCCAAGCCGCGCGATCACAATCGTCTAATTGCTTCCAAGCCTCCTCTTGACAAAGCCAAAGGAAGCAACAAAGTCGCCCTCTTGACCTTACCCGTCGAAATCCGACTTCGAATTTACGACCTACTTGTCGTAAGCCGATTTGACCGGACAGAAAACCCTTCGTGGGCAGTCGGACACACAGATCAAAAGTTGGTCCTACTCGATATGGGTCAATTTCGACAATATAGAACGATGGAACCAGGAATACTACAGACGTGCAAGCAGATATACCACGAAGCGAATTCGATACTCTACTCGCAGAACGTATTTGCGATCAGCGAACCCAAACAGGTGTTTCGATTCATTGAGCAGATTGGTCTTGCGAACCTCAAGCTGGTAAAGACACTAGATATCTGGGTGCCATGGATGGCTGAACTCTCTCCATGGCTACAACTTCTCAATATATTAGCTGAAGAAGCAAGCGGACTACGATGCATTGAGCTAGGATGGAGTGCGGATTGTGAATTTACCTGGAAACTTCGACGAGGGGCTAGGGAGAGGGGCTTAGGTGATAACCTGGAGTTTGTGCGTGTCTTAGGAAAGATCCGAGGGCTGGAAAAGCTAGTCATTTCGGGGTTCTATGCAAAAAATTGGCTGGCATACTTGGAGGAGAGAATGGGTATTCGGGTGCGAGCTATATGCGGCCACCGTCGTGAAGAGCGTGAGTTGAAAGAGGGGGATCTGAACGATAAGGAATTGGAGTTTGAGAAGTTAATACGTGAGATGAATGAGAAGGAGTTGCAGACATTCATGGAATATCAGCAGGAAACAGAAGATTTGTTTCCATGAAGAATATAACATCGAGCTATTGCAAAGCTTAGAGCATTTACTGTCATGAATTTACATTACGATTCCGCGGCGTTATGGTGATACTGTAGCTGCAGCTGTAATCACTTGTGAAAATGATCTGCAAAAGTCATCAGCTTGTGTCCAGGGAAGAATTGGCTCCGCTTTACGATGACAAGTTAACGGGTAGCAGCGGTACTTTAGAGTACAACCGGGCAGGGGTGCACAGCCACAAATGTCAGGAAGTGGAGTTTGTTTAAAAAAGTTATCTATAAAATTAGCGACACCTAATTCGTCTTTTACTGTAGCATAGTCGTGTACAGAGTAATGTTATAGACACCTGGCTCAGGTCCGCTTTCTTGGTATTCCCCGAGCCGAGCCGCAATCGCACTACATCATCGCTGCTGGGCAAGAAGCAGGAACCGTCATGGTAGATTTTGCAGATGCATCAATGCTATCAATTCCACCATTCCGTGAATATCTTCACCCATTCGGCTGTCTACCCGGCACAATGACCTAGGTTGCTGGTTAGAGGTTGTATGGGATCTTTTTAAACGCAGCAACATCGGCCATTATCCTCCTTCCTGCTTCCGTCACGGTTGTAGACCACAGCCGCACCTTCAAGCAAACAAATTAAGGCTCTGTAGCCTGGCTGTTGAGCTGGGCGTAACAGCAGCATTTTCCGGTCGAATCCAATTCTTCGGCGATGACTTCGAGGGATCGCACTGTGCCGGCTGGACTAGACCGACGAAAATCCTCAACTCTGCATTACCAGACGTTCCCTACGACTCCTCCGACGTCCCGCGGGCCCCCGCCAGCATCGCCCAGTGGCTCGTCGGGTCGAGAAGATAATCCTGCGCGCCATCCGTCTCATACCAACGATGTAGATGACGAATATCAGAGGTCCCCTCTTCCGACGAGGCAACTGGCTATACTGGCTGTCATAGCCCTCGCAGAGCAAACCGCCCTCAATTCCATATGGCCCTACCTCCCAACCATGGTTTCAACTTTCCCCGAGGTCGATAAAAGTAGTGTAGGAGTATATGTGGGCACAATAGCGTCATCCTTCGCTTTGGCGCAGTTTGCAACGAACTTTTTCTGGGGTTGGCTCTCTGATCGCATTGGGCGGAAACCTGTTGTTATGCTAGGGACAGTTCTCACAGCAGCATGCTTTGTTGCGTTTGGGTTTTGCAAGACGTTGTGGCAGGCAATATTAGTTCAAGCGGCTATGGGGCTAGTCAATGGGAATCAAGGGGTCGTGAGCACCTGTCTAGGCGAGATTACAGACAGGAGCAACCAAAGCAAGGCCTTTGTGTACCTGCCTGTGATCTATGGCATCGGGGGCATTACAGGTCCAGCTCTTGGTGGACTCTTGGTCATGCGCAACAAATCCTACCCTTTCTTGCTCCCAAATATAGTCTCTGCCGGAATTCTCCTTGTAGACCTGGTTATCACCGGTATATTCCTCGAAGAGAGTCTGCAGCAGGCAAAAGAGCTGCCACCTCTCCAGGAACGAATTCAGAGTTTGTTTAGCTGGGCTTGGCAGTTTCTTGGTAGTGCTCGGCGTCCGAGCTATCTTCGCTCCTACTACCCTCCTCGCTTCCGTAACGAGGATCTCGATGACTCCGAGACAGACAATGAGAGCGAGAGCCAGTCGTTGCTCTCAATGCCAGACCTATTCCCCCACAACGGCAATCACCTCACAGGAAAGGAAATCCTTAACCGGAACACTATGCTTCTCTTGGGCACTTACTTAATCTTCCAACTCTCCAACATCTCGTTCAACAGCCTCTATCCTATCTTCGCAAATTCGCAGCCTCCTACCGGCCGCGCACTTGACGCCAGTGAAATTGGATTGTCGCTTTCCTTTGCGGGAATCATTACCATCGTCTTCCAGGTTGCTATTTTTGGCAGATTAAAGGAGAAGATGGGCAACAAAAGAACGTATAGGGCGGGGCTATTTTTAATCTTCTTATCTATGATGATGATGCCCTGGATCGGGTATCGGGACTCTCCAGCTCCATTTGGCTGGGGATCTGGGGGAGTATGGCTATGGATTGAGCTGGGTTTCGTGCTACTCGTGAAAACAGTTGCGTCCGTGGGAGGGTTAACAAGTGCATTGTTGCTAGTAGGTCATCTTTATATTTCTATCTCATGATGTGTGGATTAAGTTTGGAAGCTAACGGTTCTATACAGATTACAAACTCAGCACCCAATCATTCTGTCCTCGGAACGCTTAATGGTCTTGCCCAAACTCTTTCGGCCGCTGGAAGAGCGGTAGGTCCATTTCTTTCAGGCGGTCTTTTCACCCTCTCTACACGTGTTCAACCAAAAGGTGAAGCACTAGCATGGGGTGTATTTGGCGGGATCGCATTTTTAGGGTGGATAGCAAGCTTTGGGATAAAGGGGGAGAGATTAGAGGATACAGAGTTCGATGATGGGAATAGGAGTTCGGATGATGAGGAAGATGCTTCTAGTGAGGATAGCCAATAACACAAGAATATAGGATCACAGGCGTGAAAGCACTTGATGGGAAGATGAGCCTCTAGCGTGGATATTGGGAGTTACCTAGGAAACATAAGGAAACCGGGGAATCGGGGCATGGATTTGGCGGAGTTTGGTCCCGGCGGGATAAAGAGACAAGATCTTATATTTTATATCATCTCGTATATGTCTACAATACCCTTGATGAAGCACACGATACACAATACACGAAAATAAAACATTACAAACTTAGAATACTACGATGTGTGACGTGAACCCCAGGTGACTGTATGCATAGGTAGGTAGACAATATTTCTTGCAGCTAATAGAGTAACGTCTTAATGCAAGAATGACTTACAAACCCATAGCTCACCTGACTCTAATTACTCGGGCTAGATTGCTGTGCGCAATATAAAATCCCCGACATTTCATCTAAGATATCCAGCATTTCCTGGCGTCGAGGGCTTTTAAATCTATTATTTGGAATGATCGCGACCAATTGATTGTTGAAGGGAAAACGGAACCTAGCGCCTGCAAGGGATTCTGTCAATATATATATTTGGGATTGAGATGCAGTGTAATCGTACTTCGTATTCCTTTTAACTTAAAGGGAATTCCTCAAAGAAGAAGGAAGCAAAGAGATGGAAGGTCGTAGGAAGTAGGATGTAGGAATTAGGAAGTTGGACGTAGGAAGCCAGACCACGAGGTGGGTGATTTTGACAAGCTGACGTCAGCATGCACCAGTGAAACTTGCTTGGTGCCTTAGGTAACAACGTTGTACGACACAACCAGTTACACCATCGAAAGAACCTGCTGTTGGTACTCCAGACGTCAATCCAGACCCAGGCAACATCAGCAGCATCATCGCCATCACCGCCATCACCATCACCAGTAACTATGGGCATCACACCGGCCTGCAAGCCCTGCAAGCAAGGACGTTCTTTCTAATTCGCGTTCCACAATGGTCCGCAGAAATCTTTGGCAATCGAGATTGAATATGCATCGACCGTCTCCATCCGCGGCTTGTTCTCGCAATAGGAGGCCTAGTGGGGTGTCCATTCGTCGTCTCGAATCGTCTCGCTCGAGTCCATCCCGAGCGTCAAGAGCTTGTCAGAAGCTGAAGGCATTCTAAACATTCGCTCGACGGGAGGATCGAGTCTGGACCTACGTTGTCGTCATGCCCTTTCCACCATCGCCACGCGATGTGTGTCGTACGACGAGTGAGAACCGAGAGGTGAGCTTGTTCGCTGAAGCCGCGCCGCCGCCGCCGCGGTGCAGGAACGGCCTCCGAGGCTCTGGGTCCCTCATCATCCTGTTACCGTTCACGACCGGGCTTCCCTTATGGCTCGCTCAGCTTGACAGGGTAGTATAATATTCGACGGCAGTGCTGATGACTGATGACGGGGACTGCTGACCGTGGATCTCGGAAGTTAGAGCCAAAGCCTCGTGTTTCCCTGGTTCTGCTACTTACCCCTCCAAAATTGCAAATTCGCAATGAGATTTGAAGCACTTGAGCAGTCAAGAACCACACTCCCGCCCACGACTTTCCAAAGTACGGCGCTAAGACTCGTGAGAAAATAGTACGAGCAGCCGAGACGAGCGACTTCTACCAGCAAGTACTGTACGGAGTAGCCCATATTCCCCAGAGGTTTAAGAGTTGTATCTGGGGCTTGGACTTGCGGTGGCGCATTACGAGTGTGGTGCTGTGGCTCATACCAAATAGTCACGCTATGACTCCAAAGTGGTCAGCACTTGCGTATCAGCCACAGAAATAGCATAACTCGGCGATGTATACTCTTTTGTGCTTGGGATTATATCCTCATCAGTCTTGTCGCTTGTCCTGCCTCTTATAGGCCAATTCCAATGATTCTCTTTCCGTTTCATCGGCATCAGCCTGGAGAAATCCTTTGCATCTCATCTCATCTCCGTCATTCGCTTGATGCCGTCCAATCGTAGCGGTAGATAGGCAAGTTTTACGAGCGTGAGACCATAGCTCATGCGCGGCTATGGGTCCTGAGGCACTCACGCCTTTCCGTCATTGAACTTATTTGGTATTCAAATATAACTATAGCGGTGGATTTGAACGTTTCGACGTCTCTATTCCAATTCCAATGGAACAGGGGACATGCCATTCCTGCAGCCCTAAATGTAAATGTCAGCAAGATCGAAGCGGGACGTACATGAACCAATAGGCCAACATTTCCCCTTCGAGGATCCCGGCGCACTTTAGATTTCCCCATGTAACTTTCTTTGCTCACGTTTCCATCATTGGCACCTAAGGACCCTAGAGCCTTTTAATGAAAATGCTAAACTTGGTAGCTTTCTATGGATATTTCTCACGTTGCAGTGTGCCGCTTCCTGTCTGCATACCTTCCCCTTCCTGAACCACAACGGCAAGTAGCCAAGACACGATCTCAGTGGATTCTTGGCAAGGAGAGCTGAGTCCTCCCTTGGATCATATAACAGGACATGTATCAAGATGATATAGTGGCCTCATAAGGCTCACTGAGCTGAAGAGAGATGCCTTAATTACGCAGGTGTTGCACGGAGCTCCTCCAGAATTTGGAATTTTCCGTTACATTTTCATATATTCCTATTTCATTTAGAACATAGCGGAGACGGCAGAGGGTATAAATTTACCTACCTTGATGCATCTATCTTAGTGACTGGTTGATGACTCTTCTTATTCCCATGGTACAAGTCTCATATGACTTCTTTAAACTGTCTCCTATTAATATAAAGATCAATAGATCCCCCGAATGCGATCCTCACCTACCTCTCTATCTGTCAACAACAACGTTTCTACGCCTGTATGTTTTTCTATCCCCTATCTAAGACATCTACTATTTCAAATATCTCCATAGACAGGTAAAACAGCATGCCGAGAGGCTTGCAGCTCCTCGTCTGAGTGAACTCCCACTGACGCAAGCATCTAATCTCAGGAAACCAACAACTACTCAATTAAAACCCCTACAGAGTCGTTATATACACCTCGGGCAGCTATTTCAACGGCATCTCCGGCATCACTATCAAACCCGCCTATCGTCATCTAACTATGTCATCGCGGAACCATTCGAGACGTTCGCATGGGGGCAACAGCTCAAGTTCAAGGGGTTCTTCTCATCGGGCAACGCAAGTGAGTTATGGCTTTATCTTCGTAACTGCCCCTTCGATTATCCTTCGCAACACCAAATACCCATCTTGAACTGTTGGTACATTTTCAATTATTTGGACGGGTGCCCATTGTCTCAGCTTCTAGCTATGACTACACCCCACGCTACATGAGCCCAGTTCGCTGATTTGATGTTTTCCAACAGAGCGTAGCCCAGCTCATCGAATCCTTAAACACCCACCGGATCAACACACTCACTGAGCTCCGTCGCATCGAGCGCGTAGCAGCCGGATCCTCCGACGAAGATCAACTAGCCTTTCAAGGTCCTATGACTAACGCCTGGAACTATTATGTTACATCTCACAATCTACTGAACGAACTTCGCGGCCTGACTCGAAACTATCCCTTTAGTAGCGCCGCACTGGATGACGCAAAATGGCGAGTAAGCAACGATCCGCAAAGCAACCGCAGTTGGAATTATGCGTGGCTAGTCCTTATCAAAATGAAGGATGAGTAAGTTTTCCTTTAGATTATTCCCTTAGGGCTTGAGGTTAACTGTGAGTCTAGCCAAATGATCGAAAGTTACTCCACAAGAGAGGCAGCCGCACCAGACATGTGGGGTGGCCGAGTCCCAGATACAGATGAAGCTCAGCAGCTCGCTGCTTGCTTTTCTTGGGAATGGAACGAGGCTCTTTCGCAATTGCTACGGCATTGGGAGGCTCCGCCTACTACTACTGGATACTAAGTTTTCCTCTCCCTGCAGGATATCGAAGCTGGGCTGAATATCTTGCACACGCAGACCGAGAGTGGACGCGTTATCTCCTTATGACTTTGTTTTGATCATCGCTTAGCGTTTTTGGCAGATTTTGTATCCGAGCTTTTATTTTTCTTTTTGTCTTTTGGAAAGTAGGGTTGGACTGGGAGGGACAGCTTGGGAAACACAAAGGAAGGAGCACCTGGATTTCTTTTCGCGTCTAGGGATTATGGGATTACGGATTTCGGCAAGATGGTATGAGAGAAACGATGCAAAGGCGCAGTGATGTGAGGGTACACTGGTGTGCTTAGGTAGAATTACCTTGGGAAATATGCTCAACAGAGTTCAAGATGCTGAAATCCTCGGTTTGCAGCTTTGCGCTATCTACCTAATGTAGACTACGTGGGATATTTGGTACGTGCTCTAGTTTGTGAGGCGTTTCCTTGCTCTAGAGTTCGGTTCTTGGCTTTAATTTTGCATTTTCCTCCATTCATGGCCGTTTCTCAGCACTGCTACTATTAAACCAGTATCTACCGCGAATGGCCCTTGATAAAACGTCTCTATTAGTAAAGGCTGCCAGTTAGAAATAATAAAAAGGACAAGCAAGAACCCATGGCCTTCACCTCAAATTATACCAGCCTATTTTCATTCAAAGATACCACGTGGATGCCTGATTCAAATATATCAAACCGTTGTGAGGAGGAGGTGAGTAATTGACGTTTATACTATTGTGAGAGAATCAATTCGATTATAATATAATAATTGAATGAAGGATAACCCACAGCCTACTTGTTCTATATACGTAGGTACCTCTACCAGGGGTGTCGTGTCAAAAGAAAGGGGGGGTTCTAGCGACCAAACACCCTCCTTACATATATATGGCCAAATAAGTAAATATCTATTAACAAAGTACAATGGCGTGACACTTGGTCAAGTGGCTCGGGTCAAATTATACTTTCGTTGTCGCCAGGGACGATAGGGAAAAAAAGGGGAAACAACAACAAAGCGACAATAACAAAAAACGACAAGAGATGTAGGCAATCGACACCGGGCCGAACTCTTTTGCCATTTTGAATCTTTTTTCCTTTTAGAAAAATAGAATACGTGGTGTAGGATTAAATTGAATTTATTTTACAATACTCTTTTTTTTGTGGGGGTTGATTTGGCGAGGATGGGGAGGTAGATTGTTTAGGAGGTGGTCACCGCCTGGAAGGTGACAAGATATACCAAATTAGTATGGAACATCGATCGATCTCTACCTCGGGAAAGATTGGTGCAAAGCGGTGTCACGTGGCACGTCCCCCTTTTCTATATTCGACCAGCTATGAGAGATTAAGGCATCAATCCTCCATGCATGCTGGGGTACTTCGTAAAATAGCACAAAATTGGGTTTCAGTGTATCAGTCTACACATATGCCTTTAAGGCGTCAATTTGACTTTGTTGATTGAAAAAGTCCACATTATTTTGCTGGTAACTGACACATTGCACAACCACATTTTTCCTTACGATCTGTCCTTCCCAGTCAAACTGACCTCCTGACGAAACTTATTCATATAGCTTTTCCCGCTAAAATGGCCATTTGTTAAATACCTCTCTCCCATGACATCCCCAATTCAAGAACGAACGCCCGACTAACGAAGCCTTCAAAGTGGCATTGTCTTTTGAATCTCGCAACCGCGAGTCTATTACCTCCGATATATTGAGTTCTGTTTATGTATATACCTTTATTAATCTTTCTCGTTTATTCTAACAGCAAGGGAAGGATATATTTCTCACTTAGAGTAAGAAGTTGAAGTAAGGACTGTCGAATACGTGAAAGTTAGGGCACGAATCGATTGTCTGGCGAGATGAGGGATATAGATTATTAAGGAATCGTGGCGATGATGGAGGAGGAGCAAGATATCTTTTATGGGGAGGTGGGAATTATTAGGTTGAAAAGCTGCTGGGTAGGGATGTGTCTGAGGTGGAGCTCTCGCTACCCCTTTCCTAAGGACAAATTCCAGGATTGGAGGAAAGAAACTACGAAAATGGATATAGTTATGTGCTGCCCGTGAGCCCATTAGAAAAACAAACATTACATTAAAGTTTGGGGATATATACTTGAAAATGCCATGAACTATGTATTCGCTTTTGCCTAACAAGAAATCCCATCATGAAAAGTCCGGCATATACACCTAGAAAAAAAGGCTGAACTGAGCCCGAATCCACTTTTGCAGATCAAACTCCCTGTAATTCCTAGAACTATACTTCCAACATTAAATCCCCTGGTATATCACATCGCAAATTTAAATCATCATAACGGCTCCTCCCAACGCGACCATTAATCCCGCGGTACCAAAACCAGTCTCTCGAGCCATGGCGGCCCCGAGGGCTTTACTGCTGCTCGAATGAACACCAGAGCTCTTTGCTCCCGCACTGGTGGGCTTTGTAGCCCCGCTCGTTGCTGTTCCTGTGCCACTGCTGGCATCGGTAACGGGACAGGAAGTGGTGCAGGGAATGGCGCTTGTGAAAGGGAGGTTTTCAACTGGGGTAGCGGACGCGAAAACTGGAGCCTGGGACTCGATTTGTGGGTTTGGCTGTGCGCCAGGGCCCTCGGGATTGAGAACGTTCCCGATTACGTGGAGGACGCCGTTGGAGAGGAGGATATCCGAGGTGAGGAGCTGGGCGGAATTGATGTATACGTTGTTGCCTGAGTGGAGAACTGTGATGTTTCCTCCTTGGCGGGTGGTCAGTTTCGTGCCGTTTTTGAGATTCGATGAGAAGCTGACACCGCTGGCGATGATATGGTAGTCAAGTACGGAAGAGAGTTGTTCGATAGTCATGTTGGAGATCGCAGGGCCAAGGTTTTGGAATGCCGAGTTTTGCGGCGCAAAGATTGTTATGTCTTTGGAGGCTGTGACATTCTCAATCTTTTTGGTTGCGTATAGAGCGCCCTCGAAGGCTGTTAGATTGAACGAATTTGTGGTATCTGTGAGATTGGATGGAGGGATTAATAAGGAGTCGATGACTTGAACAACGCCTCCGTTGAATTTCAGATCCTATAATAGTAGTTAGCAACTTCTTCTATTCTCTATACACTACTACGTAGTGCTAGGCTACATAGGGAATTTGGAAACCATACTGATTGTGTAACGGTACATCTATTCCCCTTCCCGCTCACAAAAACCACCACATCACCGGCTTGCTTTACATTCTCCACATTCTGCCCCCCCGTGACATTGGTCCACGCCGGGTTTGCTAATAAGGTGGGAATGAATGCTGGCTCGCCAGGTGTTAATTCAGCGGCAGTTCGTGAGCCCTGGAGGATGTGGTATTCGAGGACGTTCGTAATGGTGGCTTGGTCATTATTTTGGAAGGCGGTGTTGAGCTCAGTGTAGGGGATTTTGTTGAAGGCATCATTATTTGGGGCGAGGATCTTTGTGGAAATAATTAGTAACGAACGATTGAGGGAGGATTGACAAGAAATATGCGTACAGTTACTCCGTTGAATGAGGGCAATTGTAACAGGATCTGTGGGTATTTCTATTGGGACGAGTTAGTTCTTGTCGCTAACAATTTGGACGTAGGTGAGGAGCAATCTTTTTTAATAGAAGTGGGATAGGAGGAGCCTTCGAAATTGCAATTGAGCGAGTCCACTTCAGACTTTGAGCTTGGTAGGGCCAGGATCCAACCTAGTGGAACATACAAAGCCATTACGGATATTGTTTGGTGCACTGGAAAGGGATTATTTGGTCCCGAGTTCCTACTTCAGCGGGACACTGCGATGACCTGACAACCCCGGCCACGGCTTTGGCAAAAATGGATAGAGCATACCTGAATTAAGCCATAAAACGTTGTCAAATTCTTCTCACCCGACAACAGTGTGCCCAAATCTGTTAAAGTGTTTGTTTGCGCATTTATGCTCGCGATCAGATATCCAAATGCCAGCGCGGCTGTCGCTATCCAGCCTTGGCTGCTCCCCATTCTCATGGAATATGCAATGCGCCACCAAGTGATGCGATGCGGTGGTACACAGTAACTGGTGACGCAAATAACAATTCAGGACAAGACCACCGCGGAAAACAATAGCGACAGGATTGGGTTCTTAACGCAGCACAGGAACCCGGAAAGAAGAAGAATTATGGAGGAGGAGAGGAACTGAGGCAAGACAGAAATAATACGAGATACTAAGCAAAGCACTACCCTCTGTATGGAGTAGGCATCACTCCAGCTTTGGGGAGCTCTCGAAACACCAGATGCTGGTTGGTCATAGGGCAATTGATCGGCGGAGCAATCACCAGCAACAGCCAGCGCCAGGCTCCTCGTACAGTACTGTGCCAGCGTACCTCCGCAAGGCGAGACTTGTGAGACGGGGCCTCGGGGCGACAAGGTCAAGGACAGCGTAGGGATTACGACTCTAGGGGCTTGAAGGCTTGAAGGCTTGAATGCTTGAATGCTTGAACAGCGAAAACCAAGGCGCTGAAGTCGGAAAAGCATTAAACGCCCCGAGGAAACGGATCCTCACCGCTACCAACTGTTGTGTAATTCTGTGCTGTCCCATGCGCTGGGTTCACACACTATTTTCCCACCCTATCACTGGCCGCCAACTCAGATTCCCAACGCACCTTGTAGAATCGCATCTTCATTCCCTGGGCCGCTGTCATTCCTTTTTGCATTTGTTGGCCAACTAGAGTAACTGCATGTGCAATGTTGCATACTCTTCGTCAGATATCATATAGGATACCCTCTTCCGAAAATAACCATACTTGATACCACAGTGACCCTGTACCCCTGGCTGGTCTTCGAAACTGCTTGCTACCCGCGTCAGACCATGATTGATGTGCGACAAGGACAGCCTACGAGCAACGTGCGACATACGACGATCCATCCCGGAGCTTTGTCCTGGGATTTCTCATTTTGGGAAGGGATAAGCATACGTAGTACGGAGTACAAAATACGAAGTATTGGCCTTTGAGTTTCAGTTCAGCATCGGTCTTCTCGCTTTGATATGGTTTGTTTCTTTGCTAACCAGCTCACTCCCACTCGGGCCCTTTTTCCAGCCCTCGTATTTTCCAAATAAAAGCCCCCAAATCTCCCCAATCATTAGAAGTTATTACGGATTCCAGACCTCTCAAACCCTACAAATCAAGAGTGATCCGTCATATCCGTTATTCACTTCAGCAAGCCTCTCTCTCTCGTGGGTGGTATCTATCCACTTTCCACAATTCCTTTAGGGTTGTCCGAGTGCCATGTCTCATGCCATCACATCGGCCAGAACACCCGGGCCTTTCCCACTTGCCGTCATTTAATGAAGTGATGACGCGTTTTCTCTGCCCGAACTCCGGTATAAATTTTTGGAATGGTATACACTCATAGATGGCAGATATATGTGCGTTCTGAGTATATAATAAATAATTGCATACCATATCTCTGCATTTACTCCGTCGCTACCTCACCCACGGTACCTACTCATTCACAGTTTCACAAGGAAAATTGAGGAACAAATAAATACTAAAGGAATTCGTCATTTTAGAAAATAGTACTCGACTGAAGTATCTCCAAAGAGATCATCCATGTATATACAAAACTATTCTCCCCCTCATGTTTTTGCCGCCTTTGCAATTCCAGAAATGAACTCCTCCTTGAATGTTTCCCCGCAAAGAAAGCCAATGCCAGCTTAAACATTAGTATATTTTGAACTGATCACCCTGTCTATAACGCTAAACTCCCGTCCAAAACTCCCCAATCGATCGTCCATCCAGTCATCGAAATTACCGACTTGTTCAGTTGTCTGTACTTCGGAAAATATAGTGTGTTTTTGTCTAGAGCTGATGCACCTTCTTTCTCCCTTTCAATTAACAATTAGACCATGGCTATATTTCCAGTGTTTTATACACCGCATATACAAATTGTGACATTATATTTGTGTGTGACTTAGGAAAAAACAGTCTCGATGGTAGTATGTTTACCATGAGAAAGTCATCAAAGCTGGGTTCAGCGCGAGGGGCAACAGCAAATGACTTGCTGTGACAGTAGCCATGGGGAGAATGGCGACGAAGTCCTTGATTTTCCAGTCGTAGGGAATGAATGGTGCCACGGCCATGATGATCATGCCAACTATGCCGAGGATGGAGAAAATCATCGAGAACTTGAACTTCTTCAGCACCTTGGGAACTTCAATGAAGAAGTTACTGAACTCGGCTTCCTTGGCTGTGGCTCCCCATGTCATATTGATCTCGAACATGTGCGCAAGTAGTGCCTGTGAGACGTGCAGGGAAAGACCTCCTAGGAAGATTGCCAGCATGAGGGTCCATTTGAAGTTCTCGAAGAGCGCATAGAGGAGACTCCGCTCGCCAATTCGGTACCGCATGACGGCAAGAGCAATGTTTCCAAGACCGTTGAAGACGATGATGATAGAGAACCACACCTTCCAGGAATCCAAGTAGTACTTATCCAAATAACCGTTGAACCAACCAACCGCGAAGTAGTTCGCAGTAGTCATGATCCAGGCAGCGCCGATAGCATAGTAGGTTCCGATGTATGAAATTATGGTGATCTTGGAGGTGAATCGAATGTTGGAGAACAAGAATTTGCGGAAGAGAGGTGTGAAAGGGCCTTTGTAGATCCATTTGCGGATGGGGTAGAAGAGAAGTTCGTTACACCCGTAGGCATACTTCTCCCAACGTGCCAATTCGTCGTACACAGTAAGTGACACTCCCTCCTTGAATCCCTCACCAGCCCAGGCAGCCAAGCGGATGGTGTAGCCATTAACTTGAAGACGTAGAGACATATCAAAGTCCTCAGATACGTGAGATTCTGACCAGAACTTTTCATACCCATCCTCATCGGTATATGACACTTGTTGAATGGCAGACCAGCGGAGAATAGCATTGTGACCGACAAAAGGAGCAACATCGCCGTTGGAGACTGTGTATCGAATGGCTGTGTAGATGAGATTGGTGAAGAAAGTAATGCCGTTCTCAAAGTAAGTGTGGACAACTTGCATGACACCGGATGAAAATTGCATGATACCAACTTCAGGGGATTGTTCCATCTCAGAGCAAGCGTCCAAGAGACAGTCAGCAGGGACTCGAGTATCGGAGTCAACTACATTGCTGTTAGCGTTATGATTCTTAAATTAGGTATGAATATGGAGTTGCGTACTCAGTAAGATATAATCTCCGACGCGGATGTTGCCATCGGCCCAGGCACGACCATTTTCCTCGAGGGCTTCCTTCAAGCACCTTTCATAGGCTTGAGCTTCATCGGCCTGCGTCCAGTCGCCCGGTCGTTGAATTAAAGCCAGTTTTTCTTCGACCATGCATGAGATATGTAAGGCAAAGTTCATGTTGGAAGCCTATTGGAGAGGATATGTTAGTCTTCGGTTGTGGGCATGACCGGGATTACCTGGAATGTTGGATTGAGGAATGAAATACGACCCGCTTGGGCGCATTCACACAACATAACATTCAAATATCTCAATATGTCCACCGAGGCACCTGAAGCTTACCTTTTTGACTGCGATAATCGTTAGCTACGGACCTAATGATGCATGGGCGGGAACTTACATTTTCCCTTTCGGATAAAGTTGTCGCCATGTTTTGGTCTCGCCACCCATCCAATGCTATGGTCAGCATAGAACTCGATTCTAGCACGACGTTCCTCCTCATCAAGGATTTGAAGACCATCGTCATTGATGAACATATTCGCAGAGCCGCCCTGCAACTCATAGGTTGAAATGGCTTGCTTGATGGACTTGACAGTTGGTGCAATGACGGAGGTCAGGCCCTCCTTGTACACAGGACACTGGATGGTGATGTGTGGGAGAATTGAGCTCTGGATACGTGGGGGAGCACGTGCAGAATAGAACTTCGAGTTGACCGTTAACTGGCGGACTGGGCCAAACAGCTGAGCTAAACAACCAACGATAACTTGTGCAAAGAAGAGTGTGAAGAAGATCTGAACTGGGGTTAGAGCCAGAAGTGCCAGACGTGTGTAGCTGCCATCAACCGCTACCTGAATGGCAAGTTGTCGGAAACCAGCACCCATGGCAGTGATAATTAGGATGAGTGTTAGCCCAACTAGCACCGTGTTTTGCAGGTGCAATGGTCGCTTTTCGGGGATGATCTCGCCGCTCTCCTCGTCGATCTCATATGATGCTATATTGGCAGCTTTTTCTTCTCCATCTTCAGGTTCCCCGGTCTTCCAGACCAATTCCATCAATTCCTTTTCAATAGCCTTAGCACGCGTGACCAAGTGCAACGCATCGTCGTCCCAAACCACCAACAAAGCATCTGAGGCTACAAAAGCAGCAAATTGATGCTTCCGCGCCCGAGGCAGGTCATCGATTGTGGGTAGGATCTGGATGCGGAGGCCATTTAGCAGTGGGACGTCGACGGCATCCGGGGACCATTGCAAGAAAGTCTTGATAACTCTGGAATTGACCGTCATCGCACACTGTAGTTGTTAGTCGGGATCCATTTTCAATTTATATGCTTAGCCTTACTTGGACATTAAGTGCTGCACAAGCGGCAGCAAACGGGGAGCTGCCTAATTGTGGCGGGCAAGCCATGTATGTGTTTTTTGCTTTCCTCAACAGAACACCTTCGACTTCTCCACTCCCATCGCTAACCCAAAGATGTGAACATTGTTGTTGATATAGGTAGTTCACCATCACCTCATGTTTTATATCGTCCAGAAATGCTGAGCTTTGGGTTGATCGATTGGAAATCGAATTCCTCGACGATCCAAATCTTGAGACTGGGGGTTGGAGCTCCATAGTATAGCTTGGTTGTGGGGACGGAGCAGTTGGTTTCTCTGAGGCGTCTTGCGGCGGATCAGGCCGTTTGTTCTTGAAGTAACTTCCCAAACCCATTGTGGCGGTCTTCTTGTTCTGGGGTTAGGATATATATATGGTGAGCCGTGCAAGAAGGCACTTGGCCTTGGGTTTAGTTGAGCTTGAGCTGAATATTAAGCAGAAACAGGTTCTTTGTTGAGCGAGTGACTTTGAGCGAGTGGAATTAGGAGCAACGCATGGATATTAAGTTCCAGTGCTGCCACTACTCCCCGAAAGTTGCAGAAGTAAGACGAGGATAGCCAGACTTGCCAGGATACAGTCTACTCTTGCCGATAAGCATTCAGCCGGCACTGGGATATGGATTAGCTTACCTATAGACACTGGGACTGAAAGAAAGTTTGAGAACGAATGTATGTTTTGAGTTTCGATGAGAATGTGAAGGGAGCAAGAAAGGCAGAGGAATACGAGGGGAGTGGAGTGGTCGAGTCTGGCCTGCTGTTCGCCAAGTGATAGATGAGCACGGGGATGGTGTACGGTCAGGCAGGATTGCTACGTCCGGCCAATGCCCAGGCTCCAGAGGCGCGGGAGGCTGATAGTCAGTGGCCGTGAAAGGTGAATGCTGATACACCGGGCTCTCGAGTGTTTGGCCCTGTCTTGGATACGTGGTTTGCCTTGACCTTTAGACAGAAACAACGAGCCTATGGGGCCCGAGGCGTATTGATAGTTTTGCGGAAAGCTCGCACGGACGAGCCTGGCAACAAACGCGGGGCCCTTGCGATCTGGCGTTTACAGGGAAGAGGGATATATTGAATATATCTTTTTGGGCCCGAAGCATTTGGGTATCCGGGTATTTGAGGCTGGTCTGTTGGTGCCGATAGATCCCTGCGCCGATGACCAGCATTTGAGCCCTCTTTGCCCCTGGTCGATAAAGAAAACGGCTGGCCACGATCAAAGGCCGTGGAATCGAAGAAAGAATATTTTCTAGCGCCAGCCAGGACTAATGAATACTGCTTTGTGCAATTAGGTCGCCGAAAATAGCCATATTGAGCAGTGATATCGCGACCCAAGGCGAACTACTGCGCGTCTGTACGAAGTACTCCATACTTACGAGGTGCCTACAAAGGACTTGTTTCACCAAGTAACCAACATATGTACTCCGTCGGCGGTTGATAATACATCTTCTCTTGGCCCTTTGCTCCTTCACTGCACTCTTCTGCGTCTTTTCATGTATCACAGCGCTACCCGCCGCGACCCTCTCGTATCCCGTAGGAGGAGGCAGTGCCTATCTCACAATGCCTTCGTTCTTGAAGCTGTAGTCCGACGTTATTGTTCAACACATAAAATGCATATTGCTGAACGGTGGCCTTGCTTTCACAAAGTACTCCGTACTTCACAGAGATACTCTCTCTGTTCTCTGTCTTGAATGCCCCTGTATTTCCAGTTTGCAGCGTTGGCGTTTCGCCCGTGCGAATCCCCCTGTCCGGCGCAACATCCGCCCAGGAACGGGAAGCTATTTCTCCAGGGGTCATTTCCCAAAGCGGCAATTAGCTGGAACGAGAGCCAAACATTGGTGGCCCTGGCCCCCGAATAGGAATCGGTGGCTCACCACCTTGGTGATATCCCCTGGTTGGACGCTTCAAGCCGATTTATTTTATCCCGGTCCTGCCGTATATTTCTTTTCATTACGGCAACGGAACCAACGGCTTGGCTTGCCCGTTTAAGCCACGTAGCCAACTAGAGGTATTTTCCACGAAGTACACAAATGTAGGCAAGAAGTAGCAGGGTAAGGAAGCGAATGGCGCCCAGTCGCCTGTCGTGGTTTTCGTCACGTTAAGTAATGATCCCTCAACAACAGCTAGGTAGGGATTAAGGGAAGCCAACTTCCAAGGACGGCAGTTCTGGGCGTTCGATAAGGTTCTGAGTGGGATAGTACTGTAAATAGTACTTTTTGTATTTCGCCCTCTCGCAAATACCCCTCCATGCCAGTCCATGGTCGTACATTGCAAGGCTTGGGCGAAGATGCTCTCCCAGCCCAATGCTGTCACCAGCCATCTCGACGTGGCTGCACGATTGATACGAGAGTCTTCGAATAACGAAGTAGAGAGCCCTAATCCTCAGGCTTCGACCCGGAGAATAATTTTTACCAACACCAGTTTCCGAACGATTGCCCACTTTATCTATTTAAAGAACCGGGATTTGGGTCTTGAGCATCGACTTTCGAGCGATCCGCGTCACTCGCTCTGGCCCACCCGATCTGAGACTACTCGGAACCAAAAGAGTTTCCAGAAGCTGTCCAAGGCTCTAAGCCCCCACCGCTCTGCAGAAGCAATAAATTAGAGGCTGATAATTCGATAAGTTGCAAGACAGTGGAAATGAAAACTTTGCTAGGAACCGCTGGCCTAGCCAAGCCGCCATGGGGCTTTGACACAAGAATGCGATAAGTTGATAACATCTGACCGCTTCTCCACTAGCCGGCACTGCACAACATTATATCAGCTCAGCTGGGTACCCTGGCATTCTCGATAAAACGGCGTATCCTTGAGCCGTGCATGTGGTAACGTAACGTAGGTAGGGAAATCAAAGGTAACACAGTCAACCCTCGATGCTGTCGTGATGCGCTTGTGCTTCCGCCCAAGTCTATTTCAAGATCCAGAGATCCCAAGCGAAAGATCCCTCTGCGAGCTTCCGCTGGACCCAACAATACATCGTAATAGATGCGGATGCATCACCTATCCGGCATTGCGACGAGGCGTCTCGGGAATCAGACCACCTCCATCCTCCGTGGTGAACAAACTCAAGTCTCAGGTCATTCGACCGACCCCTTGGTGGACGAGCGCTCATTTCCTTAGCCTCGAATTCTCTAGCTAGCAACAAGTGGGACTTGGCCGTGGGAGCCCATGTGGCATCCCGGTTGGTATGTAGAAACTTCGTCCGGAGATACACGTTGCCGTCTTCCGTTTCCCATGTTGCTTGATTCTTGGTTTCAGGAGTACGTATTCTGCGGAGCGAAACTACTTACGGAGTAAGTAAGTAACTAGCCAGTCACAAACCACCAATCATCAGGTTTATTGTAGTCGTAGCCCACAATTACCATAACGCAAAGATAAGCGGACAAACGTTGCCGCGAGCACGCAACTTTAATCGCAAATGTACTCGGTAATGCTCAAGATTCTTTGAGGCCATCGCCCAATCCATTAATACTATTACTACACCTTCACGGCTGATGGGTACATCGGAATCTGACTTCTTCGTTGATCCTCCGCCCTCGTCTCCTACTTTGAAGGCGGAAGTTTAAAACGCTATCTCTACTCTAAAAAGCGAGCCCTCTATCACCAACAGGTCGAGACGCTCATAAACAGACCCACTCGCCATAAAATGGAATCGGAGTTAGCACTAACAATTTACCTCTACAGTCAGACCCGCTCATGGCAGGTTATCATGGCGTATTTCGCAGTTCTCCTTGGGGTACTGTGGCAACAATCGACTCCCACAACTCGTCAATTGCTCTACCAAAAAGGAAAGTATATCAGCCATGACTCCATCAAATTCCAGAATTCATACCACTTGATATCACCAAGATCGAACACAGCAAGAGGCTTTCCCAGAGTTTGATAGCTTGATGCACTACTGTACTTCGAAGGTGGGTTCATGCATGTTGCGCTGTCATTTTATCGCCGTGTTTAGATATAAACCCTGACCTAAGTTCTGCTCCGTATGTTAGCATTTTATTATTGATTGGTTTCAAGGGCTGTCAGAGTGCCACATATTTATCGGTTACCTACGAAGTTACTCAGTCCTAGGTTCCAGATTCTAAATTCCCAGGTTAATGGCCCTTGGCTCGAAGCTCCCAACTCTAGCGTGTGGGATTTCCCAAGTCGGTATTCGGGCACTTTCAACCTACGTACGGAGTAGTGGAGGTTTAATTGGCAATCGTCATTGGCACACTAGTGGCCTAGCAATCCCGAGGACTTGGATGATTGTGTTTTTAGACTGGAAAAAACACCGTTCCCCACTGTAACCCTCTTGTCAGCCCTGATTGTACTCTGTAGGCTCTGTGCAACACTTTCCACGCTTCAAAAACAGCAGACCAAGACTCGCTAGAACGATATTGAGTTCTACGGCTTCTATTTTCCTTCCTGAAGTCCGCCACTTACGCTACCTTCAAAATACTTTGTCACCATGTTCTCGGCCCCACATACCTAGGTAAGTTATGCACCGGCGTGGGATGTGGCTTCACTTGCGCTCTTCGACAACCAGCAAAACTTATCGAAAGCCAGGCAATCCAGCCTTTGATAGTTTAGCAAAGGCGTAATTCCACCCCCACCGATACTGTAGGAGCCACACACCCACCCGTCTTGTCTAATATGCTCTTGATAGGGCATTTAAAATAGTTGCATCATGCTTGTATCGAGGTAGATATGCGGCCACATTCCAGCACTCCAGAGGTAGCCCGATAAAGCACGCTCGACTCCAATAATTTTAGGGTGGCATTGTCTCGTATTCAAATACACCCGGACCTCTGATAGGCATAAATCCCGACAGTGTACATATTACCGATGTTCAGCTCACGAAAACTCCACAATAAATAGTACATCGCCGAAAGTAATGGCGTTTAGCAACCGTTGTTCGGTCTTGGAACGATAATGCTCCTGCGGCAGCATGCGTGTTTGCTGACGCTGAAGCAACATTTCTTCGCGGCGTCACGCTCAGCTGTGACGAGCGACTACTCGGTACCTTCGGACGCACTAACCATCAAACATTGACAAACACAGAGGAAAAGTCTCTGATGTATCTATCGTGGTCGTGCATGCATATTATTCAGCCTCTCATGTGTGCTTTGTACTGGGGTGTAGGTTGAACTGGGGGTTTGGCTGTGGAGGCTGTCTTCTGTTACGCAGTATAATTATGAACGGCGATTATCCAGTCGCAATTCGTCCGGAGAAAAAGGTGCGATAGGTCAGGAGAAGCCGGTTTTTGAGAAATGGCTTGATTAGCGAAAAAGTACTGAGACATACGGAATGTGGTGTATCTTTATTGAGCGCGCGCCTCCACCCACCTAGGCCTTGTAGTGGCTACTGGCTAGCCAGGCCACGAACAGGTTTATTACGAAGTAGTTTGCACCTCGGTCCTTGGTATGACCTAGTAGCAAAACCGTGGAGTCTACCTAGGTAGTCATTATTGTACTCTCATTATTTCCTATCCGAGGAAAAAGAGGTAGGTTGACAAACCCATTTAGTTCCCAAGCCACGCACGGGATCGCAAGTTGCGGCTGCTGACTGAGAAATCTAGAACCTATGTGTGTAGGTTTTGTCAATATCGGTGGAGATTGACTGCTACCGGCGATACGCGTTTATCATGGGGATCTCCGTGATCAGTGTCGCTTTGTCGCTATGGCATTAGGGCTATAATGGGAAGAATCTGGACCATATCTCAGCACGCCACAACTAAGTCCAAGCACGAAGCCTAGCTACTCCCAGTTTCGCCTTGGCTTGCAAGGCAGAGAGATACCCAGTTACAAGGTTCACCGCCTTCGCCAAACTCTCCCCCTTTCTGTTCACGTGAAACTTACCCATATCAAAGAAATGTCGGTGCCCGGACCCGCCCTCCCGTTGCCGTCGGAACGGAAAGCTGTAGTCCCTCGGGATTCGAGCAAGGGGGAACTTAGAACTGACGTAATGGGTAATATATTATATTATTTTATATTCATATCCAGAACTCCTCAATCCATCGGTGGATAAGGGGAGTGAAATGTATCCTGGTTGCGCGAGAAACAACCCCAAGCACCAGCAACAGGACCAAGCAACGAACGTACAGAGGCCCAGTATGACATTATAGCAACAAGAAAAATTCCCAAGTCTAAAACCTCCCGTTTCCCAGATAAAAGCTTCATTCGATTGCCCTTCCCGTCCAGGCGCCAGGTAAATTTGTATCAAATCGCAATGCCAACAATGCCCCAAGTTATCAACATCCCCCTCTTAAACACCTCACTAGAACGCTTTTCTTCCCCGCATAGCTGGATGGCTGGTCGCCCCCATCATGCCATGATTAATTAGTTACCCTCATCCCCATCGCACTGTTTCCACATTTTCACGCTGCTGACTTCCATCTGCCCGGCGCCCTTCGCCTGCCATGTGGGATACCATTGATCACGGGCAGCCCAAAAGTCGTTCTTAGCGGTAGTGCTGGTATCAAACCATGGTTTTCCAGACTGGCCATCTTCGAACCATCCGTTGGTACCGCCAACAGCGACGTTCAAGATAAGATAGAACTCCTGGTCGAAGGGCGTTTGTTCGCGACCGGTCTGGCTCCAAACATCGACCAAGCGCGTTCCATTGCTGTCGGAAAGGGGGAAGTTCCCGCGCTTCCAGAGCGGCTCGTCGAAGTTGGTGTAGAGTACTTGCAGGAGTTTGGTGTTGATGTACGTGAAAAGATACTTCTGGGACCATTCGAGCCCAAAGGTATTCTCTCCAGCAGCATAAGTCGTGTGCAGGGCGCTCCGCTTTACATTGGTGCGCCACCAGGCATCGTTGGCCGGGTCAGGTCCCCAGTGCAGAGCAGAAGAGACAATATTATTACCTCCTTGTTGGTAGGTGTGGTTGTTGCCGCGACCTTCAACGATGTCGATTTCCCCAGATAATGGCCACGGACCATAGGTCTCATTCACGGGCAACATCCAGATTGCCGGCCATAGCCAATCCCCCGATGGGAGTCGAGCAGTTACTTCTACACGGCCGTACTTGATTGTAGCTCCTGCCTTGGTGCTAATTCGTCCTGACTTTACCGGCTGGATAATGGTACCAGCTGTGAGATTGGTAACCGACACGCAATTTTTGAGGACCGGCGATGAGCAAGTGCCATCGGCCGTCAAGTTGATGACATTGTTTGACTCGATAAGACTGGCGTCTTGAAGAGTTGGCTTGATAACAAGTTTGCCATCCTGAACAAAAACATTCTCGTCCGTCAGGGTGGTTTGCTCGAACTGGCCGTTGCTGTAAATCCCAATTAGCGAATTACCGATGCAGCGGCAGAATGAATGAACACTTACCCAAACCCGCCCACCTCGGCCTCCTTGGTCCAAACGGCGGTGTTAATGCCCCCAGAGAAATCATCGTTCAACACTTCACAGTACGTATGCTGCACCACGGAACTAATACCATCATAGACCAAGAAGCCTGCAATTCCGAAGCCTATCAGCATACCGATTAACGGGATTATGGTTACCCATTTCTCCTTCGGATCCTTCTTTGATCTCCACGGCTGCTCGACCTCTCCTTTCCTTACCCGCCTCGAATGGAAATATCGCGATGCGGGCGGGCGGACTGCGGACGACGACCCGAAAGACGAGGCGGGCCGTGAAGTGTATGGCGTAGAGAATGGGTTTGCTCTGGGTGCGGGAGTGATCTCGTCGTTGAAGGGACTACTCCTGCTTTCTGGTGTACCAGGACGCATTGAATTTGTGGTGGTCGAGGCGCCGCTCCCTCTGTACTGGGCTTGGTTCTCCATGCTGCGTTGTGTCCAGCTCGAGGGAAACCGTATGAGTTGATTACCAGACTACGGAGTAGACTGCGTCTCGCAGAGCCGACGAGGACGACAGCCAGGAGCAGCCGACTGGCGGCAATGCAGCGTAGGAGGACACAGAAACGAACGGCGGTATTAGAGCCTGAACTGGAGTTGGAGTTGGAATTGGAATTGGAGACCGAATGATGAATTAATGGTGTTCTGAAGGATGCGATGGGAAAGCTGCCAGAGAACGGATGGGAATGAATTGAAGGGCGGGGGGTGAATTGAATATACAGGGGTGTATTAAGGGACACCAGACAGGCAAAGTACACCGGACTACTTACTCCGTACTACTTCGTACTATGCACTGAGTATGGCGCGGACAAGTACAAATAATATGCCCCATGTCCATGCCTACGAAGTGCCGGGCCAGCTAGCCAGGCGGCGATTAGCTTATTGCTAGGCTTGTATCGGAGGATTATTAGGGGGTTGAACAAGCGAAGCAGCGTGCTTCAACACGGACCGTCGATCTCAGCTCTCGGATCCAGACTACGCTGCTATGAAACGATAGCCGCTGACTGATGCAAACTCAAAAGGCTACGAAATACGGAGTGCCCCGTACTATGTGGGTTCAGTTGCTTACTACCTCGGTCGAACCCGAGAAGCTCAATCAATTCCACACGTGGAAGAAACAGCGCTACACTAGTGACGGCAAGTTTTCTTTGTCCGTATCGTGGCAGCAGGGGAAAGGGGGGACCGATAGATTAGGCCCAGTGAGGGCACTGGACAAAAGTCTCGATTTAAATGAAAGAGCGAGCTAATCCGGAAAGTTATAACAAACACTCTCCACAGTGGAACGCCCTAGGCCTTGGACAAAAATAGCAAACATTGGTTAAGCTTCGTACGGGTACCGAGGACTATCAATCTACTCTACCCACCGTCTCCTGGTCGTAGATCCAACGAGACGTATTATGATTGATCCACTTGTCAGACCCTTCAGTCTCGTCAACTTTGAAGTTTGTGCCCATCATGAGAAGTCCCAGCCTAACCACTGGCTGCCCAACATCACCGCCGTGCGAGGAGACGCCAAGTTCTCCCCTGCTCCCGACCTACTCTTGGCCGTAATACGGAGTACGAGACTGCTTCAGCTGGGCCCAACACACGCCCCAGCGCTCCTCAAGGTCTTGGGCCATTGGCGGCGTCAAAAACAAACCAATTCAGCAGCGCTCCTCTGAAATATTGGATTCCAGTGGAGGGCGTGCGTGTACTATAAGGAGTACATAGTACATAGTACTGCGTTGTTTATTGCGTGGCATTGCCTGCCGCCCGAGGCTGGCCATGTATTCCCGCTCACACCTCTGGCGGCATTGTGGCATACCTACAGAGCACAGCACCTTATTTATTATTACTCCATAGGGACTGGGGCGTACTACATAAGGCAGAGTCGACCATGATACCAGAACCGAGCCGGCGGACAGCACCAGGATCCAGGCATTCAGGGTCTCCGGGGTTCCCTGCGTGCCGCGTGATCCCTGTCGACGCTGCCCCTGGCCGTTACGACTGCATGCACCGAACTATTTATTTCCTGCGCCAGTCCCCTTTGGGCCATCCAGGTCCAACACGCCCTCCGGGGTATCCTAGTGGCTGCACGCCCTCGGAGGGGCAATATAGATCACCCCCTTCTGGCCTTCTCCGACCTGCCCCTTTCTGATCCGCCTGCCCATTCCGTCGGGTTGTTGATATCAACCGCGCACTTATCAATTAACTAGCAATAATACGAAATAATTCTTGGTTAATTATCGGCCCTTCAGCGTCAGTCCCTGCACGTTACCCCGCTCACAGTCCCAGTCGCAAATACGATTAAGTAATGAGTGTATCTTTCTCCTAGCTTTCTCCTGCTGTGTTTACAACGCGCGATACCAATACGAGGTAAGCTCCTCCATCACCAATCCACGTTGAATAATTGACGAGAATCCGCACAGCAACTCCCTTGTCCCCCTCGGATCGATCTCCGACGCGGCGAGAATATAATTCCGCCCCCCGCCCAGGGTGATTGTCGTATCAGCAAGCAGGATCCGATCTCCTTTCTCCTAGCTTATCAACGCCGAGAAATGCGCGGTTGGACCAGACGAAGATACGACACCAAGAAATTATTATGCCCAAAGCCCGTTTCAAGTGTCGTCGGTGGAATGACGGCACGTTTGATGTCGACCGTTCGAGGCCGTCTAGCTTCGATCTGCGTCCTCCATTCTCGACCTCAACAAGGCGTCGAACCATTTCTTTGATGCCTGGACAATGGCAGACAAGTGCAAACTATCAATGCAACAAGAACCGCCAAACGGTCCAGGCTCGCAGCTTTCTTACAATGCCAGTCTGCTTCGAGGACAAAGGGAGGAATACGAGTTTGAGGGTTCTCGAACCTCCCTGCAAAGGCGCTGTCTCCAATGATCAAAGTCTTAAACTCCAGAGCTGTTTGGCTTCCAAGAGAGTACATAGGTTATGTTGGTGAGTTATTACATCGCTACCCAGCAATAGTGAAGATACAGCCTACTGCCTTCCCACGAACAATTTGCTTTTCATGTGAACTAGAGAGTTCCAGCATCAGTGACGTACATGGCAGTAACGGGCGTGCGGCTCGACCTCTCAATCCTCAACGTGGATTGTTCAGCCCCTATCAAGAAAACTTGAATATTGCATGGGCCGCAGATATACAAAGTAGATTGGGAGATCCATCTCTCTGCATGGCGCTTGTGGGGCCTCCAGTGGTTCTCTCGGTTCTATTCATAGGTTATCTCGTGTATGTCGGTCGCACGCAAGTCCCATCAGGTTTTCCGCCCAATCAGGGCCTATCTTTCCCAATTGACCAACTTAATACAATCAACACTATCGGCGGACAGCGTGTTCATGCAGAATGGTTTTCCCAGCCACGGCCCCGATAAGCTGGTTTGGGGCACTGGGGACAGATGCAAGTTTGCGTTAAACGTGGCGATCCCAACATCCAGCTATCTTGGTCCTGAGATACAACCCATCTCCCCGTGCCCATGTCTGGAACGCTCTGGTTCTGAAGAAGTTTCCTGCCGAGTCAGCCGCGGAGTAACTGGGTATGTTTCGTATTCGAATGATCGAATCGCCAGCCACTGATCGTTAGAGTTTAATGGTTGCATATCTTTACATCAAATGTGGGTTATCTCCTTGTTTTAGTTGTTAGTTCGAAGTACAGTACATGCAAATTTTGCGGTCCAGGCAGGCCTTAACACACCCAATTGCCCATCTAAGGTCGGTGAGGATTAAGTGGATTTGATGCTTTAGCTCCGGCGATGCACAGTGCCTCCCCGGTAGCTGACTCAATGTCACGGCTGGGTCTCTTGGAACCTATTCCCTGATAAGTGTAGTGAGCAAGCTAAAAATCATTATCTGTGTCGTCATATTATCTTCCATTGCGATTATCTCTATTCCCGGATAGTCTTCCATCATACCCTCATTTTCTCTCACCCGGCTGCGGCAAATTTGTGTCTGATCAACACTCAGCATATTTATACATTACTCAGACAACGGAAAGAAGACGTTGTAGGCCTCTCCGTTTTTGTTCCAGATGGTATCCCTGACGGTCATTGTATCATAGTTCCTTGTGGAATATTGAAGATATGTGCAGTTTTAGTATAACAATTAGAAACCTCATATTATATGCATTTATTCCCTCGTCGCTATTATTCTCCTTCAGCCTCATAGCCCCTAATACTCTTCTCCTGCCCAAAACAACTGTCATATTAATACCCATGCCCAAAGACCTACAAGCATATTATACTGCGATCCATCATCACCTTGCTTTGGGCCGCCTCGATATATAAAAACGCCACTATAGCCGATACAGCAAAGAATACGTCGTTAACCTCTCTTTTCAATTTTCTATATCATAATTTGTCTCTATACGTCGCTCAATATTTTTGACTTTAGATATATATCTAGCTGCAAGTTCACATGCAGGAGTAAATCATTGATAAAGTTTTCGCGCTTTAAGTCCCGTTTGTAAGTAATATGAAGGCATGTAGGAGAGCTAATTCCAACCTGAAGTTAGATTTGCATTGTTGAATTGAATTCCCCAATAACATTAATCAATTATGCTATCAGTCCTGCTCCTTTGTTCATATGCTCTATTCTTTTTATATGGACGCGCCTTTTTTGGACTTTGGGCTGTTAACTGACAGGTGCAAATGAGCTTCTTTCAAAATTAAATGGGACTAGAGAGATTCAAGGAAATATCCGACTCATACTCGGTGGTATTCTATCTATCTAATGACAATACCGACCTCAGTATATCATATATCTTCCCACTTATGAAATTGCAATTGTGTACGTCCTTCATTTATTTACAACTCGCGTCTATGCTTCACAATTTCACTCTTCTTGGTAACCCGGTGCATCAAGATACCATCACAAGCCTAGGGGCTATGGAGGAAGAATGACAGTGTAGAGTTCCACAAAAAGTCTCTTGTTAAACTAAGTTAGGCTACAGGATTATAGGCGGTAAATGTTGTACTGAATATGATATGTATTATATAAGATACGGTTCCAGCCGTATCTGACCACGGGTTCCAGTCCTTTACAGTCTATACTGTATAGCTCAGAACCAAAAAGAAAAAAAACCCTTCCCAAGCCACCTCAATAAATTTATCTACTCAACCCTCGAATGGATATCGCAGCTATCGCACTCATGATGACCACAGACGCAGCGTCCCATCTGACGATCATACCGGTCCCACATGTCACAGATGAGAGTTAAATGGCGACATTGGCAGCACTACATGTAATCCATTTCTATCTCCAGGTCGAGGTCGAGGGTTGAATGGGATTCTATTGCGTTCGCTAGGGGTTGCTTGCATGTAGGGTTAGAGCACATATTCTCTAGGCGGGACCTTCGATTTGTTATGTTAGAGCTCTTGCAGCTCTGACACTGCAACCAAATTTTCTCATCCCATTGGTAAGGCTCGTATTCCTTGGGTTGAGGCTTCGGTTTCTCAACATCAACATCCATCGTGCCAGACATATATTCCGTACTACGGATAGATCCCTGTGTCTGCGGTTCCTTATCCATCTCGTCAAACTTGCGTTTCATAGGAACAACTTTTGAATCACTATTAATAATAGTGCAGCTATCACACTGTTCGTGTAAACAACGGTTATGGAAGAATCGCCTTGGAAATTTATCGAGATAGATTCTTGAAACACTATCGCAATTGCAGCATCTCATAGATTTGGTAGAGGATAGATTTCTTGGACCCACCGTGGAGCGACTGAGGCCTGAGCTTCGGTTGGCATACATTTTCTCTACCTTTGTGAGGTGAAAGATGTTACGCGTTGAGGAATTGATGTTGATTTAGCCTCGTTATCAGCCTGGCTTGCCTTGCTCTTGGAGTTGTTGGTGCTGCAGTTATTTGACTTGTACTTGATTTAGTAGGTGGTTGTCGGTTACTTATATAAACCATAATTTGTGTTGTCCAGCTTGTGTTTTTTCCTGGAACAATCCCTTGTTTGGATAGAGATAGGGGTCAAAGAATCCGTACTATAGCATTGTTGTTGCTTCTAGATTCATTCACCTGTTATCCTTGTTTCCAAGATGTGCCCAAGGCGGTTCTTTATTCGTTTTTTCTTTGCTAATTCTATCCAAAAGTCAAGAAACTGTTAAGCACTTGCGCAATATCCTGGTATTACTTTCGTTGTTCTTATAGAAGGTTTTATATTATGCGAGACTTTCCATAGTCTCATTATGGTGATGGTCTTTTGGTTTTGACGCAAAATATGCATTAATCTCTTTACGTTCTACATAGGAGGTAGCTTTTCCTAGTTTACACCTAGCACAAGACAAGTCACAACCATAAAACATCCCAAAGGTCACAATCCAGGCTTTATAACCAATCTCAAACCAAGCACTATTTAGCTATTGATCAATTAAAACTCGACATGCCTACGTCGTATCTCGGTAGGAATCGGCCATCCTCCTGCAACATTCACCCCGAAATTCGATATCTCTGCGGTTGCGTCACAACTCCCAACATTGTAGTTTGCATCCCTTGCACTGCTTGTGTGCGCACGAAAAACAATTTCTGGTGCCATTTTTATAGGCAAAGTTGACTATATATGAAGGTTGCCACATTGACAACAATACAGTTTTCTATACTCTTTGCATTTGCAATTTGGCTGTGGGGAGTGATATTGATACTCGATTGTCGGGCAACAGCCATAGGTAACTCTGTAATGCCTCTTACACTGACAACAAATAGTATTTTCGACAATATGGTTTCCCTCTGGCCAAGAAAGCTTTGCGGCGGGCAGCTTATTCTGAAGGGAGGGCTCTTCAGCTGCGATGAAGTTGGCCGGATTTTCCGGTTGGGAGGGAAATTCTGCCTCCGAAGAGGCATTTGGCGTGGAGGCCGCTGGGTTTGGCTCCATCGCCAATAATATGTCTGAGGAAGGGTCTGTGAGTGCTTGACTTGATGTGAATGTGTAATTACAAACCTTTGGCGTGAGATTCGAGAGCGTGCTGCGGTTCAGGCAACTAGATGATTATGTACGTAGCTTTCTGAAAGAGGGGCTTCCCTATGAAGTCTGGCAAACTGAAAGTAACTTTGCAAGATAAGTTGGCTGTCAGACGCGTCTGGATGTGTTCTGTTATGACTATGGAGATTTAAACTAAGCGGGAGGGGGGGCGGTGATGGATATTAAACAAGTTTGAAGGCCATCTTGTTGTCTATCAACGAGGAAGTAATGACAGTACTTATGACTGAACGGTGAATAAAGCTTGCAACTGAGCGGTGAGTGGAAGAAGATTTACGACAATTTGCTGTCGAATGCAGCACATCTAATCCATACCCCTTAGATATAGCGTAGTTAAGAATATATAACTTCAAGGTACTCACAAATTATCAATCATCGACGAAATATAACTCATTTCGAATATCTGCAACAGAACCGCGAAGAGGGCATAGCTCATAAAACAATATAATGGGTTACTAGGTACATTCTTACTTGTATATTATACTATTTCTTACTACGTACGCACAGCTCCTTTATCTTGAAAGAAACCCTACATACCGCCATATCTACTTACGTATAGAAGAAAGGGGGCCCCTGGGTTCATATTGAGCCTCATGTACTATCTCGCCATATATACCTATATATATTCCAAAAGACACTAGCAATTGAAAGGTGCACTCGACACATCCGCTATCCTTAGGTAACAATAACCAAAGCAAAAACAAGGACGAGAATAAAAACAGCAGCAGGACCCCTTGAAATAACACCACGTGCAAGGAGAGTAAGCCAACAAATACAGAGAAAGTAAAACGGAACAATGAATCTTAAAGTATTTAAAAAGCGGGCAGCCTGGGCAAGAAAACGCATAAATTGGGCTGGTTATAGGAATACGTTCACTCAAGATTAGATACTCGCACCCTAGCACTTAATCATTGTAGCCATAAAATAACCCAGTCCCTTCTGCTCACCCATGTCTTCTGAGACCTGTATGGTTTGTTGTCGGTGTGGCGTAGCCACACCAGTCCCCGTCGCAGCTAGCGGCATCGGCAGCTGCTATAACTGCGGGCACGGCGAGTGTAACATCTGTGAATTCGAGATGTTCGAGGGTGAGTGGTGAGTGGTATTGTACATTCCCGTTTTAGATGGCGGAGAGGTAGGAATGTTGAAATATCGGGCGATCTTACCGCTGGTCCACATGTCAAGGGGCGACGAAGCATTCCAGATGATCACCGATCACCCGGCCCACTAACGGTGATTAACAATGCATGTTAATGTGTACCTGCAGATATCGTCCATATTCCGCGTTGCATTCGGCGCTCGGGCGAGTATTGGCCGGATTCCCACTGCCGTCAGTCTGGGGTGGAAGCGTTGCTTATCACTTGCTCTCTAACTGTTCTAGGGAGCTGCCATTTCTGTCAAGTTCTTTTGTTTATTACCCTGCATATCCCACCCCGTACATGGAATTCAACTCCTTCCTTTGACCGCATGTTTCAAGTTTTCGTCCATGCCACCTTCCCTTTGGCCACCTGTTTCCCCCATGTGATATGTAATGAGCAGGATCTAAGCTGCAGAGCTGCAGATGATAGCTTGCTGTGGTGAACCATAATTTAAAATTCCCTGTGCGCTTCCTATATCTATGGCGTTCACCATGATCGCCTAGAAAAAAAGCCAAGCGGCGTTTTGTCTCGTCCCCCCTTTTCCTGATCGTGAACGCCTATCAAGATGGGAATAAATCGCCACTTCTCGCTTTTGGCGCTTGTGTTCTCTCTTTCTGGAACCCGGGCACAAAACTCTACCAACCCAACAAATTCGACGAGTTACGATGTCCTTGATTACGTTGATCAATTGATTGGAAGTGCCAAGGGAGGTTTGTAGCGATATGATTTTCCATCGTGAGTAAATTATTCTGACAAGCAGCAGGGAATGTCTTCCCGGGAGCCACTCTCCCATATGGTAAATATGTCCACCCAGCCAAGTGGATATATTCTCACAAACTCAAGGAATGGCCAAGGCCGTTGCTGATACCGATTCCGGTTCCAACCAAGGAGGGTTCACGACGGAAGGCGACAACGTATCGGGGTTCTCGAGTCTGCATGATTCAGGAACTGGAGGAAGCCCTTCGCTGGGTAATTTTGCGTTATTCCCCTATGCGAGCTGCCCTGGAGATGATGTGAATGGGTGCAAATACCCGAAAGCCGCAAGGAAAATCAAATATGTAGAGAACTCTGTCAAAGCCTCCCCGGGATATTTTGGACTTCAATTGAGCAGCGGAGTTCATGTAGATATGACCACCGCCCAGCATACATCGCTGTTCCGATTCAAGTTTCCATCCGAGCTTGCTGATAGCTCGAGCCCGCTGCTACTCATGGATCTAACGGATCTCCAGGATTCAAGGCAAGATAATGGGACCGTCACCGTGGATGAAGCAACCGGACGGATGACTGGTAATGCTCGATTCCTCCCAAGTTTCGGGATAGGGAACTTCGTTCTGTACTTCTGTGCCGACTTCCAAGGAGCCCCCATTAGAGACAATGGTATTTTTGTTAATACTCGAGCAAGCGCGGATGTAAAAAATTTGACACTGGCAAGATCTATCAATGGCTATCCTCTTCCAGGCGGTGCCTTTGTTCGATTTAAATCACCAGGGAGTGATGGCATCCTAGCGAGAGTCGGGGTCAGCTATAAAAGCAGTAAACAGGCCTGCTCAAATGCCGAATCGGAGATCCCTTCTTTCGACTTTGCTGCCACTCAAAAAACAGCGAATAGTATGTGGAGGGATAAGATCAATCCCATTAGGGTTTCCACTGATGGAATTGACTCATCCATCCTGACAAACTTTTATTCCGGGATTTATAGAACCATGGTCAATCCCCAAGACTATACCGGGGAGAATCCCTTATGGGAAAGCTCAGAGCCATATTTCGATTCATTCTACTGGTGAGTAGCCGCCATAACCATTCGAATTGGGACTAATATTATCAAGTATATGGGACTTATTCCGCTCGCAGATGCCGTTTTTGACAGTCCTGGATCCAGTCACTATTACTCGGCAGGTTCGATCCCTAATTGATACATATCGCCATTTAGGCTGGTTGCCAGACTGCCGAATGAGTTTGTGCAAGGGATACACGCAGGGTGGCTCGAATGCCGATAACGTGCTGGCCGATGCCTATATCAAGGGTCTTTCGGACGGAATCGACTGGGAAACTGGCTACCAAGCCGTTGTCAAAGATGCAGAAGTTGAACCTTATTTTTGGTCTGTGGAGGGACGAGGAGGCCTTGATTCATGGAAATCTGTGGGTTATATTCCAGTTGAAGACTTTGACTACAAAGGTACCGGGACCATGACAAGAAGCGTATCTCGCACGCTCGAGTACAGCTATAACGACTTTGCCATTTCGCAGATTGCTGCCGGGCTTGGTGGCAGAGACAGCCATGTGGAAAAGTATACATCTCGAAGTGGAAATTGGCAGAATATTTTCAAACCCGATCAAAAAGGAGGAAACGTTGGGGGCAAAGATTCGGGATTCACTGGCTTCCCTCAACCGAGATACCTGAACAAAACCTTCGGATTTCAAGATCCCCTCACCTGCAGCAATATTGACACTAATCCAAACAGCGTCTGCTCGCTACAGAGAACTGCTGGAGAAACCTTTGAGAGTAGTATTTGGGAGTATTCATTGTAAGCCCGTGTTCCATTACTTATGCCGATGGCAAGTTTGCCATCGGAGGGACCGGCCACTGACTTCAGCGACCAGTTTTGTTCCTCACGACCAAGCAACTTTAATTACAAAATTCGGAGGCCCAGATGCATTTGTGAAACGCCTGGATTACCTCCACGACAATAAAATCACGTACATCGGCAATGAGCCAGCATTTCTGACTGTCTTCCAATACCATTATGCAGGTCGCCCTGCTCTTTCTGCAAAGAGATCGCATTTTTATATTCCCGCCTTTTTCAACATCACCCACGATGGACTCCCAGGCAACGATGATAGCGGTGCTATGGGATCATTCGTCGCCTTTTCAATGATTGGCTTATTCCCCAATCCGGGTCAAAACGTATACCTCATAACACCGCCATTTTTCGAACGTGCCACTATAACTTCTCCCGTAACAAACAAGTCCGCGACAATCCGAAACATTAATTTCGACCCAAGCTATAAGAACATATATATCCAATCGGCTACCTTGGATGGAGAGCCATACACAAAGAACTGGATCGACCACTCTTTCTTTACTGAAGGGAAGGAACTCGTCCTAACGCTTGGAAGTGCGGAAAGTTCTTGGGGGACACAGGTTGCTGATTTGCCACCGAGTTTGGGGACATATCAGGGATATGGGAATTCCACTGGAAATGGCACAACAACTCCTGAGAAGAGAGCCCAAGTATTTGAGGATGCTCTAATCAGTCGTCTCACTGAGAAGACAGGAGCTAATTATTGGGCTCATGAAGAGGGTTGAGGATGAAACAGAGTGATCTGGAACTCGTCGTAGGCGTATCTCTCTCTTAGAAGAGTATAGCGGGTGATATGGGGGATACTCGTCCATTTTAAATGGGCATTGAACGTCTTAGGTTAGAATAGGAGGCTAATCGATAATGTTAAGCAACAAGGAGAATTCGTAAAATCCTATGCAGCTACGACTTTTCCTCCAACACCGGACTCCCACTTTCATCATATACCTAGTATCGCAGCGCGTCTCTGAATCAAAAATATTACTGCGAACCCCCAAGAAACTCCTGCTTGACCAGATTCTTGCTAACAGATTGGTAGCTATTCCAAATGATGCTGAGGTGTCCATTTTGTTATTCCTACACCCCCGAGCTCTGCCCACTGGAGTCTCGGGTCTGCTATGTTACACCCAAGGATTCCCCGACCGTTAGACCAACGTCGTCCGGATATACAAATGCTACGCATCGGAATGTTAACAGCCAGATGGCATCGATCGTATCTTGTCAAAACACTGAGAGTGGAGTATCCGAAGTCTTCGAAGAATAATTACTATCGATATGGCTGTTGAGATGGAGAACATATCGTAGCTACGTCTGTTCTAGATTAGAAGGGCGGCTACTGTCCAGCAGTCAACTACGAAGTAATATGCCGTTGTTCCGATATTTACCAAACTCTCCTGCGCTTAGTACCACCAAAAAATTGTTAGGCTTGTTGAGATGCAGATCAGCTACTGTTTACGACGCATCTAGGGTCATTGACAGGAACCGGGAGTCTGATACAACACAATCGTACTTGAGCGCAAAGGACATTAAAATCCAGACCGACGGTCCAATTTCGGGTAGAGTGTAGATGTATTCTTTACTAAAAGGTCGTGTTTTTGAGGAGTATATGACTATAGTTCAGAACTCCAATCATGTAACTCTTACGAAGTGTTTTTTGTCCATGGGTTGGATCCAATTCTTCTTCAAGTATTCAATATTTGAGTGTCGTTCTAGGCCATGCTTTAGTTTATGTGCCATTCTATTGAGTCCCCGGAGTTAGCCTTGGCTGCAGCTCGAGGTAATCCATCATTGACGTGATATGTATCATACCATTAATCTACCTTGTATTCAGCTTGTTCTTCTTCCTACCATCTTTCCTTGGGTCTTGATTACGAACGGATTCGATTCAGGATATCACTTCACCCACCGACGTCATCTCATTGAGTGAATAAATCTGTGAGCGAGCATCTCACGTTTACTGAGTCACATATCCTCCATACCTTGCGTCTGGCTACGCAGCTAATACAACCGCAAGCTAAAATATTACCCACTCACACCACCGCGGTGAGCGTCAATCAATACACCGGAAATAAGTTTCACCATTGCGCAGATCAATCGATATCATCATCCATTACTCTCACCAGGCTAGAACTTTGAAATGGAGAATAAAGATATCGAGAGGTGTACGGCGAGGGACGTAGAGGGACAAACGACGACACAGAAGCGGAGCTGGCGATTCTATGGGACCTTCGCATGTCTGGCCCTTCTAAACTTCATATGCGCAATAGACGCTACTATCCTTTCGGTGGCATTACCAGTAAGCCACCCACTACTACGCTTGAATATCTGCTGATCCTCAATGCTCATAACAGACCATTGCCACTGACTTGAAAGGCACCACGGCTATTCAAGCCTTCTGGTGTGGAACTTCTTTCTTGCTAACCTCGACCGTCTTTCAGCCCTCCTGGGCGTCTTTTTCACATATAATTGGACGGAGATCGGTGTTGCTTACCGCCTTGGTGCTCTTTACTGTTGGAACTATAATTGCATCTGCAGCCAAGCATATCGCATACTTGCTCATGGGAAGATGCGTTCAGGGTATTGGAGGCGGTGGACTGGTTAGCCTCACCTACGTCGTAGTTTCCGACATGGTTACATTGAGGGAGAGAGGGAAATGGTTCTCAGTGATATCTTTACAATGGGCAATCGGTAGTGTTGTTGGGCCTGTGATCGGAGGGGCTTTCGCAGAAAAGACGACATGGAGATGTAAGTTTAACCCCTTCTTTTTGTGATTTGCTTACGAGGCTGCCGGGCAAGACATAACCCCCCTAATATATCCCTTGAGTTGTTTGCGGCTATTCATGTTCTTGGCCAAGCAACTACTAACTTGCTGCCATTTACTAGGGATCTTTTGGCTTAATTTACCTTTCTGCGCAATTGCTGCGCTGGGTATACCCATTTGTCTTCGACTCAACTCTCTTGGAGGCTCAGCTTGGACAAGATTGAGGAAATTCGACTGGCTCGGCTCATTCATATTTGTAGCTGCAGCTACGAGTTTCCTAATTCCATTGACATGGGTGGGTCATTTCCCCGCGAAAGCCTTGATATTAAACTAACAATAGATGCAGGGTGGGGTTATGTATAGCTGGTCAAGCTGGCGAACGCTGGTACCACTGGTTCTCGGACTTGTTGGTTTGGCTAGTTTTATCGTCTACTCTATATATGTCTCCTCGGAACCACTCATTCGCCGGACCCTTTTCAATACCCCCACAGCTGTTGTTGCCTATATCGGAACAGTTCTCCACGGAATCATAGTATGGAGCATACTCTATTATATGCCTCTTTACTTCGAAGTAGTTAAAAACTATAGTGCCATCACGTCGGGTGTAGCACTATTCCCATTTACATTCACAATATGTCCAGCGGCTATCGTGGTCGGAATTGTGATTACTAAAACCGGTCGGTATAGGCCCTCGATCGTATGTGCTGGCTGTATCTTTCACCAGAAAACGGGCTAATCTAAATGTAGTGGATCGGTTGGTTCCTTACAACCCTAGGTATGGGTCTCCTTATTATCTTGAAGGAGTCGACAAGCACCGCATGCTTCGTGTTCCTCTCACTTGTAGGTGGCTTCGGAACGGGCATGCTATTCTCTGCACAAGGTTTCGCAGCACAGGCTACTGTGTCCAATCCTGACCTCCCGTTCGCCGGTGCCATGTACTCGTTCTTCCGCGCCTTCGGACAAACCCTGGGAGTCGCCGCTTCGGGAGCCATATTTCAGAATGCTTTCAAGGAAAGTATTTTGACGACGGGATATTCGGAATATGCAGAAGACTGGTCCCGCGATGCCAGTAGTTTCGTGCAAGTTGTAAAATCATGGAGCAGCCATGAAGAACATGCTCCTATGAAAGCAGTGGCCGTGGCAGCATACATCAAGAGTCTTCAGATGGTTTGGGCGGTCATGTGTGTGCTAGCCGCAATTGCATTGGGCTGTTCCCTTCTGTGGATTGATGAGATCAGCTTGGAGAGAGAGCTGGAAACCGACCAAGGCTTTATTAACCGTCCGAAGAAGATATCACTAGAGTCCAAGGAGGAGCGTACGAGTAGTTCGAGTCATCGAAAAGGGTGAAATGGGCATACGGAGTCGTCATATTTCGAGATTTTAGATCAGATTCGAAGACAACGTCTCTCCCTTTTAACAAATTTGATAGAGAGTGGAAATTTATATTTAATAGACCGATATTGATGTATACTTGGGCGTATTAGTATCTCCGCTCGGCGGAGTAATAAGCTACGCCCGCAAATTCTTAGTGCTCTTAGTATTTTGATAGGATCGTGACGGGTGAATCTAAAAGCGGGATACTAGCACCAGGAGCTAGTTCGAGGGGCTATATAAAGCAAATCACTCGCACCTATTCCAATAATTCACCTCGAGTATTCGCTAGTCAATTTCGTCGTGTGTCTACTTGATCCCCCTCTCAGAAGCTGAGCAACTAGTGTGTCGAGGACGGCTTTTGCGAAGTGTGGTCGGAGGGGGATGAGACTCGCTCGAGTAACTAATTCCAAACACAACATGCTAATAAATACTCGAGAATGTGCATCATTTCAAGTCGGTGAACCAGGTTTATTCCTGACAGTATGCTCTACGAGAGGTATAGATGATTCAATATCCACTCGGCCTGCGTCAACGCGGCTGTATAATACCCCAAGGCCGCGGGAGAGTATTCTGTTAGATATTCGCGAAGGCAGGATACGAGCTGCTGGTTACTTCACATGCGCTTGCAAACTTCCGTTTTTCACCTGCCGATGAACTACTGCAAAGCGCGCACATCCTTTGGCTTGATACTTATATCATGTAAATGTACATGACTTGTTTTGCTACAGTATAAGTCCTCGCCTTATCTGCAGGTGTGGGTGGCGGAAATGGGCACGACGGACGTAAATTCCTGATCATTTAAGCTCTGATTATGTCGAAGCAAGCCCTTATCTATTAAGGGGGGAATGTTTCGCCGACCACGCTCTGCACACATTACCATCTACACATCGAGTCGCAGGTCTCAATTCCATACTAAGATGCTATGTTCCTTCTGGTCCAGATTGTCTCGGAAGATGTCCACAGATTCCAAACCACAGCAATACGAACAGTTATTCCGTTATACTAGTGGGAGGTGGGATGTGGGATGAAGAGAAGGAGCTTCGTGAGAGATATAAGAGGTTCGACGTTGAAGAACTCAAACGCATTGCAGCCGAGAGCATTAGTGTAAAGTCTTGCGTCTCAAGGATCAAGCTAGGTGAAGCTGGGTACAACAGGGTCTTTAAATTGGTGATAAAAAATGGTTCCATTGCGATTGCACGCATCCAATTTCCCAATGCTGGCCCAGCATTCAAGACTACCGCTTCTGAGGTTGCAACCATGGAGTTTGTCAGTCACCCCCCAAACTCAATTGGAGAAGCAAATTCTAAAATATCGCTATCCTAGGCTAGAGCTATTCTAAATATACTGGTCCCTAGAATCTACGCCTGGAGTGCGGTGACCTATAATCCCGTCCAAACTTAATATACTATCATGGAAGAGGCTCCTGGAATATCGGTAGCAGATATATGGAAGGATATAGGGCTTGAATCGAAAGATAGAATCATCGATGCCCTAGTGGCTATTGAGAACAAGCTACTCTCGGTAGCCTTTACACGGTTAGTTCCAGGACAGTACTCTAGAATTCTAGTAGCCTAGTTAGGTATGGCAACGTTTACTTTGCAAGAGATTCATTCCCTGGATGCGAGAAAGCAGAAATATCTAGTAGTAGTAGTCTTCCTCTGGAACTGAAAATGGAGGTCGAAGAGCGATTCACGATTGGTCCAGTGGTAGAGCATGTGTTTTGGAAGGAGGATCGGGCATCAATGCCAATCGAACGGGGCCTATGTAAGCAATCAAGCAGGGTATTATATATAATAAAGATCACGTACTAATTTGTATATAGGGAAAACTGCTCAAGATTATCTGAAGGCTCTAGAAAATAACCAATATAATCAGACACGCCAGAATCAATCCTGGTTAACCATCTTTGCACCATCTTTCTTCTTGGTAGGGGCCAGGAATGGGACTTCGATGAAGCAGAAGACTTTGGTATATAATATTCTTTGTTTTTTATTCACACGAACGATGAATAGAACTGACGTTTGCCAATGTGTGTTGAATCCAAAGAAGAATATGTGAATTCAGCATTTCGTGTAGGCTTAAAGCTAGAATTCGCATTGTTGTATGGGTTACATCCAGACAATAAATATACACCTGAAGAGACGGAAAGATGGTATAGTCAGACACCATCGCAGTATATCGGGGAGTTAGTTCGAAACTACCATGCTTTGTTGCTGCGTTTGTGGGAAGATAGAGCAAAGGACAGACTACCGAGAGGTTCGAAGGGGAAAGAGGGGGAGATAGAAAATGTTAACACATAGATTAACAGGCTTTGCGGGGCAAAGACGGTGGTCGGAATGCATGTGCCATAGGAAAATTAGATGACAGTGATAGGACCTTTCGAAATAGGAGGTGGGGGGACTGGATATGGGACCAGTCACATCGACAACGTAAAGAATATAGTGGTCTTCTTGCGTGACAGAAGGATGAAGCGGAGTAGATTATACTCCTTTATTATTATTATTATTTCAGTATAAGAGAGAGATACTAAGTTCAAGTTAGTTTATATTAATATAACACACTTTAAGTTCCTATTAAAAATACCCATCAAATTTAAGACGAAAGTCCAAGTAATAACAAAATTATATCGATTCCAAATTAAGTTTCAAATAACTTATAGCCAGACCCTGTTTGGCCCTTGTTAGGGGCTATCCCAGCTCCTGTGACCGGTTATACCAACTACGTTTCGACGTTTTGAGGGAGGACAGAGGATCAGAAACAGCAATGATCACGTGATCACACATTCAATCCTCTTGCTCTAATTCCGGGTTCGGTATTATATTTCTAAGTGTCATGGCAAGTTGATCTTTCTTTTATACCTCAAAAACTTTCCCAGTGAACAATATCAAGTACTAAAGGCCGGTGAGGACCATCCATTTCGGGTTTAGTTCGGCAGACCAATGAGTGGCTCAGCTTCTTGGCCAAGATTTCAACGTCCGTCAGCTTGGAGAGCCTAGGCTTATGCAAGACACTAAGAGATTATGAACTCCCAAAAGCCTCGGAAGAGGTCGAGATGGCTGTCGAAGGTCTTTGGGAAGGAAGAGGCCTCGCAACCAGGCCAAACCTTGAAGCTAGCAGCAGTGGGGCCCAGTTCCGACCAAGCTTTCCCGCACGGGGCGACCCGCAGGTTGAAGGAAGCGACTGCAACGTCCGAACCTCCTCCCCCGCCTTACACTAAATCTCATGAGAATACTACTCAGAGTGTTACGATAGTCCAGACAACTGAGACGGCAGATTTATCCCAGAGCTTAAAGCCCAAAGATGGGGCCCACCCAGGCCTGCCTGAGGGGAAGGCTGAGGATCCACTGGCTTCAGATGTGAAGGATGCTTCCTTCTCTGATATCAAGGACACTGAGCAGCCCAAACCTGGACGGATGTCTGGTCTCCAAGCACTTGCCAATAAAAAAGAAGACCTAAAAGCGCCAACTGTTGCAATTCTGTCAGCACCAGCGGTTGACACTCGCAAGACAGCGAAAGGCTCCTCTCGTACTCAAAAGGCAGGATTCAAAGATGAAGAAGCCGTGCCCCGAATTCTTGACCCTAAGGTGTCAATGTACAGTGCTGGGTTGTGGGAGAAGACGTATACTCAAGTGTCTGGCAATGAGAAGCACAAGGAGCTTTTCATTAAGTACGAAGCCATCTTAGACGAAAACTCTCCCAGCAAAGCAAAGAATGCAAGCTTCCCTCAGAAAATGGAAGCAAATGTACAAAAACAAATCAGTGTCATGAAGCAAAAGCAATGGGTCCTGCAATGGGATAAGAAAAGCATTGTCATTCGAGACCAAGCAGAGAGAATTGTGAAGTTCGTGCAAACTTTCTCGGCTTTGGGGGATGCAATTGCGCAGATTGATCCTATTCAGTTAGTATATTGTCCTCTTGATTTTACGAATCCAATAGCTGAGCTCTTGCAACATGTCTTGAGAGTTCGGCTTCTTGGCCTTTGGATCATCAGTTGAGAATATATACTAATAAGCGGACAGCGCTGGGATCCCTTGGGCGGGAGTTTGTGCGATGCTTACGCTCATTCTGAATGATTCGACGCAGCATCAGGATGTCCTTAATGGGATTGAGGATATATCTACCATTATTGGGAAGTACATTGCCATTGAGGATGTTTATGTGCAGAGCTGTGAAGTAAGTCCCTGCTCGGAGAGTAATGTCGCCTTTGAGAAGTGCATTACCAATGTATATTCGAGTGTGCTACTCTTCCAGGTCAAAGCTGCTCTCCATTTTCACAGGCCAACGGTGGCCAGAACGGTATCGAATATTGTCAAATCCGTCGATTGGACGGAGCTACTCTCGAAGATAAAGAAATGCGACACAGAATGTCTAGCTATGGCATCAATGGCAGGAACGTCGAATATGACAAGCGGAATCAGCTCCATCAGCGATAATATCTTGGACATCCAACAGAAATGGAAAGAGATCGAGGACATTAGTGCGATCGTCAAGAAGCTCGAAGCTGGCTGGGAGAAGAAACAGAAAGACATCAAAGCCATGATCGAATGGATATCAGAGGTTCGAGTTGGGATAGAGCATGAGCGAGCACGAACTAGTCTGGGAGAAAGATATTGGAATTCAGGCCAGTGGTTCTTGCATGGCTCGGATTTTAAGAGCTGGACAGCCTCGGTTCATGGGAGCTTCTGGTTGCAAGGCTCTGTTGGAACTGGAAAAACGAGTATTGCTTCTATTGTCATCAATGAGTTGATTAAGTCGGGTGAAAATCCAAGCGTTGGGTTCTTCTATTGCCGCGCCACGGGAGAAGTGCCGAATAATCCAACAGCCATCTTCCGAAGTCTTGTGGCTCAATTCGCTTCCACTATTGATGGTGATGATGTGTATCCCGTCATCAGAGACTGGTATCAGAGAGAAGCCAAGCACTACGTCACTGGCAGTCGGCTCACTATCAGCCAGTGTGAGGATTTATTGGTCAAGTTAATGACACTACGAGGGAAGACCCTCATTGTGATTGACGGAATTGACGAATGCAGTGCCCCTATGGAGCTGCTGAGATCTCTCTATGACGTTTGGAAGAATTTTCCCAAGCTCAAAGTCTTCTTGACAAGTCGACTAGACGTTGAAATATCAAGTGTCTTCCATAGGATACCAACAGTACAATGCGAAGTCTCCAAGACATCAGATGATATCAGGGAGTACATCACCCAAGAGTTAAATCGAAAGGAGAGGCGAAACAAGAAAGTCATCACAGACGAGCTAGCTGAGCGTATGACCAACATCTTGGCCAAGAGAGCTCAGGGAATGTTCCGTTGGGTCGAACTCCAACTCGACCTCCTTATTAACTCAGAATGGCGCATCAAATACCGCAAAGACTTTGAAGACCGTCTCAATCAACTCGAGCATGGATCCGGCCAAGAGGTCCTCGACTCCCTCCGAGAAACCTACGATCTCATCTACGCCCGCAACACGCAAGGACCACATAGTCGCCGCGTCGCAGAAAAAGCGCTCAAGTGGGTCCTATGTGCTGCTCGACCTCTTAAAATCTGGGAACTGGGTGCTGCGGTGTGTGTTGATGGAGAGGATAAAGTCAAGACAGATTTGATTGTCGCTATATGTAGTAATTTCTTCACCGTTGATCCGAGAGGCGTTGTGCAGCTTGCGCATTTGTCGGTGAGGGAGTATTTAGAGGTTAAGGAGGTGGATGGGAGGTTGATTTACTCACCGGAGGAGACTCATGCTGCTGCTGCCTATACTTGCTTGCTGTATTTCAAGAACACGGCGAGGCTTGTGGCAGAGCAGAGAGAGTATGATGTTGATGTTGAGGAAGTAGAGGCGAGTGATGAGGATGAGGATGAGGACGAGGATGAGGACGAGGAGTCGGATGTCGACGATGACGCCAGAAAAGAAGAAGCAAGTGAAGTTGATCCAACAGCGAGAAATAATATGGCAGAAAGAGATTTGATTCAAGAAGATGCAGATCGCGTATACCGCGAAACTATAGAGGCTCATAAAACCGCCTCTTCCCTATTCGGAGAAGAAGGGGAGGATGCGAATGCTACGAAAAGTCCGTACGACGCTCCCAATGCCGATTACTTCGGCCTCGCAGACGAATACCTGATGGCCGACTTAGCACCCACACTAGAGCCTAGAGAAGCCATCAAGCGCTTCCAACGCTACGCCTCCATATATTGGGCGACGCACTGCGAAGCCGCGAAGAAATTCCGCACTAATGAATCCAGCACCCTCAATGAGCTATTCTGGGAATTTTTAGAAGATGATGGAGAGAACCCTGCGTTTCAGCAGTGGACGACCGCGCTGTTTAACGAGTCAAAATTGGCGAGCTTGCCGACCATTCATCCTGCCCCAATGATTTTCATACCGACAACTGCCCATCAGCAGCAAATTCTCGACGCGGAGCCTATGTATAATCGTTGGGCGGAGATCATTGCGCATGTTGGAGGGTTGCAGCCCCTGAAACCGAGCGTTTCACTGATAGCTTGCTCCTATGGCTTCATTGATGTCTTGCAGGAGATCTCGGAAGATGGCTCGGCGCTGGTAACTTGCAATCACCAAGGTATCCCAGGAATCGTGCTCGCTACACGGAATGGATTTAATGAGGCCCTTGATCTCCCAATTCCCCTGGATCTTGATCTTGATGTTCGAGACAAAGAGGGCCGTACTTTGCTTCACCATGCAGCTTTCAACGGCTCCTTGGAGCTAGCGCGTATACTGCTCGGCTACGCTCATAAGGCCAGCCGTCGAAAAAGCAAGAAGGCACGCCAGCTGCGAGTGGACGTGAATGCGAAAGATTTATGCCAGCGTACACCTCTACACATAGCAGCACAGTATGGACAGCTCCAGGTGCTAAAATTGCTGCTACAAGAAGAAAAGGTGGATGTCCATGTAAGAAACGATAACGGCTATACAGCTTTGGGGATGTGCGCCACTAGGCCAGAATTGGCAGGCCTCTTGCGAGCTGATACGAGATATAAGGTCGAGGATGAGTTTGAATGCGACGGGGTAGGGGATGGCTACTCTAAGAATATCACGGCGTGGTATAGAATGGATAAAGTCCCATGGAAGTCGGATGAGGTAACCCAGGAAGCCGAAGGACCACCGGAAGCGATTAAAGGGTCGCCTCATATGGAGGGTAGGGAGGAGGGGGGAAATAACCATGGCAAGGGCAATGAAAATCGCGATGCTGCGTCCGAGAAAGAAACCAAGATCAAGAGCAGTGGATGGGGTGCTATCGCTGCTGGAATCGCAGGCACAAGTGCCGCAGCTATCATCAGAACTTCCGAGAAGCCGGAGAAAGAAGGGGTTGTTATAGAAGGAGACCAAGGACTTGGTGGGGATGGGATATTGAGCCCTATGATTAGGGTGACGTATCATGTGTAACGGGTTGATTTATCAGGGAGTGGGCGATGAGGAATGAGAGTCAAGTGATTTGGTAGAGTGGAGACTATGAATGTAGTGACTATGAATAGCGTGAGGGCTGATTGGGAAAGAAGTTGGGGAAAGGGGGTTTAAGAGATGAATGATTGTAATAGCTGAATAAAGCAAACATAAAAAGACCAAATTTCAGTTTCAGTTAAACATAGGGGAGGTGGCCGTTGAGCTAATCTGATAACAGAGATCCCATTCTAATTACCAGGGACCCGTTCTGGCCCATCTCAAAGACACACAGAGGGTGACTACGAGCTACTACGGGTGGTGACCAGAGGCGAGGATCAAAGCAGCGATGAGTCACGTGCGACCTGGCTTGGCGGGCACTCAGAACAAGTTAATCTCAGACGACATTTAGCAGACTGTCGTCTCCAACATAGTTAGTTGGCATCGCCGCTCTGCCCAGGCGCTACTCACCCTCGCCTCACCCTCTACTCAAGTTGCTCAGTCATATTCGCACTCTCCCTTTCAATGACTAATCGTGATTTACGGTTCTACTATACAAAAGCTATCGCCCCTATACAACTTTATTCGGAGGACCTAACCGGCTCCTAGGGAGCTCAAATAGGAACCTCCTAAAATGCTTTTTTGGATCTCTTAGAGGAAATTTTTGCGCAGTCGCCCCGGGACCTAATTCGGCTCCCACTTACTCTAGCGTACCCTATACGCCACTACCTGAAATTAATTTTATTATTTGGAGTACTACAATTGCGAGTATTTCTATTTGAAATACTGTACCTCGAAGTAGTTATATCTAAAGTATAATACCTTAATATACTACTGGATAGTATATGTACTTAATTTATACTGTAATTCAGACTATATTATCTTAATGTATACGAATTGGGCCTATCTACGAGGTTTGCACCTTTCCCGCCTATTTTTCCCTAAAATAAGTAAGGTATACCTAATAGTCGATTTTTAGTAGCTTTGTATAGAACTACGTAATTTCCAAGAAATATGAAGAGGCAGAATTATAGTTTAAGTATTCAAAATATAATCCAAATACTCTTATTCGACGTTATTATATAGAATTAAAGCACTATAACAAGAACTGTGATTTTTTATTTCTGCGTACTGACCAGGTCGCTGACTTTTACCAGATTAAGTAGTTGAGTCAGTAGCCAGTTCGGGGGCCACCAACAAACATGTTCTTATAATCTAATGCTCAGAATTCCCCTGACACTCATATCGCCCTTTATAAGAAATACCTCAGTCTCTCCGTATATTCCCCCCAAAGATGAGAGGATAGCTCGGTCCACTCTTTGGTATTGCGATATATATGCCCTAAATCTCTTCGTCAAAGATGATCGAATCACTAGCCTTATTGATTGCCCATCTGTATGGGCTAGTCCTCGGTTCCTTCAACACGGCTATCCAAAGCTCGTGAATTACACTGGCGACGTAATGTTGCGACTTCCTAGTAATTACGAAGAAATAGAAAAGAACAAAAAAGAACGGATCGTAAACCAGGTTGAGAGATCCCTTGTATAATATTTATACGAAACAGAAACCAAGAAAATAGATTCGTTGTTTGTCGAAGTAAGCGGTCTCCCTCATGGAATTACAAGAAGACAAACAATCGAATTCGCTAAGGACACTTAAGACAGAGATATTTTATCCTTTAAGCAGTATCTAATCAGATTAAAGAAGTGTGTCCTACTATCCTTATTTTCACGAAATAAGCTAATGAATATGCTAAGGCATTGGAATAAAATGAGATTCGATGTTCCTTGCCCTATCCATTTTACTAAGGAAGATTTACAGAACCATATGCGAGACGGTGAATGATGGAACGAGCAGGCCGATTTCTGGGATAGATTGGAGGGTTTTATTGCCCGTAACGGGTGGATTTCGAATGAAACTTATAAAGCAGCTCTCGAGATGTTTGCTGAACTTGGAGAGGAGGGATTGAAGCAAATGACTGGCGAGGAAAGGGAGCATTTTGAGAAGCAGAGCAGGTGGGTTAGGAGAAATCAATAGGAAATGTACAGTTTTGTAAAATCATTAAACCTGCGTATACTTCCGTCGAGTTGGCACGAGCCTTCAGGAAGTGAGAAGGTGGAAGGTTTTGGATCGGCAAATGCGCCTACTTGTCTAAATTTAGGAATATCTGGAGAAGGATCGCCGTCTTTGTTGTCGATTTGGGCTAATCTATTACAGGTGCAATAGTTTTTTGCAAAGTCTTCTATGAACTAATCACTCCAACCATCCACTTGTCTACAGCGCTACGAGAAAACTGCATCTCAGCATCACTAAAGACTTATCGAAATCTTGAGATCCATGCGATTATTGAGTTAGTGTTCAAGCTAGTCGGCACGTTATACAGGAGCAGGGTAGCGTTTGATCCAGAAGTATTCAGGAAAATCACAACGCATTTCCAGATAGCGAAGTGCAATTTGTATTCTCAGGTATTAGAGTAATAATAGAACTGAAGAGATCCGGCAGCCACATCTCTCTTTTTTACAACAACGATGCCTAGCTCGCGTTCTTTTGGGCCAGTGCGAAATTATTTATTTCTGATTGTAATATTTGCAATACCCCCACTCTATTTATTGAATAAGAGTGCGCAAACTCCCGCAGGCACAGTCACAATGCTGTTGCTTTTTATTTCATCGTCGCTCCGGGTGACGTTTTCTGTAGAAGTATAGAGAGAAGTTAGCATATCGAATATCTCCGATTATGAGAGAGCCTTATGAGATCTTTGACCCATATGCTAGTGACATCCTCGACTCTCATCCCTTCTTGATTCACTTTCTTATCTTGCTTCCTCGCCATAATATTCGTAATATTCGGCTACTCCTGCAAGGAGTTCCCTCGTGGTGAAACAGACACTGCTGTAACGATAGCTTTCGAGTTGTAAGTCCGATAGGTTGTGAGGAGTTGCATATAAGTTGAGGCTTTGTATTGCTGCTCAACTCGATAGAGTTATCGCTTGCGAAACAACTCAGTGGACTCGTTCTTCTATGGCCCGGTGGATTGAAACAAGAAGCAGTATCATCATCAACGGCACAAAAAATTGTTCTGTTAATACCGCAGCCTTCTGCATCAACATGATATGGAAGCCTTCTCGGAAACGTTACTAGAGCTCGCAGAGGCCCCTATTTGAAGCCCAGCTCGATTATACCTCAGTCACCATCTATATTTGTGCCGGGAATCCCTTTCTGATCAGGAAAAGTGATCACCTCGTGATCGTAATAGTTATTAGGATTATAAGTCGAGGAACAAGCCAAAGTAGTAGCTATAAGTAGATAAACTAGAACTCCGCCTAGTAGCCTAGATTAGACTCGGAGAAGAATTAATTAACTTAATTACTTTAATACCTCTATTCTAAGTCCTATAACCTAACAATAATAGAACCTTTTTAATATAACTAATGCATTGTTTAACTAATAATAGGATTAAAAAGTAGACTTTTAATTTAGAACTACGAGCAGGTAGATCAAGAGCGCATTGATTTATAAAATAATTATGATTTGTACACCTAGTTAAATAGAGTCGGGTGATATTAGGCTGTTATAATAGTAGCATCCTTAATAGACTAACAAAAACGGCGCTGCTTCACTAACATTCTGTCAGCTTGAGACAAAATAATAGAATCGTCCAATGAAGTGAAGTGGTCTACTATCTAAATGAGCGGAGAGTGCTTTTTATTTTACATCTATCATAGAACCCCCCATCATTCGTCTTGCTAATAGACGACGTGACCGGCTATCTAAATGAGTGGAGAGTGCCTGTTATTTTACATCTATCATACAACCCTCCATCATTCGTCTTGCAGCATATCTCCCAACATCTCTTCAATATGATCCCACATGGTATAATGGCTTTTTCCCTCGTACTCCTTCAGCACGGCATTTGACAGCCGCGCAGCCATATAGCGCCCCATCTCAGGAGGCGTATTGACATCCTGCTTGCCATACCAAAGCCTAATCCCAGGATACTTAACCTCGTCTAAGTCAAAGCCCCAATGCTTTGTGGCTAACTTGTTGTCCTCCACATAACCTTTCGAGGAACCCTGTCTAAATACCTCCCTGTCGATCTTGACAAGTCCCTGAATAACTTCCTCGCTTCCCAAAGCCTTCATATCTATCTGTGGCAAATACTTGATCTGCTTCCGAATCATGTCTTCCGTCTTCTCCGGACTTTCCATCTGAACCTTAGGAACAACATATCGATCGAAGATCTTCGCAAATACCCATGGATGCTTCTCCCATACCCGGAGCCCGATACGATTAAGCAGGCTCGCCCCGTCCAGGCCCGCCTCCCATGGCCCGACACCAAAACCAATGCCTACCGAGCGAAGTTGATCTCGCGGTAGTAGCTTCGCGCAAGCTAGGGCATATCCTGTGCCACCACTGACGCTGAATATTCGATATCTGCTAAGCTTTAGATGATGTATTAAACATTTTAGATCATCGACCCAGCCAAGCACAGTGCGATTGGGATGAAACGTCGACAACCCAATTCCTGGTCTGTCAATGCCGATCCAGCGGATATTGAGCTTCCTAGCGATTGCCTGGTCGGAAGGCAATAAGCACGCATCAAGACGGGTGTCGGGAATTCCGTGGAGAAAGATAAATGGATGGGCGTCGGGAGCCTTAGAACCGTACTCTGCGTACGCTAGATTGCGACCGTCAGGAAGCTTAAGGACCCGGCAATCATCAGGAACAGGATATCTGAGGTATTCCCGCGGTACGGATTCTAGGGTTGCAGCTACGCTATGGCATTCTGGTGTACGATTGGGAAAAGGAGTATTTATTGTAGATAGAGACGGCATGGATTGGCGTGCAACGGGCCCTGGAGATCTCGAGGCACACGAAGCCAGACCCGTAAGGCTTCTCCTTGGAGCCAAACGAAGAGCCATCGGAAGCAAAACTGCAAGTTAGTATGTGCGTACTCGTATATAGTAGTCGTGAGCTCCAAACCAGCACTACGAAGTGTTAAATAGTGAATCTAGTAATGGTCCTGCTGCCCAATGACTCACGATACTCCCCTGTGTAGTATTAATAGAATGCCTAGGGAATATGACATCGTCGTCATGGTACGCGGACACACCCATCTGCCCCTGACTGGAACCGGCCCGGACCCGGACCCGGCGCGTCTCCCGAACATCGTCGAACCATTGCACACCAACCAAGAGTAACTCCAGGAACCTGGAAAGTTATTATCGACCTGTACACACCCACTGGTGGACAGTTTACCGTGAATGCACTGTTTTCACTCGTTAACCATCATTCTTCTCATTAGTTAAAATTTGAACATGCTCTAAATGCCCCTGGTACTGAAAAGAACTCCATGAGTAAACGTACTCGTACATCCGTCTCAGCTTTGGCCAGACCGGTCGCACACCTCCTCGACCAGAGATAGCATCACCATGGATCGCCGCGACGAAGCAGGGCAAAGCCGGGAGGGCCTTCTCCGCTCGTACAAACGTGGAGAGAGCATCCCAATGCGCAAATCTCTTGAAGAAGCCTACCGCTCCGACAGCGAATCCGATCTAGACGCCACGGAATTTCTGGACAGCGAACCCCTCGATACCAGTTCGAAGCCTCCTCCCCCCGCACACCAGCCAGCTACGTGGCTGCGAACTCTGCAAAATATATGTGCTCGACGGTCGAAATGTATTCTTATGATCATTTTCGTTCTCATCATCTTTTGGATGATACTGGGAGGTGGGGGTTTGTTTCTATACAAACAGAAGCCAGTGGATGGAGAATCTCCGCCATGGTATCCGACACCCCCCGGAGGGACTGTGGCACAATGGAGCGAGAGTTATAATAAGGCTGCGGAGCTGGTCAAGAAGATGACTCTGGCGGAGAAAGTGAACGTTACAACTGGCACTGGGTGGCAGATGGGACTGGCTGTTGGAAATACTGGTCCCGCAATCCATGTTGGATTCCCGGGATTGGCATTGCAAGATGGTCCTCTTGGACTGAGATTCGCCGACAATGCCACAGCGTTCCCGGCTGGAATCACGGTGGGTGCGACTTGGAATAAGGAGCTCATGTATCTAAGAGGCAGGGCACATGGGAAGGAGGCACGTTTAAAGGGGATCAATGTCTTGTTAGGACCATGCGTAGGACCCCTTGGAAGAATGCCAGCTGGAGGGCGAAACTGGGAGGGCTTTGGTACCGACCCAGTCCTGCAAGGCATTGCTGCTGCTCAAACAATTAAGGGTATCCAGGAGGAGGGTGTTATGGCTACGATCAAACATTTTATTGGGAATGAACAAGAGCATTTCAGACAGAGCTGGGAGTGGGGCTTGCCGAATGCTATGTCATCGAATATTGACGATAGGACCCTCCATGAGATGTACGGATGGCCGTTCCAAGACTCAGTGAAGGCAGGAGTTGCCAGCGTCATGTGCAGCTACCAGATGCTCAATAATTCATACTCCTGCGGAAACTCGAAACTGCTAAATGGCATCTTAAAGGATGAGTTAGGCTTCCAAGGCTTTGTTCAATCAGACTGGCTTGCTCAACGGTCCGGCGTTGGAAGCGCGCTGGCGGGTTTGGATATGACCATGCCTGGGGATGGTTTGAAATGGGCATCCGGGAAGTCACTTTGGGGCCCTGAGATGAGCAAGGCAGTTTTGAATGGATCTTTACCAATCGAAAGGCTCAATGACATGGTGACAAGGGTTGTCGCCGCGTGGTATCAGCTAGGCCAGGACGACAAATCGAAATTTGATGGACAAGGCCCTAACTTTTCATCATGGACAAATGATAAAATGGGTGTCATCAATGCCGGAAGTCCTGATGATAAAGACACAAAAGTCGTCAATAAGTTTATCAATGTCCAAGGAAGTGGCGAAGATGCACATTCAATCATTGCACGACAAGTTGCTGTCGAAGGCTCAGTATTGTTGAAAAATAAAGACAACGTTTTGCCCTTAAGCAAGGACGGCTGGCCGTCTGACCAGGGTCACGAAATTAACATGCGAATTGGGATTTTTGGAGAAGATTCAGGAGAGGGTAATGGTCCCAATGCTTGTCCCGATCGAGGGTGTAACCAAGGCACACTTGGTTCTGGTTGGGGCTCTGGTGCCGTCGAGTTTCCTTACTTGATTTCACCGGCGGCTGCTCTCAAGGAAGCTTTCAACAAAGACCGTGTCTATGTGACAGACTACCCAACAAACTCGCCGCCTTTTAAGAGCACACCTGTTATTCTTAAAGACCAGGATATCTGCATTGTTTTTGCCAATTCCGACGGCGGCGAAGGATATATTGCGTCTGAAGGTATCAGTGGTGATAGAAATGACTTATATCTTCAACACAACGGCGACAATCTCATCACAGAAGTCTCAGAAGGCTGTGGCGATGGACGAGGTAGCACAATTGTTGTGATCCATTCAGTTGGGCCTGTCATTCTTGACAAGTGGATCAACCTTCCTGGTATCAAAGCGGTGATTATGGCCAACCTTCCTGGTCAAGAGAGCGGCAATGCAATTGCAGATATCCTCCTCGGGAAAGTCAACCCCAGCGGCAAGCTTCCCTACACGATCGGTAAATCACTAGATGATTACGGCCCAGGAGCTAAGATATTATATCATGCCAACGGCGTAATACCGCAACAAACGTTCTCTGAGGGATTATACATTGATTACCGACACTTTGACAAATTTGGCGTGGAACCAACCTATGAATTCGGATACGGGCTCTCATACACTAAATTCCAATTTGCCAATCTCCGTGTCACGCCAGTCCTCCCGAAATCCAGCCTTCCTGCCCCCCGACCAACTGGAATCGCTCCACCAAAATTCGAAGATGTTATCCCGGATGCTAGCGAAGCTTTACTTCCAAAGGGGTTCAGAAAACTAAAGAAATTTGTATATCCTTACATTGATAAGCTCTCCGACATCAAGAAAGGAAAGTACCCCTACCCCGAAGGGTACGATATCCAACAGCCTCCTTCCCAAGCTGGTGGCGATGAGGGTGGAAACCCCGACTTATGGAATGTTTACGCCAATGTATCCGTCGACCTCACGAACGTGGGCCCACGTGGAGGAAAAGAAGTCGCCCAACTCTACCTCAGCTTCGCCGATTTGCAAGGCGAGGCAAAGCATGTAGATTTTCCACTCAAGGTGTTAAGGGGATTCGAGAAGGTGTATCTAGAGCCGAATGAGACGCAGACGGTGCATTTCAATCTTACGAGACGCGATTTCAGTTATTGGGATGTTGTGCAGCAGAATTGGGTCATGCCGACTGAAGGTAGCTTCACTATCCGAGTGGGCACAAGCTCCCGAGACTTGAGGCTTACGGGGTGGTATTGAGATGATGGTAGAAGAACCGGCACAGGATGCCTTGCTTATGACGGAGTTTGGAGTTGCAAAATGAGCGATATTTTCTAAAAGTGCTCCCTATCAAATACATAATCATATACCCGACGGTGTTATCTCTACGTTTGGGTACCTGTTTGGCTAAGAGCAAAAGGCGGTATTTTCGATACCCTTTGAAGTGCGACGAATAACATCCTAAGGGATATAAGTTGCAAGTCTTATCATATCCCGGTGAATACGCCGCAGTGCTTCTAGCCATGTTAAAAGCCTAGACTCCGTAAAGAACTGTCGGTATCTTGGCTTTAGTCCTGTCTAGCGCTCGGTGATTGAAACGTAGATAGCACGATAAACTGTCATATTGGATATCCCTCCTCGCAAACTTGAGCCTGTCTACCTAGGTACTTGAGGCTCCCGTTGACCTACGCCGTCTATGAATCTCGCTTAAAAAAGGGGCGGGAGGAGGGCCGTTGATATACTCGAGGTGCTATATCTCCCTCCTTTACGTTCTAAATTGCTTAGGAGCTTACGGATAGCGCTATATATGGCAAGTTAGACCAAGAAAAAAATCAACTGTGATGTTTCATCCAGTATAACCTAACAAACTCAAAAGCTTCAGTTTTTACTGTTTGGATCCTGGGATGTGTGTCACCACTGTCAGCGTTTGGACTCCTTTTTAGAGCCATGTCTTTGTTATAGAAGATAGAAATGAACTCCCAATCTCTCATTCAATGTGCGATAACCCAAAACCTCGTTGTTTTACTTAGGTACCTGACTATGGACATCAACCATTGATATGGTGGGAGGTAGCATGGAGACATGCGAGGCAGCCATTAGATCTAAATACCTACTTTAACTATCGGCATCCTATTCATTATCCTTCTGCCTGGCTACTTACGGTCATATGTCATATGCATGTATAATTCAAGAATATTTCTGTTCGCGTTATCTTTAATAACATAGCATAGTTGAAAATGGCCGAGGAAGAAGAGTTGGTTGCTTGGGGCAAGTTCCAACACCTAACTCATAAGAGCGGCAAATCACACTTTCTTTCAGCGTTAAAGGGCATAAAGATGGCAATTTTTGGATATAGCATTTCAATTCATTATTATAATACAAGCTCTACGACTCAGTTTAATCGATTAGATATTGAAACGCCGCATTTGTTCGGGCCATGTGCTACCCTATCTGCCATGCCTTTTTGATCACCATCGTCACCTTCGCCGAGGTCGAGACGCCAGAAATATGCGTTTTCCCATCCAATACCAAGCTCACATTGACGTGAGGCCCCACATGAAAATCAGTTGTACAGGGTATGAATATACGAAGAGGAATTGGGTTCTTCGGCTCTTTTGAGATCGCGCTACAGTCTGCATTGCCCCTCTCTCGTCGGTGGCATTTTCTGGGAGGAGGACGTATTTCAGGGATCGTAGCTGAGCAAGTTAGTAAATATCATCTCGGAGCAAAGTATATAACTTACTAGGAAAAGTGCGTTGGCCAGAAAACAGTAGGCAAATATTGTCCATCCAAGCCAGCCGCCTGTTCCTTGCCCCCGGTTAAATATCTCACTCACAACTAGTGTGACGATCACTCCGACGAACTTGTATCCTGAATAGGCAACCAAATCCAGGAGCTGAGAGTCGTTCGCGATCGATAGGAGGTAACATCCTAGCTTGAGGCCGAGAATCTCAATACCTACAATGAAAAATGCCCACGTTGCCGTATATCCTAGCAGTTCTGGTTGGAATGCGCCTCGAAGGCCGGCAAGGAGGGTCGAAAGGAGGATATATGTCACGAGCGCCATCACTGGGATGTACATATCCGGACTGTTTACATCGTCTCGAGGAGGCATGAATTGGCCGTTTGGACCAGCAAGCTTCCGTGCCCAAGGTTTATGCCTCCATGGCCATAGAATAAGGACGACTTTGTTGACAACATAGGAGTTGGACACGTTGAAATAGTGTTTCAAGGCGGATACGTTCACGTAGCGGCTAACGTTCTGCTCTAAGTACTCTGTTCCGTGCTTTAATGCAGATTGGCCTATATTGATCAGTCAGACTATCTCTTCTTGCAAAAGTATTGACGGATCAGGGAGGCCAGACCAACTTGAAAGCCCATTTGTGCTGTCGGGTCGTTTATGAATCCTCCGTATGCACCAAAGGCATTATTTCCCCCTTGAGCCTGGGCCTGGGGTTGGGACTGGCCATGGGGCTGGTAGGGACTTCCATAGCCAGAGTGTTGGTGCTGCGGTGCGGGAGGAGGTGGTGATCGCAGCTGGGGGACTGTCGAAACATGCTGCGGGACTGGGTGATGGAGAGGAGGAGATGTGGCTGGCGGCGGGTTTCCGAACTGCGATCGCTGCATCTTTGCGCTTTACTCGGGGGACTATGATCAAGGCAAAGATGCGTTCGTAGGTGGAGGTGTTGAGGGGCGGGTGCCTATATATATCGAATGCTCCCTGATGCGCGGATTCGATATTATTGTTAGAGAGCTCCTTGAACACCTTTACCTTCTAGCAGTCGTCGCGACTGTGGCTGTGTGATGTCTCGGGTAATACTCGGGAGTGGTTGTGTGGCGGCAGCCCTTATCAGGGCTGCTTGGCTACTTTCGTACAGGGGACAAGGCTCGCTTTTTGCGACGGGGACACCTCTACATCTGTTTGCCTCTCCCTCTACCACTTCGTCTTCCAAGCACTACATTGTGAAGTGGTAATATTAATATCGAATACGAAGATGTTGGATACTTTTGAGATTCTCACCACATCGGGCGTGGTCTTATGGTCCAAGACTTATTCCGCAATAAGCCCTGCTATTATCAACAGCCTGATCACCAATGTCTTCATCGAAGAGCGGACTCTCACACATCCTGGATCTGGGGTCGCGGACGATGTATCTGCTGCCAATAACCCTCCCTATAAATACGATCAACATACTGTGAAGTGGACAGCTGTGAAGGAATTAGGTATTATCTTTGTCGTAAGTTGTTACCATGTCCGGCGCCTATACCCCAGTCCATGTGCTGATTTGCTATGTGTAGGCTGTCTACCGATCACTCCTCCACCTCTCTTGGATTGACAAACTCGTTGACAATATTAAAACCCTCTTTGTGGATTTATATGGAGACCAATTAAAGAAGCCACATACTACCGTTGTCGAGTGCCATTTTGACGAATATTTTGACCAACAAGTACGAGAGCTAGAGAAGACTGCACTTAATCAAGATACCCGGGCCCCCCAATCTACGAACTCACTCCAAGAATCTTCTATTTCTGGCGCTGGAGATGCTCGTGATGAGCCGCCCCCGTTGCCGGGATTATTATCGAAAGGTGGTCCAAAGTACAACAAGGACTCAACCTCGAACGAGTCGACTCCTATTGCCACGCCAGATACATCACGCCCAAGTACACCTGCAAGCCATTTGCTAGTTGGTAAAGGAGGACCTGGAGGAAAAGGGTCGAGACGAGCGCGCAAAGCTGCAATTGCATCAACATACGCTTCCTCTGGGGACGAGTCACACTCGAGAAGGACTAGAGCAGCGAAGTCAGCAGGGCCAAAGAAGGGAAGAAAATGGGATGCAGACGGTTTGGCGGATGAGGACAGTGATACTCCGCTCGATTACTCTGCTCCTGCGAATGGCGCGACCTCGGGGGAAGACGAAGGACAAACTCTTCCTGGGTCTGTGGAACAGGTTGATCAGGAGTCGTGGGGTTCAAAGACTGGCAAAGGACAGTTTGTTTTAAAGGATCTAGATGATCAAGTCAACTCTATACTAGCGTCAGCAGACGCCAAGAAGGGACAGACGACTGCCGCTTCAAGTGGTATAGTTGGGTCAAGCATTAGTGCGATTGGAGGGCTGTTTAGAAATGTCGTAGGAGGCAAGACTTTGACAAAAGAAGACCTCGACAAGGCTATGAAAGGAATGGAGGACCACCTTTTGCGAAAAAACGTTGCGCGCGAAGCGGCTGTTCGATTATGCGAGGGCGTCGAGCGGGAGTTAATTGGAGTTAAGACTGGGAATTTCGAGAGTAAGTCTGCAATAGTGTCTGGTATCGCCTCTCATCTCTAATATTACGCAGGTGTACAGGCAAGGATCCAGACTGCAATGGAGTCGTCCTTACGGAAAATCCTCACGCCAACCTCCTCTCTGGATCTTCTTCGAGAGATTGACGCAGTCACCTCACCATCGTCACTCTCTCTACAAAAGCGACGACCATATGTTATTTCCATCGTGGGTGTTAATGGTGTTGGGAAGTCAACGAACCTCTCCAAGATTTGTTTTTTCCTTCTCCAAAACAAGTATAAAGTCCTTGTTGTAGCTTGCGACACCTTCAGATCTGGCGCAGTCGAGCAACTGGCTGTTCATGTCCGCAATCTAAAGGAACTAACTGTTCGAGAAGGTGGAAAAGTTGAGCTATACCAGAAGGGGTACGGAAAGGATGCAGCCAATGTTGCGAAAGACGCAGTTACATTTGCGGCACAAGAAGGATTCGATGTCGTTCTTATTGATACAGCTGGTCGGCGGCACAATGATCAACGTCTTATGTCCTCTCTTGAGAAGTTTGCCAAATTCGCCCAGCCAGATAAGATTCTCATGGTTGGCGAGGTATGTTCCCCTTGTAAAGCCTCGTGCTCCTGACTAACAGTTTCCAGGCATTGGTGGGTACCGATTCGGTTGCCCAAGCCCGAAATTTCAATGTTGCATTTGGATCAGGCCGCTCGCTCGATGGCTTCATTATCTCCAAATGTGATACTGTGGGGGATATGGTAGGGACATTGGTCAGCATGGTCCATGCAACGAATGTGCCGGTGCTCTTCGTGGGCGTAGGCCAACATTATAGTGATCTCAGGAACTTATCTGTCAAATGGGCGGTGGAAAAGTTACTAAGTAGTAATTAATAAGATCTGAATTATTGCCCAAACTAGTTCCTAATCCAGGGCTGCAAGATCGGCCCTTAAGTTCTCAGCTCGGTAATATAATCCGCCAACTTGTCACCTTAGTAAGTACCTTGGTATTCTATCAAACCGAGGAGAGGTGTCATAGAAACCTATAAAAGCAGATACCGATGTAATAGAAGGCGTTACAGAGCAGAGCAGAGTAACAGAAGCTGATCTGGTAAATAAGCTGACAGTATGGTCGCGTCGTATCCCACGGTAATCGAAGCTGGTTAGATTTGAACTAACTCGCAACCCGCCCAGAATAGGCGAAGCCAACCAAAAAAAGAACATCTCAACATCCGCCCAAAACGCAGAAAACGCAGAAAAGGAGATCAAAAAAAAAAATCTAGCTGTTTACCATCGGTGGATCCTCGAAGCAAAAAGAGTTCAGCCCGGTATCGAATGCCTACATCTCTTGTCGTTTTTGTTTTTGTTTGTTGTTTCGCTTTATTATTATTCCCCTCTTTTTCCTATCGTCCCTGGCGACAACGAAAGTACAATTTGACCCGAACACACTTGACCAAGTGCCACGCCCTTGTACTTCGTTGTACCAAATCCCTTATTTTATTCTATATAGGTATTTTAGGTGGGTATGGCAGATTGGGCGGGCGGTGGGAAAGGTGGCAGGCAGACAGACAAATGACTTGCCTTAGGTACCTAGCCTTATATGCGGCTTCTACTCGACTTCATGAGAGGACCGCACACCCACTCCACACTCTCATCACGTATCAAGTGTCTTGTTATTTTCCTGAGCTTGGGGTACTTTGCATCTCATTCTTATACACTCTAGCACCAGTAACACTAGTACCAACAACCTCCACTATATCTCTCTTCTTGAAGACCCGTGGTTTATCACCCATTATAGCGTCTCAAAGTAGGTAGCTACTCTACCTAACTTCCTATCCGCTCTATCGTGTCCCTTTACCCAATCGTCAAATCACTCCAATATCTACAATATGTCATGTAGGATGGATAGCCAGACACATCTTCGGAAGATTTCTCATGAGAGGTGGGATGGCAAATACTTCACGATTAGCAATAAATATAGCTACAATGGAAATAAAGAACCGTATAATTGTTACGGATTTAGAAGAAGCTTGGTATTTGGGTCTGCATACTAGTAGTTGATATAATGTGTTCAACGCCAACCGCTCCATGTATTAACGAGAACTCAGCGCATAGTAAAGGGGAAGGAAGACAACGGTAATTGAAATCTATGCTATTCAACCCGCTAGCTAAGTAAATATAGCAAGGCTTAATCCCACCCGCTCAAGTTGAGAGCTTTCGAGCCGCTTCATGACACACTCGGGAGACCTGTGCCCCGAATAGCATCCACCTGCTCCGAGAGGAAGGCGTTGTTCTTCGGTGCTGCAAGTGGCGGCCCTTCGGGTGTGACATACGCTTTGGTCATACCACCGTCAACAACAAAGTCTTGGCCATTGATAAAGCTCGACTCGTCACTCGCTAAGAATAGCACTGCCTGGGCTTGCTCGATAGCCTCACCAAACCTGCCAGATGGGAAATGGATTTCGCGTCTGTGTCTCTTAGGCTGGTCGTCACCTAGCCAGTCTTGCAATAGTGGCGTGTTGAGAGGTGCTGGGCAGAGTGCGTTGAAGCGGAAGCCTTCTCTAGCGTGGACAATTGCCAGCTCTCTCGTCATTGCTAGGACGGCGCCTTTGCTCGCGGTGTAGGCTAGTTGAGGGGTTGCTGAACCGACTAATGCGACGACAGACGCAGTATTGATGATCGAGCCTTTAGCTTTCTTGTGCTTCCGCATGGATAGGATGGCATGCTTAGAGCCGAACCAGACTCCTTTGACGTTGATATCGTGGGTGAGATCCCAAATTTTCTCAGGGGTGTCGATGGCATCGGCATCATCAGCGTGCATGATGCCGGCGTTGTTAAACATGATATCTACCCCTCCCCAAGCATCTAAATTATCGACCAAGGCCTTGATATCGGCTTCTTTTGAGACATCGGCAATCTAAACCCCTATGAGCCAAAACATATTTGATGTTATTAGATTTACTTACCCGGGTTTCAACCTTGATGACGGACGGGACAAGCTTCTTTAGTTTGGCGGCGGCGTTATCGAGGGCAGGGCCGGATATATCAGCCATGAGAACTTTGGCGCCTTCTTTGGCGAAAAGAATGCATGTTTCAAGACCAATACCCCTATATCAAAACAATGTAAGCATTGAGCTGCGGGTGAGGTTCGAGGGGACAACAGGACGTCCTGGGATAGAATGTCTCCAGCTTCTTGTACAATGGCGGCATACAACCGGAGCACGAAAGTTATATCAAGAAATAAGCACATGAATTAAGGGTAGTTAGAGGAAAGAAGTAATATTTTAATGCACAGGTAAAGAGTTTCGAAGCATAAAGTGACAAATTACCACATATACTCGCATTCAGCAAACCACCACTGGATGTTTGCTAGGCTTTCAAACTCAATGAAAAATATTTTAATCTTCTAGAAAAAGAAACTGAAAGATCGATCATCACTGACCCGGCTGCTCCCGTGACTATAGCATTCTTGCCATTGAGCCTTCCCATGGAAAGACTATTGATGGTGGCGGTCGTGGTGTTACTCCCGGTATCAGAGGCTTCACCCGGCATTGTGACTACTGCAGATTGTTGAAATCTAAGGAGAGATCTGAAATCGCATCAACACTCAACACTCTTAATCAAAGGCCGCCTTTTGTGTGAGGATAATGGAGAGGGATGGGATGAGATGATTGAACAAAGGCATTACACTCTTAGTGGGATATCCTTGTTCGCTAATCATACTTCACTTCTGGGCGGGCATCGTATTGATAGTATAGGGGGCTTGACTCACAAAGTGTTGAGGGAAGGGTGGTACAGCGCACATATAGTATGCTTTTAAGGAGATAAAACGCGCAGAGAGAGGGGGCTTGAAGAGAACAGGAGTGAAGGAGAGAAGGGCGATATTTTTTGGATGATGATGATCTAGTCGCAGCGGTCCGACAACGGGGTGTGAGGGTGTACAAGTAGATAGGGCATCAAGCAAGCGCTCTTCCACTTTTCTTATCTGTCCCGGCAACGTCTCCGAAGACCGACTCACTCGTACTTCGTGACTTACTCGTACCTGGTACTAGGCACAATAAGGTAGGGTTACTTTATAAACACCACTTCCAGTCTTACACCACGAGGTACCTAGGTAGGTAATCAATATGTTCCCACACCGCCGTTCCCCCTCGTGGAACCCCGAAAGCAGTCAACGGGGGCGATCACGAGTCATTCGGGCGACGATCGCGATTTAAAGCGTGGCGATGCGATGTGTCAACGAGAACCTATTGCGACATTGCGGAAATGCAATAATGCGTGGCAGCCCGACCGACGGCGAAACGCCCGCTGGTCAAGTTCATGGTCATGTGCGGGTTTTGTAGCTGCCATCGTGGGGACTCAAAGCGGCCAAGAAGCGTCGCAAGGGCAAGTTATTTGATTGGAGCTTTGGAGCTGCTGGAGCAGCGTAGCATTGCGCGATAAGGGTCTGGCGATGCTGGTGAGGGCTTGTTTACTAAGTCCCTAGGTACTCGTACTCTGACGTTGTTTGGTTTCTCTGTACCTTAGGGGAAGGGAACAGCTGAACTCTTATAGCAACATAACTTCAGAAGGATAGGTTGATGAGATGGGATAACCGCCTGAGGCAGATCACTAACTCCACCTACGTACTTCGTATTGCGCTCGTACCTGTATTATTATTGTAATCACTCCGTCTGTGTCGGTGCGTATGTACTACGTACTGTACATGCACATACGAAGTGCTTACTCTGTGCCTCTAGCTCTTATCGCGCCCAACCCTCACTTCCTCCCTCTCACCTGGCATAAGAATAGAATTGGAACACGCTCCCTTCTACTACTGCATTGGCGCAGATTTTCCAATTCCAATTCCAATTCCATCCCCAGACTAACAGTACGAGTCCAGAATTACCCGCGTGTAGAGCTCTAAATTGCGATTTCCCAACCTTGTGCTAGCAAGGCGGTGATGCCAGACCAGAAGGACAACGAGATAACCCTCGAATCGCTGCCGCGTCTTCTCGCAAATGACACCAAGGTCAAGCTCGCCGGTGTCGATGTCGATGGTATTCTGCGCGGGAAATTGGTCTCCAAGAAGAAGTTCTTGAGCGTGGCCAAGGAGGGATTTGGATTCTGCTCCGTCATTTTCGGCTGGGACATGCACGACCAGACATATTTCAAGGAACTGAAGGTTAGCAACGCCGAAAATGGGTACCATGATATTATCGCCGTTCCGGATCTTAGCAGCTTTAGGAGGATACCATGGGAGGACAATGTTCCCTTCTTCTTGGTCAGCTTCTTTGATCCAGACACGCGCAAGCCCGTCAGCGCATGTCCCCGAGGCCTCTTGAAGACGGCGATGGAGAAGCTGCAGGTAAACGGGCTTGGTGCAATGGCTGGAGGTATTTCTGCCACAGCTTCGGCATCTGATCATCATCGCTGACAAGCTACGCAGCTGAGTACGAGTTCTTCCAATTCAAAGCACCTCCGAGCAAACCCAATGCGCCTGTCGCGGAACAATCCTCAGTTGCAACATTCCTACGAGAAAATCCCGTCAACTCTCTTCCGTCCTTGACCGAGGGGATGTTTGGGTATAGTTTGACGAGACCTATGCATAACCAAGATTATTACTATGGCATATTCGATGCATGCGAGAAGTTTAACTGCGGAATAGAGGGTTGGCATACAGAGAGTGGGCCTGGAGTTTTTGAAGCTGCATTGTCCTTTGGCGAGATTCAACAAATGGCAGATAAAGCAGGATTGTTCAAGTCAGTATTCCCGCCGAATACCTTCGATTTGCGCAATCTAATACCCCTTGTAGATATGTGGTGAAATCAGTCGCGACGAAATACGGTATCACCCCATGCTTCATGGCAAAACCACGGCAAGGCCTTCCCGGAAACAGCGGGCACATGCACATTTCGATAGTCGATAAGAATGGGAAGAATCTCTTCTTCCGGGAGGAGAAAGATACCGATGCAGAATATGAGGATATCGCGAACTTATCAGATTTGGGAAGGCATTTCCTAGCGGGACTATTGGACGGACTTCCAGATGTTATGCCATTGGTCGCGCCGAATGTCAACTCCTATAAACGCCTGGTCGAGAATTTCTGGGCCCCAGTAACTGTATCCTGGGGCTTGGAACATCGCGCTGCATCGATTAGATTGATTGCGCCGCCAACTGCAAAAGCGGCAGCTACTCGATTTGAAGTTCGTGTCCCTGGCGCGGATGCCAACCCGTACTATGTCCTATCTGCCATATTAGCTTTAGGTTGGAGAGGCATTGAGAAGAAGCTTGAGATCAAGCAACCACCACTTGGCAAGGGGCAGACGGTTGGCGGGGAAGCCGATCCCGGTGTGAGGCTGGCGAAAAGCCTCAACGAGGCCACTGAAAGATTCCATCGGCCAGAAAGTATCGCAAGAGAAGTGTTTGGCGATGAGTTCGTGGACCATTTTGCTGGAACAAGAGAACACGAAATTAAATTATGGGACGAGGCTGTTACGGATTGGTATGTACTCCGCGGCCCCTTTGTGTTAATGCTGACTTTGTATCTAGGGAGGTTAAGAGATATATCGAGACGGTTTGATGGCTTGGAGAGGTTTGCTGCATTACACTGCTTATAGATGATGTACGATTTATGAGACACCCGCAGCAATGTATTTTCAGGAACAAGTAAGTATAGAGATATACCTCTATGCGACTGTCAATTTTCTACCGTAACATTTTATCAGAGGAGGGTGGATTAGGCTACCTTGTAGCCTATGAGGCCGAGAAGTGCCAAACTCTCCGCGACGGAATAGAGATAGACCATATCTTGCTCTCTTGCTAATCGAGCTATCTTCTTGCATCCTTCTACAGAGTATATATACAGCACCTTCAATTCGGCGACTTACAGCCCAGAATTACAACTCAGTACTATTTGTACATCTGGCAAGTAACCCCTATCGGATCTACGTTGTATTCACCTATCTCCATCCGGTAGACAACTGGTAGGAGTTTCCCTGCAATACCTTAATAAGCTATAACCAGCTACCCGAGCAGACCCAATCGCAACGTGCGGGGGATTGTTGGGGGAAGGACGTGCATGAACCTCGGCGGCAGGTTTGGAGTGTTTTGAGAGGGGTCCAAACCCGCGTTGCCGGGGTATATACGTAGGTACTTGGACTAGAAAAGGTAGGGTTGAGTTGCGAATTTCATCCCTTATACACATATATATTAGAAGTCTCCCGTTTTGCTTCATCTTATAGACATTGTATTGTTTCATTACGTGGGATTTTATTAGGTGATCGGACGGGGTTCCGACGTTGCTAGAATAGCGACATGGCACTAAGTAAGTCCGCTTACAGTCTTCTATTTATCGTGCCGGGGATGTTGCCGGGGGAGCTTACAGAGCACCGATTATCTTGGATATATACCCCAGCCAAAGACATATATTGGAATTAAATCTTATAGATCCGATTGCTAACATGGCAATTATGAATAGTCACAGCAGCTGCTGCTGCAGGAGTCGCGGCGGCGGGCATGTATTTAGATGCGAAGCATGGCATTCGAAAAGACCTCAGATCACTGCGTCAAGCCAGAGCACTCACGAATCTATATATTGAAGCAGGTATTTATTTCCCCAATAGAGTCTCCCTCAATGTCTCAATCCCAACTAATGCCTCCGTCAGTTAAAAATAACCGCCTATCCCTCTACTACTTTTTCGAGGACTCCGTCCGCCGGCAGAACCCTCAAGAAGAAGCCATCTGGTCCCGCGAAGGCTGCTATACCTGGTCGCAGACCTCGGCGCGAGTAAACCAATATGCGCGCTGGTTCCTTGCACAGGGCGTCAAGCCTCGTGAATATGTCGCTTTCTATCTGACGAACTCCCCGGATTTCATGCTTGCGTGGCTGGGTCTCGCGGCGATTGGGGCGGCTCCTGCAATGATTAATTATAATCTTTCGGGGAAGGCGTTGATTCATTGTTTGAAGCTAAGCGGGGCGAGAGTTATCCTACTGGGGAGTGAAGATGCGTTGAGGGGGAGGGTTGAAGAGGTGAGGCAAGGGGTCGAGGTGGAGCTGGGGATGAGAATTGTGGGTGTTGATGAGGAGTTTAAGGGGGAGGTGGGAACTCAGAGTGATGAGAGAGTTGAGGATGTGTACAGAAAGGGCGTGAAGGGGGATTGGCCTATGGCTATGTTTTATACCAGGTTTGAAATGCCTATTCCAAGCAACGGCGAGATCATACTTACTGATGGACTGCAGCGGCACCACCGGCATGCCAAAGGGCGTTCCTTTCAATACTGACCGGGAGTTTATGGCTGCTGCATCGGTAAATGCTCTTGCTCCTTTATCACTTTCCATTGCTAACATGTAACTAGCATAAACTAGGCTATAGCTTCATCCAAAATCACGATCGCTGGTTCGATTGTATGCCCCTCTACCACGGCACCGGCGGCGTCTCATCAATCACCAATCTCATATCGGGCGTCCCGCTCTGCATCGGGAAGAAATTCAGCACCTCGCAATTCTGGCGGGACATCCACGATTCCCGCGCAACATGGTTTGTCTACGTGGGCGAAACCGCCAGGTATCTACTCGCAGCACCGTCCTCATCCTTCGATAGAGATCATAATGTCCGCGGGATGTACGGCAATGGCCTACGCCCTGATGTATGGCTTAAATTCCGCGAGCGCTTTAACGTCCCTGAGACGGCCGAGTTCTTCTCCTCGTCGGAAGGCGTGTTCAATCTTCTGAACTACTGCCGGGGTGATTACCTCGCTACATGCGTGGGACACCACGGAACCATCATGAGACGCATACACAAGGACCTCTACGTACCCGTTCTCATAGACGACGCGTCCGGCGCCATCAAACGGGACCCCAAGACAGGCTATGCATACAGACAGCCGTACGACAAGGGCGGCGAGATCATCGTACAAGTCCCAGACACCAAAGCCTTCGCAGGGTATTACAACAACTCCGAAGCAACTGGGAAGAAATTCGAGAGGGATGTATTTCGGAAAGGCGATCTGTGGTATAGAAGCGGTGATGCGCTGAGGCGCACAGACGATGGGAGATGGTTCTTCCTCGATCGACTCGGCGATACGTTTAGGTGGAAGGGCGAAAATGTCAGCACCGCTGAGGTTGCGGAGGTGCTAGGGAGTTATCCGGGAGTTGTCGAGGCTAATGTCTACGGTGTGGCGCTTCCGGCTCATGATGGGAGAGCGGGTTGTGCGGCAGTTTATATCGATCCGAGTATGAAGTCCAGCTTTGATTTCGCTGGGCTGCTTAAGTATGTGCCATCCTCCCTCTAACATATTCCCCTCCCGCTCAAAATTCAAACTAATCCACACCCCGTTAGACACTCGCGAGCACACCTCCCCAAATACGCCGTACCCCTATTCATACGTATCGTTAAGGAAATGACGCCTATCCACAACAACAAGCAGAACAAAGTCCCGCTCCGTGAAGCAGGCGTTGATCCGGAGAAGCTCCAGTCCGGGGATAAGATGTTGTGGGTTGACGGGAAGGGGGCCGGACATACGTATGTGGATTTCCATCCCGATCACTGGGAGGATTTGAAGTTGGGGAAGGCAATGCTATAGATGTTCGATTAGGAACCAGCGAAGCATGGATTCGAGAGTGAGTGTACGGGTAACGACTAGAGTCTCGTGGGAGTAGGAGCATAAACTTCTTGGGGTATTCAAACTTGCTGTGCGGACTCGTATCATAGAGGCCAGGGTAGCTCAGAGCTCAGAGCTGAATTGAGCTACTGCATTACATGTAAATATTGCAAATCCGCAGCAAGCTCTCTTGGCGGTACTGTCTTCCTAGCTACATCCCTTCATCCATATCACGCCTGCAACACCCTATGCATACCAAGCCACTACATCACCTACCGAACACCTTTATACCAATATCGCATTCCCTCTATTATACAAATCACCTCTCTACTGGTGGATTATTATTGCAAGTCGGAAGCACCATATATGTGGGCGGATTTTCAAGACGGTAGCTTAATACGGTAGCTATTTTTCACTAGTGAACACACCCCTATATATTTGCTAGTTTCTTAAATCCCACTCGCGCTTATCACCACACTATATATATAGCCGTTACAATATATTCTACCACTTCTTCAGATGAAAAGCCTTGCGGAGGAGCTCCTTGGTATCTTCAGCAAAACGGCGTACAATCCTATAATATCTTCCGACTATCTCCAGGTGACTCTACATCGGTAGAAGATCATTATAGTCATCCGCTTCCTACTCCTGCCATCTCTTGAAATACGAAGGATTCTCCGATTTCCACACTATGCCTAGGATATTTCACAGGGCCTCTAAGTATGGTAACAATACCCCACATCTATATCAAGAATCCCTGATGGCTGCTTTCCCAACCATGTGGAAGGACCGAATTTAAAGATGGCCTGCATAGGCGAGCCGGAGAAAAAGACGAAGCTCAGCGAGAAGGGTGGTTCCAATTCTTCCTAGAAGGCCATACCCACCAACACTGTGCGTGTTCCCATAGTCCATCACCGCGGCTGCAGAGGAACTTGGCTGTTAAGGGGGTCCGTAGGCTATTTCTCGATATGTGTGGGGCTGGCAGCCGAGCCGGTAAGGGGTAATAACAACATCCAGAAGGTGGCGGAGCGGCCTTGGAAGACTGCGACTTTTGTTGCCAGCGATGCAACTCGAACTAGCTCGAGATGATTATGAGGCTTTTAGCCTCGAATCCTGCAGTGGAGGTTTGGTGTTTTTCCAAAAAAGAAAAGTATGTTGGGGGCAAAGTTGCAGCCTGGAGGTCTTGAGGAATGTCGCGAAAGCTTACTCGAATAATGGAGAGCTTGATAGTTGGAAGGAAAGTCAAGGCTGGGGTGACGAGCTGGAAGGCCCTCCAGCTGCTAGATCTTCTTTATCTCCTGAGTCCACAGTAGTAGGACTTTTCGCAGTCTGAGGCCTTGAGGAATCCGAAGTAACCTTCGCAATCCTAGCCTCCCACTCCTCATCCGTCAAGTCCCCTCTTCTCCGAAACAGAAGTCCCTCATGATGCCTCAGGACCTTCAGCTGCCTGCTCGATATATCTCCACCAGAAGGACGGAACTCCTTATTGACAGCGTCGAGGATCTCGCTATGCGTGCGGTTCCGACACCACTGCTCGCGCACAAAATCAAGCAGGGCCTGGTCCTTGATCAGCTTGTATTTCGAGTCCGGGCTGTGCTTGGCCAGCCATCGGTTCAGCGTCCATTTGCTCTGCTCGAGACGGAGCGCCATTAGGATTTCCTGCGCATCCCATCCGAGGCGCCGGTACTCGAGGATCTCCGCCTTGTAGGGGGAGAAGTCGAAGGCTTTGCGGGGCATTTTTCGTATAGGTCGAGATATATTGTGAAAGAGAACGAGATCCAGTCCAGGCTGCCAGTGGTATTATTGGCACATAACACAATTCAATTGGTGTTTTCCTGGTGAAATGGAAGTTCCTCGATTCTTGTATAATAGGTGGTTGGGTGACGCCGGAATGGTGCTACAATGATTAGGTTAGCATAACCACTAACAGAACAAAGGCAAGCAAACACCAACCCTGATCAATTGACGCGATTGGAATTGCAAACAGCAATTGCAAACAAAGGCAGAACTCGACTTTAAAGTAATAAGACAGAATCAGGAAGAACACACTACTGGTGGAATGTTAGGTGGGATGGAATATAGTACCACGGACGAAGTATCCATAGGGGAGCTTCAAAGGGTACGGTAAAATTTAGGGGAGTTGTGAGGATGTGGGGTGTACGACGCCCCACCAAAAGGTGCCCCTCCAGTGCCCCACCGTGCCCCGATGTTAGCGCTCGTTGCTATCTAAGCTTTTGTGGCGGTGATAGATGGCTATTCTAGAAGGGCTTTTCTGTTATTGGATCAGAAGTAAGTGTAGCGTCAACTACTGCCTTGTATTTTGTATGTTGGAATGTTGAACTAAAAGTCCGCTGGGGTTATTGTTAGTTTCTGGATATTTAATACTCACTCAAGTATCTGTCATGGTGTTTATTACCCCTGAAAACATCTCATATAGCACTGTAAGCTTCGCTCAAGACAGAAGAATGTGGTGGTGGTGATTTAATAGTGATTTCGAAATATTTGGATGCAAGTATAAGCAATATGTAAAGGTATGGACAAATGCTATCCCGCAACCCGAACTCCGCCAGTGCTGTTAAATCCCTAGGTCTTCCCATAGAAACAGTAGCCGGCCATGCAACATCATCATCACTCCCTGATCCCCCACCGTTCTAAACGTAATTAAGTTATACACATGCAAGATATACAGCTCATCCACTAAGCATGCCCGTGCCGTCCGTCCATCTCATATATAGGTCCCGAGGTTGCGCTCATGCCAGGGACCTCGTGGTACTGGTTTGGGCTTGGATGCCCATACTGCTGTTGGTTCGGTGGTAATTCTTGTGGGGGAAAGCCAGTTGGAGTGGCCATCTCCGCCCGGTTTGGCGTCATGGCCGCGTCAGGGTGCAATTCGGCCCTCACAGGCGCGGGTGGGGTCGGCATCTCACTGGCTTGCGTGCCAACATATGAATGCGTCTTCTCGCTCATAGGGCTTACTGGGGGATTCAGGGGGGTAGGTTTTCGCGCAATTGGAGCTGGAGGAGGAATATAGGTCGTCTGGTTATCAGGGAGCTCTGTTTTGCCGTAATCATAGCCTGGTGGTGGTGGTTGAGGTTGAGGTTGGAATCCTGGGTTAGGGTTCAGATTCATTGGGCGAGAGGGTTGGTTCCGCCGACGTTGCCGTCGGTATCGGAATATGAGGAAGAGAGCAGCGGCGATGAAGATCAGACCGCCAATCACACCGCCTGCGATAGCAGCGATGGGCACGGCTTTTGAGACTGTACGGTTGAAGTCTGAGTCGGACGAGCCAGCAGTACCTCCAGTCGCCGTCGATCTTCCTGAAGTCTTGCCTGCTGTGGCTGTTCTTCCACCAGTTACTGAGGCGTCTCGTCAGTAATTCCTCCTTCAATATTTGGATTATGCTGAAGAGCAAGAGCCACTTACCCGAAGCTGTTACGCCTTGTGGAGTTACCAACCCTTTACCGGCACTGCAGTAGAAATCGAATACCGCCAATGCGCTGGTAATATCTGCACTAGCTGTAGAACCACAGTAGGCTTTTACCTGGCTCGTAAGATCAGCGGACATCCCCTGGGAATTGTTGTCCTTCACACAAGCACATGATACCAGGGCCATAGGATCTATGGGACAAATACTCCTGGTTAGTGCTCCTACTTGATAGGAAACGCCCGATTTAGCACATGGAGCCAGTGACTCGAACTGAGGCAAGTCGGTAATATAGTAGCTGACACGTCCTGGAAGGTTGGAAGCCGATGGAAAGTTGCTCGTTGACGGCAGACCACAATAACCAGCAAACACGCCTAGCGCAGAGGTGATATCTTCGGTATGAGTTGAGCCACAGTAATACTTGACTTGGCTGTTGATAGATTGGCTCGCTGCGACCGAGTTCTGGTCCTTCGTACACGCACAGCTCTGGAGCCCCGACGCCTCCGCAGGACATTTACTCGCGCTAAGGTGTTGAACGGCATAGGAGATGGCTGAACCAGCGCAAGGCGCGAGGTCCATGTAGGCTGGCAGGTCGGTGATAAATTGAGAAACCGTGCTTCCACTTGCTTTCGTGGTTGGAGCTGCTGAGACGCTTCCCCCTTGATTGCAGTAGCCACTGAACACTGCGGATGCCGATGCGATATCTTCGGTGGCCGTCGAGGCACAGTAATACTTGACATTGCTGGTGATGCTCGCTAATACCACAGCCGAGTTCGAATCTTTCGTACAGGCGCAAGACACAAGTTGGGCGAGATCAGTCGGACATTTGCTCCCCGTCAGGCCTTCGACGACGTAGGAAACACCTGAAGCAGCGCATGGCGCAAGTGAACCAAAGGCAGGAAGGTCTGTGATGTGGGGATTCTCAGCAGCTGCTATAACTGCTGCAAGTCGTAGCACCCAAAAAAGAATGAGAAATCTTGCCATCGTGAAATCGCTGGACCGATATACAAGAGAAAAGCAGACAAAAGGACGAAGTCGGAGAGGGAAGTACAATGTTCAGCCTCTCGCCCACTCTATGCCACTCGGCAACCCATACTGCGCATCCTGGCCGTCAATTTCGAACGCACGCACCTTGGCGAGCAGCTGAAAACCACGATATGCCCCAGACGCGTTCCAATATCGCTTGAATGTGACGACCAGCCCAGAAAAGGAACGAAACGGGGTCAATGGCTTTGGGCCTAAACCGATCAGTCCATTGCCTGCCCTGCAAACCCGCCACAGCTACCAACGAAACGCCCAGGGGCAAAGACGAGAAGGCCAGTAGAAGACGGGATATTTATGGCCAGCAAATCATCGCCAGCAGCTACAAGTCGCAAGAGCGAACATGCAGAATCCCAAGCAAACTGGAGACACAGTCCGCATTCTGGATCACCCGCCATGTTATCGGCGGGGGTCATGATTGGGGATATTTGGGGAGAGTTAAGGTTCCCCTTCATGAGGTTGTACTTCGTCCCAAGTACTTTGGCCTTTGTCGTAAAAGTAAGCCTTGGGTAAAGCCAAGCAGATAGCGGGGGTTCTTCACCCCGACTTTAGGGGGCCATTGCTCTTTCATTCCCTCGGTAACTGACTGGTAACTTCAGTTGCTCCGCCCCCGCGGACAGTAGTGGGCAAGTCGCTTCTTGCTGCACTCCTTCGGGGTGCAGCCTGTAATTTGCGACTGGGCGACAAGAACCGCGGCTGAGAACGCATTTTGCTTGGTTGTCGTTCTCGTGCTGTTAAGGTGTGGCGCCGAGCTAAAAACAAATCCTATCCTGGAAGAGAGCACTGGTACGAAGGTACTTGGTACGTACGTAGGAGACACTCGACGCGCTACTCCCAAGCACGTTTTGGTTTCGAATCATCTGTTTACTCCGTACTCGACAAGTAAAGGCTCTTGTAATACTTCGGACGTAGGTACCTTTAGACCGATTGTTTTCAAGTTGGGCGGATCGATCGCATAATAACCTTAATTTGTACTTGGTGCAAGGTACGAAGCTAGGCTAAAGAGCACATGGAAGTCGGAAGTTGCTTACCCGCTCGTTGGGTCACGATTAGAGACGCCCTTGTTATTTGTTATTATCGCCGCCGCATGCATGGTCAAGCGTGGTTCCAATTGAGTGTCGCATTATTAGACGATCCAAATCTCGGAAGGCGACATATATTGCGGTGCCGTGGCCCCCTGGAACACAACCTACTATCATGGTGTTCCAACCTAAGCCGATTCAAGAATTCGTCGAAGGAGATAAGAGAAATGATCCTTTTATTGTGCTGGATTTCGCTGGGTATGGATAAACCACAGAACTTCCAACGCTGGTGTTCTTCAAACTTCGAAACCACCTGGGCACTCGTCTAATCGAGACGAAATGTTGCCCGTCACCGGATCCTGTATTCCGATAATTCTGAGTATCACACAATAGTGCGCAAACACTAGATTGGGAATCTCAGTTACTCGCCGATCGCCATTATTTAAATACCCTTTTCCATTCCCATTTCCGCCATCTCTATCTTCATCATATGCGTCAGTTTATCCTGGAATCCACGGAAGATTTCGATTGCCTAATTATCAGTCAATATTTTTCAATGCTAGGTAGCTGACGTTCTCAGCTGTGCATTTACATTGGCCAGCCTCGATTGTCCTTCGTTTGCCAACTTCAGCGTATTGGAACTTAGGAAAGCGTTGTGGTCGTCTGCAAAGCGTGGTAGAGAACGCGGGAGCCACCTTAATGGACCCTTAAATTCCCGAAAATCAAAAATTGATTTCAGATCGAGAGAAGTAACCGGCGCCGCAGCAAGCTCTTGAGCCAGTACTGGCGCCACCGTAATGTGGTTAACTCCAGCAAGTGCCATGATTTCGTATACCGATGTCAGGCTTGCTGCAAGCACCTGGGTTACTATGTTGTTCTCTTTGTAATACCTCTGGGCAGCCACGGAGAAGTCTAGGGATTTTTCGTCGTCGAATGATCTTCACGCGTTGTTAGAGGTTCGCTCCATATGGTTATGGAAACTCACTCTGGATCGAAGTGGACCACCAGTTCATTGACATAAGGCGCTATGTAGTGACACCCGACTTCACCAGCGAGGGATGCTTGTTCCAGGGTGAACACTGCGGTTGCTAGAGTTGTAATTCTTGTTGGTTCAAGTATGCGGCAAGCTTGAAGCCCTTCCCAAGTACTTGGTATGTTGATGCAAATCCGCTTAGTGTCAACATCCGGGTTTAGGATCTCGGAAACATGCACAATTCCTACAAATATCAGCCACCAAGGATCTCCATGAAGTGTATATCCCAATTTACTTCTCGCGTTATCGACCGTTGCAGCGGTATCATAGCAGAAATGAGGGTTCGTCTAGATATGGACATAGCCAGTAATATGGTCCAGGATCCGAAGCTGGAGCTTTATCATCTGGAACAGCCATGAGTTAGGAAACAAGGTTTCTTGATTCGTATAACGAGGTGAGGCCTACAATAATTTCAACTACGAGCTCTTCCCTAGGGACCGTTGGGTACAATGTAACAATCTCCTTGCTGGAAGCGAAACTAACGGCCTCTCGGATTGTCTTCTTGTGCTCAGGTTTATGAAGCTCAAGATAGGCAATGACCTAGAATCATCAAAATTGATCAGCATCGAGCTTCCTAAAGTGTGCCGAGTAGCGTCAACGGACCTGGTCCGACGTGCAATCCACGAATGAGCCAACGGTTTTTGGGACTGCCATTGGTAAGCAAAGCTCTTAATTCTGATCGACCTGTCGTTGGGTACCTTCGAGATCAATTGTGGCGCAAGCCACACTTGTGCGAGATTGCAACAACTGCAGCGGAGTTTGAGCCATGGCGTCTGTGGTTCTGACTGGTGTTTTGATAGTTGAAACTGCTCTGACTCAAATATTGATGCTTTCCAATGAATTAATCCCCAATAAATATCTTGGAGCATTAGAGAAGAACGAGATGTACTGTACAAGCTCTGGAAAGGAAAATAAGTAAGTGCTACTTGCACTCGACCGGTGGCTCCTTCCCTCGCCGTCTGGTCTGTTTCCTCAATGGGCCGCATAACCTGGCGAAGGTCACAGTATTCCATAAATCGTTTTTATTATCGTTAAGTATATCAGACCCAACAACACTATTTGTTGTTTCTGCTAGCCCTAAGACTTCAGAGTCAAAAGCTGGGGGGCTTGAAGGTTTTGGTTTTGCATACTCTTCCCAAACATCCATGAGGAATGTTCAATGGGACTAGCCTAGCAGCAATTGGAGGGGATTGGATACCCAATTCTCCATTGGACGTCTGCGGATATTGTTCCGTCGATGATTATGAATTTCACACAAATATTCGGGATTCCAGGCAAGCTAGCCAGCTTTTCCACCAGGCACCATTTTGAAAAAGCCTTATTTCCAATAGACAATCCCATCCATAAGTCTCCTGGCAGTTCTGAAGACCGTAGCATGTGCCAAATGGCCACGCTCGTCAAACTCAGCACCCACCATAATCTTCCCTGTTGGATGGCCCAGAGTAATTCCATTTGGATCAACACGCCCGCTTGAGACGCATCGTTTCACGGTTGAGCCTTCGATGTTTGCAGCAGCAGCAACAGCCAATGCAACAGTGATAGGAATAGCACGATGTGGTTGACCTACAGATAGAGCCCTTACTACCAGGTCAGTAACACCTTCATCGACAAGTTCGCCAGATAGTAGGGTATGGGCTTTTGGCTTTGAGACCATTGCGATCTTAGGGATAGAACCTGGAGTAGACGCTTCGTCATTACTCAGTCCCATTGCTACTGATGCTTGCCGTCGGATTGATTCAAGTCTCAACAGAAGCGAAGGATGTGCATCAAATTCATCAGGGAGAATGATTCCTTCGATGTCGTCGAAAGCCTCAATAAACACGCAAGGGTTTCCGGCATCGATGCAGGTTGCCTTTACGCCATCGAAAACATCTGCAACATTTCCAGTCGGTAGGAGTTTGCCGGTCTTTGAGCCTCTACATCCAATTAGCTCTGCATTCCCCTTTAACACAAAATATTTGGGATCCTAACGCAGGGTTAATGAAAGCCAATTCAATCTTGGCAGCCAGTCCAGAAACCCCATCGATAGCAAAGTCACCATTCGCAACCGCTTCCCCTGCCACCACCGGGAATGTAGAGTGTATGAGCTTCCCCGTATTGGTGTTATGTATCCGGATCGTTGCCTGGCCATTTCCACATTCCACCATCCCATTGTCAACCGCGAACGGCCCAATCGCACTTGTCATATTCCCGCAGTTACTGGAATAATCCACATCGGGATCTTTAACCCCAATCGCCGCGAATGTGTAATCGACATCGGCATCAGGATGTGCTGATGGACCAACGACGCAAACCTTCGAGAGGCTAGAGATCCCTCCACCTAAACCATCAAGCTGTCTACCGTTGGGGTCCGGCGATCCAATTGCCCCTCGGAAAATTGAACCCCATTCTGTGCGGTCTTTCGGGAGATCTTGCTGTCGAAATATGATTGCTCGAGACGTCCCGCCGCGGTAGTATGCTGCTGGTAGTCGGTTCTGTGGGCGGGGAGACGTTGATGCGTTTCTCGCCGACGAGGCTTGGATGATCAAAGGCAGCGGGCGGTGCCGTCGCGTTAAACTCAGAAATATTCTAGTCATGGTCTAAATTCGGCGGGTATTATCACTTGCATAACTTAATAGGGCGGGAGGAGTGCGCGATGGTCTTCGGCATGGCAGCTGGCGGTTTTGATTGTGGGGTTGATACTTGTAGGAACAATATGTTTGGGAGTAGACGAGAAGGCGAAGAACTGGCTGGTGCAACATTCCAACAAATGTTATCATTGCACAAATAGAAAATCATACTCTCCCCCCCCCCTAATTACTTGTAATAGTGGGCCCCCTGTCCTCCCATACAAAATAGCCCTACGGCCAGGGGGCCCACTATTACAAGTAATTAGGGGGGGGGGAGAGTAACTTACCTAGCTTATCATATCCCATCTTGGGCAAGTAAATTAGGATATCTAAAAAATACATTATTCTTTTCGTACCTAGATAGGTAAGGAATGACAATGCCTCGGCTGCTCCCGCTGGGTGGAATTCTGCCAAGTCAACTGCGGTACAGAGTATTTTGTATGTCTTGGACGACCAGGCACGGCTTCAATTGAGTATCGCATTGGATGGTCTAAATCTCGGAAGGCTAGCCTATATCTTTCTGTTCGCCCAGCTAAGAGTCCTGACCTTGCTCAAGATTAAAAAGGCGATTGCCAGCTATTTACATTCTTATATACAGATTCGAACGTTGCTCCAGCCTCCAGCTCAACTTAGGGTGCCTCGAGCGGCGCCCGGTCCTACATGTTAATAGACCTCCACATTTCCTAGCTGCGGAACATCACCCAATATCATGGTATAAAACTTTTAAAGTATTACCAAGCTGCTCATCCCAATTCTAACCCGGTTGAATTGGAGCCTGCTCGTCAAGGTCCTCGATAAGAGGTAAGACGATCTCATGGCGAATCTAGTAATTTGTGCTCAAAAGTGCAGCAGGAGCTTTTAAGCCGCTAGCCTTAGGCTCGCAGTGTCAACAACTTGAGGGTCCGGCACTAAATTATTGTAGATTTGAAACCGAATGTCCAAGTTCAAAAATTCAAGAAAGAGACAGCGGTTGTTCCTTGACTCGTGTGCCCATTATGTGCCTTATCCCTGGCCTAGACGAATGTGCCAGAGGAGGTCCAGCACAGATCGACGATTAGATCGTGTTGCGAGTTGTACTGGGACAACTGTCTCGGTGTATGTCATTGGAGCAACGTCTTGTGTCGATTAATACGGCGGATAGAAGTGTCAGAGTCCGATAATGTGTCGACTAGTAAAATTTGAGTAGGATATCGTTACAAGACCTAGTAGTTTTTATATCCTTTTCCCTAATATATTTTTATTGCAGTTTGGCCTACCCTAAATTGAGTCGTCGCTAACCTTTCTCAGCTCAGGCTAACGGTGGGCGATTTGGTGTCGGACAAAATTTCTATACGTACCTATTATAATATCTTTGAACTTTATATTAGATTATAATTTACATCTATCGATTCTAGAATTTTAGGCTATATATACATATAAAATGGTCCGATGATAAACCCATGCTTGAGAAAACCGACGAACTTAACGCCTTTGATTCCAAACCCGTCGAATATGTATAGTATACCCATTTACAACACCCTAGCCCTCCAACTTGAAATATCCGCCAATGCGCCAGAGATAAGATATACAAAATTTCCTCTTGCAGCTAGTCAACAATCATCCATGACAGGGTCCCGATTAGCCAGAGCAATACGACCGCCGTAAGAACTCCGGCGCCCACTTTATCGCCATGTGTAGGTGGTTCGATTTTATCTTGAGCCCGATCGTTGGGTCCTGAACCGGCAGCACTATTTCCTTGACTTGTGCCCCCCGTGGAATTCGTGACCGGTCCGCGTACCTGAGCGATCAAATTACTTTGGATAACCTCCAAAGCCGCCATTTCTTGGCCCACACCATAACTTCCATCCCATGTTGTGTTCATGGTCCATCTCATACCACAAGTCCTGCCATTGTCGCCTCCGCAGCACTGCTCTGCGGCGGCCTGAGCACTTGGTCGAAGTCTAGCCATAACAGCGTCGTAAGTAAATGGGGCCATTTTTGTGGTCGCGGCCATCCAGCGGGACAGGTATGCCTTGAAGGATTTCTGATCTGTGTTGCACTTCCCATTGTTTTCGCACGCAACTTCAACCATGATATCTTCCGGGGTGAAGAAAATGGCGGTAGCATTAAGGAGGCTCTCCACTCGTTGTCCCCAAACTGTGGAGCCGTTGGTGTAGTTGTACATCGTGGCAGCACCGAGAAGCATTGCCCCTGCATTATAGGTCCATTGAAGGTGGTTGATATTTGAGCAGTTGATGTTGCTGTCAGATCCGTCGTAGATGTAATAATTGGTGTCGATCAGCTTGGTACTAGCCATCCAGTCCCAAGTCTGATCAGCCCAATGTGCGTATGTATCGTTACCAGTATATTTTGCGAGCCGGGCGCCAAGATTAAAGAAACACCCATTGGATATCGAATTCTTGTAATTGTATCCGTTATTAAATGGGTATATTTGCCAACGGAGCCCACCACCACAAGAAGAGGTATCCCAACGGGCTGCCTGTGTGTTGAAAACAGCCTGAGCAAGGGCGAGCCATTGAGGTTGGTTTGCAGGAGGATTCGGAAAATTAAGCTCTGCGGCAGACATAGCTGCAATTCCCCAAAAGGCTTGGTCATCGTTACCTTCGGTTTTGGTTTGATTAGGCGGCATATAGCTCTCACTAGGACCAACTTGGAAGAGAAGAGCCTGTGTTGTAACCATGTTATATGTAGGATCGCCAGTGTAGTACCAATAATCGACCAGAGCTCCAAACATCGCGCCTGCTTCCCACCAATAGTACGGAGGAGGGAGATTCCCGGGAATTTGGCCCGTTTGGTTGCCATTGTAATATAGCATCATGTCATACGCGATCGTGCTTGCTGCTGACTTTATCGAATCTATAAGAAGGTCAGTGGGAGAGACGCTCCGAGAACGCGCGAAGATCCAAGAACACTCCTATAACTTACCATGGGAATTCAAATCGACATCTAAAGATTGTACGATGCGGGGCTTAGTTATTAATGTTGTGACTATAATAGCCAATGGCTTTGAAAACTTCATCTCGGGACTATGGCGATGCGATAATAGACTGTACAGAGAGGCAGATATCTCGAAAATGGTTCCTGGACCGGTCCAAGTATTGGCGGGAAGAAGTATAAAATATATTAAAGTTAATTACTGACTTCCGTCTTGTTGAGCTCCAGAGACGTGGGCAGCTATTTTCAATTGCTTGATTGCCGCAAGCAGCGTATGATATAAGCTGACGCTTTCGGTAAGACGTCACCAATGCCGATTCAAGTGGTACGAGTGAAAGTATCTTAGCTTCCCCAACAAAAAAGCGAATGCAATGCAAGAGAAGAATATTAAGGGGATTGGCGTTAAAGAGGAATATTAGAAGGATGAGAATGAATAGTATGGTCTGTTCGTGTTGGTGAAGTGTGGAGTGGGTGCGGGAACGAACTGGACTAAAATGCCAGATGACGATACAGGCTCGGAAACTTGGAAAAAAGCTTCCGAGACAAAGAAAGACGCGTAACAGCTAGGAAACAATTTCAATTGCAAAGTTTGAACTTAGGAATCGAAGATCAAGAGACACTTACCATACGATGCACTATCACCGATGCCATGGCCGAGCGCGTGTGAAGAAACTTACAGACAGTGGCAAGACACGCTCACTACGAGGGAAGATACAAGAAAGGATGACAAGTCTCCTTGGAGGCGAGCTACTTCTTCCTGGGACGTCAAAACCAGCGGGAATCCGTGATATAACAGCGTGCAGAGCGATGCATATTTATATCTGCCAGTGAAGACTCCGGCAACAATGAATGGAGGCAAAACAAACCAGCGCTGGAGAAAGAGAAAGCACAGCCACACCTAGTGCCGATTGCGAGTACCATGTGATCCTGTGAGGTGGCTGGTGTGGCAACGTTTGTGATTGCGTATGCCTTTGTTCCTCTATAGCAAGACCTAATAATAGACTTTCTTGTGAAAAGTAAAGTAGAGTAAAGAAGAGGAAAATATCGCCCCAGCAATCTTAGGAATCTCTTCATCTTCATACTGCCCAAATACCGATCAATTAACGGCCTTGTCACGCTCAGCTTCCCGTTGTCTCCAGAGTGTTTCCCGTGTGTCTCGCCTCTAGTCTCGCTTCTTGGCCTTCCAAATCACCTCCCATCGATCTGTCAACCCGACAACTCACTTCCCATCAACACCAACATCAACATCCCCCTTCAACCCCACGATCTGCATCTTCACACACACCTGTACATACCGCTCTGAACGCGACAGCCACTCTTTACGCCCATTCGATACTAAGTCTTTCATACGATCACAATGGCCGACTCTCGCGAACCTCAATATGATCCCTACATTCCAAGTGGACAGCAGCCTGCTGGAGGAGCAGGTGCAGCACCAGCACAAGGACAGGGAACCCAAAGAACAGCAGCACTACAAGCAGTAAGTGTTATATCATTCTGAAATGAGAGAACTGTCGTCGTTGGCCTTCTCGTCACCTCCGCCGGGGGGTTACGGATCCGGTGCGGCCGACTTTCGCCCTTTGCCCCATCCACGAACGCATGCGAATCGCATCATAGTCGCCGAACCGTATCAGTCTGGACAGCTATAGAGACAGAATCACGATATTTCCATGCTGCACGAACGCGATGTTTTGTTTCGAACTATAGGTGCTATGGAATTGCCTCTGATTGCGCCAACGACGACAAGTGACACGAAGCTATTACGGTATCACGATAGTTTCCGACGCACAATTCAGGGAGATCGGCCAAAGTACTCGATGCATGGCCGAACGAACGACAACATTCAGGGAACCGCTGCAAAACCGGGCCCGACATCCTTTCAGAGCCCCGAGACCCCAAGGCTGGAGCTTGCAAAACGATCACGCTTCCCTCGGCCAAGAGGATACCAAACTGGGTGGATCAAGCAGCAGCAGAAAGCTTGCTAACATATTCCTCTCTTTAGCAAATCGATGACACAGTTGGTGTGATGCGCGAAAATATCAACAAAGTCTCGCAACGTGGCGAGCGTCTCGATTCCCTCCAAGACAAGACCGACAACCTCGCTGTATCAGCGCAGGGTTTCCGTCGGGGGGCTAACAGAGTTCGAAAGTAAGAATCCCTAATTACTATTGCAAAGTGGACTTGCGTACCTCTTTACCCTTTTGCGTGACATCCACCTACTCATGAATCTCGCTGACATGTTATTTTAGACAGATGTGGTGGAAGGGCAAGTCACTCGGGCCACTCGAGAGGTATAATAGTTGCTAACGATCCTGCAGACATGAAGATGAGAATGTGCTTGATTATCGGTGTGATCATTTTGCTCATCGTGATCATTGTCCCAGCAGGTGAGCAAGCAACCAACGTAGGAGATGAGAATATATTAACCGTTCCATAGCTGTACTCGGCGGTAAATAGAAATCGGTGGTGTATGCCGGGAAAAGCGGTCTCAAGAGGGTCGTGGAGACTATAATGAACTTTGTGTTTACATCATGAAGTGAGAGCGCTGGGATTTTGATCCTATCTGCATGCAACACTCGCTGGCCACGAGAAAGCTGATCAACGGATGGTTAGCGATCAGGAGTTTCCTTTGATTTTTGCGTCGGTTTCGTTTCCTCGGTGGGCGTCTCTTACATACCGTTGACGAGGAGCTGGCAGGCTTTCACGCTGTAACGTGGGCTGCCAGCAAGCACTCAACACAACGGGGGTCTGTAACATGTAGGATTGAATGGAAGGAATAATGGAGACACCATGACAGTGCACTCACTGTTGTAAAGTGACTATAATCAGTCTATACTTGTAGTGTACGACTAATTACTTCCTTGCGGAATGTGGCTTACCCTGTTACCCAAAGTTATACTTCATAAAGAGAGACTACTCAACCACTCTAGTCTCGCCCCTCAAGGTTTATATATCAGAGGATAGTAATATGGGGCCTTAAGTCTCACTGGCACTGACAAGGCCTCGACTGACAATAACCCCACTTGACGGAATTGACATTGCATGGACTGACAATGCATCTCTACTCCTCCATAAGCCGCCATGCAAGGCCCAACCCAAAATCCTGTAGCATCGCATAATACCAGTACGGCAATACGTACTATGTACTACATACCTAGGTAGGTAGTACAGACTCTTTACCTTATTAACGGACATCTCTCTCAGTTACATGCAGATTTCAAGCATAGCAGTGCGATTGCGGAAGGCCTTCACCCTCGCGAGTAGCCCAAAACAGCAAGAAAACAGCAAATCTCTTGCTTTATTATACTAAGTTACCATAACCTCTGGCAAAATTCAGTGGCTGGCCAAGTTTTTCATGGTTTTTCTGGCAAGTGGCGGAACCGCAACAAGTCCCACTGCCAGGGTCCGGCCAATAGCGCCGACCATCGGACAACGGTGACTCCACACTAAAAGGTTTAAGGGCAACCGGAATATCAATATCTGAACAAGAGCCTCGACTCAGGTCTGTGAACATCCATTGAAACTCTTTTCAGGTATGATACCGCCTCTGCATGTTTGCTAGTTCCCATGGCTCGCTTGCCTTGCAATTGAATGAACAATCTAGAGGTTCTTGAGCTACACTGACAGGCCTTATCATCCTAGTTTGCCCCGTTTTCGAGTTTTTGTCCCCCGCCATTCTCATGCGATAACGACACGCAAATTCCTGCTTGGGAACGTTTGCGATTTCTTCTTGCTCTGCGGGAGGTGGTGGAAGAGAAGAGTCTTCATACTTCTGCCGTCTAATCTCCGCTCCAACACCTACACGACCCTCACGATGCTAGCCCTTCGTTCCACGGCCGGGGCAGTGGCCAGAAGAGCCCGTACCACCGCCGGTCGCTTTCCCTCATCTTCTGCCCGCACACTGCCAAAGGCTGCTGCTTCTGTAGCTCTCACGCATAGACGGGCTTATTCAACTCCTTCTACAGACAACTTCCATACGCGGTCAACAGTTGTCCAGCTGCTCAGCAACATAGGGTCGAAGCGGGAGGTTCAACAATACCTATCCCACTTCACATCCGTTTCCTCTCAACAGTTCGCCGTCATTAAAGTTGGCGGAGCTATTATTACCGAGCATCTCGAATCCCTCACTTCTGCTCTCGCCTTCCTTAACCATGTCGGACTCTTCCCTGTCGTCGTACATGGTGCTGGCCCACAACTCAACAAACTTCTAGAGGATGCAGGCGTTGAGCCCCAATTCGAGGAGGGAATCAGGGTTACAGATGGCAAAACCTTAGCAGTGGCGAGGAAGCTCTTCCTGGAGGAGAACCTGAAACTAGTAGAGAAGTTGGAGGAGATGGGTGTTCGGGCCCGGCCAATTACATCAGGTGTTTTCAGTGCAGACTATCTGGATAAGGAGAAATATAATCTGGTTGGCAAGATCAATCAGGTCAACAAGGACCCAATCCAGGCTGCGATTAATGCAGGGTGTTTGCCGATCCTGACATCAATGGCAGAGACGCCTGATGGCCAGGTCCTGAATGTCAACGCAGACGTTGCGGCAGGAGAGCTTGCGCGTGCACTTCAGCCACTCAAGATTGTCTACCTTTCTGAGAAGGGCGGCCTGTTCAACGCCGACACCAATGAAAAAATCTCTGCCATCAACCTGGATGAGGAATATGAGACTTTGATGTCGCAATGGTGGTGCAGATATGGCACAAGATTAAAGATCAAGGAGATCAAAGACCTACTCGATGGACTCCCAAGAACAACCAGTGTGGCCATCATCCACCCGGCAGATCTCCAGAAGGAACTGTTTACCGATAGTGGTGCGGGAACACTTATTCGACGAGGGAACAAGCTGTCGACTGCTTCGACCATCTCCGACTTTGAGGACCTGCAGAAGCTCAAGGATGTCCTTGTTAGAGACCGCGAGGGCTTAGATGCTAGAGCGACCGTTGACAGATATGTGGAAGGCCTGAAGTCACGGGAATTCAAGGCATACTTTGACGAGCCTCTAGATGCCCTAGCCATTGTTCTGCCTCCTTCGTCATCATCATCCCTTGCCAACCTAGCTGCTTTCACAATTACCAAGTCTGGCTGGCTTACAAATGTTGCCGATAACGTCTTTGCATCAATCAAGAAGGACCACCCAAAACTCGTCTGGACTGTCAAGGAGGACGACGAAAATCTGACTTGGTTCTTTGACAAGGCTGATGGCAGCCTTTCAAAAGATGGCGAGGTCATGTTCTGGTATGGGATCGAAAACGGTGATGAAGTCAAGGAGCTAATGACTGAGTTCACGAGACACGGCCGGTCAATGCTTGGCGATGCCAATCTTGAGGCACGACTTCACCGTGCTGCCCAGGCGGCATCCAATGGACTGAGTGCTTCGGCGAAGCAACATAATGCACCAAAGACGCAACAGGCACGAGCCTTCTCTACCTCTACACGCCGCCCAGTTTCAAAGAGCTCGCAGAGAATTATTTCCCGGCAATTTGCTTCATCATCGCGTGGCTATGCAACTACTACCAATCCCAATCCTCCTTTTGGCCAGAAGAACTCCTCAAATACCCAGCCAGCAAAGGTTGCCTTGATCGGTGCCCGAGGATACACCGGACAAGCTCTCATCAGCCTCCTTAACTCTCACCCGAACATGGACCTCCGCCATGTATCGTCGCGTGAGCTTGCAGGCCAAAAGCTCAAGGGCTATGACAAGCGGGACATCACGTACGAGAACCTCACACCTGAAGATGTCCGTCGCATGGAAGACAAGGGCGAGATTGACTGCTGGGTTATGGCGCTCCCCAACGGCGTCTGCAAGCCTTTCGTCGATGCCGTTGAAGCAGGCAACGGCAAGCAAAACAGCGTGATTGTTGATCTCTCGGCCGACTATCGATTCGACAGTAAATGGACCTATGGTCTTCCAGAACTTGTCACCAGATCTGATATTGCAAAAGCCACTCGCATCTCCAACCCAGGATGCTATGCTACTGCCGCACAACTTGGCATCGCGCCTCTAGTACCGTTCCTTTCCGGACAGCCTACTATTTTCGGAGTATCTGGTTACTCTGGGGCGGGAACCAAGCCAAGTCCTAAGAATGATATTGAGAATCTTAAGAACAACATCATCCCCTACAGCTTGACAGACCACATCCACGAGCGTGAGATCAGCACCCAACTTGGTGCCGAAGTAGCGTTCATCCCCCACGTTGCCGTGTGGTTCCAAGGCATCCATCACACCATCAGCATCCCATTGAAGGAGACCATGACAAGTAGAGATATTCGTCAGCTATACCAAGAGCGGTATGCAGGCGAGAAGCTGGTGAAGATCTCTGGTGAGCCCCCGAGCGTGAAGAATATTAGTGGCAAGCACGGCGTCGAGATTGGTGGATTTGGAGTGCATAGCAGCGGGAAGAGAGTAGTGGTATGTGCTACCATCGACAATCTGCTGAAGGGTGCAGCAACACAATGTTTGCGTAAGTCTATTTTCCATTCCAAAGTCGTTCTCAGCAGCGCAGACGAAACTAACTTTATGGGCAGAAAATATGAATCTCTCACTTGGATTTGCTGAGTACGAGGGAATCCCGCTAGACTAGAGGGATAATTAGGGGACGTATTGAATCTTGTTGTTTTTGAGAGTTGCGGAGTGGATAGGACTACGTATGGCGATCGGAATGTATATATTTTTGTTATGGATGTTAGAATTTGGACATAGGAAACCGCGAAGCTATTCTTGATTGTTCCATTTCGAGTCTTCTGAAGAACATGCAGCCTTGTGAATTAATCTTCTAAATCCCTGGGCTAGTAAAGGAACCCCAGTAGCATATATTGTCGATACTTGCACCTTAATAATAAATGACGTCCTTAAACTTGCGGGAGCAGCGATATTCAGGGGCAGGTGGGGAGACAGTACTGCGCATAGTTCCTAACCGAGTCAAGTGGGACGAGAGATTCTCCTGAAGGAAGACTCCGGTTCGGGTGTTATTTACCCCGACACAAACTACCCCGCTGGATGTTTACATTGTTGTTGGCGATCAACAACAATTCAAGCTCCAAAGTACACTACCCTTGGCTCTGCTACTCCTCATTTACAATTTTTAGTGTTGGACAGTTCCACCGAGATGCCGAATAGGATCTCAGCATCTAGGCAGAATGGAGAAGACGAGAATATATTCAGGCCCTTCCGTGGACAAGGTCCCGGTATCCGGATAATTCATGGATAAGTGTGCAGTGAAAGTGGGTTTTTGCATGCCCTTGTTTATATATATTTTGTCGTCATCTTCTCGCAATGGAAGTTGAGGGGATGTTTCGCTCGTGTGGTCGTCGCTCTCGTCCGGCTCGAAGACGTATCAAGCGCTTAGTCTGAGATACAGATACAGAGGCTATTGCAACCTCAAGAAAAGACCAATTTCTACTCGTAGGCGTTTCTACAACGCCCACGAGGCTTTGCTTCTTCAATATCGTTGGCCATGAGGGTGCAAATCTGGATGCTTCTAGCCACCCAATGGTTGACACCAGCGGACGCAAACCGAAAGATTGACCGGAAGAAAGTTGTCTCGAATTTCAATCCTCAGAGACATGAAAGCTCCAACTCAACACCAGTTCAAGTGGGCAATGGAAATTTCGCTTTCGGGGTTGATGTAACTGGCCTGCAAACTTTCCAGCCCTTCGCCATCCAGTCTTCGTGGGGTTGGCATAATTTTTCCCTGCCGACGACTCCAGGTCAAACCCAATTGACTGATTTCACCGGCTTAGATTGGTAAGTGTGCTGTATGCCAATTGAGACTCTCATAAAATAACATGTTTGCAGGTGGACTCATGGCCGCCTTGTTAAATACTCCCAGCCTAATTCAGCAGAACCCGAAATCTCCAATTGGTTGATACAAAATCCGCAGCGCATCAATCTCGGACGCATTGGATTTTGGTTTGGTAGTGACCATGTCGATATAACTGAGTCGGATCTCTCCGAAAAGTTACAGACTCTTGATCTATACTCTGGAATCATATCATCTCAGTTCACCGTCTTGGGATCGAAGGTCACTATTAAAACCTCTGCGGACCCGGATTCGGATACTGTCGCTATCCAGATTCAATCCGACCTGATCAAAAAGGGTCAGTTGGGAGTGTTTTTCGACTATCCATACCCGGATCGAAATAAGTTTGACGCGCCATTTGTTGGCGTTTGGAATGCTTCTTCACTACATACTACGTCGCTTCAGCAGAGCAGATCCCAAGCCCAAATCTCTCACGATATCGATGCGACGACTTACTACACCAATATCTATTGGGATGGTGAAGGCTGTATATCCGACGCTTCGAAAGGGACCCACAGATACGTCCTTCAAGCGAATCCGAGCCATGACTCAACGCTCGAGTTAACGGTCAACTATTCTCCAAAACGCGGACAACGCTTCGAAGATGACGCGGGCTCTGTTGTCCGCTCTTCGGCCAAATGGTGGAGAGAATATTGGGAAGATGGAGCATTTATAGATCTCACCGGAACTAAGGACACAAAGGCCACCGAGCTCCAACGCAGAATCATACTCTCCCAGTATCTATTAGCAGTGAACGAAGCGGGAAGAGATCCACCTCAAGAGTCGGGATTGGTAAATAATGGATGGTATGGAAAGTTCCACATGGAAATGGTGCTATGGCATCTTCTCCAGTGGGCACGGTGGGGGAAATGGTCGCTCTTGGATCGCAGTATCCCTCATGTGTATGATCGTTTCCTTCCCACTTCCATCGAACGAGCTCGTGATATGGGGTATAAAGGGGCACGATGGGGGAAAATGAGTGATCCGACTGGAAGATCAGCACCAGGTGAAATCAACTCGCTCTTAATTTGGCAGCAGCCACATCCATTCTACTTCGCCGAAGTAGAATATAGGGCATTCCCGAGCCCCGAAACTCTGAAGAAATGGGATAAGGTCCTTACTGAGTCTGCTGAGTACATGGTCTCTTTTGCCTGGTGGAATAGCTCTACAAGTATGATGTCCTACCCTCTTGTTGCATATAGTCCTCGAAGAATCGAATACTTAAGCTAACAATAACATAGATGTATTTGATCTCGGTGCCCCGATGTACCCTGTCTCCGAGAACACCAATCCTAACGCAACGATTAACCCAACCTTCGAGTTAGCATACTGGCGCTTCGGCCTCAAGATAGCCGAAAAATGGAAAGTCCGTCAAAAACTCGAAGCCCCCCCCTCCTGGCTCAATGTATCCAAAAGTCTGGCCCCCCTCCCAATAATCAACAGCACATATCCTATTTACGAGGGTATACCCGATATGTGGATCGACCCGGTAACATATACTGACCACCCAGCCATGACCGGAATATATGGGCTCCTCCCTCCAACATCAGACGTAAACCTCACAGTCGTCGCAAACACCGCCAACAAAATTGCCTCCGTCTGGGACTTCGCTAATTTGTTTGGCTGGGATTTCCCTATGCTGGCTATGAATGCTGCACGGTTGGGCAGATCCGATACGGCGATTGAGTATTTACTTGATCCGAATTTTGCGTTTGATGATGTGGGAATGCCAATTGGAGGGCCGAGAGTGCCGACGCCATATTTTCCTGGGAGTGGTGGTCTATTGCTCGCTGTTGCTATGATGGCTGGTGGGTGGGATGGGAACGAGGGTCCGAAGTTCCCTAAGGGTTGGGATGTCAGGGCTGAGGGGTTTCTTCCTGCGCTGTAATTTTTAACAGAATCGTGTTTATATAGTAAAGAAGATAGCAAATCATATAAGAATTCATAATCATAAGCTTCAGAAGACATCATATGTCTCTTTATTTACCATGGGTTGGGCGTATTCGTTATCAGGGCATTACTACTCAGCCTCATAAATTGCCGACCTAGTAGAAGTAGTAGCCCTGCGAGGCATTCCCTTCCAAAAAGTATTTCCCAGCGTATTATTGTTCGTAGGAGACCTAGTCTACGTCATGGGGGCAAGAAAACACGTCATTGTTCGTACAATAAATTTACTTCCGGAAGCGTGCATTAAGTAGATATTTTATGAGCCATTGGAGGATTATTCGCAGCATGTATGTAAAGGAGCGACTGGGAATGCCCTACGTTGTCTCGCAGAGGCTCATAAACCAGCTTTGAGACGGCCCGTGGTAAATTGCAGGCTATAATTCGTGCCCGTATAAAGTGCAGACACCAGTTCCAGCGCCCACACAGCGCCCACACTGAGTTTTTTTGGGTGGAATGACACGGTGATATGGTAGACAATACGGAATCTGGTTCGTTGGGAGATGGTGCCTTCATGTTGCTCTGTAGCATAGGAGTTGGGTATGAATGGCTAACGGGGCATGCACTTCTATTGACAAGGTATGCAATTGAGTTCCACCGAATATCGTGGTGATGCTTGGGGCTGAAGGCCGAACTGCTAATGGAAATGGGAATTGGTGGATGAGAGCTGGCTTGGGCTACGCGAGTTACTGGCTCAAGGGGGCTCTTCAACCTAGCTCTCGCTCGGAAAGCAGTTCGACGCCTGGTCATTATTGAAAATGATTTGTCTCGAAGGTCCGCCCATATACACTTATTGTATTCCAGGAACAGTAGAATGCCAATTATCATCTGATGTCACTGGCATCACACAGAACGCACTGCTAGGAACACCAACTTCAATTGTCTCTTCTATCGCTTCGCTATTTACACTCGTACATCGAACAAAAGGAAGGAGAGATAGTTGTCTACAAGATGGAAAGATCGCCGAATTTCTCCTGCAAAGTGTGTTAGTAGCGGTCTCTAACATTTCGAGAGTGATTCCTAGGGGTAAACGTACCTTGTAGCCTGGTACCATCCATCGGCCCTTGGAAACAAGTTGGGAGGTCTTCTCATCGATTTGTGGCTGAGCCGCTGCAACTTCGTCCTAAAATCCCCCAACACATTAGCAACAGTCCGTCGATATTCAACGCCAACGGGAGTACATACCACAGTGAGATCCTCAAACGGTCTAGCCTCCTCGATATTCTTCAACGTCTTTGCCAAATCCTTCAGCTCCAAATCAACCCGTCCCTTGGTCTCCTCGGCATTCTTCACAGCCTGCGCCTCGAAGGCGTCAATCGCCTTGATCTGCCTATTAACATCGTACGTGACGGGCTTGAAGCTAGTGAAGTGCTTTTCGATCTCGTTTACGACATCTTGGTTCTTCAGGAGCGAGCGGTAGTGCGCAACGTCCACCTGCTGCGGCAATTCCGAAAGCTGTTGTACACGGCGCCGGGCGTCTTCGTTGCGCTTCTTAAAGGCTTGGAGAGAGGCGGCAGTTTGACCACGGAGGCCGAGGGAGGTGGTTATTTTCGCCCAATCGAGCTTGAGTGCTGCGCTTCGCTGGAGGGAAGGACTATGTTAGCTATGAACGTGGGGAGAAGATTTGAGGGCATTCGGCACGACTCGGAGAGGAGGGTGTTAAGTGGCCTAACGCAACTCCAGAAAGAGCGCGCAGGGCTTCACAGAGAGAAGGGAGGATCAATTGAGCGGTTAGACTTACTCCGGCTGCCATTGTGACGGTATTCGGGGTTTGAAGGAGTGATAGTTGGTTGGTGTTGACGCTCGTCGTCAAAACCTGGAGCTTCGGCAAACCGCTAATAGATCACGTGCCAAAAATGAAAATGATCCTAGTCGGGCAGGCTAGCAACTTGAGATACCTTACCTTATTATAGGTCCTTGAGCGGCTGACCTTGTTTTTAACGGGATTAATGAAATAATTAATGGTAAGACAAGGTCGAAGAGGGTTGCTTTTAGTTTATTATAGCCACATAGTCTACGAATTAGATTCAAAGCGGGGTTTGGGAGAGCATAACTTCGTCAGTGTTCATGCATAGGACTGGAGGATGACCAGAGAATGACTGCAATTCTGCATTTCATGATTCAAATTTGAATTTACAGCTTTTGCTTCTCAACCGAGAGGGCAAAGGCATCTGCATAGCTAGGTAAAGCGGGACGATTAAGCTCTAGACTCTATATGCTTAAAGCCATGATAGAGTTGACTATATCATTATCGTTCTCCTTCAAAGCCTTGACAGCCTTGTTCCGCGAGACGCTTGCTTGAGTCATGACCAGCTCGATATCCTTATCCTCCAGACCGCTGGCATCGACCTCCTCTCCGTCATCCTCTTCTTCCTCCTTCTTGTCCTCGCCAGTCTCAGGGCCCTTGCCTTTGCCGTGGTCATGGTCGTGGTCATGGCCAGCGTGGTCGTGTCCGGCATGGTCGTGGGATTCGGCAGCGGCGAGCTGTTGGGCGGCGGAAGCTTGAGCCTGGGAGTTAAGATCCTCAATCTTGGCCTCTCCGAACACACTTTAACGACTGTTAGTGTCGATATCCTAAAGGGCCGGGGCCGATGCTCTTACATGTATGTGTTGCTTGTGGGAGACTTGTAGACCTCTGGCTGGTTGATGACGAAAAGGATCTGTAATGCTAGTTAGTCCCAACACCATGAGGCCAACAAACGGAATAGAGCAGCAAAGAATCGAAGGGTGTCCACAACGGTGTTCTGGGCTCGTGATAGATAGAGATACTGACATTCTTTGGTCGTCTTAGAGTGACTCTGGTGATACCAGGGACACGGGTAAGGCCAAGCTTGGCAATTGACTTGCGTGCCTTCTTCTCATTGCGAGAGTGGACGACAGCTCCTCCTGCAGGAATTCCGCTCTCGCCGGTCTCGACCTCAGAATCAGAGCTCTCGGATCCCTCATCCTCTGCGGTGACATTCTTTGGTGGCTCATCATCTGGGAGCTCTTCGACACGTGGGTTCGCCATCTTGGGTGGTAGGTAGGTCTGTGATGTGCAGGTTAGCAACCGATTGCGAATATTTCTCGTGCGCATTCAGGTAGCGCGCGCTTTCCGTAGCAACAGCGGTTTTACCAAGACCCAAGATTGAGATGGAAATGAATTGATAGTACTGACCTGGAAGGGTGAAAGGTGAGGGCGGGATATAATTCAGCTTCTGAATGGTTGAAGGTTGAAGAGGCGGAGCTTTGTATTTAGGGTTGTGAAGGTTCGCTAAACAATTTTTAAGCTACCGAACGCAGGACAGTGCCAGACAACATCAAAGGCAACGAATCTTCATAGATACAAAGTTTACAAGTAGTCATTATCATCTTATAGAATGTAGAATTGGGATTTGCACAGTAGTTGAATTTCAGAGGTCTCCATAGGCTGACGCATCATGGCATTTCAATTTTCCGAGAGCACTTCAATGTGGTTTTGAAATCCATTGTATGCTCTTGACGCCCGTCATATTTGACGTAGGGTACAAAGCTCCTTGAGAAGCAAAGAAATCCAGCAACCCAATGCAGTCATGCTCCTCGCAGTCCCAAATCCACCAACCCGATAGTCTAGTTCGCAGAAGCCTTGACCTTGGCCAACGACTTCCGGACCTCGAAACGTGCCTGCTTCTTCAGTCTCATAACCTTGAAGCGCTCGAAGTCTGTCAATGCCCGTCTCCGCTCTCTTTGAGCACGCTTCTTGGCCCACGAACTCTCCTGCCATTTTGCCTCAATACCGGCCTGCTCCCATGCCGCCTTTACAACGCCAGTTCGTGCACTCCGGGGGAGTTTCTCGAGGACCAGAGGGGTAAGAATAACATTGGCGAGGGAGATTGCTTGACGGGGAACGGCGGTCTTGACGTCGGTTGCTGGTCCATCAATGAGGGCCTGGATCAAATCAGTACTTTGCGCCTCAAATTCCCAATGCCCAGGCAAGTTGCACATACGCGCTTGTGGTCGATGATCTCAACGATCGCGGCTAGCTTGCCGTCTGAGGGTCCTCCATGGATGAGGCAGATGCGCCCAACCTCCACCAGTCTCCAAGATGATGCTGTGATATCGGCGTCACCCATTGTGATTGATTTCTATATCATTGTCGAGATTGTCGCGGTAGGAGATCCGAAATTCCGAATTCGAGGATGTGGATTTCTAAGCGAGGCCGCAGCCCTAACCTTGTTGGTGCCTGGGGCAGCCATGCAGTAGTGGCTGAAGCTCGGCGAAGGCTAAAAGCATTCTCTCTTCGAGCTTTCAGCGACTTTTCTTTCCAACATCCAAACATCGCCCAACTCTACTCAATCCCTTGGGTACAATGTCCACAACAATGCATTGAATAATGGTTCCTCTGGCGTGTAGGCGCCATGAACCATGCAGCTGCCTTATATGACAGCTGCTTGCAATTCAAACTGTAAGTTCTACTCCTGTTCCTCACAGGCCTGCCCACTCCTTCCAATGATGATATAATTTGCGATCGACCTTGCCCGGTGGCACCCTCGCCGGGGTCGCTATATCGGGTGAGTGGATGACATTCAATCTTACATATTCTGAGGTTTTCCTTTCTGTTGACAGCGTTCTGTGACTGGGGCAGCTGGACAGTTTGCTAACGATCAATTAAGATTAATCTAGGGCCCGAAGCACTCGTTTTTAAGGAGTCGATCAAAACAGTTTCTTCCCTAGTTACAATGTGGCTATCCATAGGCTAGACTGGACTGGTCTGTTTCCAATTGAAACAATGTCCTCAACGCCGTCGACTGTAGGAGATATATGGTACGTGGACACCTTACAACTATCAGTGGTGCAGCTCTATGCTACTCCTTATTCCCTGCAATGATTACAAAAATACACTGAAAATCCTGAGCTCTACGGAGCACTGAAGTTTTTCTACCAAGATCACTGAGCACTACAATCAACATCGTTAATTGCGTACGCAAAATTTTTCAAGATAGCTCGCTGACTGTTGTACTATAGGTTATCCAGACATCTCCCGGTATTCCAAAGGTTTGAAGTTCTCGTTTCGTTTCCTAAACTGTGAATTCCGGCAGTGAGATTCTCACGTCTAGCCAACACAGTCTTCGTGCCCTTTGGTAGTAAATACCTAGTAGTATCGGGCTATTTCCAACATGTCCCATGCCAAGGAACTGTTTCGAATTCGACCTTGTATCGATGTGGAAGAAGTCGGGGGCATTGTTGCTAGACCTTGATACGGAGCTGAATGCATTTTACAAAGATATGCCATGGGGACGATATGGATCCTTCTCTAGTTAATAAAGAATATTCTATACTTACAGTAACCAAACATATCACGCTACCTTTCAATGTGCCTCCGTCGTGGTATCGTGCTTTCATCAACGCCTCCCTATCCCCATGAACCCACACTCTACATTCCACCAAACATCTAATCAATCACGATCCCCTCATCTATAACCCCATCCGCCTCCTCCAGTTGCTGCTTTACGCTCTCGAACAGAACCTTTGCAACGAGAGGAGGGACAGCATTGCCAATCTGCTTCTTGATATATTTGCCCTTGAACACATGAGCAGGGGGGAATCCTTGCAAAACTGCATATTCCCGAAGCGTAAAGTCTCGCTTGCCTCCCGGGTGGTAATTCTGGCCTCCTGAAGTGGTCATCGCTCGTGGCAGGATGTTATCGCCATCGTAGGGGTCCTTGCACTTATCCAAAGCAAATTTTGCTCTGTCGAGGTCGTGGTCTTCCGCATTAAGAGGGATGGTAGCGAGAGCTTCATTCACGGTTGCGTAGGGCTTGAGACCGTTCAATGGAAATCGGGGATCGGCATGTGTGGCAGCGGGCATGCGGGGAAGAATCTCGCCTGGGCTGAGGTGGGACGATGATTAGCACTTACAACGATATCAGAGAGGTGCACTAACCAGGCAGCTATAGCAATCAGGCGGTAGCGGCGTTGTGGGAGCCCCTAAAGCAAAGTCAGTCAGCATATTCTTTAGCCATCGCTTGAACAGTTTTAAGGAAGGGAAAGGAAATACATACCAACTGTGCCAGCTGGACGATTTGCCATCTGACAGAATACTCCAGACTAGTAAACTGACAAATTAAAGCATTAAAATAAAAGCAAAATCGATTGTCAATAATAGAGAACGTCTGCTCCAGAGTTGCAACTCTGGGCCTTGTAATCTTCAACGCCTGCTCAACGGCAAAAAGACTCGCAGTGTTCATATCGTCATCTTTGCCAGCTACCGTATGAGCTCTAGAGAAATACTGACAAGGGGGAGACAGGTGCAGAATATCGACTATGGCATTTTCTCCGGAAATTTCTACTTCCTGGAAGAACGTGCAGAGTTCCATATGACGGCAGACAGCATATGGAAAGTTAGCAAGCCAAGTTTCGCAGGCATGGTTAAATGAGTCCACCCCATATTTGACACGCAGGCCGGCCATGGATGCACCACGTGTTGTTCCGCCTGCCCCACAGAACATATCGCCGTATGTGTAGGTCTGACCAGGCAATCTCCTAATTGGTGATGTCGGTCTCGCCGAGTTGGAGAATGTCACATCTGCCACTACCGCAGTACGAGCTAGACTAGGAGCCGGCTTTGGATCTTCAGTTAGATCTATCAGATTCGATGGCGCACGCTGTGGCGAAGTAGCGTTTCCAGCTGCTAAGTTGATACATGACGAACGCTCTCCAACACCGCTCCCGAGGTCAACCCTGGCTCGAGGCCTCTTTAGATTTCCACTTGTTGCGCCATAAGCTTCGTCATAACAAGCTTCCTTTCGTTTCCGAGTATTTTCAGGACGAGACTCAAGAGAAGGACGATAGGCGCCACCGGGTACGGTTCTGCCACGCCAGTTAGCTCGGCGTTTGTCGTCAGGAATAGTATCCTTGGGTAATTCTGAGGCTTGAAGACGCTCCAGTGCCCACTCCTTTTCAGTACTCCCCTTGATCCGATCAGATGCGGTTACGAAAGTCCTAGTGTATTTCCAGCGAACAGAGAGCAAGCCATCTATGGTACTGGCTGCATCAAAACTTTCATTGGTGACTCGAATTTTGCGAACTCTAAGGATGTCACTAATGAGGACCTCGCCAGCTCCCTGCTCTTCATGGCTCCTCTCATCGTCGAGATCCACATCGTATACAAAACAAAGTTCATTGTCTATTTCTGGCAGTCGTCCCTCCAAGAAGTTTGTCCGCTTTAGCCGATCTCCACGTAACTTCACTTCTCTTGTTTGTGGGTTGGATATGATCATCCTGATCCTCAGGAAGTCCCCGTTCCGAAGCTCAACAGTCAAATTCGGCCTCAATATCTTACCAGGCCAGGCATATGTCTCAAGGCAGGTGAACGGCAGGGCAATTGGCGGGTTTCGGAGTTCGATAATCTTTGGCTGCGACGATTTCCGGCGGCCGCTTGCTGGAGCATTCCGAAGTCGTATAGGACGGGCATTTGGGAATCGGCTGTCGCTAATAACCACCACTTCAGGATCGTCATCTTCATCCTGAATGACCACATATTGATCATCATCATCGATATCGATGACCTCGGCGCCTTCGGGCACAACGCTGGCATAGGCTTGCGGAGAGGGGTCCTTTGGTGATTTGGTTTGGCGATTATTATCATCCCCAACTAAAGTGTCAGGAGAAGAATTTGCAGTGCCCTGCGCTCTTTGACGAAGAGTAAATGGTTGTGGTCGAGAATGGGAAACCCCGCTGTAATTCTCACTTGCAAGTTCAACCGGATTGCTAGCAGCAATTAATTTTGGCCGGGAGGTGGCATTTGTGGAGAAGCAAGAGGCTGGTGATCCAAATGCTCGATTGGCTCGGTGTAGTCCAGCGCTTGAGCCCGAGAACCTACTGGGTTCTGGTTTACCATTGCGCTCTTTAGCTTTTACCACCTCCGATATGCGCAGCGGTTCTTCTGGACATTCGATTAATCGCCAATGGTTTTCATGCAACCGGTATTTGTAAAGGGATGATTCCTTATACAAGGCGAAGGGTATGCAGATACTAAGCGAATCCGAAGATCCTTCTTGGACAAGTGCCTGCGGTCTCAGATCGGAGATGGTCGCATTCGTGTTCTCTGATGAACCTATTTCGAACTTTTAGTTGTAGTTCTAAGTTGTAAAGTAACGAGCTTCGAGTTCAAGGTAAGAGACGTTCTATCCGAAAGAAATGAACAAGGATTGGAGCCGGAGAGAAGAGCCAGGCCGCCATCATAAACAAGGTCCACGGAGCGTGAAAGGAAGCGAAGGAAACCGGACTTGCTGGGAGATAGCTCATAGATCTGTCGGCCATAATTTCATGTGCACCTCAGTGCGTAAATGCTACAAGCGAGGCCCAGGAGGGGGAAGATGGCGTGGGTAAGTATGAACTCCAAGGCGATATGTGATGAAAATGGTGCCTCTACTCATCTAGGCTGAAATGCCAAAGGGTACGAAGACATGGAGGCCTCGGGCACCAGGGGCAGCCAAAGTAAGACCTTTAAAGGGCGGAACACAGAGAAGGGGTAGGCACAAAGAGTGAGGGTGTAGCCTTCGGTCGACCAAGGCCTAATAGCTAGCCGAGAGAAGGAACCACTTACGATTACGGCGTTGTAAGCCATTAGGGCGCATAGACCTCGTTGATTCAATGTTATCGTAGTCGCCATCGATCAATATTATGGGAGCTTGAGGCGAAGCCATTGTTTGCGATGAGTCGATTGCAATTCGTTTGACTCGGGTCGGGGGCGATGTCCTCGCGGGACGAGAGGTTGGGAAAGCCCAAAGCGGGCAAGATCGTGTTATCTCTTTGGGAGAGATGATTAGTTAGCTAGGCTCAATTATAGGGCGTACTAATGGCGTATGGATTTTGAGAAGAGAATAGGACATACCAAATACAGTATTGGAAGAATCCCTCCTGTGCTATCGGCGATGGTTGAGTGTTTGGCAATGTTGATATCGAAGGGATTGAGGGCTTGTTAGCTTTGCAAATAGATCGAGGAAAAGTCCTTAGCGGTGCTAAGGTGGGCGCGGCGACGGAGGAGCAGCCCTTATACCAACAGGTGGCTTTGTTAGGCGTCTCGCCGTATCGTGCGCAGGTTCTAGACGCCGGAGTCATAAATCAAACTCTTTGCATAGCTAGGAGATCTATTGAATTTGCAGGATACGGGAAAGTTGGTCAACTCTATCGCACCCTCAAAGTTTGCCGCCTAGGGTATCCTTCCCAGATCTAGGGACTTGTAATAAGGCTTGTCATAGAGGAGGACTCCGAACGTCTGCGGATTCTTCTTAGTCGGCCAAGCAGTGGTGTTATGCGAACACTATTGTCACTCTTTGTAAGTCCCACAAACAAGGCACAGAAGAGTAACGGGAATTCGCACTGTATTGTGGACTTCCTTCATTAGCGGACTAGCACTCTGGCGGATGATCCTCTTATGGCGACACCAGAGAGGTGAAATTGGGCTTGGATATGGAAACAGAGAAGAAGAGCCTGAACACCATAACCTTAACACAGTATGGCCTCCCTAGTTGCCTTCTCGGATTGCTGCTTCTGACAATGACACAGGGATATCCGCAAACTGGATTGGACATCAGGAGGCAGGGAGAGAAAATTGGGCACAGAGAATTTGACACGAGACACCATGGACTTACAAATGGTTGGTTTAGAACAACAAGCGAACATACAATCACGTGTCAATTCTAACGGCGCAATAACAATCTTTTGCTCTGGAAAAGAGATGGTGGCCGGAGAGATTAAGGGCACAGCGGCCAATACGATAGCGCCAGAGTTTGCATGAACGGAACAAAACAAATCGGCATCCTTTACTTTCAAAGGATAAAGGCCAAAGCAACAGCAATAACGAGCTGGAGGTGATACGATTGAAAAGGGTTGTTGACACGACTGTGTCAGAGCCTTGCACACAGTTATTCAGCTGAAGCAGCTGATAATACAGGCAGGCATAGCCCGTGGTTCCATATATGAAAGCAAACTATTACAACAAAAAAGAGGCACGGAAGAAAGCGTGAGCGCCATGCAGTTGACGCCATTGGGTCATGATGCCGTGGTCTCCCAAATGGTTGGTTGGGAGAGAGCAGCAACTATTGACAAAGGTACGAAGTATGTCCTAGATTCAACCTCTAAGTGCAGCTAACCATCACAATAAAATTATAGAGCAAACAAGCCACAAGCAGAGGTATCTTGGCAGGAAGATGCAGAAGTGCACTTGCCTTCACCCCTATCATCGTGTTCACCTCTTCAAGTGCATTGGGGTATTAAGGCACAACTGTTGCTCAAGATGAAATATATTGCCTTGTTTACCACTGTTTACTATAATCGTCCGCGAAGAAGGTCGGCATATCTAGATGCCGCTATACGCAATACGGCTAGTGCTGGAAGTTGGGATAACGGTGATTAGTATCTCCGATCCGACCAGTTCTGTCTGCTCTTATCTAAATATTTGCATCAAAACTGCAGGAGTGGACAAACACCATGTTTATATTCAAACGATGGAACATGCCTAGGTGAACTTTTGGGAAACTAATCCATTATCGCATGTATATATGATAGCTCCTGGGGCTTTACATAGTCTTATTCCCTGCTCTTTCATCCTGATTGCTGTCGCCACCAACAGGTTACTAAGCAGCAACCGAAACCCAGCCGAGAAAGTTTTGGCTCGGCCCCAAGACAAAAAGATTCGTGAAAAAAGGTGGGATGCCCTGGTCTCTGCTAGAACTTGAAAAATGCATCCCACGACACAACGCCCCAGCTGTGCTATGCTTGGTCTCGACCTCCTATATCGAGGTTCCAGCCCATTCCAACACCCCTTACTGTCAACCGGATAACCTGCTTGAAGATATCGTCTCTCCACTTGCTTTCGTTCCCTTCGCCCTTGTCTAACTCCATCCGGGCGTCTTGACTCTCCCACTATCACACTAAGCCGGTGTTTCGCAAAAGGTAAGGAATTACAGCTACTATACCATACTCAATATCCCTTCTCCACATTTATGTATTTCCTCTTGGTTATGATGAACGAATATTATTTTTAGATGTTAGACTTCCGAGCACATTTTGCGGATACACATTCAAACTGAACCAACTGTATACTCTTAACACATTGCTGGAAAGTGGTTCCTAGATCAAGCTAACCGCATCGCAGCAGGGAGATTTTCGTTGAACCTTCGAACTAGCAAAGATGTGCGGCATTCTTGGACTCATCCTTGGGGATATCGGTGATCCCTACTCGACAACTGCCGCTGCCGACCTCCACGATGCGCTCTACTATCTCCAGCATAGAGGGCAAGATGCGTGTGGCATAGCTACGTGTGCCTCAGGCGGAAGAATATATCAGTGCAAAGGCAACGGCATGGCCGCTAATGTCTTTTCCGACGGATCGCGAGTTCAAGACCTTCCTGGTTTCATGGGCCTGGGTCATCTGAGATATCCTACTGCCGGCAGCAGCGCCAGCGCCGAGGCACAGCCATTCTATGTCAACAGCCCGTATGGAATCACATTCGCTCATAATGGGAACCTGATCAATGCCGAAGAGCTCCGAACCTTCCTCGACAGAGAGGCGCATCGGCATATCAATACCGACAGCGATAGCGAATTGATGTTGAATATCTTCGCCAATGAGCTGAACGAAACTGGAAAGGCCCGTGTCAATGAGGAAGATATTTTCAGCAGTTTGGAGCGGATGTACGGAAAATGTGTGGGCGGTTGGGCTTGCGCATCAATGTTAGCCGGGTTTGGCATTCTCGGCTTCCGCGATCCTTATGGAATTCGGCCTCTTGTTCTAGGTTCTCGTCCTTCCAAGACATTAACCGGTGCTACGGATTATATGATGGCTTCTGAGTCGGTTGCTTTGCGCCAGCTCGGATTTGGCGACATTGTGGATATCCTTCCTGGACAAGCTGTCATAATTCGGAAGGGATCCAAGCCTATCTTCCGGCAGGTCGTCCCCCAGCTTGCGTATTCACCAGATATTTTTGAATTCGTTTATTTCTCGCGGCCGGACTCTGTTATTGATGGCATCAGCGTCCACCAAAGCCGTCAGAATATGGGTTACAAACTGGCTGACACGCTCATCCGAACCCTGGGCGAGGAAGGTATCAAGGAAATCGATTGTATCATCCCTATTCCTGAGACGTCCAATACATCTGCAGCCAGTCTTTCCGAGCGACTCAAAATCCCCTATTGCCAGGGCTTCGTTAAGAATCGATATGTCTTCCGGACCTTCATTATGCCTGGGCAAGGTGCGCGCCAAAAGTCTGTGCGTCGGAAATTGAGTCCTATCCCGTCCGAATTTGCAGGCCGGACTGTTCTTCTTGTCGATGATAGCATTGTCCGTGGTACTACCAGCCGAGAGATTGTCAACATGGCAAGAGAAGCTGGTGCCAAGAAGGTCATCTTTGCTTCTAGCGCTCCTCCCATCACTCATCAACACATCTACGGAATTGATCTTGCATCGCCCAAGGAGCTTGTAGCGCATAACCGAGATAGGCTAGAAATTGCCAAACACATCGGTGCTGAGGAAGTCATCTATCAATCACTGGAGGATTTGAAAGCTGCCTGTGCATCACTCTCTCCCCGAGGCCCTTCACAGGAGTTTGAGGTCGGCGTTTTCTGTGGTAAATACGTCACTCCTGTTACCAAAGGCTATTTCGAGCATCTTGAAAGACTCCGAGGCGAAGGCAAGAGGCTCAAGACGTTGCAGGGGGCGAAGGAGGCAGTCTGCAATGGACAAGCTGGAGAGCGGGAATTTGAACTGGTCACCAATGGAGCGGTAGTCAACGAGCATGGAGAGGTTGTTCCGGAAGGTTCTAATGACGATTCGACCGGGTATTCGAACAAGGACAGATACAGAGAGGAGCCCAATGCTTCGACTGTTCGAGACCGTCATGACATTAGGTAAGACTTATTTTCTTTCGTGATACAACCTCCAACGCTAATATGTGACTCAGCTTGCACAATTTCGCAAACGAGCGTAATCGAGACTATGAGTAATGTTGGACATATAAACATATGAGTTGGATAAGACGAGGTTATGGTAAGACGTTGGAGTTCAGGTGTATAAAGCGGTGGCTATGTTTGTAGAGTGTAGTTAATGCTCAGGCAATACGAATGTAGATTCTTGTAATTTCTGGATTACTCTTGCTTGTTGGTGATGTTCTTAATATAATATGTGCAAATGACACGATTAATTGGGATATATCAAGGTGCAATGCAGCTAACAGAATCCACCTCCACTGCCTGCTGCCTGCCTGCCTTTGTTAGGCTAGTAATTTGAATTCTGGAGGCGAGGATGGCGTCCTTAAGATCAATAATAACCATAGCGGTGATAAACTACTGAAATAGGGTGTTGTTGAGGAATCACTTGAGTCACTTCCATAGTGTCTTCATGGCGCAAGGGGTCGCTCGCTAAATTGGTGTCGCATTCGTTGCTCCCATCTTGTGGTTGACGCCAACATCATCTTTCAGCAAACACCTGGTGCATCACCAAATCATCATCAAACCAAGTCCATCACTCGTTCTGATACAGATACAGGATCTAGAGTCCAGGAAGCATTCTTATCCATCAGTTCAATATCTCAATCGTACATTTATCAAGAAATATATTTTCACTCAGGGGTCGTCACCGACATGGGGGACTCTCTACGACCGGCCTCCGCCGACGAAGTTCCAGGGCCGTGGGATGTCCTGCCCCATGGCTTGGGTAGCTCCAGGCTACTATTTTTCCCTGTCTCGAAAGCCGTCCCAAAGCCTACGGCCAAACTAGCCACCCAAGAGCCTCCTGGTCGCAGTGAAACTACAGACCCTGTTACTGCGGACCTGCTTAACGAACCCAAAACCGAGGAGCAGTTAGAGCAAAAAGTCAAGTTAGGGGTAGGTGAAGATGGCAAAGAAGCGAAGCTTGAGGACTCCAAAGCCCTAAAGAGTGGTGTCGACACGTCTACGGATGTTCTTCACAAAGTCAAAGATCTAGTGGACGCCGATGAAAAGCTCCAAAATAATGTCAAGAAATCTAAGAATCGATATGGAGTGGACCACCAGAACTCGCCTTTCCCTCATCACGTCATGCCGACCCCGCAAGCTTGCGAGGAAGTGCATCGGCTATTGACGGGAAAGCATGGAAAGGTCACGCAGCCCGCAACCATTCCTCGGCCATCATTGGAGGTTACTGGCTGTGGCGAGGTACCGGATCTTATTGATTCACTTCTCAGAACGTTACTGAGTGCAGCAACTACCTCGAATAACTCAAACAAGGCTTTCCAAAGTCTCAAAGATACATTTGGCATGAAAAATGACACCGCCAATTGGGAAGCTGTGCACAAAGCTGAAGTTGGGAAGGTCATTGATGCAATTAGATGTGGTGGTCTTGCTGTTGTAAAAGGAAACAACATCAAGAAGATCCTGGACATTGTTCACAAGAAAAATTGTGATCGTCGCGACGCCCTTTTAGAGGAGAAGAAGACTGGGGTAGCAGCCAACATTCCGGGGCTGGATGACCTGACCCAGCAACAAAAAGACACTGAACTCGCCAGGTTCGCGGAAAACCCTCTATCACTAGACTGGGTGCTCGACTTAAAGGAGGATTGGCAGGCCATGGATGAATTGGTGAAGTTGCCTGGCATCGGCATCAAAACAGCATCATGTGTTCTATTGTTCCGCTTACAGCGCCCAAGTTTTGCTGTTGATACTCACGTTTGGCGCCACTGCAAGTGGCTTGGTTGGGTACCTCCAAAGGCCACTAGAGATCAGACTTTCAATCACTGCAACCTCCGCGTCCCGGACGAGTTGAAGTATTCCCTCCACCAATTGTTCATCGCCCATGGCAAAAACTGCTTTCGCTGCAGAGCAAATACAAGCGCCGGCACTGAGGAGTGGGATAAATCGAAGTGCCCGATCGATCACCTCCTCAATAGATCAGAGAAGAGAAAACAGCCCAAAAATGAACCATGGGTCGATGAAAGCAAGGCTATTAGTATGGGGAGGTCTCATGCCAAAAAGCGCAAGAACGCCGACGATATAGAGGAGAGTGATTTTGAGGTGGCGACAGTTAAGTCAAGCAAGCGTGTCAAGGGGCCGGCAAAGAAGAGGACGAAGAAGTCCAAGTCGGAAAGCGACAAGCTAGATGAGGATGAGGGCGAATCATTAGCCAATGAAGTCAAAGTTGATGTAGCCAAACGATCCCGCGCTAAAAAGAGCAAGAATGCCGATGGCACAGAGGGAAGTGATTTCGAGGTCACCACTACCAATTCAGTCAAGAGGGGTAAGGCGGCAGCCAAAACAATAAAGCGTGGCAAGACTCCAAGAAGAAAGCAGCCAGCGAAGACGAAGAAATACAAAATAGATAATAGCGATCTACCAATGGATAATTCCGATATCGAAATGGCCGAGGAAGAAGCACTAGAAGACGACGAGGGAAGTATCTATGAGGCAACGGAGGATGAAGGATCCGAGTACTGTGACTGAAGTAATGGTTTGTGGATCGACGAGAGATTTACAATATATTTTGCCCTTTCTATTATATCTTAATCAATCGGTGTGGCGTGCTTCGGTTTGCATGGTTTTAGATCAAGGATATACACAGATCACTGGCTTGTATTATTTAACATAGTGTTATGGTTGTGGCAAAACTTCCAAAGGGGCCTGGATTGCTGGGAAAACGGGTGGATATTTAACACCTTGCGTTGCGTTGATTTAGCATGGCGTTGGTCTAGCTTGGGCCATTATAGAATGGGGGCGCTTTGTCTACACTACTTATACGGAGTATATTGCTATAGCATTGCTTTTCGGAGTTGATATACAACTAGTAGCTTTGGTGCTGAGAAATGAATTGGATTTATAGAAATATAAATTCGGTTTCCTAAAACGCAAAACTTACTAAAGAATAAGAAATATTTGCTCCAACTATTACTCGCGTATTGAATAAACCAGTGTCTTTAAATGAGGTAAAACCCTCAATTACAAGATAGTTACTTATATCTACCTTACGTTGGGGACAATTTAGTTAGTTCGACCCCCCAGCGAGGGTCGCGAGGCTGTCTCGAGGCTGTTCAGCCTGAAAAGGGGGAAACTCGCGCTAGCAGGGATGCTCATTGCCTTCCCAATAATTTCGAGATGTCCCTCGTGAACGACTGGCATCTCTCTTTTGCAATCCTGGTCTCTGAGTTATTCCATGGTCGCTGTTACTATTATCCGTATCATGAGATTATAGAAGTGGTCCCTTCGCGAAATCCTCCTGTGAGAAACAATTGGAGTTATAGGGGACTACAGCGACCAAAACAGCCTTCGGGAGGTACTGAGGACGTGGCAGAATGGCACAAGTAGAGCCGCAAACAGATGGGTTTTTGATGGGATGGGAAGAAGGAGAGGTGTAAGTGCATACCTGACCTAGGCCGAAGTAGCATCTGCTGATGCCGAGCGATCACAGCGAAAAACTCCTCTATACCGCTGCAGCAATTGCTACCGTCACCGTCGCCATCGTTATATATACAGTATTTGGGATTATAGGATGGATATACAAGGAACCGATAATCAAGTATACGATAGCCACTCCAAAGCGACCAGAAGATGCGACTATCTTGGAGAACCCGTCGATCAAGGCACCCGGTTCGACAGAAATCCAATGCTATGCGCCAGCTACAGGCGAGTTCTTAGGATTCGTGAATCCGTCCACCGCTGAGGGAATCGACCGGGCCATCGAGAAGACGCAGGCAGCGCAGGATAAATGGGTTCGAACGACGTTCAGCCAAAGACGACAAGTTCTACGATGCATACAGGCCTTTGTAATGGAGAACCAGGAGGAGATCTGCAGGATTGCGTGTCTCGACTCTGGCAAGACTATGGTTGATGCTACGCTAGGAGAGATTCTTGTGACTGTGGAAAAGCTTCGTTGGACAATCCTACATGGAGAGAAGGCATTGCAGCCATCTAGGAGGCCTACCAACCTCCTCATGGCTTACAAGAAGAACACGGTGCAATATGATCCCCTAGGTATTGTCGCAGCTCTCGTCTCGTGGAATTACCCCGTTCATAACCTCATTGGGCCTATGATTTCCGCCATATTTTCCGGGAATGGTATCATTGTCAAGGCGTCCGAGAACACGGCTTGGAGCGCTGGCTATTTTACTCTGATCGTCAAGGGTGCCCTTCATGTTTGCGGACACGATGCCAATTTAGTGCAAACCGTCATCACCTGGCCTGAAACGGCAAATCACTTGACTTGCCACCCATCAATTTCCCATGTCACATTCATTGGGAGCCGACCTGTTGCGAAGCTGGTCGCTGCGGCCGCAGCTAAAACTCTCACCCCTATCGTTCCGGAATTAGGTGGAAAAGATGCAGCTGTAATCCTCGATACCGCCGAGAAAGATCTCCCGCGCATCATAGAGATCCTTTTGCGTGGAACGTTCCAAGCCTCTGGACAGAATTGCATTGGTATCGAACGCATTATTGCCTGTCCCAAAGTATATGACAAACTCGTTTTGGCCCTTGAGCCAAGGATTCGAGCCTTACGCGTGGGCTCTATCCTCGACGACAACGATGTAGATATGGGAGCCATGATCTCTGGTGCTTCATTCGACAGACTCGAGAGCCTTATCCAAGGGGCCGTAAGAGACGGAGCCCGTCTCCTCGTCGGCGGAAAGAGATACCAACACCCCGTCCACCGCTCCGGCCATTATTTCCAACCAACTTTCCTTGTCGATGTGACGAAAGACATGGCTATCGCGAACGAAGAATGCTTTGGCCCAATATGCGTCCTCATGCGAGCCAAAAACCCCGAAGACTCTTGCGACATCGCGAACGCGCCCAATTTCGGACTTGGAGCTTCCGTATTCGGGGAATATGACTGGCCAATGAAAGCCATGATCCGGAATCTGAGAACGGGAATGGTAGCGGTGAACGATTTCGCCGCGTACTACGCTGTGCAGCTCCCTTTCGGAGGCGTGGGCGGGAGTGGATATGGCCGGTTTGCGGCTGAGGAGGGGTTGAGGGGGTTGTGTAATGTTAAGGCCGTCTGCGAGGATAGGTTCGGGTGGGCCGGGGTCAAAACTGCCATTCCACCGCGGATCAGGTATCCCATTGCTGATACGAAGATGGGATTTGAGTTCGTCAGGGCAGTCACGGAGATTGGGTATGGGATGGGGGTTAAGGGCCGGGTTCAAGGCTTGAAGAGGATGTGGAAGAGTTCATAAGGGACGAAGAAGTTTTAATGGCCGTGTACAGTATGTCCGATTTGGCATTGGCAGTAGTAAATATTTGTAATCTTGAAGTCTCTTGCACTGGCTACGGTGCAAAAACATAATAGCCGAAAGAGAAAAGGGGTAGGACTAAAGTCGGGTATATTGTTAGTAGGGTGAAAGCTATGGTTCATGACCTCAAGTTCATCCTTTCCTTTGTCTCAGAGGGATGGGAAGTCTGCCTAGCATGCATGTTTCACACATACCTCACATACACATGTACATAGAAAAGTAGACAGTTCAATCAAGCCGTGGAATTTACTACATAGAGTCCGCTTGCTTGCTTGACTTTGAGAGCTAAAACAAAAATATGTCAGTTCCAGGCAGATCCCCCGAAACACCTCGCTGTTTTGCATACAGCCAGCCTGTTCAGACAGCAAAACTCTTAGGTATATTATAACAAGCGCGATTTGGTTTAAAGAGCAACCTCCTGGAAATTCGAATCTCCAGGCGTCTGACTACCAGACCCAGAATTATCATCAGCAGCCTCGCCCTCTTCCTTTCCCTTCTCCTTCTCCTCCGCGGTTGGCGAGAGTTTTCCGGGCCGCAGTGCTACTTTGTGTTGCTCGCGGTCCTCGACCCGGACTTTCTGCTCGTCCGGTACGGTCGACCTATCGTCCTCGTCCTCTTCATCGTCCTCACTGCTCTCTTCCTCGGCTTCCTTGGGAGTATCCTTTGCCGGAGGTGTGGGAGGTTCCACTGGAGTTCCATTCGCGCCATTCGTCTTCCCATTAGTTGTCGGGCTCTGCGGTGCCTCCTTTGGCGTTGGAGGCTGTTGCTGCAGGTCAGGTATCTGGCGCTGTCTGGGATCCGCGTCGAGGTAGTACTGCCTCACGCCAACAATCCTACCACCCCTCTCGCAACCTTCAACCCACTCTGGTCTCACAACGGGGATATTCATCTCAACGGCCTTCTCCCACGCAATGCCCCTCCCTTCCGTAGTCACAAAATGTGTGGTATCAATGCGCACCGTATCCGCGAGCTTAGCTCCTATCCTCTCAACGGCAGTAGAAAGGCTGTCTCGTAGCTGCGCGGGTAAGATCCCAGGCGTAACAGTGATACCGCTCAAATCCGTCATCTTATGCGTCTTCACCGCCAACTTCTCGCTATTGAATGTCCCCGCGGTAGTCCGCAATACCAGCTGAAACGTGTATTCTGTATCGACTGCCAGGCCGCTGATCTTCGTCACCTGCATAGTAGTCGGCCGGGGGATATTTCCGGCCTTTTGCCCATTGCGGAATAAGGATAGGGAGATACAGTCTGCTGTGGCCAGCTCTATCGGGTCCCATTCTAGGACTACAGATGTTTGGGTTGCATTTCGGCATCGGAGGATGGGGGCTTGCGGTTCTGAGGCACCAAAGGTAGAGAAGATTGCGTCTTGGAGGGCGAGGAAGCCTTGCTGGGACTTTTGTTCCGAGGCAAGATTCCTTGATACGGTGATGTCGACGATGCTGCCGGACGATATATTGGGAGGGAGGAGTATGGAAGGGAATTCGATCTGCGGACGCAGAAGATTGTTTATTAGGCCATGGTCTATTTGAATGTGTCTGTACTAGGGGGGGGATGGATAAGGTCTTGGGAAGCCGTACCAGTCTTTTATCGTGGGTCAGCAAGACGGCGACGCCTGCATCAACCTTTCCCACGGTCAATGAGATTAACATGGTGATTGTTGTGATTGTGGTTGTGTTTGTAGACAGTCCGGGGTTTTGTCTGCGATACTTCGAATACGTTGTTGGATGCGACAAGGAAAGTTGGGACGTGCTTGGAATTCCAGAAGCTTGGACCAGCCTTGCGCCCCTTGTTTGTTTGTTGTACTCGAGCTGCGCAAGGCTGTTCACAGAGTAGACAGATGGTAAAACCAACTTCTTCGAGATGTTATAAATAACACAGCAGGGCAAATAAATGGCCTTTAGTCTTAGCATTGATTGGTATATTACTTATTATCATTATTATTATTATTATATATATCATTAGGTGATAAACAGGGACTTTCTTGCTGCGAAGTTGAGATTCATGATTTTGTATTTATCTACGCCCCCTAGGCACCACCCCTTCTTCTACCTTTCGAGGCTTCCAGTTCTTTGTAGTTTTGCCCCTTTCTTGCCAGTGTAGTGCAGGTTTCGTCGCTGCAGCTGTATTTCCCAGGCGATGGGCTACTGGCTGTTTCTTGCGTTGCGTTTCTTCCTTATGAAGCCTCTCTTCCCGAGCACCCATGAACCACTCCACAGCAATATCTGTCTGCTTCACCAGCTCTGTATATGGCATCCTCAGACAAAGAGCAGTTGGAGTAAGCTGTGCGGAGCCGTACAGATCATGCTTGCCCGCCCCTTTCTCCAGGCGTGCGCCGTCTTTAGCAAATCCCTTCTTGGCCAGCGATTCCCCAAGGGCATTCCTCACCCTCCTAGCACTCCAACTCCTCACAACACTCTTCGCAAAGCCAGTGTCCTTCCTAGCCACGCAAGACCACCAGAAGGGGTCGGTTCTAACCATATATTTCCTGTCTGCATATATCTGCTGGAGAGTCGGGTACCCAGGAGCGAAGCGCCCGCTCGTAATAGAGTAGGCGTGGAGGTCCGTATATCTGACTTGGAATGCTGTCACGCCCTTGATGGCCTTCAAACCCAGAGCCCTGGAATATTCGATGTAGGGTTTGGCGGCAGCGGCAGCGGCAGTGGCAGCTTGCTTTGCAGCCATTACTTCGGTATAAGCTGCAGATATCGATCGCTCTGGTGCGGCGAGTTGGAAAGATTGGCGTGGAGCTTCATTTGTCCATGGAGGTTTCTGGTGGACCTGATTGCTGTGTCGGGTTGCGATACTGTGTTGTTTCCAAGGCCCGCAGGTGACATGAAGTCAAGATTTGTTACGAAGTATGAACAGTAGAACCGTAAGTGTAAATAGTACAAGTACAAGTAGGAGGAATCCGCGATCCTAACGCCACACCTGCGCCACAGCCTTATACTTCGTACACAGCAGTAAATAATTCTACGAAGCACTGTACTCTGTACGTTATTATTACGGGGCATCTCCAATCTCATAATTGTACCAATGTAGTGTAATTTAAAAAGGCGAATCACTGTTATAATTAATAGTTCACTATTATAGTTCTACATTACTTACGCACGTATTAAAAACCAATATAATAAGTGTTACTCTGTACCAAGTACGAAGCAAGAATAAGACGAAGGTGAAGGTGAAGGTGAAAACACGTTCTCGCTTCCGCACCGAGCGCTAGGGGCAGCGCCACCGACATGTGACGCACTAAGTTCTCGTACGGAGCACGGCAACGGTCAACCCCGCCAAAACCAGTCGAAAGGCACCAGCGCATCGCAGATTATCGCCTCTCTCATAAATACAAATACATCCCACCTTGAACTCCTGTTGTCTACTAACAACAAACAACCTCCCCAGATACATACCTTGAGGCCATCGGAATATCCACAGAACACAACACAACACATATATAATCAAGGACATCTGCAAGTATGCCTAAGAATAAGGGAAAAGTAAGCAGAACCCCCCGCTCGTCCGAGTGCCCTGAGCTACGCAGCCGCTGACAATCGCACAATAGGGAGGCAAGAATCGGCGTCGTGGAAAGAACGAGAACGACAACGAGAAGCGTGAACTGACCTTCAAGGAGGAAGGACAAGGTACGTACAACTCTTCTTTCATCTCGGCGGCCCCGGTTATAAACCGCAAACACACAGCAGCCCCGCTAACCGTGCATCCTGCCTACAGAATACGCCCAAGTCCTAAAAATGTTGGGCAATGGTCGCCTCGAAGCGCTCTGCTTCGATGGTTCCAAACGACTCGCGCATATCCGCGGCAAGCTGCGCAAGAAGGTCTGGATCAACCAAGGAGACATCATCCTGCTGTCCCTGCGCGACTACCAAGACGAGAAGGGCGACGTGATCCTGAAATACAGCGCCGACGAGGCGAGAAGTCTGAAGGCCTACGGCGAGCTGCCCGAGAACGCGAAGATCAACGAGACCGACACCTACGGACAAGAAGGCGAGGGAGACTGCAACTTCGAGTTCGACGAGGATCGGAGCGAGAGCGAGGATGACGATGGAAAGGGCGCCAAGGAGATTGATGTCGATGAGATTTAAGCGCCGACTCGCTGGGATGCCATGGGGGATGGTGGGTGTATAAGGGAAAGAAAGACTGTCTTCTCTCTCAATCTCACGGATGCGGTCAACGATCGACGGCCGCGTCCTGAGAACCTCGACAGCATTTTCTTATGTTGACCGCTGACCGGCGGTGGGTCTGCAACGGGAGAGACGTTGTAGATTCCATCGGCTGGGCTTATACCTTCTTGCACGTTGGCCCTTTCATCGTTGAAGGTTCTCTTGGAATTTCATTGGCTCTGTCCACTTCATAGAATAGGAAATACATGTCCTACATTTACACAACCCACCCACCTAGACACTTTTGAACACTGGACGGTCTCTGCGTGGAGCGATTTTAACATTTAATTTTTCTTCCCAATTACATTGGAGACCCTGAATTTTCCCCTTCGCCCCTTTCTCCGACGTGATGTCATGCAGTTCTAATCCTTAAGGCCAAGAATTGCCTGACGAGTCACAACGCCTGCTTACCCTAAAACTTCGATGTGGGAACTCGAATGCCAAGTCCCTACCAATCATCGTCATCCGCTTCATCATCTATATAGCAATTAGCACGTGTATCAAAAAGTTTCTAGCTGTGAACTCACCACTCGCACTGACTTTCTGCTTCCGCTTGTTCAAAGCAGCAGCCAGAGCATCAGCCAAACCCCCACCTCCGCCACCTGTCGCACCGGCAGGAGGCAATCCGCTTCCAGCTGGTCCGGTATCTGTGGCACCTGGAGTCATAACAGCACTTCTGTCTCGGACTTGGTCTTTTGGAACTTTCTTCAGTGCTCCGATGCCTCCAGCTTTCTGGATGCCGGCCAGCAAGTCCGATCGATCGCCAGTGGGTTGTGGCAGAGCAGGAACCCCAGATGCATAGCCAGAGTCGCGGTTTGGTGGAGGTGGTGGAGGAGGACCCCCGAATCCGCCAGGAGGTGGTGGCGGCGGTGGAGGTGGACCACCACTCGAAGGCATTGGCGGTGGTGGGGGGGCGTTTGACTGGGGTAAAGGTGGTGGTGGGGGAGCACTGCTCTGAGGTAGAGGCGGAGGTGGTGGAGCATTGGACTGAGGCAGAGGAGGAGGTGGTGGAGCGCTGATCTGAGGTAGGGGCGGAGGTGGTGGAGCGCGAGACTGGGGTAGGGGGGGAGTCGGGGCTTTCGATTGAGGTAAAGGTGGTGGCGGAGGAGCATTGGATTGAGGTAGAGGAGGAAGTTGTGGCGGACCGCTGTCTCTTGCTGGAGGAGGTGGTACAGGACGTGATGAAGCTGGGGGTAGAGGTGGTGCAGCTGAAGACGGAGCAGAAGGTGTCTTAGGAGGCAAAGGCGGGGGGGAAGCTGCGTACGCAGGAGCAACAGAATGAGCATGGATTGACTGTGCCTGGTCTCGCGCTGGTGGTGGTGGTGGTACGGGGCCCCGACTTGGAGTTGGAGGTGGCACTGCCTTTCGTTCTCCCAGGAAAGGGGGAGGCACACCGAATCTAGAACCAGATTCCCCTGGTTCATACACGTCATCTAGAGGGGCTTTCGGTGGCCGCGGCGGTGGAGGAGGTCCGGCATTAGACACAGATGTAGAATGTGCTCTTGATGGCGCTTTGTTGTTGGTATGGGCGTATTTACCTGCGTCTGGCAGAGGAGGTGGTGCCGCAAATCTTGGTGGAGGCGGCCCCCTAGGGGGGGAAGGTTCTCGAGGAGGTGTTGGTACCCGAGCTGGCTCAACCTTTGCAACAGACCTTCTCGCTGGAGGTGGTGCAGGCGGCGCTCCTCTTCCACGACCAGCGGGAGGATTTTGAGGGCTGGCGGATTGGGCCCGTGGAGGTGCTGCAGGTGGTGGAGGCGGGGGAGGAGCTTTGGATCTCTGGCTCTCAATTCCATTTACTGGCGGAGGCGGTGGAGGTGGAGTTGCAGCTTGGGCAGCTTGTTGTTCCTTGATATAATCCGCAATGAAGTCCTGATTATCTCTGATAAGATCATCCGTGATACCCATCTGCTTTAGATCGTCGCCCCAAGTTTCCCGCCAGTTGGGATCAATAGCGTCCAGCGCCGCAAACTGTGATTTTTCCGCGCCGAAGCTGCCTCCTGAGTGTCTGTGACTTGGTGCTGGCGGGAGAACATAACTCGGCGAGTCTGGAGGAGTAGGTTGGATCGAAGGAGCTGAGGAGTGTCTATGTCCACCGAACAACCCCCCCAGCAATCCATGCCTGTGTCCACCTCCATGCTGCTGGCCTGAGCCTCCAAATGGATTTGCTTTTGTGGCTTTGTTCGCATTCTTCTCTCGATCATTCATCTTCTTCATGAACGCTTTAGCTTCTTTCTCGTCCGCGAAGGATAATCCAGCGAGAAGCTCCTCCGTCTCGAATGTGTGAAAGAAGGTCCGATCTTGGTTGTAAGACCATGTGTCGTATATTTCTTGGTCCCATATTACTCCCCGATTGGCAGGCTATCTGCAGTTAGTATCTGGACCGATATGGTAGGCAATAGGCTGTTTGAGGGGTAGACGAACAGAGACATCTACGAGCTTAAGCCAGTAGGTATTTCCCACCAGATCATTGGCAAGAACCGCGGCTCCTTGCAGTCCAGTATACAGCCATTTTTGGCGGTTTGGGTAAGCAATGTAGAGTCGTGCTACGGCTACAGCCTGGATCTTATTCGATTGCTTTGGAACATGACGCTTGACCGTCTCCTTGTCATCCTCGGACAAGATCGAAGGCATACTCGCAGGTCACAGTCGGGACGTCTTCGCAAGCTGGAGGATAAGGGTCGCCCTCAAACTTTATCGTTTTGTTTCTCGGGATGCTCTGGAAACAGTGGTGACGTGCGGGAGATTGGGGATTGGCCTCGTACAGAAAACGGCGCTTCAAAGGCGCATTGGGACTTGGGATATCGCGTGCAGCGTGCAGCCCGAACGTATGCTGGGAGGAGCGGACGAGGTGATCTGGAAATTGACAAGTCAAGCGTCTGCGGTCGTGTGTGAAGCAATTAATCCATTCACGAGCGATAGACCAAACGAGAGGCTCCGAGATGCTGGGTCGTTGTACCTGGTAGTACAGTAATAATACCTCGAAGTTCGGGGTGAGATACGGAGTAACTACAGGTAAGAATGCCAAGGCTTTCAAGCCTCGAATAACTCAGCCACAGTTGGTGATGGAAGACAGAAGACAACACCAACATCAACGTTGCTACCTTGACACGCGTTCAATATCCGAAGGATGCAGGCACAGATACGTGGGCAGTTTAATGACTGACTGCTTTAATAGCTCCACATGGACAACAAACGCCATGTCTCGAGACGGGTCTAGACCTCGATCGTCGCAACGTACCTCATCACGGAGCTATTACTGTAGTACTGTAACGTCAATTTCTCAACATCACTAGGACAATTTTCTGGCGGGAACAAATATCCTTATATTACAACAGCTAGCTCACATTTCTTCCTCCAGCCTGGTGGGCTTGTGGCCATATTCTATGTTCCCATCCTCCCAACGCGAACCTTTCCCTGTCCATTTCGGTGTTCAAGCACATTTTTGATCCCCTAGGTTTCACTTAACTTCGAATTCGATATTGATGTTGAGGGATTACGGAACCTTCTAGCAGCATACCGGGGACGCATTACTTGTTGAGAGCCTCTGCTCTTGCCCTGCGCTCCTCCTTGGTGCCTTCTTGCTGAGCGCTAAAATCCTGGGGGATAGCTGGGCCGGGGTTGGCTTGGTGATGACGGATGTCAATTTTGTCGCCCTTGGGTTCGCCTTTACCATGGATAGGATGGTCGCTGGCATTTGAGTCGGTCTTGGAGCTAGCATCATTCATAACGTGCTCAGTGGCAGCGCCAGGTGCGTGGTTGAAAGTCTCGTCTGGTCCGGCAGGCATATTGTAGTTGCATGCGAGTACGTGGGTGGATACGTATAGGGTGATATATGTATATTATAGCACTGGTTATAGAATCCGTTGGATGTATGTAGATTCAGAAAATTATGTAGAACGAAAGAGACGAAATCAAGATAACTACGACATCCCACCTATTTAAGAATGTGAGCTTGCGGCCCTCTCTCACTCATAGGCACTCGTCGGGTCGACGTCATAACTCGGGTTTTGCCTCGTCGCGTTTAAGTTGGCCGAGGCGCATTACGAAAAAGTGATAGTCGCACGAATGTCAACTAGCATATCCCTAGATTAGGTAATAAAGCAACATGATATAAAGCAACATGATATATATATATCACCGTCCTTCCTAGATATTTCTCGATGTGCGATGCTTTAGATATGAAGGTAGTGCTGGAACAAGGTAGGGACAGACACAAAAACAAGTAAACGGACTATATAAGAGACTATGCCCTCCGCAAAAATGCTCTAGCCTTAAGAGCATAGAGGACGTTAAAGATTTCCTCCGCTTCTACGTTAAGCAGAGCAAGGGACAGCTTAACAAGCACATATTAGTCGAGTCTACGAAAACAAAAGCTGAGGATTTCAAGGCAATTTTCACCAGGGTAACTAGAAACCCCTACCAAGAAGACAAAAAAGTGCGAGATTTATCACGTACTTTATCCTACGTCGAGTTACTCGACCGCCTATGCCACCGTTTTAATATTAATAATTAATTCTAAAGAGTGTTACCTAAGGAAGGTATCAACCATACTTAAGGATATATTGATGTCAATAAAATCACTAAAAGATATGCTTCAAGCATTCATTAATAAGTTTCAATACGAAAACATTAGAACTTGATCTTATAAGGAGATATTAAGATTTAAGCTACTTATACATGTCATGATGCTAGATAAGGTACAGTGAGAAATTTAGAGGTAGATTTTAGCTCGGTATATTCAGCAATATAGACCACTGAACTAAAGCAATTTAATTAATTGTTAATCGAGTTGAGCTTAACTCCTAATTAATTTGATTGAGTTGAGTTTAAGATTGAGTTGAGTTTAAGATTGCGATAAACTCAATTAACTTATGTGTTGGCCCTATTCGCGAGTAGTGATCTTAGTTGAACTGGATGAGATGGCAGCACTGAACGACGTCCGCTATAGTGTACTTGCCAACTATGGCGTATAAGACCTGGCTAAAGATCGGGCCTCGGGCAGCGGTGCGGTTCGTAGCCCACCTGTCGATGGTGACTTGCGGAGGCCACTCGGGCTTGTAGAAGTCGTTCAACACGTTTCTAGCAAGGATGTAGTACGCTTCAATTCCTCTAGCATGAAGAGAGCAACGTCCTTGATGAAGGCGTGACTGGCGGCTAGGTGAGAGTCGCCACGGCCTATCAAGCTGTTGATCTATCGCGAGAAAAACGGCATAATGGCCGATTTTCTTCAAAGTAGCGATTCATCAGAAATTCCTTATGCTGGATGCAAAGGCGGGAGCCGTAGATCCCGGCCGCGATTAGGATGAACGCGCCGTATGGGGTAATTCACTGATCTTCGGGGACATGATGCCTCCATGTATCGCGGGGGAAGCCAAGGGAGGTTCGTGAATGGTGGGAACTCCGCACACTATGTTCGGCATGATTACTGCCCAAACTAATCGTATTGATCGTATCGATGGGTCTCTATCTGAAGACGAGATGGAGGTGTTGATGGGGTGGAATCGTCCTTCGTGAACATGGAGGCCGATGAGGGCATGATCTTGGAAATAAGTCAACCCCTTCCTTGGTTATATACCAAGACAGCAGAGTGGAGAGGAAAGTTGTAGAGCCCTAACAAATAGCTCGCTTTGTTTTAGGAGGATCCTAGGCAACAAATACTGACTGATCCTGGACTGCCCAGTACCAAACTGGCAGGTGAGATTATATCCCATGGAAATCCTACGCCAGTGCTGCTTGGCGAGACACAGGCCGTAAAGCCTGGCGGCCCTGGTAGATCCTCAGCACTCAGAATGGCGTCCCAGTGAGGTCGAAAGATATCTTCGCACTGCGGTGTCTCCAGCCATAGGGCGCTCTTAATGCGGACGAGGACGTCATCCCAATTACCCAACTGTAGAGGAGTGGACATAGCCTGTGCTCTCTCCATAAACCACTGGTAACGGGTTGTGCTAGTCGAGGACACCATTCCAATCGTAAGAAGCCAGAGAGCAAGTGAATCGCACACACGAGGTGTCGATTCGAGTTGCTTGAGACGCTCCATAAACCGGGTGACAATCGAATTAAATATGACCGCATGCGAGTAATACGTTGGCCCCTGAATGATGAACATGTAGAGTATGGTTGCGTAGCGAATGCATTCGGTAACCGGTGACGGCTGAGGATTTGCCGTGTCCGAAGCTGAGAGTAGAAGTCGGTGTATGACAAAACATGTAAGGTCATGAAGTCGTGTGGTTGGGAAGGATGTCCGTTGCGCCCGCTGGAAGACGTTACGAAGACGGATGAAGACATTCCTGACTGTATAGTCGAGATCAATGCTGAGCTCGCAGAAATGACCACAATGGGCAGCCGAGTCTAACTGCCATTCCGGAATAGGAGGTATGCCATCGCCAATGCCGAAGTCATCCTGGGTCTCGAATTGAGGGTGGCCCATAATGATCATCGATACCCTTTGAGGCATATAAATAGGATACCCTCTATGTGATGAAGGAGTGACTTACCAGCTAACCATTCTCGCGGTAAGCGGGCTGCTCTGCCTTACTGAATTAATTCCGCCTCTCATGCTGACCAGTCTTTTCACTCCGTCAACATGCATTTCGGCAACGTTGATATTTCCCTTGCCAAACTGAGAGTCATGAAATATCAGTGATGGGTTCGGGCGATACGAGAAATGGAGACAGAGGAAGCTCAAGAGAGGCTCACTTCGATAGTCGCTAAGGTGATGACAGAGTTTATAGTCCCGTCTTGCACAGCTAGTGACACGTCTTCAATTTTGCGTCGGACTAAAGCTACAGAATCGGCCATAAGAAGTTCGGAGGTTTGAAAGCCCTTCTGGGCCAACAACTCTTCGTCAAGAGATGCTGTCTGTAGCGAGACATGAAATAGAGCTGGGTCGCCTAGAGCAAGAGGCCACCAAGAGATGAGAAACGGATTTGAAGTTGCGCTCAGGTCGAGAGGGTAGTACTGGAAAGCTATCTTGTGGAGAACTGAATTGGTAAGCCAAGCCAAGCTCTGATCGACGACGTCGATAGAAGCCGTACGTACAGCTATGGATAAGACGTTCAACGTGCTTCCGGGGAAGTCTTGTTTGGGGGTACGAATCGAAAGGATCGAGAGATCCCAATCTGTAGTCAGTTATTAATCCACCATCCTCCTGCGTGGGAGCTGCCGGCGGCGCCGTCAATGGCTCGTTAACATAGACGCATTGGACTTCGCGCTTAAGGCAGCGAGAGCAGCGCGGCGTGCGGAGGTCGCAACTGTGTTTGGATTTGGCACATGTAGCACAGGATCGGCGAAGCGTTTGGCGCATTTTGGGGGAGAAGGGGGGGAGGATCGAGATCAGGTGCGTTCTGTTGGAAGTGATGATTTGGCCACCAACGGACGAAGAAGTAATAAGGTTGATGCGTTGATATCCAGCCATGTCCGAAAGAGGACTAGACCCCGCCGTCAGTAGCTTCCGTCTTGGCATCTGGACTTACGACTTCCGGAGTCTAATCCTAATTCGGTAATTTGTACACTACAAAAGTATACGATCCAACTACAGAACACCTACTAGGTAAAGTACCTACATATTAAATGAGAGAGAACTCATGTCATCAGCATAGAAAATTGAATGGCTCGTAAGGAAATTGCGAGATCGTTCCCACAGCATGGCGATCCACTCGCGGGCCGCAAGACCGACCCAATCTCCTAATAGATGTATAAGAAAGGCATGAAGTCCCCGTTTCCAGTTTGCCAGAAGTTGGGAAGATTGCCTCTACCATCAAGGACTTTAACATGGCTGCTGGGATCGTCAACGCTTCTAGTGCTCAGCCTGAGCTGCCGCAGACATGGCCTTGGAGAACTTCCCAGCTGCAAGGCGCTCTGCCGAGTTTCCTTGCGGGCTGGTCCACCTGGCAATACGTTGTGACTTTTCTGCTCGGCGTGGTGGTCTATGACCAAGGTAAATAAGAATTTTAAGTCGAGGGATGCTTCATCCAGCTGACACCGTCTCTAGTCATGTACATCAAGCGGAAGGGTCCTATCGCTGGACCTCCGTTCAAGATTCCGCTCATGGGCCCGTTTCTCCAAGCACTCCATCCAAAGTTCGAAGCGTATCTTGCACAGTGGGCGAGTGGGCCTCTTAGCTGTGTATCCGTCTTCCACAAGTATGTGCTCTTGTCCATTGTCATCTCTTTAGAGCTCAACAAGCCCGTGCAAGCGCTCCTACTCACACCTTACGTTACAGATTCGTCGTCCTGGCCTCTGACCGAGACATAGCTCACAAGGTTTTCAAGTCGCCCTCATACGCCGAGCCATGCATAGTGCCGGTCGCAAAAGACATCCTAGGCCACAAAGCTTGGGTTTTTCTTCAGGGCAAAGCCCACGCCGAGTACCGGAAGGGATTGACTCCTCTGTTCACTAACAAGGCCATGGCCACCTACCTCCCGGCCCAAGAGAAAGTATTGGCCGACTACTTCGACAAGTTTGTTGCTGCTAGCAAGGCGAACCAGGGACGGCCCATGGCGTTTATGACCATGTTCCGGGAGATCAACTGTGCGCTTTCGTGCCGCACCTTCTTCGGTGATTATATATCCCAGGACGCAGTTAAGAAGATCGCCGATGACTTCTACCTTACTACTGCCGCCCTTGAGCTAGTCAACATCCCCCTGTCAATGTACATTCCGTTTACCAAGCCCTGGTTAGGGAAGCGGACGGCTGATGCTGTTCATGTCGAGTTCGCGAAATGTGCGGCTGCGTGCAAGGCAAACATGGCGACTGGCGCCATGCCTACGTGCATTGTCGACCATTGGGTACTCCACATGATGGAATCCAAGCGATATCTCGAGAGAATTGCCGCGGGGGAGACGGACGTTGAGAAACCAACCAATCTGATCCGTGAATTCACAAACGAGGAGATTGGGGAGACGCTGTTTACCTTCCTCTTTGCATCGCAGGATGCGTCTAGTAGTGCTACAACTTGGCTGTTCCAAGTCCTCGCCCAGCGACCCGATGTACTTGATCGATTGCGAGAAGAGAACCTCGCCGCCCGGGGCGGTGATAAGAGCAAACCCTTCGATCTCCCTATGTTGGAGTCGCTTACCTATACCAGCGCAGTCATCAAAGAGCTCCTCCGCCACAGGCCACCCGTCATCTTCGTTCCCTACCTTGCAACAAAACAATTCCCTGTCACGCCCAACTACACCGTACCCAAGGGCTCTATGATTATCCCGTCCTGCTACCCAGCTCTACACGACCCGGATGTTTACCCCAACCCCGATGCCTTCGATCCCGAGCGCTGGATATCCGGGGACGCCGGGTCCAAGACCAGAAATTGGCTTGTCTTCGGTGCGGGGCCGCATGACTGCCTCGCAAAGAGGTATGTGCCGCTATCTATGGCAGGTATGATTGGCAAAGCGGTGTTAGACCTCGATTGGAAGCATCATGCTACAGAGAGGTCGGAGGAGATTAGGGTGTTTGCTACGCTGTTTCCGATGGTAACTAGTTACTATTGACTCATCTTCTGGCTTGTGCTGATTCTAAACATAGGACGGGTGCCAATTGGTTTTTACGAAACGCTCCTAGAGGCGCACTGTAGCTAGTGGGAGCCTAATGCCGGCATGTGGTTATGGTTAGACTAAGCGGGATGCCTCCACGAAAGGGAGGGCGAGGGCACGCAGCAGTTGGTCACCTGAAATCATCTGGCTCGTCGCTGATTTCTTACATAAGAACCATTGGTTTCCCCCTCAAAAGCGTCACAGCTTTGACTCGCCACCGGTGCAGGAACATAAGAGCCGCCTAGGGCTCCCTCTGTGTAACCTCCCATTAATATGTATTAGTAAATGTTGTTAACACAGATCGTGGAAAAGTGTTCCGACTTAAGGACGTGCGCTAGAAGATAAACTCGAGCCCGGTTACTCACTCCAAGGACATTAAGCACAATAGTATATAGCTATGCTCATTTACACCTTGCTTATGTTAATTAGCTCCATAGCTTGTCATGCAACTGAGTTGCTCAAGAGTACTTGACATTACTAGACGTGACATTGTTACTTGCTTTTATTACTCAGACCTAACGCATAGTGCTACTACTAATATAAACTGACTGCCTTATAGGTTTACTCAATTCGACCTTAGATATTCAAGGAAACTGATTGCTACTGGAAGTTTCAATTTGTGGGGTTTCGTAAGTAATAAACTTGATTATAGTGTGGAATTGGATTATGCATGTTTTTAATCGCCGAGTATCCTATATCTTTTATATTGAATGCTAACTAGACATCCTAACCATTTTTAACCTTCCCAAGGGGAAAGTAGTGATGAATTTATACTCGAGGTTGGACCGAGGCGGCGCTGTCAAACGCTAAAAGCGGCGCTGTCCCTTATTGGCGCCTCCGTCATCAACAGCTTAGATTAGGCGCAACATTATTGTCGCTCCAACTGTATGCCTTAATTGACAGCTGTACACTAACACCCCAGAACGCATCTAAAGTCTTCTTCTTTCTGGCGCGACCAGGGATGAATATGACAGTCTCAGATGTCTTCGGCGAGCGGTGACAAGCAGCCTGTGAAGCTGTCGCTCCCATTAGTATGATCTGAACTCCAATCGCCCATGGAATCTGCTAATAAGGCTCCTATAGACGTATCAGCAGCAGATTTTCCAGGAACTTCATGAGAAGGATGAATTGGTCGTCATCTCCCGGGGGCTTGGCCTCCTTCGCCTCGTTACGAACCTCCTCCACTCCTACGATGCGGCCGGAAACAATCTTATATTGTTGGTCGGGGCAGACGAGAGAGAGAATGGCTGGATCGGGGAGGCTCTGGCAGAACACGCTGCAATCAGTATGGCCCCGAGAGCCCGAGGCCTCAGCGTTGTCAATACCGATGTTATGAGCGTAGGTACGAGGGAGAAAATGTACACCCAGGGCGGGATATTCAGCGTCACATCGAGGATTCTCGTCGTGGATCTGTTGACGAGCTTGCTGAACCCCGAGAGGATTACTGGGGTCGTAGTGTTACATGCGGACAAAATTGTTGCGACGTCTCTGGAAGCCTTCATCCTTCGAATATATCGGCAGAAGAACAAGGCTGGCTTCCTCAAAGCCTTTTCAGACAATCCACAGCCCTTCGCGACAGGGTTCTCCCCACTCTCTACAATGATGAGGAACCTATTTCTACGTAATGTGAGTGTATGGCCGCGATTCCAGATGCAAGTAGCCCAATCATTGGAGGGAAAGAAGAAAGCAGAAGTCATTGAGCTGGAAGTCCCAATGTCTGAATCGATGCGGCATATTCAGCATGCTATCATGGAATGCGTTGAGGTCAGCATTGGTGAACTTAAGAAGGGCAATTCTGGCTTGGAGATGGAAGACTGGAATGTTGACAGTGCTCTCCATAAGCAATTTGACATGGTTGTAAGAAGACAGCTTGACCCTGTCTGGCATAGAGTCAGCTGGAAAACCAAACAGATTGTCAATGATTTATCAGTATTGCGAGGGATGCTGCATACTTTGCTCACATATGATGCCGTCTCATTTAATCGCCATTTGGATACGATATTAGCAGCACATGCTCCTCCGCCTGGTTCTACAAGGCAAAACCAATCTCCGTGGTTATTCCTCGACGCCGCCCATACTATTTTCGATACGGCGAAAAGAAGAGTCTACACTGGCAAGGCGCCTCAGTCTGGTGCAGAAAGCTTAGATGCTCTGCGGCCAGTTCTTGAAGAGCAACCTAAGTGGGCTGTCTTGGCGGATGTTATGGAAGAAATCGACCGAGATTTATATTTCAACCCTGTCCCCCGAGATGATTCGAATGGTACCATATTGATTATGTGTACCGATACAGAGCAATGCCGCCAGTTGCGAGAATATCTCCAAACTATGCACGTTCATTCTCACGCTGAAGCACGGGATCAAGACGAGCAAGAAGAAGTCGACGAACATGAAGAAGAACATGAACCATCAGCAGAGTTTATGATGAGGAGAAAACTTCGCAACTATTTAAAGTGGAAGAACCAATTTGCAAAGATTAGCGCTGCGCTGTTTACTGAAACCCAGAAAGCATTAAGTGGTGCTACGAATTCAAAAAGCGCGTCTACTCCTAGCTCCCGAGGGAAGGCTCCTGCAAATAAAAGAAGACGGGTCAGGGGATGTGGTAACACGGGCACCGCCCCATCACGGGCTACCAACGGAAGTCTCCAGGCATCCGAGGACAAGCCACTGGAGGTTGCCGCTTTGATGTCTGAAATCCAGCCCACAGAAGTCGAGGCTGCACAAAAAGAAGAAGTGGTAGCGGATCCATTGGAAGATATGGAAGACTATTATCAACTCTACGACATGCAAGACCTTGTTGTAATCCATGCTTATGATGGTGATATGGACGAGCATATCCTTGAAGAGGTCAAGCCTAGATACATCATCATGTACGAACCTGATGCCTCTTTTGTCCGGCGTATTGAAGTATATCGCTCCTCGCACAACGATCGGAATGTCCGGGTCTATTTCCTCTACTATAGTGGCTCCGTAGAGGAACAGCGCTATCTCTCCTCTGTCCGGCGAGAAAAGGATGCCTTTACAAAACTCATCAAGGAAAAATCGTCAATGGCCCTTACTATGACCACCGACGCTCAAGGCATCGAAGACCCCCAAGAAGCTTTTCTCCGCACAATCAACACTCGGATAGCGGGCGGTGGCCGTCTGGCAGCCACAGCACAACCTCCCCGGGTTGTGGTTGACGTTCGAGAATTCCAATCCTCACTACCATCCCTCCTCCATGGACGTTCCATGGTCATAGTCCCCTGCATGTTGACCGTTGGTGACTACATTCTCTCGCCCAACATCTGCATCGAGCGAAAATCAATCAACGATCTAATATCCTCCTTCAAGGACGGTCGTCTCTACAACCAAGCTGAGAGCATGCTTCAACACTACAAATCCCCTATGCTGCTCATAGAATTCGACCAGAACAAGTCCTTCACCCTCGAGCCATTCGCCGATCTGTCAGGCTCTCTCTCCTCCATGTCATCCTCAAACACATCCTCAGACCTACAGTCCAAACTCGTACTACTTACCCTCGCATTCCCCAAACTACGTATCATCTGGTCATCCTCCCCCTTCCAAACCGCCGAGATCTTCGAGGCCCTGAAGACGCAAGAACCGGAACCTGATCCTATTGCTGCTGTGCGGGTCGGTCTCGAAGCTGGCCAGCAAGCGGAGGATCAGACGTTCAATCGACAGCCTCAGGATATGCTACGCGTTATCCCTGGGGTTACGGGGAACAATATAAAGAACATAGTGCTGGAGATGGATAGTTTGAAGGACGTTGCGAATGCTAGCGTGGAGGAGTTAGATCCTGTTGTTGGAAAGGAGGCCGGGAGACAGATTTCTCGGTTTTTTAAGAAGAGTGTTATTGAAGAATGAGGTAGAGGGGTGGTGCTATTGTTGTAGAATCAATATAGATGGTGTGTCTTAAAAAAAGGCATTTCGTTTGATACCGAGGCTAATGACAGTGAGACCAGTAGACAAGATATTTTCACTAGGCACCTCTTCTTACCTTTGCTTTGACTAGGATGTTTTATCAGGAAAAGCATCTTCGAGACATAACTTCAGAAACACTTACTCCGTATACGGATAACACATCCCGTTATGACCGCATCTCTTCATCAGGAAAACCGCTACTCCTGATGTGGCGAGTGCTGTGGCTGGTGATCACTTAAAAATCGACCAAAAGGATCAAATAAGTGACATCACCAGCCACGTGCGGCATTACCACTAGCTATGGATCCCACTGCTTCAGTCTCTGCTACTTGGACCCTTTTTAAATCATGGCATATGGACTTTGTATGATCGAATGGATCGGGATTGTGACGGCGGTGTGCATAGTATCAAGTTCACAACAAAAATACCTGTTCTAGGGCAATCTAGCCTTTTGGATGTGGTAGCGCTGATCATTGACTGGGGGACCCTGAACTGTCAGGGCTCGTTGACAATTGACAGGTCGCCATTTACGCCTACTGTCGCTGTGATGTCATGGCAGACAAAGACTACTACCTCTCCTGGTTGATGCACACTTCTCTGGAATCAAAGGGAAAGGAGATGGGTTGCATTGAGCCCGCTGGGAGAGTGACTATGACGCGTGTTTTTATTGCGCGGTACTGATACTTGCCTATTGTACATCGTGGCCTACCCTAAAGGTATATATCCCTATAGTTCCATATAAGCTGGCGGTCTATTCCTTTCTGTTTATAAACATAAGCTCAACAACAACATATCTACATTCCTCTCCATAACATCAATCAACCAATCAAATACACACACAACCCCATACTCAAAGTCGTTCATCGCAATACCTCCAACATGGGTGCCGTCGTATCTTGCGTACGCCACCCTCACCCTGAAAGCGCTCATCGTGATCTATAATATAGTTACTGACTTCACAACCAGATCAGAGGCCTTTGCCAGGCTATCGGTTCCTGTCTGATGGCCATCGTTAACGGTGTCGCCTCCATTCTTCAAGGCATCATCGGGGCCATTGCCGCCTTCTTTGGTAAGTCTACGCGTCCTTCATACCCCGTTTCATGTCGGGCATAAGTTTCGTAGTACTAATGTGTATCGCAGATATCCTCATCTCATGCATCACCTGTGGCCATGCAGGCGGAAGGAGACGTAGACATACGAGCCGTGTCTAGTCCCGCCAGCTCCCTCTCTCATCCCATGACAACTTGAACACCACATCTTTATCATGAGAAGTCTGTACGATCAGTTAGCTGGGACGTGAGGGAGCCTCTATGGAGAAGATAATGGCGTGGATATCCCTTTGATAAATTTTTACTTTTGCTACTTTCTACAATACCCAGTTGTTTAGACCACGGTCTCACGGTTTCGCGCATAGGGCATGGGTTTCTTGTCTGGTTGATCGCGTGCGCTAGCGATAGGTAGAACAATCGTAATGAGATAATGACACTCTTCTTGCACAGTCGCTTTATCTGTGAAATTAATGGTGTTTCAGCTGCTAAAAGTTATATTGATTAGGTATGGTTATACTTCGCTCACAAGTGATAATGTAAGGCACGCTTAATGAAGGATTTGATATCCAGTTGGATATTAACTTCGAACAGGCAGTCAACTCCCTCGCCACATCACATGGCTCTGGCCTATCTCGACAGATAACTATTATGTAGCGCTTCCAGCTTCCAGCTTCCAAGTTCCTGATATCGCTAATCCCAATCTATCTAGGACGATCAGTGTCTCACCTTAAATGAGTAAAGGGACGTGACGACCGAGGCACACGTCGCTAAATCTACCAGGACTGCCCAGCTGGAAGAAGCCGATAAAGTGGCTAACGCCCTACTTAGGACTAACATTCTTCCCTTGCTTTCTCTGCGGAAGGATTCAGACATGGAACCCGGGTAACAAGCTATACCCCATCGGCTTCGTCATATGTTTTTGCTGGAGTATATGTACGTAGGCTGCTAGGTTTGTTTTATAATATCCAATCCGATCCAGTTCGTGAAATGGTGCGATTGTTAGAGCGCGCGACAGGCGGTGTAAACTTGATATTTATGATAAACCGTCCTCACTGCGGCAGCCTTGGACTTTCAGGCCCTCGCAGCTGAGAGCGGACTTGTACTTGGGATAGAAGAGGTGATCATAGGTTTTAAGTCGGAGCTCGAGGGGGAGACAAGTTGGCTGTCGATTCAAGTTTTGGCTTATTTTTCTAGAGTACAAGCATGTCGCGTTTCGACGTGCAATCGTCAATATCGTCTTGGAGTCCGATGACTTCCATGGTCGACGCAATCGGTTGGTATAAAGAGCAATGGCTTGCGGAAGGTGTTAGTATTGTCATCAAGTTCGAAGGATTAAAGGGTATTGTTGATAGGATGACAAAGCAGGCTACGGCGAACATCCTGGGCATCTTCCGAGAACCAAGAAGGCTGACCAATTAGCGCTTAGAATATTACTTCGCACAAGGATTTACCCTAATAGGTAAGTTGGCCCAAGCGCGAGGCTGAAGGTTTTTCGCAAACTTGACCCAGCTTGCCTCTTCCATCCATTTCACAACACAATTCACACAACTACAAGCTACATATTTGCCAGACGACCACAGCCTTCCGCATCTAGCAATGGAATTAACACCGGTGAAGGTATCGGGCAAAAGGAAGAGCAAAGATGCTGCGGGGAATGCTGCGGTAAGTTTCCTACCCGTGTATTCCAATATTCGGAACAAAGCTGACATTCACAGAAAAAGCACTCGGGTCGACGTCAACATTCTACACCCAATGCTGAGGCCCGGAAGAAATCCAAGAAACGCACCCTCGAGAATCTGAAGTCAAGAAACAAAATGTCGAGCCTCGAAAAGCTACCGACAGAGCTCCTAGAGACAATATTTCTCTATTCCATGAACCCCAGTCTCCCCCGTGCGAGTCCTGTTATATGTGGAAAGCTTAGCAGTCAAGCTATCTACACCAAGTTTATCGTTTCAGCTTTTGGTCCATCGTGGGCCAAAGCTGATTGGAAAACCTATAACCCAGATGTCGATTATGATATATCGAATGCCGACTGTGATACATACGTTGCTAGTTTGCAGGTGAGCAGCCTAACCAGTTATACACATTCTTTGAAACTAATATGTTATATTCTAGAATGCACTCCTCCGCTGTCGATGGGCACGGCTGCCACTTATTCTCAAAGCAAAACAGATCTGGATTGCAAAATACTCTCAGGATAGTGAAGGTTCTCAGCTATGTCAGTTGGCTATTCCTCGCCCAGTCATGAGTAATTTTCTAATATGAATTAATGAATAGGGTTTGCTAAACCGTCGGATTACCCTTTCACTATAGGTATCTCACCGATTAACAGAACAGGCCAAGAGCTTTTCGACCAGGAGTTCGCGCTCTTCTCTAACTACGTCACGCAACCAGAGCCCTTCAATCCATTGGTCCTTTGCTTTAGAAGCCACGGTGATTTGGCGAAGGGTTTTGAAATACCTGATAGTCTCCTTCTTGGCCCTTGGACTGAGGAGCAAATAACCATGCTATTCTGGCTTGTGAGAGGAGGGGCTCGTGTCAGTTGGCTTACTTCCACTAGCGGCGAGGTAAGTTTATGAACCTTTGCTTTACATATTTGAAACTCATGAGATTATAGTCAGCAATGGTCGGATTGAAGAATGCCATTTCAATCGGAGATATACGTGCTATATGTCTTCTAGTCGCGGCAAATCGTGAACAAGGGTTTGACGAAAACCTTATCCTTTGGGCATTATTCAACGTTGGTGGTGACAAAATCAGAGTATTTCAGTGTTTGGTACGGTTGGCAGAGTGTTTCGTACCTACATGGGAATTTCCTAGCATTGCAGACGACTTGGAGGACATCCTGAGAAAAGCTCTAAAGGAAATGGACCAAGAGAAACTCGATCTTGTGGCCCTAATCTATAACTCTTGGGCTCCTGGCGAGCTGCCCGACTGCACTAAGATGTTTGACCGGGAGGAGGTATCAGCTAAATCATTAGATTCAATAAATTGAGCAGTTACATAAGAGCTTCACGATAAAACGGCAAGGAGAATAATCGGACCTCGGTTCCACTTTTGAAAGAGGCCCCGGCTTCCAATTTGGTTTGATGCTGTTGGTACTTGGTAGAGTGAAGTGTACGCAAAGATATAATTCCCCTGCTAGCAACATGCTGTAAGTTAACCCCTATTTTTCAAATTCAATAACCAATCAATTGTATCTCTAGATACTAGATCTTTAATGAATAAGATTTTATATTTCTGGAATTTACTTCTTATGACCCGACTTCTTATAAGAAACCAATATGTTGGCTATCAGTCATGTGATTCGCCCAATTCCGCTGACACGGAGCGTGCTGTACCTGGCTCTCCGCCTTCGAAAAATAAACCTTATATAATATCTCGATACTTCAGAAGGGGATTCCACAACGCCCATGCCCGTGTTCCAACAAGCAGCTAACAGATCGTAATAGCTCTGCAGCTGCTATGCGGTCCGTTTTTTACGCGCCTGCGCCATCATCGAGACTGCTGAGATTCCTGAGATTGCAATCTGAAGCCGTTTGCTTTTTCAACCCCAACCCTCGGCCAGGCTTCACGTTCGATTCCGCCGCGCCTCGAGGATCTTATTTAGCACCGAATTATTCCAAGGGAGCATCCTCCAGATGTCTATCAACTACAACCCCTTGTCGCGCCACTGTTGAGGCCGGGTTTCTGAACCTAGAGTTCCTTTGGCCGCAGTCAGCACCATCCGGTCTACAGCATCCAACGGCTCAATGTAGAAATGCGGCCCGGAGCAGGCGGGCGGGATATGGGAAGACATTATCAGGACAACGGAAGTCCTCCACGAAATCAAACCGATGGCTGCAGAAGATCTGGGGGGTTACGTCGACCAAAGGTGGGCGACCATTACGCCCAGATGATCTCCCCTCGTCCTTACGAGGGCGAGAAGATACGTCAGAAACCTCGGTATTCAGTCTCGGACGAGCAGTATCTGCGAAAGCAGCTGCTCAGCCTAAATTACGTTGCACGGAGCTGGACGAGCAAGGCAATGTAGTGCTTGCTAGTGGGGAATTTAAGAAGAGCGAGTTGATTGCGAAGGTGCGGCTATGCCACTCTGCTGTTATTTTGTTTAGATGCTAATATTCTATCCGTATAGTATGGGCTTCTTCCCCGCGATCTCCGAAAAATCGACTCGAGCCTTCTCCCACATATCCTCGTTCGCCCATCCGCCATCCTAATCAACCTGCTCCATCTCCGCGTCCTCATAAAGGCTAATCGTGTCCTGGTATTTGATGCCTACGGCACCACAGACTCATACAATCAATCCGCTTTCATCTATGACCTAGAAGACAAGCTGCGTCAAAAGTCGAACTCCATGTCGGCAGGGGGCCTACCCTATGAATTCCGAGCCCTAGAAGCCGTCCTAGTTTCAGTGATAACCAGTTTAGAAACGGAATTTGAGGGCGTAAGACAACCCGTCGTTCGGGTGCTCCAAGAGCTAGAAGAAGACATCGACAGGGATAAACTGCGTCTCCTACTGATCTACTCGAAAAAGCTCGGAACTTTCGAGCAGAAGGCGAAACTAGTCCGGGACTCTATTGATGAGCTATTAGAAGCGGATGATGATTTGGCCGCTATGTACCTGACTGAGAAATCTCACGATATTGTGCGTGGAGAGGCCGATCATACCGAAGTCGAAATGCTGCTAGAATCCTACCATAAGCTCTGTGACGAAATCGTGCAGGAATCTGGAAATCTCGTCTCTAATATCCGGAATACTGAAGAAATGTACGTATATGTTCCTTCCATCTCTGGTAGTTTCATTTCGTTTATTAACAATATCCCCAGCGTCAAAGCAATCCTGGACGCAAACCGAAACTCTCTCATGCTCTTAGACCTTAAATTCTCTATCGGTACTCTAGGCATAGGCTCCGGCGCCTTCGTCGCCGCCCTCTATGGCATGAATCTCAAAAATTTTATCGAAGAAAACGATGTTGGTTTTTGGGGCGTCACGGGATGGTGTGTCATATTCTCAACTATAGTCTGCGGTTACGGATTGACCAAGTTGCGAAAGGTGCAGAGAGTTAGTATGTGGGGCGAGTCTGGGAGGAGAGGGCGAAATTGGAGGGTTGCGGATCATCGGGAGTTGGATTTAGGGACACGAGATAGGTTGGAGAGGGGGAGGAGGTTGAAAGAGGAAAGGCTGTGTGCGAGGGAGGATATGTTAGAGCATAGGAGGAGCACAGCCATAGCTGCTTCGGCGGCCGCCTCCTTGGCAAATCCGAAGAAGTGATAGAGATGGCATATATAAACCACGACTTAAGCATTGGGAAGGTTTCGTTGGGGCGTTCGGAGCGTATAATATTAGGCCGAGGGAATCTACGGCTCTGTGTATGGTTAGATGTTGGATAGTTACTCACTTCTCTCTTTCCCCTTGTACTTAGACTGTAGTTTTAAATGGACATTTTATTAATGCATCTCCCTTTCCCCATATTTCTATCTGCAAAGAAATTAGAAATCGCCTTGGACTACTTGGTGATAAGGAAATGGGGACACTATGACGAAACATATAGGGGGAATATTGCAATCGAAAGCAACAAACCCCATGATTTGCAGGTACTCTTCATCCACCCTCGCAACACCTTTAAATTTGACTTGGTATCTGTCTGATGGTCGAACTATCAGGGCCGGCTTTCGCCGATGCCAGACACAACAACCCCCTAATAAGATTCCTGCCGTTTCCGATTCACAAAGTCTTAGCGGCGTTAAAGAAAGCTGGATACATTGTCACTGAACCCTGCCTATTATATCATTTTATGCTTGTGAGTATATGCTGTCATTGGGTTAGGTTTGGTCTACGAAATTGAATAGAGCGCATATACTCCAACTGATAGGGAGAGTTCCGGGAACGAGAAACCCAATGAATCGAAGGGATTCTCAGCTCATTGCAAGTCTAGCAGGAGATTTAGGTAGGCAATTCTCTACGGAGGTTGCTGTTTTCTAATCGCAATGCGGCAGCCTCTTGCTGGGACATCTCGAGCCATCTTTTTGATGTGCGCAATCTCCTCAAAAGCCTTATGATTTCGTTATCTCCCACAGTACTCAAATGCTGACATGCTAAATAAAATTAGCACAAACCTTAAAGAAAATAAGCAGCACGGTGGGCTCCTACTATAGAGAATCTCCGATTTTGTGTCTTTTAAGTCCTGATCCCTAAGCATAGCATCTCCCAATTTATTAAATAAACCATGTAACTGAAGCTCTAGTTTCTCTTTCGCAGCTCTATGTAAGCGTGAAAATGCACGAGATGGTGAATAAGGTTGGCCGTCCTCTGGGAGAGGGTCATTCTCCCTTGACGGCTCAGGTAGTTGTTGACTGTGGGGAGAATGATGCTGCGCCCCGCTATCTATTGTACCGGGGCATCCCTTATCGTCAAATATACGCTCTAGATATGCTGCCGAGCTATCAATGTCCTGTGAATGCCAATCATCTCGGCCCACAGCTTGTCTTGCCTGTATATAATCATCGTCCCTTGGGATTGACGACTTGCTGGATGGGGGAGTGTGACTCAAGGGGTCATACCCACCGGAGCTGGCAATGAAGAGCCGCAGAGGTGTCTTGAGGAAGGACTTGCGTGGTTCTAAGGATAACCCCCCTGGAGCCAAATGCAACAACGCCTTCCGGACAAAGCTTTGGATGCAAAGGCTATAAAATGTCGAGAGCCACCATGGGCCTTTGTGACGCATGTTTGATTTATGGAAAAAGACCCTCGATAATTCTTCAAAATAGAGTGACAAGTGCATGTTCACTGTTGCTATACATTCAACCTTGCAACTGTCCCGTAAGGGTTAGTGCACATATGATGGGCATATGGGGTAAGAATGCCATAGGATTCCCCGCGCATGGCTTCCAGACAACTGCGAAGGCAAATCAGTGATTGAGCAATCAGCTGATCCTAAAACATAGTGGGACAGGTTAGCAATATCTCTTTGAGTTTGTTCGTAGAAAATGTAGAAAATAAAGGCTATTACTGCCCGCGCCGCCATTGTCTTGCTATCCTTCTGTATCGCTGTGCAGTGACTTATGACGGCTTCCCATCCTTCTATAGCTCTAGTTCGATTTAGCTCACATGAGATATTCCCGACTCAAAGTACCGGATCTAGGATATGGCAATGGAAGTGGCTAGTTATGAATTGATGTAACAAGTAAAAAGGACCCTTACAGTTTCCAAATTTTCCTGATAGATTGCGGCTGGAGCCAATAGTCGGGCTAGATTTTTAACCCCATCATTCTTATTAAGAATAAGCTGTGATGAAGGGCACTCAGTCAACTCCCAAAATATTGACAGTATACACTGGTTCAAAGGGACAGCGCTCCCGTAGTTGGGGTCTCTTTTGCTTGATGCAATGCGAAGCTCCTTAAGAAATAACCAGCTAATCTCATTTAGGTGCTCTTGTGTCCAAGGTCGACTACCTAGTCTAGAGGTGGAACCAGGTAATCTTGCTTCGTGCCCGCTCTTGTATGTATCGAGTTCATCTGCAGAGGCTTCGGCCGCATTTTCCGTTCTTGAGGAACTAGCCTCCATCGGGGGGCTTTGTCGGGTTTGCGGATTAGCATTGTCAGATTCAAGATGAGGTGAAGAATAAACTTCCTCGCGCACCCACGCCTCACGTCGGTATGTAGTTTCCGCTTCCATCAATTTAGCTGCTGCTAGAGTGAACTCCTTTTCATAGCTAGCAGGAAGACAATACGGAAAGCACAACGTATTCAAAGGCACCTCGGCTTGAAATGCGCCACGTTTACATCTCACTTTCTCCCATTTCGTTTTGCCGCCCCTTGCGCATAAAGCACAGGGATCGTCGGGGTCACTGCCAGGAATAAGTATAGTGGTATAAGTTCAATAGGACACATACAGTCTTTCTTAGATACCTACACCTCCAACAAGCCCCAACCTTCTTGACAGCATTCATACCTGTTCTGGCCCACTCACTCAAAGGCCCACGGCGTCCCGAGGCTGCGGATGCCTGGCTTCCGGAATGCACCGAATTCGAATCAAAAACTATCTCTTGATATCCAGAGCCCACAGGGCTATGTCCACTAGGACTCCGGCTAAGCTTGCTTGTTAGCTTACGAAATCCATGGATGCTTGAAGTGCTAGCTATAGCGCTTGACGGGCTTGCCGTTGGATGAGGACTAATGGTTGGTGCAGCGGACGGACGCCGCCAATCGAACTATGATTTTCCTCGTGGCCAGGCGCGAGGTGATGTGATAAAAAAAAAGAATGATCAAGAAATCGGCGGCTCCAAGGATTAGTGTCCATCTATTGAAAGTCATGTCGATTTAGAATGGAAGATGGTGGATTGGGGTCGGCCTCACGCTCGGGTTCTGACGGTGTGCCGCTCCGGCATATATCTGCGAATGCTCTATCCTGCCTATTCTCATCAGCAGCGCAGGCGGTTGATTACTAGTAGACATACTCTTTTGAAAAAGGCCCTGGATAACAGCATTCTATACCTCCCATTTGGCAACCAAAGCAACTTGGCTTTTCGCCGTCACACCTAGCCCCAATTATAGGGCAGTTTCTACATGCTTGCACTGCCCGGTGAGCTTTGGACTTTCTAGGGTTTCGTATCGTATGCCACGCGAGAGTTAAAAGGATAATCTGTTTTAGGGTATGCGAAATGTAACCTTAAATGCTCAGGTTACTACCATGAGAAGCTATCAAGGGAACTCATATTCAGGGTATTGCGACTGGAAAGACAAGCTGCTCCAGCATCATCGCCTCCGAGCCTGAATAACTCGCAAGGTGTGGCAAACGCGGGCGGAGAGATCGACCTCTGAGAGGCCTTCCGTTTTGCTAGGGTTACGCCTTGAGTATCTGGTGACGGGAGTTGACTGTTGGAAGACACATAGTCCCACAGTGGGTTCAACGGTGGAGGAACGGAGACTGAATGAGACAAGTTATTGGGAATGGATGGCATACTGATATGAACCCTCATCATGAGGTCTGGGGTCGGATATGAGGGCGGCATGCCTAGAGGAGACAAAGCATCCGAGGGTAGAGGATCTACGCTATCGACGCAATCATCAAACTTAGCCAAATCGTTTTGAAGATTGGAAGGGCCCCGTCCAAGCGTGGAGGGTGTCATGCTCCGAGCAACAGTTCTGGCCCCGAGTATCATCAAAGCCAGAAAGATTTGGGATCTCCAGGACATCAGGGCGGCCGATCCTTACAACCCGGGTGGCTTTGGAGTACTCCTAGTCTACACCCAACCTATGAGCCAAACCTTGAAGCGCATTTAAGGGTGCAAGTTGATTGAGAACGCGTTCCAACAACACTACTCCAAATCACAACAAGTCAACCAAACTTGCCTCAAACTGGATGAAAACACTCGCAAAAGAAAGCCACTGACCTGTTTGGCAATCCTGACCATGACCACAACTTGACCTTTGCAACAAAGCTGTGTTGGAGATGGAGCTCACTCCCTCCTGCTGATATCACCACGCCTCAACTGGCGCTCACACCATTCTGCCACATCTTGGTCACCACCGCCCAATTGGCTGTTCCCACTCACCTCCGGCGACAAGAATACTAAGTCCGGGTACGCTTGGAAGCTTGGAGACTTGGACTACCAGCGAAGCTTCAGCTCGGGACATCCGTGGGCGCCGCGCGGCTGGTCATCAGCCTTACCCTTTCGCGAGCCCCCAGATCGGTGGTTGGTGGCCCCGAGTTCCAGTCCGTGCCTCGCCTGGCAGCTACTCTAATTGGTGCAGTCGCCGGGCCAGATCTGGTGCATGTCTTGACTGGGGAAATCCCTTGATTAGTGGCGGCCGCGCCGTCTCAACTTTTTGGCCTGTGGTACGAAGTACTGTATCTTGATTCTTGAGTTCTCCTGAAGGAACCAACGAGTCCAGAACCCCCCCTCCCCAAGCGCTGGCGCCGTATCGCTTTCTTGAGAACGGACGAGACTGGCCTTCGGAGTCCGGACAGGCTGTGGGCGCTCAATGTCTCGCGAGTGCGAATGACGGCGTTGCTTGGCAATGCTTAGCAAGGCGGAAAGCCCCGTCGCCAGGTAGGTAATGGACGACCCGCTCGGGCAATTCCCAAGGGCAGCCTGCCTGGAGATCGTGATGGACACTATGGCAACGCAGAACTAAAACCTAATGGGCAAAGTGACCCCGTCCAGAATGATTGATTACTTGAGCGACGCAGGCCACAATAGGAAGCATTCGGTAGCCCCAGATAACACGACAGATACATACCTATAGTCCCTTGTGAAGGGGCCTCGTAGGGTACATGTATGATGTATTCTGTCGCCAACTATGGAGCTACTAGTGCACCCGTACCGAGTACGAAGTAGTAGGTGGGAGGTTCAAGCGGAGGTTCAAGCGGAGGTTCGAGCGTAGGTGGTGAACTTGCACGGGCTGCTTCTCGCGAAGGGATTCAGCGGCGTCCGATCAGACTCGTGAATTGGTATTATCTCCGAACCTACGGAGTATAATGTTTCGATTTAACTCGAGTTGGTTACCAAAGCCGTGAAGCCGGAAAATCCATATTTCTCTATTTCAACCTGAATTCGTACACGTCAGACTAATCATACCAAGCCCAATAATGTGACTTACAAGCCGCTGGGACAACGATCCCCTCTGGCCCCTACTCCGTAAAACACGCCTGCCAAAAGCCTCCCTATTGCATTACCAGATCCAGGTAGATCAGCTTAAGCTTGTGTTGCGCCACAGGGCGCGTGCTGCGGCTACACGAGCAGGGAAGCCCCGTCCACGCAACCTATAACTTTATATTAGGATCCTGTGTCACTTCCCGTGGCCCAAAAAGTATTCGAGCAGATAAAAACACATCAATCAGTCTTTGTTTCTGCAAGACGCAATTTTGCTTTTGCTTACTGGTCAGTTTGTGCCCATGTTAATTATTTGCCCTTCATCCGCTAACTTCCTGAATCCTTATGTGATTAGACCGCTTTTATCATGTCAACATCTCCGGGAAGGGCGCAGTTTGGACCCCCTCTGGACACCGTTGGCCTTGTGATAATTTTCATTGGCTTTTCCTTCATTGCTTTGTTCAACAGCCTTGAGGTTTTATGTCGCATTTTTATAGTATTTCGGCGGTTTAATGGTTTATACTTCTATACTTTGTTGGCTTCATCATTTGGAATCCTCCTCTATCAGTCCTTTATGATAATGCAGATTCTTACCACTTTCAATATATTTGCTTTAAATACTGGTATTGCTATCGGAGGGACGCTTATGGTTACTGGCCAATCGTTGGTTGTATGGTCTCGGCTTCATCTTATACTTCGCAATTCCCGAAAACTAAAACTCGTCTTGGCTATGATTATTATCAATAGTACTATCATACATACTACTGAACTTGTTCTCTCATTTTTGGTAAAGCTCTTGTTATCTTTAACTACTACCGATATATTATTAACTTCTATAGGGAGTTGCAAGTGGAAATATAGGTACATATCTACCCTTTACTATCATAGATAGAATTGGCGTATCGATATTTACTCTCCAGGAAACTATTATTTCTGTTATATATATAATCGAGACACGGAAACTACTCAAGAATACTGAACTACTTTGGAGAGGGAAGTCTCAAAGAGTAATGAAAGCCCTTATTCTTGCTAATATTTTCATCGTCGCGATGGATATTACTGTCCTTTTCCTCGAGTTTCTTGGCCTCTATGGTGTCTGGGGTAGCTTTAAAGGGATGGCCTATAGTATTAAACTCAAGGTTGAATTCGATATGCTTAACCAGCTCAGAGATGTTCTGAAACCCCCACAAAGCGGTACGGCTTACAATATTAGCCATGGTGGTGGGCAGGATGTAGAGCTTAATATTGTTGGAGATAAACGACAGGGTACTGGAATCTTCTCCGCTTTCTCCGCAAACGATAATCGCGCTGCTGATATTCCGGCTTCGAATAATGGTATCCTTAAGACTACGGAGATCGTCATGCAAACCGACCAGGGAGATTCAAAGCTCGAAGGACCGACCGTTTCGTCCAATAAAACGAAAGCCTACGGCAATTCCTATTCGCCAACATCGTCAAAGGTGGAGTTCGCTGTTGAAGGGGTATAGCATTCGGGCGCGTGTGGAGGGCAAAGGAACGGACGGTCAATGGCCAGTGGAGTGCGATGCGATTTGTGGTTTGGGGGGAAAGGGGAGGGGGTTGGCTGTAACGGCCTGATGTGGACTGTGGAAGGATGGGGACTTCTGAAGGGTATGTGATAGGGGAGTCACAAGTCTGTTCTGTGTATTATGAGTTATGTTGAGGTTTTGGGTCAGTGGGATTGATTCGATTGAGTATTGAATTGATTGCGTGCTAGCTGGGGAATAAGGCCTGTCTTAGGTAGGCCTTTTGGCGTATTTTTAGAAGGATTTGGTGCAACGCTGATTTTTCAGGCACGAACGGACATTACCCAAACTACAATTATATCTATTCTATCTGGTCGCAAAATGAAGCTATTCCCAGATATGTATTCTTACGTCTCCCTGTATTCGGTCTGTGTGTCTTGCTAGTGCCTGCTAGTGCCTGCTACTGTATTTTGTATAGGCGTTGCTTCCTACTACTACATCCTCTACATCCGACCTGAATTAAGGTTGTTCGAGTCGCTGGAGCTTTGTGGCTGTATTCTGTACTATGATCTTCTCCTAGCTTAAAGAGTACCTAGCGAAGAGCGGGCAAGCTACTATCTAGTACTTAGTTACTTTATTTGGTCGCAAAATAGAACTAGCTGAGCTTAATTATAGTATTCCTAATTAGAAACTCATTATTATCAAATCTTTTAAATGTTTTTGCTCTGGACTGGTGCGATTTGCAAACGACAGATCTTCCTCAGAGACGCGGCGCTTGAAGAGGAGTATTTGAGAGTAAAACTCTAGGTTTGCAGAGTTATTCATATCTAAACGCGTCAGATGAGGTCTGTTGAGCCAAATGAATGACTTGCCCACTCCCTCGTAGTCACCTGGTGGTGCCATTTGCTAAATGCCTAAAGGCAAGTGGAAGTACGTGGCTAGTGCTGGGAAGTTACACAACATCCACTGCATGCTTCTGTGAAGAGCACTGGTTTGATCCGGAATGTATTGTATGATGCAATGTTCCAACGTATTTATCGACGTTATTTCCGCTGCGCGATGTATGAATGTGTACATTTGATTTTTCAAAGCAGGGCGAAATGTCGAGATTCCTGCTGATGTTGATTTTGCTCAGCCTCAGGTACGACCGCCCACCCAAAAAAAGAAGGTTGACGGCGAGGCGGTTCAACTGCTTTCGACAAGTGGTAGCAATACAAACACTCCGATTCTTGATACTATGTGCACGACCCTAGGCCGAAATCCCCGATGCACACATGCTAAGTTACTAGAGACATACATGGCTGCTCCAAAGGGGAGACCGATAAGGGGCAGTTTTTCGTGGCCTTCGTTCGGCCAAAGTTGATTTCCAGACCGCTTCTTGTTGCAATTAGGCCTGGTGCATACCACTATCGCTTTTGTCGAGACCGCTGGCAAAAAATGTATGATTCAGGACTACCGTCTATCCTTTCGGGGGAGTCGGTGGGGCAATCTTCACTGCATATGAGTGAGGCCTTCCACAATGCTGGAGCAATATATCTCCACTAGAAAATACAAATTTTACAATAGACAATTTTCAAGCCTTCGTAAGAACGTGGAGGATATTATGGCTCCGACACGGTCAGGGGTGAGCCATTCTCATGCTCAGCGCAAGCCTTCTAGCCATAGCGGGGAAGTTCCATATCCCTCCAACCAGTGCCGATCTGTAGCTGCCACGATCGACAACCCAGAGAAGTACATCGGAAAGATACAGGAAGGTTTTAGTGGCTGTGAGCATCGTCATATTTTTTAGGATATGCATGTCTGACATATACTCGAGTACTCACCTAGCCTCGAATTGCTCAAATTCTGGCTCCATGGAATATATACCCGAGTCAGACTTCAGCGCCATAGAATTTAGCGATGGTCTCTCCAAATTTTCAAACCATGCGGATATATCATCTGAATCTTCAACTAAGGCTGTCCCGTCATCTCGAAAAGTCCATCTGGGATTTGACACTTCAAGCCCCAATGTCTCGTTCAACTCAAGTTACTCAGCTGGTGTTTCAAACATCAGAGATTCAATTTTTGATAATCCAACGATCGATAGCCGCTCAAACACCAACGATTCCTCAAGCAGCGATAATTTCTCACCCTTCGACGCCCAAGCAGAAACCACTTCTGCCCCCAACGGTCCCGGTAACGTGGCACTAGACCTCTGCGGGATAGGTGGCTAGATAGAAGACAATGCATTTAGTGGCGCTGGTGTTGATGATAATGATAACGACAACGACTTGGGCTTTGACACGCTTCACATGAAACCTCCGCAAACGAGCCCTTGAACAAGGCAACCGATGACTGGACTAATCTACGGTGGAGATCGTAATCTTTTCGCAACTCTGCAAGGGGATAGGGACACTGATTGCACATGTCTGGACATAATATGTCTGTTTCTATGCAATTGGGCAACTCAGCAGACGTAAAAGATTGGAAAAGCACCGAAAAATGCGATGCTTCGACTATTATCTGATACATAGCACTTGAGTATGATGCGGCTCAAGGAAAAGAGAACGATGGGCGTTTGCCAAATGATGAACACTCTGTCGGAGAATTGTCTGGTATCGAAGGGAGACGATGCGAATGTACATCATGATCATAGCTGTTAAATCCTGAGGGTAAATTCGAGACGTTATAAACAAGATATTCAGTGTTCAGTTTAAAGTTACGTTGTGGAAATTGAGAAAACTTGGAAAGGGAAGCGACCCGCGGCCCGCTTCGGGAACTAGCACTGCCCCTGTCAATGCGGGGTTCTTACCTCATCATCCCTGATGCGGCTTCCATCGGCCTAACTGCTAACAAACGAAGCAACTACTAGACAACACCAATGTCTTCTCTCTCTGCCATCTCCAAGATAATATGAGTCCTGTCAGGAATGATAATTACAGTGATTGCCTATAGAATTTCAACATGAAGACATCATTACCTTGCTCTCGGCAAGCACATCGCAACGCACTCTCCGTATTTCTTCCTCGAAGTACTATAAAGAACACACAGAGATGGAGCTCATCTCTATCGCAAAAGGCGGGCGCGGCAGGGTAAGCATTGGATTCTCAAATCTCCTATTTTTTGTACATGAACAAGACGTTGGCTAATGGGCGATATGTAGGATATGCTTCCCAGGCGCCCTTGACAGCAAGTTCACCAGCGCCCTCAAATTCGAGCACCCCTCAACCCACCCCGCAATCCGTACATACCGCTGCACCAGCCCCGACGGCGACATAATTGACCCCTCCGTAATACCTCCCCCCGACTCCCTCGCCCTCAAACTCTACGAAAACATGCTCGCCGTCTCAATCATGGATGTGATAATGTTCGAGGCGCAGCGACAAGGCCGTCTGAGCTTCTATATGACGAGCCAGGGCGAGGAGGGCACCTGTGTGGGCTCCGCGAGCGCATTGGAGAAGGAGGATGTGATTTTCTTGCAGTATAGAGAGTCGGGGGTGTTTATGGAAAGGGGCTTTACATTGGAGGATTTTATGAGCCAACTCGTTGCGAATAAAAATGATCCCGGGAGAGGGAGGAATATGCCTGTGCATTATGGGAGTAAAGCTTTGAATATTGTACGTATTGCTCCATTCTCTCTCGTTTCTGAAAACAAGGAGGATATACTGACACCAATGCCTATTTCTAGCACACTATATCGTCCCCTCTCGCAACGCAAATACCCCAAGCAGCAGGCGCTGCCTACGCTCTGAAAATGCAACGGAGACAGAATCCCGAAACACCACCTCGAGTAGTAGCATGTTACTTTGGAGAAGGCGCCGCAAGTGAGGGAGACTTCCACGCTGCTCTAAACATAGCAGCTACCCGCTCCTGCCCGGTAATATTCATATGCCGGAACAACGGATACGCGATCAGTACCCCAACACTAGAGCAATACCGCGGGGATGGAATTGCCAGTCGAGGGATTGGGTACGGCATCGATACAATCCGAGTAGACGGCAACGATATATGGGCCGTCCGGGAAGTAACCAAAAAAGCACGTGAGCTAGCATTGACGGATGGAGGTCGACCCGTCCTAATTGAAGCCATGTCCTACCGCATATCCCACCACAGCACGAGCGATGACTCGTTCGCCTACCGTGCGAGGGTTGAAGTTGAGGACTGGAAACGAAGAGATAACCCTATAACACGCCTTCGAAAATATCTTGAGAAGAAGGGAGCATGGGATGACGAGAAAGAGGCCAAGGCTCGGAGTAGGATCCGAGGTGAGGTGCTAAAGGCCTTTTCTGAGGCCGAGAAAGAGAAGAAACCAAGTTTGAGAACCATGTTTGAGGACGTTTATGAAGAGTTAACGCCCGAGCTCAGGGCGCAGATGAATGAGTTGAAGGAAGTTCTGCACAAGTATCCGCAAGAGTATGATATTACGGAGTTTGAAGGTGGGAGGGAAAGCTTGAATAAGTGAATTAGGATAAAGGAATAGACAATAGAGAAGCAATTCTTTGAGGTAATCTTTGTTTGTTTTGTCCGCTCCCGTGTTTGTGTTTTCATATGTGAATGCTAATTGCTTGTTGCACAAACAAATTGCTTTCCTGCTGTAATCCTATTATATTCACTCCTCCCTCTTCTGCTGTGCAACCATGCCTTTAATATCTTCAATCTTTTCCGCAGTCTTCAAGTTTCTCTTCCTCTTCTCCTTTATCCACTGACTACTCTACGATCCAAATTCAACCTCCAGATTCATCCCCTCAAACGCCATACCACCACACCATATTTCCACCATCCTCAAAACAGTCATCCAAAACCATGTGTACACGCCGCCTACTCCGGTACCGCCAGTGCAAACACATCGACGATTTCAGATGGGAGCGTTGCACCTCAGCCATGAACAAAAACATCTCGGGCAATAACTGTCCCCAGCGCACCGGAGGCGAGGATCTTTTCGTGGTTGGCAAGCCAAGCTGTAATAAGTGTGCGGGCAAGGGGTGGATAGTGCAATTAAGTTTCCCTTTTTGAAGTTAAGGGGTTGAGCATGTGAGGTGGTGGGAGAGAAAGACGGATGAAGTTAAATTCAAGTCTCTAGTTTCTAAAAAGGCAATTTTCAACATCGGATTTCTATTCATAGCGTGATCTACATCTAGGTACACATATACCCCGCTACTTACCTAGGTAGATATAGATAGCTGCATAGCCTATTCCTAAACTCCACATAACACCAACAAGTACATCTGACCATACCATATAGTACTCCATCAACACCACCGCCAATATACGCCCAAACGTGCACCTGGTCTGAGTATGATAGTCCAACAAACACCCCTTTGTACAAAATCCCATCATCAATATTGTCATCCCATGATAGCCGTATCAAATCCCTCACTTCTTCTTGGTCGTAGGCTGCACCCCCCTAACTACCAAAACTCCACTTCCAACCTCAACTCTCCACCCCTCCCTAATCAACATCTTCCCCACAGCAGGACCCAATTTCCCCTTTCCACCCTCACTATGTCGTCCCAGCCCTGTGACAATCCTATACCCACCGCCCACACCAGGACCACCAGCGCTTCCATTCCGAAGTCCATGCCACCAAGCCGTAACTTTCTCCCTACTAATCCTCACTGCATCCTTGACAACAACACCATGCAAATCCAACTCCGTCCGCGAGCTCTGCGCCGCAACAAGCGCATCAGCCGCTACGCTTGCAGCCTTGTTTGCAAGCGTAGAATAGGAACGAGCCTCAGAAGAGTAATGAGCTGCTGCGCCGCCCATGAGGGGATCGGATTTTCCTTTTCGAGCATAGAATTCTGCTTGGCGGCGTGCGCTGTTGCTGGCTGTGACGTATGAATTTGCTCTCGCTGCTGCGGCACCGGGAGATTCGTAGTGGAATCCAAGCTGAGGAGGCGACTCGACGGGCGGAGGCGGTTCGGACTCCACGTTTATGGGGGTGTGGCGGAATTGGATTTGAATTGGGCTTTTGTTGTTGGAGTAGGGGGTATATGTCAGGGCTTTTGCCACGGCCCGGGCATTGTCTAGAGAATGGTGGGTAAGCAGGACTATGGCCGCAAGGTCGGAAATTGAGATGGAGGGGAAATCTTGTTGAATTTCGAAAGCGCTGAGATCAGCGGTAGCATCATCTGATTCAACGTTCATTGAATTATGAGCCTGAATAATAGCGGAGAGAGTTGAGGCGACCGAGGCGCCATTCTTATGATATAACGACGCAACTTGCTGCTTCGGCATGTCCAATTTCGAGACAATGAAATCGATATCCCGCGTTCCTGTTTCCCATTTACTCTGGGGAGGTGGCTCCGCCTCAGGGCCTCCGGCACCTTCAATAACCGGCCTCTCACGCTTCTTCTTGGCCTTATGCTTGCGAGGCCGAGACGGGATGTCACTTTCAGAGAAAGCGTCAATTCCCTTTTGTCTCCCGCCATTCTCCTCCAGGAACGATTGTGTCATAAGCTCATCAATAGCCAGGCTCGGGTCGCCCCGACATTTCTTCAATGTCCATTGGATATCAAACGGCTTTAGAATAGGGAAAATCGCTCTTAGGCCAGCTTCTTTGCCGCCATCATCCAAACTATCCAGTTCAGATGTATAAGACCTATCTCCAGATTCGTTGATACCAGTGGGTGCGCCGTCGCTGGAGAAATCCAAGCCTTCAAGGTCTAGCGATGACATGCGCTGGCTGATAGATGTAGTATCCGTTTGGCTCATCCACCCAGGCAAGCTTTTTCCACTCCCGCTTTGACTCCCGTCTTCTCCTCCCTCTTCGCCGACATCAATCAGGCCACTAGGTCCACTTGCGCCGCTGGCGTCAAACCCAGTCGCTTCTTCATCCGGAACGGTTGCTTTCAAGATATCCAGGGTTTGTCGGGCAGCGCTCAATTGCGCCGTGTCGCAAATGTCATAGTCAGATATAATTGCGAGCAATGTCGCCGGATCGATCGTCTTGGAATATTCGTCCTAGAAGAGGGAAGTGTCAGCTGCATATTCTGAGTGTAGGGGAAGGCGGTGGAGGGGTATATTGATTGAAAATACCAGCAATTGGGCTTGAATGGCTTCGGTTGCTGCCATTCCGACAAGAGAGCTTCAGCGCAGAGCAAGAAAGCTAAATATTTGTCATCTCTGGAGTTGCAGCATTTCATTGAGTATGTGCATGGTGCCCTGAGGAGGAGTCGTGGTGTTTGCGCGTACAAAGTTTGTTTCGATCTTCGTAGAAACGCGTTTGTATCGATTGTTTGCAGCCCTTATCGCGCCCCACCTCCAAGCTCGGATTCAGGGACCAGGACATGCACGTGATGCGGGGTTACAAGGGCACATTTATTTGTATTTATAGGGGATAATCTAAAAGAGGCCTTATAAGGCTAATTTCAAGGAATCACAAGTATAATAAAAGATGGACTTAATTATATCCATATGCATATATTTGGAAGTGGACTAGTTATCTATAATGTGCAGCCAAAGCTCAATCCTTAGGTTGGTCCATGTTCACCCCTCCACTGATAATGCGCCTGAACGACCTTCCATGCAATTTGACTCAACCATCCAGCCCAAATCTTTGGGGAAAAAGAACCATGTAGAGAAAACTTGTCGATACATAAAATGGCGAGAAAGCAGTGGGCCATTTTGAGTGAAATCAGGCCAGATATTGGACTCTCTTTCCATCCGTGCCTGTCACGGATTTGACTGCTGAACTTTTGATATGCTCAAGACAAATGGAAAGCTCCCTGGCCTTCCCTAATTGCAATATTCATACGACCCCGCATAACGTCCAGACTGGAGTAATCAGGCAATTTAAGATAGTTCACACAGGTCATGACGCTTGGGAGATAGTCGTCCGACATATATGGAGCTTCACTTGGTTTGCAAACCACCGTGAACATTGGGGTAAGAGCTTTGAAACCTGGATAGCTTGATAAGCATGATTATAAAATGTTTATTTGCGGAGCTTGACTTACCGCCAATTGGAAGCTTGGGACTACCTGTTGTGAATTGGAGGAAATCGCGACGCTCTGACGGGGTGAGTTCACTCATAGTTTGGAGGAGATTCTTCACACTCTTGCTATCCATGTTGAAGCCATGATCGGCTTTGATAGAGTCCATCAAAGCTGTTGATTATGGTTAGTAAAATAATACACGTGAACACAGGGTATTGGAGCAAATTCAACTTACTTTCTAGCGACCAGTCTTCCTCGATTCTGCCAAAGAGCATTACGAGCTCGTCGGGAGTGAAAGCGCTCAGGGCGGAATAGGGGAAGACCTGGGTAAACCCTGCCCTAAATGCGTCCACTTGTCTCTGGACGCCACTGCCAAGTGTCATGTCGATGACCTTCTCCAAGTACAGTTCGACGTTGTCGATAGTGACTGATATGGTAGCGCCATTGGGCAACAATTCAACAGTAGAGTAGCCCGGAAGAGTAAAGTCCAGACCCAAATCATCAATCCGAACACCATCGACCAGCAGTGCTTCTGCCTCGGCAACTTTCTGAGCGGGGGTCAAATTTGGATTTTCATCAATAGCTTTCTTGGCCACAGCGAACTTTTTGATGAGCTTCAGGGACTTTGCCAACTGTGCATCGACTGTCTTGACGGCACCCAAGGACGGTGTAACTGGATTGGATCCATCACCAATACGGAAGAATGTCGGGTTGAACGAAACATCAATAATGCGTGAATCGATCATGGATCTCGCGACAAATTTTCCAAGCATCTTGAATAAATGGAGGATACGCTTCCCATTCTCATTAGATGCTTGCTCCTCGCTCATTGGTGCCGGGAACAGGCCACGGGCACCGAATGCGTACTCGTCATTCTCATTAGCATCGGTCTCGCGCCAGAGCTTGAGCTTCTTCTTAGAGAATTCCTTCGAAACTGTGGAGTAAAATTCCAGTGTCGGTCCGAGCCCTGTTCCAACTTCCTCGAAGTACTCCACCTCTAAGATACTTTGGGAAGCCCCATATAGTTCCATGACCTTCAATGCAGATTCTAGAATCTTGGAACGTGAAATACGAACTTTTTGCCGTTGAAGGCGGCCCAAGAACGGCCGCTCATCACGGATACGATCTCTCCGAGATTCATCAGCAGACTGAGCGTTCTGCCAACGAGTCATTGACCGAGCATAACCGAATGACGTTGATTGCAGGAATAGGTGCCTCGTCTCGAAAGGGAAAAGAAATGGGTAAAGCCGGGCTAGGTCTTCGCTCCAGCTAGGAAGGCAGTTGCTTGCGACAATGAGTGGTTCCTCCAATTGCCGGTTAAGCTTAGCAGTGAGCTTCGTGTTGACAAACTGTGAGAGCGGCTCTGCGTTGAGTTTTAGGGTGTCCTTATTCTCAGCCAAGACGTCGTCCAAATTTGCGTTGAGGGCATGTAAGATATTTAATAATCGAAGAATAGATGATGTTGCAGGATGTTTATCTAAGGATGCAGGAATACCAGATGCTGTCGTCTCAGTGCTACTCTCTGATGCTTGGGTGAGAGAGCTTGGCTCAGGTGGTGGTGGCCCAGGAACGCGCTTGAACTTGATCGGATGGATAGCAGACCAAACACTGCGGCTAGTGTGCTCATCCACAGGGCCAGATGGGTTATGCACAGCCCGGTATATGGTAGTCTCATTCGAAATAACCTTGTCAGCGAGACTGAATTCAATGTGCCAGTCTTGCGGTACAGCTTGAATAGCAGCTGCGTATGACATGGGTCGGGATGACCCGGTTGGCGTGGAGAAAGCTGCCTGAGCTGCAGCAGACTGCAATGCCGAAGCGCTTCGTTGGTTAATGCTAGATGATTGTGAAGGTGTAGCAACTCGCGTGCCATCATCCTTTCGTGCAGTTACCTTGCCACCAGCGGCAACTTCTAGATTGACCGCAGTTGGGTCAGCAGGGCTGTCGTCTTCCATATCATCTTCCAAATCCCCCATGATGGCATCTAGGGCGGCACTATCGTGCATGTCCTCGTCATCCGTGAGTTGCCTCTCATCCGCACATTCTAGTGCACTTGCTAAGCTGTCTTCTTCCTGAGGCGGAGGAGGAGGTATAGGTGGTTCCGTCTGCGCTTGGTTCCGTCTGCTTGATCGGCGAGCTGGAGGTTTGTCTTGGGATGGGGTGGAGTTTGTTTGGCCGTCCGCAGGTGGTGGTGGAGCTGGGGCCGGTTTAGACTTTGACTTTCGAGAGCCCCGAGAGGCGGAGGGTGTAGGCGCAGGTGGAGTTGCTGCATTTGCTGAGGCCGCACCGCGTCCTGCAAGACGGTGGTGGGCATTAGGAACGCCAGCGTAAGGATTCGGGATATTACCGGCGGCTAGCGCAGCTAAAGCTCCAGAAAGGCCGTCCCTTCTGGAACCCCGTGGCCGCTCTGACATACTAATTCTTGGGCGCAAGTAATCATCCAACGCCTTGAAAGTTGCAATGGCATGGATTGAGACCATGATATTTCGATATGGGCGTGGTATCTCCGAATCGTCATCAGCAACTAGTTTAAGGCGAATCTGTTTGGCAAGCATCGAAGCAGCACTGCTTCTATTGCCATCAAAAGTATTTTGGTGGACTGTAACAACTTCAAAATGCTCCGATCGGCTTAAAAGGTCCTGCAGCTTATGGATCAAGATACTGAACGGCGTGGTTAAGGATTCCGCACTTGAAGCCTTCGGATTCTTCATCACAGCTCGACCCATGAAAACTTCGAGAAATGCTGATCGAGCATCATTACTCAAGCGTTCATCCGGGCTATTAAAGACGTCGAGAAGTACTCTAACAACTTCAGAGTTGAGCAGCTCGGCGCTAGTAACGCTTTCCAAGACATCGCCATCAAAATGAGAGGCAAGCTTTGTAAAGAGTTCCACACCATCTCCGGGGCCTTGGTGCAGATAATGGGATTCTATATCGAGAGCCAGACCTTGTAGGCTTGTCAATATCTTAGTCGCCTTCTTCTTCAAGTTCTTGCTATTCTTCTCTGTGTCGTGAACCTCTAGGAATCGCTTTGCCCGCTGTGCTATGAGTTGCTGCATCGTAGTGACATCAGATATAGCATGGCGTGGCGGGCCATCCAAAGACATCGTCGACTCCCGAGAGCTTGCTGGGGACTGGCTGAAATCATCTGGGATATCATCGTTCTCGTTGTCCTCGTCGTTTTCATTGTCTGAGGAGTCGTCTTCGTCATCCGCACCAGCTTCGCCAGTGTTATCAGTTTTCTCAGAGATTTTCTGAGGGGTTTCAGATACAGCAGAATCAACTGCTTCAATACGTGGTTCCACGCTAGTAGTATTTTGGGCGGAATCAGTGCTTGCTAGTTTTGCAATTTCAGCAATCACCCCTTCACGGTAAAATTGATAGCGGTAGATTTCATCTAGGCGAGTAAGTAGTAGCTCCGCAGCTTGAAGTGCATAATTGACAAGGCTGGGATGATCTTGTTGGGAGAGAATTGCAGCCAGAAACGAAGCGTACGGAAGAGATCGGAGTGCTTCCATCAACATATCTGTATCAAGGTTGGAGAGCATCTTGAGCTGCGCGGTTAGAACCTTCTGGCGAACGCTTAGATTAACAGTGCTTGAAAAAGCATCTGTCAAAGTAGGGAAGAGAATGACGGTGAATCGCTTCACCTCATCCTTGCAACCCTCCAAAAGCTCGATGCGCTTCTCGTTGGCCGACTTTTTTCGGGAGTTTGAGGACCCATTGGGTGGTGGTATAGCACCATCAGTCTCCAATACGTCCTCGGAAGTAGCATTAGATTCTCTGGGGAGCCCCGGAAGTAGTTCGCATATGACATTTAGCGTCTCGATTACTTGTTCCCGAGGTCTATGGATCAAAGCCTGCATGATAACGACGCTGTCCAATTTCGAGGCGACATCATCTGTAGCGCTAGGTGGCGACACGCCTGTCAAGATCTGATACAAGGTCTCCACAACGTTCATCTTGAAGAGCTCAGTTGATAAGCTAGCACTTGCTTTCGCAGTGAAGGCAAGGACCCGCAAAAACTGTGTGTGGATGTTGGGCCCGATTAGGTTCGTCGTGCCTGGGAGCAGGAGGCGAAGAATTGCCTTGAGCAAATCGGTACTCACAAGCTCTTCTAGCTTGCTGGGATGGTATCTGAAGCTCTCAACGACTCTAGAAACGCAGAGCGAGCCTTGCTCTACCACCTTTTGGTCGTTAGAGCCGAGAACGTTCAAAAGAATGGGCATGACGTCTTTGATAACCGGGAACGAGTCTTCTGGGATATTTCGGCAGCAGTTCGCTGCAGTGGTGACGGCAGTTCGTTGGGTGCTTGTAGCAAAGAAGTCAAGGTATGTCAGGCAAGCCGTCAATCCCCCCTCACGGACGATAGATGCTGGATATTCGACCGATATCTTCTCGAGAGTCTAAGACACGTTAGAAGATGCGTATAAAATAGGTATGATAATTAACTTGCACTAAGGGCTTGCTCTGCCAAATCGATGAAATGTATTTCCAAAAGTTTTTGGCAGAGGACTGGAACGGCACCTCCATAGACCACATTTGCAGTACTTGCAGGTAGAGCCTCCATCAAATTTGCGAGACAGCGGCAGGCAAGTAGCATCATTTCAGGATTTTCCTCCCCAAAGTCTGATGGTTGCATCAGGACCACAAGCTCCTTAACGAACGCGTCTGGCGAGAAGTGCCCGGACAGGTTGTCTTCTGTCGATACCAGCAAAATCTCCGACAGCTCTTGAAGAGCAATCAATTGCATTGATGGATCATCTTTCTGCTTCAGATTATTCAAGATGTCCCGCAATCTAGTGGAGACCCCGGACATCATGCCACTCAATGCTCTCAGTGTGCTCGACAGACCGTGTGGCGGCCCCCCAGGTCCTCCAAACCCTCCGAATGGATCGTCATCGTCATCGTCTCGACCGTCGTAGTTGCGCCCCATGTCTTCGTCGTCGTTCTCATCGCTAGCGTCATCGTCATCCGCGGGATGGGGCCTGTCATCCAGCGAATTTTTCACGGTGTTATCGCAATCTTTATTGCCGCCGCTTCCCTTCTTCGATCGACGATTCGGGGCCGGCGTATTGGCAGAGTTATCTGCTTCTCTAGTATCAGTCTCGGAAAGAGGGCTCGGCAGGGCCAGGCCCGACGAACCTTGACCACCCTTCTTGGTTCTCGAAGACTTTCTTTTGGCCGCACTACCAGTTGGAATAGGTGGATCGTTGGAAGGACCGGCAGAATCACTAATAACCACATCAGTATCCACGCCATGCCTACACAGGGACGCAGCATCGTACCCAGGACTCGACATCACCGCAGGAGTTTTTCCCTTTGCGTTTCTTCGACGGGGTGGGGCTGCTGCTGTCGGCGGAGGCGGAGGGTGGTCAGGCTCTGTGACCTTCTGTCGTTTGGTCCGTCTGGAGGAGGGGGCTTTGGTAGCTTCGGGTTGAGGGCCTAGGCTGGACTCTCGTGGTGGTGCTTTGCGTTTGCGTGAAGGTGGTGGTGCCCGAGTCGACGCCACGGGTGCCGGAGCTCCAACAGAGGTACCAGGCGACTCTGAAGATGAGCTGGCGGCTTGTCTGGCGGACGCTCTAGTAATTCTGGGAGACATGAGTATATGCTTGTGATGAACGGCTCGAACACCAGCCGGCACCTCGTCACCACGATCGAGAGTTCGTGCGAGGAGGATGCGGTGGATCGAGGATGCAAAGAAGTGGTGATGGGAGTGGCAAGATAAACACAAGAACAAGGTGAATAAATACGAATGGGGGAAGTGTACCGAGAAGCAGAAATAGAAGTAGCCGTGGAGGTGGATCTTGCTGTTTCTGCGTCGTTATCGAAAAGTGACTCCGATCTACGCTGCGAAGATGCCATCGGTTTACGCCATTAGCGTAGGCGGCGAGTTGTCCGTCGCAGTAGGCTTTGAGGCTGGGCTGGGGATGTATAAAGTTGGAGGATTGTTTCCGTGGTCGGGGTTATCGTTTTGTGTGTTGTTAGTTGTTGTGGAGTGGTGGTGGTCGTGGTGGTGGTTGAGGTGTTATAGGTGTATGATAGGTGTATGATAGGTGTAGGTGTAGGTGTAGGTGTAGGTGGAGTTGCGGTGTTGTAGTATGTGATAAGAGACAGCTCGGATTGATATGTTTGATATACTCGTCCTAGTGTCTAGCACGCTCTGCTCCTCCACCTCATCCATATTCCGTGCCCTGTTGGCCGCTGGCGGCATCCTAGTCGCCGCTCGCCTGCGCTTAGAATCCATTAGACGACGGACGCGGATCCCCGAGGAGTAAGCGAGGAGAAGTGTTTATTAATAATTACTTCGTCCTGGCTCCATTGATCCGGTCGTCTTATCAGCATCAGTATCAATATCAGTGATGGTTGTTTGTTACGTTGTTGCCAGTATTTATTCTCAGGTAGTACTTCCTATGCATTGGTCAATAGCATTCCTGTATTGCTTTCTGTTTCTATTTATTCAACGCATATTCCAACAGCAAAAGGTTCAATGACGATGGGAGTCCTCGTATTTCCACCGTCGGCCGCTTGCGTCGTCCGACGGGAGTCAGTGAAACATCAGTCAATTACCATCACTGGTACTCAAGCCGCATTGAATCCACAAGCAAGCCCAAACTGTGGTACAGATCCTGATTATCTAGGGGACACTCTCTTCTCGAAAGAACTGTCACCCCAGTGATTATGGAATCTACTCTTAAGCAAGGTTGCTTCTTGCACGAATTCTTTTGTTAAGTTCCTTATTAAGGCTACTACTGCGCCTACTCATGCTCCTCCGCAATTCATCCATCTCAACTTAGGTACATAGCTAGCAATAATCGAGTCCGAAATTCCTCTACGAAGTACATTTATTCTTGATTTTACAATAGTATCCACCCCACGGCCTTGCAACAACGACTAGCTCAGCCAGTAGACTCCAAGTCAACAGACAAAGTCTTATTTTCTTTGTCATGTAAATACTTCACTGTCATATTAGACCCCACTAATAATATCACTTCTGTCATTCCTAATCAAGCTGTCATTTGATCACCATATCATGGTAACCCTGGATCTACTATTAAAGCTGGCTGGATCACAACCTAGTCTGCCTACAATACAACTCTTCCAGCGTTAAAACACGCAGTAGCTTATTGCTATGTTAATTGGCGTGCCGCACTTGTTGATATCGTGGTATCCTAGATAGGAAGTCACACATAAATCCTTGTGTGTTTCCTCCAGTTTACTACTTTCGTAAATTAACAAAGGCGGGACTCTGCAAATTCGCGAAAGCCTGCACCGAAGAAGATGTGCTGCTACTGCTGATATACCAGACTACTAGTATGTATAACCTGAAGTTGTTTATATAGACATCATATATTCAAATATAGGTCAAATCGAGTGAAGGATACAAGTGGGATATAAAAGTAGAGTAGATTTGTAACTATATTTAGAATCCCAGCTCTGGTCTCTTGATGGAGCCAAACAAGTCATATTATACATAGTGGTGCCTAATAGTTCCTGAACGATATATTTAGGAGATAAAACTTGCGAAAAGATATTAACTTCTTAACAGGACCATCCTTTGGTATTGATCAGCTACTAATCTGGTTGCTCACACGGGCAATATCCAGGACAAAAATTTAAAATCCACTTATTCGGCCAAGATTTTGCATCGCGAAGTAGCTCCCAAATTGCCAATGTGCAGAAACGACCACCAACATAAATTTAACGACTGTATTCCTGCGGACTCCTAAAAGATGAAATTAGGGCACTTCCGCCTACCTTACAGTGAAGGAGGTTTGCCAAAGTTCAAGCGCGTCGAGCTTCAACAGGCGACAGTAAAGAAATCCAAGGTGAGGGAACTGCTAGAGTTCCTATAGGACAGATCATGCGCTCTGTAAATGTGCTCTAGCTAGCTAACCCGCTAGCAAAAGTCATCTTCTCAAACTTGGATTTCTCTGGCTTCTATAAGTTGATCCGTGGAGATACAACTCTCGGTACATGTAGTTGGTTCTTGTCCATCTATAGCCGCCCCACCTCCCATCTCCCACCTTTCTAATGTGGAGGTTACACCCACTCCAGTATGCATTCATTAGCGTCCGCCCGCCGAAGTAAACAGTACATCGTAGTAAGAGATCTAGGGACAAAAAAACCACACAACTCCCAGATTCCTGACAGGGGTGATGAGCGTAACCGGCGTGCCCCCAGCCCAGCAAGAGGCAGGGGAAGCCTCTCCTTGGTGCTGGACGAAATTTCTGTTTTCGGGTTTGTTTCCAATGCCGTATAAAGCCGCATGGCAAATGATAAATGTCGTGAGAAATATACACTCACTAGCTCTTTGATTCAGAGCTGCAAATGGCTGGAGATGCTCGGCCCGAGATTTCCTTGCCTTTCGACTTCTCCTTTTCCTTGATCGACGCTGCGTCGTCTTTATAGAGTCCATGTTCCTCGATCTATGGACTCGTTAGGGCCAAGGAAGTAGGTTAAAGGGAGTGACTAAACATACGTATCGAATAACTGGAGAAGGTATAAGGTATGCCACGCTCATTTCCTAATATCTGAGCATCAGTACGGGTTCAAGATATCAAGCAAGGCCATCTCATATAACCATCTTGTAGTCTAGGAGCGGGCAGTTCTTACTCTTCTCAAGAATAACCTGATCTTCGTACTGCTCACATCATTCGCTATGAGTTGCTGAATCACGTAAATGTTGTCCTTGAACTTCTCAAGACTCGAAATAGCCTCTGCAGTGTCTGTCCCTGAACGCTCGATGCAGAACGCCCCGTAACGGCCCACTATGAAGGGGTCAGTTTTTGACTATTCCAGATTGCATGTAGAGGCAAAATCAATGATTAAAATAGACTGCTTTGTAGCGTATCAAGAGAGTAGGTGGCAGGTGCACCAGGGGTTCTCCGAGAATAAGAAAGTGGAATGTAGTGGAGCTCAAATTCTACTTACGGATGTGCTCTAGATCATTCTCACTCCAAACCTGGTAAAGTCAGCTCTATATCTCTAATAAGGGAGAATATATAAAGCATACCCCGGGAGTACCCATCGTCATTATCAAGTCACTTCCTGTGCACGTGTTAGCACTCAAATTTCTCCATCAAGGTAGCGTTGAAAGTATCGGGCGGAAGTAGTATGTAGCTAGCATGATTTGACGGAGACACGAACCTGCGAGGAGTGCAATCTGTATATGACGGTGTGTGCCATCTGGCATTACCGCACCGCCTAATACCTCATTTATCTCATGCTCAAAGTGATCAAGAACTACCGCCGTGGGCTATTTAGAGAGTCAGAGTGAGCACTTATTCATCTGGATTCCTGCCATGGAATAACTCTCTGGAATACGGACCATGTATTCTGTATGCAACGCTTCCCAGGGATCAACCATTAACCAATTGCTAGTTTCGTCGACTGCTCAAAATAATTAGCCCTCTGATCAGAGGCCGAGAGAGGTATGCGCAGTGAAACACGGTCGCATGGCCTCCAGATAGATTTTAGGATCCAACACAGTGATTGCTGACCTGCTAATTCGCACATCCGAAGTCGATCGCCGGCGGGGGCAAGGCCTTTCTTCTTATATGCATCTCCCACACTGCCCGAGAGTTAGCTTTGCCTATGCTAGAATTCCGTATCCTTACGGTGATATGTATCCCCCCAAAAGCTCGAATTCCGTATTGAACTTGGCAAAGTCGGCAGCCTAAAAGACCCGGTGGTCAGCGTTCGTTTCCAACTATGACTTGAGAGCAACCCAGTAACGCAGCAACGAGGATAAGAGGGGTTGCCTGGAGCCCTTACCATCTCAAACATCCGAAGATGCAAGTGGGTGATGGGAGAGTAGGAGCCCGGTGCCACCAGTATCAGGCCTTGTCTGTCGGGATTGGATTGGGTTAATCGGAGGCGTGAGTGGGGGAACGTGTAAGTTTCCAGCGTCTGCGACGCTACAGAGTGGGCTGGCAGATCCGACGCCATCGAGAGGATATACTCGGGGTTGATTGATCGAGCGGGAGCGATAATGGGATTCCCACGATGCTGCCGCCTGCTGATGTCGTTCGCAGAGGCAAGGAACGAATGTGGGCGACAAGGTGCTCGGACTAAGCGCGAGATGCGCAGAGTGGAATATCGTAGTTTGATAGAGGTAAACGTAGCGGCGAGGAGGGGAGAGAGGAGGAAGAGAGAGGGGGGCGATTGAGATTATGCTTGAAATAGTTTCATTAGCTTGTGTTGTAGTTGTGGTTGCAGGTGTAGGCGTAGGTATAGTTGTAGTTGTAGTTGAGAATACTTCGCATGAGGCAACGCTTTGTAGAGTCACCAAGCCCTCGAGTAGCGATCTGCGGAGGCTAAGGACCTCTTATTGAGGCCAAGCACGACATTCAAAACCAAAACCCCTCCTCGGCCGTGCGCAAACTGGGACTGCGGGGCAAAAGATACATAAAATGCACTACGGAACACTACGACGGACTATGTACCTCTAGGACCAACGGGTCGTCGCTTGGACGGGTCAAGCTTCTTTAAGGATTCTTTCTCTAAATACGTTGTCCCTTGCTCCGTAAATGGTTTTCGGACAAGTGGACCTAAAGCCACTAATAAAGACCCAAGGTCGCTGGAAAGACGCTCTTTCAAAAGTTCAGGATGTCCAACGGCTTTATTATTATGTCGAGATGTGCGCTATTGGTCTAAGTAGGTTGCCGGTGGTGGCAAATTCGTACCACGAAGCATAAAGCCGACAAGTATTACTTGTACTATTAAAATATACAAGATACAGCCACCAAAGCTACATACATCTAGATGCCTTGCGAGATTCGATCAGTTCCCGGCTAGATAGGTCCAGCCTCAGAAGATGCAGGCTCCGGAGGGGATTTTAGGCGTCAAGGACGATTCTCGTGTCGACAGCTACCTCGTAGATGATGGGTTCTATCGTGAATTCACCTCATATTTCCTGGCAATAGTATGCTAGCATGTGAACGGTGTCTCGGAACATTCACTGTAGATTTAGGTCCTTGCGGACGGAAGAAAAAGGCATTCTCGATAGATGTGCGACTCCATCGGCCCCATCCCGAGCACCCATCGGAACCACACCAGACCTAGGTAGAGGCTCTATTTCAAGTTGGTCCCATAGCACAAGCTTTGTTGGAAACTACTAATAATAGCAGGAGGAAATTCATTCGAGACAGTGAAGACGCGCCAGGGAGTTGGGGCGCTTCTGGGGGATTCGTTTTATGCCTACGATAATAACACACCATTGCCGTGGACTTACGGAGCATACCGGCGTCGGAAGACTTGAGTATCATCGATCATTTATTAGTAATTGATAGCTTTAAGTTACGTGTTTTCGCTCTGTTTGTTCTAGATGTATGCGCATTATTAACTACTTAAAGACGCTAAAGCTAAAGCTAATGTAAGTAATGGAATTCTATATTAGACACATTTTACAATTTACTCATAGCTTAGTTCTATAGAATAATTAGTAATATTACAAGTGGCTAAAACCCTTATTTCCAGTAAGCTTATAATTCGGCTCAGAAACACCTTCTCGGTCACACGTCAGTGTTGCAGCTTAGTTAAGGCATATACAAGTTCGTATTCTAGGGGGATTATCATGTAATCGTCTCGAAACCCGCCTTCCGACCATAACTTGAAGGTATTCAGGTGCCGAGAATTACGCCAATTTTTAACGCCCTAACTTAAATATGACGTTGTCAAACTTGTTACCGTGATGTACTTAAAGCAGAGCATTGATTATATTCCTACAGCTATGTAGATACGAATAGCGAATTATTCTGGAGATTGATAGAGCATATTACTTAGGCTTGATTCCGAATCCAGGCCCCAGGCATGAACCCCACGGGAGGTGCCGTGGCGTATGACAGCATCGCTGTGAACCCTGTCGTCTCGTCGCCGTCCTTGATCAGCGACGCAACGACTAACAACACAACATCAACCTCACGACCGCACCCATCTATTTGTTCTCAGGAATCCGGGTACCTTTGTGTTTCGACTACACACGAGGGCGACCGCCATTTTGACTAGTATTGCGGCGCTGGCCGACGCTTTTACGCAAACATGAGGCGCCTCTGGCACTCGGCAGTTGTCGCAGGCTCCCTCGCTGCGACACTGGTATTGGGAGAGGCATACACGCCCAAGCACGAGGCCGGGAGATGCGCAATACGCGGGGGTTGTGGGAAACAAGGCTTTTTTGGGCCCGATCTGCCCTGCCCAGATAATGGACTTGCGCGAGAACCAGAAGATGCTGTGAGAAAGCAGCTGGTGGAGATGTGCGGGCCGAAATGGAGTACTGGCCCAGTATGCTGTGAGGGAGACCAGGTAATTATTAGGTGATCCGTACCGCTGCCTGTACTGATGCTATTTAGCTCAATACGCTCTCCGACAATCTCAAAAAGGCGAATGCCTTCATATCCTCCTGCCCAGCATGCAAGGACAACTTCTACAACATGTTCTGCACCTTCACCTGCTCTCCAGACCAATCTCTCTTTATCAACGTAACACAAGCTGAGAAGAAGAAGGATAAATATATGGTGACTGAGTTGGACCAACTAATTTCTGACGAGTATGGATCCGGCTTCTACGATAGTTGCAAAGACGTTAAGTTCGGACCGACAAACAGCAATTCCATGACCTTTATAGGTGGCGGTGCGAAAAACTACACTGCATTCTTAGCATTTTTGGGGAAAAAGAACCCACCCTTTGGCTCGCCATTTCAAATTAATTTTCCAAGACCGGCGGATTATCCGGAGAGAGGATTGGGTCCGCTAGACATGGCCCCGAAGAGTTGTAATGATGAGGACGAAGCGTTCAGATGCGCCTGTGTTGATTGTTCATCTGTCTGCCCTAAACTTCCTGAGGTTACGGAGGCACATTCATGTCATGTCGGGGTGCTACCGTGTCTTTCCTTCGGAGCCATTCTGACATACGGAGTGTTTCTGACTTTGCTTGCCACGGCAGTTTCGGGTCACACCGCCTGGGCCAAACACGCACGCCGCAAAAGCGAGCGTCTACGACTCCTCCAAGACGCTGCTCCTAGCGATGATGAGGACGAAGAGGACATGATCCATAACAATGCCATGTACGATCGGCCGCAGAAAAGTTATTTCATTAACACTGTCTGCGACAGTGCATTCGGTCGGTTAGGCTACATTGCGGCCAAATTCCCGGCCATCACTATTTCCATCAGCATCCTTTTCGTTGGAATACTTAGCCTGGGATGGCTTCGATTTGAAATCGAGACTAACCCAGCTCGACTTTGGGTTAGCCCAACATCTGCTGCAGCTCAAGAAAAGGCATTCTTCGACAAGAACTTTGGCCCATTTTACCGCACCGAGCAGGTATTCTTAATAAATGATACCAATCCAGAAGGTCCAGGGCCGGTCCTAAGCTATGAAACGCTAAAATGGTGGATTGAAGTCGAAGACCGTGTCAGCAGGTTGACTGGGGAATCAACTGGAGCCTCCTTGGATGATGTTTGCTTCAACCCTACTGGAGATGCATGTGTCGTACAGTCAGTGGCGGCATACTTTGGGAACGACGACAAAAAGGTCAGGCCAGCCACATGGAAAGGGAAACTCCAATCGTGTGTTGACTCTCCTGTCAACTGTCTCCCAAAATTCCACCAACCCATCGATCCTAAACTGGTGCTCGGCGGTAATAAGGACTCCGATGACGCCGCCGACTCTCCGGCCATTATTATAACCTGGGTTCTAAACAACGCTGCAGAAGACTCCGCAGAAGTTGCAAGGGCGATGGACTGGGAGGCGTCCCTAAAATCGATGCTACTTGGATTAGAGACCGAGGCAAAGGATCGTGGCCTGAGGCTATCTTTTAACACGGAGATCAGCTTGGAAGAAGAACTTAACAAGTCTACCAACACAGATGCCAAGATTATCGTGATAAGTTACGTTATCATGTTCTTCTACGCATCTCTAGCGCTTGGTTCCACGACTCTATCTTTACGATCAATGTTTGGACACCCAGCTCGCTTCCTTGTGGAGTCTAAATTTTCCCTGGGAGTCATAGGGATCCTGATTGTGCTCATGTCTATCTCGGCATCTGTCGGGTTATTCTCTTTCGCTGGGATTAAAGTGACCCTGATTATAGCGGAGGTTATCCCTTTCATTGTTCTAGCAGTCGGCGTTGATAACATCTTCCTCATTGTGCACGAGTTTGAACGAGTGAACATCAGCCATCCTGATGATACCGTGGAATACCGTATCGCAAAAGCTCTAGGCCGTATGGGTCCATCCATCCTTCTTTCAGCAACTACGGAAACGATTGCCTTCGCCTTGGGAGCATTCGTGGGTATGCCTGCCGTTAGGAACTTTGCCATCTATGCTGCCGGCGCGGTGTTCATCAATGCATTGTTGCAGGTTACAATGTTTGTGTCAGTCCTAGCTCTCAACCAAAGACGCGTGGAAGACCACCGAGCGGACTGTTTCCCCTGTATCCGACTCAAGAGTGCTGGCATTCAGCTTGGTCAGTCGAACAGGAATGAATATGTTAGATCTTACGAAGGTCACGAAGAAGGTCGCCTCCAGCAGTTCATCAGGAAGTCTTACGCTCCTGCGCTTCTTGGAAAGAAGATGAAAGCAGCGATAGTGGTCATATTTCTGGGGATTTTTGCAGCCGCCGTTTCATTAATGCCAAGAATCGCCCTTGGGTTGGACCAGAGGGTTGCAATCCCAGATGGCTCATACTTGATCCCATATTTCAATGACTTATATGATTACTTTGAGTCAGGGCCTCCGGTCTACTTCGTCACCCGTGAGCTGAACGTTACAGAGCGGATACACCAGCAGCAGCTTTGCTCACGTTTCACCACTTGCCAGCAAGAATCGCTAACCAACGTTCTAGAGCAAGAGCGAAAAAGGCCAGATGTATCATACATTGCTTCGACGCCTGCTAACTGGATCGATGACTACTTCCGCTGGCTAGATCCTCAACTCGAATCCTGTTGTGTGGAGAATGGCAAGCCATGCTTCTCGGAACGTGATCCGGCATGGAATATCACGCTTTCTGGTATGCCGGAGGGTGGGGAGTTTATTCACTATCTCCGGAAGTGGGTGTCGTCGCCCACAGACGAGGATTGCCCCCTTGGAGGACAGGCTTCATACGCCGATGCTCTCGTCATTGATTCGGATCGCGAGACTATTCCTGCGAGTCATTTCCGTTCCAGTCATACACCTCTTCGCAGCCAAGAAGACTTTATTGCAGCCTATGCGTCCGCAAGAAGAATTTCCGACGGGCTGAAAGAGAGTACTGGAATAGAAGTCTTCCCATATAGCGTGTTCTACATTTTCTTCAACCAGTATTCCACAATAGTCCGCTTAACAGCAACCTTACTCGGATCAGCACTGGCCATGATCCTTGTCATCTCATCAATCCTCCTAGGTTCTGTAAAAACAGGCATCATCGTCACAATCACAGTCATCATGATAGTCGTCGACATTATCGGCACCATGGCTGTATTTAACGTCTCCTTGAACGCCGTTTCTCTAGTCAATCTTGTCATCTGCGTCGGCATCGGTGTCGAATTTTGCGCCCACATCGCCCGAGCATTCATGTTCCCCTCCCGCACCGTCATGCAACGGGTAAAGAACAAATTTCGCGGCCGTGACGCCAGAGTTTGGACAGCGCTAGTTAACGTAGGGGGATCCGTCTTCTCCGGCATCACCATCACTAAACTCCTGGGTGTTTTCGTCCTTGCTTTTACCAGGAGTAAGATTTTTGAGATTTATTATTTTAGAATTTGGCTCGCGCTTGTGGTTTTTGCTGCTACACACGCCCTTGTGTTCTTGCCTGTGGTATTGAGTTTATTTGGTGGGGAGGGGTATGTTGATCCTGAGAGCGATGGGGGATTGGAGGAGGATTTAACAAGTCGCCGCAGGGCACTTTTGCTAGATGATGATGATTCGGATTATGATTATTAGGTGTTTTGGTTTTTGGCCTAGCATAAGTTATCTGTGGCAGGTCCCTGTATATAAATAGGTAGGTGTCGGTGCATGGTTATTTTTTGAGGGGGTGCTACGTATACGAGGATTATATACTTTATAAAATCATAAATCTTTCTTGTTTATTCTAATGTTTCGGCGGGACAAGAGGCGAGTGCGTTGAACATAAAGCCTTGGGGACATTGACATTGGAGCGTAGTGGTTAGTTCATTATTGGAAGCCTGCAATCGAGGCTTCACCGTATGAGCAACCGTATCAGTTTACCTCAGGCACCATGAATTTGCGCGCATGTTTAGTTCAAACAAGATGTTTGTATAGTAACAGAGTTTATGTACAGATAAACGATCATCGAATCTATTTTTTGGGTTCTTCCTTCTTTTCTTCTGGTTTCGGCGTTGGCAACTTGAACGTATCTGGCTTTCTGTCGACACCAGGTCCAACTTGCTGCAAGATATTAGTCTCCATTCAGTGTAAAAAAATATAATAAGGAATACATACCTCCCACGCCGCGCTTCCACCCTCGAAGTTCCGGAACGCCTGAGTCAGCTCCAATGGCTCGACAACAATCCGCTTCTTCTCTTCGTCATACCGAAGCTCCGTATATCCCGTCAGAGGGAAATCTTTCCGCAATGGATGGCCATCGAAACCGTAATCGGTCATGATACGTCGCAGATCTGGGTGGTCGACGAAAAAGACGCCAAAGAGATCATAGACCTCTCGCTCGAACCAATTCGCGCCGTCATACAGACTTGTGATGCTAGGCACTGGGGATGCTTCGTCTGCGTATGTCTTGACGCGGATTCGGGAGTTATGGCGGACGCTCAGCATGTTATACACGACCTCGAATCGCTGGTCTCGGGTAGGGAAGTCGACCGCAGTGATGTCAGAGACTTGCGTAAACTCGGCAGAGGTATTATCTATCAATTATCAGCACTCTGCGCAATCGAATATCTGGAAGTCTCGAGAACTCACATTTAAGGAATGAAAACACCGGAATCACGCCAGATGGAGGGATGTAGATAACCAGCTCGTCCTTCCACACAGAGAACTGCTGGATGTATTTTGGCAAACAGCCCATGAGCCACTGTCCGTATTTGTGCAAGTCGTCAGCCTTCGCCGCATACTTGTCGGCGGGATTGACGAGCTTCGCATGAATTCCTGCTGGAGGGTCTGGTGTTCGCGGAAATGCTCGCGTTCTTGGCTGGTCTGGAGAGACATAAACCTCTCGGGCACTGCGGGTCGAGGTGAAGCACCGCACATTCGCCTCATTGCGACGGACGAGGGTATTCCTGCTGGAGCTCAATGCCGAGGCCAGCACCCGGCGATTCGAAACCCTCATGGCCATGGTTGGGGGGTCTGCTGTTGTGGTGCCAATTGCAATTGCAGTGAGCAGACGCGCAAATGCAGTGCTCTCTTGCTCCTTGACTGAGGTTGAAGTCCAAAGCAAGCTCGCCTCTGACTTGCAAATGCTGAATCATCATTGGCTCATTGACTCGCCGGACTCGCTGAGGTGTAGAGTGGCTGCGCTAGCCACAACGGGTTAGCTGCAAAGTGCCATTTCGAATCGCCAGAAGTTGACTTCCCTCGCCCAACATCTCGAACACCATCATCCTTTCATTGCACTTTCACGTCAACGCCTTTTCCTTCTCAAGATACCCACGCAGTGCTTGCTCAAGGTCCACGGGTTGCCTATTCAACCGCCAGCTTTCTTAATACCGATACTTAATATAACCCCACGACTTCTCCCCCGGACGCGCCCAAGACAGAGTTCTCACGCGCCGCCTCCCCGTTTCCATCGCTCCGATCTTGACGCCCCCAGAGCGCTTAGCACTCGCCACAACCTCCACTATGGCTCCTCAAGATAGCTTCATCGACGAAGATGATGACTCCTGGTATGCCCTCTCTGTCTCTGGATGGTGGAAGCCGACCCCCGAAGCTCGGTTTGGACGCTTTGCTGACCTCAAGTGCGATTAGCCCCCTTTGCGTCGAAGAGTTCGATCTTTCCGACAAGAACTTTCGGCCATGTCCTTGCGGATACCAGGTAAGCTTTTCAGTCCTCCGGCGCCTTGCTCCCTCCCCCCCCGCTGGGAATAGCCGCTGATACTTGCCCATGTCACAGGTGTGCCAGTTCTGTTTCAACAACATCAAGAATAACATGAACGGTCTATGCCCCGCCTGTCGAAGACCTTATGATGAGAAGACCATAGAGTGGAAAGTTGTCACACCTGAGGAGTAAGTGCCCTTTATCTAGAACCCCGTTCTCCCGCTTACCCCTCGAGTAGAATTGCACAGTTCAAAGCCAACATCCAAAAGAACGCCAAGAAGAAGGCAGAACAACGGCAGAAGGAGGCACAAAAGCGGGAGGTCGAGAGTCTTAACCGAAAGCACTTATCGGGTCTTCGCGTTGTACAGAAAAACTTGGTTTACGTTGTTGGCCTCAGCCCTGCCATACGAGACGATGAGATACTGCAAACACTCCGAGGGGACAAATATTTCGGCCAATATGGTAAAATCATTAAGATCGTCGTCAGCAAATCCAAACAGGGCGATCCGACACAAAGTTCACAAGGACTCGGGGTCTACGTTACTTTTGCTCGAAAGGATGACGCTGCGAGGTGTATCGCAGCGGTCAACGGCTCTCAGAACGGTGATCGGATTCTACGAGCACAATTAGGAACCACGAAATACTGCTCCGCCTATCTTCGGAATGAAACATGTACCAATAAGCAATGCATGTTTCTCCATGAACCCGGCGACAACGATGACAGCTACTCGCGGCAAGATTTATCGTCCATCAACAGCGTTAATACTCAACGTCCCCTACCAGCCATGGCATCTTCCTCCCGACAAGCTGCTACAGTGGCGGCCCCTCTCCAACAGGTACAACCAGTTACCGCTGCTGCGCAGTCCATGAACCGCGAATCGAGTAAGGACGGCTCAGACAGTGGCGATGGTTCGGCGCTGCCCTCTTCTGCAAGCTGGGCGAACAGGGGCATCCAACAACGTAGCCGGAGAGGGAGCCATGCAACAAGTGGTGCTGCATCAAGTCCTGCTGTATCGCACGCAATGCCTGCTACTGTAGAGGTTGCCGAGGAATCAGCAGTCCTCGATCAGGAACCTGAATCTGAAATCCAAGACCCCGCTTCAAGCTCGGATGTCGCAGCATCAAATGAATCGCCACGCCCGCAAAGAAACCTGATTCTAGTGGACCTCTTGAAGTCGATCAACTCGCCATCTCTATCATTCCCGCTTCGAAATACAACAGAGGACAGCCCCCTGTCATCGACGTTTCCGCCACTATTCGACGACCATGGTGGTGAGAAACGAAGAGCTAGAAAGCATCAAGAGGAAGAAGCCAGACTTCATATTGACCAGGAATCACAAAATGAATTGCGGTCTGTCGCGGAACCCGCAGAAGAAGAGGAACCGGAAAGTGGTAGTTTGCAACTTGGAGGCGAGCCGGAGGATAGAGACGGTGGCCGTGAGGTCCCTCAAGGATTCCAGCGACGACCAAGCGCGCAACTCCCAATCCAGCGGACAAATAACGGACCAGTGGGCCCTGGTGTTGGAAATTTCCCTCGCAACTTGAACAATCTGACCTCCATAAATGGTCGCACGTTGACGCCTCAACAGCAACAACAGCTACTTTTGCTAAACTCGAGTCAACCTCAGTCTAGCTTTATGGACCAGTTCACACCTGGGTTAGGGAGTCAATTGAGTCAGAGCTCAGGACTCTTTCAGCAACAAGGTCATAACAGGCAGTCTTCGCGTTACAGCTTCGCCAATGAGGGTGCGTCGGGATCATCCATCAAACCATCAGCGAATCCAAAATTGATGGCGCAGCAAGCCTCGATGATGCCGTCCACAAGCCACGCCCAAACTGGGAACCAGTTCTATGGATCTTCAATTCAAGGACCACCTCCGGGTCTCAAGTCAACAGGCACACCGCCTATTGGAGGTGGGATGTTCGGTCAAAATCATGCATTCGGTGGTTCAATGGGGGGTGGTCCGGGCTTTGGTGGTATCGCGAAGGACAGCAACAGCGAGATGTTGCGGGATATGCTTCGAAGTCGTGGAACCGCAGGTGGCGGGCAGTCACATGATACAGGCAAGCGTGAGTTTATGTTTCCTTCTTTTCTTCAGCAGTACCCATCTGCCTCCTCCACTCCAGCTCCTGCTTCCGGCCTCCTGGCATCGCTCTATGGTCCCCAGACTGGAGCATTCCATGACTTCGGTCAAAAGCAGAAGAAGAAGGGAAAGAAGCACAGACATGCTAACACTTCCTCCTCTGGGGGAGGTGGTTTAGTCGATCTTGCGGACCCAAGTATCTTGCAAGCAAGAATGCAGCACCAGCAACAGAGCAATGCCGGAGTCGGACAGGGACTATTTGGTAGCCAGGCTCAAGGTGGGTACAACCCTAGCATGATGTATGGCGGGGGGTTTACTCGGTGGTAGACATGTATGAAGGGCGTGTTTGAGGCTTTGCGATTGTATATACTGTTTTTCATTTGGGAGTAGTGTTGTCAGTTACACTACCAAGGCGTTGCATCGTGCCTGGTCAACATATTCGTTTTAGCGAGCATATGAGCTCCAAGATGGAAGCTTAGGATGCATTGGCGTCAATTTGCGTTTGGAAAATGAGGGGATCTCATTGAATTGCTTTTGTTTTCGTTCGCGTCATTTCTAGGAGCATTAACGCACGGGGGGCAAGGCAGAGGTCGCTTCAAGAACTCCATCATCGTCTTCGTCAGGACCGCTTCCATGTACGTTAAAGTCCCCGACCCTAAGCCAACAACATGGCTGGTCAATATAGCATTCTTACAAATTTTGTATTACACAGTAGCCTCCTCTAAGTTCGAAGACGATGATGGACTTTTGAAGTGATCCTTGTAGCTGTACCAGCGGATGTCCGTGGCGGCGGAGTTATTTTTCCTTGTTGCCTTTATTTGATCATCTTCACATACTTTGCCTGGACAGATGCTGATATATCTCATGTCCAGATGACCAAGGTCTTCCCTCTCTTGACGAGGCAACTTTATCTGTGGATGCCCTAGTGGCTGACAGTACCACCGATGACTTTGGGCCGCATATCCTAGCCAGCTATGATGCTGTTGGATCACGGTCGTCGACGCCATCCGTCCCTCCAGGTTTTGATACTCCACATGCACACCCTCCACCGCCAACTCAACAAGAAGCACTAGGCAAGCTAGCATCAAAAATTGTTCCTACCTCGGCGCCGTTTACACCATCGCGTACTTCTTCGTTCATTCCAAGAACTGCCACTCCTCTTTCCAACGTATCACTCCCAGAAGGTGCGCCTAGTGAGAACACCGCTCTAGCGATATCAGCATCCGCTTCCCAAGCCAAACAAGACGTGAAAGCTCTGGCAACGGACACAGGTCTTTCAAAGACCATTGTCTCGCAGTCGACTCAAGCTCTTCAATCAGAAGACTTTCCTGCTTTAGATAGTGCCGGCGCTAAACTCAAGGCCCCTGCTACACCTACTTCAAGCAAATCTCAACCTGTTAAGCCGGCTACCACAGTCACAAGTAAGAATACGACAACGACAACCCTGCCTGGTAATATGTCAGCGCCGCCATCCGGTCCTAAAGGTGACAAGCGTCCTATGCCTGGGATTTTAAATATCTCAGTGCCTACAAAGACTGTCGCTAAGGCTACTATTGCACCTGATACACCTACCAAGACTTCTGTCAGCTCATCGGCATTCCCTCCATTACCGCCGAGCACTCCATCGGCCACGTCTGTTCAGTCCACACTATCAAGAAACGTGCCAAAGACATTAAGACTAGTTCCGGTTAAACCAGAGGCAGCAGCGGGTGGAAGCGGAACTCCTTCGTCAGTCACATCTACTTTCCCACCTGGTTTGTTACCCTCTCGACAACCTAGCCTTGCCTCTGTGTCTAGACAAGAGCGCCCCGGTACGCCAACCAGCGAGGCTGTTTCCGATAACGCTTCAATCACAACAGCGTCATTGTCGAGAGCAAACTCCCCACCACCAAACAAGATTGGCTCTGCACCAGTTAGGATGACGACAAAGAGTAAGCAGAAGAAGCAGCGACGAGAAGCTCAAAAGGAGAAGGAGAAGGAATTTGACGCCGCGGTCGCTGCTACAAAAGTCGAGCCGGAAGTTGAGATTGCACCAATCATGGGCCGAAAGAAGAAGCAAAAGAAGGAGCGGAGTATCCACAGCGCGGCTGGAGGTTCAACGCCCGTTGCCAGTCGCCCAGCTTCGCCCAGCCCTCCTATTCCCGAAAAGCACAAGCAGACGATAGAGCCCGAGGTCGAACTGAACAAGCCTGCTGCCAAAGCGAAAGGCAAAGGCAAAGAGAGTGGCAAGGCAAAAGCTAAAACCGAGACCGAGCCTCAACCTGCACAACCCGAGAAGGAGGAAGTTGCCGCTCCCAAACCCCCATCCCTTCCCATGCCCGCAGCGGTCTACGAACAGCTCAACATCGATAGTGAACTTCCAGATCCAAGTCAACTCGCCTTCTTTAAGAACCTGTCAACTCCTACGCGCACCCCGAATCCCAACTTTGAAACGGAGATGCCAAGCATGATGCACAAGCTAACAATTACCTCCGAAGACCGCGAATCGCTACTTGCAGGTCTACCAGTCCGCAAAAACAAAGGCTTGTGGTACCGTATAATGCTCACACCTAATGGCGACTATGTCCGCTACCTGAGCCCAGAGGAGGAAGAGAGATATCTACAACTCCAAGAGAAAGTTTCACAGCAGACTAGCCCAACCGCGTTTGTCTCCACCAAACACCATGCTAACAACGGATTTACTCTGATCGGAGGACGCGCTGTACCCAATGGCCCGCCATCTTACTTCCCACCTCCCAAGGGCAGTACTGCGCCTCTTGATCCAGTGAGCAAGCTACAACGCGACGAAGCACTAAGCTACATCAATCAATACGTCCTTCCCTCACTCTCTACAAACTCCCAGCTCGAAAAGGCACTTAACGCCAATGCCCTAGATGCCGAAATGTTCCGCTCTACCGATCATCTTAACTTCTCATGGGGCAACGATCCTCACGCAAGCGATAACTCCTCCGGGCTGCCACCACAGGAAGGTATTCTAGCCGCTACGGGTCTGGAAGGCATGGCATCGAATTTCGCGGGTGATGATGGGGGTCGGCCGTTAGGGAATGTGAGCTTACTAAGTTTGAGCGATGCAGAGAGTGCGATGCAGACTGCAAGAAAGGAATCAGACTCCGTGGAGAAGAAGCTGCTGGCCGTTATGAAGAGGAACCGAAGGCTGGTGCTCGGGAGTTCTGGAATCTAAGGATAATAATGGGGGTGGAATTGATCGTTGGGTTAGTCTGCAGACAATTTTGTATTATAACACTATTAGGTTACTCATGTATATGGTACACTTTAGTGAAGTGAGGGTTTCGGTATTGAGTTTGGCCTCCTACCTAGTGTATGTGCATTGCAGCGGAGGTTCCTGCCCTCTACGAAGGCCGTGGAGCTGTTGGTGGGAAGGTGCAATAAACAGACCTTTGGTTTATAACGCCCGCCCCTCTCTCCTCTCTTCTTCTCTCCTCACGCCAATTCTCAGTTTGCGAGATATTGTTATATCGACATATTTACTAGTATTTCTACGAATACAGCGCTCATTTCTACTCCACTGAGATGCGGGGTTTCAATATTTTCCGCTCCTACCGGACCATCAGTCGCTCCCAGAAACTGCGTGACCGCGTCCAGTTCCACATCTTGACAATCGGATCCCTAGGCGGGGCGTACGTCTTCTTCGAAGACAACGGCCCCCGCCTAGCCGAAAGATGTAGAGCTGCCAAGCGCAGGTTCTGGGACTGATGGGAAAGTAGCTGGAATGCGGAACGGCAAGCCTTGAGCGTCGAGCACACCGTGGTGAGTACAGAGTGCATCCTTTCCAGCTTGAAATACCAGTTGCTAACTTGTCTACCAGCTCCGCTCTTCAAGGGCACAACCACCTCATAGCCGACCGCCCTCGGCACGTCGAGCTTCTTTTCGAGTCCTCTCTCCCCTTCGCTGCTATGCAGACATACGTTAAGTAACCACCTCGTCGGTCGACAACCCTCCAAGCTCAACGCCTTTAAGGGCACAACCACCTCATCGGTTGCTTAGGCCATTAAGAGCACAACCACCTCATCGCTCGCTTAGTCTATCAAGAGTACAGCTCGTCGGTCGGCAAACTCTCCAAGCTCAACGCCTTTAAAAGTACAACCACCTCATCGGTTACTTAAACTATTAAGAGTACAACTACCTCACCGCTCGCTTAGTCTATTAAGAGTACAGCTCGTCGGTCGGCAAACTCCTCGAGATTAAAAGTATACAGCTGCCTCATCTGTTGCTCGGCACTTCTCACTCAATCAGTCAAGAACACAACCACATATGTTTGTCTCTTCGCCCACAAGTTGTAAATCTCAAAACGTAAGCTAGCTACTTGATTCTTCTACTCTCCTTCTCCTTGATTTAGTTACTAATTGCCGCCAGGAGCATCTGAGCTTGAATATGGCCTTTCTACACGAGCTTGTCGAGCTGACCACCTATTGGTGCATCAACCGTTGTCGTACTAGCACAAGGTTGCCACAGGGATACCACAATTACAGCACCCGATCGAACTCTCACAACAAGCACCAACTGCCATGAATGGGCTTTCTTTATCGCTAAGCTCTTCCATTGCCCTCTTAGCATATGTTCGTCGGCCCACGTAAGCAAAGGTTCTTGGGAAACTCAATTTAGAGCTGGAAAATGTTGAGAAGATGGGATGCGGGGGAGGAAGATTGGTGCTGGTAGCGCATATTTACAGAGAGAAAGTTGTTTATTGGGGAATCACGAATACAAAAGGGCAGAGGACTATTTTTGGATATTAGGTTGCATTTAGTTTTACAATTCAGCGAATTGGGCAATTACAAACACAATCTGTGCAAGTACCTCCCACGTTCCAAGTTCTAAGAATTGGATTCGTGGAGCATCCAAGTTGGTTGTCCTTAGTTCGAAGCGCCCAAGCACAAGATCTCGACTTCGAGATATCACAGCGTTAGCAATATGGGGCATCCTCTCCGCTCTACTATAGATCAGCCTTAGATTTTGCTATTATTATCCAAAATAGTTTGGGTTTTAGTATAAAGTTTCAGCTTGTTCTACGTTCTACTAGGCCTAATTTATATCCTTCAAGCCAAACTAGTGCGGATTATAGTATAAATAAGGCACATATGCTATTTCGTATCTAAGAATTATCTAACTTCACAGGAGCAAAAGGGAAGGCGCAAAAACAAGTCGACCCCCAACTACAGTATTGTGGTGGGGCGACTCTATATTCCTTCATTTATATTAGATAGATACGTGGATAGGTGGGACCAATTGGGCATATACGCTCCTAGATCTCACTCTCCCCTTTGCGTGCTAGACCAGAGAGAAGCTAGCTAGTTAAGACAGAATACGAATACAACTAAGCTTGCCATACTTATATCATATTAATTACTCGATCTTGTGACTATTAGTCGTCCTAAACACCACTGCCTGAGTGCAATCTGAATATCCACCTGCCCTGAGAACACCAAACCAGTATCTACATGACCACCTTGACGATATTCCCACACCGCGGCCATCGCTGAATTGATCTCCATACCTTGGCTGCGGTCTTTTAGTTAGTTTTTTTCCTCCTAGTATTTCTAAGGATCCTACCTGATCTTCGACACTATGTGGATTATATCTGCTGTCTCAAATCTCTGTGATCTCAATAACCCATACTAGAACAATTGAAATCAACCTGAAGTAACAGTTCGGTGACGGCCACAGCTATTTTTAGACAGACTTTAGAGAAAGTTCAATGCCCGGTCCCTTCAAGATCGACCTCCCCATTTGCATCGACACGTTGGCGGTGACGAACTCCTAGAAGATAAAAGAAGCGAGCAAGAAATAGGAGGCTAGACGACGAGCTCGAACTACCGTCTTTCTCACTATAGTCGTACGTGGAAGAGTTTGACGGTTGCTTTCTTTGATCCTCTTTAGAGTATACCTTTTTATTGTTGTATATTTTATTGTTGTATACTCCGCGGGCTTGAATACCTAGGTACGGTACTTTCGTAAGAATTAATCTTGTAGATAGTAAGGGAGGGAATGTTGGTGGAGCGAAGTGGCGACGGGGAAAGCAGCGGATAGAAGACGCCGTCCAGCATTTGACGAGGGAGGATCGTAGCATAGTTGGTCGCAAGCTGCTAGCAGATTTGTTTTGATGAAGGATGAATGGTGGGTAACAGATAATAGATAAGGGACGAGGGATGATTGTTATAGAGAAGCGTGACGCAACAATGACGTGTAGTAGCCCGCCGAAGTACGAGAGCGCGCCTCTCTTAAAGGTCGCAGCTACGAAGAATTATGATTCCTATTCCGAGACGAAATATATAAAGATGAAAGAGTTGGATAACAAAGATAACCCCCAATTTACATCTACGTTTTACGCGTGAACAGGGCCGTTCAGGAGTTTTCAGGGTTCAGGGCTCAGGACTCAGGGTGCATGACACTAGGTCTTTAGCAAGCCACACGTGAATCTGGGGAAGGGGCCTTACCTTTTTTTACTTAAAGTACCTAGGTACCTACCTTACTAGAGCAACCGGGATAGATTCTACCGTGTAGTGTAGAGATGTAAACAGTACAGTCTAGAGCCCTATAATTGGGGTATACTATTTGTACACCCCTGCCCTATACCCCATAGGGCAGAAAACTAATATTCCGGATTATGGTTGGCTGGGAGTAGACGGGTATCTGAGTATCGAAGAGTTCAATTCGACTAGCAAAATATTAAATTAACTCCGGGTTGTGTTAAAGTAGTGTTGATTGATGGAGTCATGTTAACGCAGTGACCCTCAGCATCAAAGCGTAAATATCTAAACTTACCTACCTACTATCACTCTCCCTTGCTTTACTCCAAGCAAAGGCATAGAAATGCCACGGCGAAGAAAAATACCCGCTTAACTCAACGGCTCTCGACACCACTTCACAGAAAATCTAGGAATTTACCGTAACTTTGTTACAAGCTTTAGACTCAATATTAAGTATGGGGTCAAGATCAGTTCCTCGTAAGATTTAGGTAAGGTGCGCTTTCCATATTCCAATTCAAGCATTGACGAGAGTTTGGAGGCAACACGTATGAGTATTATGCGGTATCGGTTCGTTGGCAAACAGATTCTCCTAGTAAACTATTTCTCATACCATCGCCTCGACTATATCGCAACCCTTCTCATTTTTTGGCCTTGCACTGTTTATGTTTCTCAAAGCGAGCTTGTTTGGTACATATACTCTTTGGGTAGGTGAAGCACCTGCGCGTATATACAAAAAATGCAAGTACTTCATATTTAAACAGCAATCCCTCTCTTACTCCACCCACCCCTCCCTTTCCACGCCCAAACCCAAAGTGCACAACCAATCCAAACCGAAACAGCCATAGCCCAAAAGCTCCCCGCGTAGCACGACTTCCCATAACAGAGGATATCCTCCTCCCTCTCCTCACTATATGGCCTGTGCTTCGCAGCCCACTGATACACATGCGAGTACACGAGTCCCCAAACCGTAGCCCCAAAAGCGGGAAACATAGCCACAATGCCCCAATTGGTGCCAAAATTCTCCACGCCCCAGACGACAGTTATGATGAGAGGTGTTAGGCTAAAAATAGCGCCGTAGCCGATGCCAATTAGGGAGGAGACGAGCCAGAATCGCTCAGCGTGGTTTTGGACAGCACCTGACGCTAGGACTACTTGGCCGAGGGAAAGGAGGAGTCCTGTTAGGACTAGGAAGGCCACTCGTGAGATTGTGAAGCGCCGAGGGGTTGTTGGCAAGGAGGAGAGCGAGTTGCTTATGGAGCCGTAGTGTTGGCCAACTGAGGCTGGGGCGAAGACGTCGGTTAAGGTGCCGAATATGATTCGTGCTACGGTGGATGTTATGGCGACTATGGATACATGTGTAGCTGCCGACGTTGGTATGGCTGTAGTACCAGATGGTGGTGGATACAGGGTACCGATTATGGTGCCCAAGTTTGTGAGGAATGTTTCGCCGGGACCTATACAAGAATTAGCTTGAGAAGAATAGGGATATCATTGGCAACGAACCAGAAACGAAGAAGAAACCCGCCGCAAAATACCACATCGTGCGATCTTTTAGGAACATGCGGGTCTCTTCATTAAGCAACCATGTCTTCTTCCTTGCCTCTTCATCTTCGATAGCTTTCGCGTCCAATATCCTCCGAGCTTCCGTAGCATCGTCATCACAAGAATCTTCAATAGAGCCATAATTCCTTTCCGCTGTTCTTCGAAAGAACTCACTATCCTCCAAAAGGCCACTCCTCTCCAACTCATCGACAGCCTCATCAATAAGCTCATCCTCATCCACAATCTTCAGCAAAAATGTTCCCAGCAACCCCACTGCCACCAGCGCTACTGCCAGAAACACGAAGTACTTGAAAACATCCACATCGCCTCTCTTCCCATCTAATCTACGTTCATATAATACCCGACTCCCAAGCTGGCTCTGCCATACACCACTTAGCCCAAACGCCGCAATCGGACAAGCCAGCGCCAGGCCTCTATACTTCCCCTTCCCGAAATTCTTCGCGCATGTGGTGACGGCGCTGAGATACATACAGGTTGTTCCTAGCCCAATAATAACAAATGCAACGACCATCACCCATAACGGCCAGCCCCTCTCCTGTGTATAGCCCATCACATCCTTCGCCCCACTTCTATATGTAAACGCAGCAAGCAGATACCCAATTCCAAATAAGACTGATGACATGAGCGATAACGGCGCTGGGCCTATACGATCACACAAATACCCCAGTAAGGAGACCGGCAGATAAAGTGCCATTTCTGCGGCAATGATCACGATGTTGACTTGTACTTGTGTGTACCGTAGTCGCTCTTGGAAGAGGTGCCCGTAGAGCGAGTAGGTCGTTATGGAACCCGCACACAAGCAGGAGATGATTGCGGAGGAGAAGGCGACATAGCGTTGTATTTCGCGCTGCTTGGATGAGGATTTGTGATTTTGTGCTAGGGAGGAGAGGGATGTTGAGGAGTTGGAGGAGCGTAGGGACGATGTATCATGGCGGGCGAGGAGGGGTGTTTGGGAGGAAGGCATGATTTGATTTGGTTGCGCTGTCGCCGTTTCTGAGATAGCACGGCCCGTATATGGGTTATTGCGGCATGAATATGGTGGCGTATATGGATATGTAAGTATATTACAATCCAGGTAGTGTTGTTGTTGTTGTGGTTGTTGTATGAGAGCTGGAGCTGGAGCTTCCTCGTCGTAGCACGACATCCCGGAAACCGCTGACGCACCGACTGCGGTAAGGCAACAAGGGTAGTTTATCCTTGTCGCTAGTATTGCGACAACTCGAGATTATTTTATATGGTTTAAATTGCAGATATAGCTGCTAATAATATACTATATCAATAGTTTTACTAAGTTCAATAACTAAGAGAGATTTGGTTTTATAAATTCATAACTTTATCCTAAGTGTTGTGACAAAGAGTATACTGTTTACCCTGACTAGATAGCTACTCGAGTAACAGATAACTTGCCTCGGCTTACCACATAGGGGGCGCCTCTGCAACACAGCAAACTCGACTGCATTATCAATCCATAACAGTGCTTTCAAATTTAGAATATTACAAACGATATACACAAATTAACTGAAAGGTACGGAGTGTGACTTATAAGGGACTTGGACCCTCAGAAGTACAAACCTATGTACAATCGGTTCCTTGAACTGTTCGTCACGTGACAAAAACACTTATATTAATTCAATTACTCATAACTCTATAACTACCCTATTATATACAACTTAAAATAGACCAAATTAAAACTATTCTTTAGTACTTAATAGATCCGCCCTTGTTTTTAATTACTATATTGAGCCTACCTGGCATAGACGCATTCAACTTCAAGAGTACTTCCTTAGAAATCAGTGGCCAGGCCTTTGCCAAAGCAGCTTCTATATCACTAATATTCTTGACTCTATACTTTCCCTTACCCAAGATATCCTTAATCTGTTTCCAGAGATTCTCAATTGGGCTTAGATCCGGCGATTGAGGAGGCCAAAAAAGCACCTTGACTCGACTAGCTTTGAGAAGTGCCTGCACAGTCTTTGCCTTGTGCCAAGGGGCATTATCCTGTTGGATAACTACACTAGGGCCGTATTTTCTCCTCATCCTCCTATAGAAAGGGATAAAGTGTTCTTTGAGAACTCCCCTATAACGCTCCGCGGTCATTCGTTCCCCTTTAGGAACAATAACCAAAGGGCCCATCTCGTCCCCACAAAAGCAAGACCAAACTCCAACACCTATTCGCCCACTTTTAAAGGTAGGCTTCAAGTTTTTATCTTCCCACTCCTCTCCAGGTCCCCGAGTAACGTAAGTTGTACTCCCGTCTTCTCCAATGAAAAATGTGACCTCATCTGACCAACAGACAGTATTATAGTCTCTTTTGACCTTTTTTTCACTCCTAGCCCAATCTACTCTCTTGATTTTGTTTGCAGGCCGGAGCCAGGGCTTCTTTCGAGGTTTTCGCTTTGCTTTTCCATACTTTTTGAGGGTTTGTCGGACAGTATTTCGACTAATTTGAATGCCAGATTTGGAAGGCGAACAGAGAGCAAAAAGAGTCTCTGTAGGAGCTTTAATTATATGTCGAAGGAGAGCTCTTTCGGCCCGCGGAGCTAGTACAGGCTTACGCCCTGACCGAGGCTTGTTTTGGAAGGTTGGTTTAGGCTGTAGCTTATAACGGTCGATAACTGAAGCAATTGTAGAGCGAGGCCTATCAAAGTGGGCTGAAATCGAAGCTATTGACTGCCCACACTGCCAGCGATCAAAGATTTGACCCCTTTCGACCGGCGTAAGCTCTGTTCGAGTTGTTTTTCGAATACGACCCATTTTTAGTATAATAAGTGGTCCTATGATAATAGGCAAAAGAGAAATAGTGGGGATAGTGGGGAAGGGAGCCCTAAGGATTAGCCGAAAATCAGGTATCACGTGACGAACAGTTCAAGGAACCGATTGTACCTAACCCTTTCCACTTACTCGGCATTGAAGCCATTTCCGCTTCCATGTCACAGTTAAAGGCTTCGCATGTATTCATCCCGTCACATTTGCATTCTAGATGTTATTATAAAGTATTACACATGACAGGGACATCAAAGCTTAATTACATTTGCATCAGATCTTTTCATGCACCACAAACACCTAGCTTCCCCACCACTGCGTGTACAAGTATATCTATCAATTGAACACGCTAAACAAAAAGGAGAAGAACTAAAAGGTTGAACGGAAAACCTAGGCTCTATGATCCAACAGCTCCCAAGCCAGGTGACTTGAAGTCTGGCTTAGCGGGCCAGTTTCCAATACCTGCTGCGTCCGCGATGTTTCCACCAATACGGACCCACTCGGAGTTACTAGGTGTAGGTCCGTCGAGAACGAAGATCATATACCATCCTGGGGGAGCGACATGGGCAGTTGGTGGAGTAGTGATCGTGCAGGTGGCGGCGTTGGCGGCACCAACACATCCGACATTGAGGAACAGAGTTCGTTGACCCATGGAGTTACCGTGTGTGGAGGAAACGGCAGCCATCATAGAGATGCGGACGCTGCCAAGGTTTCCTGAGGGAATATTTGCGGTGATTTTGGCAGTGGATCCGTATGCCCAGTCCTTGTTGGCTGTGGTGATCGTGTAGGATGGCTTGGGAAGGCCATTGAGCGAATACGGAGGATTGAAGACTTCGACGCGATATTCTTCTGGGTGAGTACCATCCTCGGGGTTGGAGCCTGACACAAGGACACGGCCATCTGGGAGCAGAATAGCTTCGGAGTGGTAAAGACGTGCGACGATGGTAGTGTGCATGATGGACATACGAGAGTTGACCGGTTGGGACGGATCGTAGAGGACGGCGTTGTAGTTAGGATCTTGTGCAAGGCCGAATCCAGCAACACCTTCTTGGGCACCATTGAGGATCAGGAAGGTTCCATCAGGAAGAGCGCAGATGCAGGGCATGACACGTTGAGAAGGCATGCGCTCTATAGTCCATTCTGGAGCTGCAACTTCAGGTTGCGCAGAAACACAGTTATCAACGGCATAAGCTGCGCCGTTGGCAGATCCACCACATACCAAGACAGTGACTGGATCAGTGAAGGGCGCGTGGAGTGGAAGCATGACTCCGGTACCCTCAAGAGGATATGTTCGGCCAGAAAGGAAATTGTTGACGGACCCTGGAAGGTTGGGGAGGACCTTGATAGTGTCGAATGTAACTTCATCGATAATCCGTGCCTCGTTATAGTAAACGACAAAGATACCGCCTGTTGGGAGTACATACATGAATGGATAGAGGTTGTTGGGATCAGTGCGATCAAGCCAGTCAAGATACTTTTCATATCCTCCAGCGGGCAGTGGAAGAATCTCGAGAGAAGGCGTGGGAGCCGAGTTGGAACCAACTTCACCACCCATGACAAGAATAGAGGCGTTGGCCATAACCATAGCGGATGGATACCAGCGTCCAGCAAGCAAGCTGATCTCCGCGTTGTTTTCCTGCCAATCGTTGACTCCCGGGACACCTGGTGATCCATCAGGCCAGTAGAGACGGACCCCGAAAGTAGATTGACCAGCCCATCCACCGATGTTGAGTTGTCTTCCAGCCTTATCGGGGAGAGTAACTCCCGCAGAACAGAAGATGTCACTTTTGACGTGCAGCGGTCTCCACGCTTTGGACATGTCGTTGATGAAAGTAAGATCAAGCTCATATGTCCCGGTAGTGTTTGGCGCTCCAGTACCCGACTTTTCCATGAAGACAACCTTGTTATTAATTCCAGTTGTGGTGATTAGAGGTATAACGACACCGCCAATGAGGAATTCATACTTGCCAGCGGCGGGACCAGTTGGCTTGTGCCAGGTGTAGAGTGGAGTCCCAGTCCATTTGTAATAGGAAAGTCTGCTTCCGCCACCACAGTAGAAGTTCTTGTCACCGGAACATGAGACTTGGCAGTCGGTTTCGGGTTGCTTTGTTGATCCAGAAGCAATGAGCTTTTCATCATCACCACAGAAACACTCGTCGCCGTACTCCATTCCACCAGCCATGAAGCCATATTCAGCGCAAAGATCGAGACAGGATGTGGCAGTGTTGTTCGTGGTCAAAATACTTTGCCAAAATAGTGCCCTTTTATCGTTGACGTTGTCAGAATAACAACCTTGATACTCCCAAGAACCTGGAAGTCCAGTCGTTTGAGGGCCTGGTGCTTTGTAAGCTGTAAGGTTTCCAGTATGGTAAAGATTGAGCAGATCTGGACCGCCACATATCTCCTTGTCATTTCCGGCGCAGGGCATGGCACACTTAGACTCGTCGGTAGGCGCGGCGCCATTGTAAAGGAATTTATCACAGAAGCATTGAGTCGAATACTCCACTCCTGCCACTGTATAGCCCAAACCAATGCAGGTCTGGATACAGCTTTCGATAGTGTTGCCAGCACCACCGGGTTGCTGGAAGGTAAGTGCCCGGCCGTTCTTCCCTTCACTATAACAACCATCATACTTCCATCCTGCAGGCAGTCCGGTCGCGGTGGAAGTCTGAGAGACTGTCGAGCTAGAACCTGTCGTAGTTCCAGTATTGGTTGGCTTAGTAGATGTTGGGACAACCGTTCCATTCTTGACATAGACATTGAGTCTATTTCCAGCTCCGCAATACTCCAATGCATTACCAGCACAGGTAAAGCTGCAATCATTTGCAGGTGCAACAACACTACTGGCCGCTAGAGCGTTTCCGCAATAGCCTAGAAGAAACTGATATTAGCAGCCGGTCAACAGGCAAGAGACATGCTTTTGGGGTCTTACATTCACGGCCATACTCGACACCAAAATAAGTGTAAGCAGCACAGCTCGCGGCACAGCTCTCGACGGTCATGGTATCTGAGGCAAAAAAGCCAGGGGCGAGGGCACGAACACCAGTCCCCTCGGTGTAACAGCCGTGATACACATAGTTACCTACCGATGGAACAATATGAAGCGTGGGTACAGCTGTTGCACTTGTGCTTGTCGATGATACCGTCGCGACTGTGCTAGATGATTGTGACACTGAAGGGGAGCTTGAACTGCTCGATACTTTTGATGAGGTCGAGGACGAGGTTGCAGAAGAGCTGACAGAGGGCGGATTTGCCGTCGTCGAACTAGAAGAAACTACTTTGCTTGACGAGCTAGACTGAACAACTGAGCTGCTAGAGCTGGAAGAAACTACTTTGCTTGACGAGCTGGACTGAACAACTGAGCTGCTGGAGCTGGTTGACGATTGGGTGGTCTAGCGAGGAGCGCAGATGTCAGACCTTAAACTCGAGCTGAATCATAGGAAGATATCCCTGTGGAGGAATTTGGTGTTCTTACCGTTGATGAGGCAATCACAGTTGCAACTGTGGATTGCGATCCTGTGTAGCCCTTCTTGTAAACATCCAATCTGTTACCTGCACCACAGAATTCTGTGGTATTGCCGGGACAGAGCATGTTACAATCGGAGAGACCACCGGGGGCTTCCACAGCGGCGTGTTGAATGGAGTTGCCGCAATCTAGTAGTTGTTAGTGCCACCATATAGTTATTTGTGGACCTATTCACGACTTACAGCACTCTTGAGAATATTCAACGCCAGCCATTGAGAAACCGGCGGCATTGCATGCAGCAACACAGACAGCAATTGTCATTGAGCTTCCTCCGCCGGGAGTAGTCACCGGTCCGGTTGTAAGTGCGCGTCCGCCATCTCCCTCACTATGCATTGTCAATTATCAGCTTGTACATACTACGGCCACCCATAGTATGGCCAACTAATGATAGAGTGGCACTTACGTGTAGCAGCCGTAAAATCCATATCCAGACGTCCCTGGATTTGTCGATGGCCCGGGTGGCGGACTCTGTCCGTTCCAATATAGAGATAGTCTGGATCCTCCACCGCAAGTCTGAGTAGAGTTGCCAGTACATGGCATAGCACAATCTGTGCTTGGTGCAATGGCAGAGCTGGATGCAATTACGTTTCCGCAGTCTATTAAAGTAGTACCATGCTGTCAGCTCTCTGGACATTTTTTATAAGATCTCAATTGAGGGCAATTAAAAGAACTCACAGCACTCGGATGAGTATTCCGTTCCAGCGTAGAAATACCCTTGCTGGTTACAGAACCCAATGCAGTACTCAATGGTCATATTCGTGGCGCTGGCATATGATGCCTTCTGGAGGGTTCGTGGTCCATTTTCCGTATAGCATCCTTGGTATGTCCATGTTCCTGGGAGGGTTGAAGGCACCACTCTCTTGTCCAAGATGGCCGCATATCCAGATCCAGAATCCAATGTCGCCAACGCGGCACCTGCGAACATCAACGAGACGGCGGCCTGAACGATTGAAGGCGCCATCTTGTTGATTATTAAGTGTATTAGGGGTATATAAGGGGGTAAAACGAACGACAGGAAAACCCTCAAGAGGGAAAGAAATAACTCTCGGAGCAGCAACAGCGGTTGAAGAAGTACTGTACTCCGTACGAAATCGCTGCCATGGCTAGACCTACGCCATCAAAGGGACTCTCTCGTATGAACCTGGTAATGCCTGTCTTGGGGTATTCTCCACTGGCGCTCAACCACAGCAGGGCCTCTCAGCCTCTGGCCGACCATGGCCGTGCGAGGCAGCCGAGAATATTAATATTTTTTTATTGGGTCGACCAGTGACCAAGAGCTACCACGAACGGTTAGATGGAGGTGGGTGGAAGTTAGAGCTAGGTAGGTACTGTACCTAGGTACTTAGTGCCCCCTATGCTTGTTATTTCTTCGTTTTACCTTTTCTCCGTTATGCTCTGCTTCGGAGACGGCAGGATTAAGAAGCAAGGGGCAGGCCGCTTGCCACGAGGGGCCCAAAGCATCGGCCCTGGTTTCTAGGCGCTGTTAGGGGGAGATAAGGGGCGTATTTCGTAGCCGATGATGGATAGCGCTGATATCGGCTTAAGGGTGGAGAGATAATAAATGCCACAAGATCGAGTTGTGACAGGGCAAATGGACTGCCGCTTCGGCACCCGCCCCGCTGCCATGGTTCAGAGACAGACGGCGACACGCTAGCAGGGACATAATAGCCCAAAAGCCCAGTGGATAATAATAATAATAATAATAATAATAATAATAATAAAAGAATAACTCGAATACTCGAGTACGAAGTACTGTAGTTCGTACTATGCCTCGTACGGAGTAGCTCGAAGCGTCAAATAGCACGCTGGATTCGTGAGGTGGGTGAGCCCGAAACAAAACACTCTTGAGCTAACAGCTCCGTTGGGACCAACTACCTACCGACGCTACCGTACGTACTCTATGCTCCGTACTTCGTCAAGGTTCAAAGACGCTCGCTACACATGTTTCCTTGGGGGCCAATACATCAATACCACGCGGTTCAGGCCGCATTACGAAGTATTGATTGCACTCCGAGGATCCGAGCCCAGGATCCAGGGGAAAGATAGAATACTGGCGTGATCCGATGATCGACGAAGCGCGCCCCCAAGTGTAGGAGCAGGGCCTAGAATGAGATGGATGTCTTTACTACCGACAATAATATGTAGTACCACCGTCCACGTTTTCCAGATTCTCTCGTTGTCGCCAAAACACTGTTGATGGTGACGGTGATGGCGGTGATGGTGGTGATTGCAGGGCCAAATCCAGAGAATTTGCCAAGCACCACTCATTCAGGAAAATATCAGAGACAATGCCATGGCGAAGAAGCAATTGTTTACTCCATTAGCACCCTTGGGCAGGAATTAAAGATCATGCACACCGGACTGTGTAATAGTTGGACGGGGCCTAGAGCAAGCCCTATACGGAGGTAGATACTTCATAGAAACCTTCGTAGGATAATTCCTTAGGTGTGATTGAGCTGTTTGCCGAGGGAAGTAAAATTTGTTGGTCACACTCAATGCTCTAGAGCTTCCTCCACAGATGCCTTCATTCTCAGCTGAACTTCCCCATTCCGGAGGACAGTTAGGGCTGGTGCTACGGAGTTTTCCGTACTTGGAGGTTATTCCAAGGAATCATGTCTTGGGGCAAGGCACGCCGGGCAGGATTTCAACTTCCTCCCCCACGTCAGCATGTGCAGACCCGACACCCTGGGAGACAGATATGTACAGTAGGTATCACAGCTTCCGCCCGATCTTATCAAAATATGGGATACTTCGCATCGCACACGTCCTTATCAACCGGTTCATGTCTCGCAATCTCCAATGCCCCTTTCTCGCTTTCTCCTTTGTCTCCACCCCCCAGTGAGGGTATTCAAGTTGACCTGCCCCTGAAAGCCAAGGCGCCAAATTATGGTTTATTGTTTTGCTACTAAAAGCGATTTCTTCCACGGCTATTCCCTTTGCGTGCCCATTATTCGTTCCACGGTTCAAAGTCCAAGCCTTCTAAGATTAGTATCAATAGTGGGTATTGTCGAAGGCCCAGCGCGCCCTTGGCGAAGCCACGGCTACTCTAGCGTTCAGTTCGTTTGTTTGGGCCATCGCTCGGCGAAGAAGGCCTAAGCAAAAGACACAAGATATTATTTGGACCTTTTTTGGAGTTGCACAGATCGGCACAAGCATTGGTTGGTCCTCAATCTGCCACAATACCCCTCCCCGGTCGATTCTCGGACGTCGACTCCTGAACCTTATCAGGAATTAACGGTCAGCCCACATAATTGCCATTACATGATAGTTGTGGTCGCAAGTACGGAGGTAAGTCCTTCTCGTGTTCTTCCTGGAAGGTTTTATTAATAGATATATATATGGGGAGCACTAGTACCGAGGTACTTACTGTACGTGGTACCTCCGTACCGTGTCCCTGTATGACAATTTCAGATATAAAAAAAGGGATATCTTTCATCCGTGACTGGGAGCATCTCAATAATTATGACATACTCCGCAGGTCTGGCGCTCATTTATTGCTGGTGCCGCGCGCAAAGCCAACACAGAGGCTCCGACGACCTGCAGAAATAAAAGCACCTATCCGTGCCCCAACATTGCCGCGCCGAGGAAAGAAATCACAAGGAGTCTCGCTCAAAATTCTCGGAGTAGATCATCCAAATCGTGAAATCGTCTTACTTACACCAGGATCCGTTGTGTTCCCCGCCGCTACTGTGCGACCGACCGGCCAGCGCAGCATCGAGGTGATACCGCACGTTGCATACAAACTACTGTACTTATTCAGTAGTTATGCTCGTGTATGTGCTATACTGGTTGTATTATGCATGGACAAGAAAATAGTGCCAGGCTAACTTAAAGTCAATTCAGCAGCAGACTTTGGCGCCTCCTTTTCCAATTTCCACAACCCCTTTTCCTCTGAGCCAGGTACCGTAGAAATAAGACTTGGCGTGATGCCACTCAGTACAGTTCTGTCTTGGATGCTAAATGATAAACTGGAAAACTTGGGATTGGCCGGATTTCACACAGCCTACTCCGTAATTGGAGGAATTGTTGGTTGGTTGGTAGCTTTGTGATGCAGTACCACAATACTGCCCAGAGGGCTAACTCTCTGCGTAAAAGCCAAAGCTGCACAATCGACGATAGACATCGACGACAGCACTCAAAGAGGGTTTTATTCCTCGGGCACAGAATAAAAACACTCATATTCACGCCTAATAAAATATATAATGGCATGGCTATTAGGCTTATCGAACGATCTTTTGTCAGATATCCGGTCACCATACGACATATATTTCTCATGCTCTCTGTCCACCGTCTCCCATCGATTCTCCGCCCTGCTCAGGTCCCTCATAACCAGCAGGGTAGCAATTGTATATTCGATCCTGGCCGGATGTAGACCGTGATATCCCGCTTTCTACGCAGCCTTAAAGAAAACCATAATCTACCGTCAATGCCGTTAGAGTTTGACATAAGTTGGATATGTGCGGCTCCTTTCTCCTCTACTAAACTTACGGAGGCTGTCTAGTAGAATCACCCTACCTCCCCTCCCACAACCATTTTTCAAACTCAACAGTGTCGAGCCCCATTGGCACCTGCCCCTTAGCCGTTTCCCACTTCTTCGATATCCCAAAATTCATATGATTTGTTGGATCCTCCATCAAGCCCTTGATCCTCCGCGATTCTGGACTATCCGCCCCATCACAAATAGCTCTCGACCCATACGCTCTCTCTGCAAAAACGCTCGCTCTTGCCTGATCACTCTGAGTGATGTTGATTAGGAAGGCGTCGTAGTAGAGTATAGCAATCGACGTACCAGCAGTGTCTTGGTACTCCTCCTTGAGAAGTTGAAGTATACGTTGACAGTCTGCTAGACAATCCGCTGGTTTGTTAATCATGCGGCATTGATCATCGACTGCGTCGTGAAGGAGTCTGATTTGGAGGCGGCGAGCGTCGCTGATTTGGATATCTGGGGGTGGGAGGGAGCATAGACCACAATCGCAGCTGAAGCTGAATGACTCTCTGAAATAAGCGCGCCGAGAGTCCAAGGAGTGGCCTTTCATATAGCAGATGGTGATTTCCTCCCCGGCCTTGATGGCCCGAATTGCGTGGATATTTTCGCAGTTTGTGTCGCTATTCCAACTAAAGTGGGCATTTGCGAGACAGCTATGGTTGATGAGGCAAAGGGTAGGATAAACTCCACTAATGGCACTGCCGGGGCCACATGGCAAAGCGTTTGTTTTGAAGATTCCCGAAAACGGGTGCTTGCCGGGGAAGTTGTTGTGAAGAAAAAGGAACTCTCTCTGCTCGGGCTTTGATAATGCCTTTAGCTTCGTTGTAACGGTGCTTTCATAAAGTTCCATTGACTGTATGCCGGGAATGGTAAAAAGTGGCTTCTCGGAAAGTATCCGTTTGCCGGTCGCGATGTTGAAGCGAGCTACCAGACCTCTTCCCGTGCCCGGCACCGGTTGGACGTCGAAGAGTTGAAGGTCTAGTTCACTTATCGGGTCGGTCCCAAATACAAGTTGAGCTATGGAAGTCGGAGATTCTGGCTTGTCTGGCTTGTCTGGCTTGTCTGGCTTGTCTGGCTAATATAGCTTTAGCGTTGTCAATAAATCAGACTGAATATATCAAAACATACCTGCTCATAAGATTTAAACGAGTCGTTGACCTCTTGCCAGTTGTAAACCCCGAATTGGTCCAAAGTCTCGTCCCAATATCGGATGCGTGAGCCAAACTGGAGTTTTGCGCCCTCGGCGATTGTCCTGGTGTATACCTCCACTCCGTTTGCATGACTGCCTGATACCTTTGAGTTGAACTGGAGGAACTTATGGCCCTCGAAGGGGAGCATCGGATGCTCGCCCGCTTTGAACACGATATAGTTGGGCTTGACCTCTACTAGGTCATCGTTTTGGTAGATCTCCTTTATCATCTTGATGAATGATTCCCATTTGTGTATGTAAAGTAATCCCTTCGATAGACGTGGAACCATATCAAACCCGGCATAGATGCCCATATCTGCCAATGTGCTTGTCATAGTCGATGTGTAAGAAATGTAAGAAACGGTAGATTTGAGCGTGGTTGGGAACTTGAGGGGCTGCGCTTGCTGTTGGGATTATCTCGACATTTCCAAATAGTTCTCTTAGGAGGTTGGGTATGAATTATATCGGACAAGCAACATCTTCTCACGAGCCAATAACTACACCGTGTAACGGTACTAACGTGATTCTCAACTATGCGATTTCCCGTACTAAATCTGCGTCTAACGAGGGCCATGTGGCCTGCCAAATTGGTAGTGGTTCCTATTGCCGTTTGCTTCATTCTCCTCTAGGCTCACCACTGGTTAACGTAATGCATAGTGCGCAATTTCAATTTGATCGGATTTCACACTTTTGACTTTGGATATTGTAGTGGGCTCAGATATTTACTGTTAGGAACCATAAGTAGGTATGATATCTAGGACAACAAATTGATACAGGGCACCACTTGAGAGCTGGATGTGGGGTTCTATAGAGGCAAATCGTGGCAACTATTATGAGAGATTGTTTGCTTGGGAAAGTCATTGGCATTCCGAGTCCTTCGCACCCTTGATGCTTGTGACCCATCCGTTTGTTCCACGCCCGTTTGCATTTATCCAATTTAATGAGAAAATGCATAGCTGCCCGATAGCTCGCCATGGGTCTGGCTAGTGATACTGTGGTGCTAAGTAAATTAGAGATGAAAATTGGCTATCTGAAGCACAACATAGAAAACGACCAAATAACAGTCAAACAGTGTACGAAGTATTTCGAATCAATTCCCCACTTGGGGATTCTCGAGCGAAAAATACTTTGGAGAAGGGTATGTTCTCCAACATCCTCGCGTTTGCTGTGGGCTGGTGAGGCGTAAAAGCGAGAGTAAATGGGGTAGAAGGCACGGTAATAATGCATGTGGAAAATCTCATTATATTTTGGGTTTAGTGACAGTTTACATGTCAGGCGAATTCTCCTCTCAGACCCTCGAAGGGAGAACGGGTATCAAGCACATCATCCCTTGTGATGTCAATGCTAACGCCAACCAATCTGCCGAAGGCCACCTTGTTTATAACGCCAGCTATTAGCGTACTTCCGCTGTTTATACATATCCTACAATGCCGATTGGCAACCTCACCCTTTGGAGTTCTGGTACATAGCGGCTAAGGCAGCATGATGCAGAAACCGAAGGGAATCCACTTGAACCCGTCATTATGATCGTAGCCACCACATATGTGCCTAAGTCGTTCATCGTTCAAAAGTCGGCCAACTCCATTTCGTCATCACTGTCGGCCACTTCTTCGTTGGGCATTATTCAGAGCCAACTCGTCCTCGTCGTCTGAGATGACAAATGGAACCTTCTGGTAATCCTGGGGGGATTTGACAGGGGGCAGAAGAACCATAACCCCATCCGAACTCGGTTTATTGTTCATGGTATTCATTCCCCAAGTGGCGTGTGGCTTCTTATTATTGGCCGCTTTGGTGCTTGTCGGGTTTATAGAGGGGTTGGCAGCTCTGGAGACAGAGTAGACGCCCCCTCTAACCTGCTTCTGGAATCGTCTAAAGTTATTGAATCTTGGATCGCCACCTTCGACTCTTTGACAACGAACTGAAGGAGTAACTTGTCGACCACCGGCGTCGTAGAGCCAAGGTTCCGAGATCGTAGACCTTGATTTTAAAGTGCCGGCTATGAATCATTAGCACTAAGAACCGTAGGAGTATGCATATGAACGTACTTAGGGAAGGTGTCTTAGGACCGTCGCCCATATGCCAAGCAAATGGCACCAAATGTGCCTCTTCTATATGATCCTTCAAGTCATCTATGAAAGTAAAAGCGAAATGTCTCTTAACACCTCTTACATTTAGCTCTTTGCCAACCCCATCGGAATCCCCGCATTTGCCCCAGCCACATGTCATCCCCGCTTCCCGCCCATAGCAGTGCATACCGTAAATATGAGCGCGGAGAGTTTCCAGATTGTGCAATTCAGCGAGACAACCCTTCCATTGACATATGAATGGGGCATAGCGCGCCTCTACAGGAGCAGGCCGATATCCCTCAAGTGGCCGAGCGCGCTTCTTAGGTTCACCATTCGACGAGTCAACCACAGAAGTCCCAGCTTGACGCTTGCGCTTCTTAATTTGACTAGTTGATGCTGATCCCCGCTCTACAGCTCTCGCTGCGGCCTTAACTGCTGCCTTTTCAGCTGCCTGGGGACTGCTGAAAGGACGACCTCTCTTTTTAGGGACTATGCGTGAGGTACTGGGATGCCCAACTCCCTTTGCTGCAGTTTGTGGGGTGCTAAACGGACGACCTCGCTTTTTGGGAACTATGAATGAGCTGCTGGGGCTCCCAGCTGCCTTTACCGTAGTCTGGGGAGTGCTGAAAAGACGATCTCCTTGGTTGGGAAGTGCGAGTGGATTTTTGGAAGAGAAGATGGACTCAATTGCGCAGGTATTGGGTCTTTCGGACGGTCGGCCAATTCGCGGGGCAGAGGAGGGCTCATTTGATGTATACCCGAGGGACGAACCAAGCATCTCAACTTGGTTGGTGCTGCTTTGCTTTGATGGCACGGTCATGCGGGACGAACGATTATCTCGCGGCGGAGGGACAATTCGAGAGGTAGAAAACCTTTTATTTCCCGCATCTTTCTGTGCTTGTAGCCCCCCAGATTGATTTAGACTTCCGGCCGACGAATGTAGGGTCTGTGATTGTCCCTGAGCAGGAGGCGAGGTTATGACGACTGCAAGGTGTGAATCCGCTCTAGGCGTATTGGAATTTCGAAGTAGACTTGGCGAATAAAGGCTCCGTTCTGAAAGTCCCTGCACCAAGGCATGCCCCTCATTTTTTCCTTGTGACCCGTCCGGTCTCGAAGTTCTCCCACCTAGCACATTTTGTGTATATTGACTTCCACCTCTAAAGATTGGAAGCATAGTGTTTGCTCCAGCTGGAGCATCAGGACCGTCGAAATCCGAACCGTGTTCCAAGCTCCCATTCAGACGGTCGTCAACGCCAGGAATGTGGTAGCCGTGGTACCTCAAATCGTCCTCGTCCAAATCGTCACCGTCGCCAACACTAGCGATGAAGTAATATTTGCGGTTCAAACAGTTATCGCCCTCTCCCTCGCCCTCGCCCCCGCCCTTCTCCTCGTCTCGGCCGGCCCTGTCACTAAGACCAGAGCCGCGGTATTGGCCGTAGACCCAATCGCCCTCGGGGTAGTAAACGAACGCGTCCTCGTCGATATTCTGGCGATCTTGAAAACCATTCGTTCCTACAGGTTCAGGTTGAGCAGGTGGTGGGGATGCATTGCAACGATTGGTTGAAGCCCCAGGTTGGCCAGAGTGAGTGGGAGATTGAGGGTAAAATCCAGTTGATTCCCAGGTCCAGCTAGGGTCTCTAAGAGCGTTGGCGATTTTGTAGCTGCTGGGAGCAGAGAGAGATCTTTCGCGAGTAACCGTCAACTCTCTGTTGTCGTTGGCTTGCGCCTCGTGGTGTTCCTGGCCGCCGTACTCATGGTTCATTACCTCTCCATCGCCGGATTGCCGACCTTCGTCATCACCTTCAAAATTTGTACTTGCACACAATTGCTTTTGATGTGTTAGCGTGTCGAACCGTGTTTAACACCTGCATAGAGACTTACTGCAAGATTTGCTCGTTCTGTTAACGATCTAAGCCAAGTGGCGACCCGACTATCGTCGAAGGGTGCAAAGGGCAGTCTCTCCAGTCGTCGTTGAAACGTAAACGGACTAGGACGTTCTATCTCAGTTGGGCGAACAACCTTTCTTACTGCTATGATAGCAACAGAAGAGCTAGAAGACGGCATGTCTGCGGTGTCAAAGCTGAAGCATAGCAAGGCCTCTACCTTGGTGGTGGTTGTTGTCAAGTGCAAGTTGAAGTTGAAGTGCGTTCCAAAGTGTATAGGAACCTGATTATAGAGAGAGGTATTTTGCGATTCACTTTTATCAAAGGTTGACTTTGCACTCTCTCTTAGATAAGAGCATGATTCACTCTAGATGTGAATGGCGGTCAATGTTTATCGCCTATATCTCGTCTGTCTTTTTTACCACCGCCCTTGTTTATGACCACACAACAGTGTCCTATAGATCACAACATCACGAGAGTGTCGAGTGTCGAACAGTCTTCTACACACTAGGACTCGTTAATTATTTCTCTTTGCACTGCATACGCCTCTGACTAAAGTATTTATGCCACATTCATATCATCGAAAGTTAGTCACCTTTCCCACCCTTTCCTGAGTCGCTATTACTGCCAGCACAGCTCTAGAGCATCAATAGCTGTCTAAAGTCATGGGCTTAGACTACAGCGTAACTTATACCCAGGAGATTTAGCTGTCGGTTCTCTATTATCCAGACAACTGTACTCTATAATCATTTGTGGTGTGTCCAAGAGATCTCTACAAGGCTAGATCAGCTCGTCTGTATGGTTAACGCTATCCATTCAACCGTTTATCTAAATCAACTGTTATATTTCTAACTCTCCAACTAGCTAATATATTTTTGGCATCTAATAAAGAGCCTATAAATTCCTTATTATGTGCGCCTTTGACATATATTCTTTCGATTTTCCATCTACTGGCTGCTGTTTGGAGACGTTGCACCCTCCAAAGTTATCTTAGCGACCTTGCACACATCCTACATGTATTTGGACCCGTTCTAAAGCTAGGTAACCTTATGATCCAGGAACCATGTGATTATAGTACCTCCAACCCGATAACGGGGGGTATGGACTTGGTGCATGGGATACGGAAGTATAGTACGCGGGATTTCAGACTTCCCCAGCCACCAATACCGGGACGGCGACCCGGCATATCCTGCCAATATCTGCGGAGGGGTCATTTATGATTGCAATGCCATGTCAGTTCATAAGCTAAAGCCTCCAACTCCTTAGGAGAGACTGGGCTCCCCTTAGTGCGGTGTAACAGCTGTCCGCTCGTTCGTTGGAATTTCCGCTCCCTTTTCCTTGGGCTAACAGGTGATATTACCCCGACCCTCTCAGTCGTAAGCTCTGCAGGCTATGCAACTCGCAACACTTCATACAGGTCATTCTTGCCAATGTCTACGTCATCAGATTCTCAAGAGCAAGGGTCAACTTGTGAGTCTCATAGCTCGAACCCTCCTACAGAGCGCCTCGCTAATTATCGCTCAACATAGCACTACCACAACATATTTCTACACGCGGTGGCTTACTCAACCCGTATGAGACGAAATAGGAAGGCGGGCTACAATGCAGCGAACAAGGAAAGTTAGGAAACCGGTTCGGAGGAGCGGAGCAACCTTGAAGGGAACCAACTTCAGCAGAGATGTGGATCATCGCGCTGGTTTTGGTCCGAGATGATACGATTGCCTTCCTCCTTGATGCCTACCAAACCATCTACATCATATCGCGAAGCAATGCGATTAGTTGTGGTATCAAATCATGCGATGGATATTTCTCTGAAGATATTAGACAATGGTACAATTGGCTTTCGTTAGCAAAAGATACCCAGATGCTTTACTTCAGAGACGGCATTTGATCAAGAGGATGCCCTTTTCTTAAGGTGGCGAGAGTGTGGTCAGCGATCAACCTTCGTGCTGATATATAATATTTTGAACCCAGTAGCGGAAAGGTTGGAACTTCCTGGGAAAGCTCGAGTAGCTCATGATAATCAAGGGCACCATCCATGGCCGCCAACAGGTATCGCGTGCTGAGAAAGTTGACCACGAGGAGCGCAAGGGAAAATCACAATAGTGCTAAAGAACGATAGGCTATGGTAACGAGAAGGTTGAGAACGAAACTATTAATAACCGTTCCCAGATTCGAATCTTAGATCGGGCAACAATACCCTGGGGTAAAAGACCTCCTGAAACGCCATTCGGAAAGATCGTTCGTCATCAGATTCTTTATATTTCTAGCGCACGGGGTATTTCCGTGTTCCGCGCCAATGGAAAGAGAAAAGAACTGGAAAGATGAGTAGAGCTGCTTTATCGGCAATATTGGGTGAGTTGAGGAAGAAGTGTTGTTCGATATAGGCAGAGTGCCTGTTTTGGCTCTTCGGCTACCACTGCCACCCGGCTAAATGCAGAAACATGAAGATCAAGGATTCTTGTGGTGCGCAATTTGGATCTCGTGGTCCTGATCTGATCGTTTTACACAAAATGCATGACTGCTTAATCACGTGTGGTAGAGGCGCGGCTGTAACCCGTTCTCCTTCAAAGTGCCAATGCTTGGGCTTCAAGGTCAAGATGCTTGGCCATCGTGGGAGCTGCATGGCGTTCTTGAAATCGTTTATCAGATCGCCAAGCCACTCTACAACTACCAACTGAAAGAGAGAAAGTCTGAAAGTATTTGCCAACGATGGCCTCCCGACTAATCTAGTCGTTGGCCCTTCGTCCTCAACATGTCACTGGTGCGGTCCGTGGTTCCCTCCCCCCTCTGCTTAAATTACTCACGTATTGCTAGACTGCAAAGCCTTGTCTGAAGTAAGGAGAGAGGGTGCGGTTTTCGTGCAATCATGGCGGATACTTTCCCCCGCATTCTAGGAACCGCACCTCCGGTAGTGAAACAAGCCAGCTTCGGCTTATGCCAAACTGGCTAAATATCATTCACGATCCACCTATCAACCCTGGATCATCGACCTTGCCATAAAAACAAGCTATATGGCCAAGGCGGGCAAAGTATAAAGCTAAGCTGGTTTGCTCACTAGAAGGAGCACCCAACATTCATCAATCATCAATCATCATCATGGTATCCTTCTCTTCTCTCGTTCTTGCCATCTCTGCTGTCGCTGGCGTGATCGCTGCTCCCAGTGAGGTCCTTGCACCTCGCGGTGGAACCCCAAGCTCCACTGGCACCAACAACGGCTTCTACTATTCCTTCTGGACTGACGGAGCCGGTCAAATCACGTACACCAACGGAGCCGCTGGTTCATACAACGTCCAATGGTCCGGGAACCAAGGTAACTTTGTTGGCGGAAAGGGATGGAACCCTGGAAGTTCTAGGTAAGTGATATAAGTCCTAAATAGTGGCCCTGCTTTTTAAATAGTTTTATTTGAATATACTTTTCTAATTTTTGTCTCCTAGAGTTATCAACTACTCTGGCACCTTTTCTCCCAACGGCAATGGCTACCTCTCCGTCTATGGCTGGACAAAAAACCCTCTGGTCGAGTACTATATCGTCGAGTCGTACGGCAGTTACAACCCTTCTAGTGCTGCTTCGAAAAAGGGCAGCGTTACTAGTGACGGGGGAACATACGACATCTTCCAAACTACTCGCGTCAACCAAGCCTCCATTGAAGGCACTTCGACCTTCCAGCAATACTGGTCTGTTCGTACCTCCAAGCGTGTCGGCGGAACCGTTACTACCGCAAACCACTTTAACGCATGGGCCGCCCTCGGAATGAAGTTGGGTTCCCACGACTACCAGATCGTTGCCACTGAAGGCTACCAGAGCAGCGGATCCGCTAGTATCACCGTGAGCTAGGTGTGGAGGTTACCCCAGCCGCGGCAGGAACAGTAGCAGCGTAAGCTTCACTTGCCCCAGTGCTCTATATGTGAACATTTGAACTGATTTCCTCCAAGGTGTAGGGCTTTACCAAGTACGGCTAGTATAGCGGGAAGGCTATAACGGACTACCTGCTGCGACTCCAGATTTTCTCATCCGCGGCGTGTAAACTGTTTTCGGATTTTCTTCTTTTCTTGTTGCAGAAAAAGTCACTTAGTCAATAACCCAGGACACCCTCAAGAATCGCGGAGGTGGCGATACATGGGGGGCCTGTGGCTATGACTACCTGTCTTTTGTGTAGCTATTTAGTATATATTGAGGTAAAACTGCCTAATTGCTGCCCAACCTTGGCGCAATCCTGTATATAGTGGGGGATCAACCTCCCATATGTTGCCTAAATCAATCACTCTTTTAGCTCTGCCTTTTGAGGTTGTTGTAATGCTTAACAGTATATGTTTGCTAAAATCAATTTTGACAAGGAAGTGCCTTATATACCACACACAGTCACTAGCAGAGGACTGTTAATTAATTAATGGTCACGAAATTGATCCATACGTGTAGCTCCTTCCATCTTTGGTACTATCAATATACTTGAGTCTATTGGCTGCCTCGTGATATTAACAGGCTATGGCCCCTGGACCACGGCGTTAACATGACTCCAATCAACGCTGCTTTAACACAACCAAAAGTTAATTTATTATTTTGCTAGTCGACTTGAACATTTCGATGCCCAGATATCCGTCTACTCCCAGCCAATCATAAACTGAGATATTAGGAGTTGATTTTTGTAGCCCTACCTGAGTGCCTTGTGAGTCGTGACTCGTCGGGCTGTCGAACTCACTCAAGCTAAGCAATTTTGCCTTGAATAGCTACGGGTTGGAAGTGTCAAACAACATCCTCTAGCTGTGCAATTCCGTGGCGATCTTTACCTACCTTATCGTTGCTGCAAACAGTGGATTTATGGTACGGAGCATGCTATTTTTCTATGGGTTTAATACTCGAGTGGCTCAATTCGCGGCCAATTTTACTAGCCTCTCACCAATACTACTCAATTGCTCAAATAAGCTTGCCAGCTCGCTGATTACCCCAACCCCTTTGCTGATGCGCGAGCTCCAACTCATTCGTCAGCCCATGCCCCCCATCTAGTAAACCCTGAGGGCCATAACGGCCAAAATGGCTGCCTCTCCCCCGTCTCCGAGCAAAAATATTGACTGGTAGTACTGGCAATCTACGAGAGTCATGATTGGGGATGGCACCGATAAAATAAGCTTGGTAAATTATATCCCAGCCTAGATGCTAAACATCAGCCAGTCCCCAAAAAAGCACCAACAAGGTCATAGGCCTACCTTGTGCCAAGATAGCCGAAGGCCTCACTCCCTAGCTTAATAAAGCCAAATATGAGAGATTCTGCTGGTTGGGAGTCATTTATAAACAAGATTGAAGAAGATAGTTCGAAGCTTAATTGAGTTCTCCTTTTCAGGGGTTTCGTGTTTATTTTAAGGGGTTAAGCGAGCATATCCCCCTGTTTGCAACTTACCGAAGGTACACGGCCTGATTCACTAGCAACCCACCTATTTTCCCTTTGTCACATGAGTAATGTAATAGTCGAAAGAGTAGAACACAATATTAAATGCAAGTGATTCAAAAAGTCGATGCAGCAAGTAAAAGCATAAACTTAAATTTCCGCTAACTAGGCAAAACTAGCAAAAATCAAATCAACCTGTCAAGCAAAGTCTGCCGCGAGGCACGAAAATTTAAAATCAGGCTTTTTTCCACGGCATCGCACTCCTAGCCTCGAGAAATCCTTATATCATGACATTTGCAGCCTTGATTTCACTTCCCTATCCTATCCCAACCCTCCCCAGCTATTCACCTTATCCCATCCCACCGGGCCTGCATCTTCATTGCATCCCATCTCCGCACCTCCTGCACAGGAAAGAAGAATCGATTCATAGGAATTTCAGAACCAGAGTATAAGATAAAAATGTATAGAAATGAGAGTAAAAGAACTAGAATACAAGATATTGGTCATTTTGGTTGCTTTCGGTATAGACTTAAAAAGCCCCTTCGTATCATATCAAAAACCTCCGAGGCCGTAAAACGTCGTCAAACAGAAAAATAATAAACCCCAAGATTTGTCGTAACCTCGCCTCCAAGAGTAGAATGCAAAACGCAAAATGGCCCAAACGACTGATCGAATCGAAAATAAAGAACGGATGACGAAGAAAAGTAGGGTATCGAAGGTATCGGTGAAAAGAAGAAAGCAAACGATGCGGAAAACAGCACGTAAACGCCGGAAAATCAATGCACGCGTATATATATGCCGGTGGTGTTCATCTTATGTATATTATTGATGGTTGATCTCAGAGTGCGCGCGACTAGGGGGTTAGATCATACCACCCTCCATCTCTTGCATGGCAGCCTTAACCTCTCTCGGATGTCTCTCTACTGACATGGGCGGGCTGCCTACAGGCAGATTTGGCGTCGACCTAGTGGGGCCCCAGTTCGGTGGTGGCACGCTCTCGTAGGGGCTGTGCCCCACGTGTTCGATAGGAGGACTCTTCGTCCTCTCAAAATTCCCGTTTCGTCCTCGACTGGCACTTCGCAGACGCTCAGCGGCCCGGCTGAAGCGCCCTGAGATGCTATTGTCGTTTTCGCTACGGCCGCGATTGTGACCCTGAGAGCTCTTGCGAGAATGGCCTTGTGCGAATAGGGGTTGAGGGGGCGTGAGAGCTTCGGTTGTGGGGGATTTGGACTTGTTGTCGTCATCGTCCATTACAATTTCAATGACGGCGGAACCCTGCGAGACGCCCGAGACTACTGAATTGGTATTCGGATCGTTGGGGCGGGTCGGATCATTTGAACGGTATAGAGGAGCGATGGGAGCAGGAGGAGGTGGAGGAGGCATGGCTAGATGCTGAAGTTCTTTGAGGATCGGGGGTGCAGGAGGGGGAGGTGGGGGTGGAGGGGTGAGGCTGTCGTTCGATGGATTGACTGGCTGGGAGCTCGCTTCGATAGTCTCGTCGATGCCGCCCATGGCATTTGTCGAGTACACTGGATTGTTATTTCTCGTCTCATATCCAAGAGTGCCTGGTTGGGATTCTCCGGGGTTGACTTTTCGAGGTGATGCTATTGGGCCCCTGTTATAGCTCGGCTCTTGTGTGCGCCTCCGGCTACTAGGTGGTAGAGCTGACTGAAAAGCTGGATGGGTTGGCATTGCCGCAGGAAGAGTATAATCTTGTTCTTCAGGAATTGGAGCAGATGCAGAGCGCGGAGGAATACGTCGAGGTACGGCAGAATAGGTTGTTTTCGGGAGAGGCCCAAGAGTCTCAAAGGCATTGTTGTACGAGATAGCGTTCAAACTTCCCCACGAGGGTGCCTGGGGCGCATCGTATTTCTCAGGGATTTGAGGAACGTCTGGGATATCTTTTCCATCGGGATCATACTTGGGGTGTCTCATAGCCCTTGGCGTAGCAGGAAGTCCAACTTGTGGAGACGACGTGGTGCTCTCCTTAAGGTAAGCAGGGGAGGTTTGGATGTTGGCCGGCGATGTCGTCTGGCTGCGAGAAGGCTGCATCTGAACCTGCCTCAAAGAAGCCCTGGTGAGATCTGGCGAAGCTTGTCGATATGTAACTGGCGAGAGCGAAGCAATCTCCTCAGGGTGAACAATGGGAGGAGCCGATGGTCTACGAGCCAGCGATTTGCGTCTCTCCTCGAGCTCACGTGCTGCTTGCTCTTTCTTGAGGGTCCGCGCATCCTTAACGGCATTGAGATCACCAGCCTCCATCCCCGACACGGATCGGGCATGTGACTGTTCCCGTCGTTCCCGCCTTGGTGCTGAAGGATCCCTTCTCGTCCTGCTGTTGTCTCTCTCGCTCGGACGGCGGCTGCTTGACCGGTCACGACGTTTCCTCTCAGGCGAGCCATCACGGGCGGCACTTTGCGCACGCTCTCTCAACCGGCTTGTGCTCCTATGCCGAGATCTGAACCGCATCTGATCCTCGTACGCACGTTTTAGATCTTCGGCATCATCCTCGTCTCGGTAGAATTTGGCTTGCGGAGACATTGGCAGAGGGGACGATGGCGAGCGTATTGTAGAGCCTTCACGGGCTTGGCTTCTACCTCTGGCTCTGGTATCAATCATCATAATACGTCCGGCAGGACTGGTTCGGCGGCTATTGTTGCGGCTGGTCATACGGCTTGTCGGCTTCGTACTGGTCTGCACATGGCTGACCGACTCCGGTGAGGCCTGCCGAACCCGGCTTGAGGTCCTTGAAGACTTAACCCTAGAGCGACTGGTCTCCCGTACTTTTCTCGGTTCCTCATGCGCGTCCTTATATCTATGGGCACCAAGATCTATGAGATCCTCAGGAGACATCGGTACTGGCGATGTTGGAGAGCGCTTGGCCGGCTTGATGTAGCGAGCAGCGCTGCGTCCTCGATCCTCGGAAGGCTCCCGTGCTTTGGCCTTTCGGCTACTGCTCCGGGCTCTAGCTTGTCTCTCGCGGCTGCTGTGTCTAGTCCGGTGTTTCTCAGTCCGCTGCTTCTCGGCATGGTACTGAGCGGAATCCAGACTGCTAATATACTGGTCCAAACTTCTCCCAGTGACGATAGGACTTGCGGCTCCGACGCTCTTGTAGCTTCGCTCACTAACTAGAGGGCTTCTACCTGCGGTTGAGAGCGAAGCAGCGGATCCGGCAATAGAACGAGAAGAAGGGCCAAGTCTCGATGAGGCAACGGAGACATCTGGGGAAGTCATATAATCACCTGTGATGATGGATTCCATAGGTGGCCATTGAATCTGCAGACCATCGGGCTTGCGGTCACGAGATCCATTCCGAGTCCGAGCAGCTTGATTCATTTTCGTGAACGATTCAGGGGAGGGGGATGGAAGTGGGTTCGAGGGTCTTTTCGCTTTGGTCTTCTCCATCATCGGGCTTGCGGTAGCGGCTCGGCCGGTTGGGTTGTACGTCGCTGAACTGAGCTGCATCACCTCAGGCTGTGAGGGAGCTCGCTCATGAGCTCTAGCAAGACGTTCATTCTTTTCCCGGTCTGAGCCAGAGTCAACAGGAGTGGGCAGTGTAGCAGGCTCTAGCTTTCTTCGTGGAAGCACGTCGCCTGGTGCCTCGCCAATTGAAGGAAGCCTTTGCCTTGAGAAACCTCCAGGAGTCGCAGTTCGTGCTGATGCTGGAGTGTTGTAGACGCTGCGGTGACTTGGTCTAAGGAAAGCAGTAGCAGCATCACCGCCTGATGGTGACAGTGCTGATTCTGCGATTGGTGTCACGCCACCACCGACAGGAGTACGCTCATCCTCTCCAACGCCAAAGAACTTGGATTTCCCAGATTTATCACCAAACGAGGTGATAAGCTTCAGAGCCGATGTCTTGGCAATGCTGCGCTGGGGACCCCTAGCTCCAGGAGGAGACAATGGCGGGCTCAGAAGTTCGGGAATGCTTTGACCTTGTAGCTGCGAGAAAGTGGCAGCTTGAGCGGTTGGAGAGAACCAAGGCTCTGAAGACTCAGATCCTGTGCACGAGAAACATCTGATAGCCAATTGTTGCTGGCTGTGTTGAACGGCCCATTCGCCCCATTTCCGAACCAGCTCTGCTTGTCTTTGCCAATCAGAAGGGAACACCAGGCATGTCAAAACCAGTGCCTCCATATACTTCTTATGCGAGACATAAATTTCAATAGCATCGTTTTGATCTCCCATCCCGATCAAGATGGTTGCAGCGGTGTGTACATCACCTTTCTCAAGCAGACGTTGAACATATGCGCGTGCAACTTTCGCTTGTGAAGCGGTACCGCCAATTCCGCTCAACGCAAGGAGCATCCAGTCCGAGGAAGTCATCGATTCTGAGCTCGTGGCCATAATATCAGTGTCTATATCACCCAGCCACTTGGCAAGCAGGAGACGGTTCGGAGATCCTGCGGGGTGTCGACTCATCTCGTCTTCAATTAACGCATCCGCTTCGCCAGGCCAGCCGAAAATAGTGCTGAGCATCTGCCGTCGGAGATCATTATTTGTTAGATGTGTATTGTCCAAGACTTGGGGATGGCTATAAGGGATATCGCTCAATCTAGATTTGGTGAACTTGAATAAATCTACCAACTTCGCTTCCTCTGGGCTTTGAAGTACTTCCTGTCGTAGTCGAGAGCCCCTTGGCTTTGACCGACGTGAAGCATGAGAAGAGCCGATACTGCTCATCGACAAGCTATCACGACTGGAGACTACTGAAGGCTCTCTTGTTGAATGCAACGAGGACCCCAACGACATTGTCGTAGCAGACTCACTGATGCCACGTGATGCAACTGAGGCGTGTTTGCGGGTTTGGCGGGGCACTCGGGACCCAGCGGAGGATCTAGAAGTTGTCGAGGCTCGACTCCTGGAGGACACGGGGCTGAGCGTATCTTCACGATCAGGTATTTGCCGCCCTTGCTCTATTTTGTCCATTTCTCGAGCTATCCTTGCCAATGGGGACATGTGGTCCTCATCACTCTCGGAAATGTCGATATTGATCGGTACAGCCGATACTGGTCCAGTTGCTGCAGACGATGACGAGTTCTGTTTCTTCTGCTCTTCAATAGAAACAGGGGGCGAAGGGGGGAGGAGATTGGCTGGATGTTGGACATTCGCCACCAACTGAGCTGGAATATTGAGGTCGAACTGTTGGGCCGTGTTGTTGGGGCCTAATGTAAAAAGGGTAGCACCTGGGCCGTACACGGCTAGGCCTCTGACGTGCTCAAGAGTCGCCACGGGATCGTACGTAACATGCTTAGTTCGCACATCCCACGAGGAAGTTTCTCTGAATAAGATGCCATGTCAGTAATGTTTGGCTAAGCGCCCGCCGAGATTCAAGTAGGTTGGGATATCAAAAGTACTCACCCTTCAGAAAATTGGATAATGCGTCCATTCTTGGACCATGCTAGCCAGTTTGGCCCTGGCTGAAAGTTCTCCGTCCGTTTCAGGACCCTTACCACCTTTGCAGTATCCGTGCTAGTAGGGGATTTGGCAATACTCCAAACACGGAGGTCGCCATCATGCGTTTGGGTTGCCAACATATCTGATTTCTGGCGTGAGGAAGAAGCATGCCATGCCAATGTGACAATTGGAGACGGCCCTCTTGAGGTACTTAGGTTATGGAGAATTGTAAACCTTGGCTGTAAAGCCGCAATCAGAAGAGATCCATTAGAAAATCTAGGATATGTTAGTGAAGTGTTTTCCGAAGCTCAAGAAAACGCGCCATACCCAATAGCATAAGTTCTGCAATCCGCAGCCGGGGCTAGTGCTGTGATTGGAATTTGATCTATCGTCCTCGCTGAAATATGCTCAGAGGTTGAAGGCTCAAACAGGATCACATTTCCCTGGGAATTCCCTGTAGATAATTAGCAAACCCGTCACAAACAGCAGGACTTCCAAACATACCAAAAGCTACATTCCCATTCCGCATCCAAGCTGCCACAGTAAGATTCTCATAAGATGCAAATCTAGCAATTTCGTCCCCAGTCATACAATCCCAGACAATGGCCGTCTGCCCAACATCATAACTCACTACCAATCTCCCCGCGCCTCTGTCACTGACTGTATCCACAGCTAATATCGAAATCTCTTCGGTATGTCTCGAAAAGCGGCGCTCAATGGTAAGCGTATCGTGGTGGGCACAAACGACCGAGTTTCCCTGCGCATAGAGAAACATTGACGCTGTAGCTGCGCATGGCTCGAATTCCCGAGTATACTCCGCAGGCATGCTCTGACTTATCTCCGCCAGTGTTGCCATCCTGCCTTTCGAAGAGTGCCCAGAGCTCATAGACACCGAGCGGTGCCTTGAAAGCTTTCCGGAGGACATGGCGACGATGGGGACCTAAATTCCTGTTCTCCTATATAATGAGAAGCGCCGGAGTTAGTCTTGACGGTGAGATGTAGCACATACTTCCAATGGACGACGGGAAGGATATATATTGGGATAAGAGCGCTAACTCCTAATCGATTGTGTAATACAGATAAGGAAAGGCCTACTTACAGGTCTCAATATGGCTTACCGCCCTGCCAACGTTCGCGGGTGCTGAAAGTACAGGGCTGATCAGAGTCCACGCCCAATTCTTCTCAGTTGTTACATGGAGTTGCTGGCTACCGAGCGGGGCGGTGGTAAGTACGGATGGGCCAGTTGAACGGGGAAGTATACGTCTGGGTGTTACAGGCGCAGGCAGCTTCAATTCAGGGCGAGTTCGAGTGAAGCTTGGAACGATTGACAGTGGTCGAGAGGGAAAACAAGAAGAGATGTTGAAGTGCAAGAGGGAAGAATAACGGCATGTAGCACGGGACCTCGTGGGAGTTACGAGGCATGGACCGACTGGGCTGGGACTATCGCCTCGTGGGCGTCGGGACTCGCGCTATGCAGGGCAAGAGATACTTCTTCGGCGCTTGTAACTGGCGGGGAGGGGGTTGGGTATTTGGGGCCCAAAAAGAAGACAAGGATACTACACGCTGGCACAGCTCAGGTTAAGAATCCGTTCAAGGACGAAGTGGATATAGAGACAGGAAGAGGAGAAAGGGGCCAGTTGGGCGGTCCAGTCAGTCGAGTGGCATGACGGGGCGTATTATGGGGTGATAGCCTTGTATGGAGAGCAGAGAGCGGTCGAGCATGGCATTGCAAGAACAGAGCGCCTAATTAAGAGGTGCTTTGCGCTGTCAGTGGACGATCTGCAGAGTCCAGACGGAATTAGATATGAATGTGCAGCCGAGCAATGGGATCTGATTGCGGATGCGGTCCGGCTCATCTGGAACCACCGAGTCACAGCCCGCAATCTAGGGTGTGTCCGCAGCCACCGCAGGCCGCTTAGCAGATCCTGGGAGTCGATGGGACTGGGGGGGCGAGAGAGAGAGAGAGAGAGAGGAATAATAATGCTGGAGTTGAGGAATGGCAGAGTCGGGATTCATTATTGCACAGCGTAAGGTATCCAGAGGAGTTTCCCAGGCGGTGGTGTATCCATACAGAACTGCTATATGGGGGAGGTTAATAAGTCAAGTAGCGGGTTAGCGAGTGAGTGAGCCAGTGAGTGAGTGAGTAGCAGCAGAGTCTCGGGGAGGGCATGCTGCTGTGCTCTGGCAGCCCGCAACTGAATCGGACTGAACTGGACTGGATTGGATCGAATTGCAAAAACTCGAGTTTGACTAGCAACAGTGGCAACGCGCCCGCATCGCACAGATGGACAAATGCCATGCCCAACGTGGCTGGCAGGTAGCAGATAGCAGGAAGCAGAACAGGCCTGGCAATTCACAACGCACGCAAGTAAGCAAGCAAGCCGAACGGCACGAACCATGCGGGAACGGGCTCGGCACAGGGGGACGAACCAGGCCAGCACAAAAGAAAAGAATTTGATATTGATATTGAACACACAAGGTAGGGAGTAGGAGTAGGGAGGGAGTAGGGAGGTTTGCATTGCTATTGACCCGGGGCGTCGGGGAGGGCTGGAGCAACAACAGGAAGGTGGCAGTGGCAGTGGCAGTGGGAGTGGCAGTGGGAGTGGCAGTGGGAATAGCAAATCGCTGGGCAATAGCGGGGCTAGGGAAGAGGATAATTGCCAGAGCCCCGCGGTGATGGTGATAGTGATAATGAAGGTCCTGTAATAATAGCAATGCTGATGCTCGGGGATCGCGAACCAGTCGCGAAGACACCACGGACTGCACGCTGTGAAGCCTGTAACTCGGGGTCCGGAGCCATTCTGAGCGAGGCTGTGAGAGGTGTTGAAGCCTGCAAAGGCGACGACTGCGGTGCTGCGGTTCTTGCTGGGAGGGTGGATATGGTGGTGGTGGTGGTTGTGGTGGTTGTGGTGGTACTACCTACACTACTGCGACGCATTGTACTCCTCGGGAGACGTTGTGACTTGCGTTTCGTTGCGAGGGCGCATTATTGTGCACTGGGCATCCACCGGCCCATTATTATTGTCCACGACAAAAAGAATAACAATGACTGGCTTACAATGGCTTGCAATGGCTGATCACCAGTATCACTAGTATCACTGGTATTAGAGCCCTTGAAGCGCCTCCCATGGGGGCTGCGCGCGAAAAGGCACGGGCAGCGCTTCATTGGCGGGCCACAACGTCCAGCATCACCTCGATATGCACCAGCAATCACAGCAGCATCCTATCACAATTTGCAAAGCGTCGTCGCCGAACTTCTCTTCGCAACGGAAGGCCTCGAATGGCGCGAATGGCTGCCGACGACTTCCCAGTTCCAGTGCAGTAGTCCCGTACTAGAACAAGAGCCAGAACAAGAGAGAGCTTCCACCGGTCCAGGCGTTTACAAAGCTATTATGAGTGGGGAGTCTCATATCTCATGTCTCTCCGTGTCTTTCTCCCCGATCGTTCGTTCGTTCTTCTCGTATCAAAATAACACCCAAACTCTCCTCGCGCGCCATCCGAAATTAAATCTATATCTCCTTCCCCCCCTTTGTCTTGCGAGACCGTCTGATTTTTCCTTCCGTTGGGCACCCAATCCATCACTCCGTTACTCGACGCATAACACAGCACAACACCACAGCACAAAGACAGATCCTTCTGGGGTGGCACCATACCCGTCGTCCACAGAGCACACAGGAAGAATAAGTGAGGGGGTTGGGCGCGCGGTGGCATTGGTGGCGTCCATACGAAGTAACCTGCCTGCTCTTCAGACTTCTGTTAAGCCTGCCCGGTCAATACTTCCCTATCTTTTTTCCTATCTCGGCGTGGGGCGCATTCCCGGCCTCAACGTCGTCATTCATATCTTGACAACAAACCGTCAATTGATATCCCCGTTCCGAGGAGTTTTGTCACCGATATTCTCCGTACCGGAGCAAGTAGTCGTCTCTACGGACAGCGGATACCAGGTACCAGACACCAGACAGTTGTGTAAGGTACCTACTACCTAGGAATATAATGTACGTACTCCGTACAAAAGCCATATATGCGCTGTGATGTGACGGACCATCTATCTCGTAGGGTTGTCACAGACCGCCAATTGCTGCGGGTTGATCCCGTCAAGCCCCCCGTCCGTCGCTGCCACTACGGAATATCACAATTTTCCTCCTTGCTATCGTTATCTTCGAACGGGGACGGGGACCTGGTGCGCAAGTACCGTAATTCGAACCACTGAAGATCACCGGTATGTGCGACATCTTCGCGTCGTGGGCCTCCCCGTCCGGCTTCTGCAGGTAAAAGTAAATTACCGTCCAAGCTTCCAGCCTCCCCTCCCGCATTCTAGAGTATTGAGGCGGTCAAAGCAAAGGTCGCCGCGGGGTAGAAACCTCGTCTCCGTGGATTCTTCCATGTACAACAGCCTTTGTTTCCTTTACAGAGTCTACAGAGCCTTCCGGGTGCTTGAGAGAACGCCGGCCGGGGGGAGGCTCACTCGATGTTCAAGGTAGTTTCTAATATATTAGCCGCGAACCGTGCTCCTCCTCCTCATGGAATCCATCCCTCGTACACGCCGCACAAAACGATCACACCATCAATATTGATACTCGGGTTTCTCGGCCGTACCTGCTTTTCCACCCACCCAAATTTCTGGACGGGGTGGTGTGTGGACTCGCTGCTGGCTCGTATCAGAGTTTCCTGTCTAACGTTACAGTACATCTTCAAGTGTGGCGTCTTCCCCTTCCACATCAATAGATTAATTTTAAATTTCCTGTTTCTCGGGACCCGGGTCAGTTCACTCAATTAACAAAAATAACCCAACGATATGCTATCGAAAGGCAACCATGGGTGCCAATCAGCGCATCGCAAATCCCGAGCTTTGCAGAGTTAATTCGATAAACAACACCCACCCTCTGCTACTGTCTCCTTTTTTCAAACTTTACTTTTTGGTTTCCAAAAGATTAAGATTTCAATTTTTGTTTTTTCTGCACCCCAATAAACGGGCTAACCTAGCCCACGGTTCCCAATGCAAGCCAGCCAAGCCAGCAAGCAGATCATTCCCACTGCTCATCCCTAAAAATAACCTTCTCATACAGTACATAGGTACTACGTAGACTATCGAAAAATAACCTCGACGGAATTCAAGGCTCTTAAGCATGTGCGTATCATTGGATAGCCTTCCCCCGCCCTGTCACAAGAGTCACAATGCGATCCAACAGCTCGAAATAAACCCACACCCACCAAGCATCGGCCTACCCGGAAATACATTTATTTACGCTATCGGCAATCTACTGGAATTCTTCAGCGCTCTAGGGAGACTGTGGAAATATCTTCGAGCGGTGTGCATGTACTATGAGTTATTACTCAAACAAGCCCATCAGTGCGCTTAAGGTTTCCCCATAGGCTCATAAGCCAAAACAAATAGTCTAAACAATAAAAAAGATTTAACATAATTAATTGCCCTTCATAATACAACCATTATGCCGTTAAAACACACCTTTTGATACAAGTCAGTTCCCTTAAACGCATATAATTCAACTATTTTCACTCTCTCTTCTCTCCTCTCCATCACCCACCCACCCATCTATCAACCTCCCACCTCATCCACCAACCCACCATCAGCAAAATAAACCAACTAACCGCTCAGCAAAAATCTGTAAGAAAACGATAAAAATCTAGCCGCCCATTTTATTGGCCCAGCTACGAAGTACACAAACTCGATCAATATCTACATAAGCAGCGGTTACCATCCCACTCTCTACCTCACTCTCTTCTCAAAAGCCTCAATGCACATACAACACCTCCACCAACTCCACCAACAAACCCAAATGCAACCTCTACCTCCCACCCCCATCCAAAAATAGCCCTTCTCTCTCCAATCGCACAAAATGAAAAATACCTATCACAAGTATCCTCCTCCCAACCCAGAAATCACATGTCCTCTTCGCTAAATGAAATTCTCTAATTGGCCGTGTCTTTCATTTTTCTCGTTGGTTGGAACGTTGGTGGTTTCGGTCATGCTCCCCCTTGATCCGCCCAATTATCGAGCTGTGAACCGAAGGAATACCTGTTTCCAGGGGTTTTGTTGGGTTTTGATGAGCTTTTAAGCGCCCGGGTCTGGCCGATCGTTAAGCAGTGCGAGGGATGGAGGTAAGCTTACTTGGTTGGTAGGTACCTAGGTGCCTGGGTAAGGGGCAAGGTGCCTAGGTACCTTGGTACGGAAATCGTATTCTATCCCCTGCCTGTGGGGAGTGGGGGTTACTCCTGGTTTGTCACGAGGAAATAATCACGAGATGAGAGTATGACTTGGGCTATCACATGAGAGGGGCAGTACCTACTACTTATTGGTCTTGCGATTTGTTATAGGACGAGACTTCGTCAGTGGTGAAGAATCCTTCGTCGTAGTACGTTGGCTCGTAGCCTATAATTTCGAGAACATGCTGTGATTCTATCCTATACGGAGTAATACCATGATTCGAAGGACTATCTTCCGAGGAAGCTCAGCGCCAACTACATTTCCTCCGACTCGAATCATTGGAAAGTACTCTCCAAGACTAGTTATATGGATGACCACTTAACTCCGTTCTTGATAATACATTAGCCCGTCACTACGGAGTTATTGGAACGGGTGGTATACCTTGAAATCTTATGTCAAGAGCACAGGGAGTGGGTTTGCGATTCGCATAACGATAGGCAAGATAAACACGATGAGTGGGATGTGATGTGATGTGATATAAGCATAATTTCAATAGCATGAACTATCTATCACAATGTCGAGACTTGCATCTTCCAAACGAAAGCACCATTTGCCTCAGCGGCAATCACATATGCTCTATCCGCTCACCCCCTCTATCCAATCCTCGCTGCGCATCTCTAGCCCCGAACGCACGATGGCGAGGGCGAAGTAAAAGTTCTGATACAGATCATCATCCCACGGATAATCAATCCCGCGCCTCAAATCCCTCGCAAGCCTGCTTTCTCCAATCCTCAGTGCATGCGCCGACGAGAATATCGTGGCGGCTCTTAGCCCCCATCCCTCTGTCTCGCATGCAGTCATATCACAGCCCGAATTTGGTGCTTCGCCTCGTCGCATTATCGCGCGTGTTTCCGAAACATGCACACCTCCGCCATCATCCATCAGTGTCATGCCGAAAGAGAGAGAGAAAATCGTCGATAGCTTTCGTTGGGTCTTGCAACGGTTGCCTTGTCGGTACTTGTCTCCATGGAGTAGTAGGCGATGTGGCGATAGTGAAGACGACCCCGGATTAGGGTGCGGTCCGTTCCCGTAATCGCATCCCCAATTAGGGAGCGAGCTAATCTCGGGAGCGGTGTTTGACGATCCGGCACTCGATTCCGGAGGTTTTTGGGTTCCCCTTTGGGATTTCGCGATTTCGCCTGCGCGTCGGGTGCGATGAAATTGGATCAACGCCAAAGGCTGTGCGGTGCTGTGCCTTGGCCGTTGAATGTCGATCAAAGATCCCCCGGTGTGTTTTCATATAGCAATAAGATATGATTTATATCTGTGGGAGGAAAGTTAGCAACAATGCGCGAAACGTAGAGTAGAGCAGAGGCAACTTACCAAACCAGGACATAAAGATAATCCCATAAACCCAGATCGCGCCCCTCATTCCACAGCTTCTTGAATAGGGCTCATCTTCTTGCTGCTCGCCGCGCTTCCACTTCTCGACTTCTTCCCCGAAGTCCTAGCACGGCGTCTTCTTCTCTCTGCCTTCTCCTGTGCAATAACCTCCCGCATTAAAGTGCCATGATCCACAATCATCTGCGCGGGCTCGAGGCTCGCAGGCGACCTACTGGCGGTCGAGTTGGGGGTGTCGGCAGGTGAGCAGAGCTCGCTGTCGTCAAAGACGCCAGGGAATAGCTCTTCGTCGGAGATGATGAACGAGCGGTTGTGGTAGTCTCCTGAGTCTGAGGAGTTATCGCTCGAGAGCGATGAGCGACGCGGCCACGAGGGATACGCGCACGACGGGGATTGCGAGGAACGCGAGTTAGACGAGGGAATGTCCATAGGCGCGGTGGAGTAACTTGTCGACGGGGCCGACGGCGAGATGGAGAAGTACATTCTGACTTTCTCTTTTGACGCGTTATTTTGCGCTTTTCGTTCTCTTTTCTGCTTCTCTTTTGCAAAACTTGAGTTCTCTGGTTTCCGGTGGTTGTAGTCGTGAGATATATGGGGGGATGGGGGCCGGCGGAATGAGTAATCCCAAATGACGCTGCGGTCGGAAACCGAGAATAGAGCGCGGAGGGTGGTGGGTTGGTGGGTGTAACGATAAGTCTGCCGTAAGCGGTGGGTTGTAAGTAGACTCAGCCCGGTACGAAGGATGAGCGTAGGCACCACACAGTATATAAATGGAATATACGGAGTGTAGAGTAGGTTGGATGAGGAGCAGGAATGGGAGTGGGACCCAAGATTAGAAATAGGAGCTGCAAACAGAGAAGGGGGGATTCAGCAGGCAGGTACTACTTCTGTCTGGTATTTGTTGTTTTTGTGGGCACACCGTGTCTCAAGGGATGAATCACACTTGTATATATGATCTGTCGTGGTGACCGCCTCCATCATCCCTCGCCCTGTCGCCACGCGGGAGGGTGGGAGGCAGCGTCCCAGCCGGCCAGACGCGATCAGCCTCGGGGCTTGCGGAAGGCGGAAGGCGGAAGGGCAGATACAGACACAGACACCAATTAGTTACACGTCGCAAAAGAAACGAAACCAAGCTCGGCCTTGTTTTGCGGTGAACAGACTCTGAGTCTGAACGACAGTTGCGCAGGCACCGGCCCGTCCACTCACAACCACCGGAATCTCCAGAGCTCGTCCTGCTCCTCCATTCAGAGCCACCAGCTCCAGTGCCAGCTTTGCGACTCCCCGCTTGGCTCCAGCTCTCAGGCTCACAGGGACTCAGGAACCGTCTGACCGCCTCGCCGCGGCGGATTGCGGAGGCGGAAGGGGGTCTCCCTCCTTCCAGCCGAATAGCGGTGTCTGGTCTTTCACTGCTCATACCTTGAAATCCTCGACTCTGAGTCTGACCGGTCTTCTGTGCGTTTTCGCCCTCGCCCTCGCGCCCCCCCCCCCCCACGGTCCCAGCCTATCAGCAGCCGCGAATAGGCTGTTTTCACCGCTGTTTCAAATCTTGGGCCTCCTCGACTGGCTCTGGAACCTCTGGATTCAGGATGCCTTCCTGCGTTTCTAGACCTTTCGCTGTAAATTTGCGTGCGCTGTCGCAACCAGGCTATCGCATTGCAAACACTTGTCGGGCTCAGACACTACGCCGTCGGGTCGGATCTTAAATGCCTGCTCCCGTCATTCTACCGTTCTAGAAAAAAGCTAGACCTCGCCATTCTTCCAAGCAAGAAAGCGATGCGACGGCTAGAAGCTCAAAACGTCCCGGTTGGCGGCAGAATGAATATTATTTCTCCATCCGGAATAAAATCCCAGGCAGAAACCCCCGAAATAGGTCTTTTCTTTTTGGGAACAGATCGATATGTGAAAAGCCGGAAAATCTCTGATCGAGACCAACTTTGTTTGGTTTTTTGCGGTGGGTAACGCTCCTTCTACTCTCCTGGTAATTGACTGGTCTTGGTTCTGGTTCCGGTTCCGGTTCGGAATTGTTTGTTTGTTTGTATACTTGGTACAGTAGTATGTGATGGGATGGGATGTGATGGGTGCGATGTGATGTGATATGCCCAGTTCTCGGCCAACGCGCCGGTTCTCGGATTGATCATACAGCAAAACAAAACCGTATCCCTTGCACTCATTTCACTACTGTCATGCCCAAGAGTCTGGATTGTCAGATCGGTCACTTCTTCGGGGGTTGTCGCGTGGGGGATTCGCGGGGAAGCGCCCCGGAAGGCGTTTTGACCTTCTCGCCTGCCCCACGGGCTTTCTTTTGCGAGTCCCGGAAAGATCCCCGAGATCGTTTTGCTTCTGAGCAGTGGGGTTAAGGTTGACAAACTGGGATAAACCAGTGCCTGTCCTTGTACTTGTACGTCGTAAATCTCCTTTAAACTCAGACCCCCACCCGAGGCCCAAGATGTTAGTGACTGTGCTTGTACGAAGTACCTTAGGAGACAACCCCCACAACGCGGAAACAATGTCTTCTTGGATGCGAGAGTTCTCCTATTCAAAGTCAATCAATTACAACGTATTGCAGCACCCTTTTGCGCCTATGGGAACAAGGGCGCTTCAACACAAGGTGCTACGTACCAACAAGAAATGGAGTGGCCAGCAAACGCATAGTTGAGCTCAGCTTGGTTGGATTCAAGCTTCCATCCCTCCCTCCATCTGGTAACTGACTGGTCTGCGCCGGGCCTGGCGCGCAGCACCCAGCGCGATACAGCGTGGCGAGTCAGACATCGCAATAGGGGCGGTCACATATCACGATGCGACACACCAACAAATGACGAGTCCAAGTGACAACCGCTCCAGCTTGTTCTTGCTGGGTTCCTGTAGACTGCTGTCGTGTCTCGCTGCCCATGCACTCCCACCTTATTTATTACGGTCGCAGGCAGACGGGATGTGACGTGTGCAAGAGCCAGAGGATGGGACGAGGCTACTCGGTGCGCCCATCCCATCTATCCAGGGGGAGAGATTGTTTGTTCTTGTGATGCCCTCGATGGTGGCATTGGTGTGTGAGGCGACTCTTCAGATTCCGACGATGACCAGCGGCTGCATGTATGGGCGTAGGGGATGGCAAACCACAAGGCGCCGAGATTCGCCCATCGGGTCCGGTTTGCTTGGAGAAAAGAAAGGCGATTTGTGCCCAAAGGGCGCTTGGTTTCCTGTTTCACATGCAGCTTGCCGTATGCTCATTTCTTCTTAGGTTCTCTGTGGGACGGAGGTCGATCAATAGAAAAGCGGGCATTGAGTCCAGGAGTCTGGATGTGTGGATGGGAGTCACATGATTCTTCACCTGACTGTTGATGCCCCTCTGGCCAGCTACTCCATAAGGTACCTAGGTAGGTAGAGCATACCTACCTACTTACCTAGGTACCTTAGGTAGTATTCAATACTATAGGGTTCTAGAAGAAAAGAAGCTGGAGATTATCCTTCGAGTTCTGTCGTTGTGTTCTTTCCAATGCTATATGTATACATCCTCTCTTTCACACGCTCTTCTTAATGTACCTAACTAGGTGTACTTCATGCTTCGTGTTCAAAGCTCGCTCTGCCTCACGAATGCGCCAACTCTATGCATACGCCGTAGCTCAGTAAGCCACAAGGCTTTTAGTCACGACGTCCCTACAAAGCTGCCCTCGCAGCCTCACTCACAGAGCCTTTCGTAGAATCTTGCCAAACGGAACGGACTGAAGAGATAACAAGTGAGGGTACCGCATCCGGATATCGAAACTGTTGGCTGTGTCTTGCAATGCACTACGAGCGACCCTACGCTCTAAGAATATACCCCTAACGACATTATTAAGGGCATACCAAACAATGGCGGACAGCTGCAACTTATGTCGTCAATTCGACATTCGAGATCTACTCTTCCGAACAGCAAGTCAAGCGGCAATCCCAGTGGATCCCTCGGGTCATAAATTTCAATTAGACTTGTATCAGTATTTCGGACATCACAAGACCGTGGCTGCGCTAAAACTGTCCTCTGAGCGTTGTTGTAGGTTTTGTAGCCTAATCTCAAAACCGTGGAGAAGAATCTCGCCTACTTGCGATGAACAATTTTTTATCGGCGCGCGTGATAATATTGGCTACATATCGAGAAGTCCCTCTATCATTGCCACACAAGGGCTGAAAGATATGTTCCACGGCTCCGACATTGTTTGTGAATTCGAGGTATATGGTAGCACGAGTAGGTGAACCGTCGGATTCGTTAACAGAGGCAAAGCTAAGACAGCACGTTTACGTTCTATACTTATCAAAGAGTGGAAATGGGATGAGGAGCCCATCATGTCCACCTTCCTGATCATGGGCCAGCATGAACGGAGGGAAATTAAGCATACGAACGAGGGATCATAGACCGATCCAAAACATCGTCAGTATAGTCGAAGTGCATATTGAACCGCACGGTTCCAATCCATTTAGTCGAATTAAAGGTAGCCATCTTATATTAGAGAGCTCTCTGTTCGCACTCGATGAGATCTCACTAAGAGATTGGAATTATCGAAGAAATCTTGGGCGCCAGTACGAAAACCCCTATCCTGAAGCTAGTTATCACAACCTAAACTCTCAAGACTTGGTGCCTCCTGGGAAGTGGTCTAACCTACACTAATGGATCTTGAATGAGATGGAGAATGGACCGTGGAGTGATTACATGGCCTTTGGATTTGCGTAACAGCATGTTCCTTATCTAATCAGTGATTTGCTGCATTTCTTCTTTCACGCCTAGCAGGTTATGACTTCTAGACGGGCGACTTTAGTGGTAGGGCACAATTTCTTCTTCTTGAGTTAATGGGCGAACGGGAGGATGAGTATTGCTGGATAGGAAGGTTGGATATTCGGTTGCCTTATGTCTATATGCTTGCATGTGATGTTTTAATTATTAAAGACAAGCTAGCCTAGGACCTTCCAGTGTTTTCGGTGGGGAAGTCTAAAAAGTTTAAAATAAAAAGAGCCTACTTCGGTTGTGCTCCAGTATTTGGCCTTTATGGAGATTGCAAAACATACTCTGAAAAGCTCGGTAATACGAATTATCTAAATCCACGATCCCCAGCCTCGAACTGGAATGACATGTCCTGTTGCGTTATATGCTCAGCGGGCCAGCGGGCCAGCGGTAAGTTGGTAAAATTGGTTATTCAAGGGGAAGTTTTGGTAATGTATATAGCAACAGTTCGTTTTCAGGTTGAACAATTCAATGAATGCGGCCACAAAGGCTATTGTAGAGATTACGTCCTATATAATTTTACTTAGGATTCTTAAATGCATTTTTAAATCAAAGGAGTTTGGTAATACAAGTTGGTTAAACTTATCGCCTTTAAATCGGGATATTGTCTTTAGCATTATGTGTGTAATAGCGAGGGAATAGATAAAAGCGGTATTAGCAATAGTACGTACCTAACCTTGATAAATAATCGCGGGGATATAATTATATTGTACGAAAGGTTTATATATATTGGCATATTTGAGTATAGGTCGTTAAAAATCAAAGGAAGCCGGTCATAAGTAATAAAGTAGGCAGAAAAACATATATGACATTTAAGCAACTGAGGGCTTTTCGCTGGCTATAACATACGCACAAATACACAGTTTATAATTATATACTCGTATTAAGCCAGTGCTTAATAATTGTCGAAGTTTGTAGGCGGAGGAAGGGCTCCAAATAGGGGTAAAGAGTTGATTGATTATTGTGAGAGCGCTGGTAGCCCCTACTGAGGGGACTAAGTTCGCTACGCTACCAAACCCATGGAATATTTGACTTAACAATAATATTACACACCTAAGTTAGAGAATTTTCTTATATCTGGGTTATAAAGTTAAACATAAGGGTTGAATTTCGGTTATGTTGTGGGTTTTGACGTAAGCAATATAAGTTGGTCAAATTTACGATCTTTGGATCGCGGTACGTTATATGTTCATTTTCAACTTTCTAGAAAGGATGTGCTGTTTACTATAGATGTGGACGGAGGGGTCTATATTAAAATAACAAAAAATTCCTTACGGAGAGCTAAGTGAGTAACGCAAGAAAGAATTAACCATCATCCTACTTGGTATTAAGCTTTTATTTAAATTGGATATAGTAGTTTTACATCACTTCTATAGCGAACAGACATACACAACATCAGATATCCTCGTTTCTCTACACCATTCGAACAACCGACTCAATCCACTCTATTCAACACCGCCACACCCTCAACATGTCCCGTCTGAGGAAAGAAGTCAAACCCCCTCAAACTCTCAATCTCGTACCGACTCCCCAGGCCTTCCACGCCTCGAACCAGAACCCCCACGTCCCGCGCCTGCGTGTGCACATTACAGCTAACATAAACCACTCTCCTGGGCGCAAACCCCAGCAGCTGCTTTAGAAAGCTCTCATCACACCCTTTCCGTGGCGGATCGATAACCACAACCGTCTCATCATTGGGGTATGTGACGGACTTGAACAGTTCTGGCGCATCAGCTGCGATAAATGTGCATTGTGATGGCGGGAGGTTGTTGAGCGCGGCATTCTCCCGCGCGGAGGTTATGGAAGAGGCGGCGATGTCGATACCGGTCGAGGAGGTAAAGAGGGAGGAGAGAGTTATGGTAAAGAGGCCGGAGCCAGAGTAGGCATCGATGAGGTATTTGATCGCGGGTGCTGACGGGTTTGGTGGTGGCAGGATATGGTCGCGGATGTATTGGGTGAAAACGGGGAGGATGGAGTTGTTGTTTTGGAAGAAAGCTCCGGCGGGGTTCGAGAATGAGAAATCGTCGATGTATTCAGTTGATGTGGCGTTGTTATCTGTTATACATGTTTTGAAATCGGTGTGAGTGGCCGTTTGTACTTTGACGGTATCTGGAGGAGATTCGGTCGCCTTTGGATCGTCATTTGGAACCCGCGATGTACTTTCTCGTAATAATACCGTTGCCCCCTTTTTGTATTTCTCCAGTTCTTCGGCCACACGAACTCTCTCCCGCTTCATGCCCATCCGGACGGCATCGGTGCCTATCGGGCAATCTTCGATGTCTAATGTCGCCCGCTTTCCCTTGGCCATAAAGCCAATTGGTGGCACCTCCTGGAAAGTTTTCCGGATCCCATTTTTTTTGTCTACCCTGCTTCTATATCCTGGAGGGCCATCGAAATGCGGTGTTAATTTCGTGCGGTATCCGTATTGCAACGGGCTTCCAATAGTATCTTGGATGGCTGGAACAAGCTCTGGAGGTAGCTGTGAAAAGTTCTTGTACGCCCTCTCAACGATTGATCTCTTGTGTCCCAATTGCGTTGGGTAATCTAGCATCTGGAATTGGCATCCAGAGCAAGTGCTGAAATATTTGCAATTGATGCGAGTATCATCCCGAAGCGGGCCAGGACTCACTACAGACACAAAGTCCGCGAGGGTGTAGTGCTCCCGGAGGAAGTGTCTGATAACCTTGGCCTTGATGACATCGCCAGGGGCCGCAAAAGGCACAACATATATCTGCTTCGAGGAAGGATGTATCGCAAGTCCATCGCCGGTTGAAGATATGCTGACGACCTTGACCTCTATTTCCGTGAATGGTTCTGGCAGTATCTCTGTGTTCTCCCCCTCGGATGGCTCCGTGTCGGCAATATGCGTTAATCCATTTTCTGTAGGTTTTGCTTCTGCATCGAGTGTATGTGCATCTGCAGATTCGGGGGTTGGAATTTGAGGTGTATCTGAGTCCGAGTCTGCGAGCTTCTGAGCAGCGAATAACTCGCGCACATCGGCGATTAACACCTCGTCATTTGACCCCTCTTTGGCTGGCTTCTCCTTGCGCGTCCGCTGTCTCTTTGCTCCTCTTCCACCCTGATTTTCCCTCTTTCTCTCCTGAGGTTTTGGTTTTGATTGAACAGCGTCCATATTGATCGCGGTTCGCGAGGGGCGTGCAACTGTGACGGCGGTTCTTAGCCGGACTAGATTGCAATCTAGAGTCTTAATAACTAGTCGTCTGGAGCATTGCAGCATCGGTTCAGGGTCACATGCAGAACAAATGCAGGCCAAGGACGAAGGTTATGATATGATAGTGTGAAGATTTGTATTGGACTGGAGGATTCACAGTGTTTTCCTCTCCCTGAGCCTCCTTGAAGTTTTGTTGTTGCAGGGTCTTTTCGTCTCAACTTTTTGGGCGGCCGCTAGTGAAGAATACTAATCCAAGCTAAGCTATGTAGAAGTACCTATGTATCTATGTACCTATGTATACTATTTCGTAAGCAAGCAGCCTTACTTCTTCAGGTTAGCATCAAATAAGGTACATGTAAAGCCGTTACAACGTGACATCAGTGATCCAGCTGCAAAGTACTGTACGACACGACAGCAAGCACGTCCTGTACAGTCTTTCGTGCAATCTATACGTAATAACGCTATATAGCCTGATTGCGATTTCATGCTGATTGTGCATATTTCGCTCTTCACCCATCACAATCTCCATGCGCCATTCCTATTACCATGTGAATTCAATCTCGCACTCCCCCTCGCCTCCAAAACCCCCCCTTCCGTCGCCCGCTCGATTCATGCGACATGATATAAAAGCATGCCCCCCTTCCAACCCCTTCCCTTGAACTGCCGGTCGCTTCTGCAGCCTCTGCAGCGCTTGCGGTACTCAAGGGGCTGCAACATGGTCTGTAGGATCCACCTTCTCAACCGTCGTCGTTTTATCCGACGAAGTCTCCCTGACTCTCCCCATGTCTCTCGATTCTCCCGACTGGTCGCATGCCCTAAACCGGACTGGCAAGGCAAAGCACGTCGTCTATCGTCTGTCGTCTGCATCTTCACAGGTCAATTCTCGCTCGCTAAATAGATACATCGAGCTTGTCTGCTTTACGAAGTGCCTACCTCGGTACCTATGCTACCTCTCTGTGCCTTGGTTGGGCCATTCTGTGTATTCATATACTCGTATGCGCCGTGCTTAACTTTCGTCCCAGTATTAGCTTGTGACTTTTCTCTCTTCCCTCTAGTCGTAATGTCACCGCGGGCTTTCTCCAGTTGAGCGCGCTCGGGTTTCTCGTCTTGCTCGCTCTCTTGCCCAGCTCACAGCTAACACTGACGCATCCTCACTTGTCGCCGTCAAGATGGCTGGCCCTTCCTTCAAGTTTCGAGCGGGCCCTATCCACCTGGGAGAGAATGAGAATAGCCGTGAGGCTCTAGTACGATCTAGTAGTGCCCAAACCGATACCGATATCTATTCGAGGGGGCTTCCGATGCGGACGGCGATCGTTCATGGGAGCTTGGCATGTCTATCCACCTTGGGAATTGCTTCGTTGGTATGGGGATATCTTATTAGCAGCCCCGACTCTGCAATTCAGCGTGCCTCCGGAGATTTCGCTATCGTAGTGGTTCTACTATCGATCTCTATTGCCTGGTCGGGGCTCCACACGCTGTTTTTCGGAACAGTGTCCAAGGATTTCCTGGAACTAGCCTCTACCGCCGAAGACATCCTAATTATTAGCTCTCTTATATTCTATCCCACAGTGTGCGGTTATGAATTGAAAATTTCAGGGATTGTGGAAACCTGTGATTATATCACGATAAGCGGGCTGGCCGTTGCATATATGGTTGCGTACGTCTAGGACCTCCCACAACTATCTAGACTCGTTACAGGACTAACACGATTCTATAGATTTATACGATTGATACAGCTCTTGGGGAGAATCATTACGCCAGTCATCCAACTCAAAAATGCGAAGTATCGGTCACTTCGACTAGGCCCAGAGTCCCACACCAAGACGCATTCCGCCTGTGTTGGCTTTTACACCATCTCAGCGTGCCTCTCAATCCTATCCTTGGGCATGATGGCGTGGGTCTACTACATGCTTGTAAATATTGCAAGAAAAGATTCCGGTCAAAACATCCTCCAGGCTATACACGGTTTTGCGGGGTCTAGTGTTCAAACCATGCTTGTGAGTAGTCTTGGCCGTCGCACCCACTCCAAGTGAACACTACACTGACGATTATGTTCCAGCTCTTGGTTGCCCTATTGTGGGTATTTTCAAATGGCTACAGTGTGGTTATGTTCGGCAGAGTGTTTTCAAGCCGGATTTCATCGCTTCTCGAGCTTGCTTTGGCCGTTGGCCTGATGGGTGTTTCAGTTCATGGATTTATGTGGTCGGCTCAGCTTAACATCGCATGTCCGCCTGAAGCAAATTGCCCAAGAGCCTGGATGCAGATTAGGTCTCACCACTTTGCTGCAACTCTCTTGGCTTTTGTTGTGGGGTAAGAAGCCGCACGTTTATCCTCACCATGATTTGTAGCTAATATTCCTACAGGTTGGTTCATCTTGCGCTCTTCGTCATCCGGCTATACCCAAATCTCCAGTCGATGCGAGACAGTTTCCTTCTTCACCGTCTAAACAGTCCTTCCGGATTAAGCTTCTTGCAACACCGCTCCTGGACCGACGATGAGATAATATTGTTCCTCAAGCTGAACGGATTAACTGAGGAGGCGAGAGATAATATCGTTTCAATCCTTTATCAGGTTCATAACGAAGATATGCTACCGGACGATGACGAAAAGCCACCCAGCATGGAAAGTCCCTCGAGCCGCGATGGGGCCCAGGAGATGGCCGATGAGAAACAAAGGAGAGAGGAGCAACTATGCTTACTCTATGATACACGTCAAGTCCCGATGGATGAGGAGTGCGGTCTGGTTTGATGATCTGACGCCGATTGCCTTCTCGTGGGCACAATCTGTTTACGGAGTAACAAGGCGTTTTCCCTGGGTCCGGAATATGGATTACATAGATACCAATAATTTAAGCTTTCCACAACAGTTCAACCTTATACATCTTGGCTCCGTAGCCTTATAATTTATGACATAAAAAGACAGAAGTCTGCCTAGATCACGTGCATGCAGCAGCTTGTGCCCATCAAGTCTCCTCTTTCCTGCCTAAACTCATACACGGCTTCCATCATTTTATTGGTGACTCACATGAAACCAACAAATAGGCAGCTTACATGTCTCTCTCTATAAATGCTCTTCCACCGCATCATAAAATCCCGTATCAAACCTACCTTTATCAAAATGTCGTCTTCATATTCCCAATCCTTCGGCAATGTCGCTGCTGACCGGCAACGCACCACCGGAGCCTCAACATCCATCGAAGAATTCCACTCAGTCCTCAAATCATCGCGGCGCATCCTCGCGCTATGCGGAGCTGGTCTATCCGCCGCATCTGGCCTTGGTACCTTCCGCGGTGCGGGAGGAATGTGGCACAACTACCAGGCGACTGCGCTGGCAACGCCTGAGGCCTTTGAGCATGATCCTGGACTGGTATGGTTGTTTTATGCCTATCGCAGGTCGAAGGCGTTGCAGGCGAAGCCGAACGCGGGTCATTTTGCACTGGCGAAGTGTGCGGAAGTGATGAATGGAAATGCCGATAAGGGAGAGTTTTTGTGTTTGACCCAGAATGTTGATGGTGAGTGTCCTGGTGGGGATTCTTTTGCATGGAGTTGTGGTTTTATATCGAAGATAGTTTTCTACCCCGTCTACAGCTATGCATGGAATTTGTACCCAAGTTACGAGGTTTTTTGAAAAGCTCATTGCCTGAGGGGAAATTGTCAAGTGCCATATTTCCCCCATTTTCCTAGCTTATATTGTTGTATCTATACATGCTTCATTTCGCTCTTGAGAGACACCAAAATGGTTATGTAATATCTCACATTTATTTTCATATTCCTCTTCAAGACTCAATCCATCCTGTTCTCTATCACACCGCAATTCTCAAACACCATCTGCTTCTGGCTTTGGCAACGCCACCCATCAACCTAACACACCTATAGGTCTCCATCAACGTGCCAACCACCCCGACTCCCAACTGAAGCTTCTCCATAGCAGCATCTTCGACCTAAAATGCCACAGTTGCGACTACATTGACAAGAACAACTTCTCCGACCCGGTCCACCCCTCCCTCGTCATAGAAGGCGACGGGCCCCCACCACAACTCTCCAAAAAAGCTTCCAACACCGTCTCCGCTCAAGCCGCCTACCTTGACCCTAACACAGAGCTCACAATCCCCTTGGACCAACTCCCCCATTGCCCAAATTGCAAAGATGGCCTACTCCGCCCAGGCGTCGTCTGGTTTGGCGAAGCTCTTCCCTACAACACAATCTCCGAAACATACGACTGGATCGACGCCGAAAAAAAAATTGATCTTTGTCTCGTTATAGGCACAACTGCCACCGTGTACCCCGCTGCTGGCTATGTGGATACTGCGAGGGAGAAGGGTGCGAGGATCGTAGTGATTAACATGGACGTGAATGAGCTTGGAGCGGCGGGAAGTCTGAGGAAGGGGGATTTCCTATTCGAGGGAGATAGTGCGAGGATTTTGCCGGAGATTTTGAGGCCCGTGGTGGGAGATTTAGGGAGTTTGGGCTTAGAAGCCGAGGCAGGGGTTAAAAGTAAGAAAGTGGAAGATACTAAAAACGTGGCGGGAGAAGAAGAGGATGAGGTTATTAAGTACTTTGAAGCTTCTCCTTAAGCAAGTTGACTTCGTATGCGTGGAGAGCGTTTAAGCTGAGGAAATAGGAGATATAACCAACTGCACGCTGGGAAAGGAAATATGTGGGAAAAGCGGTAATCTGACTGGCGGGAAAAAAGTGGCAGGAGATATTTAGATGCTGTGTGGGCTTCTCTGGACTGCCATTGCAAGGTGATTAGCACCTAGCGCACTTGCGCTCTGTATACATACCTATACTGCAGGTCAAGGGCATGCATGCATCACCATGAATGCCAAAACGTTGCAAGGAGCAAATCAACAAAACTCCCTCTTACCTCTAATTTTCTTTCCATAACAAGAAGAATTCATTTCTGACAATGGTCCACGGCTAAAGACCTTTTGGCGATGCTATCTTGTCTATCTAACTTAGAATTGAGCCTCCGACCTATTCCAAATGCACGTGAAAATCCATCCATGTAAAACCAAGCCACTTTTCCCGCCCAACGTGTGTGTGTGTTTGTGTAAAGTTAAAATTTTCTCAAACCAAGGCTATACTGGTTTTGAGTTATTTTGCCTTCTTGTCTCACTTAGGCAGCATCTTCTGAAGTGATCAGTTTAGTGATCTTGCCAATGGCGATGGTTTGACCCTAAACAAGATTAGCTAAACGAACCCTCGCAATAGCAATGGAGACAGTACCTGATCACGAAGCGTAAAGCGGCCTAATTGTGGATAGTCCTCGAATCTGCAGAAAGAATTGGTTAGAGGAGAAATATAGAGATTTGAAATTCCAACTTACTTTTCGAGACACACAGAACCAGCGCCACCAATCACGTCAAGTCTCGCTATAATGGCATCACCCTTTTTAGCATGAGTTGGCGGCAATTTGGACTTTCTGTTCGTCCCCTTTTGGAGCTTATGAAGCAGCTTTTCGAACTGCACCTCCTCGATGGCAGAATGGACGTGTAGCACACACTCATAGCCTGCAGAGACGATGGATTTAACTTCTAAGAATCTGATTTGTGCCTCGAATGATGAGACACAGTGGACAAGACGCTTTGGAGAGCATAGCACAAATCCGGGCATGATGTCTTCTTCTTCTATTCCGCGCAACCGAATCTTGACTTGGTCACCGCACTTTTCTCTCGTCAGCAGCTGTTCTGAATTTCGCGGAAGGTAATAAGCTATCCTACCTGTGAAAGGGAAGACTCCTCTTCTGTTTCGTCATAAACTGCTGATACATCTACCTTGACACGATTCGGCATCATCACTAGGGACATGCCCTTCTTAACAACGCCGGATTCGACCTTCCCTTCGACCATGGTGCCCATGTCCCGATACTTGCCGTTGATCGGCATCAGGAAAGGGGCATTGATCTTGCGTTCGAGTGTGGTCATGTTATCTAAGTATTCGAGCAATGAGGGGCCGTCGTAGAACGGGGCAAGATCTACAATTTACGTTGTTAACTTTTGACCATTAGTAGGAATTCGAATATTTACCTTTTGGAACTCGGTCCTTGATACCAATCGTTTGCTGTGCAGCTATCGGCATGAAGAAAACATCTGTCTTCAGGTTGTATCCGGTCCCCTTCAAGAACTGGGCCAGCTTCGTTGTGCATTCAGTGTATCTCTTCTCCGACCATTCAACAGTTGGGTCGTCCATCTTGTTAATGACCACAACGAGCTTGTTGACACCTTGGGTCTTTGCCAACATAGCATGTTCACGGGTCTGGCCTCCCTTCTCGAAACCAGTCTCGTATTCTCCTTTCCGGGCACTGATGACCAAAATACCAACGTCGGCTTGGGAAGCACCACCGATCATACTGGGGACGTACGTCTTATGGCCAGGAGCGTCCAGAATACTGTACTTTCGTTTATCGGTCTCAAAGTAGCCACGTCCCACCTCAACTGTCTTTCCCTTGGATCGCTCTTCCTTGGTAAGATCCAGAGCCCAGGAGAGATACCACGTCTCACGGCCCATTTCTTTGGCCTCCTTCTTGTTCTTCTCCATTGTCCGTTCGTCAACCATGCCGGTCGCATAGAGGATACTCCCGCCCAGCGTACTCTTGCCTGCGTCTACATGGCCAATGAAGATGATGTTGACGTGCTCTTTCCCGTATATTTCTTTCAAGGTCTCCTCGTCGACGTCGGCTGCTTGCTCTTTCTCTACAGCATCAGCATCGCGGGTCGCTCTAGCAGCCGCGCGTGAAGGGCTTGATCGTCCAGATGATGGTGCGGGTGAGGTCCTGTCACTTTCAGAGTCCTTCTTCTCGGTCTTCTCGATTGCCTTGGTCGCGGCGGCCTTCGCCCCTGCTTCTGGAGTGGATGGTGTTTCCTTCTTCGCTGAAGAGTCTGCCGCTGGGGTAGGAGAGCCTATCGAAAGAATCTTGGCCTTTGGCTTCGGTGCATCCCCTCCGATGCTCAAGACCTTCGGCGCTCCTGCTTTGGTAGTAACCGGTTTGTTCAGTTCCGCTGCTCCGGAGGAGCCATCCGCCGGGCGTTTCGCAATTGTGGGCGTCTGCCGTAGAGGTTGTTGCGCGGTGGCGGGGGCTGCTTGTGGTGGTTGTTGTTGCTGCGAGTAGCCGCTGTATTGTTGCGCTAATTGTTCAGGCAGGTTAGAAATATCTGACAAAGGCAATGAATGGGGAAAAAGAATGTCCAATATGAGAATAGAGTAGATGCTGAAGCACCAAGCAATAATTCCTCCATATCCGTATTCAAAAGAGCACTCACAGTATCCTTGATTGTAGCCGCCTGCCTGATTTTGATTTTGGCTGTAGCCTGCATTGTATCCTCCCTGGTAGCCGCCTTGCTGGGCATATTGCGGTTGTGAATAGTTGTTGTTGTAGTAATTTTGTTGGTAACCTCCCTGATCATATGCTGCTGGTGCTCCTCCTCCGTATTGCTGGAACTGTCCAGAGGGTTGGAACGTCTGCGCGCCAGGCTGGAACGAATTTGCGCCCGGACGGAAGCCGCCTGCCCCTCCTTGGGATTGGGCATTGCTACCTAAGTTCATTTGCTGTGTTTGACGAGAAAGGTTGTCATCCTGGGCAGCAGGGTCGTCTTCCCATGAATTAAGGTTCGACATATTGAGTGCGGGTTGTGTTATTGACAGTGGGAGGTGTTGTCGTGGCGGATATCAAAGAGGATGGATGACTGTCGAGTCCAAAGTTGTGTGGAGTTTGATATTCGATATCGGTGTGCACGAGCCACCCGAGTCGTCCAAGAGATCGGTTCGGCGATTGGAGGGGCAGCGGCTAATGTTCGGCCTTGGAAGTATCTGCACTCAGCCTACAATCCGACGACCAGCGGCGAAGTATAAAGTAGGTACCAAAGGTACCTTAGGCATATAACGGTTTGTTCATCGACTCTGACTAAAGACTGCAACTCCTTTCACGCCATCGTTTAGGCTGCCAAGCTTCAGCCAAGTGGAGTGTCGATGTGGCGATTAATAAATGGATCCATAACAAGCGGCGCGCTCGTCGTAATATATGTTGCCTCTTGCCGCTTTGTGCACCAACTTCAACAAAGGTAAGTTCTGGAATGTTATATCCATGCTAGGAAGAGCGGCCTGCATTTATAGATGTGGACCGTGGACCATGGACCCAAACGGTGGTTAAGAATTACGAAGCAGAGAAGGTAAGACAGTTTATATGGGCTCACTAAGACTGGAAGAGTTAAAAAAGGAACGCAGCACGTGGAGGTTTTCACCTATACACACCTCTTGACACTTTTATCATCATTGTCAATTGATCTTAACTAACTAACTCACCGTGATCAAGAAGCTAATCTTTTATTAGCAGAGGACTTGAAAAGGTTGAAATCACTTCCTGGTCAGTTCCCAAAACACTACCTAGGTACTCAATGTTAGCAAAATTCAAAAATTGCTTACACAAATAGCTATTTATATGCTACAACGGCCTCCGTTCGTTTCATATTGTAGCCTTTTTAAAAATATCATTTCACGGACAAACTCGATAGCACTTTGGAGCAACCACTAACATGTCTCTTAACTCTGCTCCGCATATCCCTCTCGATGATAAACTCTGTATATTCTGTCAGCAGAAGCCTCGATCACGAGAGCGAATTGTTACAGGTAGCTCCTCTAAATTGTTGCACTACCTTGACTTATACTTACTGCGAAACAGTGTTGGATTGTGAAACCTCCAAGGCCTACACATCTGCTTATGAAATGCCAATGGCCTCACGATCGCCACGACTCCATAGAAGATCCCAATATGTCTATGGCAATGGCGAAGCTATACAGTGGCTGCTCTGCATTCGACCAGGCTGCATACCATGTACGACGTCTCCAAAATTGATATTGTTTCACGCCGACTGTCATTCTGCCTTCCGAGTTCTCTGGGAGAGGAATGGTATCGAACTACCACCCTCGAGCCCTTCTGCTTTACTTGATTTTGCATCAATACTAAGCCCGTGGTTGCCACCTGTAGACAAACCCCCATCACATTTGTGGTGGAGCCGGAGTTTGAAGAAGATGTCTGTTTTACCTGCTAAACCGACAGAATTAGGTAGCTTTGTTAGTTCGCTATCAACATTGCCACTAGAGTTGCTAGGGCTCATATTAGAAGCAGGTGGTTACGGTATGTACCATTCGGCTTTGCTTAGGCATGTTTTAGTCGCCCACGTTGCAGGTGTGGTATCAGGGCAGGCAAAACAGGTCTGCATGCCAGCTCTCGATTTTCTCGATAACCAGTACATGGTTTCCGAGAAGGATGCTGGTGTAGCTGAACCACTGGGTGTGGATTATCTTGGGGTGCGTATGGTCTCTGATAATTCGCCATGGTATCTACAAACGAAAGACGTAGAGCTGCGTTATCAGGTTAGTACAGCCCCCTTAGGTACTTCGATATGCCTGACATCTTCTAGTATCCCTTTCTTCGCCCCTTGCTAAACCGGCAGCTCGAAATGTGGGATGTTCCAAAACTACCCGATGATGGGAGCTACCGGTTCCACAGCCCAGATGAAAACAAATCCAACCTGAAGCAGATACGAAGCATTAATTTTTCTGGCCTTACGGGCTTGACATTCCTCTGCGGTTCGAAGGCAATATATGCCATTCACAAACACCAAACTCACCATTCATCGGCTCTCGATACGTTTTTAAGTTTGAGCCCGGTTATCAAGAGAATTGTCGTTCTATTATATTTCCCTTTTGATATAGGGCGCGAGATAATTAACCAGATCTGGATTCGTGAAACTTACCCAAATCATACAAGTAGCCGCACAGTCATGGTAATAGATTCCAATCGTACTTCAAATTCATAATTTAACATGATACAGATTCGCACGTCTCAGCGTACCCTGAACTTTGGCCCTAACGGTCATTGCCAAGAGAGTTATTATTTTCAGCTAACAGATGGCCCAACAACTTCTCTATTATACCATGTCCCAGCAAGCGGACAGCCTATTTCGGTTTTCGGAGCAGCATCGAAGTCTTTAGCCAGGTACCCAAGCCCCAAGCCACCTGTAATCCCGGAAATTGGAGAAGTCGCAAACGTGCATCGTACTCGAGTTTCCCTAAAAGATGTCGCGCATGTCGAAGTGTACACTCATATCCTGCAAAACATATGTAGTGGAATCTTGGTAAAGTACGACGACGGACGGGAGGAATCTCTAGGCCAACGGCGCGCCGGTTTACCCGGCGTTCAGACTATATTAGTATCCAAACCATCTCAGCTACACTACAAGCGCTTCCAAACCGAGGATAACAACTGGCGTCTAAATATCATCTTCTCTACGTGCGATAGCCCAAAGACTGTCGATGCAGAAGAAGGCTGGCTAAGTCAGGCTATGGGCGGGGAAGTAGCATGGTCTGTCTCCTGGAGGAGCGACCAATTACATTTTTTTGATGCGGAATGATGGTGGGGTTGAATGGAATGGCAAACAGCGCAAGCAGAGGCACCACCAAGCTCCATGGGTTCCCATCGTCCATGCTACTGGAATTGCTATCCGAGGACCTGAACTGGAAATCGTGAAGACGTGAGAAGATGAATCGACAAAGCAACAAAAGCATCGCCTACGCGCCGTCGGCGGGATAGAGGAGGCAAGCGATATAGGATTTCGGATGCCATCCTCTGACCGATCATGCGTCTACAATGGGAAGAAGCGACTTTGAACTTTGAAGTACAGGAATAAAAGAGAACAGAGCTGGTTAAGATACTTAACCGCCGAGGTTTCTGAGCGAGCTGCACCAAGACAATTACGTTTCGAATTCCACAGCAGACCTACATTTACTCTATTTCATCTTTTTCTTTCTGGCCGTACCTTCAATCCGCTTCTGTAACATCGTCCATCTCATGATACGCCACTGATAACGTGTCGGCCTCATATGACCTTCCCAGAACGCCTCTGTGGTATTGCATTAGAGGCTGCTGCTGAGCTGTGTATGGCAACCAGCAGTTGTAAATCAAGGTGCTGTCTGAAGACATAGAAATTACGCGAACGAATGAAAAACCCTACGCGTACAGAATCTCCACTCCTGTGCCAATTGAGACTCTTTAAGCGAAAAAGAAGAACTGAAGAATTAAAAGAATTAAAAAAAAAATAATAAAAATAAAGTCGACGCTCAACCCAGCCCCACAACCCAAACCACACAACAAGTGTAGTCCAGCGCCGCCAGATCACGGTGAAGAACTCTCTGCAGAGTGAAACCTCCCTCAAGACGTATTCTTCATTGCTTAGGGCCCCGCCAGCATCGTGAGCTTCCTACACGAGTGGGGAACCACCGCAACCTTCGAGCTGGGCACTGTTGGCAGTTGTCACAGACGAAATGGGGAGGAGCAGCTGGGATATTGATATCTCCTTCAGTTGGTGACCATCACAGCCGAGTGGGATAATCGCTAATTGGGTTTATATAGGGGGCAAAGGAGTGTGGTGGTTTACCCGCAGCTTACCCGGAGTTATACCGCAGCTGCTGGCGCCACATGACTTCGTGACTAATGCGCGCCCGGTTGTCGCGCCCTTTGTCTGACAACGCGTCTTGCCACTTCCCCCGCACTCCAACGATAACACAAGAAAAACAGCAAAAGCAGAACAGAGCTTCATTATTTAGTACTACCATCATCGACTACCATCCTGAAATACATCATACACATCTCATCTACTTCATAAACAATTAATGCCCCAAAAGCATACACCCAATAGTGCTGAAACCGCGACTCTAAGCATGGCACAGGTAGTGGTCTCCCGCAACCCCCAAAAACTCAGCCAGATGGGTTTAGCTGGCGCTGAAGCATCTGGATATTTCTCCAAGGCATGTCCTGCTCTGCCCGTGTGACCCCCATTCTCCCATTGCTAGAAACCGCTGTTCGGCTAGCTAACATTGGAACCAGGCCAATACCGGTACGAAAAGGAAGAGAGGACTAGCCACAGAGTCAAGTGACGATCGTTTAATCAAAATCCAGAGTACTTCTGCAAAAAAGGTCACATTTGCCGCGACTGCCGCGACTGCTGCGACTGCCTCGCCGTCACCCGAATGCGAAGCAGATAAGGAAGCATCCCCAACCCAGGCTTCACAACCAGTCGTTGCCAATACATCTCAACCCTCCGATCTCACTCCCTACCTCAAGAAGATTGCGCTCTCCCACATAACACCGTTCCAAAAGCGCGTCCTCACTGCTCTATGCCAAGTCCCGCCGGGGCAGTACACAACCTACGGTGTTCTATCAAAACACCTCTCTTCCTCGCCCCGCGCGGTAGGGAATGCGTTGAGGAACAATCCGTTTGCGCCGCAGGTGCCATGCCATCGTGTGCTTGCTAGTGGGGGCGGATTGGGAGGCTTTGAGGGGAGTTGGGGACGCGGAGGGGAGAAGGGGAAGAATGATGATAAGAAGAGGGGTTTACTGAGGGACGAGGGGGTGTTGTTTAATCCAAAAGGCTTGGTAGTAGGGAAGGTTTGGGAAGGGTTTAATTAGATGAGTCGTTTGGCTGGTGAACTATACGAGATGGATTGTACTGGGATGGACTGGGCTGGGACGCATTGGTATTTTGTATGTGGTCTAATTAATGTTAGTTATGGAGTCATGAAGTGCACATAAGCCACCTGGGAAGTATACAATCGTTGTGGCTTCTGTCTGTGAGGGACTGAGCAAGTAGCCTAGCGGCCACTTTAACAGTTTATAACCTCAAATTGATTAAGGTAGCCTGCCTTATGCTAAGTTATAAACGGAATATTGCCATTGGTGAAGAATGTTGTGTTATAGAAAGAATATGCTGCTGTCAAGGAGTGCCGAAGGCAGATAAGGCCTGCTCTAGCGTATGTGACCGGAATAGGGGCGGCTTGGCCTGAGGTTAAGCGGAACGACCGTAAAGCGCGGTTTCTAAACGAAGTCGCTTGTTTGTATCTCCGTCCTCAACCACGTCACAACTGTACTCCACGATAAATAAATGTCAAGACTTCAGCATCCCTCAAGATCGAACCGAGTTGATGGCGGAGAGGTGATTACTTAAGGGCATTCTCAGAGTAAGCAGCCACAATGGATGCCTTTTTGAGCAAGGTATGTCTCCATCGCTGGGGTTGATACAGAGATCACGTGGTGATAACCACCAACAACAGATCACTCAGCATGCTATGAACTATGCTATCCGGTATGAATCAACCAGTTAAAAACGATATCCTGCCATTGCTGATCTGAGTGAAGGTCGGGGATTGGGATCACGGCATCGTTCGCCATCAGCCAAACCAGCAGGTTACTCAAGGTACAGGCGTGATATTCTTTGGACGACGTCCCATGGGACTTGGCTGACGCTGATTCTGTTAGACTGTTGACGATAATGGAGACTACCAAGAGCTACAAAGCTTGCAAGAGCGGCTTGATAGCAAAATCAGAGTAAGTTCAATTATACACCAAAGTATAGCACTTGCCCATAGCAGGCTCTAGTCATTTCAAGAGAAAGGCCAAAAATACATTCCTCCTTTTTCAATCTTATTGATATTCGTATAGATTATCTCTCCAGCTATCGACCTGATAGAACTCATGTAAGTCTCCCAACGAACTCGTTCAATCATCCTGAATATGTGACTGATGGGACTTAGCTCAGCAAGAGGGAACACGACTCTCGAATCAGCCGTCACGTTGGCAAAAGCCCTTCGCTGGGATATCCAATCTCTTGGGATCCGGCTTGAAAAGGCTGCAGCTGCCGAGGAGATATCGCGCAAGAAGAGTGGCCGAGCAAAATCCCGCGCTGCCCATGAGGTCGAGATTCGCTACATCGTCCAAGACATCCGAAAACTTCTGATACGCATTGAAGATGCAGTGCCCCTCATTAATTTGGCCATTGCAACTTCTGGTGCCAGTCTTTCAACCAGGCTCCCTTCAACAGTATCGCCATCCAGACTCTTACAGGCGAGCACGTTCCTCACTCTTGGCGATACCCGGTATTGTGAGAATCCGGCAGTTCCAGCGCAGGTCGGTCCGGTTTTCACGCTGTCATTATACATGCTCTATAGCGGACATGCTCCGGTAGGGCGCAAAGAGAAGTATAAGGGTGAAGAACAGGAGCCCGATATGGCCAAGGGACGCAAGACTAATAGGGGCCCCACTTGGAAAGAGGTCGTTCATAAAGCAAGGGTGAAGTTACTGCGAGTTCCATTGGATTTTACGGATCCCGCGTCGTTAGACAGCCATACAGAGAGCTATGGAGGAGAACAAACCATAACATCAGATGAGGGACGAACGACCGAATTCGCCTACCAGCTCGAGTTCATCGAAGATCTGGACGACGATAGAGTGCACACATTTGACGATAATGAACCTCAACCAGGCCCATATGGAGGTGTTCAGCTTGCAGGAATCCGAGAATCCCTTCCTATTCACCAAATTGGAAGGATATTCTACGCCGATACTGGGAAGATACTAAACATCAGAAGTCAGCATGAAACAAACAATCCCGTGTTATTATTGAAGCGCGATGTCGATGCACTTCCGCCGCGCAAATTAATGCAAGAGAGTGAGAAGTCATACCAGTGGTACGAAGACCCAGAGGACGCCCATGCTCCATACCTTTTGCATGATTCAGATAGCGATTCGCAAAATGATATCGATCGCCAAATCCAACGAGAGAGTTCAGTGGCACTATTGGAACAAGCAGCCGCCGATAATCAGCCGCCGGAGGAAGAGAGTAGGGCATGGCGTTTCCCACAAGATCTAGATCCCGAGTGGATAGCACTCGAAGTTTATAACGAGCCCGAAGAATTCAACTCCGACGACGAGCAAGAGCCGACCGAAGGCTCTACCTATACCTCCCGCCAGCCAAGCTTATCCGCCGAAGCCGAGTCGCCCATCGATAAAAGCCTGGCTGAGAAACTAGAAGCCATCAACCTTTCACAGGACCCGCCTTCCCCAACTCCCACTCCATCACCAAAGCCAACACCGCCACCAGCCGGCCTCACAGACCCCATTACCGAACCTCCATTCACAAAATCCACCGCCGCCGCCCCTCCCACCCCCTTTGGACCTATCCGGTCCTCGCTCTCCCTTCTAGAAATGCTCATCCGCCTCGCATCCCTCCAACAATTCCAACAAGCCTCCCACCTTTCTATCCCCGACGAATTCCTCGTCTTCTTCCTGGAAGAATCCTCCTCCACAGGCCTAGGCGGCGCCGACGACCGCCGCAAAGCACGCAACGCAGCGCGCGAGAAGGTAGGATTTGATCCGTATGACGAGACTCCTATGAAGAGGCCTGGGGAAGAATACACTGGAGGTGATAATCAATGGGACTCCGCACCGGCTCGGTCGACATATACTGAGTACGAACGGAGTCCTAATTATTACGATAATCGCGGGTTTCGAAATACCACCCCGAGCGGTTGGACTCCGCCCCCTAGACTGGGAGGTAGTGGGCGAGCGCCAGGCACGCCTGAACCACGGCTACCTCATAATCGCGACCTGTCTTCTACCCGTCCGGCTCAGGAGATACAGGATATTCCACCTTCGTCACCCGTCAGTCCATATCGGCCGGTTCGGAAACTTACAAGGCAACTACAGAGGGTGAAGCAAAGCGCGGCGGTAGCAAGCCCGTTAGGGAGGGGTATGAGTGTTGAGACCGATTCTACGCTGGGAACGAGCCCGGGGAGTCCGACATTGGTGGAGAGGGCGGAGATGATGCACAAAAGGGTGCATGCGGAGAGGGGAACTGAGAGTGAGTAGAGTGAGGAGATATTAGAAGACGAGCGAAGCGGGTTGGGAGTAGTGAAGTATGGAAGGTAGATGAGTGTAGTAGGGCCAATAGAGTTAGATAGAATGATACCCCAATACATCCCCAAAATAATATCATCGCCGCCTCGACCGCAAGAGCTTCTAGTACTACTTCCGAATACGCTCACCAACACAAACCATTGTATATATTAAAAAAACATTACTTAAGTTCGAAAACCGGGACTATGCATTTTGTACGAATACAGTCTTGGCAGTAAAAGAAATCGATATGGCTTGCGTGATCCGTGTACGATGCTGGTTCTCGGGTATAGCATAAATTTTGTTTGTTTTAAAAAGCGCTATTTATACTATTTACATAAATAACTAGCAATAAAGCCACGGAGCAGACAACCTAATAATACGAGGGACAGACTGGGCAATATGCAGTACCACCTGTTCGTCTGTGAGACTTAAGATAGGCAAACGGCTTATTTAGAGTACAAGATTTTGATGCAAAATCCAGGGGATTCCTTGGGTTTGTATATCAGAAATGAAATATGTAGTTGACTATGGCATCAAGAGCCTCTTTCAAGCACCTAGTGCTGCTGATATCCATTTATCATGATTGAATCTTTAAAATCATGCTTCCCAGGACCGATCACCGCAGTATTACTTATACTGCTCGTGCTATACGACTTACGCCTTTAGTTCTCGAGTATATTATGGTGTATTTTTCAGATCCGACGTTTTGCTAATAGGGCGAAGTACAAATATCCCCGCTACCTTAGTTCAGCTGTTGCGAGGCACTAAGCCCTATAGACTGGGGGTTGAAGAGCTTAGATCTGCAAACTTCTAGCAGTGAAAGACGCTTGTCAATGTGGGACGAACTGGCAGGTAACGGGGAGAACAGAAATAGACGTTGCACGATATTCAACAGGGTTGAATCTCCTAGAGCGATGACTTGCCTAGCACAGAAGCCCCTAAAACGGGGGGCTAAGGAGAAAAGAATGTCAAGATCGGAGATACCGAGCGTAGTAAAACGAGGACCCACCTTCGACTACTGTTCCAGTTAAGATTCCAAGTCCAATCCAAGACCCAAGAACAACAGTGTGACGGGAATTGGAAATTCTGGGCCGCGTGGCCTAGTCAATATGGTGTGTTTTGTATGTACCCCGCGTACCCCATAGCACGGTCTTGGAGTAACAAGGACGTGCAGACGTGCTTTTGGTACAGAAAATATTGGCACATACGAAATAAAACTCCTCGAAATGCGAGATGTCGCCAAGAAACCCCTCCAGTTTGCGAGACAGCCCTTGTTCCATCGCTGATCTTCCGAGCACAGTCGCAACAATGTCTCTTCATGCAAGCTACGAGTACTGGAAGGTCAGGAAGTTCGTCCGGGTTTCGGAGCGTGCCTTGAGCAAAGGATGGCGTGCATCGACGCACAGACTCGAGCGCAAAAACTCGCAAGTGACTGGATGACAGACAGGAAGCAGCTGGATTACTGACAAGAAGTGACAGGATTACTGACAAGACTGGGTTCTGCACCCGTATGGACTAGGGAAATGCCCAAGTGGTGCAGAACTCGCTGATCGACGCTCCGCATGGCCGTTTCCCCCATCTGATCGCGGAGACTATGGAGCGACCGGGAACTATCCAACTAGTGGCGAGGTTATCTTGCTGTCATTTCAGAGACAAACTCCTCGACCAGCGGGAGATGAAGATCGGCACCGATATCTTTCAATATATCGACTTCTCGAGCAATTGGGACTGTTGCTGCAGAAGGCATAGATATGGGAATTAGAAGCATCTCCGAACATGCGGCGAACACTCAGCTCAAGCCTCAAGCCCAGCTGACAAGACCCCCGAGGGTTCAAGACCTAGGGATGGGATGGATATAGCACCCGAAGTAGCATTCCGAGCCGCCGGTCGATCGCTTGCTTGGTGTGCGTGCAAGTTGCAATAATAGACGGTACAGGCCTCATATTGTGGTTGCGGTCGGCGGATACTCACCGTTTGGTGTGCGCAAGGCTTCGCTCCGCGTCCGTTTCTGGGTGCGACGGGGAAAGGCTAGAGCTCGTCTCCAAGACATTGAGATAGGTAATTGCTGGTAAGTGGCTTGACCATTATTCTCGCCACGACAAATGGCGTCGAGAAAGGGACCGAGAGAGAATCAAACTGGGCAACTTGCAGAGAGCTTTGTTGTGATTGCGAGTAAGTATGTGCATGTATGAAGCAGTAGTAGAACTGGCAAAGTCAGGTTGGTTGGGAGGAAGGGAGAGTGGCAAAAGAGAGCGCGAGAGCGCGAGAGAGTGAGAGAGTGAGAGTTAGAGAGAGAGTAGCGATACGAAGGTAGAGGGAGGTGAGTAAGCAATCACGTGAGCATGCTTCGGTTACCGCTACCTCCCGTTAGCTCCGGGAGCGCGCCGTTCCTCCAACTTTCTAAAGATTCCAAGACTCCAACTCTAGATACCTCCCTCCACTGCCGCAGCGTTACTTAGTACCAACCGCGAAGGGCCTAACAGTTTCATATGCATATTCAACCTAATTCAACCTCCACCATGCGTCTACAATGTGGAAATTAGGTTCAGGCGACCCATTAACCCACCTATACCGGCACTCCCTCTTCCCTCCTCCCTAGACCCTACTTCGTACTCCCGCTCGAAATCCATGATCAATACTTCCTTCGTACGTCGGCAATCGTCAGCTACCCGGGGCCCTGGCTCCCTGGAAGAGCAATGAAAGTTCCCCGTCTGGTGGTGCTGGTGCTAGTGCTGGTATAGTACTAGCCGTCTTTTTCCAATTGCCAAATGGTCCTGTCCCGAGCCGGTCTAATGCCCCATGCACAGATACAATAAATCTGCAGAGAATGGCCGCAGTCACAGTCCGATGGTGGTGGCGGCCGCCTCCATACAGGTAAACTTGGTAAAGTTAGGTTCATGGTTGCCTCGCGGGAAAAGGTCTACGTCGCAGCTACAGCCACACGGGATTTGCGGTTTCAAGCATAATGTTCGCTTTGAGCCTTTTCTAATTTGTACACCTGGCCTACACCACACTCTATTTTATCCAGTCAGAGATCTGGCACGGTGTTTTGGCCGTCATTCTCTCGCTAGAGCGCAGAATCTGCACCCCGCATTATTAGAGAAGTGCTTTCAGCCTAAGCACAACCGATGCAACTTCTACCCGTCCAGAACCCAACCTCGTCCCTTGAGGCAGACAGTGTCTGAGCTCCGGATTTTGGAAAATGGAGAATCAACGGTCGCGTGTACGTTGTATGGCGTAATGATGTTATCGATCGAGTGAAACTAGCCTCAAGATCTCCCCAGGCCAGATATCCGTGCTCACTGTGGCCACGAGACCCTATATCTGTATGGTGATTTAGGTATCGGATTGGGTCTGGGGACCGTCTGTTAGTACAGCCTTGTAGCAAGATCTTCCCGAGGACAGGCATACGGGTTCGACACAAACCTGGTACGCACAATGCCGTGGCACCTGCATATTTTCCTGGATCAAATCGACCCTCGTTCGCGTATTGCTGAACAGCTATAACTCTCTACTTTGTATTATTGACCTGGACGTCACCAGCCAGTTCTGGATGAATATACATAGTAACAGGCAAGGCCACGACACTCAAAAACCACTTTGAATTCAGAAAACGACTTGCTGGGAGATTTTGTCAGATTAATTGGGGAACGAAGAATATGTATCTAGCAAGGCAGGCTTCGCCTCCCGACTTTGGGCCGCCGCCCTCCAACGAGAGCCATGGCCAAATGATACTTGGCATCACCGGCTTTTTCACGGCTTTTGCGTGTATGGCGGTACTTCTGAGGATGTATGTAAGGGTGGTGATGTTGAAGAGAATGGGCGCAGATGACTATGTCATGATTGTTGCAATGGTAGGACTCGGCGCTCGTCTTCCGCTATTTGGCTAACGCGAAAATAGCTGTGCTCGTTCACAGTCTTCGTTTTCTTCGTTGTCGAGGTGAACTTGGGGGTAGGGCAACATTTCGGGAACCCGCATTTCATGTCCAACTTTACAGAAATTGTGCACTGGTCTTATCATCATGGATGGATACTGGTGGTTGGCATTAGCAGTGTCAAAATCTCTGTAGGAATCTTCCTTATCAGGTTGGTCCAGAAGAAATGGTACAAAGTATGTGTTCTCCGAATCAACTCGCCTCTCCCCCTACTAATAAATTCTCAGCGCTGCATAATTGCCTGGATAGTCTTCTTGGTGATTTTCACCGTGGCATGCGTGGGCACATTGTGAGTCCCTCCCTTATGTTCTATGCATATTGTTTTGGACACCATTGCTAATGATTGCAATCTTTGTAGAATATTTCAATGCATCCCGATCCGTGCAGCCTGGGACTTTATGCTCAGATTGGATCCTAATACGAAATGCTACAGCATTGATGTATTCCGCAGTATAGGTCTATTTAACGGAGGTACGTCTCCTTGCATAACCTCGAAAAAAAAACTCACTTACAGAACCATAGCCATCAACATATTTACCGATTTTGTTTTTGCGACTCTACCTATTCCAGTAATATTGCCTTTGAAAATCGACATGCGATCCAAGATATCACTTGTTTGTATCTTGAGCCTCGGTTACTTGTAAGCTCTTCTCCCAATTTTCAAGCCCTAACTTGTAGCTAATGTTGAGGCATAGTGCTTGCGCTGCAGCAATTGTCAAGGAACAGCTCCTATCAAACTTTTTCGAAAATATAGACAACTACTTGTAAGTGTCATTCCCCTACTCAACTCCATACCCTCCAGATGCCCAACATCGAAAAAGAGCTAACTCCAGCATTAGCAACAACGCATTCAACATTTGGAACGAGTAAGTCCAACATCACATACCCCATCCAGGCTTCTGACACTCCCTTAGCGTCGAACTCAATGTCGCGATCCTAGCCGCATGTCTTCCAGCCCTCCGACCCCTCGTCGCCTCATTCCTCGATACCACCACCAGTGTCAGAAATTCCGACCTCAGAACCCGCATCCGTAACAAGAACTTCCAGTCGCGCCACCGCAACTTCCACTACATCATGCAAAAAGACGAGAAGGATCTCTCGGGACACAATAAAGAAATCGAGCTTAGCACGATGCCCTCGCGGTCGACGATGACTGCCTCGCCTATCTTCGTCGACACTGGTGTTAAGGGAACAGAGGATGGGCCAATATTGTATGAGGAGCGAGAGAGGGTGTTGTATAGACATGACAGTGGCACGACTTTAGTGGGCAGTTCTCCGACGGATAAGCTAGACAAGATCATGGAAGCGGAGGATAGTGATAGTGGGTATCGGGAAGGTGGGGTTGAGAGGGCGTATTTGAGGAGCGAGACGGGGAGAATTTTCAGAAGGGAACGTAGCCCCCCGAGGAGGGCGAGGGATATAAATTCAGGAGGAATCTTAAAGACGATGGAAGTCTCTGTCACAAGATGACACTTGACCCATCATGTTTAGTGTCGGTGCATGGGAAAGGAGAACAGCATTAGCGGCGCATCCATTCTTTATGCGGTTGCAAAAGCGGGTTGGTTTTGACTGGCGTTGGGGACGGAACATTCATTACAGGCTGGGACGGTCATTTGCGACGGCTAGTCAACCGTTGGATTATTCATGGCTTATACGGGACATCAGCGAGGCGTATCTTGGGTTTTGGGTGGCTACTGGCGCATATCATGTTTTCATCTCTGGCTGGCATGCCTCTATGATACCACATATACCATATGTATACATCACTCGAGTACTACATAATTATCAATGAAAAGTTTTCTAAACCTTAATCACTAACTGTGCCGGTGGACAAGCAGATAGTCCAAATTGTTCTAATGTGAGCAATGAAGTTCGTCCTATTGCCAACTAGAAATGTTGTTGGGTCGATGCATACCTACCTACCTACCTAGGTAGGTAGGTAGCAGGTATGCAAATGGCTGCTCTCCCAGAGTTTGACTTATATTGGCTTAGATTGTTCGCGCATGGCCGTCACCTGAATTCACGTTTGAGGTAATGATGTGCATTGCATACTTGTAGATGATATTTTCCGTGTGCTACTCGGACACACGTACGGACGAGGAAATCAATTCCCGAAACCCTGGATGCGCAATGAGCCATTCATGTGAGCCATCCAGACATATATTACGTGGGGTATTACGTGGGATATTACGTGGGACAATAGCAGGTAGGTTTTCCCTTCAGCTACCTAGATGTCTAGGCAGAGGGCTATTTTATCCGAGGATAATATATCGTACACCAGCAAAACGTTTACTGTCAAAGCGAGTATTCCTGCCCAACTTCTGAACCCCCCAGATCAGGTACCCCAGATTCCGAACTGATAAAGAATTACACCAAGTACTATACAATGCCGATGCAAGCATGGGGTATCTCATAATGGCTTGCCAGCCTCCGGCATCCTCATAACGCCGTAGAATGCCCGCTCCCGACTGCCCTGAAAATATAAATGAATAGATCGTCACTCAGAGTCGTAATCAACCAGACAGCTAGTAGCCGGAGTATCTTTCGAAGCAGCTTCCATGGCTGTACACTCAATACCGGCCCGTTTCCTCTTCAGACCTGCTAGGACAACCTTCCTACTAGGCTGAGCTTGTAATTTTGAGCCTGGTAGAAAGGGGTCCATCGCAGCTCTTGTGTTACCTCTTATCTCGGCAACAAAATCTGCTGTTCTTTTTGCGGTGATTCTTTCGGATTTTAGTTTTCTCTTAGTCGGTTTAGAGCTTGTAGGGCTGGGTTTCTGTTCCGCAAATAGAGGTTTGGAGATAGCCTTCGCCACACTCTTTTCAGAATCCAACTCACCAAATTCGATAAACCCAGCTCTCCTAGTGTCATCCTCATGCTCAGGAAGTAGATCGAGCCCAAGACTCATTTTATCTTGCAAAGCGGCCGTAACACTCGCGTCCTTCTCCCTCTTTTTCCTCCCAACCCTAAAGGCGTTGCGTAGCTTCTTATTCCTCTCATAGGGATCCTCCCATTGTTTCTCGGACAGGTCCTGAAGTTCCTCTAGCCGTTTCTTGCTATATTCCAACCTCTTTTTATCTTCAACCTTCCCTTCAAGCGCAGCAAAAGCATTATCCCTCATAGCCTCTCTCTCCTCCTGCGTCATAATCTTGACATCCCCTTCCTCTACCTTATCCTCCCCTAAATCTCTCTTCCTCGCGCCCTCCGTAACCACATACGCCGTATTCTTCGGATCCGTGCGAATCTCAATCCAGCCACCACAAGCCACATGCTTCATCCGAAAACTGAATATGGGCGAGGAGTAATAATTCCCAACCTTCTTCTTCTCGGCATTAAATCGAACGCCTTGGCCTATGATCGTGGGCTTGGGACAGTGCGTACACCATATTGGATACGGCATTTCGAAGCGGACGGTCAAGACGCCTTGGGATATTTTGTTCGCCCGTGCTCCGAGGGCGTGTTTTCCGTGGAGTTGGTTACCACTGATTACACCCTCGTGCTCTGGGGGCACATAGCGCCCCATATTGAAGCCCTGCATCTTAAATGCGCAGCAAATATGCTGTCTGTGGTGCGGTGTAGCTTTCGTGAAGGTTGAGGTTGGCTGGAGGCTAGAAGACGGCGGCTGATAAACGAGCCTTGCTTACATAAGCTGTATAAGCGCGAGCATCTAGCTTACGGTCCGCGATGATGCCAAACCGTGAATGTTTTAATAATACACACTATATCGAGGATACACATATACAGTACCCCAAACCCATTCACCAGCTCATATTTTGTTCCCTTCTTCCCTAGTTTAAAGCACCCCTTTCCCTCTCCAAACAACGACCCTGGATTAGCTACGAGACGGGTGGCGAGAACAGGAACCCCAGACAAAATGAGTAGTGAAGTCACGACCCTCGAAAATGAGATCAAGGAATATAAACTACAGGTTAGTGTTTCTTTCCAAGTCTTTCGACCATTGCTAACTTCAGCATAGTTGGAGACAGTCCAACTAGGCCTTCAAGCAGATCCGGATAGTGCAGAGCTTCAGGAATTAAAGACTGAACTCGAACAAGTCATTTCCCTCACCGAAGCTTCGATCGCAGAACTAAAGCCATATTCAGTTCCAGCTGCTGCACCCAAGAAATCAGAACCACCAGTGAAGGAGAAATGGTCGAGAGAGAACCACCCCGCTTTCAAGAAATCGACGGCTACCACGGCTGCGGTAGAAGAAACAGAGACCCCGGCGAGCTTTTCAGTTAACGATACAGTGCTGGCAAAATGGCATTCAGGAGACAAGGGATTCTACCCCGCGCGTATAACTTCGATTACCGGCTCGTCGACGGCTCCTGTGTATATTGTTAAGTTCAAGAGCTACGACACCACCGAGACACTGCGCGCCAAGGATATCAAACCCATTACCAATCCCAATAAGCGCAAAGCTGATGGTACACCAGTCGCAACTTCGATACCCGTATCCCCCGTCAACTCCAACGTTATCTCTGCAGCTGCAGATATAAACCCAGAGCTTGCGCAACAGACCAAGCGCGAGCCAAGTAAGGTCAGTGATGGTCCCGTGCGGCCTGCCAAAGTTCCCAAGAAGATCAAGGCGAATAAGGAATTGGAAGCTGGCAAGAATAAATGGCAGGATTTTGCGGCGAAGGGGAAGTTCGGGAAGACCGCAAAGAAAGAAAGCATGTTCCGTACCCCTGAGGGTGTTCATGGTAGAGGTATGTTATCCCCTAATTCTCCGGTAATGACAGAGCTAACATAGTGCAGTTGGTTTTACAGGTTCCGGTCAAACTATGCGGAAGGACGCTACGCGGAGTAGGCACATATACCAAACGAATGGCGATGAGGACTTTTAATTGGTTGGGATGGGATTGCGGCGGGCAGGGGTATTCTGCAAGTATTGGCGTTGGGGCTGGCATCTACCTTTCGAGCATCCCTTTCTCTTATCTGTTTGCACATCGATTTTGATGGAGGCTAACACGGGATCTTATTTTGCACTAGTGGCCATGAGAATCAAAAGAAATATGAGAAAATGAATGTACACCCCAAATTCCCGTTCAAAAAGCTATGCACATGGACTCCATGCTAAACTTATAATTTCAAAACAGAATATGGTTATCAGAACCTGCCTCTACCTCTAATCTCTGTCCGGATGCTCTTTCCATCCGTTGGCTATTCCAATGCCACCTTGTTCATTTTATGCGATCTTATGCGCGTTTTTAGCATCGGATGAATATTTTGTATTAACAACCCATCTCAGTCGTAGGCTATATATTGCATGGACTATCTCGAGCCAGAGTGCAAGTGTCTCTGGCAGTGATTTAAATCTGCCTTAGGATGATAATATATCAGACCTATAGTATTAAGAATACACAATATAGAGAATACACAATCTTTCAAGACCTTGATATCAAATTTGAACAAGTCATAAATAGAGATATTTACAGAACCCTTGCATATTCCCAGCTACCCGACAAATATGCCAGCGGGGGAGGGGCTGAGTATGGGAAAATATAACGAAGTCCTTCGGCTTGGTTTGTGGAGCTGTATTATTTGTTCTTTTTGCAATCGCGTTGTTGCTGTATTTTGTTACAATAAAAGCTGTCTGCCTAAGTGCTTTGAGCACTCTTACTTTGAGCAGTTTTATTGCGCTCAGCAATCAGGTTCTCCAATACAGGCCGCAACTGCGAACTCTTTCTTACGGTCCAGATATCTCGCTTCGAAGTGAACCTATAACCTTCTCGTAGCTAGCGCTGTCGAAATGAAACTGAGCATATCGACTTTCCACTCGTACTCTGGGAGGTCGTATCGCTATGTTATAAGAAAGTGAGCTCTTAGGAATAGAAACCGATATTTCGCCCTGGGACGCTGCTCACTTATCTTGCCATATGGTATCAAATGTTGGTTCAGGTTAGAGCTGCCTAGTAGCGAGACACTCATCCCTCCACCTTATTTATATTACAGTGCGCTTGAGCTGGTGACTCTTTCATACAATAAGTAAGGGTTAATTAGCTACCCAAAGTTCTACCTCATTCCCCTTCTAGCGATACCGAAATACAAATGGAGTCAACTCGATAGGACAATGAAAGCCTATCCTGCTTGCCAATTTTAGGAGCCTACCTATACATCAGATTCGACCCCGAGAAACCAGACCGCACCTATCCCAGATAGCAACATGGCTGCCGTGGCTAAATACAAGAAGGAACTTGAAAACTTCGGTGGGTTCCCTAGTTGGAGATTCCCGGCCTTCGGATCCCACGTGATTAATATGACTCATCTCGGTCCCCTTGACTGACAAGAGATAAGCATCTCGTAAAGCGCCTTCTCATCCCATCTTCACACCACTTCCGTCACTATTACAACAAAGTACAATGGGAGCTCACGTAGTAGAACCCAGCCGGCTATGGCTGGAACCACTAAACTCCGAGGAGCATTTCGAAGACTATTATGCAATCCAGTCCCACCCGCTAGCAATGTTCTGGTCGTTAGTTGTTCTAAACATCTGCAATATCTAGGCCAAGGTTGATCTGTGCACAGTTCTCAAACCGTTCATACAACTCGCGAACAGTCATTAGCACAGATGGAGTCGATGCGGCCCTCGGTTGATAAACCGTGGAACGAAAGATGGGCTATTATGCTGCGTCCCATGGCCACTGAAGCTGCTTCTCCAAACGAAGAGAACGGAGCGGTTAAGAAGCCTAAACCGAAGATGATTGGTTTTCTAGGTATTGTCCGGCAAGACGAAATTGGGTATAAACTCCACCCGGACTTTTGGGGGAACGGATACATGTCCGAAGCACTTGCGCTATTTATTGACCTATTTTGGAAATGGGATGGTATGTTCTGTTCTTTTGACATGTTTTTCCCCGTGTGCCGAAACTAAAATTATCGATATAAAAAGGTCATTTCAAACCTGAAGCCGGCCCTCAAGTGCCGACGGAAAGTTGAAACAATTTCTAATACTTTGTGATAGCCATGAAATCGTCTACTAGACTCATTGCAGCCGCAGACTCAGAAAACAAAGGAAGCTTGAGAGTATTAGAAAAAGCAGGGTTTATCAAAGACAGATATGAAAAGGAGTTTTATGAGCGTGCTATAGATCAAGGGAAGGGAGGCAAGAAGCGTGATTTGCAGTTTTTCTACTTGGATAGGCCACAGCGTAATGATGGGACTTCGAATTGAAATGAATCATTGTAGTTTTTTGCTTGGGGATGTGTAGTCACTTAATTCAGATAAATAATTGCTTGGAGTACCTCGGACGGGAGATGATGATGATCTTCTCGGCCATTAAGGCGCTCCAAATACCGATATTGAACTTGCTCGGGATTATGTACTAGGATTGTAGAACAAGCTATCGTAGAGGGAAGGACCAAACTGCAATAAAACACCACTCGAGTTACTCGACGATTCTAACGAACGACGAATAAGCAATCGGTCTCGAGGCAGTAGATAAAAGCGGGACTTAGGAGAATGTCTCGCTCGTATATTGTGAATATACTACCAGGTTATAAGCCGTTTAGCATACTTTGGCAGACACTCACCACCTTAATTATATTTTGAGATATTAAACAATATACAATACATGCCGGGTAATCCCAGTTCTTACGCTCTTACCGTACTGTACAAGATCAACCCGACGCTCCTGCTGATGAGCGCCATTGCGATATAGATATTAAAATATCCTTTCCTTCCTTAGGCTACTTGCCTTCTTCTTTCCACTCGTCATGCCCCAGTCTCCAGTCCTAACCTGACCGAGCCTTTTGCTAAATGTCGAATAGCCCGCCCCTAGTGGCCCCGCTGGGATATTTAGATTATCCCAGTCGGTTTTCCCCTCGCCGTCCCACTCATCTAATGGCTCTTTGCCCTTGTTTAAAGTTGACAAAGTCCTTTTGTCCAATAGTCTCAACCGCTCAATGGCACTTGTCAACACCTCCCAGCTCTCCACAAAACCCAAGCTAGCTTTGGCCCCGCAATCACAGTCACAGCCACCAGGACATTCTGTATTGCCGAATGAGTGATATTCAAGCAAACAGTGCTGATGAGTTGCGCAGCCGCAGGATAAACAGGGTGTGAACAAGGCGCTAATAGGTTCCATGCAAATCGTGCAGCGGAGCTGGCGCTGGGTGGTTTTGCAGCGCTCGCAGCGACCGACCGCGCCACCGCCAACATTAGAGGCTAGCGGTTCGAGGCGAATGTCATGTTTGAGACAGTATCCAGTTACGTCAAGTCCTTGGTCTGTGGTAGGTGGGAGAAAGTGACTGTGGTCTTTCTTGCCAATGAACATTGGCGATGGAGGTTCATGATTCGAAGTATGGGTATTGTTCGAAAGGAGCGAAGCGAACGACCTGTTATCGGGAATATCAGCTTCGGAGAAGAAGTCTTTAAGCCCATTAAACTTTAGGACTTCGAGACTTGCGAGCGGATGACGCCAGAGAAATAAGAGTTCTGCATAAGCCCTACGATAGCCGGCATAGCGAGAGGTATGACTTGAATCCAAAAGGCTGGTACTCATGCAACCCTCGTCATCGAAGGCATTCTGATTTTCCATCGTCAAACTAATGCCACTGCAGATTGTTGGTCTCCAATCGGTCGTTGGCTCCTCATCATCAGAGGAGGAAGGTCTGTCTGTTGCGTACTGCTCTTTCACACTACCAAGCACCGTGGTGTTGCCCCACGTGATCGCAGAACTAAGCATGTTCTCAACCGGGCTTGGGCGCTTCCGACTCGATGATGGTGGATTTGGCGGTGATGAAGAGGCAGTAATAGAGAAGGATCGAGGGAAGTTTGCAGAGAATGTTGACGCAAGAGCGGAATGAGCGCGGCGGAGGCTACGTGGGTTGTCTGGGGACGTGGATAAACTTTGAGTATGCTGAGCTAGACGCTCCTGACTGCCACGGTTTGATCGAAGAGGCGGCGTTTCTCCACATGAGTATGATGCAGAAGCTGGATCACTTCCCCATGCACCGTTCGAAGAACCTACAGAACCATAAAGACCAGATGGAGTTTGTGCTATTTTGGGCGTCGATACCACTGAGTTAATGGGGGTTCTCAGGTACTTGCTCCACGCAGCGGCATCGGTGGGGAAGTAGTCAAGTGAAAATGCCGGCGTTTTCATGGAGATAGGAGTTTGAGGCTGGGTCATATGCGACTCTGCATGTGAAACAGCATTGATCGACTCTGGCTCGTTGAAAACGCACGATAGCATAGCCAGCATTTGAACATCCGCAAGCTGTTCGAAATATTCAAACAAGTCACTGATAAACTGCTTTGCGAGTGGACTATGACCCCATTTCACCCGACCAGACAGACTATTCCGCCGGCCGTGAGCATCATAGGATACGTCAACGCCACTGTCAGAACCGCTCTGTCTCCGACGCCGCTTCACAGAATCTTTTGCGATAACAAGTATCGGCTCACGACGATGAGATTGGTCGAGAACTTCCAATGGAACCTCATTATGCAACAGCATCGCAGCATATCTCCATATGTCTGCAAGGTCACGAAAGCCATGTTTCTCAGCAACAATAGCATTGTGTTCGCATATATTGGGTCCTTCCCCAAAGATAGCATACTCTTCTGCAAGAACAAGCTTTGAAGGGAGAAGGTCCGAGATATTGTGGAGGGATATGATATTCTTGGGTTTGGAGGATCGATTCCTACCGCCCACTCCTGTTGCGCCAGTCCCGGTTCCCGTGCCGGCTGCACTGGATTTCTGAGAGAGAACGGTGGGAGATGCCCTCCCCCAGGCCCTGTGTCCAGACCTGCGAAAGTAATCGGACATGGGAAATCGAGCAACTCGGAAATTTGACGAATCAGAATCGCTTGAGGATGATATGTCAGACTCATCAGATACCTCCGAGTCGGTTCGAGCTTCCGAGGCAAGGGAAAACGTTTTAATTCGGGGAATGGGAGAGGTATTACTATTCAAACGACCAAAGGTCTCAAAACTTGGTTCTCCTCTCGAACGAGCGTTGTTCTTCGCCACAAGGGTCTCCAGAAGTGACTTAACCTTGTCTGCCTTTGGAGGAAAGAAACACACAAGCCTTCCATCCGCCGAAAATCGAGCTCCACAGAACCGTGGTAGTGGGACATTGGCGTTACGATTTATAGGCGTAAACATATCTCCTGTGGCGCTAGAATCCAGTTCCTGAGACATCATAGCCGAAGCACCGGCCGGTATATCAGCGTCTTCGTCGTCACTCGAGCTTTCGTCGGCAAGAGCATCAAGATCGTCGTCGATATCCCTGACGTCCTTGAAAAATGTTGTGCTTGCCTCTAAATCAACCTCGCCCAAGAGATAGCAGAGAACAGCCTCGAGGCATCCTTGCCGACGTGTAACGAACCCTGTTGCTATTTGTTGGACTTCTCGCTTTAATTTGTGATGGACCTCGTCAGACATGAGTGAAGTTTTGCCTAAGTTGAACATTGGTGGCTTCGTCTCTGGATACTGGTCTGGGAATGTTATCGTGACTTTGATATAGATAGCATTGCCTTCTTCCCCCCACGGCCCATTCATGGATACAACGGCAGTACGTTGGTCCATATTGACGTCGTCGAAAGTAATCTTGGGAAGTTGGTCATGGATACGGATAATTTCATCATGCAGACTTTCCGGGGAATTCCATGCTCTGTCTTCTTCAAACTCAGGGTTCAGAAGGGAGAATTTCCGTGAAGACGCCCGCCGTTGTCGGCCGTTGCCAGTTTCCTGCTTATTGAACTTAATGCCACTCATCCAACCGATCTGTTTTTGGTTCTGATCATCCGGCTTGACACACCTCTCCTTCCCTGTTACTACTGGAGCCCTAACCATCCCGTGTGCCCGTGTATTCCGAGGCAAAGTCATTTTTTTCATGGCTGAACTCAACGCACTGACTTTCAAACCGGAGCTCCCAGGCCTAGGGCCTGCGAGTGGAACATGCTTTTTGTCACTCGCGACATTCTCTAAAGTGCGGAACGTTTTATAGACTGCCCCTTTTCGTGTGACATTCAGGTTCTTGCGAACTTTGCTGCCCTTCACATAGCCAGCCTTCTCCAATATTTCCGGATCAACGTGCTGTAAGCGTAACCGGTTGTCTTCGCCCCAGGAGACCAACTGGAACTCTCGATTGTCGATTCCGTCACCCGTAACACCGCCTCGACTTCTCCACAAGAAGTCTTTTACCTTGTTTTCGCCATGTCCTGCGAATGTAACAATAGATGAGACGGTGCTGTCTTTATTAGAGTCCTCATGCGCTTGACCCTCATAAAGATGCAGATTCCCGGGAGTGTCCTGTGGCATAGCCAGAAGTCCATATCCAAAAGGAGTATGGCGAGCTCGCCAAACAGGGAAATTGGTCCGGATAATGCGCTCCGGTTCATCCAAGTCGTTGCCATAGTCCCAAAATTTGATGCTCTTGTCTAGGGAGCAGGTGACAACGCTTGTGGTCTTGGTTCGATTCCAATCGATGCCATAGATTTTTGACTCATGCGCATTGATAGACCTCAGGGGTGCAGCCCCTTTACGGTCGTCCCATATCCTTAGCCAACGATCATGCGAGGAAGCAAGAATATGGGGATCCTGACGGTTGTATTTGACTTGGGTCGCGCCTGCAAACCAATCACAAAATGAGAGGACAGGTTGCCTTGGCCTACGAAGGTCCCAACAGTGGACATACCCATCTACGGCACATGTTGCAAGCATGTCCGTGTGATGCGCCGAGAAATTGATATCCGTGATAGCCCTCGTATGTCCATGGAGTGTGTGTTCGATTGCCCCTCTAGACCTATCCTCCTGCATATTCAAGTTCCAGACCAACGCCTTCTGGTTTGCCGTGCTAACGACCCAGTAGTCTCGCGCTGCAAATGGCGACCATTGTACGTCTGCCACGAGCCAAGGTAGGCCATGCCTAAGATGGCGAGGAGGGTTCAGCGGGGAATCGAGGTCGATTATGTCGAGTCCATCGGTACTATGGAAATTAGCACATATTATTCGAGAAAAGGGGTTATAGAGTAGGCCTCACGAAGCAAGAGCAACATCTCGCCCTGAGGGCGAGATGGTAGCCGACCCCACCTTGCGGTCAACATGAATCGACACATCTGCCTCAAAGGTGCTGCTGTCAAATGCAGACTTTAAAGCTTTCCCTTTGCGCGACTCCTCCATCGTTGTTGAATTTTGCGGTTGTGGTTTCGCATCATATCATCATTGAGCTCGAGTTGTCATCGTCTTCTGGTCGTTGAAGACGTCAAATGCGACCTTCCGCCCTGCATGGTAATACGGCAACTATACAGGCATGACGCAAGATTGCAGCACATCAAAGCCGTAATAAGTGTTTCGCGATCCGGAATCCTAGAAATATGATGGGATCCAAAGCCGGTTGAGGTTGAGGTCGAGGGATCGAAGAGTTGGATGGAGATGTCTAAAGCATAGAGCTTCAACGGCGACCCGAAGCTCCCACTCGCTACTAGCGTTATTCATCCACGGAACTTGCCGGCACTTGAGAACGAACTCGAAGCCTTGCGCTATTATTGCACGATAACTGGAAACACATTTGATACTCTACTCGAGAAAAACTGGCGAATGTACTCCATAGACCAGACTCTACGAACACAGCTATTCTAGTGAATAATCGAGTAAAGCCTGCAGCGCTTTCCCACGGTGTTCTTCCCCTCCAAACCCCCACTTAGCCGCGAGCGACATCCGTTATCAACACCAGTAAATTGTTTGAAAGGAGACACCGACAACGACCACCGCACTTCCCACATCTCACGGACGATTTGCACCAAGTCCCGGTGCCTCTGTCTCCACTCTTGAGCGAACGGTCACTATTTAGCTCTTGTTAGAGCGTTCTAGCCTTGTCGCGCCCGCCCAAGTACGGGACCGCATCGCGGCTACATCTACACCCTCGCCATGGCGTTGCCAAAAAGGATTATCAAGGAGACGGAGAGGTTAATGGCAGAACCGTGAGCATTTGAGGGTGGTGTCGATATGGTCGGTTGCTGATATCATCGTGTAACAGTGTTCCTGGTATCAGCGCAGTTCCTCACGAGGATAACCTACGATACTTTGACGTTTCCATACACGGTCCCACCCAATCTCCATATGAAGGTGAGACCTTGGGCTGCATATATTAAAATGAACAGGTATCTAATGTCTCTTCAGGTGGCATTTTCAAACTCGAGCTTTTCTTGCCGGACGATTACCCTATGACCCCGCCAAAGATCCGGTTCCTGACGAAGATTTACCATCCGAACATTGATAAGCTGGGGCGTATCTGTCTTGATGTTCTCAAGAGTATGTGGAATCCCGCTTAGTTTCTACGTCTTTGTGGCTAACCAACTCTATCTAGGCAACTGGTCTCCTGCTCTCCAAATCCGCACGATCCTCCTCTCTATCCAAGCCCTCCTAGGTGCGCCGAACCCAGATGACCCACTGGCGCCGGAGGTAGCCAAGCGGTGGAAGGAGGATGAACATGCAGCGATTGAAACTGCCAAAGAATGGACGCGAACCCATGCGATGACCTGATTGACGGTGTTCAGAATTGGAATTAAGCCCTGCGTAGCGGAAGGCATCTAAAGATCCTGAGCTTTTATGAGAAGAGACATCGATGCGACGAAATGGCTTTAGATATGCAGATGGCTCGGCGTATTTGATTAATTTCTTTAATGGCGCTGGTCAGGGTCTGCATTCTTAAAATAGAGATCCATGAGGGGCTAGAGACAATCAAGCATGTCTGAATCAATGCTAGATGGTACGCATTAGTGAAGTGAGGATTTCGATATTGAATATGACCTCCCGAGCCTAACATTAGTTTCTAGGCTGGGTTCAGCAGCTCATAGGCGCGTTGAGTCGTCGTAGGAGCGCGACGCTCGCCTTCGTCACTTTACAGCTGAATTGCCTTGCCTAGCCCATCACAGCTGCTCTCTTGGCCATATCTAGAAAGAAGTTTCTTTTCTGTCAAACCCCGCTTCACTATGATATCAATACTGCTCCCTAGGGGTGGACTCATTCAGGCTTACAGCAGAAACCGTCTCCCATGTTGGTTTATACACCCCTTTTCTCACGAACTCTATATCCAATAGGAGCTCTAGTGGACTCGGTATTTGGGCTTTCAACCATCGTCTTGCCCTAGCTTGGTTCTCAACATCCTGCCGCCTTGTTCTATCGGTGCCTGCCTCAATGCTATTGCCAACGACCTACTTTCTCTAAAGATTAGGAGGTTCAGATGTCACACAAGTACAAGTACCTTGCTTTCTAATCATACTACATGTTATATCTTATGGCGGCCGATGCATTTCAAATTATGAACCAGCGCGGCATCGAGAGGGTAGAGCAGTGTACGCATCCTTCTTCCACACAAGTATGGATGCTCCCGTGATGCCTGCCTACGTCGTGTGAGTGACGGGTGGGTGGCCAATTCCTTACCGCCAGCAGATACAAATGCTTAGTATAGTATTTGCCACTGAGCAATGATCCTGATCACTGTTTCTTCGCTCTCCCCGTAAAATGTGAATGGGAATGTGAAACGTTCGTATTGTTGTTGGTGCCAGACGTGGGCTGGCCATAATACCCATAAACGACGACACCAAAAACACCTCGGCTGGCGTCGAGATTTATATAAGAAGGGAGAAGACTCCGGCCCCTTGGCGGCAATAGTTGGGTTGTGGGGTGCGGGGTTGGGCCGGTTCCCCCTTTGCCCACGTGCCACCGTGTTTGGGGTTAATCTAAGTGACAGAGCTAAAATAGGGATCCTATTTGTTGGCAACCAACTTGATACTGGATGTATGTACTTCGTACAGAGTTCAGCCCTTCAACCCCTTCAACCCCTTCACCGTAATAATAGAATTCCCTGTCGCTACCGGTAGGTGGGTCAGTTCCGCATCCCAGCCTTGATCGGGCCTGGCGTGGTTCCCGCGGTTGGCGGTCTGGCGATCTCGCATGATTTCTCGACTCGAAACGATAACTAGTGCTCGTAACTACGGAGTAAACACTCAAACACTAAAATCTTATTCTCCTAGTCGCATCTCCACGTCTCCACGTCTCCACGTCTCCACACCTTCAGCGCCAATATTAACATCACATTCGCCCTCAACCACCAGAGGCTTCCCAGCTCTGATCGTGATATTGTGATGCCGCCATATCGGCCAGCGTCCGGTTTGTTCCGTCAACTGAGTTGAGTCCGAGTACTCGTTCAGCTAAACTTTTAGCCGCCTTCTACCAAGTGCGAGTACCGCCACATGTTAGATTCATTTCCTCATGTTCAACTTGGGAATAGGTGAAGCCCAACCAGTCATTGTCGAGTGGCGAGTGGCGAGAGCCCCTTCTAGCGGCGCACTGCATGCGCCGCGCCGGGGATACCGTTATTTCTAGAAGTCCTCCCGCTCTCGAGTCTCTTCTTTCCCGTCCTTGCGCAAGCCTCAAGCTCATGCCTACGACTTGCGAAGCAGCTCCTGTGGACAGGTTTCCCACTCCGAGTCCCCACACGGAGTGGCCGCCAGCTTGCCAAGTGTGTATCAGCGACTGTTCAGATGGGCCACGGAATTGGCCCATTCTCTGAACGCGACCACAACTCTTGCGTCGTATGCATAGCAAACGGAGCGTTATTGGTCCCCCTTCTGGAATCTGCACATCAGATCAGCCACAAGCGCTACTTTGCCCCCCTGAGCCAACGCCGCCTCGTGGCCCTGGGGTGATCCTTCAATCCCTTCGCCAATATAACATGGACTCGTCAGGGGTCTCCTGCCACCCCGCCTCTTCTCCACGCTTTGGAATTCTGGAGATCTCGAAATCTGGAAAGTTACCTCGGCCGGCTCCGCTATATGGGCGGAGGACCAACGAGAGAGCCGACTAGAGGTGCGGGGAAGGGAGGCCTAGTTTCAGCCTTCCCCAGGCGCCGGGCCTTCAACGCGCTCGCTATTCGTGGAGATGGGTAATTTTATACTAGTATCATACCAATACCGTGTCCCAAGCACTAATACCGAGATTCGAGGATTCCACAATGTCGCCCTGGTCAAGTCGGTGCCGCTCGACACACACACCTTAAAATATTTGCAACTAAGCCAAGCTAGGGCGTCCAGGATCCAGAACCCTCCTCGTCTCCAATTCCATGCTTCAACGTTGAGCTCCATCGTCATCCCCGTCGTGCAGCTACGAGGCTTGCTGTTTTAAGGCCCCTGGTCCAAGTGAAATCCTATGTTGCTACTCTGCCGTATCAAAAGTCCACCGATCTTGCGGGAACTTACGGAGTAGAACTATGTATACCAGTATAACCGTCACATTTAACGCCACTGTGACAATCTAGAGCGAAGTCTGAGAGTTAGGGGCCGCGGAGGTGAGGAAGATGCCTGCCAAGTTCATGTCATGCGTGTCATTGTTACGCTACGAAATACTCGTGCCGCAACTTCTCATTCTCAACTTTCTCGGCTCTCATCCCGCATCTGCGTACCTACGAAGTACGTGCTCTGTATCAAGATGTAGGTACTAGGATAACGGTCAGGGTTGCATCGTGGCCCTGTCTTAGACTCCTAGACATTCCCAACTCTCTGCTTTCTCGATTTTATTTAAACGTAACGCATTTCCCCCTCCCTCTCTCATTTTCCTCCATAAGTTGTCTTTCCCTGTATCTCATCACAATTCCCCATCGCTACCTCCCAAGAATCCTAGGAGGTTTCACTTCATCTTCGGTCATTTCTCTACCTTGTGGAAACACAATGGCGACCGATAAGCCCGAAACTGGGGTGCACGCCTCAGAGCCCTCAAGCGCAAGTTCGCTGAATAAGGAGAATATGTCACCCGAAACGGAACAGCTAGAGGTTATCAGGACTGTATCGAAAGTGCCAGGCAATCCTAATTACCACGAGAAGGATGGATTGAGAACCTATGGCGATGATGAAGATCACGACCAAGAGCCCCCTATGACTATGAATCGGTTTATGTCATTGCTTGCAATGGCATTCTTATGGACCGGCTCTCAAATTCCGGTGTATCTATTTGGTGAGTTGCCATAGCTTTCATTCAAGCGCTCCGCTAACCAAATCTAAAGGTGCCGTTCCACCTCTTATATACACTGACATTGGAGGCGTTGACAAGTGGATCTGGTTTGTTTTGGCGAATTTGTTAGCTCTTGCAGCTATCTGCCCGTTCGTTGGGGCCTTGTCTGATCTCCTCGGTCGACGATATGTTGCTTTGGCTGGGGCTTCATTTATCGTCATTGGGATGATTGTCTGTGCAACTGCGCAAACAATGGAGGTCTTCATTGGTACGTTTCCTCTTGCCGCTGCGTATTTCTCAATTAACGATTCCTAGGTGGGATGGCACTAGCTGGTGTGGGAGCTGGTATAAACGAATTGACTGCCCTTGCAGTTACGTCCGAACTTGCCCCAACATCAAAGCGAGGAAAATACGTTGCTGTTCTCATATTCACGAACCTGCCATTCTGCCCATCCGTTTTATGGGGCCAGTTGATCGCATCACATGGCAGCTGGCGATACATTGGCCTTTTCTGTGCAGTCTGGGCCTTTATTGGACTCGTCATGACCGCCGTCTTCTACTTCCCACCACCCCGTGTCAACTCGAGCGGCCTCAGCCGAAAAGAAGTCATTGCGCAAATTGATTTCGTTGGTGGATTACTTTCTATCTCTGGTTTGATCCTCTTCATCGCCGGCCTTCTATGGGGTGGCTACCAATACCCTTGGAGTGACCCTCATGTCCTGGCCACCCTCATCCTAGGTTCCGTTCTTCTCATCGCATGTGGATTCTGGGAGGCCTACGGAGCGAAGTATCCCATGTTCCCTGCCCGCCTCAAGAAGGATCCGCGCATTCTGGCCCTCACGCTGGTCATTACTTTTATCTCGGGAGCTAATTTCTTCTCCGTGTTGCTCTTCTGGCCCACACAATCCTTCAACGTCTACGGTCATGACCCTGTCCAGAATGGCATCCGTGGACTTCCCATCGGCTTCGCCATCCTAGTAGGCGCCTGCCTCGTCCTCTGGCTCCTCTCCGTCTTCCGTGGCCATAATCGAATGCTCATGATTGTCTCGTCCTGCCTGATGACCGCCGGCTGCGGTGCTCTTGCCACCGCCCGCGTGGATAATCTCAACGCCGTCTACGGCATCCTCACCGTCGCCGGCCTCGGCATCGGCGGTATCGTTGTCCCAGCCTCAATCATTACAACCATTATCTGCCCCGACGACCTCATCGCTACCATTGCCGCTCTTACGCTCGCTATTCGTGTCGTCGGTGGGGCCATTGGCTATACCACCTATTACAATGTATTCATTCACAGGGTAGAGCACGAGCTGGGAGTTAAAATCACAGCAGCTTGCGTTAAAAACGCAATCATAGACCCCAAGATAATTGGGATGGCCGCTAAGTTGACCGGCGCATCACTTACTGAGAAAATCATAGCTCTACCGGGCGTGAGTGGCAATGTGACGATTTACAATGACATTATACTAGCGGGTCAGGAAGCATTCGCGATTGCTTACTCCAGAGTCTATCTCGTCAGTATTGCGTTTGGGGTGATCAGCATTATTGCGAGTATTTTCTTGGGGGATATTTCCAAGTATATGGACGATCATGTGGCGGTTGTTATTCATTAAGGAATTTGTATGGAAAGGGCTACTGGTATGCAGCTCACACACCACTAGTAATAATACATTCAAGTTATGAACAACTTTGGACGACTCGCTAGAAATGCACGCCGCTTTGTGCTATCAAGAAGTGCGATCTCTACTTTCCTGTTTTAAAACTTGTCAGCCATGACTATAACAGCCACATATCTATTACTATCAAAATTGACGGGCACACATTCTACAAATAGTTTAAAACCACGACGGCATCGCCGCAGACCTAAAATCCGGAATATGTCATTCATACGAAATTTGGTAACCATAATGATCGTTGGGGCAGTATTCTCTCCCAGTTCTAGATCACATCACATCCTATGATGCCATTGCCAACCTTCTTGTGTGGATAAGTATCTTGCTATTTGCTATATGTTGCTTATGACCCGAGACATTCCTGAGCCCCCGACATTGTACCCAATCTGATATCGATTACGCCAAACACGATCAAATTAAACATCTGTACAAGAAATAAATAGCGCATTTGGGTATCTATTTGGTGCCGGCGTTGCCAGTGATCGTATTGGCAGCGTTTCCGAGTGTCTCCGAAGCAGAATTTGCAACATTTCCAAGTGTCTCCGAGGCAGTGTTGGCTGCGTTACCAAGAGTCTGCTTGGCGGAGTCAAGGTAGGAACTGCCCTGGTTTTGGGCAGTGCCGGCGTTGGAGCGGGTGCTGTCGGCAAGGTTCTGGGTTGTGGATTTCTGGGAGTCTGTGGGAATTGTTTTGTTAGCATCGAAATTGCGAGGTAAATTTTGGAGAATGATTAATGTAATGGTGCGGAAAGGAGAGGATGGCGGCGTACTGGGTTGGACTGTACCGGCAACCTTGTCAGCGGTACTAGAGAGGTTCTCTGAGGCTTGTTGGGCGTATGATTTTCGAGAGTCAGGAGTGATCTTCTCTGAGACCTGGTCGCCCAGACCTTTGCGACTATATGATATTAGCTAAGAGATTCGAGATAAGGGAGCATGCATATCGTCCGCTGGTCGGAATATAGAGAACTATTGGAGGAGAATAACTTACAGAGAATCAGACATGTTGATTGAGTTTGTTTTTAAAGAAGCTAGTTGGTGAGGTCTAGTATTGAAATTGTTTGGACAAAGTACGAGTTGTAAATCTTGTGCTTAAGATAGAGAAAGAAAGAAGGCTCGAGGGGCCAGAAGGGCCATTTATAAGATGGACCCAACCGCAGCCTATCTGTCTTGCCACGAACCTGATGGAAGGCAGATTTCATCTCGAGCTGGGAACGGCTTCGAATGACTGCGAACGAACAGACGTCATCCCGAAAGCGCACAGCGTCACCCGCCACAGTCCCTGAAACATGCCCGTCTAGTTATTGTGTCTTGCCATGCTGAGCACGAATTATGGGTGTTATTGCCCTGTACTACGTAGTAGCGGGTCAATGGCTAGGGGCTCGAGGCGGATAGAACCCAAAGGCAACATCTAGTAGCAAAAAGTGTGAATCTGACGCAACGACTGAATTGCCATGTGAAATCCCACGGGTTTTCAGAAACAGGGTCTTCAAATGCATATACTGTGCTGCGTGTACAAGTACGATAAAATGCTTCTATAGTAAGACTCCGTAAATAGAAACAAGACAAATGATGTCATCCACTTTGGCGCTGTGTGATGTCATGCCATGGAAAAGAATCTGACAGCCCAAAACAATAACAACAGACGCATCTATACTCCGATGATATTAGAGCGAATTCGAACTGAAAATTTAAACGATTCATCTACGAGGTCCTCGAAATCTGTAACCTCGACAAAAGCTGAAACGACCCTATTATTTCAAGAAGTACCAAGCCGCCAAGTGAAAGCAACAGGATAAAAGCTTGTAAATAGATAGCTCAAGAAGCAGACCATCGTCCTGCTGGTCCTTTGCCCACTTAGGCCTTGTGAATAGCCACCATAGCTAAGAGCGCGGATAGTATAATTGCAGTAGGAGGTATTTATTGTTTGTTAAATAATAAGAATCGTTGGTTAAGTGTATGGCACGGTGGCTGCAGAAGGTTGAGGCATTGGAATGATCGCTACCTTGTAGCGTATGCCTATAAGTGCTTAAAAACTACTATGAACTACTCTATGACTAGACACATAAGAATTTAATAAAAGTGAGGAATTAATTGGAATTGGAGTTATTGGAGTTGCTCGAGGAATGTAAACAGGACTCGCTTCCGTTGCTCTCGCAACGCGCCCACGTCGCATTCGTGTCAACAAACCAGCAAAGCAACCCCACCTACCGCACTCGTATCGTATCCCTGGCCTCGATCAACTGCACCGCAACATAAGACATCAGATACCAGACATCGACATCCGCATCTGCATTTCCTACACAGTCTTCTGGCTAGAGGCAGATCTTCGAACCCCCTGCAATTCAATTTAATTCTTTGAAGGGCAGAGCTTTCTTAGCCGCAGCCATCAATTGCCAATTGTCACGTCTTCACCGTCTTTCCTCAAGTGCATACTTTACCTAAACTTGTCTTGTCAGGTGCACTTGTACGCCTAAGGTGGTCGACTTGATCGTGGCCAGCCTTCATCATGTCGAGCTTCATCACCAATCTGTTTCCCTCCTCCAGCGGCGGGAAACAGGAGAATGTTCTTCAAGCTCCGCCCCCTCTTCACACCCGCCAGAGCCAAAATGAGAGGCCGAGTACGCCAGATCGGGCCAACTTCATCACGCCGATTTCAACTCCTCAAGGCAGCCCAAGCAAAAACCGAAACCCTCCTGGTGCCAATGATCTTCCGGTTGCCTTCGAAAACGCCATGAAGCTTACACCAGCAGCACTTAGCAGTCCCACGAAGACTGGCCGTCCGTTGACAGCTGCCCCGCTATCCCCTGGGAAGAGCAATGCATTAACAGTGGATGATTCGTACTTCGGAAACTCGTCCGGCGCTGTTGATGATAGTATCATACATAAGACTTCCGTACCGCCCGCTAGTCCACTTCGAAACCAAGGGCAAGAGAACACACCACCAGTTTCCAGGCACGGACTCGAGTCGGTTGGACAGAATTTTGCGGCTATATCCAGACAGGAACTATATCAACCGAGAGATCAAACTCCGCCAAAGAAATATAATACTCAGCGGGGACTAACAGCGGAGGAATTGGAACTACTACACAAGCCCAACGTGAAACGACTAGCCAATGTTACACAGCTCTGTATGTTTGATCCAGCTGTGGATAGTCTTCATAACTGACAATCTGCAGACTTTTTAGATTACTACTTTGACCTCCTGACCTACGTTGGAGCCCGCCAGAACCGACTTAACCAATTCCAATCCGAATACCCTGCACCACCAGAAACACCCGAAGAAACCTACAACCCACTGTGGCAGAAATATGCCGGCAGGGAACGTGCAAATCTTCGAAAGCGCCGTGTCCGTCTTCGCCAAGGAGATTTCCAAATCCTTACACAAGTTGGGCAAGGAGGCTATGGACAAGTTTTCCTCGCCCAAAAGAAGGATACGAGAGAAGTCTGTGCATTAAAGGTTATGAGCAAGAAACTCCTGTTCAAGCTTGATGAAATCAGGCATGTTCTTACAGAGCGTGATATATTGACGAACGCGAAGAGTGAATGGCTTACGCGACTACTTTACTCATTCCAAGACGAGAAGAGTATCTACCTTGCTATGGTAAGCCGGCTTGAGAAGTGATGCTCTGATGTTCCACAGCTAACATATTATAAAAGGAATACGTCCCAGGTGGGGATTTTAGAACTTTACTCAATAATACTGGCGTCCTTGCTAACCGACATGCTCGATTTTACATTGCTGAGATGTTCTGCGCTGTCGATGCGCTCCATCAACTTGGTTACATCCATCGGGATCTGAAGCCGGAAAATTTCCTCATTGATTCGACGGGCCACGTTAAGCTTACTGATTTCGGACTGGCTGCTGGCATGCTCGCCCCCGGTAAGATCGAGTCGATGCGAGTGAAGCTCGAGAGGGTTGGGGAGACTTACGTACCATTTGGCAAGCCAATGGACCAGCGAACAATTGCAGAGCGCCGAGAAGGATATCGATCAATGAGAGACCGAGATGTCAACTATGCGAAATCAATTGTAGGCTCCCCTGATTATATGGCTCCGGAGGTCCTGAAAGGTGATGAATATGAGTTCTCGGTGGACTATTGGAGTCTGGGCTGTATGCATTTTGAGGCTCTGACGGGCTTTCCCCCATTCGCGGGTGCCACAGTTGATGAGACTTGGAAGAACCTGAAGCATTGGAGAGAGGTTTTGAAGCGACCAGTCTGGGACGATCCTAGTTACTTTATCAGCAACCGGACCTGGAACTTTATCACGAGGTATGCAGTCCAAACCCCCAATTGAAGGCTGAGACTAAATGTAGCAGCTGTATTGCTTCCAAGTCCAAGCGATTCTCGTCAATCAAGGACGTTTACGCTCACCAATATTTTGCCGAGGTTGACTGGAACACGGTTCGCTCCCAGCGCGCACCTTTCGTCCCAGAACTTGACTCCGAGACTGATGCTGGTTACTTTGACGACTTCAGCAATGAAGCAGATATGGCCAAGTACAAAGAGGTCCACGACAAGCAACAAGCGTTGGAGGGGATGGCCGATAGAGAGGACCCTATGAGCAAGAGTTTGTTTGTCGGATTTACATTTAGACACCGCAAGCCAACCACGGATGAAAGTGGCAAGCCGAGTAGCCCAAGGAAGGGCATTGCCACTGACGGAACGTTTGGCACCATCCTGTGAGTGGTAGGGTGGCTTATCCGCATTTGTTGCGGGGTTTATTACAAGGGAATAGAGATATTCGAGGGGCGATATCGGCGAGTAGAGACCAGGAGTTTGCTGCATTTATACGGGCGTGTTTTGATCACCTTCGTATTGAGGGTTGCTTGCGTTTGCTTTGCACGTTCTGTTGGAGTTCAAGAGTTGAGATGCAAGAAATGACGTTATGCTGTGCATGCGATGGGCTGTAATAGTAGCTATGGGAAAATGACATTAAGAATTATGTTTCTCTCTGGAATTAAATATTTAATCCATTCCTTGCTGTTCTAGAAAATGAAATTCTAGCTTTGCCGGCAGCCCCCATATCACGTGCCTAGTCTTAATTCATGATGTTATTTTGGATTGTAGCACGTAATAAGGCAACCGGGCAAGTCTTTGGTAGAATTAATGTAACTCGACACCTGCTTACAGTAACTTGAATTGCAAATAGATCCAAGTCATCATATTAAATTTGATGCTGATAAGGCGTTGTGAACAAGGAGAAGGGATATGATTTGCTACCGTCTCCAAAGAATACGGATGGAGAAATATCACAAGAGACTCATCCTAGTCCTTCTAGGGGGCATTATCACGTCTTTCACGGCTCGGATATAGGAAACCTAATCTCCATATTGAGGGGCATTCTTGTAAGGCTGGACTGAGGGGTTGGTGAGTGGGATGATGATAAATTGGATGATCGCGCTCCAGTTACAAGAGCAACATGGATATGGCATGGCGCTCATACGCCATGTTATCCTAGAATTGCGGAGTGTGCTAATGCTTAATCTGCTTCGCTCTTGAGAAGCCCATGTGAAGATTGGGAGTGCCGGGTTCCGAGACCAGAGGAAGAGGGAGAACTATATATACAGTACGAAGTAGCTAGCTTCATATTCGCAAATACGCACTCCTTTGGGCAACAACAGACAAGACAAATCACTTGATAGATCCTCTCAAACAAACCACTACAGCTTGTCTTATTGATTGTGCTGAAGAGAGAACACGAGGCAAATGGCTCCTTCAATCGCGGAAATCCCAGAGAAGACCGAAAATGCTCCTATTACCGTGCCGGTGAAGGCAGTTGAAGGGTCAGCTGAAGCCACCAAGATTCGAAGAGTCATCGAGGAGGAAGGGGGGAAGACAACAGCAAGCGTACGTCCCTAGCATGCCGCCCCGTGGAAGGGTAGGGGCGCAGACTGACATAAAATATGAAATATACAGTACCCAAACTACCTCCCCGTCTGGGACCATAACGAAAAATACCCAGTCCTTGAGCCCTTCGAGCATGTCGAGCACGGCCTAAACGCCGACCCAACATTCAAAGACCTCCTCCCGTCAAGCTCCAAGATCACCAAACTCACCCCAAGCACCGGAAGCGAGGTAACGGGTGTCCAACTGAGCAAACTCAGCGCCGCAGGAAAAGACCAACTTGCCCTCCTGGTAGCCCAACGCAAAGTCGTCGCCTTCCGGGACCAAGACTTCGCCGACCTGCCCATCCAGGAGGCGTTGGATTTTGGTGGGTATTTCGGCCGTCACCACATCCATCCCACGTCGGGCAACCCAGAAGGATATCCGGAAATCCACCTCGTTCACCGAGACGGGAGCAAATCCGAGTTTGAATCATTCCTTGCGAATAGGAATTCTGCCGTGGGGTGGCATTCTGACGTGACGTACGAGCAACAGCCTCCAGGAACGACCTTCTTGTACATCTTCGATGGGCCCGAGGCTGGCGGCGATACCGCGTTTGTCAACCAGGTGGAGGCGTATAATAGGCTTAGTCCGGCGCTGAAGGAGAGATTACATGGTTTGAAGGCTGTGCATAGTGGGTTTGAGCAGGCGGAGGGGAGTCGCTCGAGAGGTGGTGTTGTTAGACGGGAGCCAGTACAAACGGAGCATCCGCTTGTGAGGACGCATCCTGCTACGGGGGAGAAGGCATTGTTCGTTAATGGTGGTTGTAAGTCTTTGGATCCCATTTCATCTTTGCCATGCCAATTCGGGAGATATCCTCTGGGCTGACAGAGTACTGATATTGGGCAGTTACCCGTAGTATCGTCGGCCTCCGAAAGGAAGAAAGTGATGCTCTACTAGGCTTTTTGCTGAACCATGTCGGTCGTGGTATTGATTACCAAGTCCGTGTTCGATGGGCGCCCAAGACTGTCGTTGTTTGGGATGTAAGTTTGAATGAATTGGGTTTTCCCATGATGGATGGCTGACAATTTGACAGAATCGCGTCACGGCGCATTCAGCCATCGTTGACTGGATTACAGGCGAGCGTCGCCATTTGGCTCGTATTACCCCCCAGGCGGAGCGTCCTTATGAGACGCCATATGTATCTGAACCTGAGCCTAAGCCGGAGGTTTTCAAAGCGTGAGGGTTTGAGGGTTGAATTGAAGAAGGTTATGGAGGTGTTGAGTGGAGATGCAGAATGCGGAAACGGAATAAATTGCTTCGTCCGAGGTTATTAAACCACGACACAGTTGAACTAGATATTAAAAACAACTTGATATATCTTTAACAACTAAATTCATCAGCTTTGAATTTCGGAAAACGATTTTACTAATATTTGAAAAGGTTCTTAGATTACGAAGTGTGCAGGTGCAAAATAGTACGTGCCATTACCCCTGTTTCAGGTCAACATAAAATGTGCCCCACCTAAAGCATTCATCTCAGCTCTCACCAAGTGATTGATAGGAACACAACAACTTGCACTCATATCTCGCCTCAGTCTATTTCATTTCCCCTTGCAATAATCTATATTATCTCAAATACAGAGTTTTCAAAAATGCAAACTCCGCTCCCCAGCTTCACCGACCCGACTCACTTCCCAACCTTCAAAACCATACCCCAAACTTCAACCTCATCTGTTCTCACCCCCTCCGACCAAGAGTACTTCCTTCTCGGAACAATCCAGGAAAACATGACTCTAACCCCACTAACGCCAACATTTATATGCCGCGATCGCTCAGGCGCCAGCTTCGCCCTGACGATTAAATTGCGCCCCGGGCAGGATAGCGATGATGATGACAGGAGTTTCTATAAGAGCAAGGAGGGGAAGTCGAGATTTAAAAAGGGTGCTTGTGTTGTTGCGAAAGGGGCGAGGAGGAAGGGTTTTAAAGAGGATGATGGGACGGGGAAGGGAGGAAAGCAGGGGTTTGTGGAGGTAAGTTGGGAGGAAGGAGGCGGTAGTGTTGCCGTGAGTTATTCTCTTTGTTTTCTATTTTAATGTGTTTCTTATCCTCTTTTATTGTAAGGTTTGGAAGGGATGCGGCGACAGGTATAGTAGATCATGAAAATATTTCAGAGGAGTCGAGCTAACCTTGTACTATATTCGGGGATGTCTAGGTCATTCCGACTAGTCTTGATAAACTACTAGCGATGGGGGAGAATATAATGGAGATATCTAAGGGAGAACATGGTAGCAAAGTTTGTCATGGGTGTGGAAAGGGTGATAAGACTGTAGACGGAAAGATGGTCCGGTGTAAAGGTTGTGAGAGCGTTTGGTATTGCGGGAAGGTAAGTGCCATTTTCTTGCCTTGGCTATAAAATGCTAATTTGGACGGTGTATAGGAATGCCAAGTTAAAGGATGGAATGAGAATGGTCATAAAGGGGAGTGTAAAGTGTTAAAGGCTACGAGTGATATTTTTTGCTAGGGGAGAGGTAAGCTGTTGGGAGTAACCTGAAGGAAGAATTTGGCATTGAGTAGGCATATCCCTAATGTCAGGTTAAATAAATATTGTGCGATGTGCAAACAAAATAGTTGTTAGTTATGCAGGCAATTTGATATACTGAACGTCTGTTAGTTATTAGGTCAAGGATATAGAGGAGTTGACATACTTGTCCTTCGTGCAACAAAAGGCTGTCAATTACTTACCTAGGTATTCTGTAGAATTAAGACACTGAAATCCTGTCAGTTATTGAGTCTAGGGGTGTTGAGATTGTTGCGTGTAAAGTTTTCCGATATGCAACAAAACTGCCTCCTTAAGCTCTTGCTACATCTACAAGATACTGTACACCGAATCATGTACAAGATGAACCCCTCGATATCATTTATAGATCTACCTTGAACTTGCGAAGACCCAAGTAATTACTTGCATAATTATGACTAGTAAGCGTCGCCCGGGTCACCCCATGCCTAGGAAAAACGACTAGATGTCGAGCAAACCTAGGGTGCGGAGGGGTAGTCGCTGCTCTCTGCTGTGGATAGTATAAAGCTCATAATGGGGCCAGTATTACGAACGCTGAATACAGGCGTCCAGGTGGTTCTGTTGGGCAACAGCATCTGCGATTTATACAATACATCATGGTTTCCATACGCTGTTTCGCCTTGGCCCTTTTGGCTCCGGTCTACCTATTTGATGGTGCCACTTCTCAGGCTATCGGGAATGACAGTTATTTTTATGGCGACTCCCCGCCTGTGTATCCATCCCGTGAGTCTTTTACGCCCGCTTGTTACCCAGTGCTGACAAGAGCTCGGAAATAGCCCAGGGGACGGGCCTTGGATATTGGAACGCGTCGTATACAAAAGCCAAAGCATTAGTGGCGCAATTGACACGAGATAAGAAGGTCAAGTCATGCCGTGATTTCGTTGGCGGACTCAGGCTGATAATTACCAGAATAACTTGACCTATGGAGCGGACAAAGTATATAATGGATGCGCAGGAAGAGTCCCTGCTTTACAGAGCGCCAAATTTCCTGGGCTATGTCTGCAGGACGCTGGGAATGGTGTTCGGGGTACAGACTTCGTCAATGCGTATCCAAGCGGACTCTATGTAGGAGCTAGGTATATTTCATCTGCTCTCTAATGTTTGTTTTGGTTCTCCATATTCTAACAGTTATATGTAGCTGGAATAAACACCTAACAAAGCGGCTAGCCAACGCGATGGCGGGAGAATTCCGAACTAAGGGAATCAATGTTGCTCTTGGCCCCGTTGTCGGCCCCATGGGACGTATAGCCAAAGGCGGTAGAAACTGGGAAGGTAATAACCTCTGCGAGTTGATGCTGCTTTGAAAGTTACTAACATCGACAGGTATTGCCGCTGATCCATAACTCAGTGGATCCCTAGGTTCCAACACCGTACAGGGCTTCCGAGAAAGGGGAGTGATAAGCAGCGTAAAGGCAAGCGACTACGTTCAAGCGATACCACTCCAAGTATTAACACACTTTTTCAGCATTACATCGCTAACGAACAAGAAACTCATAGGCAAATAGCGGGCAACGTCGCTGCTGTTTCTTCGAATTTGGATGATAAAACAATGCATGAGCTATATCTGTGGTAAGTGAGGCCCATCACTTCCCGCTCGTGGGGACCTTAAGGCTATATGCTTACTTAATGAAGGCCATTTGAAGATCTAGTGCATTCTGGGGCCGGGTGCATAATGTGCTCTTATAATAGGGTGAACAAATTCGTATGCCTGTGCCAATAGCAAAATGTTAAACGGTTTGCTCAAAACCGAACTTGGATTTCAAGGGTTTGTTGTAACAGACTGGGGAGCACATCATTCTGGGGTAGCCTCAACTCTTGCCGGTCTCGACATGGCAATGCCAGGTGCTACGGAATATTGGGGGTCACATATGATTGACGCTATCAAGAACGGATCTGTGCCTGAGTCTAGGCTTGATGATATGGCTATAACGTAAGTCATCACGTAATGCGTCTAATCACGTAATGCGTCTAATCACGTAATGCGTCTAATTGCGGGGGACCACCTTTATTAAAATTCTCCTCAGTCGAGTCCTGCTCCAGCTATCCGGACTATCCAAGTAGATCGCTGTCGCAGTAGTCCCTGTAGGCAAGGAGACCGATACGAGAAAAGGCGTCAGTCAATGCTGATATTGCTATGATCTTTGGGAGTGATGATTGTAGTACGGTGAGGTAATAGCTAATGGAGGAGGTGGCATCTACGAGGATGAGGAAGTCATACGTCTCCGATTGTTTAGCCATGATGGGCACAGTAGGACGCCAATCTCCTCGAGCTTTTGGCCCTACGCTATGGGTACAGTAGTAGGCCACAGGGCTAAGATTGGGCAGCTTATTTTGTTCTCCTCAAATGTGTCTGTAGAAGCTCCAACGGGAAATGGCCAGCGGAGTTGCTCGGAGTCAGACCGGTGATCATCGTGGTGTTGACTCCCTCCCGCAACGGGATAGGGGGGACTTGGCGGGGCCAAGCGCCAAACTAAGCCACGAACGCACAGCCATACTTGTGAGCCGGGGGAGGCTACCAGCAGCGCCGTTTTTAGGGTTGAGGGGCACCGCTTCGGTCCGGCGGCAAGCTTTAGTCCTGAAGCCAGAGTCAAGGCTTTATATAGTCACCCAAATGAACCATAAAGGGTCTTTGTAGTATCATGCGTGAATTATTTTCTCAGTCCTATCTATAGCGAAAATATCAGTAATCCTAGGTAGAGGATATAGGAGAAGAACTGCATGAAGAGGGGTTTGAGGAGTAAAAGCTATAAAAAGCTAATTGGTTACATATATATATATTTATAAGGCTAATTGACTATATACAGGAATGTAAGAGCACTAGCAAGGAGCTAGGCCCAAACAAAAAGGGCAAACGGATGCCCAATATATTGCAGGATATAATAAAGCTGAAAATACGGATCACGTCAATCATTGTGATCCCGGGCCAGACAATGGCCCAATACCCGAGTTCGATGCGTGAGTATTGGGTCGATAGACTCTGCAGCTACTACCAATGCTGTCCTTGACGTTTTTAGAAACAAAATCGGTGAACTTTCCAGATTTTCCGTCAGGGGACTTGTAACTATAGTCTGCACATGGGCAAGGGTCTGATCCGCGGAAGTAGTTGCCGAAGTATTCAGATTTAGCCACGTCAGCCATTACTTGCCATACTCCAGGTACGTAGACCAGATCTTTGACGACACAGACCGGGACATTGAAGAGGCCAGGTTCGTCCATGGGGAGACTTTCGAACTTGGTCGCCACTGCACTAGGACCCTCCTTAACCAAGCTATCGGCCAAATCGTTGCCTAGTAGAGTGTAATTGAACCCGTGTTCCTGCTGTCCCCACATTGAAGATTTTATAATATCAAATGTAGTATAGTTGGTGTTATGGTAGTCTAAGGGATTTTTGTCCCAGGACTCGGACTCCGAATTCTTGTTGCTGGGTCGGGTAAAGAGGGACATGCCGGCCTGGCCATTTGGTCCCATGGTAACATTGCAAAAAGCAGTGTATTTCCAGGCTTTGTCGCCTACCCAGGTCTTCTCGCATATATCTTGGCTGAAGCCTTTTGCTACACCATTATATGGGACGTCATCGCCGTAGGGGATAAAGAGAATAAATGCATCATTATCAGTCAGGGCCTTCGTACTGTACTGAGCAATCATAAGCTTCCCAAACCAATTGGTGGCCTTCGCTCCGAAGCCCACGTCGGTAAAAGCAGCATGAACATCTGGGTCAACCCAGAGACCGCCAGCTAGAAGCGAGCTTATGCCGTCACGGCCGACCGCGTCATTTTTATAAAGACCATTGATGAGGCCTTGCTGCATATTGTTAAGCTGGTTCTGCGCGCCAATCTGGTAACCGGCGGACTGAAAAAACTGCGTGTCCGCAGAGCCCGGATCTAGCGATCCGATACTGCCGGCGAGTCCAAATGCCCCAGAAGCAACAGTTGCTGCCGTAGTAAGTACAGCTGCTAGTGGACCAAATCCTGGCACCGCCGCGACTATAACCCCAAGGGTAATTAAAAAAACACCTAAAACGGAGGAAGCGAGGCTCATAATTTTTGTCCATGTCGCCTGAGCAGCCGGCTGCCAAACATTCGCTACGACTCCACTTAGGAAGCCGTCGATAGTATTCGCGACTCCCTCGATAGCAATATAGAGTGCGCCGATAAAGTTAGTAAATTGAGCCATGGTTATCGTTAGAATCATTCCACGAGTAATGTCGTCGCTAGTACTATGAGGGTGGCCCGCAATTGCATCAAGGCATTCGTTCCGGTCGGGTACGTGGCATTGAAAATTACCACTAAAGTCGCAAAACTGTCCATCGACGTCCGAAGGCGGCTCAAAATCTTGTATAGACTGCGTCATTAAACCATTAAAGCTCTTGATATTTTTTTTAGACAGGTACGTCTTCAAAAAGTCGTCCATTTTATAAGCCTGCCATAGCTTAGGAGTAACCCTCCAAGCAGGGTCGGAGCAGCCTACAGCAATATACTGCCCGCAAGGCGGCGCGCCCAGGATATCCAGGGGATATTTTGTGATTGTGTTGCTGCTAGAATCTCGGCCGTTCAAGTTCTGTTTATCCGTGTAGTTGCTCGTGCCGGGGTCGATGGGAAGCAGCAGCCCGCTGATCGACAGCGAGGGCTGCAGGTTAGGGGTAACTTTCAAATACCAGCTACCATCTGATCGCTGCTTGGTCTGGCCACTTGCCAGCGGATCTCCAGAGTAGCCCATGCACGAGCTTCCCTGGCATTGTGCCTTCACCTGGGTCAACTTGGCTCCACCGCCGGTCGAGATGTTCCAGACGGAGCCCTCGGGGCCCCAGCCAGTGCTACCGGCGTAGATAAAGACCCATCCGCTAGGCACGGACATTTTCGTCTTATAAGCATAGTCGGCTGACTTGCAGATAGTCGGCGGCGCGCCGACAGTAACCTGGGTCGCCAAACCATAGGTAGGGGTTTCAGATGCAGAAGACGTAGCTGTAGGAGTTGGAGTTGGACACGCCGTCATAGCAGCAACTTGTAGGTCGCCCTGCGCTGTTGAGTGACCGTAGCATGGTCCCTTGGTGTCGCCGCTCCATCTGTCGTACCAAGCACCGTCCGGGCAGTGACAGGCACTGGTTGAAAAGGGCGTGGCCGTTGTTGACTTGCATTTCAGCTCCGGAACACTCATAGATCTATAAAATAAATTAGCATTAACTCGGTTATATTCACGGCGCTGAAAAACATGCCCCGGAGTGCAGGCACCCAGAGTCCAGGATGTCACGCTCGGCTTCGTTGCGGTTGTCCCCGTCCCCGTCCCCGTCCCCGTCCCCGTCGCTGTCGTAGTCGAGTCTGCAGCTGCGGCCTTACTCCCCCCGGTTTTCGGATGGGTGATGTTGTGACTCGATGTAGTCGTCCAGGTCATGAATGTACTCATATCGTAGTCCTCTGTAGCCGCCTCCTGCTTGGTCACGGCACTTGATCCACTCAACGCATTTGCGGACGCAACGCTGAGCAGCAAAGCGCCCATGATCTTGGGGTTGGTTGGAAGCATTGTAGCACTCTGTCGTGTGAGAAGCCCTCGGCAGTCTCGATAATGTTGCGTCCTCCAAAAAGGAAAAGAAGGGAGTAGTGGAGGGTTATTATCGTTATGTCCAGCCTCTGTTCAGAGCCGTAATCTCAGCCTGACACGAACGTACCTGGTCTATCTCTTTGTTATATTAGTTCCTACGAGTAGGTATGTAAGGCATGTCATCCTTTACGAGCTAAACCGTACAGCACATGTACATGTACCTGCAGCGTGGGGTCGGAGGCGTGGGGAAGCTATAAATGGGATCATTCCGGTGATTCCACATCGCGGCCCCTAAAATTAGGGAGGCACCAAGGGTACTCGTACCTGGAATGCGGCGTAGGCATACTTTTTCATTTGATGAAAATGTGCGCTAGGGTCCAGCTGATGTTCGCCAGCTTCCCCTGACTTATCACCTATCGAGCATCAGCGTGCCTCGTCTCAAGTACAGCAGTATATTAGGTATACGATTGCGTTACACTAGGCTTTCCCTTACCATATACTGTACGACTGAATCCTTCAGAAAAACAAGCTAGAATTCAATCTCCCGAGATTACCAATAGGCTGCAAACGCAGCAAGTGCCAAAGGAACAAGATAATGCCCTGCTAGTTGTTGAAGTGATGGCTGGGCGTCCTCTGGTTGAAACCCCTCCAGCCACCTCAGTGGACGGCCGCGAGTTGGCAATTGTTCTCGACAACGAGACGGCGGCCTTCAAGGGCGGCGAAACGATTTCCGGATATGTTGTCAGGATATGGAGATAGATTAGTCTCGATGGGATGGCCAAGGCCAAGGTACGCCTCCCGACGGGCTTGACGCATAGCATACTGTACAATCTCTTGGACGGCTCCAGCGAAGCCCACAGGATCCACCAGAGCCCTCTCCACATACCGCCCGACAGCCCAAGCCCGGTTACGGGTACGGCCACAAAGTCGAACCCTCCTATCCATCACCGCCACCTCCATCTTATACGTCTGTCTATTATCCTCCACCTCATACGTCTACCAAGTACCCTCCCCCTCCATCTTATACGCGTATGTATCACCCTCCACCTCTGCCACCCGACGTTTCCCTACTCGCCAGCCCCCCCTCCTAGTGTCCTTTAAACAATCGAGTACAATACAAATGTGATTAGTGAATATCAACTAACCTCAGAGTCGCAACACGCGGCTGGGAAGCTCGAACGCTGTAAAATACACAAAGCATACTAGATGCACAAGACAAACAACATTTACCAAAGGACAGTTTTATTATACTATAGTTAGGAGTCGTCGGATAGGTTGGCGGTATCTAGACGTTTTCAAGCACCGGAGACGCCGAGAGGTCTTAAAGGAGGTCAGCGAGGTTTCGACCACGAACCGGGGGCTCCTTAGGGGTGAGACGACGCTGTGTAGTAGTCGCTGCTCTCTGTGCCGGGTCGATGATTTCGGGGAATAGCTCGCTCAATGTCCTGTACTCTCGAATATATTCAAAATCAGATCTAGAGAGAGCAGGAGCTCGGGACTATATAGCTACGACGGAGAGTGCGGGTAGGTAGCCATCATTGCCACGATGTCGCCGTCAAAAATACAAGCCCAAAACTCCTTGATAAACTAAATATATCATGCGATCTCCCGTGTCGTGTTAGAATCTAGCCCTTAGAGAGACTCTATACCTGACCTTGTCACACCGTGAATCCACAATCACATCTAGAGATCCCACACAGAATGCTCTCTAGAGACCTTAAATGTGCAAGGTAGAGTCAAGCGCCTTTATAAGCACGCCCCGGGCTAATGGTGCTTTTAGAAATTTATTCGGGGGGGCGGTAAGCTTCGACTGCCGACGCTCGACCCCTAGAGTATCGTTGTCGAAGCTACAGGGCCTCATGTAGCGATATATTTCCCTGGTTACATATTGCGCAGAATAAAAATAAGCCTCCAGGAGAGCTTGTTCAGTATCCTTATTCAGACCCTATAGGAAGAAAGTAGCGCTGAAGAAAATTTGGCTGAAACACGGCTACGGGTCCCATAAAGGTCCACTACCCACCACCTCAGATCTAGGACAAGATGCTCCTTTGCTGCAAGAATTCTATAGTCCTGACTAACCGGGTCCTGATAAACCTCGTTATCAATTCAGGTCACTCTTCGCTAACCCTTATGACCATGCTTCCGGCTTGAACGATTTGCTTGAACCCCCCCCCCCCCCGGCGACTCGCCCGCCATCTTCAGCGAGGAGGGCGTTCCAATACCGCCCGCTGCACATGAAGATCTTGACGCGGGTCTGTTCACGCCAGACGATAATAGAGAAGGTGTACTTGGATAGTATTAATAACAAATTGACTAAAAAGATCAAATAAGGAATGGTCTAAGCTTATTAGTAGACTTCAAGCTATTTCGTAAAGTCATACAATAGAAGCGGGATGCGATTCAAGTTAATTATCTCCTTGGTAGCAAGTGTGACCAACCTTAATTAGGGCACCGTTCAGAAGGCGACTACTACTCCGTACGCGTTTCTAAGCCCTAATGTGCCTAGTTTGATAGGGTTACAAGGTATATTATATTACCATTGGATTAAACGAAGACAACTCTGGCAGTGGTTTTTTTTTTTCATATTAGCTACAGTATATACTTCGTACAACTAAGCATCACAGCCAAGCATTACAGCCAAGTATTACTACCGTCACCTAAATACACACCTCGGCTAACTTCTGCTTAATAATATCTGTGTATTTATCAAACTCTCGCCATGGTACTAATTAGTAAGGAAACGTGAAACGCGTTAGTATTAGAAAACAATCATTAAAAGTAAAGCTATTCCCAACTCCTACTATATAAATTGCCAATCCTACGTATAACCCTCAACTTCTTTAATCGGATTATAACTTTGTATTTGCACCTACGGCTACTATAGTAGTATCTACAGTAGATTCTGTCTAGTATACTACTATAGAGAGAGGTTGATAAGTGTACTGCAAAAGTTAAGCGATACGGAGTTGGGTGAGTCTTGAGGTGACCCTTAATTATCCTTTGGCCGGCTACTCGGCTGTGATTTTTAGTATAGCAAGGGTTTAGCTAATCAAGTTACATATAATTAACTAACGTCTATCCCTGCGTAACGAGACACCTACTGTACCGAGAAAAAGTATAGGTATTTGTCAAAGTAGAAGTGGGTCCAAACAGGCAGGTAAATCAAGCTTTTGATTAGTTACAATTGATTATGGAATAGTAGTTATTGAATTGATTGTCCTCTAATACTATGGAATGAAAGCTACGTATATATAGGAAAATGAGTGGATTAGTCAGGTGACTTGAAGTGAAAGAAACATGATGATTTCGGTGTTGCCGAAATGTGCGACTAGCTACCTCGTTATAGATTCCTATATAAATTACTATGGGCAGAAATGATTGTCTTCAGTGATTTTATCAGTTGTCATAGAGCTGAATTGCTATTGTTGATCTTGATGATCAGGTTGATCCAAAAGAGTGTGTATATAGTATTCGTCAGTAGCTTAAGCGAGCTCAGCTCAATAGTACTTCACCTTTGAACTTGAAAAAATCTATATGTATATAGGCCCTCCTTTATTTTTTGTTTTAATCAAATTCTATAGGCAATTCTGAATATATTGAGCTTCTTTTACCAAGGAAAACAAATCGTGTGATCTTTCTCGGCCTCGATTTGCAAGATGCTTTCGTGTATCGTATAATAGCGTTTTTTCGCTATACTTCCACTACACTACTTTTCTAAGTTCTGTCAGCAAAGATTTGAGAGAGGGCGTGAGGGCATATTCCCCTTGGAAAAGAGCTAGGGCCACGCTATGTTACAAGAAGAATCTACTTTAGGGGATCCTGTTTAGGCTCCCTAAGAGCCGACTTGGTCTCCCTAAATATAGTCGTCGTGTAGAGTTGACAACTTTCGTATAGCGGAACCGAATAATAAGTAAACTATGATTGGTTAATGGAAGAGAGAGCAGGAACGTGACTAAGCAACCTGAGCAGTGGAGGGTGAGGCGAGGGTGAGTAGCGCCTGAGTAGAGCGGCGATGCTAACTAACCGCGTTAGAAGCGAGGTCGAATCGGTTTCGGCGCAGATTACTTATGTAATCTACGACGACTGCGAAGTAAAGCCTTAGCTAACGTGCTATAAAGAAGGCCGGATTATTAGATTTGATATGTCTAGTACTCTGACATAGAAAAATTACGAGGCTACTCTATAGGAGCACTCTATATAGCATATAAATATGATATTATTTAACGTATCAAAGTTAGTACTCGGTTAACGGAATCCTTTAGGTAGTGATTCAAATAATTATTTAGCTTAATTTGTCGACTTTCCATATCATCGAATTGCTCCTCCACATTGCGGTTTATTTCCAAAAATAGAGACCTCAATGCTAACTGTTGCTTGAAGAAATTTAAAAAGAAAACATGCTTAAACAGCTTCCCTCATTGACTAACAGTTAATAAATTAGGGCATTATTAAGCTTTGGAATCGGGCATGTTAAGTCCGATCGAATTCCAATCCCGCGGCATAACGCCGGTTGTGCCCCCAAGGCAACATCCGGCCTTTGGACTATATATATGTGCCTATCTACCTACGTAGGTACTTATTCCACCCCTATTAGGAAACAAAACGGTCAGATATCCACTTCGCTCTTAAGTAGCAGGATCCTGCAATTATTACTATAGTACCTTCCACGTGACCACAATCAAGTTACATTATGCCTCCACCTCGCGGAACGCCCAATCCTCTTGAAGGTCCCGGTATATGATTCCAGTTTTCTTACATATCTTGTTATTTCAGACTTCCATCTAGTAACTCAGCTAATAATCCTCTCTTAAGGCGACTATGACATGACCCCCCACGTCCACAATGACACATACCCTGCGATCTCTCCCTTATCTACTTCAATCCCCTTGAACAAGGCTATCTTTATCGCCGGTGCCTCTCGAGGTCTCGGTCTCGCAATGGCCATTTCGTTCGCTCGTGCTGGTGCCTCCCATATCGCAATTGGAGCACGCTCATCCCTCTCAGCAGTAAAAGAGAGTCTCCTATTAGAAGCGTCTTCCGCCTCGCGCCCCACACCTAACATCCTCTGTCTAAAGCTAGATATCACGTCCCAATCCAGTGTTTCAGAAGCTGCCGCCGCTGTGGAGCGCGAATTCGGAAAACTAGACATCGTGATCGTCAATGCTGGGATCCTGGGTACACCAGCACTCATCGCAGATAGCGACCCCGAGGTGTGGTGGGATACGTGGAATGTGAATCTTCGCGGTTCTTACTTAGTTTCTAGGGCATTTTTGCCGCTGTTATTGAAGGGAGGGGACAAGACGATTATTGCCTTGAGTAGTGTTGGCGCCCATGTTGTCCGATCGCAGATGAGCGCGTATCAGATTACTAAACTAGCTGTGTTGAGGCTCATGGAGTTTGTGAGTGCCGAGTATGGGGAACAGGGAGTGGTGGCATTTTCTGTGCATCCGGGAAATATCCCTACGGATATTGTAGGAGGCATGGAGGGATTGAGCGAAGATTTGAAGCCGAGTAAGTGATCCCCCATCTCCGGTGGTGTATTGGTTTTGGGAAGAAGCTTGAATTGCTAATCAGTGTAATATAGTCTTTGTGGAGACGCCTGAATTGAGTGCTGATACAATTGTGTATCTGACAAGGGAAAAGCAGCAATGGCTCGGAGGACGGTATGTAAATTGTACATGGGACATGCCGGAGTTGATGGCGAAAAAGGATGAGATCGTAAACGGGGACAAGTTGAAAGTAAAGCTGGATTTTTAGACGAAGAAAGCATACGGGCTAAAACATCCAATCACTTTTCAACCTGTAGATATGTGGGCCACGCAATCGTAACTTTCAAGAAGTATAAATTTTGTCGAAAATCTGTTGCAACAAGAAGCAAAAGAAAGTGTGGTATGGATATAATAATCCACCCCTTCTTCGCCCTAAAACTTGACGAACGAAGAAGTTATGATGGTTTCTACTAGGAAAAGAGAAAATACCGATAAAATGCCTATAATAAATTGTGAAATAACTAGCACGTTGTTGCTTAAAGGAAATAAGTACTAATATTAGGCTGTACTGTGGGTTTATTGATTGGACATTTCACACTTACCCCAGGTATCTAGCTACGACATCGCGAGGCTGCGTCTGAAGCGGCCGCTAAATTGTTCCCCTATTCCTAAAATAAGCGAGCGTACTTAAGCGTTTGTTGTCCAGAGCATACTGAGTAATCAAGCTTTCACTGGAACAGAGATACTTATAGAAAAGGATCATTGCTCGATTGCCCATTATAGAAATGGAAATCATGAAGTCGAAAAGAGTCCAGAGAAAATCGCATTCTATCAACGCAGTGTCCTCGAAATATTTATGAAGTAGAATCGCTGTGATATCAGACGCGAATTCAAGAACAACTCTGTTATTTCTAGATGGTTTGAAGTTTTAGCACTACTAAAACGTGTCGTGCGAGGACATAGAGGGCAAAATGCGGTCTACCAAGCCTTTATTCAATCCTGGAGCTCACATACTTTCCAGCTCTACTACGCAAGTCCGAAGTACTTACAGTGGAGTAAAGTTATAAAGAGTCAGATTGCCACAGACATATAACTAATTGCCGAAGCCTAGAAAGCTGGCCAATGACATGCGTACCAACACCGGACGCCACGCTCTATGCACCATTGATTCCCATTACAGTGCCCTTCTGATGCTACCGTCGTCCTCTTCCAGATCCAGCACCACCCATTCCAGGCATGCCGCCCATCATCCCACCCATTTGCTTCATCATGGCCTGCATGTCCATGCCTCCAGGCATCCCTCCGGCCCCGGCCCCGCCTCCACCGAGCATTTTCATCAAGGATCCCATATCAGGCATACCACCACCACCCGCTCCACCAGCACCGCCCATGCTAGCGAGACGCTTCTGCATTGCAGCCATTTGCTGTTGCTTGTTTCCACCGCCCATTGCCCCCTGCGCCCTTTGGATATTCTTCATATTGCCGCCCATTTTCTTCGCCATACCAGCCATCATCTTATGTTGCGTGAGTAGATCCTCAACTTCACGAACGCTGGTACCACTACCACCAGCTATCCTTGTCATCCGTGTGGGTTGCTCAGTGAATATCTTGCCGTCGCTGTCCAATTCTTTCGCCGTCATGGAATCGCACATGTAGATCATGCGTTTAAGCTTAATGGAGCCCTCTTCATCGTCCATGCCCTGCATCATGCCACTCATTCCCGGAATCATGCCGGCCATTTTTGATAGCGGCCCCATTTTCATGATATTAGATAGTTGGTCTCTAAGATCGCGCACCGTAAAGACACCTTCGGCAATATGCTTCATAGTATCCTTTTGATCAAGTTTTAAGGACTGCACGTGCTCAACGAGCCCTTGAATGTCACCCATTCCGAGTAGCTTTTGGACAAATTTTTCAGGCGCGAATCTTTCCAAGTCAAGTATGTGTTCGCCAGTACCAATGAAGACTATAGGGGTTCCGGTAGCTGCAACTGCTGATATAGCTCCTCCTCCGCTTGCGTGTCCATCGGTCTTGGTAATAATAATAGCACCAAATGCAGCTGTATCGTAGAAGGCTTTGCTTTGAGCCTCAGCTTGTTGCCCAATACTAGCATCTAACACCATGATAGTTTGGTCCGGTTTGACAGCTGTCTGAATATCCACCATTTCTTGGAAGAGGGCATCCTCCTGTCGATGCCGTCCACTGGTATCCACAATGATAATCTCGAACTTCTCTTTCTTGAATTTCTCCACGCCTTCTTTCGCCACAACTGCTGGATCTGTCTGCGTAAGAGATCCATAATAGGGGATCTTCGCCTTCGTCGCATTCTGCTTCAACTGATCAAAAGCTCCCGCTCGAAACGTATCTGCGCAAACCAGACAGGCCTTGAAGCCCCTTGATTGATAGTGCCGTGCCAGCTTCGTACATGTAGTAGTTTTCCCCGCACCTTGTAAACCCACCATCATAATAACACTCGGTTTGCCCTTCTTGGGATTGAAAGGTTTGGTGTGGGGGTGCGGGTCTACAAGTTTAACCAACTCGTCGAAGACAGCCTTCTGAATCAGTCGCTTCTTGTTGACGTTAGGCGCTAGCTCTTTGAAGTTGACTGAGCTTTTGATGGACTTTCGTAGGACCCCGACGAGGCGTACGTTGACATCAGCTTCAAGGAGTGCTGAGCAGATCTCCTTAATCATACCGTCGAATGCCTGCAACCTGTTAAGATGACTGCCGCGCCTAAAGGAGCGTACGGGAAACCGACCTTTTCATCGAGATTACTCGACCTTGTCAGGTCGCTGACGGCCGCATTGATGCGGCGACCGAGATCTTGAAGAACCATGTTGTTGTGTCGTTATGCGAGCGTAGAATAACTAGAGAAAGAGTCGTTGTTCGTCCAACCTCAGTAAATGTGGGATAACCTTGAGGGGCCAACTAGGCGGGGTCTAGCCTCCGAAATAGTTCTTCCGGCTCCGAGATATCGAAATAATTAATTTCTTCGTCACACCCATCGAGCTATTGCACCACAACAACACAAATTCCGAAATCAGTTCCACGCAATGGCAGGCTCAGTTTCCAAAAAGCGCAAGGTCGAGGATGGAATGAAAGGCAGGACTCATAAACCGGTTAAGAGATTCAAAAAGCAAACCAATTACAATAGCGATTCCTCGGACGCAGAACCGACCGGCGATTTCCAGGCAGTAAATCTCCAAGATTCGGACGATGAAGGAACTCGAACGGTAGATCGGATTGTTCCAGATTTGTCAGATGCTGAGGATGAGCCTCCGCTGGACGACGAGCCTGCGCTGGACGAGGAGGCAGTTTCGGAAGTTACAGATGCGTCAAATTCAGACTCAGAAGGCGAAGAATCAGATACAAATTCCAACCCCAATTTAATACGAAAGCGCAAACGCAATGATCCAGAAGCATTCGCCACCTCGATGTCCAAGATCCTCAGCTCGAAACTATCTACAAGCAAACGCGCAGACCCTGTCCTCTCACGGAGTGTTACGGCTATTGAGGCTAGCAAGGAGATAACGGATCAGGCATTAGAAAAGAAGGCACGGCACAAGTTGAAGGAAGATAAGAGGGTTGCATTGGAGAAAGGAAGAGTCAAGGATGTTCTTGGTGCGAGTACGGCCTTTGATGCTGCCAATGGACATAACTTGGGAGTTGGGCAGCCCAGTGTTCAGGAGACGATGGAATTGGAGAAGAGGCTGAGGAAAACGGCTCAGAGAGGTGTGGTTAAGCTGTTCAATGCAGTGAGAGCGGCCCAAATTAAGGGAGAAGAAGCTGCTAGGGAGGCAAGGGTGAAGGGTTTGGTTGGGCAAGGGAGACGGGAGGAGAGGGTTAATGAAATGAGTAAGAAGGGGTTTCTAGACCTTATTGCAGGTGGCGGTGTTGAGGAAGCATGAAGAAGAGAAGGATAAAAAAATAGAAATTTCCCCATATGTCAGTGCTGTGATGTGACTCCTGCATTTGGTGTTGAGGCGACTTTGGTTCTATGGATACTTCGTAACTTGATTGAGATTATTCACCAACCGGAACGCCTTGTGCTATAATACAAGGACGGGCAGCAAATGAGATATTGGTACTCCACCTCGGGCTTGCATACCCAAATGTCATTAACCATGCAAAGCTCCCAGAATGTTGCGCCGTTCCAATGCTCTCCCAGTTAATGCTTCCATTATTCCTCCGTGACAGAAATAGGATACCAGAGCTACTTGAAGTTGCTGGCCTGCATGTTTCTTGTAGCATTTGGAAGCTTAACTCGAAGTCCATTCAGTTCAGGCGTCATAACAATCTGACACCCCAACCTTGAAGTCTCCGTCAACCCAAATGCGAGGTCCAACATATCATTCTCGTCGTCAGTCGCCTCTGGTATTTTGTCGTATAGCTCTTCATCTTCGACTATGACATGGCACGTTGAACAGGCGCAGGATCCTTCGCATGCACCTATTTTGCGCATTAGCTGCTATCCATTGGCTAAATAAATGGTGGACCATACCTTCCATCTCGATATCATGAGCTTGTGCAATGGTCAACAAATTATCCCCCTTGTTAACAGCAATTTTGTGCTCATCTCCGTCCTTGTCTATGAAGGTGATATATAACCTAATACCGTCAGCACATATCAATCAATGGGGGTCCCATTTTCCGTACTCTTCTCCAGGCTTTGGAGGGTCTAGGTGACCATGTTGGGCAACTGCGCTCGCAGAGAAAGCTCGGCGGGCTGGCAGTGCGAGTTCAATTTGTTTTGCGAATAGCTTCTGCGATTGAGGAATCCTCGGATGTACCGGCGACTGGCGGCTTGTCGACGACAGAGACCGGATAATAGCTGCTTTGGCAGGTTGGTTTCTAAGGTTGTTCAGAGCACCCTTCACAAGTCTCAGAGAGCCTTGCTTTGCAGGTCTCAGTGCAGACATCTTGACTGCAGTCGACCGTTTCCAACAAGTTGAATCGGGGCTAACATGCAAAGCTGATAGTGTACAGTAGTGGGAAGGAAGTGCAGAAAACAAGTCGCAAGAGATGCCAAATATATAATGGCGCTAGATCAGAGGGGTAATCACTCGGATACGGTGAATACTTCCATATCCATATCCAACAGCGGGGCACTCCAAATGTTGGACGTTGTTAATATGTTACTGTTGGTTGGGGCTTTCTAAAGATTATTTATCACCTATCGCGAAGCCCGAAATACGCGAGAAATATTTGACGATGCGATATGACATCAAATAGTTGCATGAACATCAACTCCAAGACAATTATCTTGCCATACAAATAGACAAGATGGCAACATCCAGAGATGGGACAAACCCTCTAAGACCGTACTACAGGCCTCCATCTATAGGCATTCCTCTCGACGCCCCAGCGACAAGCTCTGGAACTCACGGCCTAGGACCAAAGAATGGCAGCGCTGCGGCATACGCGTCGTCTGCGCGCGATATGTTCGACTACAGTGATTATTTGTCTGATTCCTCGCCGTCATCAATAGATGCGGTCAAGAGGACGCTGGACGATTGGCTATACAGGTATATCAGCATCTTGTTAGCCCAGCCCTTTGACGTTGCCAAAATGGTCTTGCAAGTAAGGAGTCAGACTGGTACGGATGGAACGATACCCAGATCAGTTACAGGCGACAGGCGGTCACAGAATCCGGGTTATAGGGATTCAATATATAGAGATGTATGTTGAATAATTACCGCCTGGAAACTCTGCTAATAAGATTTGCAGTACATTTCTGACGACTCTGATGGCGACGAACAATCATATTTCACCTCATCTTCTCCTTCGTCCCTATCCCACTCCCCTTCTAGATCACGAAGACATAATCCGGTAGGCCGGGACTATTCCCCTTCTCCCGAAAGGCGCGCCGCCCCTGGGTACCAGCTCTCGCTCAAGAAGGCGGACTCGATATTAGAAGTTATATCCCAAGAATGGACCAAAGAAGGGGCAAGAGGGGTATGGAAGGCATCGAACACCACATTTTTGTATAGTTTGTTGCTTCACACGATGGAGCAGTGGTCAAGGGGCCTATTCTCAGCAATTTTCAACATGCCAGAGGCAGCGGTTGCTGGATTAACTGGCTCGGCCGACCTAGCAGATTCTCCATATCCATGGGCTTCATTGGGCGTGGCAGTTGCCGCTGCTGTAACCACTGGACTTATCCTCGCACCCCTCGACCTTGTCCGCACCAAGTCAGTAGCCTCCCTACTTCCCTTCGCTCTCGTCGCGACTAATCTTAGCAGGCTCATCCTCACTCCAACATCGTCGCCCAAACGCTCTCTTGCACAAAACCTCCGCTCCCTCCCCTCCTATTTCTGTTCCTCGACCTTAATGATACCCACCATGTTACACAGCCTTATCACACCCACCATCAACCATTCCACGCCTCTCCTCCTCCGCTCCCACCTTGCAATCGATCCTGTCCTAACACCCACTGCTTATAGCATCGCAAACTTACTTTCCCGCACCGTTGAGCTTTTCCTGAAGCTCCCCCTCGAAACTGTCCTCCGTCGAGGCCAAATATCAGTTTTGATGTCGCCCTCATATTGCTTGGAGATTGGAAAACAGCTAGAAACGACTGTTGAGCCGGGTCCCTACAGTGGCGTGCTTGGCACTATGTGGTCAATTGTCAAGGAGGAGGGAGGGCCATCAGGCCAGGAAAAGGACGTTGGGATAGCTGGTATAAGGAGCTTGAAAAAAGGAAAGAAAGCAGAAAAGAAAGGGCAGGGAGTCGAAGGACTTTGGAGGGGGTGGAGAGTAGGCATGTGGGGATTGGTGGGAATGTGGGGAGCTAGAGCGATGGGAGGATCGGGGAGCAGCGCGGGAGAGTTTTGATACCCGAAGGACCACGATGTTACTAGTACACGGCGTTGCAACCTGGGACAGTTTGCTAATCTACAGGCTTGGGTAATTGGGAGTCCAGGGATGAATTATGACGATCCTCTACTCTGTTTTATTATTATATGTATATAATGGTTATCACGTGTATTCATATATGGGCAGCGAGTGCCAAACACTGTTCAATACATAGAAAGTCACCTATACTCCCTTAAGGGACACGTCAAGCGTCGAAGGAGCGGAGAGAAGAAGAATGGGTTGATACGTAAGTGAGGAACAAATAAAATGTGTCTCCCGCTCATAATTTGCTGCTAACAGTGGTCATGCCAACAAGCACACAAGATACAGTTTGACCCCGTATCTAAAAGTCCGACATGTTTAGTTTCCCCATTCATGTCCATGAAACTGTCCGATTTATCAATGCAAGTGCTTGGCGCAGTGGTGTCCATGTACCCCCTAGTTCCTTTCTTTCAGTTTATGAGGATTCTATTGCGGTCGCTTTTCCAGGCCATCAAGGGTGGGCTGCCGCCGCGTGTCCCGTCGTCCATTTGGAACCCAGCCTATTCCTCTCTTTGTATAGTGGAAGCTGCTTAGTGGATTCAGGCCGAAGCAAGATTAATTTCTACTTCTATATGCCTACGTTTTAGGAAGAAAAACTGGGGAGCTTCCATTGAGGATCTACCCGCTGGCATGGACTCACCATCCTCATTCCATACCTGTCTTTGTCCTTCACAAATCTTACCGCATGCGAAGAGCGAGGGGTCGCCTCAATGAGGTTATTTCCGTGTAGCAGTGCATCCGTAAATGCCTCGCTACCAAAAGTCTTTCTTATGTTTTCCGTTTGCGGCTCCGGGTATGTTCTGTCGATAGAGGAGATAAAGTGACAAAGACGATGGTCAGAGTTACAAAATAACCGCTGGGAACCTCCTGGGTTTCATATTTTCAATTTCTGCGGTCTATTTCTTAACCCAAAAAATCTTAAGAGAACACTGCCAATTTCCTAGTCGTAATCGCCACTGGAAATCAGATAAGATGGCTCAGACCAGGGCAAAGAAAGCCGCAGCAGTAAATTTCCCAGCGAAACCGAAGCCGGCAACAGGGCCAGCAGCGAAGCCAACAACAAACCCTACAACAAAACCAACAACAAAACCAACACCAAAGTCAACACCAAAGCCAACACCGAAGCCAACACCAAAGCCAACAACAAAGCCAGCAGCAAAGTCAGTAGCAAAACCGAGGCCAACACCGAAGCCGAAGCTAGCAACAAGGCCAGCAACATCGGGCAATTTAACGGAGGGGCCGCTGTCTGGATTTCCTCCTGATTCGAATGATGATGCACCTAAACTTAAGGATCACAAGGTTATTCTGATAATGGACTCGGCGGTCAAGGGATACAATTCTAATCGCAGAGAGTATTTACTTTTGCCCCTCTGGGAGAAGGCTTACAGCGTCGATCAAAGTTGGTATGGAATTAGTGGTCTCGTGAATGCATATCTTGGGGCTCTCATAAATGCCTTCTTAAAAGATTCCCCAGGTGACGATGGCCCAACCGGAGAGACGGTTTGCCAGTTTGACATGCTCGGGTTTGAACCAAGAACCTGTTATAAGGATGCCCCTCGCGATTATGTGGCTGCAATCTCAGAGATGATAAGTCATGGTTATCAGGAATTGAACTTTTACATCCGCCCAGTAGAGCCTGGTAGCTTCAGGTGTGGTTGCATTGCGGAACACAAGGCCCATATTATTAAACATCCACGCAACGACGAAAATACGGATGTTGAGCGAACAAGCAAACGACGAAGGAACAATGAGAATGGTACGCTTTACTTAAGTAAATTGGCGCCAGAGGTGGTGCCAGGGTGTCGTTTTAACTATAACGAAGATGTTGAACCCGGGCCACAGGATCTTGACGGGAGTGATGAAGGCCCCGAAGGGATGGAGCTGGGTGACGAATATTCTGAGGGGCAGAAGCTGGGAGACGAATCCTCTGACGGGGGAGATCCGAGCGATGATAGCTCCAAGGGGGAGGACCCGTATGATATGAGCTCTGAGGCGGCGGATGACATTTATTCCAAACCGCTGGCCGAAGGAAGAGACGAGCAAGCGGCCACAAGCGAAAGGCAACACGTCTGGAAACAGTATTTAATCCCTATACCCCAGGATACTTCTAGAATACTGACCAAGTTCGTAGGTTTCACGAGATTCATAATTGCAAGGATATTGAACAATTTGACGAAGAAGTAGTAAGTGTATTTTTATCGGTATAATGATCGATTATAAGGACCACTACTTCTTTCATTACTAAGACATTGCTATGCTGGTATTTCTAAAACACTGCTTACTTGCTTTTTGACAGTGGGAAAATTGTTGCGCTTTTTTTGGAGTCGATACTAGCAAAACAGACTGGGAACCACCCACCATGTTCACATTACCAGGCCTCAAGGTGGCTTTGCTACCTCATCAAGCTTATGCAGTCTATTGGATGCTAAAATCCGAGGTATCTATAGCTGGCGGGGGCTTCCTTTGCGACGAGGATGGAATAGGAAGAGAAGAAGAGATTTTAGCTGTATTTGCCGCAAGCCGGGTTTTAGCAAAAGCCTCTCAGATAATGGAGGAGGAGAGGGGCCTCATAGGCCATAAATTTCATCTGCCCCCGTCCAGTGTCCATAAACAGGGAAGCGGAGCTCGGTGCCCAAGTGAGGAGGCCGGGACACCACGGTTCCCTATTGCTTGTCCTTGTGTCGAGGCTGGTCCTTCTGCTACTCTCATGTCGCCCAAACGGTTTAGACCGACGCTGCTCGTAACGCCTGATGGGCAGATCCAAGAGTGGACTTTAGCCATCAAACGTATCCTCGAATTTAGACCAGAACCAATTAGCTGCGCAATTCACATAGATGAACTGCCTTTGAAGCTTTCTGTCCTCCAGGAAGATAATTCAGATATAGACGAGGAAGTCCTGGATATGCTTGCCATGCAAGCTACCACGAAGGAGAGACTGCCAGATGACGAAAGCCTACTAGATAGGGAAAGACTTCTTGTCTTGACCTCCGAGGAAGAGTGGAAACGCAGCATGCCAAATGTTGAGCAAGCCTATAAAGCTGCAAATAAGGGAAAAGAGCTTGTGACCGAGTGGGGACGCGTGATTAAAGATGAGTGCTATACAGATATGGAGGCAAACTCGCGCACTGCGGAGACGCTGGCTCAACTTGGCGGAAAGCCATGGTTATGGGCACTTTCAGACGCTCCTTGTGAAGAACGGCCGGCAAATCTGGCTGTATACGTCGATTATTTGGCAAGCAATGCATCGGGAAGCTGGAGTGATAATCACAGGCTCCAATGGGCGGAAAGGCTCAAGGAGGTAGATTCGCATTACCTGCTTTTGTTAAAATGGGGGGAGCCGGTATTTGGTATTGGCGTCTGGCAATTTGCCACACAGTTCGGATACGTGTTGACGGGCCTGATGATACGGCGCACTGCCTTGACGGAATGGTTTGGAGAGCGACTCCATCCGCCAACGAAAAGTGTTATGATTACATCTGGCCAATTCAACCCATCGCAAACAGGGGTTGACAAAAGCGTAACGAAACTCCGAAGGAACGCCCAGTGGATTCTACGAAAGTCCATAAAGCGCCAAATAGCTCCCTCGAAAGACGATGTGTATCGTACTGGTAGGATGACTCAAGTGGCCAGTGGGTTTATGACATGGTTCCAGCTTATGCGCGTTTTCCGGATGACAGCAACAGTACCAGGCCTGGCTCGACTTGCCGTTGAGGACAATATGCTGCTGTCGACAGCTGAGTTGGAAGAGAGCAAGTGGTGGGAACCGATGGGTAGTTCCCCCTATGAAAATAATCTGGATGAGCTGGGCGCAAGTAGCGGAGCGTTCCGGCAACTGCTCCAACACCTAGGAAGCGGAGTGCTAAACAAAGGAAAGGCCATTGTAGTGTCAGAATTTCCAGTCATAGCACACATTACCCACTTAGTAAGTCAAAGCCTCCCTCTCTGTGATATGGGCCGTCCAAATCTTTACTTACGGTGGAACAGTGGCTAAATAAAAATGGTTACAAATCATTAATATTGCATAAATATGACATGAACAATGCGAAGCTACTTCGAGCATTCGAGAACAATTATAACGGTGGTCACGTTTCGGCTTTGCACAGGGCAGCGCAAGACGCACAGGTTCTTGTCACCACATACCCATTATTGCCAAAGTGTTCTCCTATCTACAAGACAGGACTGTTGATCAGCATGGAGCTTCCCTGGGACATCGAAGATGAGAGATCCATAAAAGATCACCTCAGTAGACCTAAACAAGGAACAGCTTTTAAATGCAATATCACTACTGGAGACAGAACAGAAACGAATGTAAAGAAACACCACTTCGGAAAATTGCGCTTTCGCGATTTAAGTTTCAGGGAAGATAACGATCCGGAGGATTTTGGAAGCCGAAAGCCACCCCGGATTTTCGAGATTTTCAGACACGCTGCCGAACATCCTGAAAGGATGCCGGCTGTGCTAGAAGAGCGACCACCTGGAGGTACCGGTATCTCTGATATCTTCAAAATGTTCTTCGAGGACTACTAAGCTACGGCCGGTGAATGAAAATTCCGCTTCTAGAGTAGAATGATTGCAATCCCATCGTTTAAAGCGCCCACCAAATGTGTCGTTAGAACATTGCAGTTGATTATTATGGGTGCAAATTTGGAAAAAGCCATACTCGATCGTGGAAATTCGACGTGCTAGGGACGGAGACGGATATAAGCAAAAGGAAAAGGGAACAAGGAGGTAGCATTTATTTTAATTCGTAGTTCATTGCACACGCCCCCCAAGCAGCGGGAACATCCAGAAACATCCAGAAAGCCTACACATCAGGTCAAGAAGCTTATGGAGGGGGCGAATAATATTTTAAGGGGAATAGATAAAGTCCTGGAGGAACAAGTAAAACTGCAATCCATTCATTAGCAAACCAGTCCTTGACTGCTCTCGAATTCTAAATATATAGTATTAGATTGAGACTGTTAATTATAGCTATGGATCGTTATCACATTTAGCGCCTTGCCAAGCGTGAAGAAATGTTAAATGACTGCGTTGGCGGAGTTGGTAATAGTTTCGTTTTTCATTTCTGAAGTAGACAGGCGGTCTGGGAATGATAGCGGGCATACACTCGTTGGTACCCGGCCATGCCTACATACCGCTATAGGTTTGGCGTTGGCGGGAGTAACACTAAATGTATCCTTCATCGGAAGAGAAAGTTTCTTATTCTAGGGTCATAACACTTGTATGTGACCAACTAGCATGACTGGTACTACAAAGTCAGACGATGCAGAACTTGGCAATTTGGATTATCTGATTATATATCCGTTTCGTCCTTGTTGGAATCCCACAAACTGGTAGCGCAAGACACCCAATAATATAAATTACAGAAGGAAAACAATACAATACCGGTCCGGCTTGTTACTCGTACTTGAATAGCAATGCCCGATAGGTGAGAGGTATCCAAAAATTTAAGTGGCGAATAGTGGCTAGACAGTGATTATGGCGCTAGTATGAAAACCCCACAAAGGCCTCTGAAAGAGATAAGTGATCACAAGGATCTAACGACTGGGAATAAACCTTTCCTAGTAGTAGTTCGTCTTCCATTATCCTGGGTATTGTAAAAATGATATTAAAACGCCGGGGTCCTTCGTGATCCGTCCCTATGCTTCAGGGTAATACATGAACCACGATAACTCCATCGCCGTTGTTGAGACCAATCAAGCTGTTGCTTTCTTCTTCTTTATCATGTTGGCGCCCAAAACGTTGACAGAAGGAGTTGGTACATCAACTGTTGGGACCAGAGGAGCATTTCTCGAGTCTTCTGGTCCACCTTTCCTCTTCTTTCTGACTAGTCCAACACTTAGGGTATTAACTCCCGCGGCACTGCTCTTGTCCTGGATTTCTAGGGACTGTGCTCCGGTGACCGTCTGGCCCCACGCATCGGTCGAATTTCCTGAAGCAGCAACCTCGTTAATCCACCGACTTGAGCTAGATGCGGCCAGGTCCAAGTTCGCAAAATCTAGGCGGAGGAGTAGCTCAGTGATACGTTTGTAGTCTGATTCATCCATTATGATCTGACCTCTGCCTTGAGCAGGCCAGCTATAGTATGGCGTAGATTCAGATCTATCTACAAAAGAGTTTGTGTTCTGGGTTTTGGCCCTTGGTTCTCTTGGGATAATGGTGCCAGTAAGCTTCTTTCTTTTAGAAGGGCCACGAGACCTGGAAGACGTAGCAGATTGCTGGCTAGGGGGAGGAGATCCGTATGATTCTGATTTAACAGATGGGCTCGTTTGTTTAGTCTGGCTTGGTGCCGTGAAGGATGTTGATGGTGTTATTGGGAACGTCGGATCATTTGGTCTCCCTATCTTGCTGCCATTATCATATGTTTCTGCAGGCTGGCCTTCGATAGAAATCTCTGCAGGTTTGCGCTGAGATTTTGGCGCCAATACTATCCAGATAAATCCCACTAACCTCCCAGCAGAGCACTCCTGTCGGAAGGCCATCATATCCCAAAATTGCTCGACTGTTTTCACACTTCTCCATTGGCCGCTCGAGCTATCCTGTCCCTTTGTAACCTCGTCGTCGAGCTCATCTAAAAACCTTGCCTTTGGATCATCGGGAAAATGTGGTATCAAACACCGCGGAGGTGCATCATTGGGGTGTCTTGACACGACGCGAAGTGGATGACCAATTGTCCAGGGCGAAGATTCACCTGATGCTCTCTTGGGAATAAACGACATGGTTTCGCGGGCATCAAGGCCGGGAATAATCAGATACCCCTTCACGGTATCCCATTGTGAGGATATTGGCAAAGGGGGGCTCCGCGATTCCTGGATTAATGGATCTAGCACCCTACACCACCACCGAACCAATCCACGGTCGTCCAAGACATGTTTCCCACTGTATTCAACACTCCCTGGAAACAGATATTGGTCTTGGGCTCGGGCGAAGAGAGATACAACGCTGCGGATGTTGGGACGTTCACGATGCTCAACAAGATACTGTAAAAAGGCTGCGGTGATATTCTTTAGCGGCGACGGAGTCCCTTTTGGTAACTCCAATAGATGTAGGTATCCAGTGGAGTCCGCTTTGGAAACGAAGAATGTTGTATCGTATGCGGTCGAATAAACCAGAGTCTCTATGGCGTAAACCAAAACCTCTGTAGATTCAGGTCCATTGGCTGTAACTGGAGTCTGGATTGACACGGAGAGAAAGTGGCTTTCGCAGTATGTCCGATCAGGGCGCGCTCCTGGAGGGGCCGAATAGATTGCAGCAGTTCGGGTTGGAGGTGTCGAGAGGTGATATATTTTGAAGCTGACATCCTTAGGAAGTAGCGGAGCAAGACATTGCATTAGTACTGGGGATGCAATCGCAACTGATGCTGGGGAATTAATTCTTTCATGGCCAGCCATATTCAATTCCCTGAAGTATATGAGGTGATGTTGGGATTGGCGTTGAGTGAGTGATGCACGACCAGGGACGCGTTCGGGAGCTCGCCAGAAACGGTCTAGCGGCCTTGATGCTCTGAAATAAATTCGAGGAGGAGGTTCATCAACAACGGAATTGAGCCATGTATATTTAGTCAACCCAGACGACACACTACGAAACCCGGATACTATGGCTTCTAGAACAACTGCCCGGCCGCTCCAGAGCATATTAAGGCGTGCGCGGCCCAGCTGCGAATGCGCCAGCGTGCAATCAACCCGAAGACAATGTATACGACAAATCTCAGCAACGACCACTAAACCAGGCGCCAAGTGGGAGACGGAGCCAGATGAGAGGCCGCGATGGTCATATACGCCAGAGGAGATGAAGGCCCCCTATCCCTGGAAACCAAAAGATCCTGAGCGGCAGTTCGAATGCAACAGCGACCCGAAACGATTAGACAAATTCTACAACAACTTTCTAGGCCCCGGAGGGGATCAGGTTCTCACGGATGAGGTCAAATGGCTTGCAATTACCCACAAAAGCTTTGATCAAGGGCGGAGAGGTTTCAATGATCGTCTGGCGTTTTTTGGTATGATGCTCCGTTGAAGAAGGAAGTGTCATTGGCACATGCTGAGCAAGATTTACAGGTCGGCGGATTTTGAATTTGCAGACAAATATAGCATTGACTCGGTCAGGCATGGCCACGAAGATGCAATCACGCCCGGCTCCTAATGACAACCGCGAACCGTTTACACACCCTAAGTTAGAAGGATTGGCGAACTTGTCTGATATGCCGCTTGGAAAAGTCTTGACGAAGGAAAGACTTGCAACATTGGCCACAGCAGCTGGCATGCGGGAGATCATGAGGTGGCAACCAAGAAACGTAGGACAATGTGCAATGATGAATACGGGCAATGCTGACAACTTTCTAGCCCGATAGACTCGCTACATCGGGAGTCGACGTGGTTCTTAATACTGGGATTTATGCGATTATTGGAGCTATTGCGTTGCAGAAGGGCGGAGCTTATGCAAACGATGTTGTGAGGGAGAAGATTTTGAAGCCTCTGGGAATCTCATAGCGGGTATGCGGCGTGGTGGATGTGGTGTAGGATATTGTACAATATGGGAAACCCTTCACGAGGTGTGAGAATAGAGGCACATTCTGATCAACCACAAACCTGCCAGCTACATGTAGCGAACTACATTACAATGGCGATCCCCGAATTTCCTCCTTGTTTAAGGAAGCGGCAATACGCTGCCTAATTTTCCTAGAATGTAGTTGCTGCTATAAACACACAACCTATCGCAGTACCTCTACCCCTTTATTCAACATCAGATAACTGCTCTATTTCCATAACACTATTTCCCAAGGCTTCCTGGCTTACCTACCCCATATTTGCTTGGATTTAGGTCTCCTGTTGATGTTTATTGCTAGGGATTTGGTATCTACGGTACAGCTACTTGATTGGGTTATGGACGAGCTTTTATAAACGAGGGTTAAGGTCCTGGGGAATACTTGCTTCTTATATTTTATAGTACGGTTTTGGAACCAGTTGTACCTTACACAGCGTCCCTTGGTTCACAATACATAACACTGTCTATTATCTGTGTACTCCGGCCGAGCAGAAAAGTGTGATATGGGCTGGTAGAAGTTGTATTATTTTCAACCACCAGGTCTCGAAACCAGTACTATATTTCTCATCCCCTATCATTCATTATTCATTATCTCTCTAATCTTCCAATCCTCTCAAACCTCACTCCCCACACTCCTAAGCGGATACTTCAACGCACCCTTTACCTTGGCACAATTACTCACGCTGCCCCCATTACTACTCGCATCTACCGGTATCCCCTGATTCCTCTGCACCCGTCCATAAACATGGTAATAATACCAAACCTCACTTACGACCGTCGCTCCATTATCACTCGTCCCCTTCCCGGCCTCCGTAGCGTTATACTTCGGTCCTGAACAGCTGATATACGGTGTAGCGCCGAAACCTTTCGTTAATGCAGCTTGTAAGTCAGAAAGCGAGTACGAGGTGGTGTTTGAAGGCCGGATGTCCGCAGCGGATAGCCAGCCCCAGGTGGGGAGGTTTTGATAGTATGAGACGGCCGTGGAGAAGAAGTCGACTACCTCTTCGTGTTCCTTGTAGGCCGGCCCGTAACACGGGAGGTCAAAGGTACTAAAGCAGGTGGCGTGTTTCGAGAATTCGTGGCCCCAGAAGTCGCTATTGGGCGAGCCTTGGGATACCCAAAATCTAGAAGTGGGTGTGTTAATGTAAACTTGGATTGGGGATGCTGAGGAAATTGCTGCGTTCGGGAGAGGAGAGGAGGGAGTGGTAGGGAATTCATTACACTTACTTGTTCATGTATGCAAGTAGATCCAACTTCCCAAACGGAGCAAGGAATGTACCGATGCCAGGGCCGTCATAAGGCTTGACGGGTTCACCATCCGGCTTTCCAGTAGTAGTATTTGGGGAAGGCGTGGGATCATATTGTCGACTACAATTCACGTCAGTGCCATAACTCACTCGACCCTCTCAAGCCCCTTTTAATCAATAACTATACCTCAGGTCACAATATTGCGTAAATGACCCATTACAAAAGTCTGGCCACAAACCATGCAAAGTCCAAGCATCCTTTGGCAGCACCTGTCCCTCAGATTCTAGCCCCGTATAAGTATCCCAGAACTGAGTGCTCATAACGAGCCCGCCATACGTTTCGGTACAGCAGGAGTCGGTGAGATCAGGGTGCGCCTGCGTCGAACATGAGAGGAATGGGGTTTCTAGAAACATTTGTTAGAATTTTTTAGAACTTCGAGGGATAACGAGGAGCAAATACGCAATTGGCAGGTGTGGTTGAGATTGCTCTGTCCTGGGTACAATGAAGCTTGAGAGACACCGAGCAGCACTTGGCTGACGGTTAGAGCTGTTGCGACGCGCATGTTGTGATTTGAGGAATTAACAATAAGGAAGAACAATTAGATCCTACAAGCACCAGAGAGAGAGGAAATCAACTCGAAGAAATCTCGCAGCGCAGCAGAGCAGAGCTGGTTATATTATCCAGTAAGGAAGTATCCCCGCAATCAGCTCCTACTCGCATGGGAGTCTGCATAAAGGGACGAGGAATCAAGGGACACAGGACTTGCAATTGGCAGACGGAGGCCAATCAATTAACCATGCCTGGGTTGATATCATAGTTTGCTCGTGTTTTTGCGCATCACTACCTCGTTTCCTAGACGGTAATAATAAAGACGCAGGGTGTTGTTGACATTATTGACCGAGATGGGGATGGGGTTGTGAAGAAATCTAGACTGTATGGGGAAGGTGATGGCCACGTGGGGTCGGGAGAGATCAAGGGAGGATCAACAAAGTCGGGAAACGGAAATGTTATTTCACTTGGATATTTTGTAATGATTGATGATTGGATATCTTGCAAACAGAGTGGATGGTGGTATATTACTAGTTGCGAGGTTGGTATTGGATTAACGCTCATGGCTGAGAACTATTCGACTATTTACAACTCATTATTGCCATCCTCCCTCTTACAGCCCAATACTCGCCTCAACTATGAGTGAGCGAAGTGAACTTGCCGATTATCCGTGCCGGATCTTTTCCCCACCGTCTAACACTTTTGGTATTGTCTTTGATCCTGAATTGCCTTTGCCACGAAGGGGTTATCAAGGCAGCGACTCTAGATCCTCAACGCGGGGGGACCCATACAGCCATTTACGGTTTGTCGTAGGTAGATTACTAAACCGAGTTGACCCATCGGCGCCCTTATAATGCCCATTAATCGCCATTAGTGGTATCTCATCCTCGGCCAAAGCGTCTATCAAAGAGTTTCAATACACCCATAACACTCGCTGCCTCGACTTCCATTGGAGCTCGGCCAGGATGGTCATGAGGCGCGGCGTGAAGTTTCCCAAGCCAAGTGCTCAATTCATCGCTGGCTTGATCAAAGTTCTTATGCGTAGAGAGCGTCTTGTAAGTATCCGCGCAGGATAGTAGCGGAGGGGGTTGAGATGGTTCAGACGGTGCTGCTGCAGGGAGGGACTTGCAGCATCCGCCACTCTTACCAGCTCCACCACAACATCCATCAGGAATACCGGATGCAGAGCCTGGTGTTGATGACGAGCGCATGGCAGCAAGTGACCGGCAGAATAGGCCAGACTTTGGATCAGATTGACATTGCTGGCAAGTTCCTGGGCCATTGACACATGAGTTGGCCGGTGCCGCCCCAGCAACTGTTCGCTGCATTTGGATAGACTGGAAGGATGGAAGCTTGGGACCTCTTCCTTCGGCATCGCTGTCTGATGGAGGAGGTGTAACTTCATTTAGGAGAGGGGGGAGTCGGTTCTCATGTTCTTGCTCCAGCGCTGCGGATGCCGCGGCAGCAGCTTCTGCACACACACAATATGTACCTTCTTCGCAGAACCCACAGGACTCCGCTAGGGGGCGTATTGAGTGGATGGTTGATTGATGAGATAGGTCGGTTTGCTGTGAAGTGCGTTTCGCGGAGAAGAATGATGTGAAGTCAATCTCAAGCGGTGTTGACGGCTCCGACTGACGCTGACGCTTCTCGGCTGGATCGTCGATTGCTGGCGAGTGTGATCGCTTCAAGTCCGCAGGTGCAGGTAAACTGACCTCGGTGGAGTTTATTGTTTCTTCCAGGCACTCGCAATGGGTGTTGGCGCTACACCGTCCACATCCTGAGGAGATAACGATAGCCTCCTCGACGCAAGCACAGCGGCTTGTCGATGTGCAGTTTCCACAGCCAATTGAGGTATCCTCCGGGGCAATAGGAGAACTATACTGGCTAGGCTGATGAATGTCTGGTGCTTTCTGCTGAGTGTGTCGGGGACGGCGTGGAGGTAGAGGGACGGCATCCGTGCCTGTCGTTCGAGCACCGTTGCGAATATATGATAGTTCAGCTAGAGCCGCTTCTTTCTCCCTCCTCTCGTAATCTGCAATGCGATCCAGAGTCTCACATCGGAATTTCCACGATTGAAGCTCGCTGTTGAACCGTCCCAGGTCGGCTTCCAGTCGTGAAACCTTTGCCTTGAGGTCCCCCTCGCGTTTTTGTTGTTCCTCTTTTGTCTCCTCAAGTAGCTCTTCTAATTCCCCGACTCGAGCAGCTCGTCTCTCTCGAAAGGCCCGTTGTGCAGCTCGATTCTGCGCCTTCCGCTTCGTTGGAGGGGTATCCGTGGCGGGCTTCCGTCCAGGCTTCGGACGTGGCGGGATGATCCATTCTTTGCTCGTTATAATGGGAGGAGTTGGGAGTGCTGAGGTTGAAGCAAGGGCAGGCATATTCGATGTATTAATATTTGCATTCGCGTGTTTCATTGCGAGTGTTTGGGGGGCGGGCGCGAGAGAGATGGGAGCAGGAGACCCCGCTGCTGAGGGTGTTGACACAGGCGACGCCATTCTCGTATCGCTAATTGTCGAATGACAGCAAGGACAAAGCTGGAGCTGAAGAACGACGTCGAATAGCGGGCACAAAATATAGGTTGTAAAGAGCAAGAGTTAGCACCATCGAGGGGCAATCGTAGAGAGTTCGCAGCCCACAGCAACAGTGTCTTGGGTGGAAAATCAGTTCAGCTGGTCGCAGAAAACAGCGGCGATTATTGATTGTGAAGACACTGGTTCGGAGGGGAAAAGCCGGAGATTGATCTTAACTTATCTGATCTTCTGATTATGCAGTGTGGGCAGCGGGTGGGACTGTTCAGCCGAGTTCGGATACACTATCCTCGCGTAGAGGCCAATCAGAGCCCCGCAACCAGCAGAACACCCACTGGTCGCCTCAGCCGAGTCAAAATCATACGTCTTGAACGGGAAGGAGTCGGAAAACAGTGGGAAACAAGCACGCAGACTCGGAAGGGGTCGATCACCTGATTCACCAGTCACCGCTGCGGAGCAACGCAAAGAGCCAAAGCACTGGGGCTCTATGACTCTGCTACTCTGGGATAAGCCCGAAGATAGAGACACTTGCGCATTCCGGGCTGCGATTACCGAGCATTTCGTTATCGGATTTCCATTCGACACGTGACCTACAGGTGTTCGTGTCAATGTTGGTGATCAGTCCAGTCTAACGCTTCCGCGATATATCTAGCAGGAACCTACGGCTACCCTACCTAGAGGCTGGAGGATCTACACATCAGGTAGATTGGTAGACTACAAAAGACGAAGTGGAGGCATCGTCTGTTTGTGTTTCCGCGTGAGAAACACACATCCATAGCTCCAGAGATGAGCAAGTTCTACTTTGGCGGGGGCTCAGGGAGTATGTCCTCAGACGACGACGAGGACAACCTCCCTTATCCCGAAGCCCTTCCACGGAGCGACTTCCTGGCCCTGGATTTCGATGCATCGACATATCTCTCTACGCTCTCAGACCGCCATCAGACACTCGAGGATCTCCGCTCAGATCTACGGGAAAGATCCCAAGCGCTGTCGAAAGAGCTGCTGGATCTGGTCAATTCTAATTATGAGCAATTCTTGAGTCTGGGCTCCGATCTTATGGGTGGCGAGGAGAAGGTCGAGGATGTGAGGGTGGGGTTGCTTGGGTTTAAGAGGGGGCTGGAGGATGTGAGGGGCAAGGTGAAGGAGAGAAAGGTGGGCGTTGAAGGGTTGCTCGACGAGAAGATGCTTGTCGGGAGACAAATCGCCTTGGGCCGGAAGCTACTCGAGGTCGATGCCCGTTTGGAAGAATTGGAGGACAGGCTCATGGTTTCGTCGCTTGGTCGGACGGTCAATGGAGGAGACGACGACCCGTGGACCGACAGCGAGGACGAGGACGAGGATGACGATGATCTGGCATCTGATGCTGGGGCCGGCGGGACAAGTGCCCGGAAACTTCAACGGCTCGTGACTGACTGTTGTCATGTTGAGCGTTTATCGGCCAGCGTAGGGAAAGATCATCCTTTCATACTAGCACAACAATCCAGGATGCTACGAGTGAGAAATACCATTCTCCTGGACCTCAATACATCATTAAAACAGGCCGTGTCGTCAGGCGAGGAGTCACAGGCCAGGCTTGTTAAGATACTCGGTATCTACGGAGAACTAGGGGCAGTGGCTGACGCAGTCAAAGTCTTGAAAGACCTAAAATCAGAATAGCAAAGGAGCCCTAGAAGTCTTGTAGCATAGCGTTGGAGTTGAAGGCATATATACCAGGGACACCAAAATGAGTTATCGTACATCTAATATCTACAATCGTACAACCTATGACCCTGAGAGCTCCTTCTCCGTGACGCTTGTTTTCGAATCCTTCAGACTCCCGCTAAGTGGAAAGCCCGGCCCATTCGTAGAGCTCAACACCACCTCCGCCAGATTCTTGTTGATCTTGTCGCTTAACCGTCCTATATCCGCCTTTACAGCCTCAATGAAGGCCTTGATGTTGGTCGACATCTGCTGTGGGGTGAAACCCAGCTGGCCAACTGCCATCCTGACAACACCCATACGCTCACGGTACTCCGAAGCTCCAACCATATCCTTCATCGCCTTGACCGGGTCCGCCACGACAGTTCCCGTCTTGCTGCTGGGCATCAACCCGCGAGGTCCCAGGATCCTTCCAATTCCAGATTTATTCATCTTCGACATGGAGTCCGTTTGGCAAATGCATCGGTCAAATTCAATCTTGCCATCTTTCACCGCATCGAAGACTTCATCCTCTCCTACTAACATAGCTCCAGCAGCCTTCGCCGCCTCTGCATATTTCGAGTCTGGGGGGCAGATAACGCATACTTTGAAGTCCGTCTTAACTGGATGTGGCAGGCGTATTCGATTTCGTACAACCGGACCATTCTTCAGGCCGTAGATTTTGAGATGCATCTCATATTTGACAGATGTTGGTTTCTGTCCGACCTCCCATGCCCGTATGTATCTATATGCACGTTAGCACTCCGAACACCTCTGCTGCTTCGGAATCTCAGGTCCATACCGCATGGCATCCAACAGCGAAAACTGCTCCTCTTTTTTCAAATCATATTGCGTATAGTGAGTTTTCGGCTTCTTCTTCTTCTCCGTCACTTTCTTATGATTCGCCGGGCGGTTGGTGGCCTCTGGCTTGACCTTTTTGGACTGGATTTTCTTCCCTTTCGCGTTCGCAACAGGCGTGGTTGTGCTGAATAGCCTTATCGGAAAGCTCGATGAGATCGGTGGAATCGGATATAAGTGGCTCCTGCTCAATTGAGCAAGACACGGCCTTGCGGTGGCCATCACGTCGTCGACAAGTTATTATAGTGTAGTTGTCGATGATCACGGAACAAAAGCATCGTCGAGTTGTCTCTAATTCGGGATTAGCGTGTCGCGGAACGGATAAACTGTTCGGACCTTGTTGTGTCTGTGCGCGGTGGTGTCGACTCAAACGAATTCCCCCACCATGAATTTAAAGCCCCTCCACGAGGTGACGAGGTTAAGTTCCTGAATTACTCTACTCACGCCACAATGAAGACAGAAGAATTGTCGCAACTTGCGACGAGTCTCGCAGCGACAGACTTCAAGGCTATTGAGCCCCATCTGATTTCTCTAGATAAGCATCTCCTAGTCCGAACCTATCTTGAGGGCTACTCCATCAGCGAGATTGATACGAAAATATGGATCACGATCCGCACCAACAAAGTCGCCAACGCATTCCTGAAAAGGGGAGCGCTTCCAAATGTTGCAAGATGGTTTAACTACGTTGAGCAGACACACCCTGAAATCCAGGAGGAAATCAAGGCCCAAGGCGAGGCGGAGAAGGCGAGGAAGGCGGCATTGAGCAAAGCAGGTGCAAGCTACAATATCGCGTTGCAGGAGACTGAGAAGGGTGTCGTGACAAGATTTCCCCCGGAACCATCTGGATATTTACATATTGGTCACGCAAAAGCTGCGCTGCTCAATGACTACTTCGCACACGAGCTCTACAAGGGCACATTACTTCTACGGTTCGATGATACAAATCCTTCAAAAGAGAAACAGGAGTTCCAAGACGCCATTGTTGAGGACCTCGCACTCATGGGTATCAAGCCAGACAAGACGAGTTACACAAGTGATCATCTCGAGACCCTATATCAATATTGTATCCGAATGATCAAGGAGGGCCACGCCTATGCAGACGATACAGATCAGGAGACTATGCGAGACCAGAGAATGAATGGTATCGCCAGCAAAAATCGCGATAACAGTGTTGAGCAAAATCTTGCAATCCTGGAAGAGATGAAGATCGGGACCGAGAAGGGATTGAAGAATTGTATTCGTGCAAAGTTATCCGTGGACAACCCTAATAAAGCTATGCGCGATCCGGTCATATATAGATGCAACCTCCTTCCCCACCACCGCACAGGGACTACTTGGAAGATGTACCCTACATACGACTTTGCCTGCCCCATTGTCGATTCTCTCGAAGGTGTGACCCATGCTCTAAGGACGACAGAATACACGGACCGCAATCCGCAGTACCAGTGGTTCCTTGACACTTTAAAGCTCCGCCATGTTCACATGTGGGATTTCGCGAGAATGAACTTCATCCGAACGGAACTCTCAAAACGAAAGTTGACCAAGTTGGTGGACGCCGGTACTGTATGGGGCTGGGATGATCCTCGAATGCCCACTATCCGTGGTGTTCGAAGACGTGGCATGACAATTCCCGCACTCCGAGATTTTATCCTGAAGCAAGGGCCAAGCCGGAACATTGTAGTGATGGACTGGACGAACTTTTGGGCTTCGAATAGGAAGGAAATCGACCCTGTAGCTCCAAGGCACACCTCAATTGACGTGAAGGATGCTGTCAAGGCAACCGTCACCAATGGCCCAGCGGAAGCCTACATTGAGGACAAACCTAAGCATGGCAAGGTTCCAACGCTCGGAAACAAAAAAGTTGCATACAGCAAAAGCTTGATTTTTGACCAAGAAGATGTCAAGCTCTTCAAGGAAGGCGAGGAGGTCACGCTAATGAACTACGGGAATGCTTTCGTGCGCAAGATCAACGGCTCCAACCCAATTACCGATATCGAACTCGAATTGCACCTCGAGGGCGATTTCAAGAAGACAGAGAAGAAACTAACATGGCTGTCAACCGAAGGCCAAGAGCTTATCAAGGCGGAAGTGTGGGACTTTGACTACCTGATGACGAAAGACAAGCTTGAGGAAACTGACAACTGGGAGGATTTTGTGAACCCTGACTCTGCGTGGAAGGTGGATGCACTCTGTGATGAGAACGTGAAGGACTTAAAGCAGGATGATATCATTCAGCTGGATCGAAAGGGCTATTACCGTGTCGATAGAGCAGCTACGGCTGAGAAGCCTCTAGTGCTATTTGGTATCCCGACGGGAAAGACAAAGTGATGGCATAAAAGTTATAAACTACGTCGTATATCTTTTGGGAATTCACTGTTAAAGTACTGCATGAATTGATGATGATATACCTCATACCTCTTCGGTATATTTTGACTGACTCATGTAGCAATTGACCGCTTCCCATAATTGACCCCAAAACTCCATATAATGTCCTAACATCCACATCGCAACTCCCATTCTTCGAATTCCTCCCTACCAACCTCCCTCACAACAACCCCTTCCTAGCCAACTCAACTTTCCTCGCCGCCTCCCCGGCCTTAAATCCACCCTTCGAAACACAAATTGCCTTCCCTTCACCCAGCTCGAATTTCTCTTCATGCTTAGGATGCGCACATGGGCAATGGTGTGGGAAGTGCACGCATGCTAGGGTATCCGGGCAGAGGTAATTCGTACAATGTGCTATAGTTGCAACTACATTAGCTTGGCTTCCATCATCCTGGGATTCAGAGGGCGGGGAGGAGGGGTAGTACCGTTTTCGTAGTTCTGTTGGTACCAGCCTGAATCGCTGGGGCCGTTTTGGGGTTCATGTCTTTGTTCCTGGGATATATTAGCAAAACTGAGCTACAGAGGAGAGTGGGAGGGGTTGTACTTGTTGTCCATTGAACATTTGATCGAAAAACTGGAATTGGGCGCTTGCTCCTACGATGAGGAGTAGGAGGGCGGAGAGGAGAGGGATCAGAGTACGCGCCATGGTTGATGGCAAGATCCGGATGCTTCTTTGGGGGTTGACGTTAACTTTGAGAAACGAGGGCCCCTGCGCGTTTCCTTAGAGAAAAATAAATCTTTATAACCATGAAGTTTGAAATGGGATTGTGAAGTATAGGAGAGCTAAGTGTATTTACTCTTCTGGACAGCTAGACATTTAATAACCCTTGTCAATCTGCCGGAGTCGTGGAGTACAATCGGCGTCTCGCTTACATAAGTATCCATCCCCCGATAATTTACCGACCTGTTACTCCGTACTTTTATTTCTTGAGCAACGACAACGACAACGACGACGTCCGTTCAACCCAAACCGCATCAGAGAATGCTGCTCCCTCGATTACAACCGCCCTTACGAGCTGCCATCTGCTCAATTGGCCGGTCCTCCCAGCAGCCATGCATCAATGAAGCATTTGCCGCGCTCAACATCCGGGCAGCGTCCCCGACTTTAACGTTCGTCAGACATGCGTCGCACGCGCAGCAGGGAGCTGTGAATAAGGCAAAGGATGGGCCGGGAAAGAGATTGGGTGCTAAGAAATCTGGAGGTAAGCTATATCGATATCTGATGTGGAGGGTTACGGTCGACGTGATGGAATGCAAGTGCTAATAACACGAACCAACAGAGCAGTATGTGATCCCAGGAAATATCATCTTCCGCCAACGAGGCACGCTTTGGTTTCCCGGCGAGAACTGCGGCATGGGCCGCGATCACACGATCTATGCCACCGAATCTGGCTATGTCAAGTACTACAAAGATCCCGAGAAACATCCCAAGCGGCAGTACATAGGCGTGGTCTTCGAGCGTGATCAAGTTCTTCCCCTACCGAGAAATAGCGTCAGGAGGAGGAAGTTGAATATGCTTGCTACGCAGATGGAAGTCCCGCCCACGATTGAGGAGATCGAGGTCAAGTCAGATTTAGTGCTGAAACCGAAGAAGGAGCGGAAGGTGTTGCAACTCAGGCCTGGATATATGTACCGTGAGGCGAATTGGGAGATTGGGCGCGCGGCGGAGAGGGCGAAGGTTAAGGTCAAGGAGTTTAAACCGAGGGATCGATGGACGGCTTGGAGAAAGGCTTGGGCGAGGAAATTGGTGAATAAGGACAAGAGAATCGTTGGGCAGAGGAAGAAGAAGTAGGAAGTCCTCGATTGTACGAATATTATGCTTGGGATACCTGTGATGGGTATTATGTATCAAAAGAATGAACTGGGCATGTACCTATGGAACTTTTGAGATGGAAATATTTTTGGAAGTTCTCTTGTATTCCTACCTTATGAGGTGCATTTTATCGATCATGCAGCTAGGTATCTGGGTTTCGGTCAATACTGGAAGACAGGGAACAATTGCAGTGCTATATTGTGACAATGCTTTGAGAGTATGAGGAGTTTTGATCCTTTTGCCCTATGAAGTCATCCGTTCCTGAACAGAGAACAAAATCCCACACTGCTACCAGTCCATGGGCAAGTTTCCTAGTACATATGAACTCGATTGGATTTAAGCTCTACTTACGTAAGTCCAAGGTTATCGGGGGAGCGGCTAGGCTGTTTCCCCGGAAGCTCTTAGTCTACCTTAAAACTCTTCATGTCTTGAAATTTCCGGTTCCTAGAAAGCTTATGGATAGTTTCTTCCTCACATGTTGGGAATAAGAGCATGGATCGGTCACTTCGACAAGATCAAGTATATCCTTAAAAATGTTTAGTCTTATTTAAAAACATGGCGAATATTTAATTGACAAGAAATGTTCTCGAGACCTTGTATATTTTAGTTTAATCCCTTTTTATGATATCCCCGATTAAACCATATCACTAATCGAGCTACTTCCGGAAATTGGGACTGTACAAGAATCTCCTTGATAGATTTGTTGGTGCTGCTAGGATGTGAGCTATTTTAATCAGCCAACAAGGAAAGGAAATCTATCTCCTTGCGGTGCCACCAACTCCTCTCGGTACCATTAACTTCCTTTGTTACCAATACCTACACAACCCAATGTGCTATCGGGGTAGTGAGATACCAGTTTGGAAAATTCCGTGACCAATAAATAATAAATCTATCTTCACAATAAACACAATGACGCTAATCAAACACATGTAGAGCTCACCTCCTGAAATTTTATGTTTGCATTCGAACCGCCCACATCCGTACAATTTCATGTAGATGGAAAGAATTTAGAAGCGTGACATCTAACCCCGAACTCGCTCAACATTCCAGGAGCTCTCGTGAGCTCGTACTCTAGAGTTTTGATCGAGCGTATGGCCAATAGGTTTAGGAAAGCGGGTGATAATAATATGGAGAAGACTAGCGATATTTATGCGATGCTTAGGGCATGGCTGAAAAGAGAATCAGCAAGGACTGTTCGTGATATTCAGGCTTAATCATTTAATCCTCCAGGAATTAGGAATTGTGCGATGAATACGACAATACATTCATTTCAGGGCTTTACACAATTAAAAGTAGCAGAGACTCGAAATTTTCAAGCCTCATAATGGGACCCACTGAATGACATTGTAATAGTAAGATCAGGCAATGCCACTTAATAGACGTGATGAATACAACAGAAGTGCTCAAATATTCGAGACCAATGCTCAAGCTCATGTCTAGACGTTTATCACACCTCTTGAACTTCTCCACTTTGGCAGACCGGCTCCTAACAAGACAGCCTTTAGAACCAGAATACCTCATCGGTGCTGCCATTTAACTTGTTTTCCTTTTCCATCTGCTTGATAAGGAGCTTAATACGCTCAACCAAGGCTTTTCCATACTTGAAGAGCACCTATGTAAGCTTCGATCATTGTTCTAACAGTAAAATATGGCTAACCTCAGGACCAAGTGGGGGCGTAGGCTTGTTGAGGTCGGGCTATTTGCAACATGTCAACATGCGTAAATCAAAAATGGATAAGTGAAATAATAAAAAGGCATTCCCACCCTCAACCAAGGGACCAACGGTGTCTTCGCAGTTTGGCATGACCTTCGTAAAACATCTAGATCTTCATCATTGTAGCCACCTCCCACTATTATAGCTTTGGGGATGGTTTCGTAGTTTTTAGATCCAAGTTCAACATCGGTAGTAACCGGCTCTTGCTTGAGGATAGCCGGAATCTCGATCTTGCCTGCTTCGGGGGTAAGGCAAAGGTGGACGACTAAAGGCCCGTGATTATTAGCACTTCCTGGGTGTATTTCTGGTTAAGAAGCGACAAAAATCACCATCCATTTCTGGTTTGAGTGCCGAAATGACACCAACTGCAATTTTGGTGGTTTTGCCACAGAGAATAACGGGGAGCATGCCGGCCATTTTTTTCTGGAGTGAATTGGAAGTGCAAGATGAGGTTGTAGATAGAAGAAGTCTATCCGGCTACCGGTGATGATGACATGCTGGTCATGCGTAAGCGCGGCACAGATTATTGAAGCTGTTAGCTAGCTTCGGTTTAAAGGAAAAAGCCGTAGTTATATATTCCTTAATTATCCCAGCATAACCGGACGTGCCTTGTTATTCGCGTGCTCTCTACAAGTCCCGCGTGTTAACACAAAATGCAAAGGAAAGATGAAGGGTAGGGGGAGGGATCTGTAATATTATTATTATCACAAAATCTTGAACTGAGGTACATATTGCCGAGGGATCCACAAACGACATGTCCGGCCAATGTGTGCATGTCCGAGAAACCAACCTTATCGTGGCCGAAGAAAGTCGTGTCCAGCATCTTCGTATCGATACAGCTTGCTCATCTTCACTTGCGGCGATCCATGCTGCCTGTAACTCGACATGGCAAGGTGATTGCAACAGTGCAATCGAAGGTGGGATAAATATTTTGACGAATCCGGACTGTACTCGAGTACAGCGGGACTCGATCGCGGCCTCTTTCTCTCGCGGATAGGGAATTGAAAATCATTTGATAATGAGACAGATGGGTATTGCCGTGGAGAAGGCGTCGTGACTATTATTATCAAGTCTCTCGAAGATACCATGACCGAGAAAGACCCAATTCTAGGCGTTATTGCCATACTAATAGCCACGGCTCATCTATAAGCTCTACTGCTGTCCTCCGCTTCTCGGGATCAATGGCCATCACCACCCTTAAGAATGCAACAAACGCCACCTTCTCCTCACCGTCAAGATGTTGAACCCAGTTCTCAAGTTGTGCAGTCCCCTTCCTCTCAGGGTCAATGACGCTGCCATCCTCATGAAAGCAGCGTGCAACAATATCTTGGCGTGCTTGGTCAAGCAGGCTCCGAGGAAATGGCCCAAACAAGCGGACCATCTCCTCGACATGCTTCTTCACATCATATATACCTGTACGTCCATTGCGCGCATCGAACATGTGTACGCCGTCCACCAGTTCTAGGACCGCGGCACCCATATTCCAGATGTCGACGGGTGGCCCCCAGGGCGCGAAGATAACTACCTCGGGAGCGCGCAGGAGTACAGGCTGGATTAGTGGCGTCAGATGCTGGTGTGACCAACTCGCGGCGCCCCAGTCACCTAGACAGATGTCAAGGTCCGACGCGTCGCCTGTAAGATGGTAGCTGCCGAGATCCTGTGATGCGATACTGCAGGGCAATATGGCCGGGTCGTTCAGCAACATGGGTTCCACGGGATTCTCAGCGAGGTAGTGATCGATGATGGACATATCTCTGATTTGGACCATGATATTGTCTGGCTTGATGTCTGTGAGTGTGAGTGAAATATAACCAAATAAAAAGGGATTAGAAACACAGACGGCGAGCACTCACCAGTATGGACCACGCCTGCGTCATGCGCATAGTCGAGCGCCCACAGCAGCTGGCGCGTAAAGCGCTTCGCAATCGGCGGCGGTATAATGGCTGGATCCCAAAAGGTTGGGAAGCTGCTGAGCGACTCGCCCATGGGATCGAGCACGAGGCATACGTGCGTGCCATTTGGTCCAGTCAACTCGAAGTGATCGCGGAGCTGCAATACAGAGTGAAATCCTGGGTGCGAAGGACGAGCAATGCTCAGGTGCTGTAGGATCGCCAGCTCGAAGAACTGCTGCGACGAACTAGGGCTGTAGCACTCCGCGCTTAGGATCTTGAGTGCTTGATAGATGCTCTTCCTATACAGCGTGTATTAGCCTAGCCCATAATTATATATCTATATATATTGTATACGTACTCTTGATCACGTACTAGCCAGACAGTGGAATAGCGGCCATGGCCTAATTTGCGGAGGACCCGGTATCGACCGTGGTGGTACTCGTCGTCAAGGTGTACGGGGTGTAGGCCGCCCGGAACATAGCATTTGGGGCTCTCTTCCCCATCAACAGGTCCAATCATAGGATTGGGGATAGGAGGAGATGATTATGCAGTCAATGGCTGTGATGATAACCACCATCAAAGGTAATGGTAATGGTGGTGGGGGGGG